AAAAAAGGGGATAAGAACAAGACTTACTACGGAACAGGATGGTGTACTATTTCACATCAAAGGTGGTGGAACCCTCCGCCTTCATCTATGTTGGGAAAGACAAGTTTGAGAGTATGACGAGTTTCTCCTATACTGAGAAAATGCTTTGATCTGATAATCCCTGTTGCTAGACGAGGATCTCATAAAATTCGGGTTGGAAAAGGACGTCTGGTATGGTGGCCGCTGCAATGTCCTTTACGCAACCAATATACTGATCGCTGATATTCTTATGTTGCCACAGGGTTCGTTCTGGCCTTTCTCTCAACGAAATCGATTAGCTGGAGCCGGTCTAATTTCGTTATTAGTTCCACGTCGATAACTTGTCAAGTGCGCACGTCTATTTACGCCTTCGTGACGGGGAAACATGGGACAAAATCCCCGAGCAACTTTTGGAGGATTGCGCGCAACTTACGAAAGCAAATTCAATTGAAGGTCAGCTACATTTGAATTACATGTCGCCCAAGTCTAACTAGGAGATCAGGAAACAAAAAGGACAACATTACAATAATCTACACGCCGTGGTCAAACCTTATGAAGGACGGGTCCATGGCTTCTGGTCAGGTCTCATTTCACAATCCCAAGATGGTCCGCAAAGTCTTCGTGCGAGAACGAGAGAACCCAATTGTCAATCGACTCAACAAAACTCGCGTTGAGAAATTCCCTGATCTCAAGACAGAGAAAGAAGAATACCTGAAGATGAAACAAAGAGCCGAGAGAAAAGTGAGAGACGAACAGCGGGCAAGAGAAAAGCAGGAAAAGAGAGAAAGAGAGCAACTGAAATGGCAGAAAGATCATGCTTATGACGACATGATGACCGAGGAGAATATGCAGGCGAGCAGCAACCAAGATCGAGACCCGGACTTCCTCGATGATTTTATGTGATCAAGAATTGCACGGGATTCATGGAGATTTATGCCATTAACAAAGCAATAACCTGGCCATTTTGCGTCAGGAACAGCATCCTGTAGAAAGAAAGAGTTATACCTGAGAGCTATTTCTCCGGCGAGATATTTCAATTGCGCCTGGTATAGCGCAATAATAGACATATAGCTTGTGATATCGAAACGAATGAGCTATACTAGTCTCATCAAGGCAGGCATTGCAGGATTTTACCCAAATAGTCATGAGTACATCGTATGAGAATTTGCAATGATTCACATCTGTATGTCAGAACCAATCTTTGACATCGAGAAATAATAACCGTAAATTCCACAAAATTCATTTACATCGCACCACGGAGTAGTTATTTCTCTGGTGTAACCTGCATGTGACGGAATATGCGTAAGCGAGAGGTGCAGACACGGACGGAATCCCAACCACGCTAGTGATGTTGACAGCTATGGTCTGTATTTCGTAACGACACGCCCGATCAAGACGAACAATTACCATTAGGTTGTGCTCCACAACATATTTAAGGGAGTTAAAGGCAAGATGCCCGAAGGTACTACATCCATGGTTACTTGCATCACCCCTGATTGCCATTTTCGCTGACGGTCTCCGAACAGGCGCCAAGTCGAAGAAGAACAAGAAGAACAAGGGCGCCGCAAAGGCCATAGAAAATGAGGCCCCGAAGATAAATAATGAGCACCCTGAAGGATCTAAACAGGATCTAAGCGATGGAGCCTCCGGGCAACCAAAAGCCAATGTGGGTGGTTGCGTAACGAAAGCCATAGTCAATTGTCGCTGAAACCGAACAATAGGATGCACAGCTCGACCCAGCCGATGGAACAGTCATGGAAAACCGGGAAACACAATCAAATGACGAAAAGGATGATTCCGATACTGATGGGGCGGCGGAGGCTGGCGATCGAGAAACAACTGGTGTGAGGAATAAAGACGATAACGCCAACGACTCGAAGTCATTGCCTGGCCCCGAAGGACTTCATTCGAAAGATAGATTTGATGCTCTCGTGCGAGACAGAGATTCTTTACGTGCAGAAGTGACGGATATGAGAAAATCCTTGGAGGAAATACAATCTAAGCATCGTACGGATATGGAGGCTCTACAGCACAAACTGGACGATACCGAGAGCAAGAAGGAGCATGCAGAAACGCAGTTCCAAAAGCTACTAGAAAGAGTCAATACAATCAAATCGCAGCTTGGGGAAAGACTCAAGGAAGATGCCGTATGTTCATCAGCCTTGTTCACATTGCGTGATACACTGCTAATATTTCATAGGAGGAAATTGCTCAAGCCAGATCTAAAATTGAAGACTTGGAGGACCAGAATTTACAGCTAAAAGACGAGCTGGACACAAAGAGCACCGAGCTGGCAGAGGCGACAGGAGACAACGAGCAAAAGTCGAAAGAACTTTCCACTTTGCGAGATCGAACGAATCTTTCCCAACAAAACTGGCTCAAAGAGAAGGAAGAATTGCTTGATCAAGAGTCGTACCTTCAATCAGAATTCGAACAGGCCAAGGAGGCTATGCACAACTGGGAGGTCCTGGCAATGGAGGAGCGATCTATCCGGGAAAACCTTGGCGAGAAAGTGGCAGATCTCGAGGAGCAGCTCGCCGGCCTCAAGGACGCCTATGAAAAAGCTGTGGTTCAACGTGACGGCCAAATATCGACCGTAGATGGCCTTCAAAGGGCCTTACAAGAAATCCAAACCGGTACGGTTCTTCTTAAAGACACACCGGACTTATCGGTACTGACGAACACCAGCCCGGAAACAAGAACTTCGTGAGCTTGTAGAAAGCTCTGATGCCCAGCTTGAGGAGCTCAGACAGGCGCTTCATGATGCACAAAAGAAGGCTTCCGAGGCTGACCAAACCATCCAGGCCTCTCAGAGTGAGCTAGAGAGGGTCAGGCCGTTTGAGAAAGAGGCTAAAGAGAAAAATCTTCTTATTGGAAAACTAAGGCACGAAGCAGTAACGTTGAATGATCATTTGACTAAAGCATTGCGGTTCCTCAAAAAAGGGAAGCCGGAGGATAACGTTGATAGGTAATTACAATCTTGCTCATCTATCATTTTACTTTTGTTTACTAAGATATTATAGGCATATTGTCACAAACCACCTACTGCACTTTCTAGCCCTCGATCGATCAGATCCAAAGAAGTTCCAAATCTTGCAACTTATTGCAGCCCTTTTGGGGTGGACCGATGGTAAGTCAATCTACACCAAGACATAATTTGTTTGCAGCCTTAAAGAATACAACTAACATTCAGCAATAGAACAGCGTGAGCAGGCAGGCCTTGCGCGCCCAGGAGCTTCCAGCACCTCCAGCAAGCTCAGGATTCCTAGTATCTCTGTTCATCGTACACCTAGTACACCAACTTTAGCTACGGAGTTTTTGGATAATGGTGCTTCGAGCAAGGAGTCGCTGGCGGAACTTTGGTCCAATTTTCTTGAGCAGGAGTCTCAAACCGGACAAGAAAACGCAGCCAAAGCCGGAAACGAGGGCCAGAGGCCATCCAAGTCTTGAATGCTTAGTACTTATTCACCGCCTTCTTCGTTCCACCTTAACCGCGTTATGCCTCTGACCGAATTGATACTCTCTGTACTGTACGATAAGCAGGCTCTTATCAGAAATCACACTGGCATTATTTTAGATATGAGAGTTTTGTTTTTTTTGTTTTTTTTTTTGTTTTTTTGGTAGCTGGTTATTCTCTGTTTGTAGATCAAATTCGCAAGCAGCGTGGTAATTATAGCCACCGCCTTTATTCTGCCAGGATGGTGTAGGTATGGGGTTGTGTTAAAACCCGACTGTATTCTCACCATCTATCCATCCTGAATAATCTGATATATGAATTATTTACTGAACTGTCGTGTATCTCGCTCGCTTTTTAGTAGACAGCTTCCCTTGTTTCCATATTCCACAACATCCACAATGGCTACTAGTGCTCGTATGTTCCCTGTCTTGAACTTTCTATACCCCTCAATGCACAAAACCTCCAAGAGTAATTGATTGACATGAGCCCATAAAGTGCAGAAGTTCCGTCCAGTGGTGATCTCAGGCCCATCTGGAACAGGGAAGTCGACTTTGCTGAAGAGGCTTTTCGCTGAATATCCCGATACCTTCGGTTTCTCCATTTCTCGTAAGTTTTAATCGACATATCCTAATGATCTGATCCCTGCCACAGAGAATTTCAGCCGACTAAAGCACCCTTCAAAATTTGTCAGACACTACTCGGGCTCCTCGAGCGGGTGAAGAAAATGGCCGTGAATACTACTTTGTCACCAAGGAGAAGTTCGTGGATCTTGTGAACCAGAATGGATTTATTGAACATGCCCAGTTCGGAGGAAACCACTACGGTACCAGCGTTCAAGCGGTGAAGATCATCGCAGAGAAAAGCAGGATCTGCATTTTGGATATTGAAATGGAGGTAAGAGTTTCCGTTGGATGAGATTGTCTCCGGGGGGATGACGACTGACTGAGAGTATATATAGGGCGTCAAGCAAGTCAAGCGCACCGATCTTAATGCTCGTTTCTTGTTCCTCTCACCTCCGTCGGTTGAGGAACTGGAGAAAAGATTGCGGGGGCGAGGAAGCGAAACGGAAGACAGCTTGCAAAAGGTATGCTGCTCTCTTTGGTTTTCCAAGGCCAATCCCTTTTTTAGGAATCATAAAATGACTAATGATGCACTTTTTCTTTTCTTTTTTCCAAAAGCGTCTGGCGCAAGCTAAGAACGAGCTCGAATATTCCAAGCAGCCTGGAGCTCATGACAAAATTGTTGTCAATGATGACCTGGAGAAGGCTTATGCCGAGTTGAGAGATTGGGTGGTTGACAGTGGCAAATTCGGCGCGCAATGATGCTTGCCAAACAGCCCTTTTAAGTATATTGAGACATTCAAGGGAATCGGGGCTATGCTTGTACCTATCAGCCTGATCCTCCCGTAATTATCAAATTGCCTTGGATTGTGAGATGAAGTTTCATATATAGAACAAGGAGATGCAATTTTCAGTGGCGGATTCAAGCAGGAAGCTGATACCTAGGCGCTACAATTTCATCACCTAGAATTCATTTCATAGCCTGAAGAGGTGGAGTTACTGATTATAGACCCTACAATATTATGCTCCATGCGTAGCTAGGTAGGGACATCAATTCCCAATAGTATGAAATATTTCCCTCGTGATTGAGAATTAAGGAAATTAAGTACATGAAACGACAAGACGGCATCCGCATTTCTCAATGCTAGTATTTTCCGCCTGCAATCAACAAGTCTAAGGAAACGAGGAAAGCCCAGTCATTCTCCAAATGGGAGAGGATGAAATGAAAGAAACCAGTACGAAGAAAGAAACATCAAAGTTAAAGTGGATATCTGCAAGACCCGCGGCGTGGATTTGGTGTTATGGGTGGGGAAAGGAAAAGAAAAATAGACCTGAGACTGCCTTTCAGTTAGTTGGCTGCCTTTTTGACTCATTTGTCAACGATCTGAATTAAACGCTTGCTACACCAAACATCGGAAATCATTCTCAAGTTGATAGCTTTTGCGACAATTAGTAGCCGTTCATGGCCCCCCGTTGCGAGTTACGGCTGAGCTCTCTGTCGGCAGAGGGGCTGATGGGCCGGCTGCCAGCACTGTGGCCACCAGCTGCGCTGCTCTCCTTTAGAGCTAGGAGCTGCTTAGCACGGAAGGTCTCGTAGTGGATCTGGCTCGTCGTTTCGATCAAGTCTTGAAGATGGGTGCGGGTAAGGAAGTTTCGCAGGTAGACGAATTCGCAGTGGTTTTCGTCCTCAACGTTGATCACGCCCCAGCGGTTCTGTCGGCCACGGACCTGCTGGCCATTGACAACAATGGTCTTCTCACTGCCAACAACGGCGAATGGAATGATGTCCTGAGATAAAAGAGTTAGATCAAACGAAGGAAAAATGAGCCTATCTAGAGGCCTAGATGTAGAACATACCTTGATTTGAACATTGACGGCCCGCTCTTCATCATCGAGCTCGTCATTATCATACGGGTACATCTTCAGGTTGTGGAAGGCAAATTCTTCCTTGATTCTCTCCTTGAACGCTTGGCGCTCCTCGAGGGTGAGCGAGTCAGCCTTGGCAATGACTGGAACAACGTTGACGACGTCCGACAGCTTCTTCAGGACAACGATATCGATTGGCTTGAGGCTATTGGCAACGTTACTATCAGTTCCATATTATGATGAAGGTCATACAGGAAGTAAAACTCACGCATGGCCAGATGGCTGAATGAAGAACAAGCAGCAGTGGATACGGGTATCTTGGATGTAGCGGTCACGCTGAGCGGTAAGCTCCTTTCGGAGATATGCGGAGTGCTGGTCTTTGATGTATTTCACAATTGGGTCCCAACTGATAACCATCGTTAGTGCGATCGTCGAGAATGCGAGGGAATCGAGTAGTACCATCTGTCATTGTTGACCTGATCACCGTAGCCGGGAGTGTCGACAATGTTGAGCCTGAGACGAACGCCATTTTCCTCAATGACTAGTGGTCTATAGTTAGTAACCGGCTGCATAGTTTGACGACCGAGCAAACATACTGTGAGAGGCGGCCTGGATTTCGGTGGTCGAGCGGACAGGTTCATTGGGAGCCAAACGACCCTTGGAATCGATCAGGTGGGAAGCGAAAATGGTGTTGACAAGAGTGGATTTTCCTAGACCGGTTTGACCTATTCAGGAAGCACAAATGGTCAGTGCAAGGCCCTTTAGGAGGATACTCGGGTCTGTTCTTCTAGACATACCGACGCACATCACATTGAACTGGAAACCACGCTTCAAAAGCTTCCGTTCAATTTGAGAAGTGATGCTGTCGAAACCGACATGGCTGCGAGGGAAAACTGGACTCGGGGTGGCCGAAGGTGAGCTAGCTGTGGTGGCCATTGTGGTGGTTGGGAAGAGAGGAGCAACGGTGTATGGACTTCGAGACCAAGAAATGGCAGAGACGGTGAACGGGGGTCGGTAGAACGAGGGACAATGGATAGAATGAGAGAAAGAACAGACGAAAAACAGCCCACCAAGAAGGTCTTTATCACCAGGGTTGCTTTTTCTTTACCCCAGGGAAGCCGGAATGTCTGTCTCGCGGTTTGCTGGAGTAGAAGACAGACGCTGCTCTCGCCGGCCCCTTAATTGTTGTTGCGACTCAGGGGGGGCGCCTAGGCCTAGTTGGGGCTAGTGCGTCTCCAGACCCAAATCCAGCCAACCGCAGGTTCGGCGGCGAAAGCTTCAAATCATCAATTATTGATTGCTGCTTCAACCTAAGAATATTCGACCTCTCTCTTTTGAACCAACTACCGTCGATCGAGCCATTGTGTCTCTCAGCAACCATGGCCTTACGAGTGCTTCCGTCTACTGCCCCCTCGCGGGTGTTTTCCCGTGTCTTCTCGTCCTGGGAATCTCCGTCGTCCGCCGTAGGCCGATGGTCTCGCTTTTTCCAGAACTCCGCCATGCTCTCTCCAAACCTCTTGAGGCCGGCCGCTTTGTCGTTAAACATCCCGGGCTTGTTGTCTGATATTTGGGACTCTGTCCTCCGCGCCGTTCCCAAGAAGAAGACCTCTCACATGAAGAAGCGCCATAGGCAGATGGCTGGCAAGGCCTTAAAGGACGTGAAGAATCTCAGTACATGCTCTGGATGTGGTCAAGTGAAGCGCGCACACGTTCTTTGCCCGCACTGTGTTTCGGGTATGTACCTATTCTGTCCAAGACGAATTCAATTTGTTGATATTGCTTGGAATCTGACAATGTTATTCGGTAGACATCAAAAAGCAATGGAGCAAAACCCAAACGGCATGACTTGCACATGAATAAAATAAAAGACACTACCATATTTGTCTTAGGAAAAAAGAAGAAATGAAAAAAGACGAGGAACAGTGTATAATTGAGGTTCATTGAGGCATTGTATTTTTATATGAAGCGTGGATACACGCTGCATGGCACTGGGCGTCTGGTTATGTTGGGAAAATCTACCTGTTCTTTTTGTATATTCGCTAGAATCTGATCCAAGGTGAAACTTTTATTCCAATTCCAAGTCTTCTTAGAATATTTTGCCATATTCGTAGTTCCTTTGTATCCTGTCAGTTGGAAATGGTGGATTGTTGTGTTGCTCAGCCAGGGCCAATCCGGCCCATGATCTCACCGACGTCCAGGATTTTTGTCCCACCACTGTCCATCGAGCAACGCCAACTTACCTCCACGCAACAACAGTGTTGCGACACTGCCTAGATTATCTAGATACTCATTTTCCATGCACATGGAAAATTGACGATGGTAAGCCGAACCAAGTATGATTGTGTTTATTTCTGTAGATTCTAACATAGCAGTTGCCCGCAGTCGAAACAATATCTCTCGTGGGGTTCCGCAGACAATGGTATGTATGGGAACAGGCTCAATTCCAAGAATAATTTCTTCCATTATCTTGCCTGTATTCTTAAGTCAATTTTTATCTGACATTAAATGGTAGCGCACCCTACCGATATCTTCTCCTTGGCTGTAACTGACAAGCATATCCTGTCTGCCTCGGGTACCTCTTCGCTGAAGGTCCATTCAACGATAGATCCAGACTTTCCGTTGGTCCAGTCAATTGATGGAGCGCATAAAGTTGGCTGCCACCATGTTGTCACCGATGGAAATGGATCGAGAGCAGTCAGCGTTGGCTTCGGTGGGGAAATTGTGATTTGGTCTTGTAACGACGGAACCTGGTCCATGGATGGTACAACCTCAGGTAACAGCGTTTTCAAATTCCCGATCTTCTCCATTGGATCATTCAAGGCTGACCGATATGCAGCCGAAATAACGGGCTCTACAGAGGTTTGGGCAGTGGCATTGTCAGAAGATGGACAGTACCTCGCAGGTGTCAGCCAAGATGGACACATCAAGGTGTGGGATTTGAGGGCCAATCGTCAACAGATACGCGACCATGAAACTAAAGGTAGCTTCGGTACCTGTCTGGACCTGGTAAGTTATCGTTTACTTGGCCACCCTAGTTGCATTTGTCATTTGTTTACTCTACTAATCCGGTACAGTCTGCGGATGGCCGCTTCATCGCCAGTGGACACGAGAACGGCAGTGTCTATATTTTTAGCACAGAAACTGGCCGTATGCCGTTTTCTTTATCAGGTAAGCCTCCTGCGATAGACATCGAACGAATGAGGAGACAAAGCAAGTTCTGATGCCATGTAGGCCTAGTGAAGCCGGTACGAACGGTGGCCTTTTCTCCTGGAGGGAAATTCCTCGCTGCTGCTGGAGACTCCAAAGTTATTGTGCTTTATGACACTTCATCTGGTGAGCAGGTCGCCAGTCTCTCGGGACACTCGGCCTGGATATTGTCACTTTCTTGGAGTGATTCAGGAGAGTACCTTCTGAGTGGGTAAGTTTAAAACGCCTTAGAGTTTTACCGCCAAACATTCCATACTGAACAACTTAAAGATCATTTGATGGCAAAGTCAAAGTCTGGTCTATCGATACTAGATCTTGTGTTGCAACCCATTCCGAGACCGAGAAAGCCGTCTGGAGTGTCAGATGGCTCCCTAAAGCCGGAAAGACACAGGGATTTGCGACGGCTGGGGCAAATAGAAGCATATCATTTTACCGAGAGGCCACTGGTGGTTGATCATTGACATCGGAAAGTCTTGACGTGTTGATTATGAAACCAAATGAGGTTACCATGACTATGCAACTTTGATGCAAGCTGCAAGGCAATTACTCGAATTTATCTTGCTATAAAAATGATGGCAAAATACGGCACCCAAGAAGATTACCTGATTAAGATAGTTATAGCCTTCTCTAAACACCTGACGTAAATCATTATCATCCAAGGGACCTAGCCAGCCCTTTTATTTCATTGTCTCAACAAACAATTTGCGCATTCGTTTAAGGAATGCACCAAAATCCCGATCCTCGTTCAAAATGTCGAGTTCACGCTCAAGGGCATCCCTGTCCAACTTGGGCCGGACATGGAAAACCTCGTAGTCTCGACTGGCGGTGCCAAGTTCAAACCAAGCCTCAGCGTCCCAGTCCTTCTCAAGCAAGTGACTGTAAACAAACTTCAAACGATCCTCTCTTCCGGCCCCTTCTATCCTAAGACAAAGATAATCCTGCCAGAATTCAAGTTCGGGAACATTGAGACGGGCCTGGGCATCCAAATGCCGCGCGTGAGTCTTTTGTGCCTCTAGTCTCTGATTGATCGCTTTTTGGGTCTCGTCAATCTGTTGCCTGAGGCGGTCGCGTTTAGAAAGACGAGAATCACGTTCTAAAGTAATCGAGGAGATAGCGGCGTGCATCTCGGCAGCTTCAGCGGCCTCTTTCTGCAGTGTCTGCTCATGGGTTTGCGATTTCAGACTTAGGATCTCGATATCTTTTTGTCTCATTCGTTGATCCTCTGTGGTTTGAATTAGTATCTATTCCCCCTACCCTTTTTTTGGGAGGGGGCAAATCTATACACACCTTGTAGCTCCGCCAAACCTATCCTGAATTGATTCCTCTCCTCCAATACCTGCTTCCTTCCTCGCTCGATGAACGCATCGAATCTGGCGCTAAACTGGACCATGCGATTCCGAAGGTCCTCAAATCCGAAATTGATGCTGGGAAGAGAGTCTGCCATTGAGGGTGCGTCCGCAGACGTCAGAGGCGGGCGCATGCCACTTGTCGAAAGCGAGGGGTCAAATGAGGATGACATAGTGAATCAGCTAAAAGTATTATCGATCAGTATTTGCTTCCGCTGCGTAGAAAGACCACTTTTATTTAGACTTGGTGATTGAAACTAAATGTTACATGATGTTGGATGGCAGACGCGGCAACACACAATCGTGACTGGCGGGCGCTAAACTGTTTTGTTGCGGCGCAACCACCGAAACCAGGCAAAGCTTGGCTTTGAGATCTGCTACAACGGCAGAAAAAACCGAGTACTGTTCTCCAGGAATCCTTATGTATGGATTGCAGATGACGGCCGTCAAAGCTTGGCGGTTTCGATAAAAAATTTCATGATATTATCTATTTCCAGCCAATTTCCTGTTGGTTAATCGTGTCGGAAGTCAGCCATACTCGATATGCTTATCAGATTAAGTGCTGCGAAAACTGCTAGGAGCAAAGAAAAACCTGATGGATGAACATTCTACGAGTGCTCTGCAATATGGGCACGTGGGCACAGCGATTTACGTTCCAGAAACCCAGTCCTGGACATTCTACCGTTCTTTGGCCCAACGTATGTGGCTCGATCTCAAAGAAACAAAATGTGATTTTGACTGATATCTTTTCCAGCGGTCCCAATACATTATGCTGGATCAACAAAAACCATCGTATCATCGCCACTTACTGCCACCCAATCTTCCCTGCCAGAGAACAAGAGCCAGTTGTCGAGAGTGCACCCCGAGCTTGCCGCTTCTTGGTCTTTCGTTCGCAATGAAACCCTCTCTCATGTCATCACAGCGGCAAGTGAAATTTGTGACCCTCTGATGTCCTCGCTTTTTGATCTAGGACATGCGGTGGATTTAGAGAATGACGATTCAGGCTCCCGGGTAATTCCAATAGCAGTGACGGCATCTGGAGAGTGTGGGAATGCCATTTCCTTTCGAAAAATCGAGGAAGATACAGTCGAATTGAAGCAGGAAACGACTGTCTGGGTGCGCATTCCATCCGTTGGAGAAGCGGAGAGAGTGGAATGGTCCACAGATAGAGCTCCTGTTCGACAGATTTGTTTTGCGCGGACAGTTGAAGAGAAGGCAACGTGGATGGCAGCTCGTTTTCCACATTCAACAACCGTGTTCCGGCCACTTTTCCATAGGTATCCCGTGCCAATGCATACGTACAATGACGGGGACTGCGTTATACCCACAAATCCTCGAAATTCCCGTCTTGACGCGAATCCCTTGATTGAGATATCTAATTCGCAGACCGGAGGATTTGCGCATGCTGATGTAACCTTCAATCCTTGGTATCAGAAGCAATTCGCTATTGTTGATGAAAGAGGAAACTGGGGCCTGTGGGAGATTTCTGGTAGGCATAGGCGGAACAAGGGCAACTGGACTGCAGCGTGCGTAAAGTCTGGGGCACTCCCTTGGCTCGATGCTGGAGACACTCAAGATATGGATGACCACCCTCGGCATGATGGATGGGCAGCTATCGAGTGGGCTGGGGATGTTAATAGCTTCATCGTCTCTGATCGGCGCTGTCCTATGCTTTATCGGATGGAAAGCGACCATATTTGGCCCCATCCAATAGAGCTCAATCTGAAAAGGAAGTCTGAGTGGATTTTGGATGTCAAAAGGAGCACTTGCAATGTAGCGCACGTTTTTATCTTGACGACATCTAGAATATTTTTGTTCGATGTCACTCCAGATTCTGCCTCTGTCAGTGGGGGGGATACTGGGCTTTCAGTGTATCCCCGCCTATCATGGCGTCATTTTCGAGATCCCGAAGACACAACATTGCGATTAAGTCCCCTGTTTGTCAATGAAGGTATGCTGGTATCCTAGACGATCTTATATGGTTGGACTAATGATTCGAAACTAGATTTCTACTTAGTGTTGTATTCTCGACTTAATCACTTTGTTCTTGTGTTTCAATGTCCAAATGCGGTCGAAGGGGGGTTAGACAATCGAATATCTATCCCAGATCCTTTCATGTTAGACATACCATCAATCTCCGATCGTGCAGCAGGATCCCAGACATCTCCAAATGGCGCGCAGTTTTCAACGCTTGTTTTCAAGGAGGTCGCACATCTACCATCATCGCTAAGCAAAAAGTACTACGATCGCAGTGCTACTGGGCTTATAAAACTCTTTGCATTGGATTCCCATCTTTCTGTTCGTGAATCGGTGTATGTTGGACCTGGAGCCAAAGGTGGCGAGCAAGAACAACTGCCTGGCCGAGATATTTTACGACTGAAGAAACGGTATCCAGGAGTACAAAGGAAACAAGCCACTCAGGATGATTTTATCGTCGATGACTGGGATGAATCGGTATTGGGGATGGGTACACCAACTGCCCCAGATCCGGGGAGTTCGATCGTAACGCCTCTTGCGATTCCTGAGTGGACCATTGATTGCACATCAATTTATGCAGTTGCCACGGGAAAGTTGATGGCAGTCTTAAGTGGCATGATACCTGGTCATCTTCCAGAGAAGGACTTCAAGGTGTCCATTAAGGAATTGGAAAATAAAATTTCTAAGAATGACTTGCGGGATGAACCCACAAATCAAACAATGTAGGTCAATCCACTCTCAATCCAGACACACAATACTGACCAGTTTTAGGCTCGAATTTCTTGGTGTCAGTCCTTTATTGGAAGATATCGACCAGAGCGCGCGAGATTTCGAGCGCTTTGTTTCTGTCCTCACAGGTCAAAACTCAGCGTCTCAAGAGCAACTTCAATTCATTATTCTCCCGCGGAAGATTTCTCCAGGTTCAACGGAGCATATGGGGCTAGATTTGGTAAATATATACGACAGTCTGGTGAACGACTGGCTATCAAATCTACCCCACGATATAGCTAGCCGAACACGCATTATGAAAGAGAAGGTTATTAGAAAGGTTACAGCAGATTTAATCCTGTCACGGATCAGCATAATCCCAAGAGTGATGGGTAGGGCAAAAGAATCTGGCAAAGATCCCGGGCATGGAAATGACGCGAAGTCGGCAATGCCAGCCGGCAATGCTTCTGGAACGATCACCCAAAGAAGTTTATCGTTACCCTTGGCAACTGAGAGTGGCCCTGGGTCCAACATAATCAGTAGCTTCTCTCATATTCGAACTGATTCCGCCCCTGGAGGGGTTGGATCATCCAAATCGGAATCATCCGAAGACAGCCCAGGAATCCCTTATCCTAGCCTGTCTGCATTGGCAGCATTCAATTACGAGCAACCGATGTCTCGACATGTGACAAACATGCTTTCTCACTGGCCACCAGGGGCCAACCCTGATGCTTATAACTGGCAGCGAACGGTACATGAATTTGAGAATGAGCACACACAACGAGTGGCCAACTCCACGACACCAAGGCGCAGGTTGCGCAAAAAAGCTTCCCAAAGCACTGTGCTGGATTCATCCGCGACAGTTCCACCTGTCTCCACTGTTCCTGTCGTGCGGGACTGGGGTAGTCAGCCAGATAACGAGCCACCTCGATTAAGGTTACAGAGCAGTCAGGCTAGAGATGAGGATCTCCCCATGACCCAGATAGAGCGAGGAATATTTGGTGGCCGAGAAGCAGGGAGGAAACCTGCTATGAAGGCAAGAAAAAAGAAGCGGGCAGCTGGGTTTTAAGGCCACAAATCAGATAGACTAAAGTCATTAAAGGAATGTCAACATCTAAGAAGTTCTCTGCTAAACCCGAAGCAAGAAATAGATAGACATGAAGAATATAAGTCGTAGAATAATTTGCAGCACTTCCATAGAACCTTCCTGGTGTCATCATTCTTCTTCGTCTTACATCAGACGGCGGACTGAGCGATTATTGCGTTTTTTTTAACCCGAGACGAACCAGTGCCCCTCTTTATGTGCCTGCTATACCCCTTTCTTCCAAAGAGGGGACAATAGAGAGTGATTATAAACCAAAATCTTCCTCTGTCCTTTTGATCATTTTCAAATAGTACTTTCCTATTCCTTTCTTCTGATTACTGTTATCCTCTTTTTGCAAGGAATCAACATTCCACACCGCTCTATCGACTTACACCCCGAATCCTCCGCGTTTGACAAATCGATCACATCTGATCAACACTGCCAAACTCGACCATCATGTCTGAACAGCACGAATACAAATTTAACGTGTCCATGAGCTGTGGTGGCTGCTCGGGTGCCGTGGACCGAGTGTTGAAGAAGCTTGACGGTACCCTCTTTCTGCCCTCTCCCCATGAAATTCAGACATTGATATCCAGTAACCTAACGTATTTTCTGTGATCTAGGCATCAAATCGTACGATGTGAACCTCCAGTCACAGACTGCCGTCGTTGTCGCCGAACCGTCGCTTTCGTACGACACTGTTTTGGCAACGATCAAGAAGACAGGCAAGACTGTCAACACCGGGGAGGCTGATGGGCAGTCCATGAGTGTTTGATGATTAAGATTCTTGTACTTGGAGATTTCAGTTTATCATTTTATATTATTTTTTATTTTTTTAATAGGTCTTGCCTGGCACGCCGTTGACATCTCTACCTAGCTACCAAGGGCAATAGAGGTTAAAAGGAATAACATAATGCCTTTTGATAGTATATCATATCAGATGGGCTATGTTTGTCTGATTTTTGGTCAACAGTTAGATCTGGCTGCTTTCTAGCCTGTCAAGCGTTGCTGGTGCTTATAAAACTCAGCTATTCCAGCCCCAGAAAAGTATGGCGCAAGATACAACCTTACACGCACGAGGAGAATTTTTGTACATCTTATAAACAAATCAATACGGCGATTTAAATGACATGCAATTGGGTATCATCCACATCACGATCATCGAGTGCGTGTATCCATATTTACAATAGAAAGAAATGAGAACTTGACAATGCAGATGGCTGTACCTGCAACCCGAATTTTCTCAATCCACAATCACAATAGCTCTACCTTCCGGGATGTGCGGCGCAGACCGCTCGACTCTTCTCACGTAGACGGGTTGATGTTGCTCCATTTCTGGGCCCGGGTGTTGGCGCTCGTAGATTTGCCTGTGTATGAGATTAGCACTCACCTCGGGAATCCGTCTTTTTTTTCTCTTTCCTTTTTTTTCTTTTTTTTTTTTAAAAAAAAAAAGGAAGTTGGAACAAAGACACGGGAGAAAGCTAGGTCGCGATTATGGTCATACCGTGCAGAGTCTAGCGGACCTTCATACAGTCGTTCATCATGACGGGCTGCAGATGAATAATCAAATATCTTGCTACCACGGTGAGTTGCCTCCGGATATTCCAAGCCAGATTGCACCACTCGAGAATCCAAACGGGATCGGTTGGGATGAACTTTTGACACCATACTACTGGGCAGTTCTCTGTTATGATCATTATAAACCCGCAGGTTAGGTGGTTGAGGGACAGTTTCCGCAACACGACTCGTCCGAAGACGTGGGCGTTGCATCGTATACTCCAGTGGACCAGGCTCATGCAAATCAACAGGACGCACGAAATCATCAGCATATATTTGCCTTCTCTGGGGGGCTTCACGTGGGACAAGAAGACAGTCACTAGTATTGTTCCGCAATGCAGTGATGTGTGGCTCTGGAGCCTCCACTGGTCTCAGACCGTCAATGTTAAAATTACGGTCTTCATTATAGACACGATGTGGCCTCGGATCAGCAGAATACACAGGAGCAGTTCGACCAGTGCCGTCGCCTGTAGGAACAGCATAACTTGTGTTAGAAAATGTATGTGACTGCTTCTGTTGTGGGGACCTGGGGCGAGTGTAAAGCCCAGTTTCATAACGTGGGTCATCAAAGTGCCTTGGACCCACAAGAATCTCTGGATTGACATGGGAACTTGAGGGAAAGAAAAAGGAATCCTGGACTCTGTCTGGGTGACGGCCAATAAAGCGAGGTAGGTCAACCGGTGCCAGATGTTCCCTACGGATATGGGGGTCATTTTGAGCAGTCAGCTGGCCTGATGAAGCGTATTCAAATGGGATGTGGCGCTCTCCTGTGTAAGCATCCTTATGGGTAATGGGAGTAACGGGTTTTATAGCCCCTGGAGCAGTATTAAAACGAGACTCATAATGCACAGGATCGTAATACGCCATTCGCCTTCTCTTAGGAGCTTGATTCCTGGTGTTATCCTCAACTCCGTTGGGGGGAATATCCTGAAGCAGATGGTGTGGTGTTACTGAACGAATTGTAAAGTCTCCAGACATCTTCTTGGCAAGGTGGTCTAATCGACCACTGTCCGGACGTCTAATTTCCAATGGCGAAGAAGGGATCTCAATAGACGGCAGCGCACGGTCCTGAAAGTCCAAGCTGGCTATGTTATGAAGGGAAACAGAGGCCCTGGAATGGTGTCTAAACTGGCCCTCGTCCTTTTCACGTAGTGCTCTAGGACCACTAACAAAAACAGGGGCATTTGGTGAATCAGCTTGTTGTGACGGGATGTTCTCCTTGGGAATTGGTGCTCTTTCCAATGGAATAACTTCAGGCAATGGGGCAAGTTGGAAATTTCTCTGTCGAGAAGATTCAGTAAAAGGTGGTAACTCATATAACTTATTGAAAATTAGCACACCATTGGTTTCTCACGCGACTTTTGCAAGATGCATTCAATCGGAAGAATAAATGAGTCTTGGGTACTTACACGATTCTTCCCTACTGGTTTTGGAATTGGTTTGTTTGGTCCACTTTCAACATGTCTTTGATGGGAAATAGCAGGTGGTGCAGCGGAGACGTCGCGAGGGGCCAGAATTCGGCGCCCAGCAAGTTCTCTTTCAGCTCTGGTACTCTCTTGAGCGGGTTGTCGTACGGAGTAAATGGGTCGCCAAAGGTCAGATGAGCTGTCACGAAGCCTATTATGGTCAGCATCATTCGCCGCGTTCCTATATCGATTGATAGCACGGTCCCAGGCTTGGTATCTGCTAAAGCCTCGACGGTCAATTTTATTCTTCTTGGGAGGCTCCGGAATGATCCGAAAACCTAGCGGTGCCTCATCCTCTGAAAGATCCCGTAGGGACTCGCGAACAGAGGAATTGGCAAAATTGAGTGGCCGTGTTTGGAGCTCCTCAGCCCGTGCATTACTGGCGACAATCTCGACACTGAGGTCTCGGTCGTCAGTTTGGGGAATGTCCCCTTCATCGGTATCGGTGTCTTCATCGTCTGATATAACAATGACCTCTCGGAAAACATCCTCAAGGACTGTTTTCCCGTTTTCATCATCTCCTCTCCATTCGACCAGTTTCGCCAAAGTAGGTTCTTCAACAGTACTTCTGGCTTCATGGAAAGATGTTGCTTTCAGAAGGCGATCGTAGTCGGTATAAATGTGCCGAATGTGGGCTACCACTGCCAACTGTGCTCGACGGGCCAGGGGCAACTCAACCGCCGTTCCAACCTTCCGCTGGCCCTGATTGAATTCAGTATTTGAATGTCCCTTCTGCTTTGCTTTTCTTTGAATGTACCTTTTGAAACGCCGTCTTGATTATTTGATTCAGATCATTATCTGGGATATTCGGGAAAAGATCCTTCAAGACGTCTCTTGCTTCCGTATTGATGGTTATTTGAGAAACTTCCGAGTTAGTACTGTTACTATTTCCAGTAGTACTAGTTCCGTGAAAAGGCATGGTTTTCCCTGTTGCCGTGAGATACAAACCAATGTCCATACACACAGTAGAAACAACAGCACTCGGGAAGTGATATCCAATTCGATGCACATGTTGGGAAAGATTATGCGTGTGCATGTGGGGAGTTGTCTGAATATGAGATGATAAGCAAAGACAACAAACAGATAGCAGTCAAGGAGAACTAAAAAGGAACAGTTGCTGGCCTACCGTGACAGCAAAGACCTTCAATCCTTCTTTTCGGCATAATTCCTTACAAGCAGTCGTAAGCTGAGGATTGCCTGCGGGAATGAAGGTATAGCCAGCTGGTGCATTTGCTTCGAACGAAATCTGTTTCTATTGTCAAGATTGCCCACACAAGACATACAACAGTGACATACGACACTCCGGAGCTTCTTTTTCTCTTGGGTAACAGATTCCATGACCACCTTGTGCTTTCGTGATCTTCTTTGAACGGCCCTGCTTGGAGCACGCCTGGCCAAAGCTGACGCAGGCCTCCTACCAAATACTCGGGCCATCTTTTTTTGACGTCGACTCTTCTCAGGATACTACAGGAGATAACTCTTCAGTCTGAAAGCATTTTGGTTTCCCTTTTCGACTCAACAGTTCAGGCAATGGAGCCAACCAAAAAAAAAAAAAGAAAGAAAGAAAGAAAGAAAGAAAGAACTGATCAGGAAAGTAAGATAAGAAATCAGCAGGCTGTAGTTTTGTGTCTGATCAGTTAGTAGGAAATCATTTCTACACAGACACGTGCACGTGAAGCGCGAGTCTCAGCTTCTGAAGAAATCCCGATGAATGATGATGAAAATGAACGGGGGGCGGAAGGCCTTCTTCTGAACTCTGCATGGGTTCATGCAGAAACTGAAAGGACAAAGCACCGGGAAAACCTCGCAATAATATACAAGGTGTTGTTTGATGGGGTTGAAGAGAGTGGGCTGGAAGTGGGAGGGCAGGAGAGCTTAACAAGTTGCCGATGGTTTGCGGCCTAACGCGCGGATGATCCCCCCTTTGGGCTAGCGCCATCAGACACCATCAGCTGAAGCTTTGATCATTGAACCAACCCTCCTTCAATAATGATAATATAATAATAATAATAACATTTTTAAACCAAAGACCGACTCGGCTGTCAAGAGATTCTCTCTCTTTTGGACTCTTGCCAAAGGATGTCTTCGATGCCATCTCGTTTATGAACATATACCCAGCAGTCTCCATCATCTGAGAGCCTTGCCAGCATGACTGCAAAAGCTCTGGACCAGCGAGCTGTTATCCACGCATATCGTCACCTCTATCGACAGGGCCTGAAGGTGATTAATTATTCCACACCCTCACGATATGTGCTTCTACGAATCCTGCGAACCTCGTTTAGTTCCTCTACGCCCAATGATTTTGACCCGCAAAGAATAGCCAATACCTTACATTTCCTCCAACGTGCATCCGACGTCGCAGGCTTCGAACACAAGATTGTGAAGAATTTGATGATGGTCAGATACTGGGAACTGCCCCAAGTGAGGAAAGATGCTCGAATGTAAGCTTTTGTTGATCTAATGTGGAACCAACAAAGAATATCGCTCTAATATAACTCAAGTCTGAAAGCACTAGGGATTGACAGAACCGACGCCTCTTTACGGAAAGACGCTAACGTGCAATTCAATTTGACTTTGATGCTCTTGAATGAAAGTCTTGGTACTTGTCTAAGGTAATTGACAATAACTATTTTCGGTTCCTTGCGATCGTGGCCAATGGCCAAGTCGATGCCGGTGTTATCTTTGATATTACCATCCTACAACAGGTCTGTAGAAATTACTGTTGCAGAGCCTGCACGGATATCATAGTGTAGCAAGGCTCCAATCACTCTTCCGTGTTGAGTGGACCTAGGTCTGCGTCATCGGCACTTAAAGCTGCAGCATTAATGTCTTAGGTACCTAAATACTCCATATGTACTAGGTATTGAAGAGAATGAAAGGCATGCGGTGATGAAGGTGCATATCGGGCTGCCATATCTTTCGAATAACCTGGTTTATGTCTAGATTGTCAGGATCATAGGCGCCTGCATGAACAGTCAATGTCACACATGAGTAGATTACAGGGTGGGTTGTAACTTGTTCAGGTCAACAATAATACCTAGGTAGTGATACGCAGATGGTTCAGGTAACCCAATACAGAGCTTGACCTTTTAGATCTACTCCGTATGTCAGACGAGATTATAAATTTGGGCACGGCCATTCAGTATTTGCTAGCCTGATGGCTTGCAGAAAAACAGTTACACATACTCATATCTGCGACAAATTACTGAATGACTGACGTAGGTCGCAGCAATAGTTGTATTTAAGTAGGCGAATCAGCGTCCGGGACCAGGGCTTGTCACATGTCTTCTGTTCCTGATCCGGCACATTTGTTCTCAAAAAGCAGACCTTTTCAGCTCCAGGTCCTACACATTTCTAAATAGTAATCTGTCGTATTTTATGTTCTCTTCCCCATTAAATGTGGTTTTTGGCCCTCAATGAGTGGGCTCATTTCGTCTTTGTTCGAACCTGTCGTTCGACAAGCCCGCCGCTTCTCGCAGCAGAGTGACCGGCCACCCCAGCCGCCTTCCGATGATGACCAAGCGAGCTTCCTCCCGGGGGCGCTGGGCAAGTCCACTTCGCCAACATACAACTATGATGGCAAAGAAGGTGGTATTATGTCGGTCCACGAAGATCCTGAGCCCAGGCTAGATAGTGGATTTACGAGGTTTGGAAATAGCCCTTCCATACTGCCCATTTCCTCTCTGCTCGACCCGAGCAGCCGTCGCCATGAAACCGACGACTCTCTAAGACCAACACGGAATGGGCATGGGACGGAAGATGCCCCGACAGAGGTCTCGATCAGTCATTCTGGGTCTCCGCGTGGTTTTGGTCAAAATAGCGGTCCTTTGACGCCCGGGCTTGCTGGCAATACACAGCAAAGCGACGCCGCCACATCCACACAGAATGTCGTACGAGAAATAAGTCCAGGGGTGCCAAGAAGCGAGGCAGGGAACTCTTTCGATGACTTAGATGGACAATTTCAGCTCCCGGCAGATGATGGAATGGGTGTCTTGAGAAGAAAGATACACGCTATCAGAGATCTAGGGTCTAGTAGTGCAGACAAAGCACGCATGATCCATGATTTAATGACGGAGAGATACAATGCTTCCCGAGGAGATTACAGTAATGAGGCCTTATCTCCATCAAGTCCTCGAAGCCCAGAACAACCCGAAACCCCACCGTTCCGTTGGAGTAATCAGTCCTTCGACCAACTGCTCATGACTCCGGCCTCCATAGCATCGATATATCAACCAAATAACCCATTCAACCTAAATTTCGAGGACTTGAAGCCAACATTTGCACCAAAGGCCTTGGAACCAGACTCTCCCGTGGGCGATGAGGAGGAAAAGGACATTGAAGAATTTGAAGATGACTGTCTTGGCTGCCAACATTACAAGCGGAACGTCAAATTGCAGTGCTACACATGCAAAAGATGGTACACCTGCCGGTTTTGCCATGATGAAGTGGAGGATCATCATCTCAATCGACGAAAAACAGAGAACATGTTATGTATGCTGTGTGGGCATGCCCAAGCTGCCGCGCAGTGCTGTCAAGAATGCGGAAAGCAGGCTGCGCAGTATTACTGTAATGTCTGCAAACTTTGGGACAATGATAGTGAAAAAAGCATTTATCATTGCAATGATTGTGGGATTTGCCGTATCGGCCAAGGCCTGGGCAAAGACTTTTTTCACTGCAAGGTAAAGTATTTTGAAGATTCCCAGCACATATACGGATGTTGATAAATTCCTAGACATGCAGCGTATGCTTGCCCATCTCGATCGAAAATACTCATCGGTGCATTGAACGTTCCACTCAATGCGACTGCCCCATCTGTGGAGATTATATGTTTACTTCGCCAGAAACTGTAGTTGTCATGCGATGCGGACATAGCATCCATCACAAATGTCTTTCTGAATACTCAAAAAGCTCATCTCGTTGCCCAATATGCAGCAAGACCATCACTAATATGGAATCTACGTTTCGGAATTTGGACCGCGCCATACAAAACCAGCCCATGCCCGCTGAGTTCAAGGACACGAAGGCTTTGGTTTATTGCAATGATTGCAGTGCGAAATCGGTCGTGAAATATCATTGGCTGGGCCTAAGATGTGACTTGTAAGTTTGGAATTACTTTTGTGGGAGGGAGAAAAGACTGATAGACCCAGGTGTGAGTCGTACAACACAGCCCAAATCCGGCTTCTGCATGGTGATGTCCTGGAGACTTTAGAGCAAAACGACGACACCAGCGGCATCCTCTCTTCCCGATACAGGTCATCATCCTATAGCGCCGATGAAGAATTGTCACCTACACTTGCATCGTTACGGATAAATACAAGCTCAGTACCAGGACCTAGCTTAATGTCGCAACTTAGTGCGGCCTCATCGGCTGGGCAGAATGGGTCATCATACAATCTTGCTCGGGTTCGTGCTGTATCTCCAGTGATCAGTAACTATTTTGGCTTGCCCACAGACCGTGATTCAGAAAAACCAAAATCAAGCTCATTCTTTGGGGGACAAGCACAAAAGGATGCGGGAGATGATACAGGCGGAGAGCTTCGTCTCTGGGGTACAAAACTCAGGTATAGATATGGGTTTCTCGACCGAGAAACAGATCCGGTCGACGAGGCATCAGAAGCCGATGGCGAAGAGGACGAAAGCGAGACATCAGAAGATAGTGATCTAGAAGAAGATGAAGATGTCGAAGATGATGACGATGACGAGAGCATTGATATTTTCGGCCATCGATGAGAGCAATGTGTATTGCCCAATCCCAAGTTCTTGGAAGTTGCTTCATCTCTTCTCATCCTCAAAAGAACCTATCATCGGAGGTCGATATGGGGTCTCTGTCTCCAGTGAATGAGCTATCCTTATTTACAGATGTGCCATTTTTTATCCACTCTTCGGCATCTAGCGACATTCCCGATGATCAACAATACCGGGATTTCCTCTGCATATGCCATTGTGAAATGACCCTCATTTTCACGACCAAAACATTTACGGGCCTCTGATGGTGGCCTATCACGAATCTGGCTGAGCCCAATGACCATTATGATACCAATGTATAAGCAGAAATTGGCAATGCCAACTTGAAATATATTTATATAGAATATAGGCATGGTTTACAGGGCGTTCGAATTCGGGCAAAGGAAACCTTTCAGGTTCTATTGGAACGGTACAATGGAGCAAATATTAAGACTGTATTGTTGTTTGGTATGCATGTACATACGGCGATGATGGCTGTTCCTTGAAAAGAGATTGCACTACGGACATTGGCGTGGCATTATCATACTTTGTTTGCATTTATACGGTGTACAGTGGAATCTTTATATGCATCAGGCATCATCTCAGTATGCATAAACTGATTGAAAGGAAAGTTCATTATGTAATACCTGTGGATATCGTTTCTTTGGAAAAGGATGCAAACTACCTACTAGTTATGAAGGGGCAGTTGGTCTCCCTTGGAAGGAAGCCATGCCATATTTCAGTCTTACTGGCTCACATTGTGCTCACCGGATGCCTCACTGTTTCTGTACCTACTCGATCCGAGTCTATGCGAATACAGAATTCTGACTCTGTGTAGAAGGCAAGCAAAACACGATCAGATGACTCGCCTTGGGGGAAAAGCATGGCCATCATTGCCCAAGACGTTACTCAGAGGAACGCCGGATGGGACACTATGTACAGTCAACACAAGGAAGCCCTGAATCTGAAGATATTACCTCATCTGCGAGCCAGCAGAGGTGGACAATGGCGGATATGAATGCGCCTATGCATCAATTGTTCAATGATGACTGGTTAAAGAATAAAGGACATTATTAAATATGTGGATGGAAGGGAAAAGCACCGAGGACATCGACGATGGCGGCATTGATCGGGGGCGTCGATGGAATCGCCCATTGTTGTTATCATTATGGAACACACTCACTGTTGTATAACCCCATAGTCCATACCTAGTGAGGTGGAATCATGGATGCAGACGGAAATCAAAATAGTAAAATGATAATAATATAGCCAAACAAGCACAAAGACAAACGACAAAATCGATCTGCGCTTAAGTAAGCGACTCTGACGTTTTCGACGCCCTTCTATTATTATCAGTCAGATCGCCATCATCACCGTCATCGACGAGGTGATGGTCACATGGATAATGTTTGGCTACCGTCGTCCTATTCATTCTTCATTGGCACCATTTCCCTTCACTTTGATTATCGATCCCTCCTTCTTTGAAACGCTGTTTTTCTCGTCCATTGTGTTTCTTCCCTCCCTTTCTCCTTTGTCTTTATCTTCCCCTGACTATCCCTCCTCTCCCTCCCACTCCCCTCTGAAACGAGCACGGATCTCCCCGCAAACTTAGCCTTGATTGCTCATCGTCATGTTTTGGTCCTTGATTTAGGACATTCCTTCTAGTATAATCTTGGAGTTACGTGGTTGTGAGAGGTTGACCCAGCAAGACCGATCACTGTTGCCTTTGGGACTCATTTTCTCTCCTCTATTTCTATCAGTCCCACCTCCGCCAACCCTCCTTACACGACAACAATTTTCGATACACGTCTTCAGTCCTCAGATCATGATCCGTCGCAACTCCGATATAGAGATCCAGCTCCCCGATGCTGGCCCGGCTGTCGCCTCCGATCTTGTAGATGAAGCGGACGTGGAAATGCTTTCCGAGGAACCAGCGCCGCCGCTGAGCTTACCAGCCCATATCGCCGCCCGTTTCTACCGTAAATCCAGCGCTGCAAGACGCTCCTCTGTGGCATCATCACGACGAAGCTCAGTATCTTCCCTGCATTCACAGCATTCGAACGCGTCAGTCCATGGCGCATCACCCGCAGACCACATCGCGCAACACCTCCGCCGGACCTCCATACTCGAAAGTCGCAAAGCCAGGCTCGCAGACCGTGCTTTGCATGCGGAGAAAGTGAGGCTACGTGCCACCTTGGCAAAAGCAGCTACCAGGAACCTGCACAGGGAGGAAAGAGCGCTGGCTGCCCAACAAGCTCGCGAACGACTTTTGGCTGAGATCACGGCCAAGTGCGAGGAAGAAGTCCGACGGGCAAAGAAAAAGGCCGAAGACAACAGGGAGAAAAAGGCTGCAGAACACGCCCGGCTCCGGTTGGAGATGGCGGAGAAGTTTGCTGAGGCGGAGAAACGTCGCACGCTTTATCAACAGACTCATCGGCGCCATCGTACGAGCAGCTTGCCCACCGCCGAAGAAAAGAAGATGGCTGGTGAGGTCACCAGATCGCTTACTCAAGATGCTGCGGCGAAGAAGATCCAGCGGATATGGAAGGCCTACTACGCGAAGATGGTCATGCAGCAATTCTTGTCTCTAAATGTCAGTGTCGAACGCATTCGCAGCCTATCTTTCGAGGATGTTGGAGAGTTACTCTCAAATGAGGGGGTGCTGAGCACCATGACTCGAGTTCTTCGGCTCTGTGGTCTTCAGGACATGGAAAGTAGCACAATGGGGGCGAGGGGTGCAGTGCGCACATTCCTTAGCAGCTACCTTATCGTAACGCATCCGGCCGAGGTTCTAAGCAATATCGGTGAGCAGGAACAGGACCTAATCGCCAAGGCGCGGGAGCTTCTCGTCGCTTTTGAACAGATTGCGCCTTTACTCTCGTCCGGCTGTTGCTCACCATCTGCAATTTCCACAGATCTTCAAACATTGTGTGAGGCATACAATGTGTTTTTCTCTGCATTCCATGCGTGGAAATCCCATGATTCAAGCGTTCTGATCGAGATCATGCTTGCTCAATTCATTGAACTAGAATTAATATGGCAGACAGTCAAAAATGATCGGGCCGGTGGTGCGGCGGATGATTACCAACAGGGCATCAGGCAGAATCAGATCCTACTTCTGGCCAGACTGAAGCGACTTGCTGGCTCCGACAAGGCCATGCAGCTGGTACGAGATGCTTTGAAGAAGGCCAAGCGGGCCAAAAAGCGCGCTGCTCCCAAGCAGGCCATCCCGCGATCAGCCGAAGTAGCCTCGTCCACTGAAGTCACTGCGGAGAGTGTCACTTCGCCCATTAGTGAGACATTCAACAATATTGATAGTACGGTCCTGCAGGATCTGGATCGGCAACGAGTCTCCCCGCATGAGCGATTCACTCAAGTTCTCACAGCGCTCCCGGAGAATCGCACTTTGGTCCATGAACTCCTCATAAACAAGGAATTCAAGATCGATGAGACACAGTATACAGAGCCTCGCATGCAGATCATGAAACATATGTGTGACATGATGAGGAAAGATGTGGAGGCTGGGCTGGGCACGAATTGGACCATTGCCATGGCCACGGTGATTCAAGATCGACTACTACGGTCGCTCCGACCGGGTAACTCACTCCATGTGCTTATTAGTGAGGTTCTCGATCCAAAGTTAGTTGAGAATCAATGCAAGGCAGGCACCTTTTCCTATGATGCTTTTTTTGAATTTATGAACACCATTCTGCCTAAGCTGTGTGCTCCATATCGCGACCCTGAAGTTCAACGATTTGCTGATGACACGTCCGGGGATGCGATCGATCGACTAGCCAGATTGATGGCAATAATTGATCTGCTCTCACTGGATCACACGAACTTCATGATTCAAATCGCTGCACCTCAGCTTATTCAAGAGGCGCCGGGATACGAGCAAAGAACTTTTGAAAGGGGCCTCCAGGACGGATTCATTGGCTTGGGAAAGAGCCGGCGCTTCTGGCGCACCCACCGGAAGATGATTGTGGATGAGATGAGGAAGCGTGATCCAGAAAATGTCCACGGGGAACCAAATCCCGCAGCCCCGAAGATATATGCCCAGGGCCTCGTTGATCTCGTCTTCACTAATGCAGCCGTGTCTGATGATCTGATCCCCGAGACCTTGGATCTCGACCGCCAGCGACTGGGTAGATTACACGCTCAGGCTTTTAGAATCGTAGCCACGGCCTCTATCCTTTTGACAGCAAAAAACCTACTCAAGCGTGATGTGCGGTCACAATGGAAGGCCGAAGCTGACCGGATTCTATCTTTGGACTTCAACGAAATCACGCCGGAGCGAGTTCGGTCAATTCTAGAATCGACCCATCCGATGCCTTCCAGTGCAAGTTCACAGCTGGCAGCGACCATTCGAAGGGTTCTGGCTCCCGTTGCCACTGCTTGTGCCACAGCGTTACCCTCTGTGACATCGCCAACATCGGTTGAGGTACAACCCGACTTGTCGAAGCAGGAGTCGTTGTCTGTTACAGAGCCGGCGATTGCATCGGACTCTAATGGGGGCGGGCTAGCTACGTCCGCAACCAGCTTCACGGACCCCGTTGCCCGGCTCATCCTGTCTCGCCTCCGCACTCACGTCTTCTATCGTCTCAGTGCATCGAACGCCAGTGAACGGGTGCGGGCCACGACGACTGCCAGCCAGAGTTTAGCGGGCGCAGGGATGCCGGAGTTTGTTAACGACGTTGGAAAACTGGTGGAAGAATTGGAGAAGGTGCGAGAGGTGGATTGGCTTTGCCATGGCATGGTGTATGAACAGCTATTGGGGGAAGGCATTTCTCCAGGATCGGTACAGGGATAGACCAAGGCGTTCAGTTGGTTTTGTGTTACGCATTTCTGGCATGACTTTCTAATTATACGATCAGGGCTCAGTGCAAGCGCAATGTGATGGATCCATGCAATAAGGGGAAATTCGGTTTATATTGTATTTTTTGCATGCGGTGGTTTGGATACCATCAAGTCGTCGCGATGTTTTGATATAGTTTAAAACACAATAATTGGAAGATATGTTCCAGCATCCAACCCTTGGTTATGTGCTTATTGTTTATTTTTTTTTTTTTTTGTACTAATGACATCCATTTCATGGTTTGCGATAAGAAAAAAAACCCCTCTTCCCCACCAAGCCAGAGGCAAATCATCACTTTCCCAATCGGTAGTACTAATCAGCATCTGCTATCGATGAACCCCACTTGCCATCTTTTCCAACCTCACCTTCGAACGATCCCAACCGTGCCGTCGAAAAAAAAGATAACAAACTGAACAAAAGCGACATTTACAATGGCAGAAAATACTGCCAATTTATCATTGCTATCGGATCTTACTCCTCCCTCCCTCGAACGAACCTGGCTCACCGCACCACATCCCACCCTCCCCATTGTTGCGACATGTAGCTCCGACAAGACCGTGCGGGTCTATTCGCTGACCAACTTCAAACTCTTGTCGACCATATCAGGTGGCCATAAACGCAGCGTGCGGACATGCGCCTGGAAACCGCATATCCAGGGCGAGAGTGTTCTTGCCACGGGCAGTTTTGATGCGACCGTGGGTATCTGGAGACGATGGGATAGCTACGGACGGGAAGAAGGCGGAGCTGGAGAATGGGGACTCAGCGCTGCTGCAGACAATGGAGCATTGTCCCGGGAGAATAGGGAAGATAACGAGGAAGAGGAAGAGGAGGAGGAATGGCGGTTTGCCGTGCTCCTAGACGGACACGACAGTGAAGTCAAGTCGGTTTCGTGGTCTCCTTCGGGCATGTTGCTGGCGACATGCTCTCGGGACAAGTCAATTTGGATTTGGGAGGATTTGGACGATGGTGACAACAATTTCGAAACGGTGGCAGTTATGCAGGAGCACGAGGGCGATGTGAAATGCGTCTCCTGGCATCCGGTCGAGGAGTGCCTCGCCAGTGCCAGCTACGATGACACCATCCGTTTATGGCGCGAGGATATCGATGATTGGGGCCAGGTTGCCTGCCTCAAGGGCCATGAGGGCAGCATCTGGTTCATCGATTGGGAAGGCGTTGAAAATGTTCCCTCCTCCGCCGGAGACAACGACATTACCTCATGGAAAGAGCTGCACGCCCTCTCAGGCCCACGTTTGGCATCCTGCTCCGATGATCGAACCGTACGTATCTGGCGACGACAGCCCAAGGAGCAGCAACAGTCCACATTCGGAACCACGCCAGGCATGCCCAGCATCATCCGGCCGACCGGAACGGATGAAATTTGGGAACAAGAAGCGGTTCTTCCCCAAACACACGTCCTTTCCATCTATGCCGTGGCTTGGAGTAAACGAACGGGTCTACTGGCCTCTGTGGGCGCCGATGGTCGAATCGTGATATATAAAGAGCGTTTCGTAGCGACTCCCGACGGATCGCACCAGGCGATGGACACATATCCTCAGTCTTCATCGTCGCCCAGCATTCGAACGGAGTGGGTTGTTATTGCTACTATGGATGGCGCGCATGGAATATACGAGATCAACCACATTTCGTGGGCGAAGCGCGCGGATCGAGGACGGGAAGAAGGTAAAGAGGAGGAGGTTCTGGTCACTACAGCCGATGATGGAGGTATTAAGGTTTGGACGTTTGAAAGGTAGACAGGCTGGGATTTTGAATAATGGTGTTGGCTTATAGAATGGACGGTATCCATTCAATGGAAAGGCTTGTTACACCAGTATCTTGGCAAAGGGGGAAACAAAAGGAATCACAGGGAATGAAAATCAGAGTTACATCCGAAACGATAGACTGTCCATATAGATCGAATCCCGACGCGAGTTTGGATCTTAACAGCCAGTAATGAATTGAAATATCCATCAAGCATGAAATGATTTGGCCATGCTAGGCCTTTCTGAAACGCAACTTCAAAAACTTCCATTAAAATATGTCCAACTTATTATTTGTCCATCATGCTCACTATATAGCCAAGTCTAACATTACTAAAGGAGGAATGAGCATAAAAAAGATAAATCATAAATGATCGCCACCAGTCTTTGGCGCCTGCCGTCTGTGCTGATGGTCCAGGTCATCATCACTATCATCCCCGACCGCGTAGTGCTCACGCTCCATGTCTGGCGAATGAAGGTTGTCGAGTTCGGACTCATCAAAATCTCCTGCTTCGACATCAGCAGCCTCTGAGCGCTTGTTATGGAACCGTTCCAAAACGGAGCTATTGTTGACACTCTTTGGGTAGACACCCTGGTATCCGCGATGACGCTGTCGGCTGCGCCAGATAAAGAAGCCCCAGACGGTGACACCGATTATGAGAACCACCAGTACGGCCTCGCCAGACTTTGCGTAGGCCTTCCATTCGGTTTCCTTCATCTTCTCCTTCTCCTGCTGTTCAGCCGCGGTGCTATTGGGGTGGCCACCCACGGAGGTCTGGGGCAGTTTCTCGCCATCAATACGCGAGTCTGCCGGGCTTCCGCCGATGCTGGCGATGTCAACCTTCAAGAAGCGGTCGACCATGTCCCGGCTTTGACGCGGAAGGTCATAAGGCACCATGTGACTTGCGTTGTAGAAAAGAACGTAGGTCAAATTTCGCGCGTATTGATAAATTCCAGCAGGTTCATCCTCAAAAGTCCAATCGTGCCGCGGTGCCCAGACACCTGGCGAGGTCTCAAAGCCAGTGCCTCCGTTCCATTTCATATTGTTAATTAATTGCTCGGTTCCGACATGATTGCAAATCAGGTCCTTGTCTCCGCTGAAGAGGAGGATAGGAAGCCCGGATTCAAGTAGTCCAGGGAGAATTTGAACGGCGGGTTTGGAGTTCCTTGCGGTGAAGCTACTGCTCACAGCCCCGACGCACTCTTCCCACCCGGACTTTTTGTCCGGGTTGATGTTCAAGGCCTTAATCACGTCGGCTCGTCGCAAGTAGGGCTTCATATTGGTTAGATCTGGTGGCCAGGCCATGCCGCAAGACGGAAAACTATCACGCAGACGAACATCATACATGTTATAACATTCGTTGTTTCCGTCCTGGGTGTCCCGCAGCATATCTGTAAGTATTTCTTCGCAATCGGCGATGTACATGTCATTCTTGAAGGTCTCTAACTTTGAAAGGCAAACCGACTGCTTGACTTCTAGACTCTTTGCGATGCGGCTGCCTTCCTTGATGAGGCCCTCCTCATAGGCAAAGGGCAAGTAGGTGGGGTACTGATCGACAGGGGATATCCAGCCGTTGCCGATCAGCAGGCCCCGGAGATTCCATTGGGCCTTAGTACCCTTGGGTGTATTCTTGTTTCGCTCTTGAATCGCTTTGGCGATGTATGGAATATGCTGACCGGCATATGATTCGCCCGAAATGTAGAGCTACTAGAATGTTAATAGATGATCATAAAATGCAATAAGAAGAGAAGACCTGAAGCATACATCATCATTTTCATACTCGGGGAAGATATCAAACCACTTCTCTAGGAATGTAACGAACTGTGCTGCCATTTCGTCCAACTCGTGCAGGTAACTGTCCCCGTTCACGTAGCTGAAACCAGTCCCAACAGGCTGGTCAACAAAGAGCAAGTTGGCAAATTCATCCCATGAGCCTTCATTGTATTCCAACGTGTGGTCATCCTTCAATCGATACGGGCCGACCTCCATCAGTGCACCGTCCATGGAGCTACATCCCGGGCCGCCGTTCAACCAGATCACCGTCCGCTGGCGGTTGGCAATGTGACGGTTTTGATAATGCCAGAAGAAAAGGTTACCGTTATTACCCGGGTCCACCTCGATGTGCCTTGAAAGAACCAGCCCATCAGTATATACTGTCGCGTGAAGATGTAAGATGCGACATCAGAGGGAAAAAAAAGAACCTACCCAGCATGCATCTTCAAGAGAGGCCCCTCAGGGGCCCCCGGTAATGAGTGTACATAATAGTCCGCAGCAGATTGGGCTGTGACCAGATCCGGACTCAATAAAAGAAGCAGTGATAAGGCCCATGATGATACGGAGAAGGCACCCTTTCTCCTTGAGCTCCCGCTAAATGGCATCGAAAACATTTCAGCAGGCCGGTCGATAGGAAGATGGAAATTGAATATTTTCTAAAAAAGTAAAGGGGAAAGAGAAAGGATGGTCCCTGGAAGGACTAGGTGTTGTCGTTCAGAAGATCATCGAACCTGTCGTTGATTATTGAATCCCTGCGCGTTCGGAGGTGAAATTGCTGTAATGTGGCGGGTTGGAGAGGGGCCACGAGCTCCAAGTCACAGAGAAGAGGGGGGATAGATAACAATAAGAAAGATGAACAAACTCCCGTTCTTCTAAAAACGATTCGAGAGGAAATATCCAGATGAGAAGAAGGCAAGAAGTTGAAGCGGCGACAGGGAGAATAACGGATGGCGTGGCCTTCCGGCTGCCAACCCTTGTAATATTACAGTGACAGGTACCATACACGTTAGACTACCTATTACGGGTCAATACATCGCTTCAAAAGAAGATTTCATCAGGGACCATACAATACAGAAACCAATACAGGTGGTCCATCATTACCCATTTCGGCCTTCTATAGAATCATGACCGAAGCCTCGTGTTTGGATATTATTTGACGATCTATTGATGATCATCAATACAAGGTCATTGTTAATTGCCCAGATCGAGTCTGTTGATAGGCTGTTGCCATTTTGATCTATCTGAAATTTGTTGGCTTCAAAAGACACCTTACAGAGTCATACAGCATTCTTACAAGTGCCCTGAATGGTCATCTTCTCTTGGAATGAGATTTCCAGTACGCTCAAATTGAATGCTTCCTGGTAGAGATTCGTGATCTCAGTCGAGAAAAAGCCGTGGTCCTTCTCACATCATAACTGACATATCCAAAAGGGCATCGAGGCATCCTCATTGCTTTTCCGTATACAAAATATAGTCGTTGACATTGTCCGTTCTCATCCGCTCATTGCATCAAGGAGAGATAACAGCCCATCAGCTATTCATCAGTATTGGCTTTTCAGATTCCTAGGTTGAAATGTTCAAGTGTCAGGCTGGTCCTTGAATGAATCCATTCCCATGCCACCACCCAAGTTAAAAAAGATCATCAACACCCTTATCAGCATCGTTCTTGATAAGATCAATCATGCCCTGATATGGGTCAGTTATGGAGAACTTTTATGACATAAATCCATGGGACAACGTACGCTGGGCATGATGGGCTGTCCATCCTTATCCTTCACATAGCGGAAGGGCATTTCGGTACGCTCATGCTTGTTGACCAGGATCTCTGGGTAATCAACGTACTGGATTTGCTCCAGAGGTACTGTCATACAGGTAAGTCCTATTCTTTGAGCTACAGACGTGAGAACCGAATTCACCTTTTTCCTGCGTCACAATCCGGGTTACTCGCACAGCGGTATCCGTTGTCATTTGCTTAGGGCCCAATCGTCTTCCGACATAACCCTTTTTCCTCAATTCCGAAGTGCGGTCTATTCATCATCATTAGCTCCAGATAATCTCCAGGAAGAAAACATTTTCCGCATAAACTTACCTCGCGGGGGATCATCACCTATGACCACGGGGATTTACTCTAGAGTTAGCCTTTAAAGTTCAACCAGCCAAATCAAATCGCAGAGCTCGTGAGGTGATTAGGTAGGTAGGTATCGCACCAAGGATGCCACCGAATAGGAAAACCTCAAACTCATTCCCGTCTGCGGGGTTGAGTTCGACCTGTGCTGCCGGATCAAGCAGACAGACTTTGGACTTCCGGTCCGCGAAAATCTCCTCCACGCTCCCGCGCTCAACTTCGAGACCCTTGGTAGCAGCCAGATCCTGGGGCATTTGCAGCGATTCGGGCACTGAGCTAAGCAGGAATCGAGCGCCCGAGGCATGCGATTCACGGGCAATACAGCCATATTCCAAGGCCGACCAGGGACCCAATTCGGGGTCCAGATGCTCGACCACAAAGGTCGCTGGTTGTCCTTTGTTTGGGTTACTCATGTTGAAACACGAATGAGGAGGGAAATATCCACTGAACAATGACAATTGATCCAAGAAGGCGAGGGGAAGGGGATTTGAGTTAATCCCGAAGAATTGATGACGAAAGAATTGCAGCACCAAGTGGCGAAAGTAGAAGGTGTTGAGTGTGGAAATTAAAAGGGGAAGGGAGAATTTTTCAATGTAATATAGAGAAGATATCTATAAATGCTGTGGCGATGGCCTTCAAAGCCTGTTTGCTTAGAAGGAGATGTGGTTTGGGGAGAGAATCGCAGGTTAAGAAAGTTCTTGGGAAGTGGAGAGAGAAAATGGATGATGGGCAGAAATGAAAAATGACCCCAAACCACCCCGTGTGGCTTTTGGGCTGGACACAACGGAACATTCGAACGAGATAAAAGAAAGATTAGAGAGATGAGAAGGGCTTAAATATTCTTCTTCTTCCTGTGATATTTTTGAAATTGTAAAAGTAGAAAATATTGTTCCATCACGTACAACAACAGGATTAATCGCGGGTTATATAGATCGAGCCAGACTGAGAATTCTATAATCCAACTGAAGAGAAGCATCAACATTAATCTATCTCAAGAATCCATCATAGTCAAATTATTCTGCATATGTTTTTTCTCTGATTTACCAGTGTTTTCCATATTGAGATGGCAATGGCATCATCATCACAACTGTATGCCCCTCCATTTGGCATTGTGTATTTTCTGTATCAGCAACAACCACATCATTAACTGTCTGCTTATTCTGCTTGTTTTTCTTTTGAATATATCTACCACTGCTAATATACGATCATTAAATTATGATAATATATTGTTAATGCAACATCTACAGCTGAAAACCAACTCCCCGCGCCTTAGGTAACTTTACTTATCGATACCAGAAATCCTTTAACGCCTCCATCTGGACTTCTTCATCCTCCTTCTTCCATCGAAACCCCTCCTTTTCTTATTCTTCCTCTTCTTCTGCTCTCCAAAACATTCTATCTGGTACAAACTCCTCTCGTATCCCTCCATCTGTGAGTGCGTGCACGTCCACTCTGATGATTTCCTATTTCCTATCATTACATCGTTTCGGGTCCACTTCTGCTCACTACTGACCAACTGCTGTGTTTCCAGAAAGACGACGTTTGACACCAAACCGTCTCCCTCTCCCTCCCTCCCTCTCTCCGACTACTTATATTTCCTTCTTCCTCTCATATCTGCTCCCACATTCTTCAACGCTCGTCAGTTTAATTTATCTCTCACTTTTATCCAGCTTGCTTGATTTCCCAACTTCTTTTACCCTCCGCATTTGGTAGGGATCTTCTGTCTATCTTCGACGCCCAACTCGCGGACATTCTTCTTACCTCTCCCCCACCTATCGCTGCCTCCATCGCCGCCCAAGTTCGTTTCTTGGGAGAGAAAGAAAAACCAATCGAACCCCTGGTCTTATTCTTTTTGTGTCTCAAACATTATCTCTCTCTCTCTCTCTCTCTCTTTTTCTACTGTTTTGGTTCACCATGAATCCTCATCAGCAGAACAAGGTCGATATCAGCGTGAGTGTTGGCTAGCTTCTAAACTACTTGTTCACAGAACTGACGTCGTTACCGGGTATCTAGTCCCTCAGTCCAGATGAGCAACGTCTGTTGCGCCTTTATGGCAAGATGCCAACTAAGAAGGATGTGCTCCAGAATAAATTGAAGGTGTGTGTTTATAAGTCGAATTATTCCTACAAGCCGTTCTTGTCATTGTTCGTGCCCTAACAGCTGGGTCCAATTTATTAGGAACGCAAATATTTCGATTCGGGTGATTACGCTCTCAGCAAAGCTGGCAAAGCTTCAGACGTTGGCGTCACCAACGTTGGATCTCGACATCCCGTCCCAGAGAATATCCCCCATCTGACAGCCACCTCTCCCGGCGCCAACAATCCAGCTGCGAACAACAATGGCGGTAGCACTAGCACCCAAGGGCAGCAGATTCCCGGAAGCATCAGTAGCCACCCCGGCTCAATCGGATTTCAGAGCAGAAGCCCCGCTAAGGAGGGTAGTTTCTTGCAGCGGGAAACAAGTGCAGAGGAATCGGAGGGTGCTGCCGATAACCAGGGTGCAGGGGAACCCAGCGTCAGTCCACCACCTGCTCGAGAGGGTGTTCCTATCCGGCAATAGTCAACCTCGCACAGACTAAACCCTCCTCCCCCCCCCTTTTTTTTTCCCCATTTTATTTCATACGGTGGTTTGTGGTATCAAAAGAGCCTGGCGCTATGGATTATTGTTGATTTCCCCCAATGTATTTACGGGAACCTTTCATGGGCAGTTTGCACTGCAGAGCAGAGCAAGTCAGAGTGGCGGAGACGAAAATGCAAGCGGGGAGTATGGAACAAGGTCAAATTGTTCTATCATTTCCCGCCTTGCGGGCGCTTGGGGTACATGCGCCCAGCTTCTCAGGATTGATATTCATCCACCCTAGGCGATTTGAGTCTCACCTAGCCGAATGCTGTCTTCGGGTTTCAACATGATTGTCTTGTTTTTTTCTTCGATGTTCATATGAGTTCAAATATGCGGTCATACCGTCATTTACTTTGCTTTTATTTTCTTTCTTATTTGGCCGTGGAATGCCCAGTGTTCATGCCCCGAGTATTGTGTTCTTGTTACTCACAGTCTCTGGACCATTCCCTTTTCTCCCTTTCTCATTCTCATTTTTACGCGTGATGCTTTGCAGTACGTTAAATTTTCTTCATAAAAACTGCTCATATCCATATTTGGTCTTTTATGGGAGGATTTGTGTATGTCATGCATAAATGATTTAGGCGTAATAAGAATGACATTCTACATCCAATCCAAATTTGTGGTATGATGAAACTCGACTATATATGAGTTCTGTTTCACATTGAATGCCCTTTTTTGATCCTAAATAGCTACTTTATACGATTCGTTAGTGTATGGATATTAGTATGCGATATTGTTTATGAGAAAATGGATATAACATAAACCGGGAAAGAAATTCCAGAGTAGCTGAGAGGCTTTGTATAAAGATCTATGTACAGTAAAAAATAAAAATAAAAATCGCTGGCAGCAAAGATATGCCATTAGCTAGAGGGTGATAAATGTGGGAGGAAGAAGAAGAAGCGAGCAACCAAAGGAAGAGATTCAATGAAAGATCGAGGGTATAATAGCCAGAGTGATTGTGTGAGAGGGAGAAATGAAAGTCCTCGGCTTCCAAGGTTTGAGATGGTGGATGGGAAATCGTAGGTGGAAGAATAATCGCCTTTAGCTTCCTAGCGAAAATGCTCTGGTAGAGCCCAGTGTCCTATAGGGCTAAGATGGGCGTTCGAGTGTGATTTGGTGTCGAATCACATACTTCCCCATCAAAGCCAGTTCATCTGGGTAAAATTTGTCGGTGTCTAAGCGGTGGAAGGGTCATAGGAATGGTCCAAATATGCCGTGATATTTTGAGCTTCAACGAAAGAAATCGACGAATCTGATCGATTCCTCTCATTTGTATGTTTTCCCTTCTTTAAAAGACACATTCCTTGCGTGTCTGTTCCACGATACGGATCGACCAGCACAACGGCGTACGCTTTGATTCCACAATGTCCATAGTGATAGTCGAATAGTTTTAAGGAATCCGTCTCATTCGAAAGAGGGATGGAAGCGTGGCTAATAGGAAGGAGACCGTCGCGATAGGTGTATTCTCCCAAGGCGAAAATGTCTAAAACAACTGAAGCAGCAAAACTCGGAGCCGTGCCCCCCATGTTCATGGCATCACTCAGTCAGTCTTCCAATGACCTGCCAGACCAGCATCGAGGTCATCATTTTCACCAAGCCACAACTCGACTGCGTACAGCCCCAGGGTACAGGCCAGGTTGACCCAGCGCCACAAGTTCCCCCCACCGTCCCCTTGGGTACTCCACCACTCTCCACTGCCACCCATAGCTTGAGACGTTGAAGCAAAATGCTGCATCAGGAGACTAGTGTAGACAGCAATTAAGATGGATGGAGAGAAATAGCTGAGAAAGCCTAAGAACTGGCCAGCTGCATCGGTATCATCCATAGAAGCTTCTTGCGAGAGAGCTCGGGAGCCAGATTCGCGAATTGCAGGGATAATCCGAGTAGAAGCATACAGAACGAGTAGACGGTAAGCTAGCGAAATGAGAACTGAGGGGGTCACAGCACCAAACACCGCAGTGATCACATTGAAGGCTGCATGAATGATCGACGGCAGCAGGGACAAGGCATGCATGAGGGTGGTGTAAGATGCCATAATAATGGGCGGTAGCGGCGGAAATTCCCCTGCTTGCGATGGCGATGCAATCTGTTCCACGGGGTGTGATGGCAGATAGTCGGTGAAAATCTGATAGATGCATAGCACCACATAGGCAAACAGAAGGGAGCTTTCCACTGGGTTTCCTCGACCACTTCCAATACCCCAAGCACACAGGATCACCGCGCATGTGATGGAGACCCCGATCAACGCAGCGTCAACATTGGAAATCTCGGGGAACTGAAGAACCCGCCAGAGGAAATATACGGAGCTGGATATGACTGAAGCAGATAAAACCAAAAGACCGATCTAGATTGCAGAACAATGAGCTTCTTTTCTTATAAACAAGTATGCAAATAAACATATACATACCATCCAGCTATCGCTTCGTCCACCGCGGTTAACGAGCCATCGAGTGATCTGCCCTGCTGCCTGGATCACCAACAAGCTGCAGAAACCCTCCACCAGTTGAAAGACCGGAGTCGACCACCTCAACAGTTTATCCCAGTTGCCGATTGTCACAGTTTCGGCAAGCCCATCGGGGCCAAACAGCCACTCTATGATCGACGAGTCATGAGCCCTTTTGCCGGTGAACGTCCGCTCCACCCATCCGCTAGTGTTGTCCGCGTCGATCGAGAAGCGATTCAGCGACCAGATAAGAAGTACAGGTATGATGAGCCATTGTGTAGAGTTTATGAGGACGATAATCGACGACCGGAGCCAAGACCCATGGGGGGTGGTGACCTTCAAAAGGGAAAAGAGGAAATAGAAGGTTGCCAGGGATAGCGAAAAGGCCAGACCGCACGTCTTACCACCCACATCAAAGGCGAGGGGGATGGAAGAGACGGTGACGGTGAGAAAAAAGGCCGACGAAAGGACCCGAAAGAGCCACATGGAGCAATATTAGGAAGCTGAAGACAACGGGGGAAGACAAGAAGCGCACGAAGGAGCGATACAGGAGGTTGCAGGAGTCAGTCACGATAGACGGCGTGTAGGGACCCCCTTTCAACTTCTTCCCAGGAATATCTGTTGGGTTAGCAGAGCAACACGATAAAGATATTCCTTAGATGGGAGACATGAAGCCGGAAAGGTAAAAGAAGGCAATCCAAGCACGCGACGACTCGTATAATTTTTTTTTTTTTACTTTGGCGGTGGAGGATTTGATCTTATCTCCAGGGCGGGACGGAAGATGATGTCTTTTTTCACGTGGCACTAGCAACAATACAGAAAAAAGACGTCAACACCAACCAATATATCAGAAAGATGGACAAAAATATATATTATTGCAATAATCGCAGCCACTCACAGGGATAGATGCCTACGAAAATGAGGGAGGGGAAATAATACCTGATGCAGCTGAAAAGGCTATAATCACAGCAGCTGCAGGAGGTGCAGGCGGTGGACACACCATGTCAATTAGTTAACGAGTAGCGGTCAGTGAGAGAGAAAAAAAAAATAAGTTAACAGGAGCAAACGTGTTAGAATTGAATAAAGTATCTGGTAGGCTTGGCAGAATTATAGATCTTTATTGATATATAGTGAATCCCTTGAATATTTACTGTGTTAGCTGGGTTTTCTAGCTAACTACTCCAGTCGCTGATGGAAGCAAATGAAACATGCGACAGTCGATGGGGGATTGTAACACCAGTACACTGAAATACCGTAATCCTGTAGGTAGATGTATTTATGCCTTGCAGCCTTATTTACGCCTTATGGAGCAGCTCTGATCATCAATTCATTACTGCTTCTGGTTTAGTCCCAGGTAGATATCAATCACATGTAATTGGGAGCCCTCTGATACAGGCCCTAACTACCGGATTCAGCAGATAGCTCAGTATCATACCTAGAGTTGGACAATTTCAATCATCTTGTTGATGCTACGATTCCGGCAGTTATTCAAAATGGCCGACCAAACAGTTGCGAAAAAGCTCAAGACCTCTTCTCCCTTGATTGGGACTCACAAGTAAGCCATAAATGACTTTGTGTCAGATTTGAATGACCGTTACTGATCCATCCCAGCGGCCATTTCCATGCCGATGAGGCTCTCGCTGTCTATCTCCTTCGTCTGCTCCCTTCCTACTCCTCTTCGCCTCTTGTTCGCTCCAGAGACCCAGCTCAGCTCGCGACATGTCACACCGTCGTCGATGTAGGCGGAGAATATGACCCCTCCAACAACCGCTATGACCACCACCAGCGGACCTTCGCGACCACTTTCCCTCAACACAACACCAAACTCTCTTCTGCGGGATTGGTGTACATGCACTTTGGCCGTGCTATCATTGCCCAGCATACATCCCTACCAGAGGACCATGAGGATGTCACCTTGTTGTACGAGAAGCTCTACACGGACTTCATCGAAGCCATTGATGCCAACGACAATGGTGTCTCCGTCTACGACCCTGCAGCTCTGGCCTCCGCCAACGTTGAAAAGCGCTTCAGAGATGGTAGCATCACAATCACATCAGTTGTGGGGGATATGAACAACCCGGATCCAACCACGCCGGGAGAGCCGCAGGATGAGGACAGCCTCTTCGGTAGAGCAAGCACTTTCATCGGCAATGTCTTTGTGCGCAAATTGCACCACGCCACCTCTTCCTGGATGCCTGCCAGGACCACCGTAGGCGCTGCGTACCGCTCGCGTCACGAGGCCGATCCCTCGGGCCGTATTATCGTGCTGCCTCAGGGTGGTGTCCCATGGAAAGAGCACCTCTACAACTTTGAGAAAGAAGCGTCGGGAGCTAGCGAGACCAAACCTGAGGACCAGGTCTACTATGTTCTCTACCCGGAGAGTGCTAACGAAGATTCCAAGTGGCGCGTGCAGTGTGTCTCGGTCTCCGAGGGCAGCTTCGAGTCCCGGAAACCGTTGCCAGAGGCGTGGCGCGGTGTTCGTGATCAGGACCTTGACGGTGTCCTGGCCGCAGAGGCTGAGAAGACCGACAAGCCCAAGATTCCCGAGGGTGCCATTTTCACTCACGCTAGTGGATTCATCGGTGGTCATAAGACAAAGGAAGGCGCCTTTGCCATGGCTGTCCGGAGTTTGGAACAGTAATCAAATTGTTCATCCTTTGCTAGCTAATTCAAAGCAAGACTTGCTTATGAATGAAAATGCTTTCTCGATTCCTTTTCTTATTTTGATCTCGGGGTTCGGTTTATCTAGCTAGGGCTTGAAAATAGTTATTTACTTCTCATTGGATGGAAAACAAGTGGTATATTATTCATCATCGATAATTATTAGCTAAGATGATTTTCCTAAAGAGACCGCTGGCGATAACACCAGGTAGAATAACAATGAAATTCTCTAGTCTAGGGGATTACTTCAATCTCTGCCCTGCAAGATCCCATTCCACCTTGCTAATCCCTCCCTGACCCATTAGCCATAACGTTTTGAGCTCTGGACCGGTCCAGGCAAAGTTCTGTACTGTATAGTTTGTTTGCACAGTTAAGAGAAGCTGACCAACAGGATCAAGGATATCAACTCCTCGCCCAGTTCCTGCCACAATGTATCCGTTTGCAGCAACTTTGAGGCCATCGGGGACGTATCCAGCAGACAAGTAAATGGCGCGCTTGTTAGAGGCTTTGGTACCATCCTTACTAACGTCAAAGGCATAAATTGTTCTAACAATCCAATCTTGTCAGTATACTGTTTTGCCTTTGGTTTCCTTGCATTTCCTAAGCGTGGTTTGCTAGAATTCATACCTATGTCCAGTGGCATTGAATGGAGTACCAGGATGGCCGTATTTAGGATCGACCGGTCCGGATACGGAGCCTATAGATCATTTAGCGTCAAACCAAACAAAATGTAAGGCGCATATGTCATCTCCAGTACATACCACTATCGGTGATATACACAATCAAACCGTCCGGGCTAAACGCAATGCCATTGGGCTGACTAATGGTGTCATCTACTACAAACACCGCACCTGATGTTGAATTGTATCTGTAACTGGCGGATGGGAGCTGGGGAGGAGTGTCTGTGAGAGCATTGAACCAAGAATATTCTGTGAATATGTCAGCTAGTGGCCATGGCTGTATAGAAAGCATTCGGGGCAAACTAACGAGGATCTGTGAACCAAACGTCTCCGGTCTTGGGGTGCACTATAAGATCGTCGATGGTGTTGAAATAAAACCCAAAGTAATTGTTGACCAAACTTGTCGTTTTGTTGGTTTGTGGGTCCAGGGTTCGCAAAGAAATACGTTGTTCACTGCCTCCGACGGAATTGTTGCCACCAGATGCTCCCCAGATGACCTTGCCGTCATAGAACGTACCTCCATTGGGGGCGTAAACAGGAGGGTCGGAAAGAAATTCGGACAAAGTGGGAGGGTCTTGATTCAGATCAACAACAAGTTGAGGGAGATATCCTGGAGGAGGAGCCAGTTGCGACAGGTACAGCTTGTTCTGTGAAGCCACATAGACAGGGGCTTCGTGGACAGCATCGGAGACAGAAAACATATATTCATAGCTCGGCTTCGAGCCTAACACCTCGAGACCTCTCTCTTTATCAAATACGATAAAATCGGCAGATTTTACATGATCCAGAGAAGTGCCATTCACTATAGTGGTGTCCCCAAAAGTAGTCGGGGCGTCGCTAGTAGACACATTTCGAAAGAAGTGATATCTATCAGCGTGAGTATGCGGCTTCAGCAGAAGAGGTTTTCACGAATTGACTTACGGCAATACATTCGCATACCTGTTGATGCACACCACCGAAGAACCGCACTTCTCGGATATGGGATTCGTTACCCCAGTTTGTGAGTGAACAAAACTTGCAAAAAGCAGCCAAATAGAACCGCGCGCAGACAAGGACGAATGCATTGTGCTACAGAGGTTCGAAAAAGGAGGTGAAATTAAGCAAATGCTTTCGACCCTGCATCCCCCCCCCTCTGTGTCTTTAAATGCTTAATCTCCGACATCCCCACAACATGCATAGCTCGGGATTGGGAAAAGAAAGCGTCCCGAAAATGACGTGTTTAGAAGTCCGTGTAACAACGTCTGGCAGTTCAATCGGCACAACCACCGGTCCATCGCCGCGGAGGGGCATTGAGGAATATGAAGCCTATCCAGCCCTGCGAGGGTAGAAAGGGCATCGAAGGTTGACTGAACAGGTGAAATCCCCGAGTGCGGGGCAGGGCATCGGGGTTTGTGGAGAAGCGATCGTCGACAAAACGTTGCCGGGGAGGGAATTGAATCATCCAGGAACTGATGATCCTTTGCCAGTGACGCCAAAGACGGGAAGGATGAGCTTCGCATCGAGGGGCAATAACCGTCGGGTATACACTGTTCCATCCATGGTCGACCCCAACAGTCGGAGGAACTCCGAATGAAAGAGGGGAAACCTCCAAAGGGATGGATATCGTGGACTAGGGGTAAAAAGTAGATCAATGGCGGATATTCAAAGCACTAATGTCTTCGATGCTGCCCGTCCCATCTCCAGACGGTTTGGTATCTTGAGCATCAGGATGAATATCTGCCGTGTCCTCGCGTTCGCCCAGGGCGCGTTGGATGAGTTTAGCTTTGATTAGAGCCCCCTTCAACCGTTCGTCAACATCTGTCACAGCTTCCTCTGTGTTCTGCATGCTAAGAGATGCAGGATCGACTAGTTCGAGGAGGATGCCGATGTTCTTGGCCAGCCGAGATGAACTGGGTGGAAGAGTCGACATCTCCGTACAGGCAGAAGGACTCAAGGAGAGGCCCGCTTGTCCACCAGGAAGCCGAGGAATTGCTGAAGAAGAAACATCTCCAGTGTTGTTTTCCAGGACTGACATATTGGATGCATTGGAATCTGCGAGTCTTTGAGCCCAGACTAGGGCTTTGCCATACAGTCTGCCCATCTCGATGAACTTTTCAAAGCCTTTTTCGACAGCGAAGACGCTGCCTTCTGTATAACCAGCTTTGGCACCATCAGCCTCGCCTAGATTATAGCCTTCTTTGTAAAAGTCTTCCTCCAAGTTAAGGAGACTGTCTAGCAAATTACCCTCCATTGGTGTGGTGGGACAAAAAAACAAGCAAAGAAACAGTGAAAAAAGAGAGAGAGACAGATAAAATAAAGAAAATAAAAGGAGACTGGAAAGAAAGGGATAGTAGCTGATGAAGACCGAGTCTCAGCACTGAAGAAAACACCAGATTCTTTCACGATAAGAAATAATACTTGATTGTTGGCGATCTGCCTGTGGCCGAGGAAGCAAAGTTCTGCTGCGGATGAATCATACTAAATCCGCACTTTTTCAACCCGCTGCTGACTTTTTGCCCCTCCACCACAACCCCGCCATCTCATCCGCCAGCAATCATGGCTTCAGAAACAAAGATCCTGCCCAAAGAGGGCGAGCGAAATATTCTAGTTACAAGTGCTTTGCCATATGTGAACAATGTGCCTCATCTAGGTAACATCGTCGGCTCCGTTCTTAGTGCCGATGTCTTCGCTAGGTATGTTTTGCTCCCACATGCCTGAAGACTTTCTCAGATTGCCGGTGCTAACATGGCTATTTTCTTCTCTACTTTCTAGATATCACAAGGCTTGCGGACGGCAGACGCTCTACATCTGTGGAACGGATGAGTATGGCACAGCAACGGAGACCAAGGCGTTGGAGGAGAAGGTGACGCCAGAGGAGCTCTGCGCCAAATACAACAAGATCCACCAGGAAGTGTATGAATGGTTTGAGATTGGCTTCGATCACTTTGGCCGCACTCCAACGCAGAAGCACACCGAAATCTCGCAGAGCATCTTCAAGAAACTCCATGAAAATGGATATCTTGCGGAGAAGACGGCGGAACAGCCGTTCTGTGAAACTCATGGATCTTTCCTGGCAGACCGTTACGTGGAGGGAGAGTGCCCACGATGTGGCTACGACGATGCCCGCGGAGACCAGTGCGACAAGTGTGGCCACCTCCTTGATCCCTTTGACCTCAAAAACCCTCGCTGTAAACTCGACGGCGCGACTCCCGTCCGTCGGCCGACGAAACACATCCATCTCCTCCTTGACAAGTTGCAGCCAGAAATCGAGAAGTGGGTGCACCCGACAATTGAGAAGGGCAGCTGGCCCAAGAACTCGAGAGTCATCACCGAATCGTGGTTGAAGGAAGGTCTGAAGGACCGTGGCATCACGAGAGATCTGAAGTGGGGTGTCCCCGTTCCTCTCGAAGGACTTGAGAACAAGGTGCTGTATGTGTGGTTTGAGGCCTGCATTGGATATCCCTCCATAACTGCCAATTACACCCCAGACTGGGAACTCTGGTGGCGGAACCCGGAGAATGTTCAGCTATACCAGTTCCTGGGCAAGGACAATGTGCCATTCCACAGTGTCATCTTCCCTGGTTCCCAGCTCGGCACTAAGGAAAAATGGACTATGCTTCACCACCTGAGCACCACCGAATACCTGAACTATGAAGGGGGCAAATTCAGTAAATCCAGAGGAATTGGTGTCTTTGGCAATAACGCCAAGCAGACTGGTGTGCACCCTGATGTGTGGCGATACTACCTTTTGAAGAACCGCCCTGAGACTGGAGACACCCAGTTCGAATGGCGTTCGTTTGTGGACAGCAACAATAGCGAATTGCTGGCCAAGTTGGGCAACCTGGTCAACCGCGTGATCAAACTCGTTGCGGCCTCGTACAGCTCCACCATCCCCGAGTTCACTGTCCCCGACAGCTTCAACCCGACTTTAGATGAAGTCACTGGATTCCTTCGCCAGTACATCGAGGAGATGGAGGGTGCCAACCTCCGTGCCGGTGTGCATACCGCGATGAAAATTGCTGAGGCCGGAAACGGTCTGATCCAGGCCAACCGACTGGACAATTCGCTCATCGCTAACGAGCCCGAGCGCGCCGCGGCGGTCGTAGGAACCGTTCTCAATCTCATTTACCTCCTTTCCAGCGTTTTCGCGCCTTACCTCCCCGCGACCTCTAAGTCGATCATCGAGCAGCTTGATGCGCCGTTTGCTTACATTCCGTCGTTGGAAGACATAAAAGACGGCTGGAAGCCCATAGCTCTGAAAGCTGGTCACAAGGTCGGTAAGGCCAAGTATCTCTTCTCGCGTATCGACTCGAAGAAGGCCGACGAATGGCGTGACATGTTCGGTGGCTCGCAGGCTGAGAGACAGAAGAAGGAGGAAGAAGCGGCCAAGATCGCGGCCAAGAAGGCGGCCAACAAGGCAAAGAAGAAGGACAAAAAGACCAAGCAACCCACCGGCGTGGAGGCTTCAGCCAAGGGTGGTGCAGAAGCAACCACCACCACGACCGAGGGTAAGAATGATGAGGCGATTGAAAAGATCGCGGATGGTGTTTCCCAAGTCACTATCCCAACATCGTGAAGCGATTTCGGTTGATAGAGGAGTTATCTTTGGTGATTGGTTGTGGTGTGTGAAATATAACCCTGATGTTGAATGACTTTTGATTCCTTTTTTAATCTTGTCCACCATGGCTTTTTCATGTGGGATTAGCATGAGATATGATGTAGGCGAATTAAGATCTCGTTGAATATGATGATACTTGGGGTTGTCTTTTTTCGTTTTTCTTTATCCAGCTTAGTTTAGATTTAAACTTGGACAGATTGTTTGGAAATATGACGCCTTTATATTATAATGGTTTGAATTGTTCGCTGCTTGGTAAATCTATCTCTAAACATCACGTTTCAGCCATGTAATCAGAAAGCTGGCTTATTACTAGACACCTCGGCAGAAGCCGTTACCAAGTATAGCAATAACAACTGGTTCCCCTTTGTGCTATACTCGTTTGTGCAGTATTCAGGGGGTGCAGAATCCCAAGAGAAATGACGAAAGGTAATCCGCCCAGAGTGATTCGCTCATATGCATTCATTCCCAGATATCAATAAAAAAAAAAAAAAAATGAAGACGAAGAAGAGGGGAAAAACATGAAACGGAAGATAAAAAAAGACAAAAAAGACATTCCCCGGTGACCAAAAGGATGACCCAACTCAATCGTGCCACAGTGACCACCACTACGCCGGTTTTTTCTTGCACCCATGAAATACACACTTAATTTCACCTCTTCCTAGTGCCAGGTCTGGGTTTCACCTCCTCGGGACTGACGGGATGAAGCATGACTTTGTTTGGGAGTTGCTGGGTGTTGGCGGAGTAACCCTTACTCCAGTCATAGCTGACGGAGTAGGCGAAGATGTTACCATTACGGTTGAAGGCGGTACTGGAGATGTTTCCTCCGACGGAGGGGTAACCCTTCAAACGGTGTTTGGCGTCCTTGTCCCAGAAATGGAAGGTACCGTCACTACCTGCGGTACTGAAGGTGCCGTGGACTGGGTGGAAGGAGATGCTGTTGACGGAGTAGATGTTGTTAATGTCGCGTTGGCCGGCCGGGGTCTCACGGTGGCATTTGAAACTGAAGTTAGAGGCAGAGTCCTTCTCTTCAACGTACTGGATGGCACAACGGCCTTCGATACTGCCGACGGCGAAACCGGAGGCGTCGGTGAAGCAGCTGACTACCCGCGTCTGCCACTTGAGGGGGGACTGCATGGTCTTGTAGAATTTGGTGGGGTTATCCAGGTTGATGATATTGATATAGCGGTCGGCAGTACCAACGACGAGTAGTTTACTCTTGACGTCCATGGTGTAGACACGTTCCTGGCATTCCACAGTGGCGATGGGGGTTGATTGTCGGAGGTCCCAGTACTTGACTGTCTTGTCCCACGAACCGGTGATGAGAAGGGGAGAGTTTCCGGCCGGGTTGGGAATCATTTGACAGCATCGAATTGGGGCATCATGGGCAGCGACCTGCACGGGAGTAGTAGCGTTGGCCGCAAGATCAAGCATGCGCGCAGCTTTATCGGCACCAGCCCCAACCACTTTGGTTCCATCCTAAAGAAAAAAGCATGTCAATATTTTATTTCGGATACCTTGACTGTCTGAGTATACTCACCGGAGACCAGCAGCAGTTCAAAACGGGAGCTTCATGCTCAAAGAGAGCCTTTCCTTCACTCTGACCTTGCTCATTGATCTCATAAATGCGGACCTTCTTATCCCAGGAAGCTACCGCAAGATGTTCGCTAGCGGGAGAAAAGCTGAGATCAGAGATACCGTCTTCGGGAGGAGAATTGAGAGCGACATCCTTGGAGATGTCCCCCGTGGTGTTGGTTTGGCTGGTTGAGGTCGCCGCCGCACCGACGGACCCGAAGAGCGACATTCGAACGGGCTAAACTGTAATGTTTTTAATCCTTAAGAGTGCAGTATGATAAGTCAACTGAGCCAGCCCAGGAAATTCCTTGCCCGCAAAACTCGACGTGGTGGAAGAAACACGCGCAGACCGACGAAGATTCACCGCGAAAAACATGAGATTCTGGAGTGTTGCGGCAGTATCCTCAGGCATCACACCGCCTGCATAGCAATAAGCAAACAGCACAAACAGAGCAAATGCATCAAACGTGATATCGCTGTGCTTTATGGAAATTTATATTGAGATTGAAAGAAAAAGCAATAAATTATTATGCACAGATTAAATAGGGAATGTTTTGTTGCTCTGGAAGTGTGAGATCATTTTCTTCGATGGAAGCTGGAGCTGTCCCGTTTAGGACTAGCCCGCGTATTCCTACTGCTCCTATATTATTACTGCCTTACTACTATTGCTTCTCTTGACCATTCCTGGATAATTATCATCTGAATTATCCGAAGCTCTGAATAGCTGCTATCACTCGGTGGAGCGATGATATTGTATGACATGGCATGACGCTTTGTGATGACATCGATGATCTGCTGCTTTGGTTTTGATTGGCATTGTCTGCCTTTTTTGGATCCGGGGCTGGATTCATCGTTCCACGGACTGTCCAGAGTTACAATCCTTACCCCAAACCGTCTTTCTCGAGCAACATACCTCATGATTTTCAATCGCATGATCCTATGAGGATCATATAAAGTACGTTAGCCCAATGGAGAATGCGGGGTGCAGCCGTCGTTGGGGTCGTCAATCTTCAAGTGGGCCAACACCGGAGCTTCAATCAGTCTCGCGTGATCCGGTGGTTCCGTTGTATATCATGATTAGGTATAATGTTGATGGATGGATGAGATGAAGATATGAGTCTTCATTTCTGTAGAGTATGTAGTATCCAATTGTAGATGAATCGTAGATGAGTAGGCAGATAGAGGATAGAGAGCAGACTGGAAGCTGAATTGCCTCACCAAAGTACCATGCAAGCTCAGCAGATCCCTTCCTCCATCCGCTGTCCATCCATGTCCTGCCGTTTTGCTCATCCCCAAAAGGCTTCAACCCCGCTCTGGATGCTTTCATCCTGTCTGGGTTTCCTTTCGGGCTGTTCAAGGTTCATGGATTGGATGGCCATCCGGTCACCTGCCCTCCTCCTCCTCTCCCCCCCTTTATTCCTTTCTTCTCCCCCTCCGTTTCTTCTTCTTCCTCTTCTACTTCCCATCTTCTAGTGAGTAGTCCCCCATCCATTGCTCCTATCTGGTTCGGCCACCATCTTACTCTGTCCGACTATCTGGTAAGCTTTGATGGTTCCTGCAGTTCATCCTGTCCTTCATGTTTCTCTATCATCCATTCTTTAGCTGTTGCTAACTATTCCAGTATTGATCAGTTCTCTATCCACCATGTCTGCTGAGCTCACAAAGGTCGACTCTGCCATCGCTGGCTTGTCGATATCTCCCAAGGATGAAAAGGCACCAGACAAGGGTCTCAAGAAGACACACAGGCGTTTATCCTCACAGGGTGCGGAAGGTGTCTGGAATATCAAAGACCTAGGTATGATCTTCTTCTCTCTAGTCAGATGAAGACTTACCTCAGATAGAGGCTCAGAGGATTGAGATTACCCTCCCAATCGAAACACAAAAGACAGGATGGTAAGGCTTGCCCAATGTATATCAAGACTAGATGCTAACACTCGCAGGAAACTCAATACCTCTCCATCGACAATAGAGGACAAAGATATCCTCAAACTCCAACTCATCAACCCTCCAGTCAAGAAGATTGACCTACATTTCCCTTTGGGCCTGGAAGTCACGGCGCGTAATCTCAAGGGCGTCACCATCAAGGACGCGCTGGATGCAATCTACAAACAGTTCAAGAAAAAGGTATATCTGCCGTCTATCAACTTGGCATCCCTAGCTCCTCTGTTTATAAATAACACTTGAATAGGCCGACGATGAAATGGACAAACCCTACCTCGCTGGCTTTGAGTGGGACAAAGACGAGAGCTGGACTCGTCTAATCGTTCACCAAACAAAGCAAGTTCCAACAAATCAACAGCCAAGCAAAAAGACCAAGAAGAAGAAGGACGATGCATAGATATATATGCCTGATTTCCTTGATGACATGGAATGACTCATGAAATTGGCCTTCCATCTTTTCTGAATATGTGTTTGTTTAATCTGATATTGTTAATCTGTTATATTTGTTCTGTATCTACCAACACCAGATCGATCATTATAGGCTGCACTTCCTAGAAATTTCTAAGGAAGAATACTATTCTTTTAGTATTCATCTCATGTTGAGTTACAATAAGAGATAAATAGGAAATACTTGTCTTTAAACCCCGACCATGAATCAGCACAAACGGACCGATCATTACATTTTTCATCCATGGGACTCTTAGCAGTAGGAAGGGCTTCAAATCATTAGTACTATGGATTATTACTGCTCATTATATCCCATGTCTCTATCGCTAGAAGAGTAAAGAAAGAGAGAAAAGAAGACCGCTTAGAAACGCCAGCTGACATCAAAATGAAATAAAACAAGCATATTAATCATTGATACTAGAGCACTCGGCTCATCGTGATCGTATATCTCCACCAAACAGTACCAGTACAATCTCATCCAGAATGGTGAACACTAAGTGTGTGTTGAGCCGTTGGTTGTTCACGGTTGCAAAAACCCTCCGTGCTGCTCCTTGAGCATTCGCTCGTCCGACAACATTGCCCGCCAGATCCGGGATCAATGTCGCCAGCACCAGGCTGGCCTCTGTTCGACTTTTGAGCTTCTCGAATGCCGTACGCACTTTTCTCTCGCGCAAGGCCCCATCGGGCCACATGGTATCCTTTATAAGTGCAATATACCGGAGTAGCGACTCATCTTGGATCAAAGACCGGGCGCCCTCGCGCACTTTGCGTTCAATCGTTCCTCCCAGAAGCTGGTGAAGAACAACGACCACAGCCCGTCCCCGTAGCCAGTTGTTGCCCTTAGTCAACTCGAACGCTTCCAGAAAAAGATCACAGATGGGCTTGACGAAGGGCTCCAGCTCCCGGTCTTCGAATGCATTCAGTTCCGCTTCTGTCTCGGCCGCAGTCACGCCGTCCTCTGAATCAGGAGTATTGCTAGACTGCTGGCTAGTTGCGGCAGAAATTAGACTCTGCCCAGCCGTCGACAGCTGGTCCAGGACGCCAAAGTTTCCCAAAAAGTCATCCATACCGTCTGTCACCGAGTTGTAAATACGAGTCACTAGATCTTTTGTCTCGCCATCCTGAGGAGCTTCGCTGCGCGGGGTGATTGCCTGTTGAGAGAGAAAGGCCCGTAAGTCACGACTCCGGCACACTTCTGGGAGGAGTAGCAGCTTTTGCAAATACACTTCTAGCGCCAGGCGCCGCTTTTGCAAGAACTCCTTCTGTAGTTTCATGACCATCCGTCGTCGCGGGAATTCCAAGTGTCGCACGGATGGATATCGCAGACGCAGTTTTTGATGAAGTTCATGGAATTCGCTGTACCGTCGGGGAACTGCCCAAGATGCCGCGGGCATCTGTTCTCCAGCGTTTCTCTGCACCTCTACCACATACATGGCATATTCTCGACCGTCCTCTTCTTTGCCCACAACGATGGATTTGATTTGGATGATTGATCGACCATACAGACTGTTGTCACTTTCTTGGATAATGTACTGCTGTCGCTGCATCTCTTTGCGGTGAACCTCACGCTGGATACTAGCCTTAGACTTGCGCAAGATTCGCAGTTCGGCCGTGTTGTTCGTGAGCTCCGCTTTGCGAGTTAAAGCTTCCACCACAGAGTCCTGCGACCCAAGCTTTTCAATATCTGCCGTGAGTGCCTCAATGGCCTCGGTGAGACCAAGATCTCCGGGAGCAGCTTCGTGAACTTCATCGGCTGGGTCCTTTTCTGCTGCCACGGGTTCTTCGTATTCATCTTCGATAAACTTTTGCTGATCAGGAAAAAGATCATCTTCAAACACACCCAGTCGAGAGGAATGTCCCACGAGCCCGAGAGAAGCAATGTTCGGCTTGGTCTTCTCATCTACCCGACTATCCACCCGTGGCGAGTCTACCAAATTGCGCGGGGGCTTTTGAGGCAGCTCGTTTCCAAATATTGGAGATGACGCAAGGTCATATGCTTTCAAATCTTCCGCTTTTCCGTTTTTAGGGTCACTCGTGATTATGTCGTTCAGGGCAGCCTCCATCGTTTCAATGATTTGGTTTTGGTTTGCCTCATTGTCTCCATTTTGAGAGTCCTTGCCAACGCTGTGTGTTGATATGGCGAGAGGGTCGGTATCGTATTCATCGTCAAACAGAGGAGCAGAACGCTCCGAGTCAAGAGAACCTCTGGGGGGCTCATCATCATCGAAGAGCTTCCCCATGCTCCGGATATCACTTGACGAAACGGCTGCTCTGCGAAGATCTTTTGATTTAGGGCCCGGCTGTGACATAGTGCGTCCCATCAAGGGAGGCAAAGGCCGTCTCTCAGACGTTTCGACAGTGATCAAAGGGTTCGATTGACTAGCCGAGGCCGCATGAGACCCAGAATTTGATACTTCGTCAGATGCAAGATATTTGTAGTATAAGTCTGACTTTTTGAATTTGGGGTAGTAGGTGTTCTGCAATTCCTCCAGAGTTGACGATTGTGTTGTCAAAATCACAGTCCGAGCCTTGCGATACTGCTCTGGAGTTGCCCGTTTTCCGGCACTCAAAAATGCTTTCACTGTTCGGCGAGAATCATTTGTGACTTTGAGTTCCGGCTTGGATAGATACGTCTCGCTGATCAATGCCATGTCATTTCTATCTGTTGTAGTCCAGGTCGTCGAACCTGGTGAGCTCTCATCCCCAAAATCATCTTCAAGTGGATTGCGAAATCCGTCGACCACAATCCAGAATTGCACGAGAGACATCAAACGCTGACGATCCATAAACTCCATAAAATACGAGAGACCAGAAGCATCGTGCATCAAATCGACCAGCGACATTTCATGTGATGTAGAGGAACTGTTACGACGGAAGTGCGACGCAGCAGCTGTTGCATGGGATGACGAACTGCCACCCGGCGCCGAGAGCTTGGCTACCTTTTGATCCAGGACTCTCTTCCCCGTCTCTAAACGCTGAAGGTAGACAGAATCCTGCCCCTCTACTGTGCTTTCCTTCTTTAACTGGCTAGCAATGAGCGCTCTGAACCGTCTAGCATCGGACAGGTTGTTGCAGCGGCGGATTGTCCGAACAAATCGCTCAAAGGCTCGTTCTGAGTCATTTGGACTAAGCCTAGGAAGCTGTCCGCGTTTCGATTTTGGGGCCGGAGACGCATGTTCATCCAAAGCCGCTCGTAGTTTCCGGACTGTTTTACGATCTTGGATGGCAGTTCGTCCATAAGCTTCCACCAATTGGTTCCAGGTATCTGGGTCTGCCAGGGCCGATACCAGGGGGGAGAGTACAGCACAGGACAGTATCTCCCTGATTAACACCGAGACAACCCTACTGTTGAGAATGCTCTCGGGAAATAGCTGTGGGAGTAAACCAACGGCAATCTTTCGTAGATACTCCTGCTCCAAGAGCTTCTGGTCAGAAAATGACAGCGCAGCTGCTGGATGGAGACGCCCTTCGCGGTATTTCTTTGCGATTGCAAGATCGAGCTCTTCGAATTCTGTGACATTTCGAGTAAGATTACGCCCACGAACTAGTCGTTCAGCAATATCAAACTCTCTAAGGTGCGTAGTCAGGATTGGGAAAATCCGCGACACAAGCAACGACACCATATCCTCCGCTACGAGCCTATCTCGAAGGTTCCCGGTCGCTGTTCGAATCACTCGGTCCACCTCGTGCACAAAAACCGGGTTCGGGCTGATGTGTTTGTACCAAGAGGCGACAAAGTCCCGTGTGACAAAACTCAGAAGCTCATCAATGCCCTCCGACACGACGAACGACTTTGGATAGAGCGATTCAGTGTGATAGACAGCCTGTTTGCGAATACTTTGTGTTTCTTTCAGCCAGTTCTCGGGGGCAATGAATGCCACTGATGGGTTCTTGGGTCTAGCTCCCTTTGCATCCTTGAGTGCGCGGGTCGTCAAAAGCACGAGAGCAAGCAGTGAAGCAGAGGATATTGAAGCACCGAGAACAAGAGCATATCCGAGATATCGCAGGACTGGAAGCCAGCTAACGACAAAGCCCCATGCGATGAAACCCCCGATGCCCACCAGAACGAAATCGCGACGATTGAGGGCCATTCTCCCCGAACAAGAAGTCGAATCCGACGTCCCATGGCGATCATGAGATAAATCTCATGGAACAAGACATAAAGAAGGATATATTTTCTTTTCTGATAGAAATGGAAAGATGGCTCTTGTTATGCTCCATTGCATTTCATGTGCTTGTCGGCGGTGAGAGGGGGAACTTTGGTTGCTCCGAGGTTCCGGTGTGGAGAGTAGAATGTATGGTCCTAGAGAGGAACTGATCTAATATATAATCAGAGTGAAAATACTTCTTAGATAACTGCAGATAAGGAAAATGATGTTCACGTCTTTAATCCGTAGAAATACCTATTCGCGTGGACAAAATGGATGGTTTATAAAGCACCAACTGGCATGTGTCAAATGTCCCAGGTCCCGTGACCAACGCGGAGAAAAACGTCATGTTTTCCTTGCTTTTGTTTCTTCTCCTCTTTTCCCTCTTCTCCTCTTTTCTCTTCCTCTTCTGCTCCAAACCTCCTCAATTGTTTCTTCGTCCAATCCTCCACCATGGCCAATCTTGCGGATTTTGTCGACTTTTCTCAGAAGTCCTTGCAGGGTATGTATTTTTTTCTTGTGTCTTTTTGTTGATTCTCCTCATATCTGGCCTCAACAATTTGCATGTGATAATGACTGACCTCTGCGGTTCCTAGTGTCTGCATTGTCCATTGCATTCAACCCCATCTTCTGGAAGTAAGTCCCATTTTGCTACAATTCAGAATTAGTAAAATGCGTAAATTAATGTCCAGGGATTTTTACATCAGTCGCTGACTTGGTTTAGCATTGTTGCCCGTGCTGGTTGGTTTTATCCCACCCCTACTCTCCTGACCTGTTGAGACACCATGTGTCTGCCAAAGGGTTTATAATCAGTACTTATCATGCCAACGCAACCCTCTCTTTGTAGAGTACCGAAAGCACTACTTGACTCGTATATTCGGTAGCCCGTACAACGGATGTTACTTCCTTGCGTTCACCATCTTCACCCTGGGAATCGCGCGAGACCATGTGTACCAACTGGCCCTGACCGACCAACCCTACTACGCCCCTGTGCACCAACCACTCCTAGGCGGCGCCTTGTTTGGCTTCGGCTCCATCCTCGTTCTGAGCAGCATGTGGGCCCTTGGCGTCACTGGAACCTATCTAGGCGACTACTTCGGTATCCTGATGGATGCCCCTGTTACTGGTTTCCCCTTCAACGTCACCGGATCTCCCATGTATTGGGGAAGCACCTTGAACTTCTTGGGTGTCGCCCTGTACCAAGGCAAGGTGGCAGGTATCCTTTTGACTGCCCAGGTCTTTGTTCTGTACTGGTTCGCTCTTCGATGGGAAGAGTAAGTGTTTTCCGAGTTTATTTCCATTGCGCCTTCTTTGCCGTTGCCGTTGCCCTTGCACCACTCCTACGGCCAATTCTCTCCCATAGTGGAAAACGTAGAAAAACTAACTATCACCGGGTAGTCCTTTCACCGCGGAGATCTATGCCAAGCGCGACCGTGAACGTTCCAAGATGCAGTAAAGCGACAAGCGCTTGTAATAGACAAGCCGGCCTGTGAAGAGCAATACAATTACTTGCAGGATTGGATTAGGACATTCAACACCCAACCGTCCATGCAGGTGATGAGACCAGACGTCAAACCATCAATCACTGTCTGGACAAAGTCTTACGGGTCCACGAAAAAGCATACATTCTATCGACAAAAAGGAGGGGAATCTTCAACGATCAAGAGGATACGAGTTTGATAGACTCCTCGCAAGTACACGACGAAAAGACATATCGATCATTCATTCGAATCGATTGGTATTGATATAGAAGGGGAGGGTATTACAGGAAAGAAAAGGAAGCTAATGAATTGCGATAATGCTTTTTGTATATAGTGAGTGGTATATCAAAATGCAAGTAGAGAAAAAGATGGTGCTCGACATGATTCATTCCAAATATGCAAGATTTCATATTTATATGGATATGTACCAACAAGACCTTCAATCGGTGATGGAAATCCATGTATTTGGCGTCATTCAAGAGACGAGAAATAGAGAAAAACACCGCCAACTCCACGCTATATGGATGATGTTTTTCGTCGCAAGCTGTATACGAGAAAACATCGAATCCGCGAGACGAAAAATGCAAGGAGATCAGAAGTAAACCCAAAAATTAAAGAAAAAATGAATATCCCGTGGCTTAAGCTCTACGTCCTCTTCCTCTCTTACCCGTTGCCCTGCTCTCATCCACGGTTTCTATCTCATCCTCGTCCGCTCCCTTCTTGAGATCCTCTCCCTCCGCGAGACCCCACTTTTCGCGGTCATACCAGTCCTCACCGTCACTCATCTCGCCAGCATGGCCTTCGGCTTTACACCATTCGAATACGTCTTCCTTCATGCGGCAGGCGCGAAGTAGGCAGTCCAGCATGTGTTCAAATCCTCGAACCGTCTCCTCCTGTTTCTGACAGTAGGACCATAGCAGCCTTCGTGTGTCTTCGGCCTCGTTGGGTGGCAAACCGAAATTAGGGTCAGGCCGGACTGTGTCTGGTACAAGAAAGAGCGGGTGCGGGGCCGGAAGGGTGCTGAAGGTATCGGTGGATGGAGAAGGGGAACGGTCGGCGATAGATTCGTTTTCTTGTTGGGGGTTTGCAGCGTTTGCCCGGGCCCGAGTCGTCATCCGTCTAGGGGGTTCTGGCGAAGATCCGTCTTGCATTTCTGCGTCTTTGTCGGTATCCTCTTCCTGTGTATCGCTCTGGTGTCCAGCATCTGCAGTCTCATTGCCAGCATTCTCTTCATCATTCAACTTTGCATTTCTAGTTCGACCAATGTTCTCTTCTGTCTCTACAGGCTCGGCCTGGTTAGTCTTGACGTTGGTGGAATTGTCATCATTGACTTGTACTGCCGCGTCGGTTTCTGCATGCTGTGGAAGGTCCCCTACCGAGGCATCTACTTCTTCGGACTTGGGCTCCTTTGCCTGTTCGTTTTGTTGCTTGCCCTCGGTCTCTGCCTCATCATCCCGTGCATCTGCCATTTCGATGTCTTTCTCGGTATCTGGTCGTGCCTCTTCCTCATCCTGGGCTATTTGGAATTCCCTAAGAAAGGCTGCCGCTGAATGTGAATCCTGCACCCCATCTTTTTGAAGATTGGACTCCGCAGTCGCTGATGAAGTGGCCAGTGCATTCTGCCCATATTGGCTCACGGGGGAACTGCGGCCCGTGTTACCGGTTCTGGGCGCGAAAATCAATTTGTCTTCCGGTGTCTCGACCGCTCCGCATGGCATCCAGGAGCCATCACCCAGGAACTGTCTATGGAGATTTCGCGCACGCCATAACAAAGCCCGCTCCTGACGAAGCTTGGCCTCTATAGCCTGCGTCATGTTCCGAAGAGCTTTAGAGGTATAAGCGCTTGACATCGAAGGGTGATTTGGAAGTTCCGAGGGGTGCTTTAGAGGGCAAAGGAGATCTAAAGAAATTTAAATAATATGTCAGCTATGTTCTCTTTCAATGATATACAATTAAAACAGAATAAGTCGGGGACTAACGTTCGAGCGCGATTTCTGAGAATGGATTCTCTTCTCCGGCCGCGGCATCCGCCTCAGAGTCTTCATCATCCTCGTCAAGCTCATCGCCTTCGGAATCGTAGCGCACAGGATTCGGCTGAAGGATGTAACGTGTGTATCCAGCATGCTCGACTTTCTAGATTTTATAAACTAGGTTAGTATTCTTACCCTTTCCGGCTCACCACCAATAGATTTTGCTAGACATGGAGAGAAAGCAGGCGGTGAACTCCCTGAAAGATAACCTTACCTGCTTGTAAAGATCCTCCGCATGTATATAACCCATTGCGCCCTCACGAACATATTTTGCATTCGTACGTAACTTGTTTCCTCGGTTGGTCGGTTCGGTTATGGGGTCATCGGGACCTGCGTCTAGAAAAGAATGTTAAAGAAAAAAATAAATTAAAAAAAAAGCTGCAAACCAATGTAGTCAAGACATCACATACTGTCATGCTCCTTGCGCAACGCCCTCTTCATCCCAACGATAGTATCTGCAATTAAAGCCGCTTGCGCCGCCATGGTGAAGCACGAGAAAAGACGACCGTCGATGAAGCAGAACAACCGGACACCAAGAGAAGAGAAGGGAAGACAAATGGTCTAATTGAGGTTTGCTAAACGAGCGCGAGATCCGATTGACAACCTTCAGAATAGCATGAGGGGAATCACCAGAGCACAAGATGAGAGCCAAGTGCAGTGGAGGAGGGGGAAGGATAACAATGGAATGCAAGAAAGCGTGTCGCTCGCAGCTCTCAGTCTCTCCGCCTGACGGAATAATGGAGAAGAGCTGCGGGCTATCGCCGCCGCTAGGCTGTTTTGGGCTGCGACTCTGGCTGCGCGTGATAAGAGTTGCGCACGTGACAAGCCATGTATATATGAAAACAGGAACAGAAGAAGGCATTGATTTATATATATATCTGCTCTACTTGGTCTACCGTCAAAAAAAAAGCATTGGACATTTCATGCAGTATCCAGATCATACCATGTCCTTGAACTATAGTACTTCTTTGAAACCAGAGAGAGAGAGAGAGAGAGAAGGGGGGGGTTTTCATATCACCCGTAAACTAGTCATCAGCATCAACCCATACTAATATGCCTTTCTTGTCGGATCGCATTTCCTCAGTTGGGAGAATCCGCAGGTTCTTATTGAAATAAGTGTCCACCACAACGAGTTGAGGCTGTATCCACAGGCCTCGTTTCGACGCCAACAGGTTGTATCGCACTGTGTGTCGACTCAATGGAACAAGTTGAACGACCATCGTCTTTGGACCGCTAAATGCAAAATACTCACTTGCTTCCATCGTTAAATTGAAGGTGAGGAAATGCATTGACGGATTTTCCAGGGTGTAGTTCAGATGAATCAGCCCGGAAAGAGTTTCGGAGGGCCTTGCTGAGGCTAGCACGCGAGGTTCACCAGTAGGCACCACGAAACGGGGAATCGCAAGACTGGTGGTCACAGAACAGCTGTCGGCTGAAGATTCAGAAGTAGCGCCCCCGTTATCTCGACGGCGCCAGTGGACGTCCAATGCCATATTAAGAGAGGTAGGGCGTCGATCCCCCAGAATGACCTTTTGAATGTCCAGAATGAAATTGGATTCTCGAAGCTCTTCAGGACCTATTTCAGCTGCATCTGGGTTGACAACCATCTCTGGGCCAATTTGACAGACCGCTCCGCCACCGAGTCCAAGCAACACCAAGGACATCTTCTCGATAACAAGAGGCTCCAGAGCAAAAGAGACAACCTTGGAATTGAGGCACCATTTTTGCTGCAGCCCCCAAGATTTCGTGTGATCAGATTCGTCCCCGATCAACCCGTCATCGACCTGGAAGAAATCGGGCCATGGGTGCGGATGAAGGCGGGGGACAAATTCATAGTTTGCTTCAAAGGGCCGAATGATCGATAGGCCCGCTGTCACAGTCTTGATGATGGGCGTTTGAGTGTCTGACACTAGATTATATACGGCAGAGATTTCAATCTCATAGTCTGAAGCATCATTAGTATCTGCTAGCACAATCACCAACTCCTGCTTGGAGGAAGCCTCCATGATTCCAAGCGGTCGTTTGACGAAGTGTGAAGCCCCCTCGGTTGGAGAACTCTGACCAGAATCATGTGTGTCTGTATTATTCTCCTCATCAAGCCACAAAATCTTAGTCGCGGACTCCGGACGGCCAAACAATCTCGCCTCGGCTGAGACATCCGCGGCCTCATCCTCGTCGTTATGAATGCCGAGCGTCAGAATAATTCTCTCGTTGGTATAATAAGTTTCCTTAAGATCTGGTGTCGTAATTCGTATCTTTGGCGGTTTGGGCATAATCTTGCACCTAGTGGTATCTCGACCCTTGCCTACCCTTCTTCTGGATGCACCCTTTTGAGTCTGCTGCCACCAGAACGTTTCCCGTTGGCTTTGGTCGGTTGTGACACAAGCAAGATCAAATGCCTCTTCCTCAACTAACATAGTGGTCGAAGCTACTCTAGCCTCTCCGGCTTCTCTGGGAATGCATGCTAAATTGAACACTTTGGTTTGGGAGGGACCAATGGTCAAGTCTGCAATGCCGATGAGCGACCCTAAGCCGCTAGTAGGTGACTGGAGGGAAGAAGAATTTGTGCTGGGTTCGCGTAATGAGGGGGATGACATGACGCAGGGGGTTGTTATATCGGCATCGGCGTTACGGTCGGATTGAAGCTTTACCGGACGAAGGCAGCCTTCAAAGACAACTTTGACCTCGGAGAGCTTGATGGGGCCAGATGATGGCTGAGCAGATGATGTAATCACAAGCTGGACTTGTAAAGGTTCGCCAACGTTCCCTTCTGACTTTTCAAATATGAATGACGCTGCAACTATACAAAGGCTCAGTAACCTAGCATCATGGGTTGAGGGAAAGAAGGCGCACTTACGACTCGATATGACATCTTCTGCTTTGAGTACAACTGAAGGCTTGGGCTTCTCCAATGGAAGGTCTTTGAGACTTTTATGTATATCGTAATACCCGTCAGGCCGTGCGGGGAAAGCTAAATTTAAATCAGAAACACGTCAAACAACAGAAAGATTAATTGCAGAATGCCGGAGCCTTACCCTTGTTGAGTAATTCCCAGTCCACACGGAGAATAGTCTCACTATCCTGCGCCTTCACGGCACACTCTCTTAGAGCCCGTGCAAATTTTTCCATGAGCGGCCACCAGCCAGAACGCCGCCAGCTGAGAGCTGACCACAGCGGACGCAGTGTCTCAAGACCGTCAGACCATGAGCCAATACGGATGTATTCTTCTGCTATCTCTAAGCTCAGACTCTCGACCTTCCGCGTTTGATCACGCTTTGAAAATTCCGCCAGTGCCGCTCTCAGAGTACACAAGATTAGATGCGAGTGATCAAATCCAGTCATCCCCGCCAGAGGAGCTTCTACATGGGTCTCCGGGGCCAAATATGTGTCGTACAGATAAGATTTGCTTGCTATCTGTGACGCGGGTGACTGTCCGGGAGGCATTCGATCTTCATCCGGAATCTGCTGTGCAAGTTTCCGCCGGAGTATGGAGTGTTTCGCTGAGCGATACAGCCAATAACCCTCGTGGTGAAGTTGCTCCCAGGGATAGATGCCATCAACGGTGGGCAATAGTCTGTCGCGGGGGATAAAAATTGAGTGATGCGCGTCTGGGGCACAGAAAAAAGGAATTTCAGCCCGGTGAATAAGCTGCGCCATCACCATTGACCATCTTGACTCCCACGCCTCCCACCCATAGTTTCTACTTCCTTTACCGCGTCGGTTTAGGATATCTTGACAGCGACTTCGGTGGTTAACCCATGACCGGACCGCAGCCATAGTTTGTCCCGCCCAAAACAGGCAGCGAATTATTCGCATGGCGAGAGAATCGGCCAAAAGACGTGCATCATTGAATCTTGGATTCCAGCCGGCGATGTTCTCGAAAACCTCCTGCCCAAACAGAGTCTCATAGGCACTTTCGTAATTCCTTAGTGCTGCATCCATTTCTTGTCGGAATTCAGCGAATATCCCCAGTTTGAACTCATATCGAACATTCCACCCTTGGAGTGATAGGGTTTGGGATGTGCCGCTTGTAGGAGGCGCCGTAGGCGGAGGAATGCTGCTTCGATTTCGCTTTCGCCTTGCATGCTTGGATAGATCTCGGTAGTATTCAACTACTGATGGTTGTAAGAAAGAGAATAAGGATCCTGCAAATCCTTTCAGCTCACTCCGTGTTGAGTCAGAGGGGAGGAGCATGATCGATCTGGGATCAAGATTGGTTGCTCTGCGAATGCTTGCTAGTCGGTCATCTGCATCCTCCAAAATGTCACCTTCTTCGGACAGCAGAACAACTAAAAACCGAGTCTTGTATCCGGAGGAAGACCATTCTTTCTTCAAGCCATTGATTTCTATCTTGAGCTGGTTATCACGGAGAGAACTCATATTGTGGTCCAACGAAAAAGGAAAGAAGTTGATAACGGCCGCGGGAACTAGTTTCTGGTGCTTCTCGACCCATAGAGGAGTTACCAGGCCATCTGGGAAAGTGGGAGAGCTTGGTGTCAATGGGGAGATCGGAGAATGGAGAACAAAAGACAAGCGCGGGGCATCATCATCTTGTCCGTCGGTAGGACTAGTCGGGGGGGATACAGGTGGGGGGTCGGCTTTGCGCGGTGGAAGTCTATAAGTCTATACAAGTATCAGCATGGGCCTGTTCCTACATGTTCCAGATATCATTTCGGGTTAGTTGTACAAGACAGTCCTGTCCCGGGGGCATTTGCCAAAAAGCTATCTTCGGGTAGGGAGTATAAACATACCCGTCCAACACTTTTTATTTTGAATCCAACTCCGGTCGACCTCGTTTGATTGTCTTCTCTAGGATTCCACGGAACCTGCGATGTATCTTCTTCCAACAGCACACTCCGCAATTCCTCCGCAGCCGCTCCGCTCAATGACGGGAAATCGGAGTAAATCTTCGCGCCCCTCTCAAAGAAGGGGTAATCGGCATCGCATGATTCGGGTTCATCCGTAGTGTCTGCTTCTAGGCCGGAGAGAAGGACAAGAGGGGTGTTGTGGACAACGTAATCTTCTGGGTAGGCGTCCATTGCGAACAATGGTTGCTTTGTAGAGCGTCGGTCACCGCATATCTAAACGTGGGGGAAACAGCTGAGGGGCCACCACAAAGGTTGACCACGGGCTAGGAAAGATATCGGCGAGATCAAAAACAGAGCCTCCGGCGGTTCTGGTATTTGTGCGTGCTTGCTGGTGGGCTTGAATTGTTGCTTGCCAAGATGCATGGGTGTTTTGTTGGACAGTTGCTATCACCACCCGATGCCAAGCCCGGTATCAGCCAACCTCAGGCCAACTCGGTATGCCAATAATTGTCAGTATGGTATGGATATGGGTCTCTAGTTTATTTTTGATGGATTAGGATTATAATGAAATGTAGAATATGTATGGGAAAAATCAGTGCGTTTATTTAGAAATTGATATATTTTTCTGTTTTTTTTTTTGTGTGACGAATGTATGTATGTGCAAAACATATTTATGTTGGAGATATATCGACAAAGCTTCATCGTTCGGATAGTACTTTACATGAACACTACAACATGATATTTCTGAACAAACTAAATGATTTGAATTAGAACACCAAAGACACCTCTATCAAAATCACAGACTTGCGTAGAATAAACGACCGAAGTTGTGAATATTGTTCGTAACAGGCCACTGTCAATTGGTATTCCTCGTATGGGGTATAATCATTGTCTTTAGGCATTGCAAGAAAACTTTATGATTTATGCCGACCGGTTTGATAGAGGCAATGAAGTGCAGACTCGAATGTCGTACGTCGAGCACAGACCATCGTGTTTTTCCATATGTACTCCATGCTCCATGCTCCATGCTCGTCCATTCGTACTATTTCATACTAAATCAGGGATTTCTCAATGTTCGTTTGTATCCAGAAAATCCAGATCAAAAGTTTCTTCGGTGTGGGGACCGTCCAAACGACTCCATGCCCATGATTCATGTCCTTGCAGATTTGCACGAGCTTTGGACAGAGATAACGTCACCATGATCCATTCTGAAACCTGTCAGGGACTTCAGGCCTTATGCAAGGCATCATCGGTAGTTCAACGTTGAATAAGTTGAGTAGCCATCCTAGGAAATAACTAATAATCCAGCGGTGGTCGTGGTCGACAGAGTCGGAATCGGGATGTCTTCAAAAATTAGGACCGCAGCCGGTCTGGTGGAGACACCAGGCGGCACCGTCAGGAGGATCCTTACGAGATCCCAAGGGCCAAGGAACCAACGAGCACTCTCATTTGATCGTATCTACATATGTAGGTAGTATTATTATGTATTGCAAGGAGTAGTCAAGGGAGAGAATTGAAGGATGAGCAACGGGCTTGTCCCCTTGGTCATCCCATGATGGTCGGGAAAGGCGTCAATACTCTGCGAGGACACTGGGTGAAATAAGAAGATTGTCAGTCCACAAGTCCAACAATTGAATAAATATCGCCTGCCGTGCAACCTGGCCTGATTGATTCTCTTGGAAATTTGGATCTGCGAACCGTCTGGAGGGGACTGGATGGTGGTCCTGCTGAGTGGATGTGCAGGAGGAAAAGCGTCCAGTCGGGGATTCTTGTTCGTATCTCCAGCAGACTTTAGTCTGGCCGTGGAGCGATTCTTAATTTCGTTCTTCTTTATCCACGGGGATTTTTATGCTCTTTTCTTCCCAGTCGCCCATCATTGCTCTTATGGTCACTCTCTTTCTTTTTTGTTTGTTGGATATGAATTAATATGATTGCTTCATTGCCCCTCATTCTTTATTCTTGCCAGTACTGCTCATATCCTGTTCTATCCCCCCTCCTCTCTCTGTAATAATTCTCCTCCATAATAATCTTTCTTCAGTGTCTTCTAGTTTGATTGCTTTCTTTTTTTATTTTATCTCTCCTTCGACCAGACGCTTTTACACCGATAATCGCTCCTTTTTTTTCTTTTTCTTTTTCTTTTTCTCCTTTCCTTTTTGTTTTCTTCCTGTCTTTTTCTTTTCTTTTCTTTTTTCTTTTTTTTTCCCGTGCTACCCCCCTCGTTCTTTGACTATTATTATTATTACCCCAGATAACGCCTTTCCCTGCAAGGGGCTCGCATTATCGCAAGGGGGTCAACTGTTGCACACCAGGCAAGGCTGTTAAGGAGACCCAGGAGTGGATAGGGAGTCTCTTTCTCGACTGGCACTTGCGCTGGGCTGCTGCATTGTAGATTAGCACCGTCTCTGGGTTGCGTCTGTTTTGCAGGAGGATCATGCATGTTCTTGTCAAGCCTTCCCGCATATATTCTCGCCTTTGACTTTCGCCTCTTTCACCAATTGAGTCGATTGGAGGTTCAACATCCTTGTCCACTCCTTTTCCGGTCGCTATGGACCGCCCTCAGGATGTTTCGACGTCCACGGCTGCACAGTCTTCGTTGCTTTCGCGACGTCGCAAGACGACCCCTTCGCGCCCTCCATCGTCCAATTCTCCCACCGCTGATATCTCCTCCCCCGAAGTGATATCCTCGTTGATATCCTCCCTCTCGACTATATCAGTCCCCCTCCAAACTCACTTTGAAGACGTCCCGTATTTCGACTCCGATGCGGTTCCGCCTTCCCCGCTGCAAACCGAGTTCCCAACAACGTTTCCAACCACGCCACTCCACCCCCCGCCGAATGAGTATGGTTTTGGGATGAGCTACGGGGCACAGAAGATTCCCGGGGAGCCGCCGCATAGTCCCTTCCTGCACCCAGATGATGCTGCTGTTGCGCCCGTCATTCGCATGGCCAGGGCGCCCCCATCCCCGAAGCTGAAAAATACTTTTGATCCTTCTCCGTCTCCCACGAGACCTTCCTCGAGGGGCTCGTATACATCCTCCAAGGCTGCTTACGAAGATTCCGCCTTTGGAATGATCACAGCGGAACCTGGCCCACGCGTGTCAACGGCGCCCAGCATCGCGTCTTCGAGCTCGGGAGGCAGAAAAAGCATCAAGAATCAATTTTCTTTGTTAAAGAAGTCATCCCGTGAATTTACTGGTACCGGTGACAGCGAGAAGCAAGCGGATCGGTTGCGGAAGACGAACAGTTATAACGATAGCTTGAGATACAATATCCCGCGCAGTAGAGCTAGCCTACGCTCTATGCAGTCCATGGCCGATGTGGCCGAAGAAGATCGCCTTGCTATGGAACCTCACCAAGAAAATGTTGTCAGCACACCGCCAAGTAAAGAGCGTCATTCATTACAAAGCATAAGGGATTCCCCAAGCAGTACTCCAGGTGGGATTGGGAGTAACAAGGTTATCCCTGCCCGCGAGTCGTCGCTGCGACATAGTTTCTCTTCTAGCTCTAGAAGGCACAGATCAGCTCGTCATAGCCGGTATTCGTCGACGGGTAGTAAGGAGATGAAAGTGGACAGTGGGGTGTTTGGGACTGGCAATGAAGCCGAGCAGGTTACAAAAAGGATACAAGAGCTCAAGGACCAACAGCAAAAAATAAAGACTGAATTGGAAACCGATAATACTCCAGCCAGATCCACGAGGGAAGCACCCGCCAAGCAAAGTCGACCCTCGCGAGCGCCAAGCGAAATTACCGTGGACACCATGTTTCAGGAAGATGTGAATCATCGAGGTCCTAGTATTGACGAGAGCGCACCATCCCCAGCGGTCATGACGGGGAAAAGTAGAACTGGAATTCGAACTCCCAGTTCGCCATTCGCATCCAAACCCACCAGCCCACAGCAGCCGCTCTCGGCAAGGCAGTCGCTTGATAGAGCAGACCAAATTGAAAGGCTTCGTTCTAGGCGATCATTGGAGCCAACAAGTCCTGCGAGACAGCACAAACGAACACCATCCTTCCCGGTCTCTACAGGCCGTGCTTCGGTTGTGGATGACCGCCCTTCGAGTGCAGATTCTATTGAAATTGCCGTCATTGATTATGTATCATCCCCCAAACTTACCCAGTGCGTGTCGCATCCTACGACTGGCCGTATAATAGCATTTTCGGAGGTCGGAGACCCCAAGGGCCATGTTGTCCTATGTTGTTTGGGCATGGGCCTTACGAGGTATCTCATGGCATTCTACGATGAGTTGGCGCGGACACTCAATCTCAGGTTGATCACGTTGGATCGCCCTGGTGTTGGAGAGAGCGGGCCTTATGTGGACGAATCGGGGACACCTCTCAATTGGCCTGGTAAGCATTAATATCTTCAAACCGGAGGGCTGTTTTGAATTCTGAGACTAACAACATGAAAGATGATGTTGCGATTGTGTGCAATCACCTGAAAGTGACCAAGTTTTCGATTCTCGCACACTCGGCTGGTGCGATATATGCACTTGCAACTGCCCTGAGAATCCCCCAGCATATCCGTGGCCGCATTCACCTTTTGGCTCCATGGATTCCGCCGTCTCAACTCTCTAACATAAGCTCACAGAAAGAACCCGTACCAACCAATGCGGTTCCCTATTCTCAAAGAATTCTTCGTGCCTTGCCTACTTCCATTTTGAAGGTCGCAAATTCGAGTTTTATGACTGCCACAAGTGCCAGTCTCACCTCTAGTTTACCCAAATCGCCTCGACGAAGCAAACGCAGGGCCACTACAAAAGATATCTTTACCGAACCGGAAGCCTCTGAACAAGTCCAATCAAAGTTATACCAGCAAGGAGACGATCTCAAGGCACTGGAAAATTTAAAAACACCTTTTACCTCGGACGAACCAGCCACTAATGTTGGAGTTGAGAAGAACAGAGCCTCTGTTGCCGCAAGTCAAGATCCAGAACGCCAGACAGACTACGATAACAGATTGACTCACAGAATCTGGGAGCTGGCGACAACGAACGCGAACCCGGCAGTGGACCTGCTGGTTTGCCTAGAACGTCGCCAACCAATTGGATTTCGTTATGTGGATATCACCCGGGCCGTTGTGATCCATCATGGAAGTAGAGATACCCGTGTTCCTGTTGACAACATTCGATGGTTGGGAAAGACCATGCGCCGTTGTGAAGTCCGAATTCTCGAGGGCGAGGGCCATGGTTTGATGGCCTCGGCTGCCGTCATGGGCAATGTCCTGATGGAGATTGCCAAAGAATGGGAGGACTGGATGATACTGGTCCAGGGAAAACGCAAGGCAACTGTTGGGGCACGATCCGGTATCGTGGCCTGACGGCCTCTTTATAATGACCATTTGGCCTTCATTTTGATGCAATGCCTTGGTCAGCTTTGTCCTTGGATGACATGCTATTTCCCTTAGCTACGCTGCAGCAGGTTCTGCGGCCACTGGCGTCCGTATATACCCTAATCACTCATTCTAGCTTTGATCCTTGACTTTGAAGCGTTGCAACAAAAACACATGTATACGTCGTTCATGTCAAGAGTTATGCCCTTTTCATTTTTATCATGATACCAATTGTCTTTTTTGTTGTTACTTAGCCTCATACCCGATCATAGCATAGATAGTGTTAATTTAATTCATAATCTATATATGAATTGCTCACAATGTTAGTAATTAAATGACAGGGGTTGTAAGAAAAGGGGAACCGGAACCACTCCAACGTGACGTTGTTCCGACAGGACCCTTTCTGCTCTCCCCGCAACTTTAGTTCTCTTGCGTCCCTGAATCAACAACACACGCGATATTCATCCAATTTCTTGAGCTCGGATCTTCCCTACTGAGTGAACGCTATGATATAAGTGCTTTTGGGCTGGAGTTTGCGCGCTTACCAAATGTCCTGTTATTGGGGTCGGAGCTACTTCGTCCATGACCCGTTGATCTTGTGCCAGCCACCGAATAGTAAGGTAGTCCATATTACGAGGCTGTGAAGCAACCTGTCTAGTTTGAAACCACATCTGACAGTGCACATAACGCTATTTGCCGGCAGGTCGCGCATACAAAACTTTACGAGAAGAAAACAATATATATACATTGGAAATCAATGTTGAGCTGTATATGAGCGCTTGAACCATTCGATACGATACTGCCTTATTATTATCCGCCAAATATGCCTTTTCAACGGCGCATGAAGATCATTCTTATTGCTGTGCTGAGCTTTATTGTTTTATTATTGTACTATTCGGTAAGTCTTCCAGCATGGTGATCTTTCATAAATTAGATCAAAAGCTAATGCGACGCGCAAACTACCTACAGGGCGAAGCCCGAAAGATCCAGAACCAAAAGTTCTACCAGTCTACGGTGCAGGCGATTGAAGCGCAAAAGTTGGCCAAAACATCCACCGAGAATAACAATGGCGCCATACATAATGTTAAATCGAATCAGAAGCCGGCCGATGAACAAATGCTAAAACAACCGGAACCCCCGAAGCAGGAGCCAGCGGTTCCCAAGGTCGATAACCAGGAAATGGAGGAGATCTCCATCGCAGGAAGGACAAAGATGCAAGTGCCTAAGAACAAGGACAAATCGCCGGACCAGGAGAAACCAACAGGGGCTCAGGGTAATGACGAAGCAAAAGATGAGCTCAACGGTATTCTGAAACGATCGCCAAGTATGTCGCTGCCCCTGACCACCTCTTTACTCTGCTGTATGGATCACTGACTGTTATGTGTGTGGTTGTTTAGTCATCATCTTCTCCAAATCCTACTGTCCTCATAGCGCCAGAGCCAAATCTATCCTCCTCGACCAATACTCCATTGTTCCCGCACCATACGTGGTCGAGCTTGATAAGCACCCCCTGGGAGCAAAGCTCCAGGCATTGCTAGCAGAGAATACCGGCCGTCGCACTGTTCCTAATGTTTTGGTCAATGGCAAGACCATTGGAGGTGGTGATGATGTGGCGGCCCTTAACGAGAAGGACGAACTGGCTTCGAAATTGAAGACGCTGGGTGGGAAATGGATAGTGGAGGTCAATCATAAGTAGACTGGACCGCGCGAGTCGCTACATATCACCTTCACTACCCCGTACAGGGGTACTATATGACGTTGGACACTGGAGTTCTGGGTAATGTTTGATTAAGGAATCACATTGGAGCATGGCTAGGTGTTTAGGATGTTTATATAGTACATATCGCAATCAACATACCGAATATGATCATATCTTGTACTCCTGAGGTATCCGAGACTGCCTGGTCAATTTCGAATAGGAGCTGCAGAATGAGCCATGCGCTGTAACTCAACGAGAGTTGAATAGACAAGCACCAACAAGCCTAGAGAAGACACGATAAAGAACAATCAGCATCATTGTCCAGAAATAAATCCATCTATGCGATGATCCCATCTATCGAATACTCCGAGATGACGGAATATCCGCCGCAACCCTAGCCAAATGGCGCTAAACCGTAACGGTCATTAAGCGACGCACAACCCGCCCGCCTTTGGTTTTCGCTCCACCAAGACCAGGCCTTGTCGAATTTCGATCCTTTCGACGACCGACCGCACGACGACATCGACAATTCTCCCCTCGGACATTCCACAGCCCACGCAGTCAAGATGCGGTACATTCACTCCGAGGAAAGGCTGCCAATCCCCGACAATGGTGAGCATTCGAAATTCGTCCCTGAAATTCTGCCCGGTTTGAAGCCAAAGAGGAGGACGGACGAGGTGGTGATGAGTGACACGGAGATGGAAGTCAACCTCTCTTCTAGAGGGAATTTGGGCGCCAGGAAGAGTGTTCAGACAAGACTTGTCCTCCATGGAGCCAAAAATGGCTACGGGGGATACTAACGTCGTTGCATTGAGGAATTCGAGACTGATTCAAATTTCGTCCTACAGTGAAGGTTCACATTCGTTCGCGGATTGTGACCGTTGAGGGACCCCGAGGTATGCAAATTTTCCAAAATCTTGATGTCCACTTCCTGCAATAGCAGAGCAGAAAAAAATCTGGTCTATGGGGATTTACTTTGATTCCGCGACAAACTAACATGGGATCGTTTCGCTATGTTCAGGCAAGCTCGTTAAGGACCTCTCTCACCTTGCCGTCACCTTCGGCCGCCCCGAGAAGAACGTTATCTCGATTGAGCTGCACCACGGTGCCCGTAAGGGTGTTGCTACCCTCCGCACCGTCCGCACCCTCATCAACAACTTGATCATCGGTGTTACCAAGGGCTTCAAGTACAAGATGCGCTATGTCTACGCTCACTTTCCCATCAACGTCAACATTGAGAAGAACGGCGAGACCGGCCAAACCGAGATTGAAATTAGGTATGGAACTGTGAACCCGATGCGTTATCGGAGGCAAGAGTGATAGATCGCTTGGTCCTTCTGCTTTGCCAAAAGAAAAAGAAAAAAGAAACCGAGAGGACATTTGCTGATGGCGGATTTTCCCAAACAGAAACTTCCTTGGCGAGAAGTACGTTCGCCGTGTTACTGCCCAGCCCGGTGTTGAGGTCGCTACCTCCCCCAACGTCAAGGATGAGCTCCTGCTCTCCGGTAACTCCCTCGAGGGTGTCTCCCAGAGTGCCGCCGACATTCAGCAAATCTGCAGAGTGAGAAACAAGGATATCAGAAAGGTGAGACGACCGGTTTATCCCGCCACTCATACAGGATTACTGACGTATCCACCCAGTTCCTTGACGGTCTGTACGTGTCGGAGAGGGGTAACATTGTTGAGGAATAAAGTATGACGGGGTTTGTCCGCCTTGGTGGGTAGTTAGGAAGTCTGGAGAATCTTTTTTTCGCCTACTTGCATAGGGAAAGGCAAAGCGAAAATAAAAAAGGACCATGGAATTCAAATGCCCCTTTACGTGTCCACGGTAAATGGCTTGTATTAGCTGGGATTCGTGGTGTGTAGAAAATGTTCGGCTTCTATGAGCAACCAATTTCATTTTTCATTCAAACCATTTTCCCCGGAGTTTTTGTAGTCTACTGGTTTGACTATGCTGAATGATTGCTCTACGGGTGAGGGTATTTAATGTTGGTAGTTATCTGTTATAATGCGACAGGCAACATATCATCACTCATCAATTATGCTCATTAGAGGTGTAATCTTGATCCAGTCAATCAAACTATACCTGTCTCCTGAATCTATTTAGCGTTTGTGAGATATGATGAGCAGGAAATTGATTAAGAATGAACCATCCAATCCTGTATGTATACAACCGGCGGCGGATGATGCGGGGAGACGAGTCCGTAGACCCCATCCCGTTGCGGCCACTCTTTCTACTCCTCCATCCATCCCTATCCTATCCTCTCTCACCTCCTCTCATCGCCTAAATTTTCTCCAATTATCCTTCTTATCACATCTTACACTGTTGACGATATCCAAGTCGACGTGACCTCCTATCTTCTAGTCATTGATAACCAATACCTAGCATGTGAAAGACCAGTCACCCGACATGTGCCGTCGCCCATCGATCTCCACAGATGTCGTCAGTATCGTCTGCTATAGATAGAGATCATGGAGTCCTGGGCAGCTATTTGCGGGCTCTTTACAGCGGTCATCAGCATGATGCTTGATGTCGCGCAGTTCTGGAAATATGTACCGTCTTGCTTTCATACCCCTGTGGGATGGAGAAGGGAACTAACCTGGCTGGTACTTTACAGAGGCTACTGTCTTGGTGGAGGTCCAAATCGCCTCGCGATAGACTGCTACATTGCTTAGCGATAGCACAAACCTATGAGGAATGGGAGGACGCTGCTTTCGATTTGGACGAACTTCTCAGCACGGATCTGTGGTCAGCTTGATTATAGAGATTTTCCATGCACTGCTGCACTGCTGACAATCAACGACAGGCGCCAGAACCCGACCAGCCGCCATTATGATTACCGACTGATTCTTGGACGACTAGAATCCTTGATCAGCGCTCGAGAGGATGAAGACATCCTGACCCTCGTTAACCTTCTCCGATCGGGACTCGTGCGCAACCTGGGCAACATCACCTCCCCAAAACTATTTGTCCACGCTTACGCCGGGACGAAACTCCTCATCGACGACTATGTTACACAGGTCGCGCTTTCTATACAGCACGTTACAGCACTGCAAACCACACCCATCCATGAGAGTGGGTTCACATCGCAGGCAAAGCTGGAGCTGCTTCACGATACCCGCCAGGCCTTTGGTAGAACGACTCTGCTCCTCCAAGGCGGGTCAATTTTCGGACTTTGTCACCTGGGAGTAGTAAAAGCACTTCATTTACAGGGCCTCTTGCCCAGGATCATCACGGGAACTGGTACCGGGGCATTGATTGCCTCTCTTGTTGGAATACACACGGAAGATGAGTTATTGACTTTTCTAGGCGGTGAGGGGATCGACTTGACAGCATTTGATTTTCGAAAAAAGGCCAAGGCTTCCAGGGAAGGCAACAGGTGGCTGCCAAATGATGATGGAAATGGCTGGCTCGGTACGCTGGTTCGACGTGCGAAGCGATACGTCCAAAAAGGCTACTTTCTCGACGCAGATGTCTTGGAAGAATGCGTGCGAGCGAACGTGGGGGATCTCACATTCGAAGAAGCATATGCTAGATCGAAACGCATTTTAAACATCACCGTTGTTACAGCAAGCAAGAGTGGAACACCAAACCTGCTAAACTACTTGACCGCACCCAATGTAGTATGTGCATACTAGTACCCAAAAAGCCCCATAATCCGCTGACATTTCTGCTACAGTTGATTTGGTCAGCTGCAGTTGCTTCTAACACATCGGCGACAACACTCTATACACCTGTCACAGTCTATTGCAAAGACGAGACCGGTTCAATTGTTCCATGGCCACACTCACAGGATGCAACCTTTCGACCATGGCGTCATGTCAGCTATAACGATGGGGAATCGCCGCTTTCACGTATTGCGGAGCTATTCAATGTCAACCACTTTATTGTGTCGCAGGCCCGGCCATACCTTATCCCTTTCCTTCAGTCCGAGTTGAATCTCCTAGACCGGCGTCAGACGGGTCAGTGGAATATCACTCGGTTCCTCATGCGTTTAGCCACCGCAGAAATTCGTCATCGACTACGGCAATTTGATTATGTCGGTCTACTCCCGCAGTCTCTGGCCCGTTTACTTATTGAGGAGACAATTCCCGGCTCTAACCTGACCCTGGTACCGGATCTTTCCCTGAACGATTTTAGCAAATTGTTCCAGAATCCTAGCAAGGAAGGACTGGCAAATTGGATCCTCAAGGGCGAACGGGGGGTTTGGCCGGCCATCAGCGCCCTGAAAGTGCGTGGCGCCATTGAAATAGAACTGGACAAAGGGTATCAACTTGTTCGGCGACGGCGGTCAAGTGACCACTCTCCCGTGGCTACTGTTCCAGGACAGCGATGGGCTGCAAATGAGGGTGTTCCCAGGAGACGACGGGGCTATAGTATTGATTATGGAAGAGACAGTGGGAGTTTGTTGGGTGGTTCGGAATATTCATGATGGTTGCTATGTACATATTTATCTAGATAAAAAAAGGAGCCAAATGACAGTATTGAGCCAGTATGATCTGGAAATTCATGGAATAAGCAGCATATAGGGGATACACTGAGCAAATGTATGTGGGTCTGAAAACCACATCTCGTTCGCTAAATGTCTAGACATGGATCACGAAGCATGCCCTTGCCTTTTCAGTCCTGAGTTGATAATCTATATACCATACCAGACCCCAGAGATGGCCATGAAGCCAATAAATATGGGTGAGGCATAGTTCATAGATACCTTTGTCACAGGTAAGGAGGTTGGCATGCTGAATAGGATGGGTTCAAATGCAATCTAGAGAAGTGTGATAACATTGATAATTGGTCCAAGCACGTGACCACAGTTACACGGGGCCTTGGAGACCTCACTTCTACCATAGTATAGGTTAAGGAAGATGGGCATCACGCAGGTGACGGCCAAGGATATAATCAGGGAGACAAAAACTGTGAAAGCACTGCGGCTTCCTAGATTGATAAGACTGAGAAGCATCTAGACAATGGTTAAGAGGACTAGGGACCAGACTGGCACACTGAGGCGCTTGTCCATGCGAGACCAGAGACTGGCAAACAGGATGGCATTATCCCGTGCAAATGCCCAGGTGGCTTGAGACGCCACAACAGTGGTACTGATTGAACAGAAGAGGGCAATGACCAGGACAAGAAAGGTGAGTCCTAGGCCACCACCGGGGCTTCCCATTACCTTTTGAAATATATACGGAAGAAAAAGGCCTGCGGGAGCGTTGATAATGCCTACAAGTGGAAGGAGAGTAAAGCATATGGAGAGAATAAAAAAACAGTCCAAAGAGTCTGATCAGTACACACAAACTAATGGCTTGCGGTACTTTGATTGCTGGGTTGGTGCGTTCTTATAAGTGGATGGCAACAGCCTGATGAAAAGGTGAAACCATCCCATCCAGAGAAACTTTGTCATAACGGTTCAATGCATAGGCGGCACTATGTTGTCCAGCGTCGGCCTTGACAGACAGTGCAATGCAGACTACAAAAATCATGATTGCAGTCCAGGTGGCGCATATAGTGTCAACTTACAAGAGATAACGGTTTGCAAATGTAGAAATGATGAATAAACCAAGGCAGATGGCATAGAAGATCAGCAAGAGCTGCCAGTTATTAGCATTCCAGTTTAGATGATACATTGAGACTGTGGCTGAGACTAACAACGCAAAGCCAAAATTCACAGACAGCGTGATGGTCCAATTTCCTATCAGCTAAACCCAGCCGCTGATGAACAAGATGACCATTTTGGAGCCCCGCAATATTTAAAAAGACCAATAATAAGGGCCTGCAGAAGTCGGATATCGCGAGGCAAGCTCAGCCAAGGACAGAGCAACGCATTCATCCAGGATGCAAGCCATGATCCAGCCAACAAAGATGGACAATGGGCCACCGCCGTAGATGACATTGGTCAAAGGGCCTCCTTCGCCATAGGGGATCGCAGTGATGGCCAAGGTCTGAAATAGCAGAATGACCAGGGAGCGATTTCGATGGAGTTCCTGTTTATAACCCAGCCAGTTTACATCGTCGTCGTGAATTCCCCCTGCCCCAGAGTATCATTTTCATCTTGTGTAGTTCTGGAGCACCAAACTCAACAAGTCAGTGATCCACATTTCCAGTGATACAGAAAAAACACTGCATTAGCAATGAAACCTGCGTTGCTGCTAGCTGTTTCTTCAGCCAGACATGACCTACTCATGGCTAGAAACCACCGCAAACCCGGTTCCAATTTTGTGTAACCCCAAGGATTACCGATTGGGAATCGAAATGCAGTGGATATCACAGTACTAGTCCGCAAACCAGAAGAAGCCCCATGACTTTTTCTGTGCCCCATCAGGGTATTCCCAACCAACGAGTCTAGTTGTATCAGTTGATTTCCAATAGTCATTGCACTAGATTTGTTGTTCTCTCTGCCCATCTGAAGTTCCCGGGGATTGCCATCTTTTTTTTTTTGTTTTTCGCTGCAAAAGGGTATATCATTTAGAATGAAGCATTATCATTTTCACTCAATGTCGATATTAATAGATTCATGCAAGGAGGCTCTGCAGTCATTACATTCCCTGTTTGACTTGTTGAGTGCTGGCATGGAAGACAATAATACTCCTGTTTCATAATAGCCAGTCAAGCTGCATATGATAAAGCTTGAGGAAGCTTGGACTTTATGCAATTACTGCCATGAATATTAAGTGGATCGTGAGGGACATCAGATTTCATGCAAAAATGTGAGGAGAAATCCAGTGTCTCATCCAATCACCTGCTTTATTTCATATTGAAGAGAGTAATCAGTAGGAAGAGTCGTCATTTCACGGGCAAAGAAAGAACCGTGTCCAATGGTATCCTGGACAGTTCACCCGAATAAGTTTCGTCTTCGTGAAGAACAGTCAGTGCATCTTGAAGAATTGGAATGCCCACGAAGAAATCGCGGTCAAGGAAACCGGAAGAAGGCTTGTAAGCTAGCCAACGCAACGACAATTCTTAGTGATTGTCTAGCGGAATGAGCATTGAGAAACATCTCAAGGCCACTTTTCCGGCACTATATTTTTTAAAAACTCTCCAATAAGGAGTATGCAAACAGGTGTCGACATGTAGAGATAAGGCCAAAGGCTAGATTGTCTCATCCAAAAGCCACGGCAAACAAGCACGGTTGCTGGATGAGGAAATTTCAAGTATTGTATTAAGCCAAAAGATGCTCGGGATATACAAAAATCAAAACATAACGTCAGAGTATCAACTCGCTGCGCCGCAGCAGAATTATCTTAACAGTAGAGAAATGAAAACAATCAACTAGGACAGACTTAACATCTACATGCACCTAGGAGTAGCTAGGAGAGTGCAGAATTTCTTTTCCCGAGAAAGCGGAAAAATTAATTGATAGCAGTTGAAGGACGTGCTGAACGGGGGCGAAGAGATTCCCGCAGAGAATGAGGACGTGCCGAACCAGGGCGTGAACCGCTCGGGTGAGGAATGTATTCCAATGGAGGAACTGGGAAATGTAAGTCAGGTGGTTTTCTGCCATATGGGTGAAGATACTCACTGCTGAATCCATAACCATCGGTAGTTCCGTCTCTGTCTTGCGGGTCGATTTCTACTCTAATAGAAACATCCAAGCCACCATGCATGCCGCTGATATTGCTAACGCCATCCGCAGCAGAGTGCTTACTGCCTGCACCAGCCTCGCCCCTGTGAAGCGGCGCGTGTCCATCCTTGGGCAGAGTGAATGGGGAGTCTCCATTCGGTGGGGCTTGATCATCACCATTTGAGACCGGAGTCTCGACTTCAGTGAGACAAGCGAAGTTCCGGGATGGCATCGTAACCTTGTTCCATGCAGCACTCTTCTCCTTTCCTCCTGGCTGCTGGTCGAAGAAAGGCATGAGGGTCTCATCGGTGTAATGATCCAAATGATGCAGTTTGTTTCTCCGGGCCAGAAGATTGGCCACCGCTTTGGGAGGAGGCTTGTTGGTGATAGCGCTGCTGACAACGTTGACCATGTACCGGTGGTCGTTCTCGCTTTGGATGCCAAGCTTGGGGTGCGAATAGAATCGCCCGATGGCGGCTAGATGCACATCACCGCCCAAGATCGTCACTCGGATGTTGTTGGCCTTGGCAAGATCTTGAAGACGCAGAACAAAAAGCTTTCGCTCTCGCTTGTGCTGACGAGCGGTATAGTGGTCGTCCAGGTCATCCAACAAATCCACCTGGCCATCAAACTGGTTGAACAGCCCACCGGCAACCCCAAAACGCTTGTTCAAAAGACGGATCGGTGCAATGATTGGGGAGCTCAGAATGTTCTCCAGCCATGCCAGACGGGGATAGGCGATTGGAACACCCAGCAAGACCACCAGATGTTTGATGTCGCCGTTTGCTGCTGCAATTTCGCGTTCGAGACGAGAAAACATGAGATCGTAGGTATCTGGGTAGTTGACCTGGTGACGAGTACGTTCTGTGCGAGCGTCGACACCGAGGAACGCGATTCGCTTACCGAGGCGCATGTACAGATTCCGACTCTTTTCCTCTACATAGGGACCAGGGTTATTGCCAATGATCCAGCTGTCATCTGCCACTTTCTCTTCCAGGACAAAGGTGTTTTCCAACTGCCGAGGATCGGCACCTGCAGTTCCGTCGACGGCCTGCATAGTTTGCGGGGCGTCCGTGGTATAGGTCGACTTGGGTGGCGCAATATGATGCTGAAACAAACAGTAGTACTTGAAAGCGACGCCTCCAATGCCCCGGAAGACGGAGCAACGCATGAAGTGATCCGTGTAGGAGCCGAAACCGTCAATAATGTCGTGATCATCCCAGACGTTAATCTGGGGGATCTGCCCGTTCGCCGTCTTGAAGGGCTCAGTCGAGTACCAGTCAATATATCTGTCATAGTACCAGTCATCACACCGCGCACGGAGATCATTGTTGAAGTCATGTGCCCGTCTTTTATGGGGGTTGCTAATCGAAGTCCATTCATTAAGAGGGCCATCCACACGAATCCCGTCTTGGTAGATCTGGTCACCGCCACCGATCATAACGTGGAATGGTTTCTGCGCATGCAACCGCACTACATCATTCCACAGACTGGGGCCGATCCAAGCGTCCATATCAGTACCGACAGAGAAACCATTGCAGGAGTGAAACATGATGCGCATGGACTGGTTCACCGAGGGAACCACAAACGTCATCGGGGAGCGGTTCAATTGGCTGTTGACATACTGGAGGTCGGGGATGTCATAATCCCAGCGCGCCTCGTATGATTCCAGTGGTATCGAGAGCGAGAATCGCCAAAACGCCTTCCCGGGATCTTCGTAAAGCATGAGTCCATCAATCGCATGACTGGACGCATTGAATTCGGCTTGAACGTTGGTGTCAATGGGACCAGCCTGGCGCAAGTGCAACTGCGGCTGTCCCTGGCCCGGTTTGGTGACAATCAACACGCTTCCATGCCATACGGAGGAGGACGTTTCGACATGCATGTTCTTGAAATTGATCAGAGGGCCGCAGAGGACGTCAATCGGCGCGTTAGTGCCATTGCTGACAGCTTGAACCCAGGAGTCCAGGTTAGCAAGAGATTCCACCGTAAGAAAGATTTCAATATGGGTGAGGCTCACCTGGCTGGGCCCCAGATTGAGGATAGAAACGGTTGACCATGATGCCGCACGACACAGATTAAGAGTATGTGGGTATTATTGTAAAAGGGGATTATGAGGGTATCGTAACAAAAGGCACAAAAGTAATGTTAGAAGGAAGGAAGAAGAAGGAGAAGGGAGAGAAAAGGAGAGGGAAGGGGGTTGGGAAGGAAGAAATTATGAACAAAGCACAGGATGGATTGACCGTCGGAAGGGGAGGGGGAGTTGTATCTCAGCTCAGACAGAGACAAACGAATGACAGGCAGCAAAAAAAGGGCCGTTGCTGTAGGGCTGCAGCCAGAAAGACGAACAGGGCTGAAGAAAAGGAAAAGAACGACCGAAAGAAAAGCAGGAAAGAAAACGAGGGCGATTGACTTTGCGATGACGACTTTTGATTAGGAGCAGCAGCCAAACAGCCAGAGGAACAGTGATCCTGGGCCTTGGCGCCAAGCCTGTCCTTGGGCGTGCCTCCCCATTGGACAATGCCATTACTACTATGTACCCACACCTGCCTCGGCAGCGGGGAGTGGAGGATATCAGCCAATAGTGTCTGGCTGATTAGTGGGGGAGGGGGCCTCACAGCCACTATTCCTATTCAGCCACGTATGTAAACACTACCGCAAGCCACAGCGATCGCGGCGCACACCGATTGGGCTAGAGCGTCAAGCATTTGTGGCGGTGAAGAGATGGGGTGGCTGTGCACGAGCAGGTGACCCTCGCCCTCATCTGGCATCAATGCATGTCATCGATGCAGTCAGATAAATCTACGAACAGCAGTAGAGCAGTATTCCCTTGACTCGTGACATTCCCTATGCGCATGCTAAATACATGAAGCCACAACTAAATTGTAAAACATCCATCCTACTTTTTTTTTTGATCGTTTTCTCTCCATTTTCACCTTTTTTTTCAAATTTCTCATGCGAAAATCAATCAACCCTCAGCTTCCCGCAGTTGAACAACACGTGGTGTACTCTAATACAAAAAAGAAAGAGAAGAAACAAAAGGGAGCAAATCTTACATCGTCAAAAAGAAGAGACCATGCTCCTGTCCCAAACATTATCCGTACAAAGAGGATCGAGAATTGTTCAGTGCAATGGGGATGTCGAATATCGACTCAATCGAAAATCGGTGTCTCAAGGGACCAAGTGCCTAAGAAAAATGCAAGTGACAAGAAAATAAGAGAAAAGAGAAAGAAGGAAAAGAAGGAGAAGAAGAAAGACAAAAAAAAAAAAAAGCCAAAGACAGGGGTATCGTGCAACTGACAAAATGCTGAGTGTCTTTTTTCGAAAATGTTGAAAATTGTCGAGAAAGCTGAATCAAACTCCAGGAAAATAAAATTGATGACATGCAAAGAACAAATGGAAGGGGACATGTGGAAGAAAAACCTGATGTTGAAAAAAGGAGGGGAGGGGCAGAAAATAAAAAGAAACCAACTCCACTCAGCAAAATAAAGAACAAAGAAATATCGATGTGAACATAGTTTTGACAATATTGTCCAACTCATGTCCATCTAGATGCTCGCGATCATCTCAATCCAAAACAGGGCTAGGGAGGAGACGACGAGCCTGGGGAGTGGGAGTGTCGGGGTACATCAACGCAGGAAGCTCCAGAGTCCAGTTGTCTCGTGCAAAGTCGAAGCCCACGTCGCGTTCTTCAGGCTCCATGGCGTATTCATTCATCGGCTCACGCTTCACGCAAACCCCAATGTCAGTCAAAAGAGAGCCAAACCGACCACGGTTCTCAATTTTGTCCAACTCTGGGTGCGCCTGGATAAGATCCATGGTACGAATCAAAAGGAGTGACAAAGGGACTTTATGGTACTCTGTAGCTTCGAAGTCTTCGAAGTCCTCGCGCACTGGAGTCACGATGCCAGGGGAGCAGGGGCTCAAAGGTCGTTGGGGCACTGATCTGTACTGCAGTGGAGGCGATGGTGTTCCGGGAGCTCCCGGGGGGTACAAAAGGACAGCTGCTTGGCTTTTGTCCGTTTTCGATAGCATCCTAGCAAAGATCTTTCCAGGGGATTCCGGGGGAGTGTCAGTGTTGGGCAGGGTAAAGAGGTCTTCCAATTTCTTCTCGGTCTCTTCGCGGCTCTTGTTTCGATGATTTTCCCGGATCTCGTTGCATGTATCGACACTAGGGGGTTGCCATTCGCGGTTTCGCAGACTGCCGTCATCGGTGGACTTGCCATATGTGTAAAGGTCGTTGATGTATTGGTTGTACGAGTGCTTGTGGCTGTACGCCTCCATAGACAGACCATCACGAACTGCGAACCACGCACGGTATGAAGCCCGTTGAAGAACCAGGCGACATTGGTCCATGTAATAAGTGAGCTCGTAACTCAATTTAGCCACAGCAATTTCATCCATTGCGAAAATGCCTTCTGCACAGTCGACTACCCACTGACAAAATTCGACAGCGAGGACAATTTCCATTCCGGGGTCATCACACACCCCTTCGAACGTCTCGCAGAGAGGACTGCAGCTGAGAAGACCCATGTTTAACCTCCCGTCACTTTCGGAGAAGCTGCGTCTCAGAATGGTGGCAAGCGATGGGATCGTGAAACTATACACTGTGACACCCTCTTCCCAGTCTGCGCGGACATCCCCCATGGTCTTGGGCGACCAGTGAAAATGACGGGCAAAAAGTGTCCTTTCAATGGTATCGAATCCAAGGATATACTGTCTGCCTTTGAACACAGCTCCCTCGTTTGCAATAGGTAAAATACAGAACAGAATCTTCGGCTTTCCGAAAACACAAGGATTGTCTGTTGAATCGTCAAAGAAGTCTTCAAAAAAGAAAGGACGGCATTCGTCTCCATCGAAAACCATCATGCTGTTGCTGCGAAGGGTATTGTTTCTTCCTGTTTCAATTCCAGCTAGGTACAGATGATAGTCGACAATACCCCACGGATGTCTGACGTTGGTATACTCTTCTTCGTCCTTGTCATCTTCTGGATCGGGGCAATTGGCAAATATTGGCGATATCAGTTCACCATTCTCTTGAAAGATGGGTGAAACCAGTCCAGAGCCCTCTTGGAATATCGGTGATACTAGCTCTGAACCTCCTTCGAAGATAGGCGAGACTAACTCGGGGCCTTCTTGACGAAAATAGGACGCGATCAACTGGGGGCATTCTTGACAGTAATACGATGATACCAACTCGGGGTTTCTGAAGAGGGGCGACACCAACTCAGAGTCCTCGGAAGCCGATGGTGATGATACGGGGTTATCGAACATGGGTGACATCAACTGAGAGTTCTCAGAGATTGACATTGGTCCCAGCAGCTCGGCGAAGTTGCCAGACTCGTCAATAACCTGGCCATTTCCAATTCCTATATGTTGATGGAATGAGGGATGGGTTGACAAGACTTGAGCATCCATACCAGACGGGGGTAACGAGGGCTCGTCTTCGAGGGACTCTTGGCTAGACTTGATCTCTCTCCGGCTTCTCTTCAATTTGAAGACAGTAGTCATAGGAAACTCATCCGCCGAGTCATCCATCTTGTGTGCCATAGCTGGGTCGAATCCCCGGGTCCGCTGGCGCGAAAGGAGCGCTTGTCGAAGGCCTCCCGCTGTTTGGATACAGTCTTTGAACGAAAAGTGACAGTAAAGTAAAGTGAAGACAAGATAAAGCGAGGCAGTACTTTCGATGAAAAGAGCAAGCTTGATTTCTTGGAGAGGAAGTAGAAAGGGAAGCAAAGAGAATTTGAGATGGTTGTGAAGGTAAGAGGAACGGTGGTGGGTGAAGAGGGAAGAAAAGGAAGAGAAAGAAGAGAGGGGAGAGAGAAATGAAAAAAAAAAAAAACAGTATCATTCACTCTTTGTGAATGGACCCTAGTTTCTTCAGAAAAGAAGACATATCAAAAGTGGTGAGAACAAGAGGCTTTGTATACTACATAGGGGACTACAAGACTACATGGCTCTACAGTGTCTTCTCCAGATCAGCAGCGACCTCATCGCCGAGAGATCTTCATGCAGAGAGATCGTGCAGGATGAAGAGGAGAATCGCTGCTCTGATCCTGCGTGATGGCTGCATTTCCTCTTTGGGACATCTGCTCGCTTCTCGTTTCGCTTCAGCGCCTGAGGCTCTCCATCTCCAGCCCCCCTCTTGTCTCTGGGGAAACAAAAGAATCAAAGAATCGATCACCTGTGGGATTCTCTGGACAATCCATTGATCTTTTCTTTTTGGACTTGTTGTTCTCGAATACATGTGAAACCGCCTTCGACAATGCACCTTTTGTCTCTGATGCGAAGATTCGAGAGAAAAGGCTCATTCAAAAACACCTGTTTCACGAACCTTAAAAATAGACAGACAAAGAAATTCCCCATGTCAAGACTTGAAACAGACTGAAGCATACTATAAACAATCCGCTTTGTCTTCGTGCGGGTGTCAAGGTGATCCGAGAATCTCAACGTCAAAGGGTATTGTTCCGTATTCGACTGATATTATTTCGACTTGGTATAACACTAGTTCAAGTCACTCAACGATAATGTCCCGGTCCTGCACGCTCTCTTTGACGGGTGCCAGATCTTAGGGTTGCTTTGTTCTCTCGCGACACAGTTTCTTTCAGCTCTTTGTTGAGATGACATTCAACCATCGAGTATCAAAACATCAACTTTATTGTAAAAGAAAAGAAGTTTTAAATTGCAATGCACTGATAGAATTTGTACTGTACATAAATATTATCCAAGAATAGGTCGAAAACTAGTAGCGTCGACTGTCCTATTACTCAGACACAAGTTTTTCAAACCATGTCATTTCCTCTCGTCGCTTCTTCTCCCTTTCTTCATTGTAGGCAGTTGCCCAGATAGCTCCGACAAGATAGCCTCCCAGATGCGCCCAGTGGTCCACCCTGGCAACCCTGAATGGAGACACCAGGTTGAACAATTCAAAAGCGACAATCCCGGTGAGGAATACAGACCCACGGACGGATATTATTTCCTGCCATTCGCGAGGAAGGAAAAAGACGGTAAGCCTGTCACTGATTCCAAGTTAGTCTGCGGTTTGAGTAAAATAGGCAAACAATACGTACTCCGGTTTGAGCATGCACCAAGCAGAAACAAGACCAGACATTGCTCCACTAGCTCCAAGTGATGTGACCATCAGTCGTCCCATCATGACATGAGCAACCATAGAGGTCATCGAGCCAAAGACACCCGCTGCCATGTACAGAGGTAGGAAATTCCCGCGGCCAATCTCATCATGAACTTAAGCAATCAGTATCCATTTTCTCGCAAAGGGTTCCGGGGTATATCAAAACTTACGTCTAGTTCCGATAAACCACAGCACAAGCATGTTTGCCGCAAGATGCGAAAACGTTTGCTGACTGAAGACACTTCCCACAACACCGAGCGCATGCGGGTAGAGTGGAGCGTTGATAAAGTAGCGGTTGAGCATCCTCCAGGCAGGTGGCACTTTCCACAAAGCATAGATGCCCAGGTTGATTCCAATGATCGCCATGGCTGTGGCTGCTGCTGGTGGGGTATCAGGCCACATACGACCTCTCTGTGTGGGAGGTTCGTAGTTCAAGGCGAAGGCGTAGCAAAGGACGAGTGTAAGGAGGGTTACTCCGAGAGTTGGCAGAATGCGACGGGCCTGCAAGCTGGGTTAACCAATATCCAAAATAAGTGACGTACAATCTCACAGTAGTCATCTTTTCTAAATCGATATCATAGTCCGTTCCTTTTATATAGTGCTTCTGTACCCATGCTAGTACCGGACGTTGACTAGGATCCGCTCGCTCACGGACTATGAAGATACTGTTAGTTTGTCCAGAGACAAAATTTTCAATATATCATATCTCCATTCTATAGCCATACCTTCCAAAGTAGGGGCCTCCTCGAACTTTTGTACTGCCGTGTTCTGGATTTGCTGTTGCTGCCTTTCACGGTCAAGCTCTTCGCCTTCCAGCCATTCCCGGCGCTTTTGTTCTTGTTCCTCTAGAAGTCTGGCCTCATTCTTCTCTCGCGCCTCTTGCAGAACACTCTTTCCGAAGGGGTCGTTCGACTCGCCCCGTTCTGCACCATATGAGCCACTCTGTGGTTTGTACAGACCCAAATTCTCTGCTCGACGGATAAGCTTTTGTTCCTCCTCATAATATTCCTTGTCAATGCGGGCAAGAATCGCAGCATCTTCATCGAGTGGGTGATTTGCGCGGAGCCATTTCAGAGCAGCATTGATAGCCGGCTGGCGGGCAGAGTGGGTTATATCATCGGGGAGATCAAGATCAAGGGTACCAGCGAGACGTCGGCCCTGTAGAACGGCGATAATGCGGTTTCCCGCTTCCGGTGAGAATCTTCCACGACCAAATATCGCATTGATTTCGGCAGCAGAAAGGGGCTGGGAACAAGGATGCACACCATGTTCAACCGGGGGGGGCTGAGACCGTAGATGACCGGAAGTTTGGAAGGACCTGGATGGGAAGGCAAATGGAAAGAATTTTGGCACCAGGCCAGCTGACTGAAACGTAGGAGAGGAGAGCGGATTCAAAGGCGAAAAAGACCGTCTAGATATACTATATGGACGCCATGGGGGAGAAATGCGGAGATCGCGACAGACTGAGCGGAGCGTCGTTGTCGCTGGATTTGGCGGGAGCAGGCTCAAGGGACGGAGCCCCGGGCATGGAATCCGCCATGCTACACCGAACGCATTGCTCATATCCAGCGATTGGAATCGGAATCCTGCTGGGAGAAGCTGGTTCGGATTGGACGTGGAGACTAACAATGATCGACTGTCAGAGAAACGCAACGCCGATGCAATCCGACGATGGCCAATAATTGTTTCTCCGAGCCGACGATGAATTGTTCCGAAGCAGAGTATACAGACATGCAAAGATGGCCATTAAGAAACAATTTGAGATGGTTGGTTAGAAACATAGAGCTATATCCATTGATTGGGATATTGCATGTGTGATGTGATGGTGGTCTATTGCTGATATTTTATAGCTGGAGTATACACGAAAGAAGTATATATCAGAGAAGCAAAGCATCACAGATGATAAACACCAAGTCATTAAAACCCAGAAGATATCCAACGGAAACTGCCTATAAGAAACGAGAAGAATATATCAAAATTGGTCTCATCTCTTGCCCAGACAGAAACCAGTATGCAGAGACTCATGTCGATTCAACCTCAAAAACCCTATTATCATCTAGGTACAGACACACGTGATGATAGCGATAAGCAACGACATTCTCATATCATCAGTTGTAATCGCAACAACAAACAAACAAACAAACAAAAAACCACCTATATCGAGTTTTAAAGAGTACGCTTGGGCGAGAAATTAAGATGTCTGAAGAATCCAACCCCATCCCTCCGTCTCTCTTCGCAGAAGCCATCAAGGAGCTCCCCCTCTCCACCATCTACGCCAAGGTCTCCGAACTCCGAAACTCGATCGCCCACCTGCACCGTTCGAACGATGAATTGCGTACCTTTGTCACCGAGTCATGCGACACGGAAGATGACAAGCGAGAACTGGAAGGGTATATCACAGAGAACGAAGGGGTTATCACCTCCATGAGAGAACGGATTACGCTTCTCAAAGCGGAAGTGGAAGGGCGGGGTCAGCAGTGGATTGAAGTGGAGGATAGCAACAACAACAATAACAGTACCGATACAAATGCCAGCTCGGGGGAGAACCAAACACCGTCTTCCGTTGTTGTAAATGGTGCGGAGAACCAGGGGTCAAGGGATACAGGTGCAGATGAGGGGCAGGATGGTGTCTATCTCTAAGGGTTCTCTCATTGATTCAATAATTCAATAAAGATTGAACATCAGAGTGCAATGATCAGATGATATATGCAAACCATGTTCAAAATTCGGGAAATATGGAAAGCAAGTGCACGGCTGCATATCGCACATTATTTACCTGACTCTGCCCAACTGGATTAACCATAGGGACGCAGCAGCAATGTGAATCGGTACCTGCATCAACACATGGCGGACCACTTATGCAAGGTTGAATCATGGATCTGACGAACATCAATTGCCGATTCCAGTGGGATCGCAGGCCATCTCTAGGTCCCTGGATTTCCTTTTTGAGTGTTCAACTCCCTTTCACCGCGCTGCTAGTCAGAGCTTGGAGCTCAATATGATACGGAGAAGAATCCCAACAAGACCATATCCTAATTACTCAATATTTCTTCATATTTTCTCGGCCAATTAAGGCAGTCATTTCCACGTTACGCTAGTTCCAGGCGAAAAATAAAAACAAGATACCATCCATCGGTGAACCCTCGCCACGAGGTTAAATGCACTGCGGTTGAGTAGACTGAAAACAACCACGCTTGTGATATCGAATGTTGACAAGACAGATACATGATAGCTGATGCTGGCCCAAATGGAGTATGCAAGGGGGTAACAAAAATAGGATATTCACACCGCATGCTAAATGCTCAAACCCTCTGATCTTGCATCATACCATCCGCTGATTCGCCCAATTCAATCAAAGTAAAAGGATATTCAGGAAGATGAAACAAGACCATTAAATCGAGAAACGATTTCCAACGCCAGGTTAGAAGAGACATTAACTGCCCATGGCAAAACAAAAAAAACGACTAACTAGATGCATCTCATGAAGAAAAACCCCTCTAGCTCAGCTAGTGGAGGGTTGCTGCGCCCAGTGACCGCCACCAAGCGCTTCCGGGGGAATTCTCTGTTGCTTGATGAACAGATCAATCAGAGGCTGCATGGGCTCCATCTCCTTGTCGGATACAAGCTTGTAGTATTTGGCAACGGTAACAAAGTGCACGAAGCACATGTTGAGAATGTCGTGCTTGTTGATGTGCCAGAATGGGTTCAGCCAGTGGGCGTGGTAGAGATGAGCGTAGCAACGGAACATCTGCTTCATAATTCCCTGGCAATCCTTGTAGAAAGTCTGGGGGAAGCCACTGGATTTGCCAATCCACTCATCCGTAGGAGCACCTGCCGGAGCCACGCTGGGGGTGGATGGTGCGGATCCATTACTGCCCGTGATCTCATTGAGCGCAAACGTTTCGGGCAAGCCGTTGACCTTGTCTGTGGGGAACATGACGGGGTCATGGATTTTGCTGACGATCCACTTTTCAACGCGGTTGATGAACTTGGGAGCCGGGATTTTGGCAGCACGGCCATCCACGAGCCAGGTATAAGTCAGACTAGAAGGCACCACAGTGAGAATCCTCCATTGGCTCATTTGTTATTCATAAACTTACCGTCCAGCCGACATAGTTGGGCAAGTATTTTCATTGCAGATAGGAAGGCCAGTAACGCCATTAACTTCCTGAATGATCTGCAGCATACCGTGAAGCAGGCGATACTGTTCGACAACTACAATAACGATTAGCATCCGAAGTAATCTCAAGCGGCAGTGAGACCACATACTCTGGTGGGCCAGCCATTCTCCCAGCTCAACATTCTTTGGGCAAGCACACAAAGTCAAGAAATTTCCTCTGACGTTCAGTGGAGCGTACTTTTCTTGGAAGAAGTACTTGGGGGCATCGGGATCATATGCGCCAGAGCTCTCCATCGACATGGTTGACGAGAATGACGGAGAGTTGGGAAGAGGGGCCACCTGGGGAGCCTGAGCAGTGACGGGCGACTGAGCTGGGCTTCCGTTGTTCATCTTGGGAGCGTTGTTATTGTTGTTATTATTATTGTTATTGTTCTTGTTGTTTCCACCTCTGCCAAACCCTTGGCGACTAGAAGTGTCCAAGTCAGTTAGTTACAGACAGCCCCAATTGAAGATACAGGGTAAGAAACAGAAGCAGTATTGGGATGAGCGAAAAAGGATGGAAAAGAATATGAAAGAAAACAAGGCTCATAGCTTGCCAATAGGACGGGGAATTTTCCTTTTTATTCCCTTTGTGCCCGTGGCGCCGAGTCTAATCACTCTGCAGGATGGAGGGGGATAAGGAGACAGTAACAGAACAACAGAACAATGACCACCTGATGATCGACTGAAAATCAACAGAGGGAAACACTTACACACTCTGGAAGAAGGTCGCCATTTTGATAGATATATACCCCAAGAGCCAGCCAGACAGATAGAAAGGAGAAGAAGAAAGACCGGCGGGAAATAGGGAATAGTGAGGGGGCAGCTGAGATATTCTGGTGCAGGGCAACTTGGCGGTGATTCTCCCAATAATCGGTCTGGCCCGTGGAGCTGCCACGCGCTAAACCAAATGTGGCACGGACCGGAGGAACCTCTGTCTCCGACAGACTCCCCGGGTTGTGCTGCGAAGTGAAGCTCTCCAGATACTCTTCTCACCACCAATTCTGACCTAGAGACGTCTCTGGTTTTAGTTTTGGCGACATCTGTGTCTGGTACACTTTTTCTGATGCCAATTAGAGAAAAGACCTTGATTTATCTCTGAATCTCTGGTGATTTGCCAGCTCTTTGTTTTTCTGCCGTCGGGAATACTTATCTTTTTTTTCTCTCTTACCATGTCCTCGTCAGACGAAGATGCAGTTCGGCGTCCTGGCCGTGGTGCCGGTCGCCAGAGTCCGTCTGGGAGCGAACGTAGCAATACTCCAGCGGAAAGGAACCAGAGTCCTGTCGGATCGGATGCAGGCAACATGAATGTGGACGACGATGCGGATCTCTTTGGATCAGATGGATCGGATGGTGGTCTAGAAAATCTCGAGTATGGCTTTTTATTTTTTCGGCTGGGGGGGGGTGCAATATGCTGACAACCTCGCTAGTCAACATCATCGAACACTCGACGACGAACAACTCGATTCGGGAGATGACGAGGGCCGCGATGATCGAAGGGGAGATCGCATGGACTATGAGGATGGCGGGGAAGGTGAATTCCCAGAGACGGTGAACATAATGGACTTGAGCCTAGGCCGGGCGCCAGAGCCAGCAACTACAAATGGAGAGGTAGGCGAACGGTGATGTATGGGTTGGAAGTTTATCGCAGCTCACTCTGTCAATGATAGGTCTACACTATGCCGGTTCCGAATTTCCTGTCTGTCGAAACCGAGGAGTTCAACCCCGAGACCTATGTTGCTCCCCCGTACGCTACCGCCGCAACGTCTTTGTGCTGGCGTCACGACCCTAATGACTCCTCCCTCCTCCAGTCGAATGCTCGAGTTATTCGCTGGGAAGATGGCTCCATGACACTCCAGCTGGCCTCGGCGCCTAAAGAGCAATATAGGATATCGACGAAACCGCTTGCTCCTCTCAACAAGTCCGGAGAATACGACACAAAATTGGATTCGCATGTTTATCTAGGAGCAGCCGCGGAAACTTCTTCTGTATTCAGATTGACTTCACATGTGACCCACGGTCTCACTGTCCTTCCCACCACCGTGGAAACTGATGATGCTGTTCAACGTCTTCAAGAATCCCTGGCTGCAGCCACTCGTGGTACTAAGAAGACGGTGGATGGATCAGCACCCGTCATTGAAGTCAAGGAGGATCCAGAACTTGCAAAGAGGCAGGCTGAGCTAGCCGAGCGCGAGAAGTTGAAGGCAGCTCGCCGCCGCCAGCAACTCGCAGACCGTGAGCTTGACCGCGGCCGCCGGGTTGGTGTCAGCCGCACAGGAGGAGCTGGTCTTACCGTAGGCGGCTTGGAAGATGATGATGGACTGCTCACGACTAGACCCCGCGCGAAGAAGCCACGCAGACCCAATCGCCGCGGTGAAATCCACACTGATGACGAGGAAGATTACGACCGCCGTGGTCGGACCCGGGAGGATGAATACGATGAGGACGACGATTTTCTCGTTGGTAGTGATGAAGAGCCCGAAGAAGTTGCCGATGATGACGACGAGGACATATTGGAGGGAGACGATGACATGGATGCCGAAGGCGAGGAAGAAGAAGAGGCTAGGCCGACCAAATCAAGACCTGAAAAGAAGGGTTCTGAGTCCGAAGCGGCTGGGGGTGGAACGCCCCCTGCGAGGAAGAAGAATCGCTACATTGTGGACGACGACGATGACGAGTAATCTCCTTTATTTTTTTTTGGCTCATAATAATCTTGAAAATTTACGGCCCTCAATTATGCCCCCATGAACAAACATTTTTTTTTTTTTTTGTTTTTTTTGCACTTTACCGGTCATAACAACTGCATCAATCTCGAGTTCATATGAGCGACTTTGATTTTTGCATTATCTTTCAAATTTGTATCTCATCCTTCATATTTGGCTTCCTTGTAAAAACGATGGCCCAGGAACAAGTGAATTGACACATACTGATATTCAGTTAAACTAGATCGTAGGCATCCGTATCATCGCCAAAATAGTGGGATCAGCTATGCCTAGGTAGTATGCCGGTTGACTTGAGACAACATGGTGGATGATTCGCTTTGCTCATAACTAGACATCGATGACAGGCATGTTGACCCACAGCATTTGAAAATGACAAGCTCAAGGTGACGGTAAATGAGCCATCTTATTGATATAGAATGGAACCAGCAATCAACCCAGGACTCCAGACAGCTCGGGTGCTTCTGGAATTCCCTGTACTGCTCAAAACTCTACATCATCACCATCTCTCTTCTCATTGTTCTTGAGCTTCAATACTATTTGGGGTGTGTCACTGGGTTCATCATGTCTGCTAAGAATACTATAACCACTCCACCACTTATAGGAATACCCTTCCGCTCATCTGGTTTCCTGTGTCTGATAATGCTGAGGTCATTTGCAACGATCCAGATGAGATCATCCAGACTATTACTACATGAGGGCTGAAGAAGCCGTGGGGAAAACACATCAATGGCTAGATATAGCAGACTACAATAGCTATTAGTCCAGGGTTAGGTATATGGCAAATAGACTTAGCAGCTCCCGTAGGCACCTCTAATATCGAACTGGTTATTGAACGCTGTGAAAATGCTCTCCAGAGACTGGCAGACACGAAGAGCAGATTGTATAGTAGATACAGACCCGGTGCTGCAGCTTGACAAAATACACCTCCCTAATCCCTAGCCTAGGTGCATCGGAGAGGTCGCAAAGTAACTAGAACCTTCTCCTCCCCTGCCCATTCATAGATACGCAAAGCCACTGTCTGTACTCGGTTGTAATTAATATAGCTATTAAACAAAATAGAGTTATTTCAGCTGGTAATGGCTTGACCTCAGCGAAGCTCTTAGTGAAAGACACCGAAAGCGCAAGAAATGAGCCTCACTAAGATCATATTTATATAGTACCAACACCTAACATTTTGACTCAACCAAACGCCTAATATGTCATAAATTTCGTTGCTTGAATGCAGTATGTATGTATCGTCGTCACTCATGTTTAGGAAATCACCCCATCAGGATACTCGGACGGCTCGAATTTGAATTTAGCGATAACTTCTCTGGCACTTCCAACCACTCGGAGACATAGAAGATCTCTCTCATCTGCTTCTTGGGATGGACTGCAAGAATCGCCATCAGATTGGTCGGAAGCAGGGGAGCGGTGTAACGGATGTGAATCCTTCCCTGAGTGCCATTTTCGCTGGCGTGCCTCCATCTCCTTGATAAGGGAGAGCAGATTTGGCGAATCAGAACATTGGACACGGCCGGCCTGTTCAGTAGACCCGCCAATGACAGCACTTCGAACAGTCCCACGAAGCCATTTTGCCCAGCTTTCGGCGGGGTTGTGGGACTTTTGAGCCATAAACGTCACGTAGGAGGGCGGTGCTGCCTGCTTCCCCAATTCTACCGCATCGGCCTTTGACACGCGTAACCAAGCATCGGCGACAACGTTCAAGAGTGTTCCTGTAAACATGACATTTTGCATGCCCGTGGCAAAATTCTTTGGACATGCTTCGCAACGGATGACATCCCGGGCTGTCTTGGCAGCAATGAATAACGAGCATATTGTGTGTTGTGAGATCGGAAAAGGGGCAAGTGAGGAAAGATGGCTGAGGCATAGATATAGATATGACAAACATGTACACTGAGCGTTGCTGGAGTCGGTAGAATCCGTATTGGAAGAAGGTGTCATAGGAAGAGACTGCATATCTTGCAAGCTCGCTGGCATTGTGAACGGATTGGAGGTTGCCGCGGACACACTTGAAAAATCGGGCCATGGGCTACTCGTTGCGGGAATTGGATTTAAATTCATTCCCAGATGATCTGGTTGCCAAGAATGGTTATGCTCGTCATCCGCAGATAAAAGGTTTGCTTCTTGTCTTCTAACTGGGGCACAATATACTTGAGGAAACAAACCGAAGGCTTCTGATGTGGTGGTAGTAGGGTCTGTTCCGACGTGGAAAGGCGTGAATTGATTATTATTATCGAAATCCGTCCATCTATCATTGCCAGAGACCCTCAATGGATCCTCATCGTCGTCCTCTCGCATTCGTTTCTTGGGTGGTCGTCCCATTTGCTTTTGTATTGAGTAGTGACAGGCGAGAGACTGCTTGATGCAACGACTACAACCTTTGGATTCGCCCGAGCATTTCAACTTTCGTTTTCCTTTTACAGAATACAGTTTAGTTTGTCTTCTCATTATACCCAGCTATAAATAAATAAAACTTACTACATTCATCGCAAGCAGCATGTCGTTTCAGGGACGGCACTGGGGTAGTATCATTACTAGCATTGGCGATTGAAGGAGGGAGGGGTGGGTTCCACCCCTGGTCAGTGCATGGCATCCTGAGAATATAACTGGACCAGGATAGATGAAACAAATGCAGTTAATAAGGACATCAACAGCAAAGCTCCAGCGCAAATAGGATCTTTCCTTTTTCTTTCTTTGTTGTACCGAATATTTAATCCAAAGTGGCGGCGATGAAACGATAAGATGTGCAGTGGAGGGCGGTGTGTCACGTGGGCGGTGAGTACAGAAGCATCGTTGCGGAAAAGAAAAAAAAAAAGTAAGAAAAAAAAGTTATCCAGAGAGCAGTGAAGACAACAAAATCCAACGTCTTTTCATACACCATGGTTGACACCAAGGCCTCGAAGAAGCGCAAGGCAGTGACCCGCGATGTTGAGGAGGAAGCGGGAGTGTTTTCTGGAGATGAATTGAATGGAGGAGATTTGGATGGAGCGCTTTCTGATAATGCAAACGACTTGTCGAGTGACGAAGACAATTCGGAAATTGAATTGATTGATGATTTCAGTGATGATGATGATGATGAAGATGAGGAGGAAATTGACAGTGACGAGATTCCATCTGAGGGAGAGGACATGAAGAATAAAAAGTCTAGCACTAAAATTGCTGAGCGTGATGGACCGACCACCGAGGACAATGAAAGCTCCAGCGAGGAGGAGCAACCGAATTTCCGCATTGAAAAGGACGCCAATGGAAATGACCGTTATCTCTACGATGAGATCAACCCCGATGACAACTCGGATTACTCTGATGCTGACGATAATGCGAACACCATTGGCAATATCCCGCTGTCTTTCTACGACCAGTATCCTCACATTGGCTACGACATTAACGGAAAGAAGATCATGCGCCCTGCCAAGGGCGAGGCTCTCGACGCTTTGCTTGATAGTATTGAGATCCCCAAGGGCTGGACTGGTCTTACGGATCCTTCGACCGGAAAGCCCTTGGAGCTGAGCCAAGATGAACTCGAATTGTTGCGCAAGGTCCAGATGAATGAAATTCCTGAAGATGGCTACAACCAGTATGAGCCAACCGTCGAATGGTTCAGTAGTCAGCAGGAGATTATGCCTCTCAGCGCTGCTCCCGAACCAAAGCGTCGATTCGTGCCCTCTAAGCACGAAGCCAAGCGGGTTATGAAGATCGTGAAGGCGATTAGAGAAGGCCGTATCCTTCCTTATAAGCCACCAAAGGAGGGCGATGAGGAAGATAACGATTTGATCAACTATGATCTCTGGGCTGATGAGGGAGAACAGCATGATCACCCTATGCACGTTCCTGCTCCTAAACTTCCACCCCCCGGCTACGAGGAGAGTTACCACCCACCTGCCGAGTATCTACCCGACAAGAGGGAACGGAAGGCCTGGGAAGAAGCAGACCCAGAGGACCGGGAGAGAGAATATCTCCCGAATGACTTTGCCTCTCTCCGGAAGGTTCCTGGATATGAGAACTTTGTCAAGGAGAAGTTTGAGCGTTGCTTGGATCTCTACCTTGCTCCTAGAGTTCGCAGGAGCAAATTGAACATTGATCCCGAGAGCCTTCTCCCCAAGCTACCCAGCCCTGAAGAGCTGAAGCCGTTCCCAACCGCCTGTGCTGCGATGTTCAGAGGACACAAGGGCCGTGTGCGTACCCTTTCCGTTGACCCCACCGGTCTTTGGCTCGCCACTGGAGGAGATGATGGAACCATCCGAGTTTGGGAACTTCTCACGGGTCGCCAGCTGTGGAGTGCGAAGCTGAGTGAAGAGGACCCGGTCAATGTGGTCCAATGGAGACCTGGCAAGGATGCTGTTATTCTTGCCGCTGCCGCAGGTGACGATCTTTTCCTTTCTGTACCTCCTATTGTCGACCCAGAAATTGAAAAGGCCAGTCTTGAGCTTCTTGATGCAGGATGGGGATATGCTGCCTCAATTCCACCCCCAACTGGCGCGGAGGCAAACAAGAAGAACACGCCTCCTCAATGGATACGTCCGTCGTCTTCGCTCGCGGACTCTGGAGTGTGTGTCGTCATTCCCCTCCGGTACGTGGCCAAGTCTATTTCGTGGCATCGTCGCGGTGACTACTTTGTTACTGTATGCTCTGGTGCATCTACTCCTGCTTCAGTGGCCATTGCCATCCACACCGTTTCCAAGCACTTGACCCAGTACCCCTTCCGCCGACGCATCAAGGGTGGTGGACCTCCCCAGACAGCTCACTTCCACCCGTCGAAACCGATCCTCTTTGTCGCAAACCAACGGACAGTTCGCGCGTATGATCTCTCTCGTCAACTTCTCGTCAAGATCATCCAACCTGGTGCTCGCTGGATCTCCTCATTCGATATTCACCCCACATCCTCCACCGCTTCTGGCGGAGACAACCTCATTGTTGGATCTTACGACCGTCGCCTCTTGTGGCATGATCTTGAACTTTCCCAGCGCCCTTACAAGGTTTTGCGGTACCACCGCAAAGCTATCCGTGCTGTTAAGTACCATCCCAGTGGCCGTTATCCCCTGTTCGCCGATGCCAGTGACGATGGCTCCATCCAGGTCTTCCATGGTAGTGTCACGGGTGACATGCTCAGCAATGCCACTATCGTCCCTCTCAAGGTCCTCAAGGGCCACAAGATCACAGGTGAACTCGGTGTGTTGGATATTGACTGGCACCCAAGAGAAGCATGGTGTGTTAGTGCAGGTGCGGATGGAACTTGTCGTTTGTGGATGTAATTACACACGGGGATGTCATGCATGCACTATTACTGCTTACTATTTCTTGTGCCGCATTTACATGAAAGGCGTTTTGGTGTGTATAGTATTTTTTTCAAGGTATATCCATACTACAAAAGTTCGGTTTTATTTTGACCATGTAGATCCAACTTTTGGTTTTTAGAAGTCGCCTCGATTCAAAGGTGACCCGAGAAAGCGGGCACCAAGGATGCCATTGCTCTATATGTGTATGAAAAGTATTCCCAAACTCCTAACCCCCAGCCTCAATATCATGGCATAATCAGCAAAATTTTATAAACCATAAAATATGTCCACTATATGTCCAATGTTTTGGTCACGGCGTATAATTTACGCAACGCCACCGCTCCAATCCCTCCGTAGCTTCTCATACTTCTTCAGATCTGTAACACTAGGTCGAATGAACGACTTGGCGGCGACAAAGTCTTCGAATTTAATCGTGTCGCGTCTTTTGATGGCGGAATATCCAGCACGACGGAGCAAGCTTCCCAGATCCGCACCACTGAATCCTTCGCACTCTTCTGCCAATCTCCTCATGTCCTCGCTGAATTCGATCCGGAGGTTGCGCACCAGGGTTTGCAGAATCTCCACGCGCTCTAATGGACTGGGCAGGTTTACAAAGAGGAGCGTCTCGAGACGTCCAGGACGAAGCATCGCCGGATCAATGATATCTGGACGGTTTGTGGCTGCGATCACGTAAAGTCCTTGGCGACTACTGCCCAGGCCGTCGAGCTCGGTGAGCAATGTGTTCACGACACGAGCAGAAGCCTCGGAAAGGGTGTCATCTCGTCGTGGAACCAAAGCGTCCAGCTCGTCGAAAAAGATGACGCAAGGAACTGACGAGCGAGCACGTACGAAGACTTGCCGCACTGCACGCTCAGATTCACCAACGTACTTGTTGAGGAGCTCAGGACCCTTAACACTAATGAAGTTGGCGCGCGACTCGTTGGCAACGGCCTTGGCCAGGAGCGTTTTACCGCATCCAGGTGGACCCCAGAGCAGAACTCCTGTGGGAGCCGTAATACCGACGTTCGCGTAGATATCCGGGTTCCTAATCGGTTCCACGATCGCCGTGGAAAGTTCATCACGAATTCCACCTAGGGCACCAATGTCTGCCCACGTGGTGTCTGGAATAGTGGCAAAGCCTTCACGCTTGGAGGAAGGTTGGATCTTAGGAAGAGCAGTAAAGAAATCCTCGTTTGATACCAGGACTACTTGTGCTTCGTCTCCGAGGGGTGCCTCCTTGGCGTGTGTGATGAGACGGCGTAGTTCTTTGATTTTGGGACTAATGTCATCCACCTCCTCGATTTCCATTTCTTCGCCGCTATTCGATTTCAGTATCTCCAAATATCTCTTGATGGCAGCGGCACCAGCCGTAGAAACCAAATCGTTCAAATCGGCACCAACGAATCCGGGAGTTCTTTTGGCCAAAGTCTTGTAGTCGAGGTCGTCTGCCATGCGCATCTTTCGCGTAAGTGCCCGGAGAATTTTCTCTCGGACAGGTTCAGAAGGAACAGTCATGTTGATTTCTTTATCGAATCTGCCTCCTCGGCGCAGGGCTGCGTCTAAGCTGTCTGGGCGATTAGTTGCAGCCAGAACGATCACAGGCTTTCCATCCGTCTTTTCCAACGCCAAATCATCCATACAGGTTAAAAGCTGCGCGACAATTCTCTTCTCCATCTCTCTCTGCGCACTCTCTCGCTTGGGCGTGATGGCGTCGATCTCATCAATGAAAATGAGACAGGGTGCTATTCTCCTTGCTTCTTCAAAATAGTCTCGCAGAGCCTTCTCAGACTCTCCCGACATCCCGGAGATAACAGATGGTGCAGATATGGCAATGAAAGGAACCCCCAGCTCTGCTGCAAAGGCATTTGCAATCATAGTCTTACCGCAACCCGGCGGTCCATGCAGCAGAACACCGCGGGGAGGTTGTACATTGGATGACAAGTAGACTTGCGGGCGAGTCATGGGTAGTATGACAAGATCTCCTAGCTCCTGGACAACATCATCCAGCCCGCCCAGGTCCGTGAGGCTCACATGAGTCGGGGGAGATCTATCGACTGAGCTATCGGCTTTCCGTCGCTTGGAGGAAGATTCGCCTCCATTTTGTCTTCTCTTGCTCGAAGTAGCTGCAGGCGCAGGATTATTTTCCGCAACGTTCGACTCGGTTGGTTTCGAGGGTTTGGAGCCTGTGTTCCACATGCCTACAATGCTTCGGTTGAGGCTATTGGACTCCTAGTCTAGTCAGTCTCCGGGCGTGAAACTGTAGTCTTGAGCCCCGATGCAAGGCGACCGCATGAGTACAAATGTGGGTATATCACATACTGCCGCTGGCTTTTCCTCTAGCCCTTCGAAGTCACCCTCTATGGACTCGTCCTCGTCGTCTCCGAGCACATCACTCTTCACTACCTCCACAACCCGTTCAATGCTATCTTCTAGTATCCTCTTGGGCTTCCTGTTCAGACTGGAATTTGATTTTTTGAGGCTCTCATATATCGCAGGCACAGACAGACGAATCTGGTCCTTTTCGGACTGCTCATCAATGATTTTGCGCACGACTTGGTAGACCTGCGGAGACAAAAGAAGTCAGTCAAAAGGAAACATCTGGTGATAGAATGCTTTTTTTGCCCTCACCTCACGGTCCAAGCCCTGACGCAAGGTCGGTCTGCCCCCGCGACGCATCTTCACTTGCCCCCAAAGCCGTTGCTGTCGAGTTCGATTCGATTCAAGATGCGGTGCTAATCCATCACTTGTGAATTTCCATAAATTTGGACGACCGGAAGAAAAGATTCGCCGGCGGGCATTGGAGAATCTGAAGGATTCCGGAAGTGTGATTGGACAATGCCACTAGCACCGTATTCACAATACCACAATACCATACCATACATCAAGACCGTACCGCCGGCTCCGAACCACGTCATTTCCTCCCCCAGTAACTTAACTATCGTTTGGAGCATATCGATCGTTCTATCTAAGCTATCTACTTGCACCGACGACAATATGCGGTGACAATGGGCAACACAAGCAGTTCACCCAAGATTTCAGCTCAAGATCGGTGAGAAGTCGTCTATCTTCGTCTACAGTCTGCACTATGATCACCTCCACGTTGCTTCCAAGCAGTCCTTGTGACTGATTTGCCCCTGCGCTTATCTCTCACGACTCCCTGCTTAACCCCTCTTGCACATCAGGGCATGCTAACATCCATGGTACTATCACAGAGCAATCCTCGACTTAAAGAACCAGCGCGATAAGCTTCACAAGTACCAGAAGCGCATTACAGTCCTCACCGACCGCGAAACTGCAATCGCAAAAGAATGTCTCGCTCACGATGACCGAAGGCGAGCCCTGCTGGCTCTGCGCCGCAAAAAGTACCAGGAATCGCTCCTCGCGAAGACAGATAAACAGCTGGATCAGCTAGAACAACTAACCGGTCAAGTTGAATTCGCACTCGTGCAGAAGGATGTCCTTTTTGGCTTGCAACAAGGTACCGAGGTGCTTCAGGCTATCAACAAGGAGATGGGCGGTATTGAGGGCGTCGACAAACTCATGGGAGAGACGGAAGATGCCCGGGCATACCAAGAGGTAAATTCTTTTCCGAAATAGCCACTGCCAAGTTTACATGCTGATCAACGATCGTGGTGCAGGAGATCAGCCAGATGCTTTCAGGGCAACTGTCGAACCAGGATGAAGATGCAGTAGAAGATGAACTAGCTGAACTTCAGCGACAAGCTGAAGGTCCTGTTAAGTTGCCTGAAGTTCCTACAGCCCCGCTTCCAAAGGAGGACCAGAAATACCACGAGCAACAGGCCAAAGAAAGAGCCAGGGCCAGGGCAAGGGAACAAAGCGCAGTTCCAGCTTCTTGATTTATCGACCGTGCACTGTTCCTCGATGGATTTTTTTGTCTCATATGCAATAGAGAAAGCATTTTTTGGCGTTGGGGTTGTTTGTTTTGTGTTTAATTAGATTGGCATAATAAATACGGAAATTAGACCATTTTTCATCCTTTGATTATGAAGAGTCCAGCTCTACAATTAGACGCATAATGACCCTCTACCTATGAATGGGATAGCCCCGATGGAGGACAGTAACATGCTCACTCGATGGCTCTACTGTCTCACTGACCAGGCATAATTCTCCCTCCCACGCCACTTACGCCTGGGATTGCGACATGATCACCAGGGTTGGCTGCCGCTTCATAAAGGAAACTAACAGGTTCCCGGTTGAGAGCCATAAACTGGCCCTTGAATCCAATGTAGCCCACCTTGGTCACGTCTTCCTCCCCGTCACTCCAATTATCCTCAAAGAACAGGGTGATCGAAGTGGTAGTGTTCCAGTGAGCCCGGTTTAACGGTAACTCGAAGATGTCAGACCCGGCAATAGGCTGCGGTATCTCGATAGTTTGTGTTGGACTGAGATCGGAAGCGGTTGCAAAGTCGAGATCGTCGCGATTTTTAAAGAGCTTGAGGGTTTTCGGAGCGGATGGTGTTGGTGCAGTGTATATGAGAAGCGAGTGCACTTTTACTTGTCCAGTAAAGCTGTAGGATGTAAAATGCATGTTAGTCAATGTGTCCATGGTATATTGATGGTCATTTATCGCTATAGCCTTTTCAAGGCAGTTTTCATCTCCTGACGATAAGATGAGGGGTATTTGGCGGGGTACATTTGCGAGAGGAGTCAATCCACATAAGAATCCGGGGACAACGAACGGAATATACATGAGCAGTTGCTCATCAGCATCGCTCTCGAGCTCAGGCTCATCATTTAATCTCTCAGTCCATGTCTTTTTGACAATGGCAGATCCAGAGTTGGGGGTTGCCTCTGTTTCCTAGCAGTCAGCAACAATATTTCCAAGGCAATGGAAACCGTAAGGTAGATATAGCGATACCGTTTAGGGTATTGATCGAATCGAAATCAATCTGAGAATATAGCAAAGACTGGATGGCCGGGGTGATGTCGTTGGAATGATCGTGGCCGTCCTCTCCGTGACAGTGGCCATGGTCGTGATGGTGGTGATGATGTCCAGACATCTGGAAGGGGTTATGAAAAGTGTTTTGGATCTTAAGAACGTCTTCTCAAGACAATGGGATTCTTATGGAATGAACCATGAATGAGGTCGAGTCAATCTTCGCTCTCAGGAAAGCGGATCTTCTTCGCTCCGACCTAAACGCAATGACGTTGACCCTGAGCCCTAGATGCTATGGCATTTGAATACATACAAGCTAATATTTCTAAAAAAAAGAGTCTGATTCAATGGAGAAAATTTGTTGTTCTTTCTTGCTATAGTATTATGTGTGTATATTTAAATCTTCTCTTTAGAAAGGGTTTGCAGGTATAGCTTCCAAAGGTATTTCGCCTCCAATAAAACGGCCATTCAAGTTATGCCACGATTTATTTGAGACAGTGGATCATATATAGAGATGTACAACTGAAGTGTCAGATTCGAAGCCCGGACAGGAGTCAAGCACTTGGGTCAATTTCTATAGATCGACTGCTAGAGCACCAAATCAATTCACTTTATAGAATTCAGGAGCATACTCAAGAAGGTAGCCCTTTTCAATTTTCGTGACATCTCGAATGAATGTTTTGTCGCCTGTTTGCAATATTTCGTGGAATATGACCCAATCGGCTTTTCGATTCTGGAGAAAAGTATAATCAGTACGAGAGCCATAAGAATATAAGCCATGTTGGAGATGGTACATACAAACATCAATGAGCTGGGATGAGCATGCAGCGTAAAGCCCCCGCTCACTGTTTTGAAAGTTCCATCTGGTTGCATCTTCGCAGCATGCGCAAAATACCCCGTAGTGAGACATCGCTGGATTTGTTCAGGTTTTCTGCTTGGGTCTGCTTTTCGTTGGCTCGCGGACAAAGTTTCATCGACTTGGATGCCGAAGCGTTCAAGGTAACGCTTGAGCTGGGCTCTAATGCTCACGGCACGTTGTAGAGATCGGTAATTCAAGAGATTGTCGCGGCACCACTTAGAGTCCCTTTTGCCCTTCGTGACAAACGCTTGATATACGTTGAGATATGTGAGATGGTCACCCTCTTCCACAGCGAATCTCCTGCGTGTACTCTCTGATGATTTTTTGTCCCCCTCATGCTGAACCCACACAACCCCCTGAAGGCTGACCATGGCGGCAATCGAAAGGACTTCGCTTAAGCAGCCAAAAGACTGCGCGGTGAGAAGAACTTTGCCCATCATAGGATCCACTGCGAGTTCCGCCATTCGCATTCCCAGAGGCTTGGTAAGTTTCGCATAGTCATCAACAGCACCGAGCGAGTATAATAGCTCAAATGCGCGAATCACAAGATCTGCAGGTGGTGGTGTTAAGAAATCGAACCGTACTATGTTGTCTATACCCAGTGCCTTCAGCTGCATCACCACAGGTGCCAAATTTGACCTCTGGATTTCTGGAACCGTGGCATCTGGAAGCGATTCATAAGCCTGCTGTGTATAGAGACGGAAACATTTCCCAGGCTTCGTTCTTCCGGCTCGTCCTGCCCGCTGAACAGCGGCTGCCTTTGATATCGGCACCGCTGTCAGTGTTTCAACACCAGTACTCGGGTTATATGCCCTAAGTTTTGCAAACCCACAGTCGACCACATACACGACTCCGTCAATGGTAACAGAGGCTTCTGCAATGTTTGTCGACACAATAACCTTGCGAGTGTTCTCTGGCGCAGGCTCAAAAACGTACATCTGCTGGTCTGTTGTGAGACCGGCATAGAGAGGTAATGGGAGTAATGATTGTGCCTTCGGGTGTAGGGATGCAGCCCGCTCAGATATCAATTGAATTGCCGTGTCAATCTCATCTCGGCCAGTTAGAAACACGAGAATATCACCATCAGCTTCTTGCAGGTGTATGTCAAACACCGTCTTAACGGATCGATCGACGTAATCTTCAGCAGGTGAGTCGAGAAAAAGCATATCAACCGGGTACATTCGCCCTTCCAAGCTAATTATTCTTCCAACACTTCCTCCCATCTCACCGGTCTCTGCACCACTTTGAAAACCATCACCCGCAAAGAAGCGGAGGAAATCTTCAGCTTGCAAGGTTGCACTACTGACCACAATTCTAAGCTCGGGGCGTCTCTTCCCGATTTTCTTCAAAATTCCCAATAACACATCTGTACTGAGAGATCGCTCATGTGCCTCATCAACCATAATTACTGAATACCGAGATAAAAGAGGGTCTACAAGCGCCTCTCTAAGCAGCATTCCATCTGTGAGGAACTTTATCCTTGTTGAAGCAGATGTAAGATCCTCAAAGCGAATCGAGTAGCCCACTTCTTCGCCGAGTTTGCAGCGCATCTCTTCAGCTACTCTTGTAGCAACAGTTGTAGCAGCTACCCGTCGCGGCTGTAGTCACTTGTTTAGCCACCGAGAGTTCTTCCTATCGCAAAGAAAGCAATAGCAAGGGTGGGGGAGAAAGCCTGATCTTACCTGCGTAACTGCTATGGTTTTTCCATCCCCACACCATCCTGCCTGATCCAAATACTGCGGAAGTTGCGTCGTTTTTCCACTGCCGGTTTGGCCAACCACTATAGTGACAGGGTATGTTTCCACTAGATAGAGCAAATTTTTTCTATGCTGTGCGATAGGCAATAAAGCCGCAGGCTTGTACAATGCTGGAATAAAGCTCGAGGAGAGTTCCAATTCCGAAGCCATTATAATGTACGATGCACTTGAAACACCCTGGATTTTCAAACAAGGAATCTAGAGTTGTTTAGTGGACGCAATTTAGGCATATTGGAAACACGATAGCTATGTAGTTTGAAAACCTCAAACCATCGGCATGTAGCACCCAATACGTTATGCAGTTGCAAGCACAAGAAACAAATGGATAATGCGTTTGTATGGAGATGATTACTCATCAAATACTATTCTATCACGTGGCTTCAACGTCACCGCGGATCACCAACAAGAGTGGCTGATGTCTTGGAGTATCGCGCAGTCTCTAGAATATTTCTTTCTGCCTGGTGGGCTCATATAAATTCACGATCCCTGCCACCTCAGCTAAGCATCAGGATTATTCAATCTTGGACGCCCTGCCCTACGATGTCGGAAGAAGACAAGAATGTGAGTTGTCCCCTATAATCTCTCTACGCCTAGTAACATAAGCTTATTTTGCTCTTAGAATACGACCAGCAGACCACTGGCTGCACCACATAGTCCTAAGCCAGAGTCCCCAACAACAGCACGACCTCTGGATTTTGACGATGAACCTCAAGAATCTGGGTTGGCCTCCGCTCCTTCAGCTCCGTCCCAAAGAGGCACCACCGAAGCTGCCCCGCCAAAGCCACCGCGCCCATTGAGCCCTAAGCAGCAGGCCGAAAGTACACTCAAGGAAGCGTTCCCGACTGTCGATGCCTCCGTCGTGAAGGCAGTGTTGGTGGCTAGCAACTGGAACGTGGAACAGGCTTTCCATGCCCTCCTTGGTACGTGGAGACCGAAGTCTCTAGTTACTATATGTTATTGACCAGTTCCTACAGGCATGACCGATCCCAATGCCCAGGAAGACCTAGCACCCCCGAAACCCCCTCGTCCTTCTGCAACGCAGAGACAACTTGAATCGGATGAGATGTATGCGCGCCAGCTTGCCGAGCACTATAACCGTCGTGCGCAACCCCGCTACGAGAATGACCCTCGATACGAGCAAACAAGAAGAGGAAGCGAACAGTCTGAGGAAAGAGATTATAGCTTTTTTGAAGGTAAGCAGGATATTTCTTTAGGGTAATATAAATCTTATCGCTAATCGACTTTGTTTCAGATGACCTTCCCGTGATCCGCGACAACATTCGCAAAGGGTTCTTGGAGACCCAATCGAAGGTCAACTCCTGGGTACAGAATCTAAAGAAACGGATGGATGGCGAGGAGGAGGCGGAAGGGTCTCAGCCCAGTCAGAGCTATGGTGAAAGCCAAGGTTACAATCGTCCAAGGAGGAGCGGTGATATGAGCCGTCGGAGTGGGGATCGTGAACGTTATGATGCAGATCCTCAGGTCTTGGGTGATGATTTCTCTGCACTCGAGCTGAGAGATTCAGAAGGTCAGTATCCATGCATTTTCTATTCTTATAATCGAAGGTCATAAACTAACCTCTATCATAGCTCCTCCCGCACGCCCTCCTAGGCCACTCGCCAATACCGATCTTCATAAGACCTCATCCCCTTCACCCGATAGACGCAAGGTGTCCTTCCAAGAAGGTCCACCTGAGGAGATCGGCAACCTCTACGATTCATCTGAGCCGATCAAGCCAGCATCTTCCGCAAAAAGCAAGTCGAGCAAATGGCAACCTCTGTCAACTGTCGAGCCGTCTCCTGTGGGGGAGAACGATCCGTTTAGTCTAGGCGACAGCGACGACGAGAGAGATTCAAAGCCCAAGGATCAGAATACTGCTGATGAGAATGATCGAACAAAAAAAGCTACGACCGAGGTAATGGCTGGCGATCTCAATTCTGCATCGAAGGACGTCAATAAAACCGACAATACTGGAAAATCATAGGCTTGCATTATGATTATCATCACCTACGCTTTCCTACATTTTTCCTTTTGTCTCATTCTTATTATTTTTATAATGCTCCTTTGTCTAGTTTATGATACCAAGACAGATGGGAGGCATGAGAAGTTATAGCAAGCTCATTGATTCTTAGACATACAGACAATGTATGTCAACGCAACAACCAAACAAGCCTTCCATCAATAATAAATAGAACCTTCCCATGACAATGTTATAGTATGAGAACTGGGTATCTTGAATTGAGAAAAAAGACCAAAAGTACGCCCAACCTAATCTATGAAATAAGCCCTGGCGGTTTCCCGAGCACCATGATCTAGTATTTATTCTTGCATGGCGTGCTCGCCAGCCAGGCCACGTTGAGTAATTGAAGCCTCCTTTCTGAGATCATCAATGACGCCCTAAAAAGCAGAATGCCTAAATCAGTTGCTGGCTCTGCACAAGTATACCAGAGGCTGGAAACCCACAGCGAGTGCGTCGGGATTGACGCCATTCTCGATGAGAGATACGCAAAGGGATAGCTCAGTTCGATCGAGATTTGTGTTCTTAGCAGACCAAACAAATGTCAGCCTTCATTGCCAGTTGTGGTCTATATCGAAAAAGACATTTGCTAAAGCCATAAAGGAGAATGGAAAGAAACACGCACAAGGAGCGTTGATATTTCGTGAAGAATGTCGATGACTTCGCGGGCAGCCTGGCGCTTGTCATCGGCTTGTGAAGGCATCTTCTTGATATATCGGCAATCGGTGGTTTCATGTAGGTAGAAATGAGATAGTAGTACTACTAAAGTATCAAGGATGATGATGCTATTCAGTAGGTTGCATGGCGCGTTGATCAATCGATCCGTTAATTAATTGGGTGGAGTTGCGGAGAGTCGGCGGCCGAGGCTTTTTCTCTCTCTTGTGGTGCAGGTCAACATCTGAAGATAGCCAACCTCTACGTTCTTTTTACTCTTCACCATTCTGGCATTTGAGCAGACACAATACGGCCGTTGTTTTAGTTTCTCTCTTCAAACACATTGCAGCTCGTATCTACTTCTTGCTACTGTTCCTAACCCTCTTGAATGTAGATCCTGGAGGGGCTCGGAAGAATGCCTATTGACTTAACCATATCGGACATCCATTCCTTGGGTCAGAAACAAGCGTTTGAGACTCTCGCGCAGATCGCACGCGTTGAGAAAAAGGCATTCCCTGCCAATGAGGCCTTCAGTTTTGGCGAGGAACTGTGGAGGAAGAAGCCTAACACGCGGGTCTTGTATGCGACCAGTCCAACAGCGCCTGGAGGATCGTCTTTGATCGCCTATGCCGTCTATGTCCGACAGAAAGGAATAGCCTTATTGCACAAAATATGTGTGGCAGAAGCCTACCGTCGTCAGGGTGTTGGACAGAAGCTCATGGACTATATTCAACACCGGCTAGAAAAGGAGGGCTGCCAATACATTCAACTATGGGTGGATAAGGCCAGGGACCCTGCACGGGCGCTGTATTCGCGTGCTGGCTTCGAAGAACGAGAGGAAATTGCCGACTACTATGCCCCAGGGCGCACTGGTATTAGAATGGTTCTCGATCTCGATTGAACGTGGGAGTTTACTCCTGTCACTCCTATGCATCTCCTAGACTCCTATGGGCCCTTGGACCCTTAAGACCTTTCTTCCCAGATTCTTTCGACGAGAGGGGCACTGCTTTTTTTCTACCTCTTGACTTCTCCTGAATTCTTTGAGGGGCAAATGAAAGCATGGTAATGGTTGGACGCGTCCTTGTTCCTGTCCTTGGGAATCATCCCTTGCAGGGTCGTGCATTTCACAACGTGAGCGTTATCGCGCCAAATCGCGCCAAATCGCGCCAGTGCCCATTGTTCTCTAATCATTCCCACATTTCAGTGACGTCAAGCATATCCAGGTATGGCTTCGTTGAAGGGGCCGAAGTCTTCGCGCCTCTCCTTGTCGGATGGCCCTTGGGCCGACCACCTTGAAGGAGAGAAATCCTCGTTGAAGGATAGGGTGATTTCTCCATATACATTGCTGATTTCACCAATATCTTTCGCCTGTCATTACTATTGTTCTTTTCTTTCTCTTCATCCTTCAGATGGTCTTGCCAGCGACACTGAACTATACCAACCTGCTTGCTACGCCCCAGTAACCGAATTGTGCCTGACACTACCAGTCATATTCTGGCTTCGACAAAAGATGGCACTCTTCTGGTTGATTATCCTGGCGATCTTCTTTACCGTCGACGCCGAACCTGCACCAAATTATCCGCTGAACGCTCAGATACCTCCCGTGGCTCGTGTTTCGAAGCCGTATCGGTTCATTTTCGCCGAAGGCACATTTGCTAATGGTGCCCCGGACACAGAATACTCGCTCTCAGATGCGCCTTCATGGTTAAAAGTGGACAGCAAGAGTCGTTCCTTGTCGGGAACCCCTCAATCCGGAGATGTTGGATCCCAGAAATTTGATCTTGTTGCGTCGGATTCAGCGGGGTCCGCTAGTATGGAAGTCACCTTGTTTGTATCAGAAGATGAAGGCCCGAAGCCCGGCAAGCCCCTCCTTCCACAGCTCGAGAAGATCGGCGCTACCTCGGCTCCATCGACAATTTTTGTGCATGCTGGGGACTCGTTCTCCATTTCCTTCGACCCCGAAACCTTCACAAACACACTCCCTGACACCATATACTATGGAACTTCCCCGGATAACTCCCCATTACCATCCTGGATGGAGTTTGACGAATCTTCGCTTAAGTTCACTGGCACTAGTCCCACGGTTGGGCCGCAGACATTTACCTTCCATCTCGTCGCATCAGACGTGGTTGGCTTCAGCGCTGCCACTCTGACCTTTCAGATGACCATCAGTCCGCACATATTGTCCTTCAATGAGAGTTACCAAACTTTCCAACTCACACCAGGAAAAAAGTTCACCAGTCCTCGGTTTTATGACATGTTGACGTTGGACGGCGAGGAGCCCGCAAGCGAAGACCTGGACAAAATTGACGTGAAATCGCCGAATTGGCTGACTTTGGATAAGGATTCCATCTCTCTTAGTGGCACGCCCCCAGATGATGCAGTAAATGAGAATGTAACCATTTCCGTTACAGATACTCATCAGGATGTCACGGATCTCATTGTTAGATTGGAGTTCCCACAATCATCACTGTTTGTCAGTGATCCGAAGGATTGCGATGCAAACATAGGAGAGGACTTTGAATGTGTTTTTGACCATTCAGTCTTGACTGATGACGGTGTTCAGCTCGAGGTCCATTTGGGACAGCAAATCTCCTCGTGGTCACAATACAACCCAGAAACTAAGACGCTTTCCGGACACGTTCCTGAAGATGCAAGCCCCCAGAAAATCGATATTGATCTGACAGCAAGTAAAGGCTCTGATGAGCATACTGAAACGTTTACTATCAATATCGCTGAAGCGGGCCACCATGAAAAGAATAGTGATGATGACGACAACCCTGGCAGCGGTGGTATACATGAGAAGAAGGCTGGAATAATTGCAATTTCTGTCGTTATCCCCCTCGTTTTCCTCAGCAGCGTCATTCTCTTCCTGTGTTGTGCGCGACGAAAGCACAAGAACAAAGCAGCTGCAAACGAAGAAGGGCAGTTCCCTCCAGAAAAACCACCTCTTCCACGACCGAGCGGTCCCGATCTACCACGCTGCCAACCGTATGAAGACACAGCCTCGATTCATCAGCCAGAAATCACCTCTCAACCCCCAAAGTTGGAGCTGTACTTGAACTCAGGCGCATTTGGGAAGAAAGACCAGACGGACAATGAGGCAAACAAAGAAAATAACTTCTCGCGCTCTGCCATCGAGTGGGATTTCCCTCCATTGAAAATCCCCGAGCCCAGCGAAGACAAGCACGTTGCGGAGGCTCCTCAGAACAAGCGCCTTTCTTTTCAGACCAGCCCATCTGTTCGCAGGCAAACTTCACAGTCCAAGAGACGAGAGCCTCTCAAACCGATTCAACCAAGAAGGTCACTGAAGCGAAATTCAGCGATGTCATCAAGGTCGAAGCGACACTCGAAGCGGTCCAGTGGCATTTCATCCGTAGCTTCAGGCCTACCAATTAGATACAGCGGCGCGGGCCATGGAGCGGGTGGTTTTGGCCCCCCCGGACATGGAGTGGTACGAATGTCATGGCAGAATACACACGCATCGCTACAGAGCGAAGAGAGCCAGCTGGGGAATTTGGCACCATTATTTCCTCGCCCTCCACCTCGGGCAAGGGACAGCTTCCAGAAACGGACGAGTCTGAGGGCTGTAGAGCCAGATATCTCCGAGTCTAATTCGTTGGATGCCTTCGTTTACGGTCGGGCAAAGAGTCGAAACTCTTCGAACCCCATGTTCTCAGGCCAAACCAACCGGCGGAGGTCTTCTGGTGTCCGTGCTTTGGAAAGAGCTCGAAGCACGGCTAGTCGGGGAGATACAATTTCCATATACACTGATGATTGTAATGGACAGCCAATCCAAGACCGCCCCTACTCGGTGGCCAACTCTTCCAATTATGCTGATGACAATCGTCAATCCACCTACCTCCGACCCTTGTCACAAATTTCAAGCATGCAGCCCTCGGTGGCTCCTTTTACCAGAGAACAAAGTCAATCCAGCCTTGCACAAAATTACAGGGATATAATTACGCCGCTTCCTCGAGTTTTCAGCGAAACGAGCGAAGCTAGCGCACGGCCATTTGACTTTGGTGATATGCGTGGAAGTCCTGACAATTACAGCAACCTCGCACATCAAGACAATGGTGGTCAGCGTCGCTGGTACCAGGGAACCCCATATCCACAGACCGATGCGTCGGCTACTCACCGTCAGAACTCATTGAGGAAAAGTCCATCACTGTCATCTATTCCCATAGAAGGCAAGGGACAGCGGCTGAGTTTGGTGCGGTTTGCGGACAAGGAGAATGAGCCCATGAGTGAAACGGGCTATCAATGGCAGAATCACACTCGTCGGCCGCTCAGCATGCAAAGCCATAATGGCTTGCCACGGGACATCTCTGGGGGTGCCTTTGTTTAGTTGGATATAGGGATTGATTGGGAGGCGACTTTGCTTTATTTTATTTATTTTGATAAGCCACTGGGTCTGAGCATTTTTGAGCACGATATCCACATGCATAGTTGAGTGATTTGTTATTTTTTCTGATACCGTCTACCATAATTTCCCAGGGGCTATTTACAACATAATATAATTAATTCAGAGATGAACAACATGTTATTATAGAACTCGAATACAACACATTCAAACTGCACATGGAAGCTCTCGGGGTAAGAAATCATGACCTACCTACCGAGGTAAGGGTAAGGCAGCTATCTCAGCGGGGAGGTCACACCGCATGTCTTCGAGGCTGCAAGGAATAGCGATATTATTAGGCAGAGGGTGTAAATAGTCCTACAGCCAGATACTCGAGAGCTCGAGACGTTTTATCTGGCGTGTCTTGGATGATAATCCAGGGAGTTGGGACAGCAGCACGTGACTATCACCCTGCAAGGACGTGGTTAGGATTCGTGCATAGTGGAGAATATCTACTCCGGAGAGGGAATCTATCATCAATGATCATCTCTGTGTACAGAGTACATGGGGAGAGACTAGAGAGACGACGAGAGGGGATCGTCAGCAAAGGAGTGGACGGTGAATTGGACCTGCAGGAACGGAGCATACCAGACCGACTCATGGATGTCACTCTGAGTCTAGATGGAGGAGGAGAGGTATGAATGGATGGATGCCACCATGTAGAATGTCAGTCAATGCCAATAACTTCAATATACGGGGGGAATTACAAAATGAGGCAATAAAATAATAATAGACTAGAGAATAGACTACTTATAGACGATCAGATGCTCGAGTCCCCAACGTATTTTTCTTTTCTTTTTTTCATGTCCTTTTCTGCAGCCCTTGTGATGCTTGCCAGAGGGATGGATTGCTACGACTGATAATAAGAAGAAAACTCTTCGCTGCCCCCGTGACACCTTCAGCTCCCAAATATTATTATCATAAGAGCACTCTATTTGTCTCTCTCTCTCCCTCTTTCGACATCCATTCGGAATATTCCTCAATTCTCATCGTCATCATTATCATTTATTCTAATCCATAATCCTCGTTCCCCACTCTCCTCTCCCCCCATCGATCGCGCTACCTTCTACTACCACCAGAAGAAATACTGCTGGTTCTTCCCGCACGCCGCTTTTCACCCAGCAAAAAGTTCCCTCGCCCACCTGAACCGCTTTTCTCCTCCCTCCTCACTTCCTCGCCTTTTCCTCCTAAATCCTCCCCCGAGACCAGAAAAGCAATTTTTTATACACAAATCCTTCTTCACTCTCAGTTGTGCATATGCCCATAGATTTCTCCAGAGCTAATTGTTATCCCCTGCCATAAATCATGGGCCAGACTTTATCAGAGCCTGTGGTCGAGAAGGTGAGTCCCTCAACACTGATTTCAAGGATGCCTCGCCTCTTCCCCCCACACTGCAGTCTTCCTTACGCAATTTCCAACCCCCCCTTTCCGGCCGTGCTTGTTTGATATTAATTCCCTCCGTGTATTTTCTTTTTATCTTTCCTTTGTCTCGGGCTTTATTTTTGTCTTCTCTTTTGCTTCTTCATTGTCTGGGCCAGTTTTGGTTTTCTGAAAATTCATTATCTCGAACTGCGGGGTCCTGTGTGCACAAAACCGCCGCAGCACCTTGTGGGTGACATGTCATCTATACTTAATGGGTTCGTTCTCGGGAATTGCTAACCATGTGGCTTCTGATCTTTAGACTTCATCCGAGGGTGAAGATGAGTGTTGTGTGTATGGTGTCTCGGCCATGCAGGGTTGGCGAATCAGCATGGAGGATGCCCACGCTGCGGTGCTAGACCTTCAAGCGAAATATAAGGACAACACGGAACAGCCTACCGCACCCGACAAACGTCTCGCCTTCTTTGGTGTATACGATGGACATGGAGGAGATAAAGTGGCTCTATTTGCTGGTGATAATGTCCACAAGATCGTCTCGAAGCAGGAATCATTTCGCAAGGGCGATATCGAGCAGGCGTTGAAGGATGGCTTCCTGGCTACTGACCGGGCTATTCTGGAAGGTTTGTGGAATTCCGTTCATCCGACCAGTCTCGGGCCTCTCGACTGACTTTGCCGCGGTTAGACCCCAGATATGAAGAAGAAGTCTCTGGCTGCACAGCAGCTGTCAGTGTGATCTCGAAGCATAAAATCTGGGTGGTGTGTGAAGATTCGCCTGGGTGTACTTGCAAAGATCGGTTGATTTGCTAACTCGACACAGGCCAATGCTGGTGACTCGCGTTCTGTGTTGGGTGTCAAGGGCCGCGCAAAGCCCCTTTCTTTCGACCACAAGCCTCAGAATGAAGGTGTGTGACTTTTTATAGGCTATGTCTACTGTTTGGGAACCGCATTCTGATAATGACTACAGGCGAGAAGGCCCGTATTAGCGCCGCTGGTGGTTTCGTCGACTTTGGCCGTGTCAATGGCAACCTCGCCTTATCTCGCGCCATTGGTGATTTCGAATTCAAGAAGAGCGCCGAGCTGTCGCCTGAGCAACAAATTGTTACGGCCTACCCCGATGTGACAGTCCACGACCTGAGTGATGACGATGAGTTCTTAGTAATTGCCTGTGATGGTGCGTCTTTTTCATTCTGGCATAGCCATTCTGCTTTGCTACGTTGGGGTTCTGATCTCTATTTTTTTTTGAACTACAGGTATCTGGGACTGCCAGTCTTCTCAATCCGTTGTTGAATTTGTCCGGAGAGGTATTGCCGCCAAGCAGGATCTTTCTCGTATCTGTGAGAACATGATGGACAACTGCCTTGCCTCTAACAGCGAAACCGGCGGCGTTGGATGTGACAACATGACCATGGTTATCATCGGTCTCTTGAACGGCAGGACTAAGGAAGAATGGTACAACCAAATTGCAGAACGGGTGGCTAACGGCGACGGCCCTTGCGCTCCACCTGAGTACGGCAAGTCTCACGAGGAACCTGAGGCCTCCAATCCCTACTGACTGACGGGGGCTATAGCTGAATTCCGTGGCCCCGGTATCCATAACCAATTCGAGGAAAACCCGGATGACTATGAGCTTGAGATTGACCGATCGCGTGGTTTCAGCGTCCGTTCTGGCCGGATCATTCTCCTTGGTGATGGCACCGAAGTGATGCCTGAGCAGAATGAAGAGGAGCTCTTTGACCAGACCGAAGAGGATCGGGATCTTGTGAGTCAGGTGCAGCGTGAATCGCCCGATACCACCCGGAATGAGCGCGAAGGAACTCCTGGACCTCAGTCGAAGAATGATGGTAATAAGGCCGATGAGTCTACTACCAACATATCGGAATCACCTGCATCCACCACGGATCATTCTTCTGGCAATGCCACTGGAGAGCCAGAGAAGTCCACGTCCTCGTAGTCATGAAGCGTCTGTTTTTCTTTTTTCTTTTTTTGGTTCTTTTTTGAAAACGATCTGTGTGATTCTACGACCGTCCCTTTTCTCTATTTTCGCTTTTGTTTCCTCCCCTTGTCCCTTGAGCATCATGTCTACCTATTTGTCTTTTTTTTTTTTCTTTTTCTTTTTCTTTCTAAACCTTTACTATGGCCTTATTGACACCCGTGGGTAACACGGAATGAATGGGGGACTACTTTATTTTTTTCGTGTTGAACTGCCCCTTCTGGGATGTTTTCTTTTTTATTTTCATGTCTTGTGGGATGGAAAAGGGGGGGTTGCTTACAAGATGGGGGGGTTTTTTAGCCGCAAGTCGGCAGGTCTCACGAGAGTACGTCTGTTTTTATGCCTTCACACAACTTAAGATACCGCACAAAACGTCCATTATTGATGAATCTTTGATATCTTTCTATCTTCTTTATCTTCCCCTCTGTTTTTTTGTCCTCCTTCCGTCCTGATTTCTGTCTTGCTCCACACTCTCCCTTTCCTTCCACCTTTCAAGGCTGTGTCGGGGAAGAAAACCAGGGTTTCATGTTGGCCCGTTGTAGGCCGACCAAGGAGGCGAATAGGCGCATGCTGATATTGCACATCGAGGCGTATTCGGTTTTTCAGTCAACAGCATGAAGATCGCTTTATTTCCCTTTTTTTCCCTCTCCTACTTTTCTACTTTTCTATTTTTAAACTGGGTCGGAATGGGTTATCATTTTGATCACGAATCCATCAGCAGCGGAGTTTTATGGAGATGTGGTGAACGCAAACCCGTGAACCATCCTTGGCGTTTCCTTCCCCATATTATTTGCGTATGGTACCTGGCAGGCAGCGTGGCAGTCGCGTCGGAAATGAAGCAACCGATATCTGAATTAATTCCAGCCCATAGTGGCACGACTAGTCAGTCTTCCAAGAAGACTAGATGTAAGACCCTGAATGATCATCCTCGTCCGGCGAAGGAAGATCGTCGATTGTCTCGTGACAGCTGTTCTCAGTCGTGCCGGTCGGTGATACGGTCCCTCTGTGCTGTACCTATGTATGGGCGCTGTCCTGATACGGTACCTGTGTAATCAATACCGTCCGACTAGGCCGGCGAGTCAGCTATTCCGGCTTGGCCTGCCCAATATTGACCCACCTGTACGGTCGGGTGTACCCCGTAGCAGGGTGCTCCGTACTGTCACCGTAATGCGGTTTCAGCCGCTAAGCGTAATTAACAGACCCTGAAAGGCAGAACCGAATAACCTGGGCTTCCCCCCCTAAAAAAACAAGACAGACTGTTGGAGAGAGAGAAAGCGACGGAACGTCCCAAGAGATCGTCATTATTTGTCTTGCATTCCTCCCCAACCTGTCATCTCTCTTCCATCCGTTTTCGTTTCAATTTTCCCCCCCCTCTCTCTTTTGTCTTTCTTTCTATCTTGACATCCCTTGATCCAGTCGACAGAAGTAGAGCTGAGCTCCCTCAAGTCAAGAACCCCCTCCCCGAATACGCCATCATGTCGTCTCCGTCCTCCGCGGGCAAACGCAAGCGCAGCGCTTCCCAACACCAGCCAGCCAACCCCGTCAAGTCGTCCACAGCGGATCTCTTGCAACCTTCATCGCGCGACGCGTCTGGTGAGGAAGGCGATGACTCGACCGGTCCAACAATCCTTCCTACTCCCTCGAGCGGCAAGCAGAAGAAACAGACTTCAATTGACGTCGCGGCTGCGGCAACCGGCACGGTCCCGCCTTCGAAACGGGCCCGGAAGTCAAACGACGAAAGCCATGCACCCGACTCCAATGGAACCGATCAAGTGATGGGGGAGAACAATGAGGAAGATATGGGCGAGCCTTCCGAGACGACCGTGGCAAGCAGCGACATTGAGAACCGGACGGGTCGGCCGGACTTGCAGGTCAAGACGGCAGAGGAGAAGCAGAAACTCATGAGACCTCCCGAGGTCGGCCGATTGCAGGACCCCGTGGGATACAAGACCAATCCTCCTCCTACAGACCGGCCGGTCCGTGTGTATGCCGATGGAGTGTTTGATCTGTTTCACCTTGGGTATGTTATCTTTCTTTGATTTTTATTTTTGGGCATTTGATTAGCCGCTTACTTTGTGAACAGTCACATGCGACAACTCGAACAGGCTAAAAAGGCTTTCCCTGATGTCTATCTCATTGTCGGAGTCACTGGGGATGAGGAAACACACATGCGGAAGGGTCTGACTGTCCTGAGCGGTGCAGAGCGTGCAGAGACCATCCGTCACTGTAAATGGGTGGATGAGGTGCTTCCCAACTGCCCGTGGATTGTGACTCCGGATTTCATCAACGAACACAAGATCGATTATGTCGCTCACGATGACCTTCCCTACGGTGCTGACGAAGGAGACGATATCTATGCCCCAATCAAGGCTGAAGGAAAGTTTTTGGTTACTCAGAGAACCGAGGGTGTCAGCACAACAGGCATCATCACCAGGTTGGTAACTCAATTTATTGCTAGACGATCTGTATCTAACAGACGCAGAATCGTTCGCGACTACGACCAGTACATCTCCCGTCAATTCAAGCGGGGTGCTTCGCGACAAGAGTTGAATGTGTCATGGTTGAAGAAGAACGAATTGGAAATCAAGCGACATGTGACGGAACTCCGGGATAACATCCGCAACAACTGGACGGCCACCGGTCAAGAGTTGGGTCGGGAGCTGCGCCAGATCTGGCAGAACAGCCGACCAAACAGCCCAGCTCCCAGTGCGAGAAACAGCATTGATCTGGGAGGACGGCCGAGTGGAATCGTTAGTCCGACAACAGGCAAGTCCCATCTCTCACGAGTGGAGGCATTGAGCCGTCCTGACAGCCCGGTAGGAACTGGAAGGAACGAAGACTTTGCGACAGGTTACAGTTTGGGGTTGATTGGAGGTGTTCGAGCGTGGGTCAGTATTACATCTCTTATCACACATGGACCATGTTATTAACGTCAAGCAGATGATGCGCAGCCGTCGGTCTCTGATCGAACAAACCAGCCCCAGCCGACCGCATTCGCCGTCTAGCGAAGAGGAACATGAACCCGAATCGGAAGGTAACACTGTGACCCATTCCCACACCGCATAAAAAGTTGCATCTATTCGACGTGTTCGGATAGCAATCAAGATTCGAGATTTACCTCTGCATGTCTCGATCGAACATGTAAGTTAATTTATTGGGAGCAACGAATGAAACATCATTTCTCAACCGTGACATCATCGACCGTGGGACCCAAAAAAAAAAAAGGCGCATTTACTTTCGGATGAATATTTTTATATTATCTATTTTATTCGAATGACAGTGGAGGAACATGCATGCATAACTTAATACTGGGATGAATTGTATCATGTGGTTTGTAACATTGGGCTTGCAGGCGGGATATATAATAGATAGATTGACTTGTCAGATAGTTGGATGGAATATAGGCGTTATTGGACTGAAGTTATTCAGAGATCTATTCATTTATCCATTCTTACTCCAACATAATACGAGCACGTATGAACCCAATCTTAGACAGAAGTTTAGAACAAGTAACAAAGTATGTACATATAGACACAGATAAAATAACAATCTCAGGGTATCATGATGGGGAAACACCGTTAATTTCGTAGCACGGGCTAGCCTGAATTCATCGATATGACGTCTAATCTTGGTCAAGCAGCTGTGATGGCAAGTCGAGGTCTCACCTTCCGATCTGGCTGATCCTCAATTTCCATGGAACACGGCATACTCAACCGCAACCCGGGAATAGGCACAGCATCACCAGGAGACGAGCAAAGAATGGCACGCAGGTTATCACGCAAAGAGGCCGCATCTCGTCGCAGATTGTCCTCGAGCAAACCCTTCGCATAGGCATCACAACGGGCCGTAATCCCCAAATCGAACGAATGCAAGCCCCGAACCCCCAACAACGGACGAACCCAGGGCTCATCAATCGCCAGCCTCAGACGCTTTTTCCCATCAATCAGGCCCCCAATGGTGTTCCCACTGAAACGGCCAAGGTCAAGACTAAGCCGTAACTCTTCCAGGCCGTCGAGAGCCGCAACACGAGTCCAGAAGAGCGCCCAAAGCCGGTCATTGTGAGTGTGTGAGAAGATGGAGGACTTGTGTTCTTCGCCAGCCATGGGTTGCCAGATGGGCATCCATTGGACGGTTAGTCGTTTGATGGCGCGCAGATGGTCAGGGGAAATGGACAGCGAGAAGGCGATGAAGGTGTGTAGGTCGTCGACGTCAAAGACGGGGTTGGAGTAAGGTAGATCAGCAGCTTCGACGTAGATACCACGACAAGTACGCAGGAGAGCAAGCGACGAATTGCTCAGCAGCTCAGGGAGAGCGGCATGCGTGTGAGGGTAGAGCATGCGGTCGGTAGTGTGGTCAGCGATGCGCCATCGAGCCGGAGTAGCAGGACAACAGTGTCGGTTGGAGTCGAGCGAGGAAGCAGAATGACAGCACCGAACATGGCGGATTTTATCCTTGATCTGGACGAGGTGGACGGCCTCATCGCCAAAGACATAGTTGTAGATGATGAGGCGGACTTCGGGGGGCAGATGGCGTAGCAACATGCTTTCGTCTTGAGGGTTGATGGGACGGGCATAAGGATCGATGGGATTGGAGGGTGGGGGCAGTTGGACTGGAGGCGCACAGATCTTACGATCCTGGATGAGATCGCGAACGGTTTCCTGCCATCGTCGACCGGTGGAGTAGTAATGCCAGATGGAGTAAGGGTCACGAAGGAGCCAGGCATCGAAATGACGCATTTTGAAACAATTTTTCAAGCAAGCTACTTGAAATAAGAAGGTGATAAGAGGTGCATTGATGAGTCTATAGGTTACAAACGGTTAAATATCAGAATATTAGAGCAGATAAAACAGGTTTGAGGCAATTCAGCTTTTATATCACTACCTATACCTTGTATAGGGTTTGCGCCTTCTGATTGGCTGCCGCGCCCCTCGGGAAGTTCCGCTGGCGCAAATCGGGTTTTTTCGGTCGAGAGTGCACCGAGTGACGTCACTTGCTGGAGCCAGCCAATGAACGGTCGTGAACCAGGTAGTCAGTGACTGATATGGTATTGTACGGTAACTGGCGTACAGCTTCCCCGGATCTGCTCAATCTTGATGGGACAGAACCAGCCAGTCATATTGACCAATTTAACCCACCCAAGAAGAATTCGCCAATCATATTAGAGACTCTGGTGGAGGGATGCACTAAGCCAGGATAGGTGGTATTACTTACCCTACTGTGACATCTCAGTCCAAAACGGTTGCATTCATCATCATTTTCATATCATACTATCGCCCAGCACAGACATGATATCTACACGCTCGTACCGCCATTTAGCCGTCGACTGTCCATGGTCCATCTGGTTTTCTATTCAGTGATCGACACCCCCTCTTTCCCTCCTCTCTATCGTGCATTAGCTTCTCCCTCCTTCCTCCACCCGATGCGAATGCTCCAGGTCTGACGTCGCCTTTGCAGCTTCATTCTCTCGGGGTTCTCTCTCCCCCGCATCTTCGGCAGATCCTCCATCTGAACCTGAACGATCGTCTCGCGCCATGGCTACGCTAATCGCACTGCCTATGATCAATGCCGATCCCACCCAACTCACTGGCGACAGCGTAACTCCCCAGACCACCTTGTCATAGAACATTGCATATATCATCACTGTATATAGCATCGATGTCGCCCGCGACCCCGATGACTTGTTACTGCTACCCGTTCCCCCCTTGGGGGGCGGTGGAACATACGCCAATCCTGCCGTCAACCAAAACTGCAGCAGGAATCCACAAACTCCCAAGCCTGCTAGCAAAACCCAGTCAATCCAGGTCGCCGGCAGCTTGAACGGCACCCAGGGAAGAGCTGCCATGGCTACGAGGGAGATAATGGCTGTGACAGCAGAGAAATATGTGACAGACACAAGAGGATGGGCGCGAGTCCCAATCATACGGATCGTTGAGTAGGCACAGGAGGCACCCATTACACCAATCAACGAAACGATAACCGCCATGGTATGCTGGTACTCCTTTTTCGTCGTGTCAGACTCCTCGGTCGTCGTATTGGCCGATTCGCCTGATCTGAAAAATGCAAAAGGCTGAGCAATGAGAACCACGCCCACCAGCGATATCACCGCAGCCAGCTGTTGCTTCCCGGTAAACCGTTCCCCGGGAATGAATAACGAGCAGGTGTAGCAGCTGAGGATAGGAGCCAGGAAGGTAAGCACAGATGCCTCAGATATAGGCAAATATTGCACCGAGTAATACAGCCCATAGACACCGAAAAAGCCGCCCACCGCACGCAGAATCAGCAAGCCCACCACTGGACGGGTTCCCAGCGGGTTGGGGACCTGCGCGTACCACATGTAGATAAAACTGGCCAGGACAGTGATGGACATGCGAGCGAAGAGGATCTGCTGGTTGTTAGCCTGTGTTTTCCTTGGGCGAGGACTCCGTATCAATCTCACCTGAAAAGGGTCCATTCCGTCCCCATTCTGACCCAAAAGTTTGGCAATCACATTCATCGACGCTCCAAAAAACTGCGATACAATCACCAGGATCATGCCCTTGCCCTGGAGCCAGATGTCTTCCAATTTCGTCCGTAGGGTCTGCCATCGCGATGGTTGATCATCCTGGGCATTCTTATCGAGGCTATCGCTTGTTGACGATGAGCGGAGCAGCGGCTCTCGCGCCGCATCTTCATTGACGGGCAGAATCATCCTGCCCGAGTTGACTGACTGTTCTGATAGAAAAGAGTCTGTTGAAGGATGGAACAGAGCTCTTGTTGGTGAAATTCTTGGTCTTTGGGGTGGGGCTGTTTGGTTTGTTTTCGGTGGAAATGAAGATTCGCTTTCGCCATCACAAACGTGTGTTTTGGCGCTGCAAGGGCGATGGGGGAGGGGCGAGGACGCCATGTCGGATGTGCAGTGAAGGACAGGATATTATTTATCTATTTTTTATTTTTTACATATAGGAAGAATTGTATAAACTTGAGAGAAGAGGGGAAATAATAAAAATCATCAGCTGAAATTCTCCATGACTAATTCTGATTGATCTGCGCTCGATCACTCCTCCATCAGCTGGACTATTAGTAGTTACAAGCTGCGCTTCCAGCCAGGGAATATCGGTGAGAAATCCTACGGGCTGACGAGGTCCATTGTGCTGCCTGTACTCTCAGAGCTGCGCATGTTTGACTTTCATCAAGCTCGATTCGAGGGTTCGTGACCAGTCCTAGATGGATGGCGATCTGACATGGAAACATATCGCGTATATAACTTGTTTTGGATCCAATTGCATATGCAACCAATCCCTATACCACATCATCGTGCATGATTCGCAGTCCAAACTGTGATCATCGCTAAAATACATACACACTATGCAACAATAGTACGTATACTATACAAATGTAAATGTGTCGCCGCCCTTTTCCCGCAACATGTTTCCAACCCGCTTCGTGCCTACAATCCGCTCCAGCTTCAATGCGTCCCATTTGGAGAACAACGCTCGCACTCCTCCCTCGGCTGCATCTACAACCCCTGCTGAGTCTAGCCCCAAGAACCCTACAACCTCGCCATAGAATCGAGGGTTTTCGGGCACGCCATACATGACCACCTGCTTTACCCCGCGCAGCTGGTACCGTCGGAAGTGATGCATTCGCTCCGAGTACAGCAATACCGAGTGTCGTCCGTTCATGAAATGTGTCCGCGCCCTTGTCACATCGCGAGTGTCTGTGTACTCGGAAATGGCACCGAACGAAATGTTGGTCGTCTGAGCTGATGTCGCAAAGTAGTTGCGCACTCGTACAAAGTCCAGATACGACGGAATAAAGACCAAAGTACCACCACCACTCTTACCCCGGCCAGAGGTGATGTTTCGCACCAGTGAAGATAGTACTGTCGTTGTAAAGTGCTTGAATCGCGCATCCGGGTCCTTGGCCGGCGAGAGACAATCAAATCGGGAGAATGTCTGCTTAACCGAGACTGGGAGTGGTATCTCAGAAATCGCACCGGCATAGACTGGCGTCGCCTTGATCTTGCCAGCCACGTTCTGCATGTGCGTTGAAAAGATCGAGTTGATCTCTGGTGCGACGTAAGATGACAGCGTAATCAGTTGTCGGACATGTCGTGCGTTGTTATCCAAGTACCACGTCCGGACGCGGCTAAAGTCGCACCCATGCGCTTCTTTCGGCTGCAAGTTGAGATGCTGCAGGATGTGCTCGACATGATCCCAGTTCTGCATAAGCAGCGCATCTGCATGGTCCACAATCACCACTTCAATCGACGACAGAAAGTCATGGTCCCGCTTCTTTGCACTGCGTAGAGATCAGTAAACAGCTTCCAAGACAACTGTTGCCCCAGAACACCTACTCTGCTTGATCCATGATTGTCCGTAACCCAAGTGGACTTGCAAAAATCATATCTGAGTTGTAGAATTTCGAAAAGTACTTGACTGTCTTTCGAGTAAACTTGAGTCCCAGTCGGAACATATCGTCGTCGTTTCCGCCAAACAACTCCTGGAAATCTTCAGTCCTGTTCTCCCAGCTCTTGTCATCCGCACCCGAAAATGAGTCCATGAACCGCTTTCGGTTTTCCTGCTGTTCAGCCTGGTAGAACTTGGTAATCGAATCGATTACCCGGACGCAGGCTTGGCGCGTCGGCAGCAGATAAAGCACTTTGGGTCGGGTAAACCCTTGATCCCGAAGGTCGAGATCCGCATCCTGTTCTTTGGCAAGACGAGCATTGTTCTTGAGCACCCGGTCTCGAGTCTTCAAGACATGGTTGACGGCATGGACAGCCAGAATGTCCCGCATGTGGGCTGCGTTTGATGTTGTCCTGGACCCGTACAAGACATCCTGGTAATCAAAGATATAGGGCGCGAGAAAATGGGCATCTTCACTCAGACTCGGAATGAACTCGGTGGCGGCAGTTTTCAGTTTTGATTTCAGCTGAGAAAGTTAGCTTTAATCCCCATTATAATCTGTATAATTATTGCTGCATACCTTTGCATTAGATATATTCTTCATGGCTGGCAGGAAGGGTGCGTCACCCCCACCAATCTCCGGTACACTGCGCACCAATCTCAGTCTTTCGGAGATCTCCTTCTTGGAAGAGCTCCATTTGTTTTGTCCTGCGGCTTGGATATTTCTGGATAGCTCGCCCTCGTCAGGGATTGTAAAATGTCTTTCAAAAGGATCGCTGACTAGAAGAAGGTCAGCCTGAATTTCAAAAAATGAATTGGAGGTGGTTCCTCACCATCCTCCTCATCGTCACTTCCTTCCTGCTCATCGCCAATAGCCTCCTCCGAATTTTCTCCATCCTCTTCATCGTCCGTGGGTTCCTGGTCTTGCAAGTCGTCGTCCTTGAGCATTTCCTCATCCTCCTTCACCTCTTCAACCACGTCGCTTCGAGATTTTTTATTCTTCCTAGAATCCTTGTGATCAATCTTCCTTTTCTTGCGATCGGGTCCCTTGGAATCCGTATTGGCCTGAAGTAGTTGGAGTAATTCGTTGTATGACTGTCCCGTCTCTTGGTCCTCTTCCTCGCTGTCGGATGATCTCTCGTCCATGGGAACCTCATCGCCCATATCATCCTCTAACTGACCACCTGAAAAGCCATCTTCTCCACCTGAAGAAGCGTCTGAGCTGAACCGATTCGTTAGCTCGAGCCTCAAGCATCTGCATGCGATACTTACTCGATCTCTTCGACTCGCGATTTCGTGAAATCGTCTCTTCTGCTATGTCCTCGAGAGCCCTTTCCTCGCCCTCTAGAGAATTTACCGCCTCTTCCACGAGGAGCCATTTTAAACAAGAACCGTTCTTCCGTATAAATAGCTTTGCTGTTGTGTTGAAGCTTGTAGTCGAACTTTTTTTTTTCGCTGCTGTTGGGGGTTCGCCTTATCTTATCTTAGCGCGAAATTTCCCATTGCGCGCACACACAATTTGAGCCTCGCAGAACTCCGCCGCAGAGCCAGTCAGTTCCAGCGGGCGGAAGAATTAAAATACAGAGCCACTCCACCACGACGAGGAAGAGCCTGTCACCCCCTTCGACGACGACGCAGAAGATCAAGAGAGTGTGTGCGAGCGACGGGCAATTTTAGAACATCTTTCTTTCACCATGGCTGAAACCGATTCCTTCCTTCACCTTGCTCGCCCTCTGGGCCCCATGGCAGTGGGGTCTGCACCGACAACCGCCCCTCTGAATGTTGGCATCCAGCCTCAGGTACGCTAAAGGTCTTCGCTGGCAGTTATTGATGGGATGGATTACTGACTGCATGCTGTAGGCCATTTTCTCGATCCTTGACCACTCTCTCCGTCGCAATGCTGATCAGGAGCGTGTCATCGGAACCCTGCTAGGAACCAGATCTGAGGATGGAACCGAGGTGGAAATTCGCAGCACCTTCGCTGTTGGACACACTGAGACGGCGGACCAGGTCGAGGTGGACATGGAGTACCAGAAGCAGATGTTGGCGTTGCACCTCAAGGCGAACCCGAAGGAGATCCTGGTCGGTTGGTACGCCACTTCCTCCGAGTTGAACACTTTTTCCGCCTTGATCCAGAACTTCTACAGTGGCCAGGGTGATGGTACATGGCCTCACCCGGCTGTCCACCTCACTGTGTCCACTGAGGCTGGAAAGGACATTGAGACCCGGGCCTACATCTCTGCTCCCGTTGGTGTGACCGCGGAGAGAGCCGCCGACAGTGCCGCCTTTATCCCTGTTCCCTACGAGATCCGATATGGCGAGCCCGAAAAGAGTGGATTGGAGACCATTGCTACCGCCAAAGATGAAGAGAGCCGCGCTGCTAACATCTTTACCGACATTGAGGCCCTGGAGCGTGCGATCGAGGATGTGCTGGGCATGATTGACCGTGTTTCGAAATACGTTGAGTCCGTCATTGATGAGGAGGCCCCAGCTTCGACAGCGTTGGGTCAGTTCCTTCTGAACGCTCTGGCCTTGGCGCCCAAGGTTGAGCCAGCTGACATTGAGCGTGACTTGTATGAATTCTTCCCTCTGATTGTCTTGATAACCTTCCTTACTAACCCTCTACAGCAACAACCACATCCAGGATGTTTTGGTCGTTTCTTACCTGGCCAACACCATTCGCACACAGATGGATCTGTCCAACCGGCTAGCAACTGCCCAGTTGACTCTGGGTGGCGGAGAGTCCGGTGCCACTGGCGAGGGCCAGAAAGGAGGCCAACGAGGCGGCAAGGGAGGCCGTGGAGGGCAACAGCGCACTCAAGAACGAAGCGGCGAGGAAGCCCGTGCTTAAAGAAAGATAAAGCAAACAGCCCGTGGAAATATTTCTTCTTCTGTTCTTTTTTTTCTCTTATATTGTCGATTTTTTTTTCTTATTATTCTATTTTTTGCCTTGGATGTGTCTGGGTCATATTTCGTCCAGGGCGTCTCTCCTTGGGTGTGAAATCTTGTCATCCTGTTTCCTGTCACCGGGGGCAGTACAAAAATCAAAAAAGCAGGAAACCAAACGAGCACGGCGTATGGGAGTCATCTGGCTTTGTTCAGACTGAAAAAAAGGAGACGTACGGACAGAAGGGTGGAGAAGGAGTCTGGCTGGAGCTGCCTTGCTCTTTGAACGTGATGATGTAGACCTGAATGGTTACGAAGTAGTCGCTTTTCCTGTGAGCGGCATATCAGTCATGATGAAATGGACATACATAAGCTAGAGATTTCATTTGTTTCCAAGATTTGCCTGTAGCCATTGAATATAGATGCCTTGGGATTCGCTTGATAGAATGCTCTCTTGTTATCTTTAATGGATAGAATATACAAAAGGTGAAACTTGACAAATATGAAATAAGTAATGAATATACAATACTGCCCTATGAGCAGCGAGCTAGGAACTAACTTAAGCAAGAAAACTTGTAGATACCATACCATTCTGTAGGTTATTCAGTCCTCAAAAACACGTTAAAGCCTGTAAAACCAAATGGATAGCTCATCGCCATTCGAAAACAAACGCCTCCCAATGCAGATAGTGGTATAACATATGTGTAGTGGTGTAAAGGAACCGACAACGCCCAAAATCAAGCCCAGATGTATCTTGCTGACAGTATTTCATCCTACAACCTTTCTCTTCTTCGGCATTGTTTCCTCCGTTGCATCCGAGTCACGGCGGGCATTTCTCTTGCCCTTGCCCTTGTTCTTCTTCCCGGTGGTCGTCCCATCCACGCTCTCAGTCAGATCCTCTAGACCCTTCTTCCCAGCAGCATCCTTCAGATTGCCAACCTGATCGTCGTTCTGGTCGAAAGCTTTACGAGCTTCTTTCAGCTCGCGCTCCATCCGCAGCAGTTCCTGCACACGACCGAGCTTGTTTGGATCACGTCGCAGCGCAAAGCGAAAGTCATCGACCTTGATCTTCTGTCGGCGCGAGTAGGTAGCATACTGAGCTGCTCCATGGCACATCTCGATGACAAAATCGGTGACAATTTCATCGAGCACGCGAACGGTTTCGGGGAGGGGTTCGGAGGGGAATGATGGATGGGGACTTGGATCACCATAGGCGAGAAGGAGAAGGCGGACTATTTGACGTCAGAACTGACCCCAATGTATACATATACCGATTAAATGGCACATACGTTCTGATGAAAAATTCATCTGACCCTTGTGCCTGGCGGCACGAGCTCTGGGTTCCGCCATTGTGGATCGCTTTTTCTTTTTGTTATTATTGGACTCTGTAGACTTTTCACCACCAGTGGTGGTAGAACTTCCAGGTACACTCGACAAGTTAGACGAACAAGTCGTCGAAGTTGTAGTATTAGTGGCAGTGGTCGACGGATTAAAGGCCGGACGATAACCGGAACGGATCAAGGCAGTTTCGTGAGGATTGAACGGCCACGGGGGAGCAAGGTCACTCGCAACATGACCAGAACTAGGCCGGCGCAAGGGAAAAGATGAAGCCGGGCTAACCTGCGGCCGAGAAGCAGAAGATGGCGATGCTGGGTGGATCGCAGGCGGATAAGGATGGTTGTTGCGGGCGAAGAGCGTCTGGGCGTAGAGGCCGCGGCGGTCAGGGCGGATTGGGGCAGCCATGGGCGGCAGAACAGCAAAGGCGGTTTCTCACCACCACCACCACCAGGTGTCAGGATTGCGAAATAGACGACGAAGATAGCAACGCTGGAGCTGTATAGCTGATTCTTTGAAGCTTGACTCTGCTGAGACTACTGTGTCGCTGGATTGACGAGAAAAGAGATATCGTGAGATATTGCGAGAGATAGGAAGAAGTTCAAGATGGTAAGTGAAGGAATCCCTCATTCACTTGAAGTGAGTGAGCAGCTGGATGATAAGGTACTGACAGAGTCGTATTACAGTCTGCCTTATTCAATTTTCAATCTCTTCTTATGGTAATTCTACTCGTCATTTGTACGAGTACATATGCCCACTCCATCATGCCCGGCATCATGGACCGGAATCAACACGGGTACGAGCTGCCTCACACTTACCTCGATCCTTTATGGATAGACACCGATAAGATCGATAATCCATTGACATTCATTGCAGATTCTTTGGGATATTCTGGAAATGCGCACGAATTGGAGAACGTCTAAGTCCCTACGTCAGCATCTGCTGCATCTTCATGGCTGTGGGTTCCCTGCATTACATCAAGGATATCAAGTGCTGGAAGGCTAACTTATGGGCTTCATAATATAGGTCTCGATCTTCTTCGGCGGTTAAATTATAACCCCAATGTTAAAATCTCATGAATCCAAGGTATCATGGTCTCACCAGGTAGTCGGCGTTACTAGAAGTCGTTTGTTGATTTGGCATTTGCATGCAAGCATATCGTGATTATCTTATTGTACATATAAAAATTGAGAATTTACAACCACCATGTCTTAAACCTGACACAAAATCGACGCTCTTGTTTTGTCTCCATTTCACGACCATCGTACAGAATCCATACTCTAGATTAGATGCACACGGGCAAGGGTATCTTATAACTTGGGGTTCAACTTCGCTTCCAGTCGTCGCAGACCTTGATCCAGCAGCCTTTCACGATTGTTCGCATCATCCTTTTCTGCGGACTCGTTGTGCGGCGAGTTTCGCGAGGGGAGGCCGGCCTCGGCTGCTGCTTTATCCAGCTCTTCGACAGCCACCCACAATCGTTCGGGGTCTCGAAGGTACCGGAGACTCTTCATCGTATACTCATCGAGCACAAATCCTTGCTCTTCCATCGTCTTCATAGACTTCGCGACCTCAGGCACGTCTTGCGCGTTCGCATAGCCACTGATCACGATGTTCCATGTGACGTTGTTGAACTTGACTCCGTGCTTAGCCATCATCTCCTTGACCTTCTCTGCCGCGAGTGGCTGTTTGTTGAACACGAAGGCGCTCAGTAAAATCGTCCAGGTACGGACCGTTGGCTTTGAATGGACAATGGCCGTATTCTTGTCTTCAGGGTCCGATCCAAGGTTAAGCGAATCGGACTGGAGCATGTCCTCGACCAGGCGTACGCACCACCGAAGTCCACGAGGATCGTCTCGGAGTGCGATGAGAAACTCGTTGTAAGTATGGTCAGTTGCTGCGAGAGGTGCAATGATCTCGTGGCCCTGCGCCGCAAGATTGCGGAATCTCGTATAGATGCGCTGGGCGTTCGAGATACGCTTCTGACAGCGGAAATACGTTGCGATCATGATGTATAGAGCCACCAAAGAGGGTGGTGTGTTGGCACTTCCAAGCGGGGGAGTATAGTGGAGTGGAACGATAGAAAGTTCCTTGAGGGGAGTAATATCGTGAAGCTGGTTATACTTATCCAGCATCGAATAGAAAACTTCTTTCGGATTGGCGTCAACATCCAAGTGCTTTGCAGTAAAAACGTAATAGGCATGGAACAGCTTGCTGGCAATATATGGGTTCGTCCGCAACTCTTCATGTGGTTCAATCTCCTGTATCAACGCATTAACACGCTCACGGTCCCCACGAGCAACAGCATCCGAGAGCAGTGCTATGTATGAATACGAATCCAGCTCTTGGCCTTGGGCTTTCATAAAGTTAAGCATGTCAAGCCCTAATTGCGGGTCGCCCGTCTTGAAAGCGTTGGATAAAACAACGTTCATCATGTCTCTGTCTGGCCGTACACCCATTTCGAGAAGCCTGGGGAGAATGCGAAAGTTCCGCCCTCCTGGTCCACCCCCTACCACAGAATCAAGTGTCAAAAGTTTGGAGCAGTGACGGGAAACTCCTTCGGAGTCCAGCCCAAACCCAGGCTGCTTGAGTTTAGGGATATATTGTAGTGCCTCGACTGCGCTGTCAACATCCCCGAAGTCTGTAAAACGGTGCATGAAACAAAGTGCTGTTTCAGCTGTCATTTCGATCTGCCTTTCACGGACTAGCCTGAAAGCGTATGAGACCCCTTCATGATTAGACCGCCTCAGATAGAGCCGAACGCCCTTTTGCGGCAGGCTTAGAATGGGCCAGCTTCTCGGGTCCAAGCAGGCCTGCAAGACTGAATGATATGTGTGGGTGTCTTTTCTCCACTTCTTCAAACTATCATAATAGAATGCATCCAGATAGAGGAGACAGTCCGCAACCATGGTGAAATTCGGGCAGTCTTTGCTTTTCACTGTAACGAATAGGAATTCCAAGGCAAGCTCTGGGGAGTTCTGCAGCAACCAGAGCACCAATCGCATCCAATGTGCAGCCTTCACTGTCCTATCTAACGAGTCCCAGGTTTCACGAAAGCTCCCCAAACAGTCTTGCTGAACCTTCTCCAGAAGTTCCAGCCCGAAATCTTTCAATGTTGGTATTACTGCGCGGTTGTACACAGATCGATCGTAATGTTTGGCTTTGAAGATTTCAGCATACGCAGCTTTCCATTGGTTTATGGCAAGCAGGCGCGAATATAATGAGCCCAGTCTGATAAGAGCCTCCAGATGTACTGATCTCGGTTTCACAAATCTTTTCTGATGTTTGATTTGGCTGTTTAGCCGGGAGATCACATGGTGTGCAAGATTGCGTCGAAAGCCCCCATTATGAACAATCCTTCGTACAGAATTCTGCGATATTAAGCGCGTAGCCCGCCTGCCGCGGCCTTCCCGGGGTGGTTGAACAGACGTATCTGGTTGTTGAGTTGGCGGTGCACCGTTCCGACTCTTACCAGCCGTATTCGATTGCTTCAGAAACGAATTGGAAGCAGCTGTTGAAGAGGCCGAGGAATTATCGGGAGAAGGCTCCTTATGTGTACTCCGATCACTTCGAGGGACGGTCGAAGTCTTCACATCGTTGTTGACAACCCTAATGTCACCCGATACGGCAGTATTCGAGTTGAAAGCATGGTTGGTAACGTGTCTTGTCCCTTCAAGATTTGTTCTCTGTCGATACCAATGCCCCAAACGTGTCCTGTGCTGCGGAGCACGAGAGGGCAGTCCGGCGCTCAAGCGGGATCGAAGGAGGTGGTGCGGACACAAGGACATTCAGGATTTTTTAACCTAATACATTGATTAAAAGAAATATAAGATAAAAAAGGTCAATCTCGAGGACCGGATGGGATGGAGGAAACTGGCGAAGAAGGGTTCTAAAAAGATTCATTGTCTATCTCCGTCTATATCGACGCAGCCCGATTTTGCTCCGGCTCGGCTGTGGCTAGTGACAAGCGCCAAATGTGGCGCAGCGATCCCGATAGCATCGCGGACTATCACTTTCTTGCCGTATCGTCAAAACCAACAGGCTTGTGATAATCGCAACCTCTTTACAAGCCGATCAAATTAAAGGATCCTGGTTTCCTCTTTGTTGAATTTTACAACCCAGTTTTTAAAAAGAATCTCTCTTTTACTCCTCGCAACTGGCAAACATGTCGTCCAACCACGCATCTCTTGATGCGGCAGCAACAGAACGTAAAGCACGTCTCGCAAAGCTTTCAGCGCTGAAACGAAAACAACCAGAACCAGAAACATTGCCTGACGCTGGTGCTGGGGATGATGAAGCGGGTGATGCAACTCACGATGTCACAACTACATATTTATCTGGGCGGAATTACGACGCCGAAACTCGTGGTCCCAAGTTGGGTTTCGACCAGAACCCACTCGATGGACAAGCCACATTGGAAGATCAAGCGGCTGAGATAGCCAAAGCCACTGCAGAGCAAGCGAAGAAGGACGAAGAAGCAGACCAACCGATCGATTTATTCAAATTGCAACCGAAGAAACCCAATTGGGATCTGAAGCGTGACCTAGATGAAAAGATGAAAGTCCTCAACGTGAGGACAGAAAATGCGGTCGCAAAACTAGTACGACAACGGATAGAGAATGCGCAGCGTGCAGCTAAGGAGAAAGGAGCGAAACAGAATGGAGAGGGGGAGGAAGTGGGCATTGAAGGTGAAATGTTGGTGGAGGGTATTCATGTTCGCGAGAGGGAAGAAGAAGAGGAAAGAAGAGACAGGGAAGATGATGAGATGGCTTGAAGTGATACCCTCAGAAGTTTTAAGGCAATTTATGATACTGGTTCTCTTTCTCGAATTTCCCTTCGGGTGCTTGCTATTGGTTTGGGGACATACGTGCAAGAAAACATAAAGGCGTTGAGGAAACTTGTATGATGGTGCATGGATATCAATGCATTATTTTCATTTATATTAATATGATACATAGGCCAATCCATGATTGCCCAAAAAATAGAACGAGCGAAGCTATAGAAGGCATTGAAAAATCCCTAGAATATATTTCTATCTTCATCTCCCCATTGATTGAGTCAGCGCAAGACGTTTGCTGTAGGGACTCAAGCTTCGTTCTCTTCTAGGCTGAGCAGAAGAGGGACCAGCTCGTCCACCATAATCGGGACGGCGATGGGATTGGTCTGGCGCGCCCATTTTGTCCCTGGAATGTCTTCTGGGATGACTAGGACGTTCTCGCATGGCCCCTGGCGTCATGGACCGCCTCTCTTTAGCAATCCGACCCTTGTCCATGCTTCTACTGCGGGACCTGTCTCTCCGACCACCACCCCGAGGTGATGTTCGAGGCCGACCACGCTCCTCAGGGCTAGATTCCCGGTGTCTTCGCCTGGTGTTCCTGTCGCGCGCCCATTCTTGCGAGCGTGAACGAGCCCTTTCACCAGAAGAATAGGATGAGATAGAATGATGGGAGGATGAGTCGCTGTATCGCCTTTTCCTTGGCTTTGAATGGCATGAAGATATTGAGTGTGCTCGATTACCGTTACTTTTTGCGCTGTACCCGCGAGCTGGGGATTCTGACCGGGATCGACTGGTGGATATTGTTGACACAGAGCTCATTGAATGTGATGATTCTGATCGAGCTCGTTTCAACGCTTGATTCTGGCCGTCAACGGGGTCAATTTCGTCCATCTCTCTTTTGCGACCACGTTCTTCATCCCGCTTCGCTAATATTTCGTCTGCTGCATTCCTGCAAAAATGTCAGTCGCGTATTATTCTCAATGAAGGATCCAGTGAGACTAGTATCCACATACGGCCGGAGAATGTCATTTGGGACCTCCGTTGTGAGTTGTGGTCTCAGTCTCGGGTTTTGCAGCTGCTGCGTGCGCGACGGTCGAGAAGTATATGGCCGTTCTTGCGCAGATGCGGTACATTCATAACTATAGTGCCGTATAAAATAATTAGCGAAAAATCCAGCTCATAAGGAGTATAGGCACATATCTCGTTTCAAACATTTTTGACACAGAGTGCTTGCAGAGGCCTTGGTAGGGCCTCTCAGCCCGGGGGCATTTCGGTATCGGTTCATTGAGAGGTAATTATCAGTGGAAAATTCCAAAGAATGATAGATGAATGCAGAGTGAGATTAAAATATTCAAAGCAAATAATTTGCTAAAAGAAAAAGCAAGTCTAGGCAATGACATAAAGTGATAGAAGTCATTGATCCCCGCGGCTGCAAGAAAGGGCGGATCAATCAATTTACACGCGCGGCTAGCCCACGAAGGCACTCGCCAGCCAGCCTTAGAAGCCTTAGGCGGGATCACCGCCCGCCGTTTCCTTCATCGCCCAAAAAAAGCCCTGGCGTCCAAACTTCTTCCCCCCAAACTCTTGCCCCCCTAACGGTCGACGTTAGTGCTGGTCTGCTGAAGAGTTCTTACTCCGCTACGGTTACCGAGTCTATTTCGGACCGGATCAAATTTTTATATTCCCTTCCAGAGTAGGAGGACCAGACCCTCCCTGAATCATGAACTCGTCGTTCTGACCATAGTGTAAGACCAGTCTCTTTGATCTATCCCGCCTTGCTATTTGATATCATTCCCAGCTTCTCAAGCCTGTTTGTTCTACCCCATTCCTCACAGATTCGATACACGCAATCGCTAATCCTGAATTTGAATAGCTTTCCTTATGGCGAACTTCCTTTTTCAGAGATATGTCGTCTTTCTTTTTGGGCTTGTGTGAAGTGGAGTTATTGAGTGTTCTTACCTCGATTCGAGTTTCGGTTTCGTCCTTTTCCAATTCCAAACCCGCAGCGCTTTGAGTGCAGTCAGCCGTGTCATTCCTATCGCCGGGTACATTCTATCTTACGTTTAATTTATCGGTATCGTTCGATCAAAAAAAGAAGAGAAGAAGAATATTAAAAATAGCTGCGGGGGTAATATACTATGGCGTCGAAAAGTTCTCCCAGAGGCGACAGTCGTCTCTCATTTGCAAAGGTATGTCTCAATGCTACCGGTCTTTCGCATCGCAAGAATCGGTCTGACTTGCACCTAAGATCGCTGCTATGCCCCCACCATCGAAACCGCAAGCTTCTGCTGCGTCTGATGAAAGGAACGGTTCACAGCGTGTTGAAGCAAGTCAATGTCTAGAATCGCAAGACTTACTGTCTGGTCAGGACGGCTCCGTTAACGTCCCACACGAGGCCAATGCTGCCGATCGAGACGTCGATGAACTAGGTCAAGCCGTGCAAGATGTCCACTTGGCAGGCAAGAAGGACCGGCAGAATTCTGGATTCTCCGCTGATGCCCAGGAAAATGGGGCTCTTAAGCGCGAGACTTCATTTGAAGATGACCGTACCCATCTTTCGAACTCCTCAACGAAGCAAACCAGCTTCGACTCGAAGAGTATGGCCTCGGTCACTACATTTGCCATGGATGAAAAGGATTCTCTACGACCTGATGACAGTGCCAGTGTTCAAGCTGTCGATGAGGACGAGTCGCTTTCCGGGCCGGCTTCCGGTGCACCGAATTCCTTGACTGGATCCGAGGCTGGTGCTCGGGGGTTTAGAGACCATTTCAGAGATGGTAACACCCAGAGACCTCGAGCAATCTTACAACACAATGCATCCGTTTTTGATGGTAGCCAGCGGGCCAATGGTGCAGTTCACGCAGAATCTGTTTCAAACAACTTCGTTATTCCAAACCCAGAAACATTCCACGGCGGGCGGAATCTACATGGATTCCCACTTGAGCCCGATGAGAAGCTTCTTGAGGCAATGAAATCACCCAAAGATCGTCTACTAATATTGCAACTAGAGGAGAAGGTCCGGCACTTCATTCAACATTCCAAGTGAGTCAAATCATTATCCTTACAAATTCATTTGTTTTCTGAGTTCACTAACATTTATTATCAGAGAACAATCCTTGGAGCTGCCGCCTTCAAATGCCTTTGGACGCTTACTCGCCCATAAGCTTGGTGATTACTATCACTTGACCCATTTTGTGGACAACAATGTCACTTCAGTTCGACTTCACAGAACACCCTTTTGTCGGCTGTGAGTTTTCCTGCTTTTTTACCTTCTGCTATTACATTGCAGCATCGAGCTCTAAATGCTAACCCATATAGACCGACGCCTCTGTCTACACTACATGCTGCTACCAACAGCACTCCACCTCCAGCTGTTCCTGCCATGAAGATCATGCGCCGTAATGATGGGCCTGATGGAAGTGGAGCAAGTTCTGGCCCTTCTAAAACCGGATCAGAGGCTGGCGACAGTGGCAATGATGGGGAGCGCGGTGGCTCCTCTACTGACGCAACACCTGCTAAGGACCGGTTGACATTAACAAGAGAAGAACGAGAGGCTAAATACCAGGAAGCGAGAGAGCGGATATTCCGCGATTTTCCAGAATCCAAGTCTTCGGAAAACGCAAATAGCGACCAGAGTGCCAACATGTCCCGTTCAAGTTCTGCGAGTGGCCGAAAGAAGACCCAAAGACAGAAAACACCCCATGATGACAGCTTCGAAGCCCGATCACAGTTCAATGCTTACTACCCGGGAATGAATTACGGAACGGGACCGATTCCGTACAATGTCGCCATGAGTGATCCATCGGTTCCCAGCCAGCCTCCCTACATGGTAGGACCGGGCGTAGCTCCCCCAGGCATGGGTTATGCACCAAATGGCCAGAGCGCCGTCATGTACCCCGGTCATATGAACATGAACCCTGTCCCTCAGTATCCGATGCCAGTTTCTCCTCAAATGACCCCGAGTGGCCCATGGCAAGGTGGAGCTGTGCCCCAGCAATCTCCGTTTTCCAGTTATGCATCCATGAATCAATCTCCCGCGATGATGGCCCAACAACCCGCGACGAAATCGTCTCCCGCATTGAATAGTTACGCCATCCCCAACTCTGTGCAATATCAACATACTCCCCCAAACTGGCCATCAGCGCCGTATCATGGGGCTTATCAACAATCCACACACCGCAATCAGCCCCCTGTTCACTGGCCCAGCTATCCATCACAGCCACTAGCGTCCAATCCGACATCGTATCCTTACTCCCAGTTTCCCGGGCAGCCTCTCAACCCGGCCATGCAGAATCAACCAGGCTCGACCCCAATGCCAGGAAGCTTTGGTAGATCTCCTTTCAACCCCCAGACACGCTCTTTTGTGCCCGGTGGTGCTGGTCTTGCACGACACCCAAGCAAGGGTAATCAACATGGAATGAACCCGTATCCTAGCATGCAGCCGACTGTTCAACCCCAATGGACTGGATACCCGGAAGCCGGTAACAAGGGCCCAGAATCTATAACGTCTCGCATGGTGCCAGCTGGCAGAGACTCGATTGCAAAATGGGGAACACCCTCCCATCTTCCTCCGAAACCACCACCTTCAGAAGTTCCCTCTGAGTTTGATCTGAAACATCGGAATGCTGCGGCTGCTACTCATTCCTATGCCAACAATGTGTTACCTAACTCTCAAAATGGACCGCTCGTTGTCTCAGGAGGAACGAGTTTGTCGAAGGCGAACTAAACATCCACGCTCTTACCAAAGGTTCTTTCATCGATCATTTGGTTAAGTATGAAGTGGATAGATCGAATGACGAAGCAGTTGCTGGGGTAGTTCTGGTGTATATCGGCAACCTTTAGCCCAAGATGTACAGGCATCGTATGTGTTGGTCTTGGCTCGTTGCCACGCTACTCTAGTAATGCATCCCTATTTTACTTTATCATTTTTAGCTCTGGTATCTAGAGATAAGATGGAAAAATCTCTCGGTTAGATGCCGACCTAAGATATGATAAGTGGAAAGTTGAGTTGATGATATGACTATATTTTCAAGTACTTTTTTTTATTCTTTTTATCACGCTATATCGTCCCCAGCGGTCGAGGATCGGGTTGCGTGGGCGTTTGGGGTGACTGGAAATTGATACATAGAATCTACCAATACGATGTCCATAGGTTTTCTTTTTGTTCTATAGACTTCACATACGGAGGAAAAAGATACTCCTGAAACCCATAGTTATGTGACTTGAATTAGACACATGTCAAGAAGTGTTCCAAAAAATTGCTCATTTATACACAATTTATTGCACATGATATCGAGCTCAATTAAACAAGATACTGAAAAGAAAAAGCCCCAAAGATAAAATATCTTTGTGCCGACTTCGAATATCACTGACAGAAAAGATCAATTGCTCGAGGGATAACAGCTAGAATTACATAGTTATGACGATCAGCGAGGAAAAACAGGGTAAAGAACCATCCAGGCTAGATACAGACCAGGAAGTTTCCTTCAATGCCAAAGAAGAAACGCCCACTAATATGATCCGTTTATTGTTTTGCTTCCGCCCCCTCTGCTCCGTTCTTGGGAGTTGGTGCCTTCTTTGCATCCAGTTCTAACCGCTTAATAGCTTCTTCCAGTGCCTCGACGCCGCCCTTTCGAAATTTCGTCACTTTGTTGACATTCATGGTCGTAATTTCATTGAGGGTGTCGAATCCTTGTGAGCGTTGTCGCGCAACTGTGCGAGCTGTCATGGCAAATCGCATATCCTTGGGGCCGTCGACAAGTTCCAAAATGGCACTGGCAGCCTGGTCGTCTTTCTTGGGCTCGACGCGCAATACTCGTGTGTAGCCACCTGGTCTTTCAGCGTAGCGCTGGCGAAGAGAACCGAATAGTTTAGGGAGGAGCTCGTGGGGTGTCTGTTGATCCAGTCAGCTTGGTCTCATAATAAATTCTGCCAGAAAGCAGATTGTTCCAGAGTCGAACCAAAGACAGAACATACATAGAAAGTCGAAAGCGCTTGTCTCCTGCTTGCTTCCGTGTTCTTCTTTCCCAAGGTAATCAACTTATCAGCCAGTCGCTGAGCCTCCTTGGCCTTGGCCCATGTCGTTGTAATCGACTCATGTTCGAAAAGGGATGTGACCAGATTCCTGAGCAAAGCCTGACGGTGTGATGACTTGCGGCTGAGATGACGGAACTTGGTTGCACCACCGGCCATGATGATGGAGTGAAGCTAGGCGGTTGGAGTCTTTGTTTCTTCTCGTTTTCTGCGCGGGGATGGTCCAGTTGCTGAAGGTGTATCAAGAAAGAGACCAAAAAGAGTGTCTGACAAAGTAGCCTCAGCAGAAGGCTAAGAATGGGAAGCAAATTGTGCTGGGAGATGATGGGGAATAATAATGATACCTCATGGACGCCGGTTCTCCGATCAAAAGATTCGATTTCTGGAGTTGACCGCTGCGGCCAATAGGAGGGCCCCAATGGCCGGTGCCGATCCGCGTCGCGGAAACTTCGATATTGAAAGCCTCCAAAGGGTTATTCCGTCTTTCTTGTTTGTCCAGTTGTTTTGATATTGGACTATTTCTTCTTGTCCCAAAGTGATTTTGGACGCCTGTCTTAAATATCTTCATTAACGGTTTGCTAGAGTGGCCACTTTCTACGCAGCAGTTTGTTCTCGCGTCCTTGCAGGCAAAAGAGGCTTCTCCCCCGCCTCTCTTGCATAAAGAAGCTGTTACATTTTGATTGTAGGAAGCTATCAGAGAAGGCGTATCAAATTTCTGGATTTTTGTTCAAAAAGAGAGCGAAAATGGGTTTCTTTGTTGGATTCGTAAGTCACGACAGTCCTCGCGTCACGTTTTATCCAGAGCTATACAACTTGAGGAACGAATTACTGATTCTCTTGAAAACAGGCCAGTGGCTTTGCTTTGACTACCTCCGCTCTCTATATTACCATCCAAGTCCATCGAATGAATCGCATTGAACAGCGCAAAGCCATCCACGAACAGGTTCGCGCTCTCAACTGGACAGCATCGCCTACAGGCGCATATGACCGCCGACTAGCCCCTAAAGACTTTAAGCGTTGGGATGACGAGATAACCAAATCATCAAACCCTACGATTAATGATATATTTAAGGATCGCTGGAATCAAGAAGTGAAAACATTGGCGAAGAAGGCCAACGAGAGCCGGTGGGAGGATGTGCGAGATGCCGCCGCGGAAGGGTGGAGGGCTGCGCGGAGACTTGTGAAGAGAGAGTGAAGATAGAGTGGCTGTGACAGTTTGTTTGCTTCTATGATACGTGGGCGAGAGATGGTTCTCTTGTGTTCACTATGTACATTCTTTTTTATATGCTCCGGGCGGGCAATCAGCTATGTATAGATACCCATTATGAACAGCGTTATGAGACAGTTGTATAATATCCATATCATCTTTCTTCTGTCTATATGCGTACATTATAAATTATTGGAGTGATTTCCTGTCATCTGTGGTATAGTCTCAGGGTGTTTTGTAAGCGGGCTGCCGTGATATGGGCAGTGCATCATCTCCATACTGAGCGTTTAAGCATCTTCCAAGGGAAACAAGCGCGGCTTGGAAAAGACCATAGTCAAACTCGATCTAATACCGACCTTCACTTCAACTAGTGTTGGTCGTGGACGGCGCCGTATTAGTATTAAGGCTATCGCTGTCGCTCCAGATATCCTTGCTTTCTCTCTTGACAGTGCGCATGGCCTGAGCCACTTCCTCAAGCTTGGCAACCACATCCAAAACACCATTGTTAACTCTATCAAAATATCGGTCATTAGCTTCTCGCCGCTCCCGGGCCAGGAGGATATCCCTTTCAGTTTCCTCGTCTAGAGAATTATACGAGACACTCTCAGTTGCAGTTTGTTCACCCGCGGCGCCAGCATTCGGGGAGGCCCTTTTCTCGTCTGCGCTTTTGGCATCGACCACTTCATCAGCTTCACTTTGAACCCACGCCTGTGCGAGCTTCAGCTGCTTTGTACGGAGAGCCTCCAGTGCTTCTGAATGCTTTTCACCAAAAATGTGTTCGCTATTCACCGCACTCAATTCGACTTCGGAGAGGGCAGTTTGCATCTCTTGCCAGATAGCTTCCGAGCCATCAGCCTCGCCTTTCGAGGGTGGACGAGACAGGAACGGTGATAGTGTATTTTGATTATCAAGTGATCCAGGGGTCCGGGGTGTACGATTGCGCTGGAGGGGAGGTGCCTGACTGCCCCCAGGAGTGACTCCCGCAGTTGGAACTGGAGCAAGAGAAAGATTGGATGCATTATGGGACGGGGGTCCTTGGAAGAGACTTGGAGGGGGGAGACGCTGAGAGCTTATCTTCCTCAAATTGTTGTCCATCTTGGAATTGCTAGCCATTATGTTGTATGTTTTGTCAAATGATGTTTTGGGCCTCATGGCAGAAACGAGCACCGGACTCCCCTTTTTCGAATCAGCACCTGCGTACTCCTAGAAATCTAGGAACAATACTTTAGATAAAGGAGATCAGCCTCTTCGATGATGACATGCGATGTTATCGCATTATCGATATCGCGGCCGATGTTTCTCCGATCCCGTGCCTCGCTTAGCGGCCGTTTAGGGCGAAGGCGCACAGCAGAACAATTTCGACCTCCCGACTTTAGCGAGACCGCCGGCAGTGAAGGAACCTTTGACCTTCGACTTTTCGACAACCATCCCCATCAGCCTTTTGGCAGTATTCTTTCAGTCGGTACGTATCTGGTTGCTGTTTTTTGTTGTTGTTGCATTTTATACACGATCAGGGGATTTTCGAGCGTTTGAGATCTTTCTCGGGGTCACGGACATTGATATCTCCCCCTCATACAATCCACAGGCCACTCAAGTTATCAATTACGACCAGATCTCTAACACAGTTTTTCATCTTTACACAGACGACCGTCCTTCACACATAATACGCCAAGATGGGTAAAGGAAAGCCCCGTGGTTTGAACGCCGCGCGCAAGCTCGCGACCACCCGCCGTGACAACCGTTGGGCCGACTTGCACTACAAGAAGCGCCTTTTGGGTACTGCCTACAAGTCCTCCCCCTTCGGTGGTGCTTCCCACGCCAAGGGTATCGTTCTCGAGAAGGTCGGTGTTGAGGCCAAGCAGCCCAACTCCGCCATTCGGAAGTGTGTCAAGGTCCAGTTGATCAAGAACGGCAAGAAGGTCACCGCTTTCGGTGGGTAACCCTTATTTTCTTTTGTTATTCATATCGGAAATCGAGATTCTATGATGGATTTTGTGGAGGGGTGGATGAATACTCGTGAATTTCGGGTGGAGAAAGTATCGGACATGACGAACTGTGCTGACTTTGATAATTTCAGTCCCCAACGACGGTTGTCTTAACTTCATCGACGAGAACGACGAAGTCCTCCTCGCCGGTTTCGGTCGTAAGGGCAAGGCCAAGGGTGATATTCCCGGTGTTCGTTTCAAGGTCGTCAAGGTGTCTGGTGTCGGTCTGCTCGCTCTGTGGAAGGAGAAGAAGGAGAAGCCCCGCTCGTAAAGAGTTGGTGTGTGGAATGAAAGATATAGCGGGAGAGGTAGCCAGGGAAAGGGCCCATTCCATGGGAGACTTGGAGATACTACTGTGGAATCTGTCTTCGGTCTGTGGTCTGGAAATTATGGTTCAGGACGGATTACCCTGCTACTACGATTGATATACTCATAAAAAAGATGGCGCCATGAATTATTTTTCTTTGGGAAAGGGCCCTGAACTAAGATATCATTTTTTTTCAAACCCCACAACGATTTATGTGTTCCGTTTGTAGAGGTACAGCTCTGTCGAACTAGATCAGAGAGAACTTGGCCGATATCTTAGCGAGTGTAGTAGTCATCAGTCTGTTCAAAGTGCGTATTAAATTCAATTCAATGCACTGTTTTCGATTATTGTGATGTCAGTGCGTCGGTCTTATTATCATCTTACAAACTCCCCACTTGGGGTCATCATATGTTCTTTCCTCTTGGGTATCATCTCTTCATATTGGATCTAATATTATCATTTCTCCATTCCCCTTCCTTTTCCATACGCCCCGTAGCATTTAATTTTGTCCCTGATTGTTTTGATATAAGAATCTTTTTAATTCTTAGAAAGTAATGTCCTCCTTGCGGTAGTGGTCCGACACGATGCGGTAGAGATAAGATGGTGCATGGCCGCCCCTGTGATAAGTCAGTTAAACTCCACCTTGGCAAGGAATTGGGCTTTTCAAAGATGTAACTCACAAATTGGTAATGTAAAGATCGACCAGCTCTGCGGGAACATAGTCGTATAATGGATTTTGGACATCGAGCTGGTCCACCAAATCTCCATCTTCATATCCGATAACCTTACTGACATCTCCATACTCGATCAGCGATTCAAAGTCGAACGGGTATACCGGGCTGAGTTTGTACACGCCGCTAACCACCACTACAGGGGTCTGGTGCACCTTGGCTGCGCGGGCAATTACCCGGGTGCCAGCCGCGGCGACCAGTCCACCGTTGGCAAGGACGGAGTGAGTGCCCAGGATAACTTTGTTGACCCGAGACATGAGCGCAAAAACAGCGGAGTCGGGAATCAGAATCACGGTGATACCCATGGCGATTAAGGGTTTCTGGAATGACTCGGTGCTCATGAGTTCGTCATCACCAAAGCTGTTTCCACTAACGGTGGCATGGGTCGCTTCGTGATTGTTGGGGTATGACTCGGCATGGATGACGGTGAATTTCCGCTTGGCTGCCGCTTTGAGCAAGAATTTTTGAACAGTGGAGGACGAAGTGTGGGTGAGAATGATCTCGTTGGAGTGGATGTGATCGAGGGCATAGGCCGAAATTTGGTCGTCTACCTGTCCCAACTCATCGATGATTTCACCGATCCCGTCGAGAACCTCGGCACGAATGTCCTTATTAGGACCATGTCCCATAAATCTACCGGAGGGGGAGTCTGATGCCGGAGTACCGGGGAGTGATGGTTCGGGCTCTGGGTGTGAAAGGAGACTGAACATGGAAATGCCGGACGAAGTCAGAGCTGGTCTAGAAGATCGATCTAGGCCATCCATTGGAACCGAGGGGTCTAATATTCAAGTCAGCATAATTCCCAACCGCGGCAGGCGGGCAACTAGCAACTGACCATCGCTGAAACGAGGGGTCTGAGGCTGGCTTTCCGACGCCTCGCTCAAGGTGAATTCGGCCTCCCGGTCGTCTTCTGCTTCATCACGGATCAAACCAAGCACACGTCTGACAATATTACCAACGACCATCTCGCGGGGCTGCGCGGCCACCAGGCGCCTTCCAACATTCTGCACCCGCTCGATGAGCTTAGCCGCATCTGTCGTTCTGCAGGCAGAGATAACACGGAGAAGAAGGTAGGCCGTCGCAGTAGCGCATGATCTGGAGTGACAGATTTGTCTTCGCTTAAGCAATCTGGGGTTGCCATCTGCATTAGTATCGTGGGTTGTGAGGGGCACTATGACGTTGAAAAACGCACGATATCAAATTGTCAATAGATGTGTCGATCGGGTTCGTCTTTAGCGACTTGAGAAAAGAGGTCAATCCCGGCGTCAGAGCCGCAGATGTGGACGGCATTGCGATTCGGCTTTTTGAGAAATCCCTTGGCCGAGGAAAAGGGTGTGGTTCGGTATAGCAGTGAGGTATTCAATAGTTGCTGTTTTAGGACGGGTTAGTTCACCAGTTGAGTCATCATCAGGCACGAACACGAGAGAAATAACCCCTCAGAAACTAGGTCAACGTACCTCAACCAGCGTAATCTAGATCAGGATCAATAAGAACAACAATAATAAAGAGCAGAAACCGAAACCTGGAGCTTCCGACCGGGTGGTTATATTTTTTTTTTTTTTTCTCTCGCACGGCGGGACGTGGTGGGATGCGAAGAACAAGAGAGGGAGTTCCCGAAGGGGAGTTTTTGCCCGCCAACCCCAACTGCGGCCATCTCGCTGTGTGTCAGTTCCAGTACAAAGGTGGTAGTTCCTCCCCCACACCTCCGTCATCCGCTGGGTGTCTCGATCCTGCAAAGTTGCACCTTTTGCCTTTTTTTCCTCTCGTTTGTTTCTGTATTTCCCTTTCCTGCATCGTTTTTGTTGCCATCTCGTCCGATTTGCTGGTCGGTTGGGCTGAAGCTGTCAACTACTACCTAATAACTCTCCGTTCTCTCCATTCGGTTGGGAATCATCGCGGGAAACATTCCGAGGCACGGGTTGTCGACTGGCGCATTGAGGTTAGTATAACAATATTTGCTTTTTGATCTTGTTAGTTCTATCTTATTCTGCCCTTATATTTGCTTTTTTGCTTCTTCACAAAGTCATCCCCGACCCCCGTGGTACATTTGGTTGCGATGGGACAAGAGTGCTGACTTACCGCCCTTCTCCGTCCTTAAGATACCTGCGCCAGCCCTGACTCCCGAGGGCCATATTGAAAGATGAATTCGTTGAATATCTTGTCGTCCCGGGTCATCGGTCAGACCTCCAACCCCAATCGCAACCGTCAACGATCCCATTCGCAAGGAGATGCTTCGCTGTCAACAAACTCGCCGAGCGATATAGGACAGCTCAGGTCCTACAGCGTCGATAATGCCCATGCGAGCAAGAATTATGAGAAGGCATATGATGGCTCATCCACATTGATTTATGATGGAGATCACTCCGGGTATAGCTTCGATGAGAAGACGCCGTTGCTCCACGAAATCGAAAAGGATGGTCCGCTGGTTACTAGAAGCGCTTTTGGGTTGATTGCACAGCGTGTCTTTGACGCGATTGCGGAGACTATCAAGTTTATTCTATCGACATTGGCTGCCCCGGGGGTGTATGTAGCCCAGTGCTTTCGAGACGATGATGGGCACTACACTCCTATGGCCCCAGTGAGAAAACTGCGGCGTTCCATGTCGAGATCTTCCTCGGCGGATAACAGGGTCAGATCCGGCAAAGGCGTTAATCAAGCCGATAAAGGTCGACCAGCACGGAAACTGAAAAGTCACATATCGCGAGATTCTATCGCATCCAGCACGTCCGAGTCAGAAGGGGATCGTCGAAGCATCAAGGGACCTCCAGGTAGTAAACCTCGAACTAGAGCGCGAACTCTCAGTCAGGAGCAAGAACCAGAAGATAGTACCCCACGTCGTTCGATTCGGATCAAACTGCATAATGAAGAGGCCCTTAAACGGCAGAGACAACGCCGGACCCAAAGTTCGGATCTTGGACAGCCGCCGCATAGCAGTCTCGCCAGAGTTCAAGGGACCGTCAATTTGGATAGCATCAAGTCACCTACCTCTCCGTCCGTTCATAGGATCACCAAGTATCCGCATTTTCCCACTCCACCTCGGCCACTAATTCCCTCGCGTCTGCCTTCATACACCGCAGCTCCTCGCAATTCCAAGATACCTCAAAAGACCCTTGTCCTGGATCTCGACGAGACGCTCATCCACTCGTTGGCAAAGGGTGGCCGCATGTCTAGCGGCCATATGGTCGAAGTCAAACTTGCTACACCAATGACTACTGCTCTCACTCCTGGCGCTCCACCCACTACGGTTGGACCGCAACACCCCATCCTATATTATGTCCACAAACGGCCTCACTGCGATGATTTTCTGCGCAAAATATGCAAGTGGTATAAGCTGGTTATCTTTACCGCAAGTGTGCAAGAATACGCCGATCCGGTTATCGACTGGCTTGAGCAGGAGCGGAAATTCTTCCAGGCACGGTATTATCGCCAACATTGCACTTTTCGCAATGGGGCATATATCAAAGATCTAAGCTCCGTTGAGCCTGATTTGAGCAAAGTGATGATCCTGGACAATAGCCCGATGAGTTATATTTTTCACGAAGGTATGCTGGAATATATCCTCATCATTTGTTTGTTCTATCTCTCAAGACTCACATTTGGCTTTTTTAGATAATGCAATTCCCATTGAAGGCTGGATCAACGACCCTACAGATAATGACCTGCTTCATCTCATCCCCATGTTGGAGGCTTTGCAGTATGTGACTGATGTCCGAGCACTTCTAGCATTGCGTAGAGGCGAAGCAGAGGCTTAATCTGGGAGGAGACTAATAAAAATCGAAGAGAGATATATCATCTTCAATATCCATGTCGATTTTCCATGCCTCCTCTTGCCCCTCTCATGTCCTCATGTAAAGAAACCTGATGAAGACCATGATGAGTGCATAGCATCATATCATACCCCATTCTCCTGTTTTTGTTCTTTTGGGCCATGGTTGCTCAATTGCAAACTTATATTCCTTGTAATAATTTTCTCTCTTGTGCTTCAAGCTGCCTATAATTTTTTTTCCCTCATCTCCATTATTCATGGCGTTATTGACTAAAGAGGTGTGATGAATCCAATATTATTATCCTTGCTACTCAGCGATGCTTTTCATCGGCTGGTTTTTTTGTTTCTTTTTATTAATTATTTGAATATGAATTTGTATTACTATCTGAAAATCATGAATAGATAATAAAATAAAAAAGTAAATAATTACAACCTATAAGTTGGGGAGAAAGGAGTGTATCATCCTAGTAATTAATTCGTGGTGATATATCTATTCTGTCATGACAACTAATAAATACTCATATTCCTGAATAAATTTGGATGTGTAAAAAGCCCTTGGACAGAAGTACTTTTGGTTATATTCTGAACCTCTACTCCGTAAGGTGTCCCTGATTATTAATGAACCTGTGATGCCGCGTTGAGGAAATATATACTTTCGTGCACCTGAAACTCTTGGTACAGCAGCCTGTTGAACAGATCATATCCGGAGTAGATTATTATTGAATAACCCCCCCCCCCCCCCCCCTTCTCCCCCAAAGCTTAAATAAATAACTCTACACTAGTTGTTGAGACTGACTTTATTGGGAAAATGAGATATCAAAAAAGTATGAAGCCCAGACCCCGCATTCAAACTACAAAGGCCTCTACGGATTGGTCTTGATGGGAAAATTGATTTAATTTATATATTTGATTGTTATCATCATGGATTTGTCATTTAACCCATGTTTGGTTCGTAAATTCTTTAAAATTCTTTCCTTTTGAAGCAAAAGGGATGAAAAGAAAATCATTAATCTCTATACCTGGTAAATTCTTTTACAATCCCTTGGCCTGCTTGGCTTCAGTGAGCGCCTCTTTGAGGGAAGCGATGGCCCTGTCAATATCGTTACGGGCGGGGTCAGTGACGCTGACGCCCATGTGTCCGAAACGAATGTACTTGGTGGCGATCTCCTTGTGCAGGCCAGCTGCGAAGATCACGCCACGCTTCAGCAGACCGGGCAGCACATCGGGTGGTGCCAGACCATCGGGCAGGTAGATGGCAGTCATACCGTGGGCCTGGTTCTCGGGCTTGGCGGCCAATTGGGACAGACCAAGTTCTGCGACAGTGGCCTTGACACGATCAGAGGCCTGGGTGTGGATAGCAAAGCGCTCAGCCAGAGGGCGAGCAGTGATCTGGGAGAGAGTAGTGTGCAGGGCGTGAACGAGCTGGGTAGGAGGGGTGGCGAAGTAAGAAGGCTTGAAGTTCTCGTAGTTTTGCATAATAGGCAGCCAGTTGTTGATGGATGCGTAGTACGAAGACGGAGGGGTCTTGCGCGACTTGACGGTCTCGATGGCCCGACCGGAGGTCATCAAGATACTGAGACCGGGAGGGCAGCCGATCGCCTTCTGGCTGGCAGTCAGGACAACGTCGATATCCCACTCATCAAAAGCAATCTCCTCAGATCCAACGCTGCAAACACCGTCGACGACGACCAGGGTTTGCGGGCTAACCCGACGAACAACCTCGGTCACACCCTTGATGTCACTCAGGACACCGGTCGAGGTGTCAACGTGGGTGATGGTGACGACCTTGTAGGGCTTCTCCTTGAGCGCCTGCTCAACCTCGGCGAGCGACGGACGGTCTCCAATGGGTGCCTTGAGCTGTGTAGCGTTGGCACCGTATGTTTCCAAGCATGTGGCGAAGGAATCGGCAAAGTAGCCGGTGTGCAGGACCAGGGCATTCTCTCCCCTCTCGAGTAAGTTCGAAGCCACGATATCCCAGCCAAGGGTGCCGCTACCGGAGATGATGAAAGGCTGTGCTGCGGGGTTGGTGGACTGGAAGAGCTTGCGAACGAGGGTCAAGGTCTCGCCAAAGACCTTGACGAAGCCGGGAGCGACGTGGCTCTCACTTTTAAACGATGATTGTCAGTTGGCTATTCAATTCCCTCTGTATGAAGAGATACTCACGCATAGTGGGACATGGACTGGAGAACGGCATCGTCGAACTCAATGGGTCCTGGGATCAGGAGGGTGTTGTGAGGAGCTTGGGATGACATCTTGGTGGGGGGCGATTGGGATGGGGGGTCAATAGGAGAGTTAGCAAAACGTGGAGGGGGAACAGTGCGGTCGATGGGTTTATATTCGATATCGTCGGGTTCACGAGAAGTCCTCTCGGTCGAGAAAGGAGTATTAAGGTCAGGCAACGGTAGGCGCTGGTCCAGGTGTCTGGAAATCAGGCTCAGGCGTTGCGTCGTCTGTTTGGCGGCCAGCGTTCCGATACACGGCTCCTCAACCGGAGAGCCCGCGGGGTAAAGGATAGGGAAAAAGGCCAGAGAGGGGGAGGGGAAAAACCGGAAAAGGCAGTCGAGCGAGAGGCAGAGATCGGGGATCGCCGCGGGAAAAGGTACAATCGGACCGGGGAAGCGTTTATCGTGGTGGAATTGTGTTTTGCAGGATATAGAAGGGGACTGAAGATGAAGTTGGAAAAGAAGTTATATAGGCCAGATGGTCAATGTTGAGGCGATGCATAAAATCTTTTCTTTTTCTCCTCCCTGTCGTCCCTTTCTTGCTCTATCGGCCGTGAAAATAACCCCCTTTGGAGCCATTTCGGAGACTGTCGAACCGGGCGGAGCCTTCCGTTGCGCATTCTTCGATGGAGTTGTTGAGGATTCGTTGAACATGGAGAAGTTTCCGTGATATTGAGGTTTATTATTCAATGAGGATGATTTTATTACTATGGCTTTGAAGGCTGTCCAATTGCAGCCCTTTTTCTCTATCCTGTAGTCCGTAGGTACATGCAGTACTGTTTCCGTATACCCATCCATGGATAACTTGTCGACTGTAGCATAAACTGTTTATTGCAATATCTCTAGAAGCCTTTCATTTCATAAATATATCTTGTATTCTACCATTCTACCATTTTATTTATATGATATTGTTGCAGATTACATATACATACTCCCAAATACAAAGTCTAGCCCAGAACAGAACTTCCTTAGGGCATAGGGCTATCTAGCTCCCCCCGCGAAACTGCCAGTTGCCTAGACTGTATTGTATGTATATACGTCAGGTCCAAAACATCATCATATCGAGATTTGATATTGACAGTTTTTTGTCGCTGCTCACCTTCTCATTCGAGCTCCACTTGGAATGGGTCGTTGAATCTATCTCTACCTTCTCTACCTTCTCTACCTTCTCTCCATCCAAGATGACATCGCGTCTCGTCTTGGCCATCGGTGACCTGTTCATCCCTGACAGAGCTCCCGTAAGTGGCATTTTTGGAGTCCCCCCTCACAATTCTAGGTGGTACTTAGACACTAACCTTTGTCGCTAGGATCTTCCAGTCAAGGTGCGCGCTGCCCGCATTCTCTAGATTCCTTCCCATTCTTTGTGTTTCGTCGCTCGATTGACACCATCGCAGTTCCGGAAGCTCTTAACACCAGGCAAGATCGGTCAGATCCTCTGTCTCGGAAACCTTACCGATCACGACACCTACGAATTTCTCCGCCAGGTCGCTCCCGACTTGCAATTGGTCAAAGGCGATTTCGATATCGACTCTCCCAACCTACCTCTCTCCAAGGTCGTGACTCACGGCAGCCTTCGTATCGGCTTCACCCATGGCCACACCATCATCCCCCCGGGCGATGCCGACGCCCTGCTCATCGCAGCTCGCCAGATGGATGTAGATATTTTGCTATGGGGAGGCACACATCGCTTTGAAGCATTCGAGATGGAGGGCAGGTTCTTTGTGAACCCCGGCAGTGCAACTGGTGCCATGAACACTGGTTATTGGCCGGAAGGGGAAGAACCGACCCCCAGCTTCTGTCTGATGGATGTAGGATACCTGCCCTTTGGCCCACTGATCCAGCCCCGGGATACCTGTATACTGACATTCAATAGATCCAAGGTGATGTTCTCGTGTTATATGTCTACCAGCTCAAAACAGACGCCAACGGAGCCGAAACCGTCGCCGTTGAGAAGGTCTCGTTCCGCAAGAACAACGTCCCCTCTTAAGTTGACGTCCCTCGTCTATTGCCATTTGTATATATCCCATAGGTGCACACGCGGTCATGATGTCTTGTCCTTTAACTTTGTTCCAGCGTCTATCTTACTCTCTTGTTGCCATGCAGTCTATTGTGTACTAACTACAATACCATCCCGTTTATTTGAACTCTATGCTCACCAGTCCATATATCAGACAGACCAGCTCTTACAAAAGTACTGCCTCGGCAATGTTATGTGGGTCTGATTTAGGACCGCGAGTTGCTTCTAGATAATAGTCCAAGAAAATATCATAATCCTGTTAACAGCTAATTCTCATGCCATGCTACATCGAAGATGTTTTTATAGTGACCTGAACATCCGAACATGGACTGAAAAGGATTGACTAGGCGACTTAGTCTAATATAATAAATATTTCAATACCCATTCTAAATATGGAATATCATTATTATGTCACTACAAGTATATATGAGAAAATAAAAGAAAAGCAAAGAATAAAGAAAGCATGCTCAAACTGACTGGCTTTGTTCTACATAGCGGCTGCAGAAGACGGCCAGATGACAAACTCACTAGGCCGGAAAGAGCATCAGTGACTTCGGCGTCGATCAACGCGAGTCGCATTCATTGCCGTTTGCTTGACAGTTTCAGTCGCCGTTCCACGAGTCCCTCTTATACCATTCGCTCTTTTTGCACGGCTGGGTCTGAATTGTCTCCTGGCTCTTTTCACTGGTCGGATATTATATTCTTCCAGAAGATCTCCATCCCCCGCGGCACGCTAGCCTAGACAAACGGAAAAGGCATCATTGTTGCCTTTCGACTTTTTTTTTTCCCTGACCTAGACCTCCTTGCGACACTACATATTACAAGAGAAGGAAAAAGAGCCTATTTGCTTTTTCTACCATCAATATGACTACCGAAGAAAAGGAGGTTAAGGATGAGCGTTTTGAGACTCAAGAAGGCGGCGATGATGAGGTACGTTTGGCCGTTGAAACGGGAGCTGGAGCTGGAGCTGGAAGCTCAACAGCTGTATCTCCTGAACCAATTTATTTTTTTTCACAATATTGTCTCATGGATCTATCATTGTTGAATGCCCCCTATTATCTGCTAGATCTAACATGGTTTTTTTCCACATGCAGGAAGAAATTGCGGCGATGAAGAAGCGAGTCGCCGAGATGGAATCCGAGGCAGCAAAGCTGCGCGAGATGCAAGCCACCCTCGATGAACAGTCGGAGAACCTACGGGAAGACAAGGAAGACATTGATGCTCGGAGTATTTTCGTCGGCAACGTGGATTACGGTGCTTCCCCCGAGGAGATTCAAGCGCATTTCCAGAGCTGTGGCTCAATAAACCGTGTCACCATTCTCTTGGACAAGTTCACAGGCCAGCCTAAAGGGTGCGTTGCTTCCTGCTTACTACTTCTGGTCACTTGATACCGCCTCTGGATTTTATTACAATGCTCTATCGTGACCCCTGAGCGACGAATGCTGACTTTCAGCGCTACAGATACGCCTATGTGGAATTTGCAGAGCCCAGTCTCGTTGCCCAGGCACTTGTCTTGAATGAAAGTGTCTTCCGCGGCCGAAACCTCAAGGTGAGCGCGTGGAACACGTTACTGTTCTCATTATACAAGCCTACTGACACGAGTTATTATCAGGTCGTCCCCAAGCGTACTAACCTTCCTGGTATGACTCGAGGGCGCGGACGGGGTGGCTTCCGTGGCCGTGGCCGCGGCGGCTTCCCTCCTCGTGGAGGTTACCGTGGCGGATATCGTGGACGGGGTCGAGGCTATGCGCCGTATTAAGTGGAAGGGACATAACGTCATGACTATTGAAGGGGCAGAATATATCCAGGAGCTACAAGAGGAAATGAAAGGCACAACAAGCCAAGCTACGGCAAAGGGAAATGCTGGCGAATATGCCATTTTGGCGAGCTGATTCAGAATCAACAAGAATCTCTGATTTCATGGATGATTCCTTTGGAGTTAGGGACTGGGATGTACTGTATTATATCCACCAAGCCACAGATCGGGGGACAAGATGGGCGGATTTCCAAGATCGCTTTGATTATCGTTTTTTTTGTCGTTATTTCCCTCTGTGATATCATCATTTTCATATTCTCACCATTAACCGGGTCTACTTTTTTTTTTTTTTTTTTTTTTTCGGCCGGGGCAGTAACAATGGAAGGGCAATTTTTCTTTCTGGGTTCAATATTATACTAGGAACCCCCATGATGATGAGTGGGGGAGCCCCAATATAGGCTTTGTATACCAGTATCGATAATGACGATATTTAAATCCCGCGCATATCTATCTGAAGCAGTCTGGAAACTTGATTGTGTCATCCGCATCGATCAATCATTTGTTTCAGCCCCACAGTTAAGCAGGAAGACGTTGTGAAGGTAGTATCTCCCACCATGCGAGTCGAAAGCGCCCATCCAACACCAAAACTGGCCCTGAGCGGATATTTGTAAATCTCTCTGCCTTGTCTGTCACCTACCTATGATCTTAGTCACCTTGGCCTTCCTTGGGAGTGTCGACAACGACGTAAAACGCACGCGGGGTTTCTACTTTTGGCGTGATCCAGTGGTTGTTAGCCGCCCAAGCGAGCGGAATAGAGGAGAAAACCACCAGCCTTGGTCACTTACGACATACTTCGACGACTGGCTTGAGTTGTCAGACGTCGACCCTGAAAGCACACCCGACTAACTAACCAACCATTTACTATCACCTCACTACTCGTTTGGTCTACATTTCTTTTCTTCTTTTCTTTCCCCCTTCCCCCCTCCCCCCTCTCTCTCGTCACGGCCCCCGTTCCGCCTACACCCGCCGAAAGGGTCAATCGACCCCTCGCTAAGTTTATTGGCCCAGCGGCGTCACGTCAAGACTGCTCAGCCCCAAGTCCGCGCCTCCATCCTCGAAAACCAAGCAAGAGGTATTATTGCCAACCCGTCAGTCTTCCAGAACACCGCCCGAATCTCGACCCGGCCTCAAAAGACGTTATTCACGATCGACTTAATTTGAACTGGAGATCCCACTGTTTGGTGTGTCTGGATAAGCGGTGGATGCGCACGCCGCGAATTACCCTTTAGGCTTGCCTGATCGGCCTTTTGCACCCAGAGGCGTGTACTGCAAGTATCATCTCAGTACAGAATGGGGTCCAATCTGCCAGCGTAAGCTCGCTTTTCACCTCCTGGCTTCGGCTTTTTTGCCCTCCTTTTTTTTTTTTTTTTTTTTCCTTTTCCCGCAGCTTTTGTCGGAGACAAATATGTTACGTTCATCACTTTATTCATGGGATAAATGCTAACGGATGAATGCGTTGCAGCCAGCCAAACCTTAGGGTCACAAGTAAGACGAAACAACCTCCACCCGAAGTGGCAGGAGGCTGCGGGGAGCCTTCTATGTGCATGGGACTGACTCGATCACTACAGTTATCGCGGCGGATGGGCTATACAAGCGCGATGTCTTCCGTATGTCTTGTTATCAGAGGATTATTTGATGGATTCGCCATCGACTCGTAACGAAACTGACCTCGTGTTATCATGCAGGATTCCCGGATCCGTTCGCCGTGGCTACCGTGGGGGGTGAACAGACCCATACGACATCCGTGATAAAAAAGACATTGAACCCTTACTGGAATGAGATGTTTGATCTGTACGCCTTATCATCCGAACTTCCCCGATTGTGCCTCTTTCCCGTGCTAATCAATTCCGATAGACGTGTCAACGAGGACAGCATCCTTGCAATTCAGATTTTCGACCAGAAGAAGTTCAAGAAGAAGGACCAAGGTTTCCTCGGTGTCATCAACGTGCGGATTGGAGATGTGATAGATTTACAGATGGGCGGTGATGGTATGTTGCCTTTCTGATATTCTCTCCAACGTGAAATCGTCGGGCTAACTTGAAACCCTTGTTTCTCTCAATAGAAATGCTCACCAGAGATTTGAAGAAATCGAATGATAACCTCGTCGTACATGGAAAATTGATCATTAATCTATCCACCAATCTCACTACACCGAATACCAATCAAACGAATGGCGGTTTGAATCGATCACATGTCCAATCCTCAACCTCGAGCGGGCTTGTCCCACAGGTATCGACGTCAGGCTCGCAGCCGTTGCCGCCGCCTGCTCCTGGCCCGGCTGATCCGCCCCCGGCTGCAGCATCGAACCCTTCCCTCCAACCCCAACGAGCCCCATCTGGTACCAGGCCGTCCAGCACAGTTGTTCCGGCTAATGGAGCAGCTGCTCCACCTAGTGCCAGCTCTCGAACAAACCTCAGTTCGTTTGAAGATAGCCAAGGCCGGCTACCAGCCGGCTGGGAACGACGGGAGGACAACCTGGGACGAACTTACTACGTGGATCACAATACCCGGACAACCACCTGGACGAGACCATCGAACAACTATAATGAACATGCGCAGCGCTCTCAGCGCGAGGCCAACATGCAGTTGGAGCGAAGAGCACACCAGAGTCGTATGCTCCCCGAAGATCGAACAGGGGCAAGTTCGCCGAACTTGCCAGATAACCAACAGCAAGCCTCTACTCCCCCGGCGGGTGGAAGTGCCAATGCTGTTTCCATGATGGCCACGGGAGCCACCACTGCAGGCACTGGTGAGCTTCCCCCAGGATGGGAGCAGCGGACGACCCCCGAGGGACGGCCGTACTTTGTTGATCACAACACCCGAACTACGACATGGGTTGATCCTAGACGGCAGCAGTACATCCGGATGTACGGCCAGAATGCCAACGGCACCAACACCACGATCCAACAGCAGCCCGTTTCCCAGCTGGGACCGTTGCCCAGCGGGTGGGAAATGCGTCTGACCAACACGGCTCGAGTATACTTCGTGGATCACAACACCAAGACGACGACATGGGACGACCCTCGACTACCGTCGTCCTTGGATCAAGGTGTTCCGCAGTACAAGCGTGACTTCCGTCGCAAGCTTATCTACTTCCGATCGCAGCCTGCTCTGCGTATCATGTCCGGTCAATGCCACGTCAAGGTCCGCCGGAATAACATCTTTGAAGACTCGTATGCCGAGATCATGCGCCAAAGTGCCTCGGATCTGAAGAAACGTTTGATGATCAAGTTCGACGGTGAAGATGGTCTGGACTATGGTGGTCTTTCTCGGTATGATTTCTTTTATTATAAAAGTGTCTTGTTGATCTGATTGCTGACAAACGCAGTGAATTCTTCTTCCTTCTTTCCCACGAAATGTTCAATCCCTTCTATTGTCTGTTCGAGTATTCCGCACACGATAACTATACTCTGCAGATCAATCCTCACTCCGGCGTTAACCCAGAGCACTTGAATTACTTCAAGTTTATTGGCCGAGTTGTCGGTCTGGCCATCTTCCATCGTCGTTTCCTGGATTCTTTCTTCATCGGGGCGTTCTACAAGATGATGCTGCGGAAGAAGGTTTCGCTTCAGGACATGGAGGGTGTTGATGAGGACCTACACCGTAACCTTACATGGACTCTGTAAGTCTTACAGTTGGAATTGCTATCTTGATATTGGTTTCTAACAGATGACAGGGACAACGATATCGATGGCATTATGGAACTCACTTTCTGTGTTGATGACGAAAAGTTCGGAGAGCGTCGTACTATTGATTTGATACCCGGTGGTCGGGATATTCCCGTCACCAACGAGAACAAGCCACAATATGTTGAGTAAGTATTCTCTGATGAATTGCTTTGATCACAAGACTAATCTATGCACTAGGTTGGTCACTGAGTGGAAGATTGTGAAGCGTGTTGAAGAGCAGTTCAACGCGTTCATGTCCGGATTCAACGAGCTGATCCCCGCGGATCTGGTCAATGTATTTGATGAGCGCGAGTTGGAGCTGCTGATTGGTGGTATTGCCGACATCGATGTTGATGACTGGAAGAAGCACACCGATTACCGTGGATACCAGGAACAGGACGAGGTGATCCAGAACTTCTGGAAGATTGTCCGCACCTGGGATGCGGAACAGAAGTCTCGTTTGCTCCAGTTTACTACTGGTACATCGCGTATTCCGGTCAACGGATTCAAGGATCTCCAAGGTTCCGATGGACCCAGACGGTTCACCATTGAGAAGTCCGGTGACCCTATCGCGCTACCCAAGTCTCACACATGGTATGTTTTTTTTTTCAATAATTATATCAATCCGATCAAATGACTAACAGATCGACAGCTTTAACCGTCTTGACCTTCCTCCGTACAAGACGCATGATACTCTTGAGCACAAACTGTCTATCGCCGTGGAGGAGACATTGGGCTTTGGACAGGAGTAGAGAGTTTTGTCATGATGGAACAGGCAGATCATTTCCCGGGACAAGATTTTGCTACATACGTCCCTTATAATAGTCATCGCAGGCAAGCGTATGATACTACTACTCGCCTTGAGAACGGCTTGACTAGAATCAAGCCGTGCTGGCACGGAGCTATCTTGGAGAGGGGAGTTTTTTCTTCTTTTTTTTTTCTCATGCATTTGCAGTTGGCGAAGGAACCTTTTGATACTTCCTCGCCATGCTCCTTTTTCTGCTTTCTTTTCCTTTCCTTTTCTTTCCATCTCTCATTTTCTCCTCCCATCAAGTTGTTCCCGTTCTAACTGACTACGGTTTTCTTCATGCGCTGCAATTCCCTTGGGGGGCAAGAGATGCTACACCCGGATCGGCATGGGTTTTCTTTTCTTTCATTCTTCTTTTTTTTCATCTGGTCCACTTTCTTTTTATTCCGTTGGTGAACTTTGTATATACTCTGTATTATTTTGTCCTACGGATATCGTGAAGCCTGAAGCCATTATCCTATACAATCCGGATATAGAACTGATGATGTAGGCTTTATAATTGATGTGATAGTGATATTAGAATGAGCAGACATCAATTGGCCTTGACTATGCCTACATATTCTCTATGGATAGAGTGAACATATGCAAATAAATGCCGTCTTATGCTTTTGACGTTGCAGGACTGTGAAGCCCTTTAAAAATAGTCTGGCCAAGAACTGCTTGCGTTTGTCCGGATTGGATGCTGGGCCAGACCGACATTTCCTCCCTCTTCTCCCCTCATCTTCCCTCCTATATTCCTCTCGACCACACACGCTCACATGCCCCTGGCCAATATGGACCCCGCAGCATCCATGATGAATCAGATCCTTACTGCTCATACACGGCTATTGGATGTATCTAATTGCCTATCAGTCAGCAGGTCGTACGGTGTGAAAGGAGTCCATTGGCCGTGAAAAAGCTACTCGAACGACAGAAAAAGTAATGAATGCCCTCATGCAGGGCCTAGCTCAAGCCAGACCAAACAGTTGTCGATCAACGGTCTGCGTACCTGGTACTGCAACACATTGCGTTAAACTGTCTGCATGGTGAGTCGAGGTCGTTTTGATATCAATTGCGAAATCTTTGTCTAGGTGAAGATCAGCTAATATCGTCAGATGCTCTCTGGCTTCAATAAACCACCTCCAAATTTGTCTGGATAGCCATGTCAAAAGTTCAATATTCAATAATCTCTGATGGCAAAATCCAAGACGACTTCTTTACATATAAATGGACTGGACAAGCTGCATTTGTTCCTTTGCCATGTCCATCCACCTGATAGTCCGCTAATAGTGCATCCGCCTGCTGCATGCTATATCGCCGAATACGGACGGTGATTCCTTTGCCTCGAACAGCTTCCAAATCATCATCGCGACACCGACTTGACTGGGATTCAATACAGAAGACAATAGTGTCCATTTTTTTCGGACTCTACCACAGCGTACTGAACACTCTCGACCTGTCATAGGCTGACGTGGATCGTCTTTTTGGAGTGCACGTCTTTCCCTCGCAGCATTGGTTATTTTTAAAGTAACGGTACCTTTTATATACCAGAATGGAGGTTCGACAATTTAGTATATATTCACCTGTCTCGATAACTTTGGGTCTGTCCATCGTGGTTCGTTTTTTATTTTTTATTTTTTATTTTTAAATCACCATCACAGCAATTGACTTTGCCTTGCCATATCTATTGACCTTTCTCAATTGACCTCTATACCAGGTACACTCAAAATGCGTTACTTTTCCATCATCACCACACTCCTCACCGCGTCCGTCGGCTTCGTCGCCGCTGAAGATTCTTCTCCAACGGCTGCCCCTGGCACTGCCCCTACAGCCTCCTCTGCCTCATGTCCCGCCCAGGAGTGTGTATTCATCACAGCCAGAAGAGGGAATATATACTGATAGGTAATAGAATTCTCGACGCCTGCCTCAAATCCATGAAACCCCAACTCCAACACTGCGCTTCAAACGACTGGAAATGTCTCTGTGAACAAAGCAACAACGTCCTCACGTGAGCTATCTTCCACCCTCACCCATACACCATTCAAGCATTATATACTAAACAGATACCTACCAGCTGCTACAACAACTGCACCCACCACCCCGATCGTGACGGCGCGAAACAAAGCAAAGAATCCTACTGTAGCGCCGCCGAAGCCAACTCCGCCCTCAACACCAGCACCTTGTCCGCCGCCACCCCTACCAGCACCCTCCCACCCAGCGCCGCTTCAACGACCACCTCCGCCGCCACCGAGTCTGGAACCAACTTTTCCAAAGGCGCAGCGGCCGGGTTGAACATTGAAGCGGGGACGTTAGTGGCTGCCGCCGTGGTGGCGGGACTGGGGGCTGCGTTGTAGGTTGAGCTAAGGTGAGGCGAGACGAGGCGAGTAGATAGGTGGATTGGATATGCATTAAGGGGTGTAATCTGTCTGTCGATGGACTTCGGGCGTCGATGGATATCGATGTTATACATATGGTTCTTAATTAATAATTTTTTATGACTGATATTATATATTTTTGCAGCATACGTAAGGGGTTTTGATACTATTATCATCGCAACAGTGGGTCAATCAATGTCGATCAATAACCATCAAAAAGTTTACCTGGCGAGTTTAACCCTTTGAAGGCTTCAATAGAGTAGATGAGCTATGAAGACCTGGTCTGAGTATGTTTGAAGTTTAAGGTGGAAGGATTGCTCTCGTCGACTGGTTACTATGCTCTAGCCTGCTATTAGATATCTTAGGATCGTCCACTTGATAGACTTTCGCATAAAGGCAATCTTAAGATAGAGATAGTATGATTAAAACCAAGTAGAATATGCAAGGACGAAGGGTTTATATTCGTTTGTGATTGAAATAAACGAAATGAAGACTGCAATTGTATCAATTCCAATCATAACTATATACATCTAGACATACATCATATATACTGTAATGCCCAATCTATCTATGTACAAAACCAAAGGGGTATCATTGTAGAACGTCAAAACAACCAGTACTCGTACTCGGTAAGAGGAGCAGCAACACTAAAAACTTGAAGAACGATGACGGATCCAGGCCTGGCAGCCGAAACAAAGAGAAGGCAACTTTCTCTTGGATTTCCAGAATGCGGCCACGACTGCCCCGACGACACAGGCGGCTAGTAGGATTTGTTGGAGACTGTTGTCGTCTAATGTGGACGGGGCTGCGATATTGTTGTTGGATGTCTATTCCATGTTAGTATATGATATTCATTGAATGAAGGATAAAGGAGAATTACCACTTGTACCGGACGTCCTTCAAATGTTCTGGTATATCCAAGTTCCTGTCCGTTAATGTCGACGGCCGCAAAACGGAGATAACCATAATTTGTCTCCAAGTCGAATCGTGTTTCGAACCCGCTCTTGGGCACGTAGTCGACGGTTTCAAAATCGCTGTCCTCGGCATCGGGAACACTCGCACGTTGCAGAACCCAGCCTGCTATTTCTGTCGCGCCGTTCCAACTAACATATGCCGAGCGCAGATCATCATCGACCTCAAGGTCTGGTGGGTAACTAGGCCGGCCAACCCACATGACCTTCTGAGCGCGGTAGGACTTGATCCACCCGAACCAGAAGAACATGGATGGGCCCCAGTGTGCATCACACAGAACCTCGCCGTCTACACTGAATTCCGTGTATGCCGATGGCTTACCCCAGCCAATGAAGATGTTTCCTGTCCGGGGTAGAACTTGTAGGTTTCCTTGGGAATGACTGCGGAAATTTCCAGGGCTGTGGTAGACGTGCAGGGTTTTGGCGGTCCAGTTTTCGAAATCCAGCTCGATCATGTAGCCGCGCGTGTGGTCTGACGTTCGCTCGTGTTCGTTGGAGCCATTGTCCAGCAGTGTAATGACGTTTTTGGAACGCCAGCGGGCATCGTGTTGCCAGGTGAAACTGGTGGCCATTCCATTGGATAGATCCTTGAACATATTTCGCTTTCCGCCGAGAATCCACAGAATGTTGCCCGAGGGACTGATGCAGGTAACCGTGTGCATGTAACGCGATGAAACGAGGTAATTGCCATCGGCGTCCTTGTCGATACTGTTGATATGGAAGTAATCCCAGGCTTCGCCGGCGGTGGGCGCAGATCCCTTGTCCTTGATATCGAAATAGGTTTCCTCCAGCGCATAGTGGTCACTGGCCCTCCATTCGAAGATAAGTTCGCCCGTTTCAATGTCTATTTCCTGGAAAAGGCCATCGTAGATCCATCCCTCGGAGGACTTGCCCATGGATGAAAGATCGATCTGGTAGATTTCGTAAATGGTCATAAGAGCGGTTCCTTGCTCGGTGATTTTAAAGTCGTGAACATCGCCTGTTTGATTATTTGCTGCAGAAACGACATGGGCTAGTTCGTAGGACGAATCCAGCTATTAAATGTGAGACTCTTTCTCTCCTCTCTTTTGTTCAATTCAACTAACCATGTAATATGAGCCTAGTCCACGCGTTCCATCATCATCACCGACCCAAAAAGTGAGATAATCCTGGTTCTTGTACCGCTGGGAATTCAAATCCATAATCATGCCAAATCGTTTCTCGATCCAAACCAGATTCCCCTTGTTATCGTATATCAATGGCCCCGGTTCCGGATAGAAATGACCACGGGGACTTAAAAGAACATAACCCTCCTCGCAGCGCGGATCCCATCGCAGGATATTAACCTCTGGGCTTTCGAGATCGAAGGATTCATAGCTAATGGTAGGATGGGCCCCGAAAAGACCGAGTTCATACCATAAGCTGTGCCATGAATTGGCCGTTGCCAGCAGCGGCAAAAAGAGCAAAAACACCAGCAACATTGCCCTCTATGTTTATAAGGAGAGTGAAAGGAGAGAAGAAAAGTCGACAGGAGACATGCAATTCAACCTGCCGAACAATTCTTCCACAAACGAAAAAAAAAGAAATAAACGAAAGAATAAAAGAAAAGAAAAGAAGGAAATAAAGAGCGACAAAATAATACATAAAGCCGAACTGTCAAAATCCCGTGCCAAAAGAAAATCGTTTATCGATTCATGGCGAGAGGGGGGGTGGATGTATATGACGCGGCTTGATCGGGAAATGTCCATAGCAGACGACGAAGGCGGGACAGCACCGATGCAGAAACGCATTCCATTCAGCTTCACCCCCAAAGAAAAGCCCGAGGGCTGGATACAGCAAAGTTGGAGAAGAATGGAACTCAGTGCCACTGTACCATTCACTCGCATTGGCCCCAGAGGTTCGTGGCGAATTCAACCCAGTGTTCCAGTTAGGCTTTTTTTCTCACCATCATTATATGGTGACGAAGCTGCCAAGAGAGATGGCCACGAGGGGTGGAGTTGGCCGGTTGCATGTTTATCCACAGGATTTTATCAAAGCTCCGGCTGCGTATTTGCGTACTGCGTAGTGTGTACGCGCCATAAGAGTATATTCATAAAATTATCCTGGGAAGAGCGTGGTGATGGCGACGCAATCATTGTGATTCCTCATTATTCTCACGAGTGAGGCTGGAAGCATTCCTCGAAAGAGAGAGAATGTTGCTATCTCCGAAGAACTAGGTTTGTGAGATGTAGCTAGTTAGTACAGAAACGAAGAAAATGTCCGAGTCTGGTTCTTGAGAAACCTGGAATATTAATCTGATGGTGAGACCTAATGTCAACGGTCAACAGCCGAATGCAGAGAGGGCTCAACCTCGAAGCCGTTGTTCCGTTCATGATCAGGGTCCAATTCCAGTTGGTGAGAGACTAAGGAGTAGATGATTGGTTCTGGATGAAGATCAAGGAGAGAATTGAAGTGATCAGCCTGTAGATGACAATGTGGATGTCTTGTCGTGGGGGAGTTGGTGAGGAGGAAGAGAAGAGAAGAAGAGGGATTGGTCTGTGCGCAGGAGGCATCATGGAATATCGACAGCGCAACAACGCGAGAGACAGACCTGGGATGCTATCAGACGAGCTTAATGGACAATCTACTTTATCATACAGAATCAGATATCATGTTCATTGATGTTGATTCTATCCTTGACAATATCTACAGAACGCCTGCTTCAGACAGACAGAACTGCCAAGCAACTTGGCATACTTCATGATCCACCAATGTAGAACAATAGGAGAGATACGGAGAAGATACGAAATACGGAGTTAGGGATATCAGGATTGAGCAGTGGAGATGGATTACGGAGTATCATCGATTGAGGCTGTCGAGATAGAACCGTCAAGTGTTTGCTGTCCGATACTCTACAGCATCCTCACCACCGACCCTATATCGTCAATATGCAATCCATCAGACAAGACATCCGGCCTCTACATAGTACAGCCACCTTCTACAGTTTCAGCTTCAAATCAACCCAAACAACCCTTCTGAAGCGACGGAACGTCGAATCACTCCTGACAATCCGGGGATCGACTCCATCTTCTGCACCAAAATTGCCGATCCCAATAAGCTCGACAAACCGCGTGGCAAGAATCCACACTGTTTCACTCTCCTAGAAAAAATATCCATCGAACTATTATTATTGTCTCTTGCTCAGCTTAGCACCAGTATCTTCATCGCCATCATGCTTCCTCTTCTTCCCCTCGTTATCGTTGCCAAAATTCCCCGAAACATCAATATGTCTCAGCACAAAGGCCACCTTGTCGACATCACTGCATGAAACCATCTCCCCATCACCATCACTCTTCAATCTCTGTCGTAAACCCTCCACAGCCTCATATAACCCCCGATATTCCTGAAGATTATACTTCACACTCAGCTCCCCATTCGCCCGAATCATCTTCACAACCTTGTTCTTCTCTTCCTCCACCAGACTCGGGTACATCCCCAGACACAGCCAGAGATAGACATCATCACTGTAAAACGGGATATGGTCAGACTGAATCGCGAGAATGAGCGATGCCGTCGCGACACCCACGCCGCGCAGTGGCTTGGTTAATGCATCCAGACTGTTTTTGACGTCTTCTGTAGAGATCGTGGTGGGAAGAGAAGTAAACGCCGTAGTCGTAGTCTTTCGAATCAGAGATTCGGCATTCGATTTAATCATCCCCATGAGGGCAGGACGGAAGACGCCATGTTTTCTACTTCCTATTAGTATCCTCTCTTAAATACAGTAAAAGGCCATCAGCATGAATTGGGCGACTGACAATTTCCACTCCATCAATCGAACCATCTCCTCTTTATCAAGATACCCCCTTTCTCTCACGGCATCAGGGAGCGTGGTATACCGCCACTCATCCAACTCCTCGAATGCCTCGACTTCAAGTTTAACTTGTTCTTCTGAGACGCCAAGTTGATCTGCATCTTGTGGTTCCTTCTTCTTCGACTTGGGGACCTTTTTATTCCTTGCTTTCAGGTTGTGTACTGCTTCCCGGGTAGCTGGGTAGCATTTTAACAGATTGTGGAAGGTTGCTCGAGTGATTGCGGAGGGGCTCAAGTCGGATTCTTTCATTTTGGTTGCAATTTGACGATAATGTTTTTCAGGTTGTTGATTTGGAGACAGAAGGGATTCTGGATGTTGATGTTGAAGAGGTAACGTACGTACGGTAAGACTGGAATAACCAATCATGATTCCTATTTACTGTCATGTATTGTCATACTGACATTACGGCTACTCCATGGAGAGTCTGTCATAGAAAATTCATTAAATATCAGATACAGGCGAATCATTGAAAAGTCGTAACTGTATATCCCAGAGGGATAGACGCTGAACAGGTCAAAATCAATCCATAAAGGCCCAGTCATCCCATATTCCATCCCGAAAACTGAACCGTTCCAAATATCAAACAAGGCGCCATGCCCACAGGAATTATAAAAAAGAAAATTAACTCGAGTCTCATACAGAGAAGGAGAAGAGAGGTACAAAATTACACACGGTAGAGGGGTACTAGCCCCTCATAAGGTAAAGGTAGAATTCACCGGGACTTTCGATGGCTGTCCTTTTTGCCCTTGCCAGGACTGCTATCCGGATTGACAAACCCCACCCGCTTCTCATCCTTGCCCCGTTCCAGCGGTTCAAGTGAACTCGAAAGGAATCGATCCTTTTTCTTCGAATTGCCTCGCCGGAGAGATTTCGACAAAGGTGCTGCGTTATGAGTCGCAGGGCTCGCCAGCCCTGGGTCAGACTTGGGATCCGCCGTGCCGTTCGACGTCGTGGTGTCTTCGTCGTCTTCCACGTCAACGTGGCTGAAGTCCTGATCGTTATCCCCTGCCTCGGAAGAGCTGGGACCGGGGCTCTCAGAATCTGAAACTACCTCGAAGTCGTCATCGTCGCTCACCAGACTCGGGGCTTGATTGGACTCGAGAGTGTTCGGGCTGAGATTTGCAGAATGATCCATACCGTCGACCTCCCGAAGTTCATCACCTTGAGGTGGCCGAGACAGAGATGACGCCGGTCCGTAGGGCGAAGTGTAAGGTACAGACCGTGTTGGTGTCAGGGAGTCCAAAGTAAGTGGTTGGGGGCCCATATGATCAAGTCCTTTACGACTGTTCGGTCGCTGGGAAGCTGTTTGTCCAACTGTCGTCCGCATTGGCTGCCTGCCAACACGCGAACCAAGAGCCTGCTGGCTTCCCTGGCTCGTGTCCGTCGAAGGTTGCAGCGAATCGTCATCCGACTCGGCATCCTCAGAAGAATATGCCCCGAGATCGACCGTTATCTTGGCCTCTCCAACCAGTTGATCAAGGTCAACGCCAACACCTCTGACTTGCATCAAAGACGAAAGATGCGGGGTAGCAGGGGAGGCCATGAACGAATCATTTGAGGCTTTCACCGCTCCGGGCGTATTCCGTTTCCCTGGTCGAGGGCGACCTGCAGAAGGACGGGGTGTTTCCACCGCTGGGGACGACTGGCTGACTCCAGATTGCTTTCGAGGTGTTGCATCCTTGACCACATCTTGTGCAGAGGGTGTCGCGGACGGTTCAATCACATGGGCAGAGCGAACCAACGGATGAACGTAGCCAGGAGCGGCGACACTTGGAGTTTCGTGACTCTTGCCCCCAACGACGACACCCGCATCGTCCACCTCAACAGGTTCGCCCGATGCGGTGGCAGCTGCATCGTGGCTGGCAAAGTTGCGGTTATGTGCGATACGACAGTGATTGATGAAACCTTGGGTGCTGGAGAAGTTGTCTCTGCGACAGTCCAGACACACCAGCTTGACAAGAACACCGTCCGACTTTCGTCGGATCATCATGGGACCCGCCCGTTCCTTTGTTGGAGGATAGCCAGTTGGCAAAGATTGTAGCTTCGCACCACCCGAACCCCTTTGCGGTCGGGATTTGCTAGCCATATAACCACCGTCACTGGGATTACCCCGTGTTGAGCGGCCCTCCATCATCGGAAAAGAGCCCGTGGCGCTTGTAGCCAAGGGTGTCATTACAGGATCAAACTCGCCTCCATCGAAACGCGGATCCGGTATCAGCCACTTGGCATAGTGGCGCGTATACGGCCCATCGGCGACACCCCATGGGGCTGGAGAGAACGGTGCCGGACCATTTCCAGGCGGGAGCACCGCAATTCCCGTTCCATTGCTTACCGATTGCGACAGTCCAGCGACGTTGGATCCCGGGTAAGGAATCTCAGCGCAGCGACGCAATTGTTCCATCGCAACCTGGCACTTGGCGATCTCCTGATCAATTAACCGTAATTCATTGTGCTTCAATAACACTTCCAAGCTCAGTTGGGCTTCAAGCGTTTCTCGTAGCTTTTCCACATTCACCTTGCGCGGAGTAGTGGCCTGATCGGCGATGGAAGTCGAGGATGAGCCCTGGCGACGATGTGGTGAATGCGAGAAACCGTCACTGGTCGGAGTAGGCTCCTGCGACGAAGAGGTCTGTCTAGATGGGGTGGCGTTGTTTGTCGCATCGTCCGGGCGCAATTTGGTTGCGACGGGGGCATCGCGATCTGTGGCGGAATCGCTGGAATGAGAGCGTTTGCGCTTCAACTGAGGCAAGGGCAGGCCGTTGACGCCTGGAGAAGCGCAAGGCGGCGCAGTAGCGAGCATCTTGACCTCCTCCGCCATCACCTTATTCCCTCCGATTGCAGAGGACCAAGGAAGCAGCCGAAACATGCCATGCGAAAGCTGTTGAATGGGCGCGAGAGCGGTGGAGGTGTTATCGATAGGAGATTAAGATATAGCAGCGAAAAAATAGCGGCGCTAGATTGTCGACCCTTATCTGCAAGTTCCGACCATACACCAGTGCATGGAAAGGAGGATCTAGATAAGGGGAGAAGAAAAGCGTGGGAGGCGAATCGTAGAATCAGAGGAAGTGACTCTACGATGGTGTGGATTTGCGACCGTAAGGAAGAGGCAAGGGGGGAAAGAGGCACGAGCACTCCAAACGAGGCACGTCAAACTCCAAAGCCCAACAATGACATGCGATGACAATCGCGTCAGTGGGAAGTATTTGATTTTTGAATATTTTTTTGTTTGTTTGTTTGTTTGGTTTTTTTTTTTTTTTTTTCTTTTAATAAAAAAATTAATCTTTCTTCTGTCTTGTTATGAAGTAGTAAAGTAGAGTAGGTATAGTTTAGAGAAGGGACAAAGGCGAGAGAGATCAGTGATATGCAAGCCGGAATGGGGCGCGATCGAGAAAGCGGAGGGATCCACGGCTATTGTTGGGAAGGGATGGGGTGGCGTTATCTATTAATAATGGATCAAGAGGACAGAAAAAAAAGACAGAAGTGACTCAGAGAGGCGATATGAGAAGAAATTAGGAGGGGGGGGAGTATAGGAGGATAAAAAGAATTTGACGTCCGTCCAGGGATCGTCCGAAGGAATATGTACGAGGAGAGTAGCGAGAGGAGAGAGAGAGAGAAAGGGAGGAAGAAGTCTAGAAGGATGGGGAGAGGAGGAGGAGAGGGAGAGAAGAGGAGAGAAGAGAGAAGAAGGACAGAAGATAATCAGAGGAAAAGTCGGGGGATTTGCGGGTAAGAAAGAGGGAAAGAATTATTTATTGGATCAAGTAATCTGGGCCAAAGATGCGATGGACAAAGATGGGATGAAGAGGCGATGAAACAAGAGGAGAAAAAACGTCAAAGAAAAGAGAATCTCATGGCGGTTGATTGTACATTTGTCCATTCCATACAGAAGGGGAAAGGGGGGGTCCTTGCGACAGGCTTTGTCTCCGGCGCACTAACAGCCGGTAGTCAGAAATAGTGACACCCAACGCAGGCAGCAGCCAATCAGAGGGTGGGTATGCGGGCGACGATGGAGTCGAGCAGGCAATAATCAGTGCTCAATCGACTTAAGAATAACCGCCAAGTGGAGCGATGATGTGATCCAAAGTCTGGAATGGTCGATCTGGTAGAAGAAGAAGAGAAGCTGAAAACATGGAGAGTGACAGAGAAAGTAGAGAAGCAGAGATGGAGATATTATTGTTACAGATTGCTATTATTGTATCGATGCAAGACAGAGGAGAGGAAGATGATTAGGTAAACAGGTACCTTACCTAGGTATGGTTATACAGCCAAATACAGAGGATACAACGGGCGACTTAAGCGACAGATAACATGCATCCTGGACGGCCTCCAACTGGTCGACATTTGTACGATGCATCCATCCTTTATTATCCCTATATCTATCCTCCTGGTTCTGGATCAATGCGATTGATTGCGAGTGCCATGGTTCCAATCCGTCTGGTTGAGCAGCTCGTGTCATCAAATCGACCCATGAATTGACATAATCCTCTCTCGAAGCCTGATGGCCTGAATCTTTCATCTATCTCCAGCTTGGCGATTCCACATTTTGCCACTCTCACTCAGCTCCCTACTCTCTTACCATCGCTTATTATTATTATCCTTCCTTCGTCCCGCCTGGACAATGGTTAATTCAAATTGAGAATATCCGACCGCATTACCCAAATATCAAGAGAATACCAGCCCGACCAAGGTCAAGGTCAGACAGGCCCACGCCGACCGTTCCAACTTCCAACTCTCGCCAGTAACACAATCTGGTTTTCTCCATCGCCTCGATCGGGGCTTGATTCTTCCGATACTCGACTTTCTATTATTGCGTCGTCTGTTTTCAGCATCCAAGATATGGCAAACAATTCGGGAACATGCGGAAGGCGACAGAAGCCATTCCAAGTCGGGCGTCGCTGTGCCAATCATCGATTCATATCCGTTTGATCATCTTCAAAGCCAACATAAAAAGTGATCAGCACAAAGTATTGAGAGCACACCCGAGATAGAAGATGCAAGAACCCGTCAGGACGATGTTGGCATCCCGGCTGATCACAGGCATCGTCCCTTTTCTGAGTATGATTGCCACTGCGAAGAAAATCAAACACCAACAGCACTGAGAATCTGCTCCTCGACCGATTCAGATACAGACCCTTGCGGTTCAAGTTGGACAGGATAGGAAAGCCGTCATGTGGGCATCTTGGAACCCAAGCGGTCGCTGAATTCTCGTATTGGGCATCTAAAACCCTTGTTCATTTTCGCAATGGATTTGGCACTTGCCATTAACCAGAAACTCCGTCCGTGGTTTATTCAATAGCGCAGAGAATTATATGGTCTCTGAAGCAGACGTATTAGACAACAGGCGAACATGCGACCAAGGCAACTCAGCCAAGCGGTTCGATTGATTGATCCCACACGGGTACTCTTTGTAAAGGATGGCCTATCGAGATAATTCTTCCCTCGACTGCCATCCCAAGAAATTATCATTTGAGTTCTTTCGAGACACCACTGGTATTTCTAGATGGTGTTGAGAATGCCCATCACCAAGTGACCGGCACTGACTGCAGAGAAAACCAGGAACACCTGTCAAAGCAATATAAATCATTGAAATCTAAACATCCGGCAGAAAGCAGACATCGAGCAGTTAACCCGACTCGGAACTCCCGAGTATTTCGGGGCTCTCTATACCGAGGAGTTGCAATTTGTTCTACCATCTGGAAATCCCGAGAGGATCATCCGCATGACTCCATCTACAAGATTAAGGAAGATTGCAGAATGCGGATCAGAAATCTCACATTTTTCCAATTGTCCAATAGCCATCTCTCTGCCAAGGCATAAATGTCCGAACCTGGATAGATGTAACTTCTTTCTGAACTGTTGAAGTTCGGAACATTGTCCTATATCGTGACATCGTCCTTCTCCACATCCCGCAATCCAGTTCCGGACTCCAGATGGTGAAGACCAAGCCCCATTCTTTCACACGTTTCCCCCCACCAAGAGCCAGGGACTTTAATTATTGTCCGACTATGCGGGGTTTTTGTCCAGCAGCCTTTCTCGAGAATGCGTGGTTTTAGCAGGCAGACCCGAATGCCCCCAATGACGCTTCTGGATACACTGGAGCAAGTGAAGGAGATGTTAGACTCGGAGGTAACATCAATGACCACAAATGACTGCTTTCCTTGGCTTTGCAAGAAGTTAATCTCTCAGTGCCAATCATTTCTCCATCAGTCGGAAATAATCTGCAATTACGTATAGGCAACATTGTTGATTACTACCGAAAGGAGCATGTGTACTGTCAGTCATCTCTTATAAGAGTGGAAACATCCCCCAGAGTCAGTTCAATATACGAAACAGACAGGTCTGGTTTTATACTTTCATTCTTCTCGAGTCCATCTTTCAACCATGCGTGGATCGCTGGCGGTCTTTCTCACTGCCCTTGGTGGCATCCAGCCTTCTCTTGCACTTCCTCATTCGCACACCAGCTATGTCGACTGGAAAACTTTCAAGGCAAATGGTGTGAATCTTGGAGGCTGGCTGGTACAAGAGTCAACAATAGACACTCAGTTCTGGAACACCTATTCTGGTGGAGCGTCGGATGAATGGGGACTCTGCCAGAATCTGGGATCCCAGTGTGGCCCGGTCTTAGAACATCGATACTCAACCTTCATAACAAAGACAGACATCGACAAGCTTGCTGATGCTGGTGTCGGGATTTTGCGGATCCCAACAACCTATGCGGCATGGATCAAGCTCCCCGGATCTCAGCTGTATTCGGGTAATCAAACTGTCGCCCTGAAAGAGATTGCTGATTATGCGATCAAATCCTACGGTATGCACATTATCGTCGATATCCATTCACTCCCGGGCGGTACCAATGGAAAGGACATTGGTGAGGCCACGGATCACTTTGGCTGGTTCCACAACACAACTGCCTTTGATAACTCCCTCAAAGCCATTGACGCCGTCATCTCCTTTGTCCAAAACTCCGGTTCTCCCCAGTCATACACCATCGAACCCATGAACGAGCCATCTGACAGCAGAAACATGTCAACGTTTGGTACCCCAGCCGCACTGTCAGACCGCGGCGCAACCTGGGTCCTGAAATACATAAAAGCAGTCATCAATAAGGTGGAGGAAGCCAACTCCAAGATCCCAGTTATGTTCCAGGGAAGCTTCAAGTACCCATCATACTGGTCTGGCAACTTTTCCGCAGACACAAATCTCGTCTTTGACGTGCACAACTACTACTTCGAAGGCCGCCCAACAACTTCTGAAAACCTGCCTACTTACATCTGCTCCGACGCAAAGAACAAAGCCGTCGACGACACGTTTCCTGTGTTCGTAGGCGAGTGGTCGATCCAGGCAAAGCAGAATAATACCTTTGCGCTTCGTTCGCGCAATGTGAACACGGGGATCCAAGCCTTTCACAATTATGCCCAAGGTAGCAGTTACTGGACTGCTAAATTCTCGGGTAATGCCACGGTGAATGGACAAGGGACACAGGCAGATTACTGGAGCTATGCAGGGTTCATTAAGGACGGTGGTATCAATGCTGACAAAGCCGTATCTTGTTAGTGGGAGTAGCATGGATATGGCGATTATTCATGACTGGTAATTGTATATTGAAGAGGCAAATGTCCATGAATCAACTTTTATTCTTTTTTGCAAATAGATAAAGTAGTGGCAGCTTAGTAGCGCACTACAATCCTTCTCAATAAGACATGCAAATCGCTCAAACACAGAATGATAAACGAAAACAACCCAAACATTGCTGCGAACGAATGATCAATGTTGTATCAAAACCTGACAATTTCATAATTGTGACATGTCGTCTAAACCATCCAGCCATTCCAGTTAAGCAGTATACGTATACAGCTGCAATAAAACCCAAAATCCTCTCCTCATGCCAAAGGGAGAGAGGCCCAAGAAAGAAAGAAAGAAAGAAAGAAAGATATAATGATGATGACAGAGAAAAAGGGGATATAAATGAAACCGCAAATTTTCATACCAACAGCCCAAATGCTTAGAACCCCTCCCGAACACGAAGTATGAAGTTCACCACGACAGCAGCCAACAATGATAGGGCCAAAATGGTCGGCCCGAATCGGTCATCGATTCCTGTTTGTCCTCGGCGACGGATACTCTGCGCTCGCCAGTGGAAGGTGAAAAGGGCGTAGATCATGGTGCCCAGGGCGATGACGGTGAAGAGGCCGGCGGAGATACGGCCGACACGGTCACCGAAGTTGAGCAGGCCGACGGCGAGGCCGCCTAGGATGACGGTGAAGTTGAGCCAGGAGAGGAAGGTTCGCTCGTTGGCGAAGAAGACTTTTGGTTCGACGCGGGTTGGGAGGGCGATTCGTTTGCCTGGGTGGGTTAGATTGAATACGTAATGGGAGGTGTCGCTTTGAATGAGGCGGCATAGAAACAAGTGTAGATGAGGATTGAAGTGGTACGAACCCGGGGCAGTCTGAAGAAGAGGTTGACTCGACATTTTTGATTCTGTGCGGGGGGAGGGACGTAGAGATAAGGGATAGGATAGAAATGACCTTGTTGGAGCTATCAAGGGCGGAGAGAGAAGGTCAAAACCACTGACGACGGCAGCAGCTATATAAGAGAAAGGCTTGATCGAAATCGAAAATATCGGCGGAGCAATTGGGAAATAATGAAAAAGTGAAGAAGAATCCTGCTGCGCCTCTGGACATGGAGATAGCAAGACCTTCTAATCGAAGCAAGTGACAGGCCCAGCGACGGACGGACTGATGTAAACGAGGCGTTTTGTTACCGTATTGGTTGCGTACTGGAACGGTCTCTCTCCACTTCTGGAGCTTGGCGGACAAGACCTTGCCTAGAGCGGCTTAGCGGCTGATAGCAAGCTGCTGTTCTGCCGGCCCTTGCCGCTTAGAGTATGGCACGTGCGCATTTGGTTTGCTCTGCTTTCTTTTCCGGCGATTCGGAGCGTAATATCATTTCTCCGAGTGCTGTGGCGGTGGGTTTCTTCCTCAGCCACAGACACCCCCCTTACGGACTAGCGTTTTACCTCTTCTGGCCAACCACCGCCGGCACCGCCACATGATGATGCTACGGCTCACAGCCGCCAAACACCAGCAAAACACGCCGCTTCGGACTTCATATTTGGCTTCCTCGACTGCTGTGCCAACAATCGCTGGACAATTCGTCTCTCTGCATCGCTCGTTTCCTAGGTAAATAATTCTGTTTTTCTGTTACCCTCATCAGATATCTGTCACTCCGATAGCGTTGCTCTTGCATCCTATCCCCCGCAATCGCATCTCCGAGAAGACACAGGTCTCCTAGTACTTTCCATATCTTGAATAAAGCTAACTCGCTCGCTTTATAGTCTAGAAAGTGCAATTGAAAGTCCTCCTATCCCTCAAATATCTACAATGGCTGTCGAACCCTCCCCCGCAACTTCTGTACGTCACTGTCATTCTTTATGCTCCTAATGGCTCCTTGCGCCATTGCTCCACAATGTTTGGACTATCTTAGCTGACTTATGTTGTTCTAGCCCATTCCCATTGAGGAGCTTCAGAAGATCGCCTCCGAGGTACGTTATCCCATGGTTCTATATTTTGGCCCGGAGTCTCGGACTTGAACAACGGTTTCCTTCTCCGATTTATCGATCACTGGTAACTAACAAATGTTTCTGGCTCATAGGCCTGCACCACCGCATTGAAGGACGCGGAGGGATACGAGCACTCCAAAGTTGGAGAATGGAACTCTCAGATCATTGTACGTCCAAGACAAAAGCTACACCCATATAATTGATCTAACACCTCTGCTAGAATACCATCCTCAAGGCCCTCATTTCCGCTACTGCCCCTTCTGAATCCTCGACAGCTCCCCCGTACCGATTCACCGTGAACAGCACCATTGTGCAGCAAGGCCTGATTGACAAGTCCGCCGCCGCGGACGGTGCAGTCAACAACGCAGGCAAGCGTGGCATGCACTCCGCCTCCGGGGCCTTCTGGGACGTCAACCGGGATGGAATGTGGACATTCAAGTTCCCCGGGGCCGAGGAGAAGGGACTGGACATTGTCGTCAGCGTGACATGGTTCGCCTTGGGTTGAATTAGATGATTTAAAAGAAAACCTCGCATTTTTAATTACTTTTTTTCATTTTTCATTTTTCACATTTTTTTGTCGGCATGTTGAGACCCATTTTGTTCATTTTTTTTTCTTTCATCTTCTATTCTTATTGTCTATTATCTTGTTGGGGAGCCAGGTGTACGTGAACTAGATGTTGGCTACTGCAGCTACATAAGGCTCTTTTCAGTGTGCTGATTTTCTTTGGAAATATAATCTCCCAATATTGGACTCAGTGTTTATGCCAAGTAACAACTAGGGTCGACTAGATTTAAAAAAGCAAAACCCATCCACAAGAATGGTCATAGCCTGTATCGTGAAAGGTGTAGGGAAATGACTCGTACAAATTCTGAATCTACACTGAAACTCAACTGTACCACCATGGCATGCCATATTAGGGCCATACCACCAAAACAAATGACATCTAACAAAAAACCCCCAAACGCCGGTTTCAAAAGGTAACCTGGCCGATTCGTCCCATCCCAGGCGCCATGCTAACCACGAATCAAACAGGATATCAAACAACAAAGGAAGAAAAGAGCCTCTGGAAAATAAAACCAGGCCAGGCCAGAGGCCATGCCGGATCGTCCACTCTAACCCCAAACCACTTTATCGAGGCTCTGAATAGTCATTCAGCGCAACACACACTGCTCCTCGGTGGTGCCCACTGTATTGGCGAATAATTTGGCCTGAAGCCAGCTCCCATAGACGAGCGTAGTGGTCACTAGAAACAGTGACCAGGTATGCTGAATCGGCGGAGAAGGCGCAATCCCACACCCAACGCTGGTGGTTGGCTAGTGTGGTTTCCAAATAAGGGGTTCCTGTGCTCGGATCCATCGGAGGACCATCGGGCTGTACGGGGAAGGGCTGTGGTGGTTCGTTGGGGAGAACAGGAGTAGGACCATTGATAAAGCTGAACGGGTTGAATTCTTGAGACTTCGCTTGATCAATGCCAGATATTTGATCAGGCGTCCCGGAAGCTGTAGATGGAGAAGCGACTTCTGATCCCATGTTGCCCTTGGCTTTGGCTTTTGCTGCTGTGACAGCTGCGACCTTGGCCGGAGGATAATCGAGATCCAGGTTCCAAACTTTGGCGGTATGATCAGCGGAGCAAGTCGCAAGGTGTTTAACATCTGGTGATAGAAGAACGCGAGTGAGGTAGTCCTTATGGGCCTGGAACGTGCAAATGGGTACAATGCGAGTGAGCTCAGCATCTTGAATCATGCGCCAGATGTAGACGTTGCCCTATCAAAACCGGATTAGCCTGAGACTGCGTGAGACTGAGCTGCAACGATGTAATACCTTTTTGTTCCCTGCGCAGAGCAGAGATCCGTCGCTGGCAACACTGACACTGTGCACTGCGACGTCGTCCTCGGGGATGAGTTGGTGGGTGCAGACACTCTCTCCCAAATCCCATACGCGAACAATACCAGAACGGTCTCCACTGATCAGTTCACCCTGGTTCGGATGGATCACAACATCATTAACTGCAGCTTTGTGGGCGTAGTTGCGCTGTAGACTTCCGGTACGAGTGTCCCACACTTTCACTGTGCCATCTTCGGAGCTAGTCACCATCCACTTTCCTTCGCAGTGAAATGCAACTCCTGTAATGTTGTTCGTGTGACCATCAAACGTCATAACAGGATTGGGATTTGTGGATTTGATGTCATATAGCTTGACATTGTTGTGGCCCGCGGCTGCCAGGAAGCGCTTGTCGGGTGTGATGCAAAGGCGGTTTACTTGGGAATCAGGATGTTGAATAGTACGCGAGCAGATACCAGACAAGGCCTCCCAAAAACTGCCGAGAAGCGAGTAAGCACCTGGTATCTACCCCATCCCGCCCGAAGACAGTAATTGACTCGACTTACCGAATGGTATGGTCATACCCCGCTGGACATCGTAACAAGAGCAGCTTTGATTAGTTTGATCTGAGTGACGGGGTTGACGTAACGAAAAGCGGTGCGCTTACCGGTGCAGAGAATGACACTCATTTCGGCGCGTTGGGATCTTTCAAAGACTCGTAGAAGTTGGAGAGCCGCAGACTGCTGAGGAAGAGTTGGTGGTTTCACCGTTTGTTGGAGATGAAGACGAAGCGAGGCGGAAATCCAATCGATGCTCCTTCAATCTTCCTGCCGGCGTTGACCAGCGACACTATTCCCAGATAGGCCTAGGGTGTGTGGAGGAAATAGAAGCACGTGAGCGGTGAGCGGAGCGGTGGGGAAAGCGGAGAAATGAAGCGAGAATTTGGAGAGAAAAAAAAAAGTACTCGTTCTCGTTCATGTTTTCTTCTTCACGCGCTCAGCCTTATTGCATCCTCACTCTCTTTCGTCGTTGTTGTTGTCTTTGGTCACTGATCTCATAAGGGAGGTGCTTGAAAATCTCACCATTCATCTTATTCCTCCTATCGCAGAAGCGTATCGGCAGTATCCCTTGCTCGATTCAAACATCGAAGTCAGTCCAACTGGACTAAGATTATCATGACCAAGGCTATCTTTGCTTAATCGGGGTATTCGACTCCTCTTAATCGGGTGTCTGGCTCTGTAAATTCAGGGTGGCGCTTTTTTTCATTTCAACTCTGTTGTCTCTGAATAGCCACAAACCCGGCCAGAGCTTCGGAGTTAACACGCCGCTTCCATTGTCAGTTGAGCTGCCTAACCCCGCGACAAGGAAACTGCAAATTGAAGGTACGGCATTTGACACTACATATCCTGCTGAAAGACAAGAATATAAACTTGTATAAGCTTGTTACCGTCTCGTTCATCTGGTTAATTCTCTCGACGCCACATAGTTTACGCCCTAGCGACGTCAGTCCTTGCTTATCAGTCGAGCCACCAGCTCAATAGCGGTCACAGAGCCACAGAATCGGCGTTGGTTTGATGATAGACCGGAGATCAATTGTGGCGGACTAAATCAGTCTACATGGATGGAAGTATGGCTGAAGGTATTTCTACCTCTTTTCAAACATGCACTTCTTTTCAACCCCATGACTCTGAGGGGCTCTTTCCCTTTGAGAATATCCCACCACCCCCGTCCTTCTCTCATCTGCATGTGAATGATCTGGGGCTTACACCTTCCCCTGGGTCGCAACTGCAGCAGCCGTCCGATGCCACTCGAGCGTCTTCGCAACATGAGAACATTAGCCTATCCAATAAAGATGGCGCTCCCCAAGAAGGACTATTAGTCGACAAAAATGCCTCGACTCGGCAGACAGAGGGCTCATTGCATGGGGTCGAAGATACCAGCCAGATTCGCACGTCAAACCAAGATACATCCAGCCAAGACGCTCAGTCTTTGAATTTTGATGGTAATAATTCCTTTCATACAGGCGACAAGATGGGGTTACAGAACAATTTAGCACAGGACGCCGCGAAGGATATAGCCAACGCGTTACCTGATCTCAATGGCCCGCATAATACGGAACAATTGTTCTATGACCCCCTCTTTGATTCTGATTTTGCTTTACGGGAGCTTGAATCGGCTTTTGACTCTCGGAAACGTACAGGCGATGAAGCTTTCCCCACAGAATTTGACATATGGGGTCCTCCCGAGAAGAGGCGGATTTTGGAGCTACCACCAAATCAGAGCAATACCACGCCTCCAGGTGAAACACCTTCCTTGTCTTCTCCCAACTCATCCCTACGTCCTGATCCAGTCGAAACGGCTCCTCATACACCGGCTGGCATGGAAAGGTCACAAACCCCAAACTCCCTGTTTGATACCGCGGATCCTCTTTTCGAAGACGCTACATTTTCGATTCCGTTCGATATGAACTTCGAAAATGTAGAAGAGCGCTCTGGTTTTGAAAATTTTGATGCAGATCTTTCCAATGCCATTGATGCAATTGAGCGGGATCCTATTCCTGCGACGTATTCTGATATCGCTGATGAACTTCCCTCACTGAGCGATTTCACCAAACATCGATTCGACCTTGATGCTCACGATATTGCCGCCAGTACGAGCCGTGACATCCTGCAACGTGTTGACCAGGAACCGCAGTATCTTTCACCATACCCAAGATACAGGGGGCCCTTAGGTTACCTGCCATCGGCCCCAGGTATTCATGTCAGATGTATTGAGGTTGCAGAGGACCAAGTCAACTACCGCATAGAAAATTTCAAACGCAAGGTCCAACAGTTAACACATGAGCGAAACAAATACAAAACTGCCTGGACACAGTGGACTACTGTGGATAGCAAGACGGGGAAGACGAAAGAACAATTACTGCGCGAAGAGAACGCCTCGCTTCGCCGCGTGTCTTCTCAGCATCAGAGGAGAGTTGAAGAATACAAGACAGAAGCAGAGAGTTGGAAGGGCCAGCTTCATAATCTCGCCACACTCTACAACAATCTTCTCTACGAAATCCAAGTTCAACAGAAAATCCCCACGATCGCCCCAGCCCCACCTGGATATAAGCCCCGGCCGGCACCGGTGAATCATAATGCTCAAATGCAGTACCCTGCACCAAACCAGCAGCCTTCTATTCCCGGCCAGGCCCCTCAATCACAGCTGTCGCAACTGCAAAATGCGCCAGAAACGAGGCCCAGACCACAAACAGCTGTTCCAAATCAACAGCCTACCGTGCCGGGGTCTCAGCCCCAAGGACCACCAACGAATCCTAGGGCTGAACCTCGCTCTGAAACTGTAACGATCGACCTGACTGACGACGACACCAATGCAGCGCCTGATTCCGTGCGCTCCTCACCTGCCCCAAAATCAGGCGGCCCAGAGCTGCTCCAGTCATTTCGGAACAAGAAATATGGGTGGCTTGGGAATGATGGCCAGTCGACTGGGCGTCAAAGCGTAACTGGTGCTTCTCCAGTCTCGGGGCAAGAAAACAGCCAAGCATCGACTAATAGTCCGTTGCACAATACACAATCCGTTGATGCCGACAGCAACGGTGATCCCGCTATCGACAATGATTTGACCCGTACAATGGAAGATGAGTTGGCGCGGGGTTGATCGGGCGCATTTTGATCCTTTTTACGTCATTTTATCCCGGCATTCTAAGTGTTTTAATTCTTTTGCCTATGGGGCATTTCGATATCCACTAATGTTTTGTTATTCCACTACTTTACTTTGCATAGCGCGGATCATGGTTAACTTGTGGAGAGGCTTTTTTGTATTATTATGATTGTGATGATATATCATTTCGAAACAGAATGGTATCTGATATAGGTGTCTATCCTTATACTAGTCAGGTATAAAACATGGAAAGACTGTCCTTTGATACAGATTGGTCAAATATGAAGAATCATAAATTCGTAATATGTTAAGAACAACCTATATAAAGGACAGAATCTCACTGTACCCAGGAAAGAGAAAAATATAAAACACCGGTATCCAAAATATTCGACCATTTAGCAAATGAGCCACCAATCTATGTTCTTTTCGCAAACTTGTGTGCCAGGGCCTGTAAACTGACACCGTAAGACGTCCTGTACAATCCCATAAATACTCAAGACCAGCAAAGCCTCCTTCGTATTCGCGGAGGATAATGGCAGATCATTGGCGGGATTCCCTCATATTTCAATCTCACGCATCAAAGGATTCCAAAGTCCTGATGCTGGAGGGACCGTATATGTTCAATTGATCGGTATCTAAAAAAAGAAAAAGATTTTTGCCTTTTCCCATATCCATGCATATTGAAAGAAAAAAAAAAAATGAAAACAAAGAAAGATAAATAGGTGGTATATATAGCAAAAAGAGAGAGAGAGAGAGAGAGAGAGAAAGTTTCTACAAAGCAGCCTCAAACCGAATAGGTCTGCGCTCAACTGGCAGTCGTGGTGGGGCTATGCGAGCCGGGCTTCTCCTTCTCCTGCATCTGCATACTAGGCGATGGAGAACCACTACCAGCGCCAGCAGCCTTGAGCTGTTTCCGGGCCTTGCGACCACGGCAGCAGGAAGCGCAGCAGGAGCCGAACTGGATGATGAAGGCGATGAGGTTGAAGGCAGAGGCGACCCACATAAAGGCCATCATGCGGGTGCCAATGGAGGCGCCGATATTAAGGTTGTAATCGTCCGAGGTGAAGACGTTTCGGAAGATGAGGAACATGACGGTAGCCACGACGGAGGCGACGATGGTGAAAAGGGCATTGAGGAAGGTGATGATGAGGAAGGGGAAAGAGCGGAGGAAGACAAAGGTGCGACGTCTGTGGACGGGGTTTGTCTGGTTGACGGATGGGTCGGGGGAGATGGATTGAGGGGGACGCGAGGAGACGGCGAGAGGCGAGAGGAAGATCAGGATGAAGGTGAGGACGGCGGAGGTGATGAAGAGACCGAACATCCAGTGGGAGGCTAGACGGGCGATTTTGAGGGCATCTGTGATGTCACCGGGAAGAGCGACTGGGGGATAATGGTTAGAATATGAATCCAGATATCAAGAGAGGGAATACGTACTGGTTGCTCCCGATAGCAGTTCACTGAGAAGAATTTCAACGGGGTTGAACCAATACAGAGTCTGAGTCTTGGAGCAGTGGGTGATGCCAGTGTCCGAATAACCCTCACAGAAATTCCACAAGCCCACCTGGTAAAAGTCATGCAGACCAATTGAGCGGGCGATACTGTTGATGAGGACGGCATTGGGGACGGAGAGCGGGATGATGTTGGAAAGGTCGAGCTTGAGGAAATAGGTGTCTCGCAGGACGGGCTTGTTGGAGGTGCTGCCAATGAGGACGAGCACCAAGAAGATCCAGGCCAGAAGATAGAGAAAAGAGCGTAGAATCCGATGTCGAACGACGGTAGACCGTCTCCGACCAGCGCGTGGTCCTTGGGAGGACTTGAAGGTCGGTAGTTTTGCCATGGACTATTGATTGATAGCGGATGGCACGAGATGTAGAGGTGGTGGGTGCGTTCGGAGGGAAAGGAGGGCAGAATTGGCACACGAGATCAGATCGGAAAGACAGTGGAAGAAGTCGAATCGCAAGAAGGAGAGATCAAAAGAAAGCAAAGGAGATGCGGAGAGGTGATGTAGGTGAGCTGGCTTGGGCGGGATACGCAAGATGGATGACGTTAGACATGCATGTATGGATGTAAGCTATTAATAACCCAACCAAGACAGGATGAAGTTTGTATTTTTTTTTTTTTTTTTTTTAGAAGAATCGAAAACAAAGAGGACACAAAAAAGAAAGGGATTGATTGCAGACGATGCGAGGGGGAAAAGAAAGGAAAGAAAGCGATGGCTGGAGAATGTTGTCGTGGAAGAAGCGAAAGAAGCCCGACAAGAAAAAAAGGACTTTTAGATCGAGCGATCAGCGGTAAGTTTGGTATTCGCCGGTACGAGCGATACAGGCCCAGCTGCCGGTATTTGATAGGGCCAAAATAAAAAATGATAAACACAAGATAGAATCGGAATAGGAAAAAGGCAATCGGTGAGATGTGCTGCTCGTCTACGATACCTGCAAACTCACCTCATGCCATCAGCGGCGGTGGACCAACCGTCGATCAGAAACTCATGCATTCCTGTATGATACGCTCTGCCGGCCGCGCCATGGTTTGGCGAGGCGCCACTGATGGTCTGGCGCTATTTGGCTCTAGACCCCCCAGCTGCGGCTGGGTGTGGCTGATCTTTACCGGTATTGCACTGATCGGACCGACCAACCAGAAAAAGGGGGCTGTCTGTTTCCCCAATTTCGAAACACTTGGTATCGTATTCATACTGTTGTTACCGTACGTGAGACTCCAGCCCCTGGTTGCTGATTTTTGATTGGCTGAATTTCTCCACTGGCGTCAATCGCTGACAGCCATGTGGGGCATTCGGGGCTTTCTAAGTTTGGGGTGCTGCTGCCTGGGTGTGGATGAGCTGCTGATTGGCCGGCGGGCCCCATAGGGCTCTGACTTTTTCCCTGCCAGCAGCACCTGATCTGCCCGATCAGCGGCGCTACTGAATAATCCACCCGCAACTCCAGCGATCCGACTTTCAGCGCCTGGCAAATCCTCACTTTTGGGCAGAGACCCTGGCCATCTCCATCTTCCCCTCTCCTGTCTGAGGGTCATTGCTCTTCATTGAATTTTCTGCAGAATATCAATTGCTTCTCTTTTGTCTCTAGATAGTTCCATCAACCTCAAGTACAGATTCTCTCACACAGTAGCACAGCACCATGCGGCTGTTGCTTCTTCTCCTCCCGCTCTTGGCCGGGGTGCGTCATTCTCTCGCTGACGATACAACCTCAACAACCTCCGGTTCGACCACCGAGGTCGTGGGTACCGGCATCCTCAGCCTCGATGGCACTCTCACGACGACAATCAGTGAGGCTACTCTGCCCACCGGTGACTACCTTTCGTATTCTTCCACCATCACCCTCTCCGATGGACATGGCGCCACCACCTCGACCATCACGTCCGCTTCGGCCAACGCGACCGCCTCTTCGAATTCGACGAGCACCTCCACGACCGACTCGCTGACAGTCCTGGTTGGTGGTGGGCATACGATGACCTTGGGGAATTCAACCGCCAATGCCACGCATACGACCTCTTCATCGCCCTCGGCCTCCCCGGTTATCAACACCAGGCCTTGCAATAACTACCCAGAGCTATGCAATCGCAAATACTCCAACATCACCATGGTCGCCGCCCACAACAGTCCGTTTGACAGGGTGGGAAATGCTGCCTCGAACCAGGCGTTCGACGTGGTTACCCAGTTGAACGATGGTATTCGCATGCGTAAGTTTGTCAAAACATGGGTTAACAAAGTGACTGGAGCTGATATGGAACCCAGTGCAATTCCAAACCCATTATACCAACGGAACCATATATCTCTGCCATACGAGCTGTGAGATTCTCGACATGGGTACTCTCGAAAGCTATCTCACCGACGTCGCAAAATGGATGAAGGCAAACCCGTACGACGTGGTCACTATCCTGGTTGGAAATTACGACTATGTGTCTCCCCAGAACTTCACCGCTCCATTCGAGAATTCAGGGCTCATGGACTTGGTCTACACCCCGCCCAAGATCCCCATGGCTCTGGAGGACTGGCCGACGTTGTCAAGTATGATCTTCTCCGGCAAGAGGGCGGTTGTTTTCATGGACTACCAGGCCGACCAAAATGCCATGCCGTGGCTCATGGACGAGTTCACCCAGATTTGGGAGACCCCCTTCTCGCCCACTGATCCCGCCTTCCCCTGTGACATCCAACGGCCACCAGGACTCTTGAAAAAGGATGCCGTGAACCGGATGTATATGGCCAACCACAACCTCAACGTTGACATTAGTTTTGCCGGTCTCAGCCTTCTCATTCCCAACACGGCTACGCTCAGTGTCACCAACGCCGACAAAGGAAACGGCAGTCTTGGAGAAATGGCCGAAACTTGTACCCGTGAGTGAATCAAACCACCTTCAACGAAGAGCCCCAACTGACTTGTATCCGTCTAGACCAATATAACCGTGCCCCCAACTTTCTGTTGGTGGATTACTACAACTACGGAAATTTCAACGGCTCTGTCTTTGCCGTGGCAGCAAAGGCCAACAACCTCACATACACCGGCACATGCTGCGGCACGACTTCTGGTGCCTCTGTCCAGATTCCGGGATCGAGTGCAATTGGCATGCTGGTGGTGGCTGCAGGTGCCCACTTCGTCGCATCGATGTTTTGAACCATTTAGCCGAGCGCTTCTTCTGAATTGTTCTTATAGATACATTGCCTCCGCAAGGTTGTTGTTAGGAGTTATGGAGTATCGATTTCGATTCTGTTTTATATATAACCTTTCTTTTCCACGATGACATGACTGCATTAATATTATGTGCCGGCTTGTACAGGTGCTGTGCAGTGTTTGCAGACTTGAATAAATGTGCATTTGACCTTTGTGTCTTGGTCTGGCTTGACCATTTGGAATATTCCGTCAGCCAGCTTACAAAATTGAATATATCATAGGAATACATACTTACATTGACGCAATTGCCAATATCGCTTGTTGTAATATATTTCCATCTGCCAAATACTCTAAAGTGTGTCTAGTACACTTATATTGTCAGTGCTTGATATGCTTTGGTTCTCTTGTCCCTCATCTACTTGAAGATTCTCCAGATCAACAAGGTCATTTCTTTGATGGTACAGTGGCTCATCCTCGCACTGCCCTCTATTGCTGATTATTTCTGAGCAAGTCAGGATCCTCACAGCCTTGTGGCCTCAACCCCAAATCACTTTATGAATGGGACGATAAGACAAGTGTTCACAGGAAACAAAGCACAAATACAGGGCATAAACGACAGTAAATGGCATACAAAATAATACAACGGCAACTAAATGAACAAAAGAGTTGTGTGCCCCTTCAGATCGTGGCATAGACTCTGACGCAGAGTCTACAATAACCGAGAAAAGAAACGAGACAAGAACATCGTGAAGAAACGACAGGAGAACGCTCCAATTTCACTCACGAAGACACGAACTCGATGCTTAACTCTTCCTCTACCAGGAAATGAGAATGTCGAGTCTCAACCACGTCCAAGATGGCGCGACAAACTCTTCCAGAACACACCACCAACGCAGATGATACAGCGAGCAGACGATACAGCGAACCTTTGAGCAGACGCAGTCTTTGCTCCCTGGACGCCTTATGGGAGTATTATATCTGCGGGAATCCATGCACATTGCCCTTGTGGACCATCCTATACAGAAGCCCAACACGGACGTCTGGTGGGCATCAGATGCGAGAAAGACCCAGACACTTTCTCATGCAACCATTGCTGGGGTGGAAATCCTACCGGCGTAATAATATATCCCAAAGAGGGGCCGTTTTATTACACCTACCAGTGGGAGAGCTGCAAAGCAGAGGAAGTGGATATGTTTCTTTGCTTTGCACATGCCGATTCATGTAGCTCACTTCACACTTCATCCTATTACCAGTTCGAAGCATAGCTGACAGAGACAGATACACTGATATCATCTATATGATCTACACGCGAAACAGATTCGATTTCAACCACCTCGATAGCATCCTCAGCCTTCAAACTCTCCTGCCGCAACGACTCAACCAGATCCGCTCAGTGCGGCTTACGTTCAACTTCCCCCCCGTCGCCATCACGAATACGAGTTCGGCTACGACTCCTGGGTTGAGGTGTGCAACGTGTTGGCTGGGATGCCCGGGCTTGCGATACCGGTGGCGCACAACAATGCCATCATCTTTGACCTTTTGCTGCGGATTCGACAAGCCAAGGTGTCTGACGTTCATGTGTTGTGGGGCTTTTACTCCGGTTCTTGCAATATGGGGTTCTTGATATGCTATTTCGGATTATTCCGCATTATGATGGAGATTGTACAGACTAACATGTGCTTGATATTGCTGGCTATGCTTTGTGATATATATGCTTGATGATATGCCATTCTATATTCTGTTCAACTTAATAATAACAACCTAAACAGTCTAACAAACAAGCCAACACGCTGAATGCTGAATGCATAATAGTACACAATGCAAATGCAAATGAAATAATCCAAACACCTCAACTCTCAATAACGACGGTCAACAGACAGACAGTCTACTGAGTGTAGACACACCCGTTAGGGTTAGAAGTCTCCTCAACACGAGCCGCAATATCAACACAGCCAGAGTTACCAGCGGGGTTGTCGACACCAGCAGAAGCCCAGATGCTGTAAGCGCCGTCGATGCTGTTGGGGCAGGCGATCAGGGCCTTGCCCTGGAACTGGAGGTGGCCGTTGCTGATGGCCCAGCCATCACGGTTGGCGTTGGCAGGGGCGGGCTGAGCGCCGGTGGTGTACCCGATCTTGCCTTGGCCTGATTCATTGTGTCAGTTTCAATCTTATATATAGTAGACATGGTAAGAGGGACATACCCATTCCAGAGGCATCGACATAGATCTGCTGAGGGGTAGCAGACTGGTCGTACAGGTAGAGCGAGCCATCCTGGAGGTAGAAAGTGGCAAACTGCTCGTCGGGGCGAGCGCAGCTGGCGTCCTGCGACTTGAGGCCGGCGAAGATGCTGCCCTTGGCGGCGTTGAAGGCAGTGTTTTGGATTGCGCTGCCGGAGTCGATGGCGATGAGGCCGAAGGTGGGGTTGGAGGTTGACTGGGCTGCGGGGAGAGCAGCAGCAGTGGCGGCGGCCGAGGCGGCGAGGACGAGGTTGGTGAAGTGCATTTTGATGGTGGATGGGGTAGAAGTGGAAGTGGAAGATAGATGAGTAGATTGATTGAGTGATTGAGATTGATGGATGATGATGATGATAATTAGGATGAAAGACGAGTCGAATGCCTCCTTTATATGTATCTCATTCTACTCGACCTCGGTCAATCGACATATCCAACCTGAATATGGCTCAATATACAGTGTGTCTATATTTAGGAGAATTCAACGTTCTTTTCCACAACGCTAACCTAAACAGGCGATGTTCCAGAAAATTAGATCTCGGCTTTCCCCGACCGCCGCATCTGATTGGCTCTGATTCTGCGCTGTGGGGTTCTTGAGAGACATGTGGGGCAGCTCAGGGTCTGAACCAGATTGGGATGCAGAAAGCAGGGCTATTGGAGATAGTAGTTCAATAGTATTATTGGAAAACGTTAGTTGGGGATATATTGCCACTTCAGACATGTCTCGCCTCACTTCATATCGTTGTATATTGATCTGAATATTTAGACAGCCATCTCATAGATCATGATACTGACTCCAACGGCCAGCATCCGAAACTCAGCTCACTTTCGCAGTCTGGATGCCTCCAATGCATACTCTCTCCATCCCCATAGTCCAATCACAGTAGCACCGGGTCCTAAAAGCACGACTCCAAGGATGCAGAGTGCTGTAGCAGGAAGGGCAGAAGTCCGAATGACATTCACCCGATGCAAATCCCACACTGTAAACAGACACCATGTGGCGATGGCCAGAGTGAGACATGCCAGCTGTACTGCGCCCGATGAAATCATCGGCAAGCTCAACTCATCCATTCTGAGTTGAGACAAGACCTGACTGGCAATGACGACATGGACGGTACTAGCAAGGAAGACGATTAACGCGTAGAATCGTGACAGATGCGGCATGTCCCGCGTATTATACAATATCTCAGCGAGCTTCATATTCGACGAAGATTTCATGAACGACCTCTCTCCTAGGAAGAGCAAGACGGGCAGAATGAGATGAGCAACGGGAATCATCCATCCGGAAATATCCGAGACGAAATGCTTCAATCCGGTGATGGTGTGGAGTATGGGCAGGATGTAGGCTACTAGCAGCCCTGTTGACAGGGATTTGGCAGCGCCGAGATTGATGGTCCGGGGATGGGGATAGTAGAAACCGCGAGAGTGGCTTCGGAAGATGTAAATGGCAAAGTAGATGGGCAGGATGATTTCCCATCCACAAAAGATAGAGGCGAGGATATAGGGAGTGGCACTAGATAAGTTAGTATAATACCATTATGGCAGTAGACAGACATACCTGTATAGCGGTCCTAGGAACTGACCTGGTCGATAGGATTCAACCACCCACAGCCCATTAACGGCAGTCGTGGTGATCAGAGTATAGATCTGAACCATTTGCGAACCAGAGCCTGTCAAGTTGAAAACATTCAATACAACAGGACTGATAGCAGCAATCAGCAACATCACCACTATAGCAGGCGCCGTAACAGCCATTGACCGCTGCTTTGGCTCTGCCACAACAACCTCATCCGCCGCAACCGCTCCTCGTTGCGGCGGCGGAGGCAGATACTGCAGAACATGGCCAGGCGAGCAAAACTCCGAAAACCCAGGCGCCAGCTTATTAGGATGCAACTTGCTCATGATGCTCAGGTTGATGAATTTGTGGAACCGAGTCTCGAGGGCCTCCATGCGCTGCAGACCCATGGCTGCTTCCATGAGAGTTTTTGCTCTGGGTTTTCGCTGTCCCTGGAATGTGGTGAATTGGGCTGTAATCATGCTGTCTGTTATATCGGATTTCTGGTCGATGATGTCTCTCAGAAGATCTGCCAGAAGGCCGGCAGATTCGATGGCTGAGTTTCCTCCCTGTCCCGTGAGGGGATTGAACTACTCCATTAGCATCTCATCACATCCCCATCATCAGGTGAACACACCTTGTGGAAAGCATCCCCAATAACGATGGCCCGTTTATAAAAACACCTCTCCAGCACATACTCATGCAACGGCACCAGAACAGCCGTTTTCCGTCTCCTGAGCAAATCCCCAAACGTAAGACCCGGAAAGAGAGAGTCATTGCCATACTCCGCCGCCACAGTCTCGATATCTTCAGCAGTGTATTTCGGAATCGACGCGTGGATGGTCTTTTCTGCATTCTTGAGAAAGGCAAAAAAGTACATCTTGTTCTCCGGGCCGGTCTGGTAGAGATAGGAGCGGTTTTGGTGAAAGGTTTTGAAGCCGGTGTCGTCGGCGATGCCGTCGGGGCGTTCTGCGATGCCGAACAGGCATTTGTAGGTGCATTTTATGGCTGTATTTGTTAGATTTATACTAATCTAATACATGAGGCACTTACATTTCTTCAAGGTGTCTGTGTCATATTCAGGTGCCTCCAAGTCCGCAATCCTCCACATTTCCTCGCGTGTCCGACTGTGAACGCCATCTGCGCCGACCAGCAGATCTCCAGCAAAAGCAGTGCCGTCTTTGGTGATGATCCTGACCTGTCCATCGAGTTGCTCGATTTTGAAAATCTCACGCGAAACAAGAACCTTCGACTTGTCTTTGAGGTTGTCATACAGAGTCTGGACTAATTGGCGACGATCCAAGAAACACATTTTATATCCTGTTCTAAAGTCATTTCAGTCAGCATGATCACATCATACCAACACAGACAAAGACAAAGAAAACGAACGCACATCTCCGAAAGCATTTTACCAAAGCCATCCTGCGCATTCAAGCGCGTCCCATCCGGACCAAAACTGCGCATTTTCTCTATGGGCTCACTGATTGCCTCGACTTTGTTGCAAACACCCAGCTGCTCGAGGATCTGGAATCCATAAGGGAGCACACCAATACTGGCGCCAAGCTGAGGGGCAATGTCACGATACTTTTCGAGCAGTACATAGTCAATGTTATACCGTTCGAGGATGTTGGCCAGTGTTAAACCAGCGATACTTCCGCCGATAACGATGACTTTGAAGGAAGACATGACTGAGTTGTGTGGATTAAATGTCAAGTTAACTCAAGTAGAGTCAGCGAGCAGCCTCTATATATCTTTCTTTCAACCCAGCCATGGCGTGGTGATCCACTTGATAATCCTTTCAAAAAATCGGCCATTGTCCATTCCAATTCCAGCTCCATAATGGTCCACGGCAATGAATATTCCGAGTCGACCTGGAGGATTATTTTGTCTTTGTCTCCATCTCGTATCTTTTCGATCTGCATTCTTCCTTAACGGAGGGACAAAGAGCCGCTGACTCAGCGGAAGTTTATACATCAGCCAATCAAAATACGCTAGTTTATTAAGTTGGCGCTAACTTTATTTACGCGTATTTCTTTTTTCTTTTTTCTATACGGGAAATTGTGAATGTCCGCTTATTCAGAAAATATCCAGTATAATAATGTGCATTATACAGTCTAGACGGACATGATTCCGGACCTATACTGATATTATGCTTATGACTGCATTATCCATCTGTATGTTGTATGTTGAATGACTACGTCAGGGGTATTTAAATTTCCACTAAACAGACAATATCAAGAAAATCATATTGTTCTATTTGAAATCCTATACTAGCGGATACACCACAATCATGTACTTATGCATATCGTTCTTTGTTGTGTATATTATCCAACAAAGAACTCTCAACAATCCCTGCCGATTGACAATATACTAATCAAACCCATGTTTAACTTCCATCCATAAGTCTACAAAGAATGTAAGAAAGCGGCCAAAATAAGAATGCCAACATGTTCATTATACAACGTCGGAGATACCCGGGCATCAAGTATAAACTATCTCCACAACAGGCCCTTGATAGCCCCGTCTTGCACGGAGGAAATAATATACAAGGCTGAGAATAACAACCCCCATAGTCCCGACAACGCTAAAGTTCATCGTTTGGATGGTAACATCCTTGTCTGGGGGCCAGAAGCTAAAGAAGATAACTATCACCATGTAGATGATAGAGAACGTATTAACTGCGATGCCCCAAATGGATGGAAGATGGAATGGGCCCCAGACGAGTTGGGCGCCGGCGGTATTGACGATGGTTGTGTTGCTGTTGCTTTTGGGTGTTTGGATTCCGGAGGTGCAGCGTCTATAGAGGAGGAGAATGGCGACGACGAGGTAGGACAGATACAAGCCGGATATAGACATGGAGACGAGGTCGTTGAAGGCTACTTCAGAGCCGATGTTAATAAGCGCGAGAAGACAGGCGATGGTGGTCGTGAGAGCGACGGAGTAGATGGGAATTGCAGTAGAAGTGACCTGTACTTGTTATCTCAAGCCAACTTGACTTCAGTTGTATGCTAACCTCACTCCACAATTTCCAGCCTGGAATCCCTCGATCCCTCGCAAAAGACCAAAACTGTCGAGAAGTAGAGGCCAACATACCCACAGAAGTGCACATTCCCATGATAGTAATAATAGAGCATAGCACAGTCGTTCCAGCCACAGAACCAGTAGCTTGCAAAAATATCTGCATAAAAGGGTATCCAGTCGGAGAATCGAGAGCAGTATCAATATCACCAAGAGAGAAGAGCATGGCGATCAACATGCTGAATCCGAGTGCTCCGTTTATCAAAACGCTTAACATGATCGAACGAGGGACGACGACTGGTGCGTTGTCGATTTCCTCAGACATCTGGTAATGTTAGCATGGGTAGATATACTTCTTATATGGCATACATGAACTGCAGCATCACCACCAGCAAATGCAAATACACACCCCATTAGGCCAACGAAGAATGATAAACCTTGCCTAGGCCATTCTCCCATATTCAAGAACGTGGTAAAAACCTCTTTTCCGCTGGTATGTTCAGCCATCGCCGTAACAGGGGCAATGATAGCGATAAAACCAAGAATATGGAGAACCAGAATCAATCCTTCAAATCGAGGTAGAAGCTTTCCTCCTACACTGTTGATTACCAGGGAGAATACGGCAACAGCCCAGAAAAGAAGAGTCCCATGCCATGGTTTAGGCTGATAGTCAGTATTAGTGAGAACAATCAGACCTTGGATAAGAGTTCCAGCTAGAAAGCATGAGGTTGCAAATGTTGCTTGCCATCCGATGACTGTGAGCCAGCCTGTTCTTGTTAAGATAAATACAATAGATATGTAGGTCGATACTGACTCACCTGTTATATAACTGACAAGTTTCATTGTAGATGGAGGAGCCAGCATTGAACACCAATGATACTGTCCTCCGGATGTTGGTGCCCTATATTGTCATTCATACAATTGTATATCATAGAAACCGGAAGGCTTACATGGATGCCAGCTCTGATAGAACAGCAAAGGTCGCCGCAACACCAGCCCAGACAAAGATGAAGCCATATACAGCACCTGCTGGGCCACCACTAAACTCATCAATATAAGAAAGTCGACTAGAGGTGGATGTCATACTTTTGAAATGCCTGTAGAAATAGTCTGTCGATCGTGAGAAACCATCCTTATCAGAATAGAGTAATACCTACACGACAATACCCTCCCAAGTAATCAGGATAGTACAGCTAAATCCCAGCATCGACAGGAAGCCAAAATTCCGCTGTGATCGATCAGCCATGATCTTCAAAATAATTATAACTCACCTTCAAAACCGGCCTCTTCCCCAGTCGTGCCAGATTAACATCGTCCATCTCAGCGGTGGATGGATTCTCCACTTGATGCATTTGCTTGTGTTTGTGGGATGCCGTAATCCAGACTGGCTGCAAATAAAATAAGATAAACAGCCGGTCAACAGACTTTAAATAAAGAAAGACAAGGCTGTGATTAATTAAACGCTCACAGAAGTTTGGCGTCTTGTCAACTAGGATCAGCGTTGCATTGCTGATTGGCCAGGCCCAATAAGACAACTCATACATCCAATATGATGTCACAGCCGCATTTTGTCGGTTAAATTGGGTGTTATTTATCGCGAAGACTCTGGATATAATGTTGAAAGGGGAAATAGAAATAGCTTCATGTCTTGCGCAATTCTGATATCAATTAGACAATTTCAAAATCACATCCACGCGCTTGGAGGCCAATTTATCCATGTCATTTGATAATAATACAGTACTGACCTAGAGATAGGTACCATTTTTTCTGTATCTTTGACTCTTTTCACTGTCGCACAAGAGCTGCCCATCAAATCCCCTCGTAGGTTCTGTGCCAGATTGAGACTAGTGCCTCTCACAAGTTTCCCAACCCAGCAATACCCTCTGTCGAAAATACCTTCAACACCCTTGCGCGATACTGCTTTCACTCAAAATCGACTGGAATTGGTTCGATTTATACGAACAATATGGTTGATAAAGGGAAGCGCAAGGCGAGTCACGCCCTTGACCCTCCGGAAAAATCTCAGAGGCAAGATATCTATCTCAACTATCTATAGTCAGGGTGATGGCTAATTGTGACCTCAGTCGCGTCTCCGCAACCAGACACAGATCCACGATCTCTGAATGGAATCCCCACGGACGAAAAAGATAAATGGTGGAAGATAGATGACAAGAAAGCGTTTTTCGATCAGGCGGGCTGGGATCCGAAATATCGGGAGCTGTTCGAAGCTGAAGTGAAATCTGCCGAATGCCCTCTGTCAGTATGGCTTGTCCAGCAAGCACAGCATACTTTGCACATTATGAAATTCCACCTGTCCACGTGAATCCATCCACGGGATTAATTGGGATAGAATCCCACTTGATCATGATCCCGAATCAGAGGGGCTTTGGGATGACCTCGTGTTTATCTTTGTCTTACTCAAGAGAGTAAGATATTATAATGGTGGCAGGATCTATTCTTAGCAGGTAGACCTTTTACGCCGACTGCTACCAGTCCCATCGGAAAAAGATTCGACTGAATTAGAAAGGGAGCGAATATAACCGATCTCGTAAAATATTCTAGAGCGTGAAGAGCCGAATCTCTACGGATGACCAAGCCTGGCACATCCACTGTTGATAAATGCGGTAAGAGGAGCAATCGAAAGAGATTGACTCGGAAGCAGATTCAATAAAAAAAAGCATATACTCCTTCCTAGGTTATGCCTTATAATCGTAGGGAACGATCATTCACTGCTGTCAGGTGACCTTGGTTGGAGATCAAACGTCTCTTCGAATCAACACCTTGATCGATCCACGCGTTGGATCAGAAGCAGTTTCCAACGCCTCGACTGCATCTTCCAGTCGAAACACATGAGTGACCAATCTCATCAAGTCCACCGCTCCACTCGACAGCACCCGGATAGCCCGCGGCCACATATTCACATATCGTTGCTGAAACTGCAGATCGATCTCTCGCTCGCTCAGTCTCATAAACGGAATCTCGAGCTTGTCTTTGCCCACGCCAATTACGAAAACCTTGCCACCGAACTTGACGCTGTGTATCGCACCAGCCAGAGAACCTTCAACGCCAGTGCACTCGAGTGCAATCGCTGGTTCCAGTTCACCACTCTCGCCCTCGCTCATAAGCCGAGAGACATCCTTTGCAATATCTTCTGGTGTCTGACCGGCTGTAACGTGGTGAGTCCTCACATTTGGAACTAAAGAACGAGCAAAGTCCAGTCTTCCCTGGTTAATGTCAGTCATGACGATAGGATATGCCCCCGCTGCCTGACAACATTGCAAAGAGACAAGACCAATTGGGCCCGCGCCACATATGAGAACAGGATCCCCGATCTTCACTCCTGCCCGAGTCACTCCGGTCAACGCAACGCTGAGCGGTTCTAACAGTGCGCCTTGGTCAAATGACAAGTCTCCAATCTTGTGACACCACACTGCAGGATGGTTGACATATGTTCGCAAGAGTCCATGCGAAGGTGGACTGGACCGGAAAATGAGGTTCTTGCATCCGTTGTAGCGGCCCGTCAAACAAGGCTCGCATGATCCGCATACGATGTGTGGCTCGACGGCGACTCTATCCCCTATAGCTAGAGAAGTCACCGATGGATGGGTAGAGACGACGACACCGGCAGACTCGTGGCCGAGGATATGAATATCGGTTACTTTCCATGGTCCAATACCTCCATGTTTCCAAAAATGGACATCAGATCTATTCTAGATCAGTATATATCCGATCGATGATGGTAGATGGAGACACACCCACAAATACCACTGCTTTTGATGGCGACAGTCACTTCGCCTGGCTGCAGCAAGGAACCGCTCTTTACCTTCTCAAGAGTGGGCTCTGCTTCGGCGACATAGAGATTATGCTGGGGATTCGTGTAGACCCCAATATTTGGAAGGGAAAGAGATGCCATATTGTCAGTATATTCCACCTTCAAGAAGATGAAGATAAAACATCCAGCAAAAGGTTCACCGCAGCATATTTATGATACCCTTGCTAACAATTTCATCATCTTACAAGGATAGCTATACCTACAGACTCGGCAGAATTTCCTTATTAGGTCGATCGGCTTTTCCCCGCAATGACAGTTCGCATGAATTTCTGTTTTCATCATGGCCTTGTCAACGCTCCCTTGACCTCATGGCATGAAACTCGTTGTTTGAATAGAAACAGACGGTTAGTATGGATAAGTTGGCATGTCTATCCCAATCTCTGGTTCAACCCGCAGTCATGCAATGCGTCTATGGAGCTTCGATTTGCATTACATCGAAATGCCGAACGCGGAATCTTGGGTGTCCTAAAAGATCAGTCGTTGGGGAGAGTTGATATTCGCCCGCTGTTCGCTTGCTATCTCATCTGAAAGCCCGTCTTTATCCACTATCGTCTCTTCTGGGGCACATCTTCATTCGGAGCCATGACCTCAGCTGCCATATCCACGATACGCCTGGAAATTGCCATGCAATAGGGCGACTTACTTTGATCAGACAACGAGTGCAGGATTCTGATGGTTTTCAGTGACCTTTTTCATTTTTAACTGCCGTGAAAACCAATCGTATTTCTCAGCACTACCATGTCTGTCGTTTTGTCTACTTTCGAATTGTCACACCCACCTCGACAACAACCATCAAGTTGTTATCAGCAGGACGGCGAAGCCAGAAAGGGTGTAATCTACTGCCCCTGGTATGATTATAGCAGAATAAAGGCTTTGTTCGCATCAGCAAATACCGGAATTACCCCAACCCGAAGCTTCTGGTGAATGGACAGAGAACTCGGACCCAAAGGAGCCTTACTGATGCCCACCATATAACACCATCCCCCGTTGACTTCATATCCACCGTACTGGTTTATACACAAGGCCTTAACGAACATCGTCATCTGATGTGGCAACTCTTTTTATTGGAATCTTTTTCGATTTGATTTTCTGGACAATGATTTGAACGTGAGTGCGACCTGTGTTGAAGGACACAAAAGAAACTAGAGGAATTTCAAAGTACAAAGAAAGCCTCAAGGGGTTGTTCGAATTTTTGTACGAGTCCCTGGAGCTAATCCGTGAAGAAGGCGCCTTTGGACCAAGAGGAATATGGCCCGGCCTCTGTAAAAGATTTGATGGAAATCATTTTGGATCGAAATGCCTATGAGAAACAGCATATTGACACCACTAGGTAGGGACATGGAGTTAACCTACAGACACAACCCCTTTTGCGAAATGGTGGTTAGGTAGCTGCATGCTCATCACATCGGTTGCGCTATGCATAATCTGATTTGATTGTCTATGTCCAACCCCGCACCTTCTCAGCTGAAGTGTTCAACTTCCAATATCCATATTGGATAGCCAACAGCATTAGGGGGAACATTCTCGCAGCTCAATTATAGCCCACAGATACAGCGAAATCATGTTCACCGGGCGTTTTCTGTCGTCGACTATTATGCAGCATAGCCTTCAATTTGGTCCACATATACACGTCAGCCTTCTTCACCTTGATGAGGCTGGCTGAATAGGAGAGTGATTTCGTTCTTCAGCTTGCGCAGATCGTACCTTGGTAAAAGTTAGGCCGTGCATCAGGACATGTTCGCTATCCTATCAGCACCTAGTTTGAGAGCCACTTTCAAGTCTGGATTGTCCGGTCCAACCCGACAGATACGACATGACGATCAAGTGAAGTATGATTATATCAACACAGCCTCGATCGAGTATCTCTGAGATCACGGCTATAGTAAACACCGCAATCAAAGCAATATAGGAGAATCTAAGGGACGATGTTGATACACAGTATCTAGGGACAGACCCACCAACAGCGACCAATCAAGTTGTACAGCGATCTCCACATACTGAAAAAGAAGACGCGGAACGGTCCGCTTCCAGCTGTTCAACATGACATGTCGATTTGAGCTGAACATTTTGTGTCTGGGATGCAGAGACGAAATGCATACTGACATCAACGCTGTGGGCCATGGTATGAGGCATTTGATGGTTATTAGGTGTGAATATGTGGTTTGTTCCCCTTACGGAAGGCATTGCTTTTGGCTTGAACACTCTCAGCTGAAAAAGGGCGATCAGCAAGGGCGGCTGAGATACAGGATTGGCCTTTGGATGTACGCCCAGGGCTGATCATTGTCATTTGATATGGACAGCGCAGAGTAATATGCCAGGATGCATGCATTGCAATGGCGGCGTCGAGGCTATCAGGGCGGGGTAAGCACTGCACCCCTCTTTTTGTCTCCCTTCTCTCGTTTCTTTCTTTTGTATTCTGCCTTCTCTAGATCAACAAAAGACTGCCAGAATTATTTCAACCAACAGAGAATCATGCCGTTGGTGAATTTATCACCCGTGTATCATCCGTCCATGGGAAATAATCGGCACGGCAGATATGCCTCCAGAACTAACCAATGCGTGCCATGATATTTAGGGGCGATCTAAGATAGTGGTGGGATAACATCTATGGGGCCATTATCCAGCCCCGCCCTGTTAAACAATTCCATCCTATCAGTTACCTAGATGGACCGGGCATCATCTGCAACTATCAGCCCAAGTATACAGCCCCCAACCTGAATATTATGCGATGGAGTAAGAAATCGCAATGTCTGTCTGCAGAGACATTGCAGGAAATTGCCGATCTCTATCCAATGATTCCGATCTTTTCCCTTCCAGGAACAAATGTTGCAACCTGAGGATACGTGTATCCATTGGCGTGAACAGAATCACGGGCAATTCCCTATTCACCCCCTCTTTTCAACGAACTGGTATGATTTGAGCTGCTATGCTCTGGGTATCACGAAAATCATAAAACAGGTTTTCTACCAGCGCTGTTCGCTGGTAGAGATGGGGAGAGGGGTCATCTAGGTCTATAAGAACCCCCAGTTCTCCTGCTTGGATGTTTGAGCAATCCCATCTTAAACCATCATCCTTCGAAGAGTGTATTATTCCAACCGCCAACATGACGAGCTCGTGCGTTACCACCGGTAGCAAAACCAAAGATTACAGCAAGCCTGCCCCTCCGTACATTATCACTGGTATCGATACCAAGGACAACAGCGGTCGTCGGCCTGCCCGTCAAGATGTCGACGAGTGGTACAGACGCCAGCTCAGTGGAAACCGGATCCAGCTGACCCTCTTTGTGGAAGCATTGACTTACATACAGAGCCTTCCGCCTGATGACATACTTTCCTACTTCCGCCTAGCAGGTATTCATGCTGCTCCCTGGGCCGGTTGGGACGGTGAACACGTTCCAGACACTGATCCGCACCACCCCGGTGATCCGGAGTGGATTCGTGGATTCTGCGTCCATAACGACTATACTTTTCCGACATGGCATAGAGTGTATATGACACTTTTTGAGGTAGGTGACCCTTGGCCAACAGGAGCAAGAGGTGATTGACCGAAAGATAGCAAGTCGTGTATGAGGCCATGCTGAAGTTCCTGCAAAACACCGACAATGTCCCAAAATCGAAGCAGGCTCAGTGGAAAAAAGAAGCCGAGCAATGGCGCCTTCCATTCTGGGACTTTGCACGTTTCGCAGATCTAGGAGAGTTGACTACAGGGGCCAACCCACAAGCACAGAAAGAGCTCAGATTGCCCATCCTGTGCATGATGCCCCAGGTGAAGATCCTGAAGTTCAATAGTGCGGGCACGAAAATTGATACCAAACTTGTTTCCAACCCACTCCACAAATTCAGCACCCCGGGTTTGATGGGGGAATTGAATGATCCGTACACAATCCAGGGGGAGGACCAGCATGACGACAATGGTGAATATCAGTTTACCTATCCTGTGAGTTCTCTTAAAAGGCTATATCGTATCCAACTAACCTCCACCGAGTGGGATAAATGCAGCGCGACCACCAAGTACGGTGTTCTCGACGGGTACCATGCTGACATTTGGGCCGATGCTGGTCAGAACTTTTTGCGATGCCACTACGCTTTGAATGAGCATTCGCGGCATAAGCCTGAGTCTGGCAACACCGTTCCAACACTACAGGACATGGTTTACCGACTTTTGACATACGACTTTGCTGGCTGGGGGGACTTTGCATCCACACGGTACGTTCATACTCATGCTGGAGATGATGCAGGCAATACGGAGGGAGACAAAACGGAGGAAGACCCAAACTATGCTGGAACAAAAGATGCAAAGAACACGCTTTCTCTGGAATCTATCCATAACAACGTCCATGTAAGTTTGCTACGAGGATGAGATCATGAGATTCTAGTCTAATAGTTTCAGAACTGGGTAGGTGGGTCGCAATTTACTCGCCCTGATAATAATCAGGACCTGGCCATCTGGGGTTCTGGTCATATGAGCAGTGTCTTCATGGCGGCTTTTGATCCAATTTTCTGGTTATATCACTGGTAAGTCAGTCCGGTACGAGAAGGAATAACTCTGATGGGACGGTTTGTATAGCAACATTGATCGCTTGACTGCCATCTGGCAGGTCTTGAATCCAGATCTGTGGTTCAATGATGACGACAGTTGTCCCTCCAAGGACAATGACCTGGTTCCATTCCACAAAGATGCCGATCGCAACTTTTTCAAATCAGTCTCAGACTCAGACTGTGTGAGGAAGTGGACAAACCTAGGCTATGATTATGAGATCCTTCAAGGGTCTGCACCTGGTCGGGAAAGACCTATCGACGAGCTGAAGGCACATCTCAAGACCCTCTACGGACAAAAGACTGAAGATATATATCACGAGTTGCCTTTGCCTCATGGTCTGAAATCCGATTATATTATCTCTGCTGTTTATGACCGGTAAGTGTTTTCATTTTTTTTTTTTCTTTCCTTCTTCCTTTTTTTTGTGGTGAATTTACTGACACATTTAGATTCGCCTTGAACGGCTCAGCTTTCAGGATCAACATCTTCGTCGGCGAGGTAACCAAAGACGAATTCCAGGGTCCTGCATCAAAGAACTTTGTTGCTAGTATCTACAACTTCAGCGGCAGCTTGTCAGAAGGCAAATGCGATAATTGTACGCAGCAGAAGGAAAAGAACATCAAATCTATTGCCCAGGTTCCTGCCACAGTGGCAATCCGCCGCTATGTCCACGAAGAGAATGAGCGAAAAGGCATAAAAACCGACAAACAACACAACGAAGAGCCGGGTATCTACTATGTGGTATTGAATAGTCAGGGCCAGGTGAGAAAAGCCATACTCTATCTTTTGTCTGGTAACTAATGAATTTGGTGCAGGCGGTTAACGTCCAAGTTACTCTCAAGCTGCATGGCACTACTGATACGCAGTACAAAGGCCCTGGAATTCCATGGCGTGATGGAAAGGAGAATTATGGATACATCAGAGATGGACACCGAGGATTTACAACCGTCTAGCTTTCACATACTCAAGTTGGAGTCTGTAAGAAGTGCATCTCGATAAATTCCGATAGCAGCGAAGCAGCCAGACAGTCAGAATAGAAGAATCATATCTGCAACGGACATTATTCAGAAGATTATAACAGGGTTTAATCTTCCAGGTATGTTTAGGTCATCTATAGCATTAATTATTGCCTCATTAAAGATGTACATGATGTTGATTGTGAGACAAATGCCCTTCCTCCATCTCTATCACTGAGCTGGTTCTGGTAAACCGTGAAGGCTGCTACTAATTGAAAGAACGGAACAAATCCATAGTTCGATCTGCGGATAGCACAAATAGACAGCTATTCATGGAAAGAAAATGAAGCTATATCCGCCAAACAAAAACGACGCCCGAAAACTTCTTGTAGCCTATTGGTTATTTCAAGGTACTCCTGCACGGGGAGCCTTCCCAGAGTAATAGTCGCTGCTTCTGATGCCAATAAGTCAATTCAATTCAGTTTAATGAGCATGAAAATATATGATAAAGAAGAAGAAGAAGAAAAGGAAAAGAAAAGATGTATAGAATGAGAGAAAAACCCAAGTCATCGACTTCCCGATCAGGTTAGAGGGTAGTTGACGTAGCGGTGACTAGTATACAGTCGATATTTTCCACGATTTCTCTTCTCCAGATAACATATCCTTATCGCGAAAATGGTACAAACAACAAACGAGACACTGTATAACGAGTGTATCTCATGTGGGATTGGATTCGGGGGTCAGTTCAGAGCAAGTACGTTTGATGGCATCTACATGTCCGGTTCTAACATGACCTAGTATACAAAACCCCCAATGGTGCTCGTTTCTCCGGAATTGGCCAGCATAGGGACTGTTCCTTTGATTTTGTCATCCCTACTGACCAAGATGCGACAGAGCATATAATGGGCGATGATTATATCGAGATATCGCGCTCCACTAATATCTTAGGGAAAAGTCCATTTGTGTTTCACGAGGCATTTCTTTTCCATACTGTGTCCTGGGATCTTTGGACAGAGCATTTCGCCCCTGGAGAGCTCAACCTGGATCGACTTTTTGAGGTCTGCAAAATGGAGCCACGTTGGAGACGCAACGCCGGTCTGCTTTCCCCTCTTTATTCCAGGTCAAGGACTAACGTCCCATAGGTAGTTTGATGGATCCTACCAAGATACCGAGTGTGCAGCTGCTGACAAGACGTGAGTGATGATCTTTCGACTGAGTGTTCTGGCTGACGTTGAATAGGGATACAGAATGGTTCTCAAAGCAGCCTGATTGGACAGGTTCTCTGGCCAGATTAGGATACATGGATATATGTCCCTTAGAAAGTTATGCTGCCTAATATGAATAATGATAGTTGTCTGACACGCCCAGGCTCAGTATGACATCTCGCAAGTGCCGAGACGTAGCATTTTAGAATGATGAGGGGAAGGCAATATATCCAAATGATGCCATTTTGCAAGAAATAGTGATGCCTGGACAAAGCATACTAGCTAAAGTGGGGGTTGATTTTCCAGTCACTTCCCTCTTTGCCAAGATCATTTCATCATTTTGAATTCTTCATCCGGCCTCCATCTGAAGCTGATGATCTATCAGATAAGGTTTGTCGGGCATCGGGCGCTTATTCTTTTCCGTTTTATTTTCCGTCCGTCTGTTTTTCCGGCAGCCCTACGAGCCCTACAAGCCCTACAGGGCAAGTCGAACTCGGAACTCGGAATCTACTGTGCTTTGGCGTATATTGAAGGGTGGATTGGTGGGTTTAGCCTCCGTATACCACCGTAATCCATCCCACCCTTGTCAAACCTCCACGGGCTTGGCTTGTTCAAAAAGGCAATAACGAACAGCAGGAGACGCGGGGAAGACGCTGCAATGTCATACCTGCACAGTCATACAACCCTGTCAAGGTCATAAGCATGTGGGGTATCCATATGACAAGTGGGTCCTGGCCTGATAACTTTAGGTTTCCCCCGTCAAACCCTGATTTCTCCCCTGGCAGGCTGCATGGTTATCTCAAACGGTGTTGTCCACTCACCGCGCAGTAATTAAAGTTTAATATACATGAAACAAACGTACAAAAAACACAGGGGATTCGGGAAATACTCGGACTGTCGCCAAGGCGCTTGGTGGTGCTGATCTGTGAGATCAGGCGTGGGCTTGTTACGAACTGGTCTGGTGACCTTGTCAGCTGGTGGAAATCCTTCTGCCTAGCTCTGACGGTTTCAGTGGGATGAGTATAATGTGTTTTTCGTAGGATGACCGACTCCGCAAGCAGTGTGGAGATGGCGAGAAAAAGCCGAACCCTAGACTAAGCCCTGTCCTAAGGGTCCTACTGCCCAAATGCGTTAGCGACTGTGTGTATCATGGAGATCGAACGCCACGACCATATGAATTATGAACGGGTGCGCTGACCTACTGCTCTGTAATTGATTGGTCATCTGCTCTCCGTTATCGATGAAAGCTTGGCGGTGAATAAGTGGTATGATCATCGGTGATCATCGGAAAGTAGATCAACGGTAATTGCACTTCATTCTAGCTACTCTGTCAAAACTATCGCAGCAAAAGTAATAAATACAAGAGACCAATCAGACACCACCGCTAAATCCACTGCCACCAGCTTCAGTGTCAATCCTCATCGAATCGTTCAGCCCGCACACCTCAAACAGCTTCTTCGGCCCCAACCCATCAGGAACACCGACCACGCCCTGGTCGCGGAGTGTCTCCAAACCTTGCTTGATCCCCAGGTAAGCCGGCGCCAAAGTCGCAAAGGAGAAAATCATAATCTTGAATCCCATTCCCCGCGCCTCATCGACTGGAATGATCGGGCCCGCACCGTTCTCAACCATGTTGAGCAAAAGAGGCCACGGCGCAAGATCCTTCACGGCCTGGCGTGCCTGCTCCTTGTTCGTAAATCCCTCGAGCAGGCCGACGTCTGCGCCCAGGTTACGGGCCGCCTTGAGGCGGCGGATACACTCGTCGTAGCCGTGTTGCTGGAGTGCATCGGTACGGGCGATCAGGACGATATCGGAGCGGAGGCGGTCCTTGGTCTGCTTTGCGCAGCGGACCCGGGAGAGGAATTCGTCCTGGGAGACGACCTTCTTGCCGCCCAGATGACCGCAGCGCTTGTTCTGAATTTGGTCTTCGATGTGGAAGCCTGCGACACCGGCTTGGATGTACTGCTGCACAGACTTGGCTACCATGAGGGGGCCTGCTGACGTTAGAATTATATATTAGGTAGGACCAGATGGAGGGTGGCTTACCGCCGTAGCCAGTGTCCATATCCGCAATGAGAGGCGGGCCGTAAGGATCCAGACTGGTGATCATCTCCGCATTGGTACGCATATCGTGGAGCTGTGCCAAGCCAAGATCGGGCTGCCCGAGTCTGGACGCAGTGGTTCCCGCCCCGGTCTGATGCGGTCAGTTCCATCGAATCACCAAGTACATACGAACAGAGTTAGATTAGAGTGAAACGAACCATGTACATGGCCTTGAAGCCCAGCGACATAGCGATCCGTGCCGACAAGCCATCGTAGACACCCGGGCAGACGATCATTTCATCCGAGTTGTTGAAGATCATCTTGCGCAGCTTGGAGGCACCGCTAACGATCTGGACGTTCACGGTTGGCTCCTGTCTGGCGCCGTTGACTTCGTAGAAACCGTCCTTCTCCACCGTGATGGTGATGGTGTTGGAGCTGGCCACAGAGGACGTCAGAGAGACGGGGGAGGTGGGAGTTTCGGTAGCAACCTTCATTTTGATGCTTTGGAATAATCGACTGAGAAGACGAGTAATTGAAGTGAAGAGAGATAGAAGTAGACTGATCTTGACTGATTGTGATGCTGATGATGATGGGAGTTGAACGAAAATGTCTCCCCTTTTATAATGTTTCTTCTCGTCTCTTGGCTCCTACACAACACTCCCTCACTCCCCCTCACTTCTTGGATACACGTAATTGAAACCCTGGAAGTGGCGATATCCCACGATTACCAGTCTATCAGCTCAATATCGGACGTTGAAGATTATCGTGATCGTCCCGAGGAAAGAATTTTGAATGTAACGATACGCAGTCGGATACTTTATCTCACGTTGATCGGCTCCTGGCAGCTGACCTAGATGACGAACAAATGAGTTGCAATCCCCACTTGATAGGGCATCCTAACGGGATTTGAGAAGTGGTGCGTAGATCTTCACACGCAGACAAGGTTTGTCAGCCCTGAAGGGCTAGAAACCAAGACTCTGCAGAATGAAAGGAGGAAAGTGGCCCCGAGTCAAACGATATTCTGGCCCTTCGATTCTTGTAGAGTATACGAAATGTCTCATTTCGGTTTTGACTCTCGGCAATTGTAGACAATGCGTCGAGATACCAAATCGGTGATTGCTTGAGGTAGGGATCTGTCGAGGATTCTGAAGCATAAATTGCTCGTTTCTTTTGCTTATCTCCCGCCATTAGACAAATATATTTGTGCGTTCAGTTGAATCTTTTTCGTTCTCACGATGAGCTTTATGATGTATGACGAAGACGACCGCAAAGGCGGCAAGGGCCTGTCCTCTTTCATGGACTCGATGAAAGACGATGTCCTCCCCAAGTATGCCGACTTTCTTCTACTGGTATGCTGTTTCTGCTCTGGTATAGTGGACAGTACTATGTTCAATGGTTAGTATCCATGAGTATCATATAGAATGCCGCGCTGACCCTCTCCAGCATACAATACCTTCGTATCAATGCAGACTGGAAACACCATCTTCCTGGGTCTAGGAGCATCCCACCAAAACACGGAAGCATTCACATGGGCCCGTTCTCTCACTGCCATTGGATGCTTTATCATAGGCAGCTTTTTCTTCTCTCGGCTGAACTTCGTCCTGGGACCCAAGAAACGAGTCACTCTTATCTTGTCCTTCCTCATCCAATCCATCTTGACCATCATCACGGCAGGATTGATCCAGGGCAACGCCATCGACGGCAGAATCTCTAATCCCGCAGCGAGACACTCATCGACCGGAGCTCCCTGGAACCAAGAAGTCCCCATTGTGCTGCTCAGTATTCAGTCCGCGGGGCAGATTGTGGCGAGTCGTGTGCTCGGCTACAACGAAGTTCCAACGGTGGTGATTACGAGCTTGCTGTGTGATCTTATGGCGGACCCGAAGATTTTCTTGCTGAAGAACAAAAAGCGAGACCGGAGAGTGGTTGCTTTCCTTCTCACGCTGATTGGAGCCATTGCGGGGGGTTGGATCAGCAAGGCTGCTGATTCTGTTTCTCCTGGGTTGTGGATTGTCGGAGGCATCAAGTTTTGTATTGCGGTGGCTTGGTTCTTCTGGGGTACGGAGACAAAGGAGGAGCTTTGAAAGGGAGAGGTTGAATCAATCAAGGCAATAGGGGTTCTGATATAGCGGGCTGTCGATGAGTAGATGAGAGAATATTTAGAAAAGAACGGTAGTGAAAATCGAATACTAATGACTGACAACTCTTTTTTATGTGGGAAGCAGTATTTCTGCCTGAGGACTGTGCGTAGGGCTAGCAATTTACTGAGAATTTCCCCTCCCCCTCCTCGCTCTCCTCCCCTCTTCCTTCTTCTTCATCCCCATCCTCCAATCGCTTCATCTCTGATTACCGCTTCAGCTTTCTATCTACCTAGTTGACGTGCCCCAGTCGTTTGGGCTATCATTCTCCTTGACTATCTTTATCAGCCACAGCACATATCAACTTCGGCATCCTTGTTCTAAGGACAAGGCGCTAGGCAGTATCTGTCGCCTGGCTTCGTTGAGCTTCATTCTTTCATTCTTTTTCAACTTAGTCCAAGATACGAACGGCTGCTGCTCTTTCCCATTATATATATATGTAAGAAATGACGCTGATTTCTGGTTGTTTCCTATCGCAGATGGCTTTCTGACAGAAGAAGCGCGGATATATAGCTTGCTGTCAAGATGCGGCATGACTGGAATTTTGCTCCAGATCAACATGTTTCATTGAGCCAACACCACAGTTATATATACCATTTCTCAAATCGAACTCTTTTAAGATTCGACAGGAGATTCTTGCGGAAGAAAATACCACGAGGGCCTTCTACATTGTCAACGCTGCCATTGCGCAGTTGAAACAGCTACAAGGTCTGATTCAGAAGGAAATGGAGCAGGCAAGGGAGATACGCTTGGGGTATCCCGCATTCGAAAGACTGATACAGAAGAGACACCACCAAACCGCTCTGGATATCGAGTACAGAGCCTCGTGGGGTCTGTACCAGCCGACCCCGGTGGTTTTTTATGAAGGGAAGGTGATCAGCTTCAATCAAACCTCTCAATGACACTAGTGCTTCAATGGCAACGCCATAAAAGTCGCTCTTGGATAACGGGAATAGCATATTCAAAAGCCTATTGTCTTTGTGAATATTGAAATGAACAATAATGGCACCGTGTTGAATCCAGACTTGGCATCCAACTGGCCAAGCCTCGCATCGTGGGGGGTTCACAGATGTGCTCGAGACATGTGGCAGGATGGGGTTCCTCTTCCCAGGGTCCAGACCGTGGATAGCTCTCAAGGATTGGAGGCTGATGCTATTATCATCCTCGTGAACACAAATCCGGGATTCGCTAGATACCAGTCGGAAGAGTTCGTGGCCTCGAGAGCTAAGCACGTCCAATACTAACGTGGGGACTTGAGGGTGGGCATCCGGTCACGACGTGAGGCAAGACGCTGGGAAATTTCATACTTTGCTTGGCCACTTCAAGACAACCATGCGGAGCTTTGTTATTGAATGGGTTACGGGAGGCCATAAAGGGGATCGGCATAAGCCGACATATGGGGTCTAGTGCATGAACGTGCTCCATTTCCTAATCTAGTATCGCTTGCCTGACTGTCTCAACTCGAAATTTATTTTCATTTTTTCATCTTGGGATTTTTATTTTTATTTTTATTTTTTTATATTCCTGATTTAATCCTTTAATTCGACGAAAATACTTTGCTCAGCATCATGTCTCATAATACGAATGCTACAATGAATGCCGATCCCCCATGTTTACATATCCAAACCCCGTAGAAGGAAATCACATTAGCACAATAAAGTGGCTATGTTTGTGTTCGCGACATTGCTTGCTTTTGCTCCTACCCCTACACCCCTGTTCCCTGTGCCGATATCCGATATAGCGATAGTGGGATTCGGCTACTATACACTCATAACCAAGCCAGACGATATTTCCTATATTGGTTTTCTTCTATCACTAACTCGTATTCATTAAAATGGAAGCTAGCATGATGTTTTCTGATTTATTTTATTTATTTATTTATTTATTTTTTTTTCCCTTCATGCCACTGGTGTAAACTGTTTATCTTCTCCGGTTGATTTTCTTCAGTGGATTTTGCCAAGATACGTCGAAAATGCATCAACTGTATACTTTTTGAAACCTACCGGGAGAGAAATCCAAGGTTTGTAAAAAAGTTTCCCTAGCTACAAAAGAAAAGCAGAAACGAGGCTTAGATAAAGTAAAGTAAGAATCATCCTGGCATCCATCAAGTTTGAAAAGCTGATGCTGACGCGTGGGCTGTTCACTATGAAAGCTCAGGCAATAATTTGCTCAAATAATTAATTTTACCTTAGTGTAGCTATGTAACTTCTATCTTCCTGCAAACTAGGGCCTAGTACTGGATGTCAGGAACTCCCTAAAAAGCTTCCAGTGCGAAACCTCACTGCTACTTGATAGAGCAGAATGACTTTGTCTATGGGGTGACGTTCTCCAGCTTTGTCGCAAAATTGACCGGATATCTGTAATCAACTTGGAGCATTGAACAGACTTCATAAGATCCAACCCCACCTGATCCGCGAGGTTATTCCTCCGCGCATCCCAGAGTTTTTCAATCGCAGCCGTAACATCTGACTTGTCATAACCAGCGAGAGCCATTGCAGCAGCCACATATTGAGATGGCTTACGATAATAAAAACCTCGCGTCCCATCTGACATGGGCTCTAGGTGGAATAGACGTGAATCCGCTATCTGCCACGAAAACTGGCAGAAAAGGTGATAATCATAACATTTGCTCGTGTGTGAAAGCGTCCATTTTTCGATTGGGGGTAGTCTGTATAGACCAAGCAGCTGAGCGCCCTGGTTCGCTTGTTTATTTGCTTGCAGACGACCCACTAATAGGTATCGGAGAGTTAGGGCCCGATCATGGTCCAATTCCTTCGAATAGAACGCACGGATTGAGTGCATCAAGTGGCGATGTTCCATGGTATGAAACCCTGGCTTTGACCGGAAGTACATGGTTACAAGGTAATTCATACTCGAAAAGGAAAGCAGCCCTCTTCTCGTCGCACCATAACCGCCTGTAGCTTTGAGGTAGTCTTCGTCAAGGACTCCTGGGTGTCTTTCCTGCCAGGCTAGGATTTCCGGGTCATTACGGTCGACTAATTCAGTCTCAAGCTCCCTCCGTCGGTCAGACGCTGGGATTGTCCGGAGCCTGTCGTAATTCCTTTTATACACATCGAGGCTGTAACCCGGTCGCTTCCAAAATTTCGCATGGGACTCGTTGTCCGTGAAGACAGGTGATGAGCCCCACCCCGAAGTGATGTTTATGGGTGGGCATAGTCGATGCATTTCAGCGACCAATGCCGTGGTGACTTCCCGATACTCTCGAGATGTATCAGCATCAGTATCAGGTGGTAACGTCGCCGGTTCCTTCACAATTTCTCCAATTGTCGCTGACGAGAAGAGGCCGGCCGCATGTCGCTGTGAGTTCGACCACACAAGCCCAAACGATTCTTGCTCTTTTTCAGCAGCTGCTAGCACTGCTGGGTGAAGGTCGATTGCTTGGAACTCGGTCGTCTCTACCCAGTGGCCCGAGTAGCAGGACGTCATATAGATTGTCACCTTGGTATGTGGAAAAGGTAGAAGGATGGACTTGATATGCTTTGGCGTTATAAATCCATTGGGGTCACGTCTTCCCTCGCTTGAATCCATTCCAATCCCTAATCCACCCAGAGTATCGTAATTTCCATGTGCAAAAATCATTATCAGTACCCTGTCTCCAGATGCTGCAGCTTCAGTGACTATGTCCGCTAAGCGCTGTAAGAAAAAGTCTCGCAGGCTTTTGCCTTTTGGTCCAATGGTGACCTTTTCTTGGACTAAGGGAAGTAATTCACCATCGAGAACCACTTTCCGGGGCTCGAACGGGTCTCCGTGGACGAACCCGGATGACCACTTGGTTTGCACGGGCTTTTCTACCCCAACCTCATCATTCTCCATTGAACTCATTGTGGTTCGATCTTCTCGTCCATATTTCTCAATTAGATATTTAGGAGTCATGGATGTGATCCACTCCTGGCTTTTTCCCATTCCTTGCAGAACATGCATCCACATATAGAAATCCGACACCATCCACCCATCACCCAGTGATGGGCATGCGGCTTGTGATGATGGAGAAGATTCATCAACCCCAAGAACAGGTATAACTCGGTCACGGGGTGTAACATCAGGAGGACGTCGTGTATCCCTGGTCGGGATCACAGCTTCAGTCTCAAGCCTTGTTTTGGCCAATCTTGCATGTTCAGCACAGGCGCGATTGGCCGCTTCTAGGTCCCCATGATGCTTCTCCAGTTCGGCTTTTGCATGATTCCTGTCGACTCTATAATCTGCCATCAGTCTGGAGATATATTCGTTCTGAGCATCTGGCGCGCTCCCATATCCTTTGTCAAATATGTCAAATATGTCCTGGATCTTGTCATGGTGGATCTCTTTCCATTCCTCTATTCTCTCCATGCTGGGTCTGCGGGCGAGAATGGCGTTGTAAAGCTTCACTATTGGATTGCAAGACATATCCCTACTGGAGCATGTATCTTCTACTGCTTCTTGGGTATGAAATCGCTAGTTAGGCACCTAGTATGTTGCGACTCAATGCTTTTGTTGAGGAATTTTAGCTAGGGAGTCGCAGATATTGCGTAGAAAGAACGTCAGCTATTATAAATAATCTCAAACCTTGCTTGAAATAAGACGTCTAGTATTTATCTCGACTGCAGCCCAGAAAGTGCGGGAAATGTGGTTGACAGTATGAGAGAATAATTTTGATGAGGAAAATTCCTACGTGCCAGTTACCTATAGTTACTTATTGTTGTACATATTTTAACATCCATCCAGTGAGGTGCTCCTGTCACTTCCCGAGGTGTATAGGACGCGCTGAACAATGAGATTGTGCAAAATTTGTGCGCCCAAAGAAGGCGACTCTAAGATATGTGGGCCAGTCATCAGTTGTCTTTAATCCGACGGGTGAAGTGGATTCAATTAAAAAGCAAGACATGTGTAGCCAGCGCCGCGAAAGTAGAGGCCCTAGGGGCGGAGCGGGAATGACAGAATGACCCGAAGGCCAGCAAAAATTAAAGCCGAACGCGGGGGTCGAACCCGCAGCCTTGAGATTAAGAGTCTCACGCTCTACCGATTGAGCTAGCCCGGCTGCTATTGGTCGATCCCATTCCATGAGGGGTTTGTGAAAGGAAGTTAGACGGAATCGACGGTCAAACGACCCGGACGGGAAAGTATGCTGGATATCCGGTCGAGGAAACAGAGGGCCAGAAGAAATCCTCACAACCACTCAATGCCCCAATTGCAGATGTTTCATTGTCAGCATTAATGAATTGTTGCTTGGTCTGGAACAGCTGGCCCTGGAGCAAGGTTATGGGGTTGGCAATGTCATGCCAGATATTGCTCAGAACTGTGCCCAAAAGCACCACAATTCCGTTATGAAACAGGGAGCAAGCCGCCTTATAAAAGACAACATCATCCCTTTTGATTCTGTGACACTCATCTAGTACCACCCATTTTATTGGTAGGTTGTGTAGCTTCCAGAAATCCGTGCAGATAGCCGCAATAGGTCGCACCGGCCACCTATCACCACCCTTGAACTTTGTGAGGTACTTGGGGAACTCTTCAATTGCCTCGTGATTGGCAGCCAGAAAGTCATAGGAAATGATGATGATTTTCCATTTATCTTCGACGAGCTGACGGGCCGCGTTCTTTGATTCCTCAGTATAAGAACCTTTGGTGCGCAGCCCTATCGTTCAAATGTGCCATCGTGAGTACTTATTTTGTAAAGCATTTCCCGCTACTGAATGACTCACTGCCTTGCAAGTGGCCAAGATCTCTGGTTTCCAGTTGTTCCCGGCATGAAGCTGGGCAAACCACGAGTGAAAAGCATCCTCGCTCGTTTTTCGCCATTTCCATCACTAGCACAGCTAGCTTGGTCTTTCCAGTGCCCATTTCGTCTCAGCAAATACCACCTCTGAAAATAGACCTGCAGAGAAAGTGCATTTGCCCTGCACCGCTGCGCTGCCATGGATGCAGTGTAACTGCGAAGGTTTCTGGTACCTGGGCGGCAGGCTGCTCATAGAGAGCCCGCTGAGGATATTAGATGAGCAGACATACACAAACTGGGGTATAGCCGCTCTGCGTACCACGTGAGTCTTCCCACCCCTTTCCAAAGTAGTGGTCCAATTTGAAACTTCCTACCCCTGTAGTCGACCTCTACAACAACCGGAGGCAACTTGGTATCGGTTTTCTCGTACTCTTCCAGCTCTTCTTGATCGTTCACAAATATCCTTGCTTTGAAGCCTATTTGATGAAGGATCGTCTAGTTAGCAAGAATTTGCGTACAGGTAAATCCCAAATAACACACCTTCATCTCCGAGTACAGCAAGCAAGGGCCACTTGGTGGATGCTCTTCGAATGGCTTGAAGATTCACTGAAACCCTCAATGACAAAAGATTGCTAGCATCGCGAGATGTTCTGAAGTGAGGGATCCCGTTGTAAGTGATGAGAAGAAAGAGCAGCAAAGGAAACAAAGGACATATCTACACAAAAGAAAACACGAGAGATGGGAAATCACATTTGACAAGGAAGGGTCGGAAGAAACGAAGTCTACGCTGTCGCTCGAGTAGTCAGGATCAAGGGAAAGAGATCAAGTGAATGGCACTGTCTCTATCTGTCCTCGGGGCTTTACTTGGCTTCACTTGGCTTCACTTGGCTTCATTGTCTGATGGCTTTCACCTCGATCAAGATATTTGCTGGGTGATGCTTTTTTATCACCCTGTCCGCCGACGTCTACCGCTCCACACCCGAGAGAGGATGCCATTGCCACTGCTTGAAGCAGGCAGGCAGTCGTTGCCTCTCGCTTTGCCTTGATCCTAATGTTAGGTCTCTGGTCTAGTATATTTCCTCTGTGAGTTTAATTTCAATGATATTTGTGTTTATTCTGACCGGTCCTAGACAATGACGGAACAACGACAGTCTTTTATGCCCTCGACCGCAAGATTCCCTCAGACCTAATGTCTCAACTGGAGAGCAAGGACTCCTTCGCTGCCATGGCGAGACGACCAGCAAAGCGTCCGAAATTCCAGACGCCTTCAGGAGCGAGACTAGTGAACTGCGCCTTGTGAAGATGAGAGCTCGGACCTTTGGGGATTGGCAAGACAAAATATGAACGTCCGTCCGAGCCCTGTGTCTTTCTCCCTTGCTCTGATAATCCCATCGCCATTCGTGGACAGGCAAATGTCACCATCTGTCGTGATAACTGACATTTCGCTGTGGCCAGTTTCATCAAGGAAAGGACAAACATGCGACACGTTTTGATCCCCACAATTTCTCTTGGTGGCGTTCGTCGGGGACAAGGGACCGGAGGGACCAAGGCGACACTACCTTGGTTGCTGACGGCGGCTTGTCAGCGAACCGGCTTTGTATCGAATCAGGACAAGCAGACGAGAGGTCTGAACACGAGACGGTAAATTACTCCAACGGGAAGTCTTTCATTGGCCATCTCACTCCACTCCTTGGTGGCTGTGAGATCTTCAGGGTCTGATCGGCATGACACGGTCTAGTGCCAAGAGAGGCATAATCACTCCGCCGCTTCATGTTCATTGAATTCTCACCAATTTTGAAGACATTGTAGGCGAGTATGGATACCCAAATATATCTCCAGTCTAGACAGGATGGTAGCGTACAGCCTTATCCAGGACGAACACTGGATGGGTCCAAAATAACTTCCAAAAAAAAAGTTCATGTGAGACATTACTGTCGCGTGTGGGGTCTTGAACCGCTCTGATCATCACTGCCCTCTTGATCTTTCTTTTCATCTCTTTCTTCCTCTTCTTCTTTCCATCTCTTTTATCTTCATTTACCCTTCACTTATGATACCGCTATGAAGGTTGGTGCCGTCCGGGGTCTTAAAGACTTCCTTGTCCGTCTCGTCCGTTCTCCCGGATTGTACTTTGACGCTGGCTGGTCCACTCGTCGATACTGGTTCTCCCTCGGCTTCATCGCTGTCATCTGCGCAAAAGTCCTCCATATCTACTCTCACCTCAACTCTCTTTCTGTCGGTCGCTTCCTGCTGTGGGGCTCGACCTTTTTCCTGCCAGATGTGCTGTTTATTTTCATCCTCCGAGCTCTGACTCGTAATTTTTCCCGACGATGGGTTCGTGGGCTGGCCGCGCTGGTCGTGGTTCCTTTGAGGTAATTCTAATGGCCATTTGGTAAATCCATGCTCATCTCTCTACAGCATAGGAACCTCCTGTATGGCCGCTGCAAACACCTCCTTCTACATCTTCACCGGTGCCGAAATTCATTGGCGACAAGTCCACTCCTTCCACCGTGACGCTGCCGCCATCAAATACCTCTTGACCGGCCTTACCGGTCTGATCATCGTTGAACTTATCTACATTGTCGCTTCCTACTTTGCCACTCCATACCTCTACAATGGCGTGGGAGAAGTCCTCCGGGTTTTGAGCTCATCTGCTGCCTCCGTCTGCTGCTTTTGGCGGAGGAAGAAGGACTTGCCAGACCCCAAAGTCTACGAGGAAGTGGCCCTCGATGACTACGACGATGACAAGAGCGATACTGACTCCACTCTCCTCCTCGGGGCTCCTCCCAAACCAAACCAAGAGTCCAGCCACTCTCTGCTCAAACGCCTGCTCATCCTTCTTCCCACGACTGTTATACTCGTACTCCGCTGTTTCCGCCCTCCTAACCCGGCCTATGGGTTCCTTTCCGAAACCCTGGTAGCGACGCCCTTTAGCGGCGACGGCAAGGGCCACCACCATAGACACACATTGCTCCATATCGAAGGTCTACACGGTGATTACAGCTGGCTGGGCAATCGCACCGCATTGTCTCCTCCTCCCAAGTTCGATTGGCTTCCCGCAGACCTGGATGGATTCAGGGATTGGGGCACCAGTCCCAAGAATAAGGACCCTTATGTCCACTATAGCCCGGAAAAGGACCCCCTTCACATCTCCAATCTGGAAGAGGAAGTTATTGAGCCGTTCCGCGATGCTCTACACAGTGGCAAGGCCAAGATTAAGCATGTTATCCTCCTTAAGCTGGAAAGTACCCGAGATGACGTTTTCCCCCTTCGAAAGGGGTCCTACATGCATGACCGGGTGAAAGAGACATGGGGCTCAAAGATACCGAATGAGGTTGTCAAACGACTTGCCAAGCTGTCTCGGAATTCAGAGCGCTTGACCGGAACGCCTTCCGGATACAACAAAGATCCACCTACACCGTATGGTGGTCTTCATGCGACCAACTCCTTCACTGCTGGTACCTTTACTCTCAAGAGCTTGACGGCCACCATCTGCGGGGCTAATCCCTTGGTTGTTGACTTTAACCGCGAATATCAGCACCACATCTACCAACCGTGCATGCCACATATCCTGGGTGCACTCAATGCACAGGCCAACGATACCACACGGACGAGCAACTTTACGTCGTGGCCGTGGCAGTCCGCCTTTATGCAGGCCGTCACTGATGAATATGATAACCAAGTTTATTTGACGCCAGCCCACGGATACAACATGGACATGTACGTCAATGTACCCAAGATAGACGCCGACCGTGGTCGGAACGCCTCCGCTCCAGAAGAAGCCGACTTTTGGGGTTGGCCGGATACTTATTTGGGGAAATACGTCCGCGATGCCATCAATAAGGCTGAGAAGAATAAAGAACGTTTGTTTCTCACCCATTTAACTGGTCTTACCCATGTGCCATGGCACATGCCAAATGATGAGTTTGAGGATTTTGTGAAGACAGGCTGGTCTAGCCGGAATGACAAACTCAACCGGTACTTGAATACCATCAGCTTCATTGATGGATGGATAGGAGATATTTTTGATATTCTCAAAGAGACGGGCGTTGCCGATGAGACCTTGGTTGTGATGACTGGTGATCAGTAAGTTGAGCGGTATTCAGGCAGGAATGGCAGTAACTGACTTTGCAGTGGCATTTCCCTTCCCGAGGACGGCGGTATCACACCATATGACAACCCCCATGTGTCTAACTTTCACGTTCCCCTGGTCTTCTCTCACCCACACTTGCCTCATGTCGAACTCAACTCGTCTGTCACCTCGCTGCAGATTCTGCCCACCATTCTAGACTTGCTCCGGGAGTCAGATTCTCTCTCCAATGACGCCTTGGCAGCCATTAATAATTTGATTCCCATGTACGAGGGCCAATCAATGATTCGGCCAATCATTAAAGAAAAGGAGGGACTGAAGAACTGGCAATTCACGGTCATGAACACTGGAGGTACCTGGTTGTCGCTTCGATCCGCCGACAAGCCGTATCGGCTCGTTATTCCTCTCGTTCCCGACGTGGAGTGGCGATTCTCCAACCTCGAAAAGGACCCTAAAGAGTGGAATACGGTCATGTCTTTTGATGTGTATGGTTTGCTGGACATGGTCGCCTGGCGCGAAGGGCATGAGGCGGTTCAATGGATCAACGACGCAGCGCATGTAACCGAGTGGTGGGTGTCTGAAAACTGGCGACGTTATGAGTATGCACCATAGACTTGTACATATTACGCATGGCGTCAGGGTGGGGTTTGCTGTGATTTAGCGCATTGTGAATATTATGCTTATTATGATGTATATCCTGGCTTTTTCCTGAAAATCAAATGTAGGGTGTCTCACCCGATCACGGTCGCGTGACAAATGGCCCCTTTAACCAAATAGGCATTGTCTTTTTTGTTCTTTCTATATATTCCATTAGCAAGTATGTTCCAGTACATACGACCACAGGGTGTGGAGAACAGGGCTTCCCGTCCGCTCAGCCGTACTTAAGCCACACGCCGGCAGGTTAGTAGTTGGGTGGGTGACCACCAGCGAATCCCTGCTGTTGTATGTTTTTTTCCTTTTTAGTATTTTTATCTTGGTGTTGTGTTTATATTCTTTTCATCTTATATTAATAACTTTCATTCGCAATGACTTGGCTATACAGAGGAGGACCGCGCGATGTTCTACATTTCGCGATACAAAAATGCACCAAGATGCGGATGACTTACGAACGCCACACATGAGATATACGGCGTTGCAGCTGCTTCTACAGCTGGATTAGTTGTGTTTATTTCGAGTGGTTTTGGACAGATTAATGAGGGCAGCTTTGAAAGTGTCAGTTGCTCCGCCATCTCTCCTTGTCACCTTCTCTCAGTCCCATCTCCGTCTCCGATTGACCGGCAACAGACGGCGGCTTGTCTGTGTCCAAAGGATAGCTTCGAGTAAACGCACTCAACACCAACATGACACCCGCAAGTCCACACCCAACGGCCCAGACAATGCGCAGACTGTCTGTATAAACCTGCTGCAACATCGTCTTTGTCTGCGATTGAGGCATCCTTTTGAGTATTTCCACGACCGCCACCGCATCCTGACTGTAGCCCGCGAAATGTTCCAAAGCCGGGTAGCGAGTGATATTCACGCTCATTCGATTTTGGAAAACCACGCCTCCAATCGCAACGCCTATCCCTTGGCCCAGACATCGGGAGAAGCTCGTCATGGTGCAGATAATCGCCATATGCTCGGGTTTCGAGGCCGCCAGCATCCCCAATGCGAGGGGGAGAAAGAGGAAGCCCAGTCCAAGACCGACGACGATGTTGATGAACACCCAGGCGGGGATGCTGGTGTCTACCTGAATGAGACACATTAGGCCAAAGCCAAGGGTGGTGATTGCCCAGCCTGACCAGATCCCCCATCGATATTTTCCTGTTTTGGAAATCAGAATGCCAATGAGAATAGTGCTGGGGGCGACGGTGAATGTTTCGGGAAAGAGAGCAACACCGGCGAGGATTGAGGAGTACCCTTTGACGCCTTCGTAGTAGAGGGGCAGGTAGTAGAGACCACACCACAGGATCAGGCCTTCGACGGCGTTGCCGAGCGAGCATAGCTTCAAGGTTCTGTTTTCGAATACAGCGGGAGGAATCATCGGGTTTGTCGCATAGTATGTTTCGTAGAATCCAAAGACAACCAACGTAGCTACTCCGACGATCAGAGGGACAAGAGTGTGCCACGATGACCACGGATACATCACTCCGCCCCACGTGAGAGGAATCAAAAACGATGATATGCCCCCAGTGAAAATGGCCGTTCCGATAAAGTCGATCTGGGCCAGCTTCTGTTTCCATGTCCCGAGTGTGCAGTCCCATGGCATAAGAATCAGCAGCCCAATGACACCGACTGCGATAAAAGGGATGTTGATATAGAAGATCCAGCGCTAAACCTGTTAGAAAGAACTGATAGTAAACAAAAGAACGTACCCAAGTCACATCATCAGCAAATCCACCACCGAGAATCGGACCAGTGACCGATCCCAAGCTCCACATGGCATTGATGACCGAAAAGTACTGTCCGCGTAGTCGTAGAGGAACCAATCCAGCCACAATAACCTCACTCATGGCAGTCACCCCTCCTCCGCCAATGCCTTGGATCGACCGTCCGACGAGCATATGGGTGAAATTCTGAGACACGGCTGCCAGGATTGCGCCGATGAGAAAGAGAAAATTGGCGATGAGAATCATGGCTTTACGGCCGAAGATATTGGAGAGCGAGCCGAAGGTGGGTTGGAAGACTGTCACTTAGTCTGGAGTCATGGAGGATGGAGGAGGATGTTACCTGTCGAGCAGATGAGAAAGGAAGTCCCGCTCCAGAATGCCTCCATGGCCGTTCCATTGAGGTCTTTGGTTATGATCTATCTCATTAGCATGATAGATTGTGAACCATAGATGAGACATACAGGTAATGCGACCGAAAGAGATGTCCCATCCAGGGCAACCATCAGAGTCAAAACGGAGCATACGGCAAGAATCGTCCATCCTTTCCGACCAAGACTGAATTCTTTGTCGTCGGTAGTATCGTGGGTTATTAAATTAGATTCTGACATGGCAGCTGGTGTGTTGTGAAGTTGACCATCAGTAGGGGTCCTCGGTGATTTGGACGGTCGATTGATTGATCATTTCCTAACGGTAACAGGGTTGGTCAAGGCAGAATGACCAGCACGTGTATATAGACCACGGTACTTGGCAGATGAGGCCATCAATCGGCTCAATTACTCAGTATGGAAAGAAATATTCGAAAATGAATCAGCGAAGCGAAACTGACTTGGAGGAGTACATGAAACAGATCGCTATGCTGGTTCCTGGTGCAAACATGCACAGTTCAAGGATACTAAAGGACGATACCAAATATGGGTCTGACGATTCATCTCCAAAATTGGGGACTGATTCATGCTGATCTTCCGACATCTATGCCGCTCTCATAAATGTGAATTCCCCTCCGCAAATATAAGTTGAGACGGAGAGACAAGAAATCTGTATAGACGCAGGAAAATGTCGTATCAATACCTGTTCCTGCCTACCGATCTGCCCAGCGTGAAGACGTGGTTCCGCAAATATGTCAACCTACATTTATCGTCGTTGAAAACAAACCCGAAGTCATTCTGCGCGAGCTACGAGACCGAATCCCAAATCACCGATCATGAGTGGGTGGAAATGCTCTCGCAGCCACGATATCGCGTCGCCATCTGCACCGTGATATCCCACCATGTCCACCCACTGGACGCGGAATGGGTAGGCATGATACGCGTCTACGGGCCCCGACTCAACAGCCACGGCGATGCCTACTACTACCTCGGCGGAGCCTTTGTCAGTCCTCTCCATCGAGGCCTTCACATCACGTTTCGACTCGGAGTCTTCGCCGTCGAACAATTGTTCCTCTCACACATGCGATCTGCCTCGTATGAGCGTCTTAGCCGAAAGAAACGACGAAAAGTCCATTTCCAAGCCCTGACGTCTTCGTCTGCCGCCTGTCTTTGTAATTATTATCGAGCCATGGGGCTGAGCGGGACACGTACTATGCGGAATCGGGACTATTATTCCCAATGGCAAAAGGTGAATTGTCGAAAAGAGCTGTTGAATCAGGAGGTGCTGTGCTTGGAGCTGGTGGTGAGGGTGGGGGGGTCCCTGCTCGACTGGATGGTGGATCATCGATGGCTGCTGTTTGCTCAATTTTTGTGGCTGATGAGTGTATTACGGGGGTACATGAAGGTGTTATCCCGATAGCTTTATTATACTACATGATTCATGTTTGCTCTATATTTCCATGCACATGCATGTGCTTAAATTTGAATGCATCGACTGTGACTATTGAAGTTTCACCTCCTCCGCAGTGGAGAAGCGGGCCGGTTCGAGCATCCAATGAAGAAACAGTGCGATTCTCTATTATCAGAATCGCATTATTGGATCGCGGCAATCATCAAAAAAGAGTCTGCTTGATTGTTTATTTTCGTGGCGTTCGATATTTTGGTCGAGCCTCCAACATATAGAGCCCATCACCCATCTTGTCGCAATTCATCTCATTCCTTTTTATCCAGACACACACACGATGACTGACCTTCCTTCCATTCTGTTTGCCGCTCTGGTCGTCCAGGCGCCGTACCTGTTGAAACGTGCCTTTGAAGCCCCCAATCCAGACCCGAACCACGCCCAGAAAGCCGACCCTATCGCCAACCCAAAGGTAAGTAAGCCTCGTACAATAATTTACCGTGAGACTGACCAATGCCAGTTCATCATTTTCCTAAATCTGTACAGCTACGCTTTGGGCGGCATTGGCCTGATCCATGGCCTTTTTTCCCTGTCTCCATCTGCAGAAGGCTTCTGTCCTTCCCCGTCTGCATTGGATCCTGATCTGTTTTCATGGACTCTACCCACGGCACTTCTCCTCCTCACCTGTCTCTTCGGGGGCTATCTACGCCTACTCGCATATTCGCAACTCCGCGGCAATTTCACATTTCGACTTGCTCGCCCATCAGAACTCGTCCAGGATGGAATCTATGCATGGATCCAGCACCCATCCTACACAGGTGCGGTTCTCCTCATAGCTTGCTACTGCGGGCTTTTTCTACGCCCGGGCGGTGTCTTGGGCTGCTGGCTGGGCAGTGCTTCGTTGAATATTCTTGTCTACGGCAATTGGATCTTCTTGGCGATGGCAATGGTCCTGACTTACCCACCGCGCATATCGAGGGAGGAAAAGATGCTGCATGATACCTTTGGCAAGGTGTGGGAGGACTACCATCGAAGGACGGCCAGATTTATTCCTCTGGTAGTATAGATTGGGGGTTTCAGGTATGTCGTCATGCTTTTCAATATGCACAATCAGTAGACTGACAAACTGCTTTGTTATCACTACCATATTTCACTCTATGGTACGAGACTCTTAGGGAGGTTTGTGGATTTCATATGATGAATCTGTTCGCATTTGGCTTTGATTGGGGTATCATAGGTCTTGTATTTATTATCATACAAATAAATCTTAAAAACAAGAGTAAACATGGATAGTCTCCATGTTGGATGTGCATGTTATAGCCCGCAGATTTGTGTTATGCACACCTTATGCACGGAAGGTCTGGGGCATACCACTCACCCATAGAATATATAAAAACCTACAGTAGCACAATCATAGCATTTGTTCTCAAAAGGATCGCTAGATACTCTCATGCAAAGGCCTTCTCCTTTTCCATGGCCAGACTGCTCATTTCTCCGTACGATGTTCAAGCAAAGCTAGCTGGACGAGCGAAAATCAACAATCCACCAAAAAGCCCCGTTCTGTCGTGCCGTCTTTCTCTGCGCCCAAGTGGATAACCCCAACCACGAGGCTCTCATGGCAATATATCTACAGATATACAATATAAACAGCCAGACAGTCGCGCTGCACAGGCATCTGTTGAGGCCTGCGAGGATGCATACAGAGATCAGGCTGGTTATCAGATTCTGAGCCGTACGACTGAGCTAACAGGACAAAAAACGACACGAAAGAAAGACAGAACGCAAAAACAAAAAAGGAAAAATGGGCAACTGGGGAATAGGAGGGGGGGGGGGGGGGAGAAAGAAAAAAACCAAGGGTACATTCGCTCTATGCGGTCAGCGAAGTATTCGACTGGCTAGTATGATACCATCCGGCACTCTGTTTGCAACTCTGGATCTCATCCTGGCCCTGAAGCCGGGATTCAAGCTGCCCTTGCAGGCCCTGGTTCTGCTGCTACAGTTCCTGGGCCCACTCCAGCAAGCCTGCTTCTCGCTGTTGTGCTTGCATAGCCCGACAATGCCAGAGTCGACCGCGGCGCGTGCTCTCCCCCTTCCTGCGATCCTGCGCTCCAGGACACGCTGGAAGTGGGCGACACCCTGCTTGGTGATGGGAAACGGGGGAACTGGGGAATGGAGAAAATAGGGGCAATTGGGGGGCGGGGATCGCTGGTGTTCAGCGGGCCTTGCTGATGTACAGCAGGACGAGGGCAGTGATCTGGGGGAGGGAAGTGGGCAACGGGTGGTAGTTGGTGTGCAGCTGCAGGCAGCTCAAGCATGGGGGATTGGTGTGGTGAGCAACCTGGATGTGATAGACGGGGGAGGGGTATAGGGGTCCGGCTTTTCAGTCGATGGAACGTGTATTGCAGTCAAACAGTCCTACTGGAAAGAATGGTTAGAATACAAGAGCGATGGATATGGAGGAAGAATTCTTACCAAACCCACAACGCCATTGGCGAGGCTACTTCAAGCAGCGCTTGCCGCTGGGGCATAGCGACTGACATCCGGTCAGGGTATTTTGAGTACCATGCTGAAATATCGGGGAGAATGGATTGTTGACGTGTGAATCGAGGAATAGGGTTGGGAGAAGTAAGAAGCAGAGGTGAGGGGGAGGAGGAAGACAAAAATAAGGGGAAAATATTTGTGTGCATCCCCATCTTGACCTTCGGTCACGAGTCTTTTCGAATGTAGGAGGGGATATATGTGCCACTTCGACGGCATCAGAGCTCTGTTTCGACAGGTATTACAACAGTCAGTAGGTCGCTAGGAAATAGAAACATTCGGCTACTTACACTCCTTTTCAGCCTTAAAGCCGATGGATGAATCGAAGAAGTGCGAGAGAAATGAAGAAAACGGAAAAGGGTGCAACGAGCGAGGTAGGATAGTGGGCGAGGGGGATCTTGTATCTCCAGTCACTTCTGATTCCAGCGATATTTCTTCGCTAAACTCTAGCTTATCAGAACAGAGGCCTGATCCTGGTTATTTCCGTTCTGCTTCCCCTACATTTTGGTTGATTTGGTCTTTTCTTGGTACTTTAATTAATATTATCTAATTCTGGTGCATTTATATTCCATATCAACATCATCTTCAGTCATTAGCCAAATGTATACACAGTAGGATACCCATCTATTTTCACCTAATATGCTTTTTTAAATCACTATTGTGAAGTCGACCTGACATCAAATTTATCATTATGGCTACCTTGTACCTGTACAAATGTGGACATCACATGGCAAAAACAACAGGCAGCAATTATGATGCGTGACGTGCAAGCCTAATTTACCAATACTCTATCCACCTACCCCTATGCCTGCCGGTGTTCTATTCATTTTTACCAATATCACCTATTATCTTGGAGATACTCTGTTCTGTACTCAGTTTGATCCAGTTTGCTCTCCCATCCATCATTTGCTTCTGTCATTCAACATGCCTACCGATGCACCCTCAACAGAAAACCCAGACCTTATTGAACGATTGCGGCTTCTTGAATACGTGAAGGAAAAAGGAGAAGGGTATGCAGTTATTCCTGGTACTTGGGCACTTCTCTAGGAAGCACCCATCCCCATCTGGTCTTCTTCCTACCTCACATTCGAATTCCTATTACTCGACAATATCATCATTTTTCCCACTGTGAGTCATTTGGCTTCGTTCTTTTCTTTATCCATGGAGGTATTGCGTCAGAGAAAGAAAACCGAAGAGAAGTCCTCCTAGAAGCCCTGTCAGACTTAAAACTACCTACTCATGCTGCCTAACTAATGAGGAGCTCTTCACTCTAGAAATCGAACTTCATAACTCTGGACTAATCGAGCCTAAAAATGTCGGGTTACAAATATTTTTCGAGCCTTTCCAAGGTGATATCCTCTAGCAGGTTCTACACAAAAGCCAGCTCTTCCATTTCACCGACTCCAAACAGCCCCCTACGATCTTTTTGTCGATAACTTGTCAAATTAACGTACTTTAACCGAAGAACGTTCGCCAATGTCGAAAGAAAGTTGAAACTCGTTGATCTGAACGGAAACTCTAAGGGGGTATGGGGGACTGATACACGTTTCGATGATGGCCCATTATACACATGCTGAGGGCATCGGGATCGATATTTTGGGTGAAGGACAAATGTGAGGATCGCATGTTGCGACGTCACCCAAGGCGTAGATCTCTTGATTTCGATAATTATTCTCGCGTTGGGTGCTTAAGTCTCCGAGGATGCTATCTGGTCACATTTGTCTATCGGATACACAGTATTTCTATCTACACTGACGTGATCGAACTATTACACAAATCCAATCGTCTTCAGAAGCAAAGTAGTATATACAAGATTATCAAAAAGCTCGTCTTAGCTTCGCCAGTGCAGCTACTAGACTCCAGCACCACGGTGAGCTGCGAACTCGTCGCTGGAGGCCTTCGTCACCAGAGCTGGTGACGGGGCACCCACTTATTCAGCGGGATTTCAACCCAGTTTCTTCAACGGTAACAAACTCCTTTTCTGAACGGGGATTTCAAGCCTATTTCTGCAACAGGGGAAGTCAAACCCATTCCTTCAGCCGGAGCAGCTGGGAAGAAACCCTTAAACACGGGGCATTTCTTCAACGCCGGTGAAGAGAAAAGGTTTTGCACGAAAATTTTTTCAACGCTGGAATCACTAATTTCTATCCAAAGAGCCTATATTAACACAAACCACCCGAACTTTCTGGGTGCTGCAGCTGCAATGTCTTCGATCATCCAAAACAAGCAAGAACAGGACAGAAAGGCGGCATTGGCCGACGATAGGAAAAAGCGAGCGCCAAGCCGGCGCTTGCAACACCATCTTCCTGCGCAAGGAAGCCAATGGCGAGACAAGCTACGTTGGCACAAACACCGACTGCATCGGTATCCGCGAAGCCCTGGTGCAGAACCGCCCCGAGGGCACCGAGGACCCTTACCGGAGAATCACTTTTCGCAGCTCGTGCTCAGCCCCAAAGGTGGGTTTGTCCGGCTGGAACATCTGGACAACGCCGTGGATTCAAGCACTCTCATGCCAGGCAAGGAGCCTCTGGTGTTTCGTGATCCAACTCGGTCAAATCTGTGCGCATTCGACGGATTAAGCTCGCCGATAACGCGACCAGCTCTTTCTTGACACCTTCAAGGCTGTCCAGGCAACCATAGGAGTCTTCTATACTGATCTGCGTTGGCAGGGCATTTTTCAACGCCATGGGGAGGGGACGCTTACACAGCGTCAGCAGCGGGCACTTTTTCAGCGCCGAATCAAACTCCCCAGCCAGCCTTTCACCGGCAGACCCTTACTCCTCCACCTTTGTCTGATCAGCCGAGGGCGCTGGCTGCGTCTGCTGCAGTTGCTACGTTACCTGCCTCTCAAGCTGTCCTCGCTCAGGACGACGGTCTCTGAAGTTGCCAGGCTGGCTTGGTCGACGGCCCTGTTGCGAATATTAGCTCAGAAAATGTGTCAGATCGAGTTTGAAGTTGCTATTTTACCTCGTCCTCCTTGTTGGTCTTCTTTCCCTGAACCTTCCTTGGGCCCCGACGACCGTGCCCCCGCGTTTATTGCCTCCACCCCGGTTGGGATCACTCCCTCCCGAGCCAGAGGCCGCAGGGGTGCCACGGCTAGTAACTAGGCCAGACCCATTGGAAGCAGTGGTAGTCGACATTGCTTGCTAGAGACAGGAGCTATGATAGGCGAGAAGATGAATATCGAAGGGGGAAGGATAGATGACAGAAGAGATGAAGGTGGAAGAAAAGTTGATGGGAAAGAGGAAGAGGAAGAGAAGAAAAAAAATTTCCCAGCCGCAGTGTAGTGTTGAGAGGATTTATTTATTCACTGCCATATTCTTCTTAGAGGGGAAATGTTAGTCACACAACAAAATCTGCTGGACATTTGCAACAAACATTCACTCAGTAGATTCTTTCAAGGGTTTTTGAGCAGATTTGAGAGGTTTCCGCATATCCCGTCCATCTGAAGCCGAAGAGTGGATGGATGGCTTTCGAGATTAATTGTTTAGTTCTACAAATATGACCCACGTCCTCCGCAGGCTGCGTAAATTGCAATGCATGCAATAGAGGAACCTAAGTTCCTTTACAGTAGAAAGCCCAGAGCCATAGGCTGAGCTTGATATTTTCGATAAAATCCGTATATTACCTATTTATGAGATGCACAATCAGAATTGATCGGTATCCCCGCATTGTATTCAGTCGAAGTTGTGTTTATATTGCGTCAAGTATTCCTGGGATGATTACATCTTCACCCCTCCTTATAAGCAGTACAACAACCAGATGATTGAATACCTGTTGTCCAACGATCGATCTGAATCGCTGTTATCCATTTATACCATGTATAGGTTCTGTATAACACGGTATGGTGTCGGCAACTCCCTGCAAAGGTGTGATTTCCCCTCTTCCTGTCATATATACCAGCACAATACTCTTGTTTCTCTCCGAATAACTATCAGTATATCAAGTCTACCAGCACGGCAACTCTCGTCGCGAATCCTTCCGCTTCTCTCCCAGAGGACCAGAGGACGAAGGTCGATATTCCTTCTCCAACCTCACCCCTTACACGCACCCTCCAGAAACAAACGAATCCCTCCCCTGGTCCGAACTCGTGACTCTCGATCTGTCCGATTTTAATAATTCTGGTGGCCGAGAGCGCCTCGCTGCCCAGCTCTCCCACGCCGTTCATCATGTCGGATTTTTCTACGTGAAGAACTTTGGTCTCTCGCAGGAGCAGATCGATCGTCAATTCACGCTTGCCAGGGGATTCTTCAACCTACCCCTCGAGGAGAAGCAGAAATTCAGCGTTGACTATGAAAAGGCAGATTACAATGGCTATCAGTGGACGGGATATCGTGCCAACGAAGGCAACTTCGAGAAGAAAGTCGGGGATAATATTGAGATGTACAATATTCCGAAGTTCATCCCGGCACTGGAAGGGAGATATTCTCATCCACCGTTGATCGAGACTCATTTGGATGAGATTGAGGTCTTTTCGAAACACTTGCATAATCACATCGTGGTCCCATTGATGGTCCTTTTTGCCATCATTCTCGAGTTACTGGATAAGAACCTCCTCGCGGATGAGCATGCCTACGATAACCTGTCTCCCGACCATCTTCGATATATGAAATATTCCAAACGTACGGCGGAGCAACACGCTGGTGAGCCGATGCAGGTCAAGGGTCATACAGACCTCGGCAGCGTGACGCTTTTACTCTGCCAGTCTGTCGCAGGATCACAATTTCTCAACGACGAAACACAATCATGGAGCTACGTTCGCGCTCAACCGGGCACTATCACCGTCAACCTAGCGGACACATTATCTTTTCTAACTGGTGGCTTTTTGAAATCTTCCATCCACCGTGTTACTGCACCCCCAAAGGATCAACTGGCCTACGAACGAACGGGCGTGTTATATTTCACCAGACCTTCAAACGACACCATTCTCAAGTCCCGGGTCGATTCCTCGCCCGTGTTGCAGAGGGAGAAGGAACTAGGAAAGTTGAAAGAGGGATTCTCGAAGCCTGTTACTACGGCCGATTTTGTCAAGCCCAAGCAGTTGAATCCGAATTTGTATGAAGGGAAACGGGCTAAAGATGGAGGCCTTGGGATTACTCCTGGGTTCAAGGATCAGACTTATAAGTAAATGACACATAAAATACATTTATTCTATACAAAACAATCTTGTAAATAAGATGATATGTACTATGATTCCAGTGACTGCACCCAGTCACCGCCGGGGGTTGTGTCCGTGGAGTGCCGTGGGTCTACAATTTTTGTTTCTGTCCCTTAAAATGCCAGAAGTAGGTCATATGATGACAAAGGCAAGAGCCAACTAGCTTGGGGGTATCATGTGATGTAAAGCCATCACATGATGCTTTAAATGTGTGGCAACAACTAGGTCACGTTATGTTCCGTCATACAAAGTCAGTCCCTGAAATGAAATTTTCCTACAGATAATATTGGAAGAAAGCTGATTTTTCTGTTGGCTTTAATGTTCATATTTATAACCAAAGGTCCATCCCACTCCTGCAGGACTCTGGACATCACTGGCAGCTGGAAACCAAGCTCACTCCTGCTTTAAGCTGTTCCTTCCCTCTCAGGAACCCTAAGGTAGTCAACAAGCCTGTTGGTCAAAAGAAAAGAAAATTCGAAAATGTGTCGACGATTCTGTAAGCTCCTCATTTCCAACAGCCATGAATTCCTCGCTGATGCCCCCTCCTCCCCTACCCCAGGGATCGCCTAAAAGAAGGAAGATGACATCCTCAGCCTCAGAAGGCAATTCCTCCGACACCTTTGCCGAGCCTACAAGAACTGAAATCAAGTCTCTAGGAAAGCGACAGTGTTTTGCCTGTGAATCTCGTGTCACACCAGACGCTGCTCATGTGATTCAAGTGCATGATTCCGCTGTGAGTAATGACAAGTTTAATGTTCCTGGCCAGAACTTCATTAATGATCAGGATAGACTGAGCTTCTCATACAAAAAAAACTAATCGAGTTCGACCTACGAAGGAGCGAGAATGGGGTTTCTCTGTGCCCAAGCTGTCATAGGATGTTCGATCGTGATATTGATCCTGGCTTCATTTTTTTCCCCACGGACATTGATTTTTTCATCCGGAGAGAACTACAGTATCGTGAAAAAGTACTTTCCGCCGGGTGCCTCATTCCAGACCGTGTTCCATCAGCAGAAGAGTATGCGAGATCTCAAATTCAAGCGGGCACAGTCCCTCCTGGATCTCAATGCGGGTTATATCAGCGTATTTTCTTAGAAGAATACATGACCCCCGTAATACCCCTTCCTGTGAATCAAGTATTCAGTCAACCTGTTCCCTGGCATGGGGCTCCATTCGGCACATTTCGACGCGCTTTTCAAGCTCTTGGCAGTCCACGTGTTGCTGCGATTTCGCCTACTGTTCGAAACCAGTTGAGTCGCCTGAGGGACCTATACTATAGTGATACTCTGGTAGTCGAAGATGTCTTGGTAAATGCCGAGGCCGATCGCTTTTGGCATGAGCCACGTCCGAACCAAGGACCGGAACCGGAGACAGAGGGGCCAATTCTTCGCAATATAAGCAGAGAGACCAGCCAGAAAGATGATCAGAGTTTGGAAAATCACTATAGAATGGCCGGCTTCTTTGATGATGAGGCAAAAATCACTCATAAGTGCTATGAATGGGTTTTGGGACCCGAATCCACTTCAGAGGACGCGATGCGACGATATGGCCCTGCAATTCAATTATCAGCGTCCGCACCAACGGTCTCATGAAATTTCTCCCAATACTACCTTCCAGATCAGTTTCATAGTCTTCAGCCTTATCCTGCGCCGAAACACTTACTTGCTCTATTTTTTCATTATCAGGGGCTTCTAGGGTTCACCCGACCTAATCTCAGTGGGCCGTGGGCACCGCGAGGATCACACGACCAAAGTACTTTTCTCGTCGTTCCCACAAAATTTCGAACTGGATACTACGTATAAAGCCCGTTAAACCATGGGCCAGTATCTCATATTACTCTGGCAAAGTATTTCCGTATCAACGCCTATGCTGGTTGAGGTCTGGCTACTGGCTTGTATTTAGTTTCTTAATTATAGTTAGCACCCAAAGTTCTGCGGATGAAACAATCAAACAGATATTTGCAAACAGTGGAAGAAGTTTCCGAGTGTGTCGAGTTTGACATTTTCCGAAAAGATGAAAAGAACCCCAAGTGAAATCAGACTCCACTGTTTCTGTTGATATAAAAAAGTAGAAACAAGGAAGAAGAACGAAGGCCCAGTATTAAGGATCCTCCCCAGAGGGAAGTACAGTAATACAAAAGGGTAAAATTAGCGGATTAGGATGTGACAGAAAGAAAGCTCACAACGACCAAAGAACTTGTTCTATCCTAACTAGTGATACCGGCTGAGAAACCTCCCATCAGTACTCCATGCATCCCTTCCTTCAACAGTGAATACCGGCAAGGAATTTCGAAATCACTTTCAAAGTCCTTACCCCATCTCTCTCTCTCTTCCTCTTCCTCCCTCTCTCTGCTAACTTCCCTTCTCCCCTCCCCCGCTCTCTTATCCTTCTCTCTTTCTCTCTATCTTTTCTCTCTATCTTTTCTCTTCAAAAAAAAAAAATACTTGATATCCTTCATTTCTTTTTTCTCCCTCTTTTCTCCCCCACCTCTCACCCACCCACTTCTCATTTACCTAGATATCTCTTACCTCTCTTTCATCTTCTCTCACTTACCAACCTTACCAACAACCTAGTCATTGTTCATTTCAATTCGGTTGATCACTCTAGCTGGGATCGCATTGACCGTGACTGAATATTAGACGCTTTTTGTTATCTGCTAACTTTTGGCCATTTCTGATTCACTTTTTTCACAGCGCGGCGGCGTCATCTGAGACGGCCTTTGAGATGGCAGGCAAGCGGAAAGAACCAGCAGACCACGTAAGAATTAATACTGAGCAAAAGACGCGTCTTTCTCCTTTAACGAGTGGAAGCTGACGCCAAATTATCGAGACAGAATTCAAGGTCCCCTGATGAAACCCACGTGGTAAGACAAAAGATTCCGAATGAGCAGGGGAGCTGTGATCGCAAAGCAGACCAACTAACGTGATCAATACGGACACAGGGCGATAGTAAACAGTCGAAGGCAAAGAGAAATAAGGTGAGAGAAGCCACTGGCACAGAGGAAAGTACTTTTCGTGGCTGTTTGCAGAAGGCTAACGTCGGCGTGACAATCCCAGATTCCAAATGCTACTGCAGGCCCTAGCAGCAAGGAGATAGATAGTGACCCCGTAAGATTTTACAACCCACCCCCAAAATACAAAGGGATCCCCAGTCCAAAGATCTAGGGGCTAACGCGAGCATTCCTAATAGGAGGAATCAACCGTCAAACATGGGGGGGAGAAGGCTGTTCCACGATGTGGTAAAAAAAAGGTGAACCATGGTGAAATATTTCAAGGATTCGTCGTGCTGACTGCCAAATTCTTCGCTTTCAATAGACTTCAAAACCAATCAAGTCGAGGAAAGGAGTCGCCTCCTCAAAAGAGCATAAGGAGGAAAAGCCAGGGCGTGCCGAAGACCCATCTACGTTTTTGAGCATAGAAAGCAACGAGCAAAAGATCGGAGCATATCTCGGGTATGACGATGCATCGGAATTACGAAAGCTGGCAGTCAGTTGGCCAGTCCTGAAAGCCTATGGAAAGTATGAAGCCATATCGAAGGGGCTGAGCCGGAGATTGGCTTTCCGGTTGATTCAAGGGAACGAGGAGATGTTTACCAAAGTCAATGCAGATGAGAAATGGCCACTTGCGCAAAGCACGGAGCCAAAGAAAGACTCTGCGAGGCATTTGGCTGCACTTTTGTTAACTTTGGAAGACGACTTGAAAATATATCGCTCGGATCCCAAGGTTAACGGAAACAAAACCAAGAAATACCGAGATAGCTTTAAAGCTAGCTACCCTGATCTCCCACTTCCAGCAAAGAGCCCAAAGGCTATACCGCCGAATTTAGGCCCTCTTCTTGAGCTAGGTGAATCGAGACTAGAATCGATCAACAGATGCTGGTCAATTTTAAAGTACATGAAGTACACCAAACAGTTGGGATCATGGGAGGCAAGATTCGCAAATGGTGTCCATCAGGGTGTGTCTATTGATGCATCTCACATCCCCGGCTGGATGCAGCCCCAGGCCACGGAAACTCCAGCCATAGAGCCCCCGCCAGACGTTGCTGCAGCGGACAGGCTACAGCCTATTGAGTTGAAGATTTGTTGGAAACGAAGTAGTGCCTTTCCAGGCAGTGAAGAGCTTTCGGAAGTGTTGGAGAAGGCAGAGGATAAAGGCATCTTTATACCCAGTGGAAGCGTGATATTTCAAAATGATCCCCGATTATTTTATTCAATCTTCTCTTTCAAGGACGAGGTCAGAAGAATGTACAACTGTCAAGAGATTGGTATGGATGTTCGGAATTTACGACTGAGCTACCATTCGAAATCCACCGGTGAGAAAATGGAAGCAAATATGCTCATTGACCCGTGGAACCAAACCAAAGATGCGTTCATCAATCCTGACCACTGCGATTTCAGCATAAATGTGGTCTTCGAATCGCTCGATGACCCGGACAGCACCATCTACGAGAGCTCAGACCCACCACCAGCGGTGCGGTCATTCTTGAACACGAAGAACACCGATGTAACGCTTAACATTGAAGCAATTTCGGCGCGAGCTTCACACGCCATTCCTACTTCTCCAGAGCAAACAGGCGCTGCCAGCTTGAAGGAGTACCTTGATGGTAACGGTGCCAAATTACCCAACGAAATTGGCGCTCCTCCCGAACCCAAAGCCTTTGATAAGAGGGAGGAATCGCTTCGTTACTACAGTGGATATGATGTGCAGTCTGAAGAGGGGAAGCGCGGGTTCCAGAGAATGATCCTTGCAGAATGCAGCAGAAATGCTCAAGCGGCACGATTGAAACTGGACAAGCTACCTAAGGATCTCGATCAGGAGCAGCAAATCGCTATTACGGCTGCACAGGCGACTATGCGTAAGGAGGCCATCGATGGAGAGGGATGTTTAGACAATGTAAGATGAAGACCTGATCAAAAGTACTTTCCCCCAACACTGACATGCTATTCTCCTCATGACACTTCTGTGGACGGCTATCGACTCGCGCTTTTACAACTACCTACCGGAAAGTTATACACCGAAGATGACCTATCCAGCGAATGGATTATGAAAATTGGCTTGCTTCTTCTGTATAACAGAATTAACGGGACAAAAGAGCTTCACCTCGGCAGATCCATCCACATTTCTTATCTGCATTTTCCACCACACGTCACCGAAAAGGTCCAAGCGGACATGACGTCGGTTGGCGCCAAAAAAGCAGCGGCAAAGTTAATTTAGCCTTGTGGTCCAAACTTCCGCGCAGCTGAGCGTTATTGGAGATTTTTCATTTTCCGCTTGTCTTTTCTGGATGAAACCTGACATTGCCTTTCTGATCTACTTTTTGCGTGGTTGCATTTTCGGTGCGCCCACTAGCTGATCGCGTTGGCTATGTGTCTTTCGGGCGAGAAGGTATTATGATTATTACGCAGGCCCAGCCTTTGGAGAATTAGTAGTACATCTGGCAATGCACAATTTCCAATTTGAATAATAATTCCCTTGCTAGTCACACTAGAAAATGGATGCTAATTTACCACATGTGGTACTCATCTCCATTTATAAGAGCCAGGATTTTAGAAAAGTACTTCCCCCCGCCCCCGCGGCACTTCACTCACGAGAGTAACAAAAAGAAGAAAAAATGCATAATAAACATCATTATTTACGAAAACTCCCATAAAAAAAAAAGAAAAAAGAAAAAAAACTCATAAATTAAAATCTGTACATACAGCACTGTTGATCAGTAATGCAAATGAGGCGATTAGGGCTCAGGGCTAGGGCAAGTAGCTGATCGGAGACATCCCATCCCGCAAATATTACCACCTCATATCCAATATCCTCGACCTTGGCACTTCTGGCGACCTCTGAGGCTATTTATAGTCATCAATTCGATAGCCTCTTACTATGGCTCGTAGTCTATGTCGCTGTCTCATTTCTAAGAAAATTCTTCTTTTGCACGGCCACACAGATTGTCTTTTAGGAAGTCAGTCAATCCTTGTTCAGACCAACCTAAACATCAATCTAACATCTAAAATTTATGAGTTTTTTATTTATTTAGGCCTAATCCTCCGCAATGAAATGCCGTACATTGATACTCGCACTACAATCTGATATCCCTTGGGCGATCCTCATCTAAACGAAGACGGATCTGTCTGCTCCTCCGATCGGGTCATAAAATTGTTGAAGCTGGTGAGTAATTTATCCTTGGTTGGTCTACGTGCAAAACGAGAGATATTAGCGACATCACTGATAAGGTAATAGATACAATGGAAGTCATCTGGCGTCAGAATCAGCGCCGCGTCGAGTACGCAGTGGGTATACCAACTCTTCAGGCATTGTGTACGATATGAACTACCTCGTGGGTTACTTTGACAATCTTTTAGGCTTGAGTTGAAAGTTGGAGTGTTTCTAACTTGTCCCAGTCAGGATAATTTTGTGACGAATTAGATATCGAGATGGCTCATGCACAATCACGGGGCGAAAAGGTGATATCGGAGAAACAATAAGACATGCAGATACTGGGGAGTGTATGGAAGTGGAATTCTTGTCTCGCCTGGGATCTCCGAGGCAGCTTTTCTCGGTCCTGAGTAGGTTTGTACCAGTCAGTCTTTTTCTGGGTCTATTTCTCCTGTTCTGCAACGCAATTGCTGACATATATGTATCAGTGTATCAAACTGGCCCCCGATAAAGTGTGCTGGACTTTGGAAGCAATACTGCGTTGGCCGTGAGGAAATAGAAAATAAGGATAATTCTATATAATCAGCTAACATTCTGCTCCTTGGTAGAACACTGAATATATCTTTCTCTACTCTCTACGAATGGCCCCCATACAACCCCGCATTCCTTGCGCTATAAATAGATGGGGAGATGTTTCCCAGCCTTGTCTCACTCCACACCGTCTATCAATCCATCTTCAACATCATTCAATGATCCAACCGATCAAGATGAGTGATGAATCTAGTACACCTCAAAACGACTCCATGATTTCAATCGGCTCCCACAGCCTCTTCGTCTCGGTAACTGGTCTCCCTCATACCAACGGCGATCCCCCGATCGTCTTCATACCTGGCAACGGCGACGTCGCAACGTCCTTTGCAGCCGTCGAACGCGCCATCAAATGCTTCGCAACAGTCGTTCTCTACGATCGCACCGGTCTAGGACGCAGCGAAGACGCGCCCACTCCAACAAACCCAACCGCCGTTTCGTCCGCGATCGAACTACACACCCTCCTATCCAACGCCGGGCTAACATCCCCGGTAATCCTCGCCGCCCATTCATACGGCGGCATCATCGCCCGCGAATTTCTCCACCTTTACCCGGACCACGTAGCTGGGATGGTTCTCATCGACGCCGCATCCGAACGAAACAGACATCTCTTCGAAACCCCCAACCTCGATCTCCTCGCCGTCTTCGGTGGTTTGGACTACGCCCGAGTAACCGGTCTTCGGGATCGGTCGAAACTCACCCGGGACGAATGGAGGACGCGCGCGATCGGGATGGCGCGGGGCCTTAAAACAGGCCAAGCGGAGGCCACGGGCGGGATTCCGATTTGCAAGACTCTCGAGGAGAAGAAACAGTATCTCACTCGACCATTAGGGAGTAAACCGCTCAGTGTGGTGGGGTGTAATTCCACCGGTGATTATCGGAAGCTGTTTGACAAAGCGGTCGAGGCTGGAAATGGAACAGAGGAGCAGAGAGAGGCGTACAGGCAGTTATTGGAAGTTTGGGTTGAGCATGAGCGGGAATGGCAGGAGGAACAAGTGCAGCTTTCGTCGAATGCGAGGTTTGTTCATTTGCCTGATTGTGGACATCACGTTCAAATCTTAAGGCCGGATGTGGTGGCGGAGGAGATTCGGTGGGTGAGAGAGCAGGTTCTAAAGAGGGCGGGGAAGCTTTGATTGAATATCCGAAATAAAATGCCAATGTTTACATACACTGTGATAAACAGACAGTTACTCTTATTTCCATTTTGCTATTCTTTCCTATTGCAATGTGGAAGTTATGTGACAAGAAATTCGTTATTTGACTTGGCAATTATGCAAACGCGGGATGATTATGCCATCTCTTCACTGTTTAACAAAATCTTCTCCTCCGATAACAATGAAGACATTTTACTCGACAATTCTGATAAACTCCAAGAGTAATGTTCTTGGTGTGCGGGGTAAGTGTCACATTATTCTAGAGTATCTTTTTCTGGCCCTGAACTACCTTGTCCAGAGATATGCCGTTTCAAACACCTTTACATTCTACTATGATTGGTAAAATAAGAGACAATACTGCCAGTCCATCACATTATACTCAATGTCACCGGCACACTTTTACTGGCGAGGCACATAAATCCTTGATGGATAGAGGTCTATTCGCACGAGAACATGCACGGGCAGCGACCAAGAGATTCGACAGAGCACGTCATTTATGTTGAAGAATAAATACTTATCAGGCACAATGTTTGGTAGATGAGACACCTGAATGCATCATATTCAACTTTCATTCCATCGCCAAAATGTCAGACAAGTTGGACAGCAAAGTCACTACAACCCAAACAGACACGGATCGACCAGCACTCGCTGGTTTGTTCACCAGCCGCAGAAGAAGAGATCCGACTGAGATAGCAACACAAATCTCTGTATTCGATGACCCTGACAAGGCTGCATTTTTCCAACCTCATCCTCAGTATGAGAACCTGCACCGCTTCGATCCCAGTGAGCGATGGACGTGGGGTGAAGAGCTGGTTTGTTTACCTATCTCTCTCTCTTCCTATAATGTTTCTGATATATTGCAGCCATTGATCCGCAAGATTGACTGGAAAGTCACTTGTTGGGCCGCATTGGCCTTCTTTGCCCTCGACCTGGATAGAAGCAATATCAGCCAGGCCAACACGGACAATTTCCTGGAGGATATGGGGATGAACACGAATGGTATGGAAAGGTTGGCCTGAATGTTTAACAAAGACTGACTGAAAGACAGACTTCAATCTCGGACAGACGCTATTCAAGGTCGCCTTTCTGGTTGCAGAACTGCCGTCGCAGCTTGTTAGTAAAAAGATTGGACCGGATCGTTGGGTGAGTTGTTCCATCATCACAATATGAATTGACTGATTATTCCAGATTCCCATCCAGATGATTCTCTGGAGTATTGTGTCTGCCGCGCAGCTCGCACTGAATGGACGAGCATCGTTTCTTTGCATCCGAGTGCTTCTTGGATTCTTGCAGGGGGGATTTATCCCAGACATCATCTTGTACTTGGTAAATATACATACCGAGTTATTAAGAACAGCCACTAACTAGACCTAGTCTTATTGGTACAAGAATAACGAGCTTCCTTTCCGCCTGGCAATCTTCTGGATGGCTAATCGTCTCACCGACGTGGTATCCCCGTTGATTGCATATGGCGTCTTACATCTCCGTGGCCATCAAGGCAGAGAGGGATGGAGATGGCTGTGAGTCTCACATACAAGCATCTAGCGTATAAATTCTGACGAAATCCAGATTCCTCATCGAAGGCCTCATCACCCTCGCAATCGGACTTTGGTCCGTCTTCCAAATGGCCCCATCACCCACGCAAACAAAAGCACCATGGCGCCCAAAAGGCTGGTTCTCCGAACGAGAAGAAAAGATCATGGTGAACCGCATCCTGCGCGATGACCCGTCGAAAGGCGACATGCATAACCGGCAAGCCATCACGCCGCGGCTGTTGTGGAAGTCGCTGTGCGATTTCGACCTCTGGCCTGTCTACGCTATCGGCTTGACGTTTGGCATTCCTGCCGGTCCTCCGGATCAGTATCTTACGCTGATTCTGCGGAATCTGGGGTTTGATACGTTTAATTCGAATTTGTTGAGTATTCCGGCGCAGATTGGGACGACTGTTAATGTATGTCTATCACCATGATACATCTGGAACTGGGATACTACTAATCATAATGTGCAGATGCTCATTCTGACATATATATCAGTGAGAATCAACCAGCGTGCTCTGATCGGCCTTTTTGTGCAGTTTTGGTTTCTGCCTTGTCTCGTTGCTCTGGCGGTTCTTCCCTCTACCACGTCACGCTGGGGCTCTTATGCTCTGGTGACGGTTCTGCTTGCCTATCCAACCCGTAAGTTAATATCTACCAAAGGTATTCCGATGCTGACATGTATAGCCCATCCCATGCAGGTTGGATGGTGCAATTCCAACTCGAATACCGTCAGAACGAGGACGGTTTCTGCAGCAGTGTACAAGTTCTTTAGTATATAAATACGATAATTTCAGCTAATCCTGTCTAGCATGATGGTCCAAGTCCAATCGATCATCTCATCCAACATTTACCGCGCGGACGATAAACCGCTTTGTAAGTTCTATCCTCAAAGCACTTATATATTTCTATATTAATTAAATCCAGATCGGCGGGGAAATCGAGTTCTTGTGGCCATTACCTGCTGGAATATTCTGCTCTACGTACTGGCCAAGGTGTACTATACCTGGCGGAACAAGCGGCGGGATCGGATCTGGGACGGCATGACAGCAGAGGTGAGACTGATTCTGATGAGATGAATTCTGTTGAGTGCTAATTGGGTGTAGGAGAAACATGAGTATCTGAATACGACTACTGATGAGGGGAGTAAGAGGTTGGATTTCAGATTTGCCAGTTAGAGGACTCCTGGGATGTGCTATTTTAAATATACAATGAACATGACATTCAGCCTTGCATACGAGCAGCCTAATTGGGATATACGAGCATCATCTATCTGCATGCATGGCATCGTCATATAGTATTGCCAAGAATAAATACGAAGACTGATGTCGATCAGCAGCCGAGTACGAGCCTTGCCTATTTCGGCTCAACCATGATGAGTATAAATATGACCTGAGGAACTTGCCATTGATATCCCAGAAAAAGATATCTAGTGAATTGAAAACAAGAAGAAAATGACTTCCCTTTCACTTCTACTCGTCTTTTACATTCTGTCACTCCTTTCCCTCGCCCATTCTCTAAAATCCACTCCCATCGACCTCGGCTACGCAACCCACGCACCCACATATCTCAACTCAACCGCGTCAGGAACTCGTGTATCCCTCTACAACAACATCAGGTTCGCGCAGCCCCCGACCGGCGACCTCCGATTTCGCAAGCCACGCACTCCCCCACCACACCAGGCCGGCATCCAAGACGGACGCGATCGACTGTACACCTCTGACTGCGTGAGCTCGGCGCCCGATGAAGTTCCCATCCCCGGCATCAACGGCTCAACCTGGGGACAGGAGGATTGTCTTTTCTTGAATGTCTGGGTTCCAGAAGGAGTGCGCCCGGGAATCGACCGGGTGCCGGTGGTCCATTGGTTGCATGGTTCGGGATATGCATTTGGCAGTAAAGACATCATGGTGGATGGGATGTCTTTGATGGATCGTGTGAGAAAACCAGAGGATCGGTTCATCTATGTGGCGAGTAATTATAGGTAAAGGGCACTTATCTTGTTCTCCCTTGCTTGGGCTGACCATGGCAGGCTGGGGCTTTATGGGTGGTCCTCGGCCGCAGACGAAGATATGGACGCCAATGTCGGGCTGCATGATGGTATTGCTGCGGTGGAGTGGACGAAGAAGTACATATCGCGCTTTGGTGGTGATCCGGATAATATCACGGTCATGGGAGAGAGCGCAGGGGCCACGATGGTTGCCTTGATGTTGGTCGCAGAAGGACTTGACCTTCCTTTCCAAAAGGTAACACAGGATACTCTGTGACATTCACGTCAAACTCACCTTCCCATCCTAGGCATTTATCTCGTCGCCCGCCATGATGCCCAGACGAAACGTCACGAGCCGTCGCAGAAATGTTTTCAATCAAGTCCTCAAAGCAGCCAACTGCATATCCCTTGGCTGTCTACGCAATGCGTCCGCTACAACCCTGGTCAAGGCTAATAAATATCTCCTCATTGAGGTCCCAGGTGAGTCAGGAGGAGCGACATTCGGACCAGGTATTGGGCTGGGGCCGTTCCCTGACGGGAAATATATCCCCGATGCGATGACAATCCTATTCAACAAAGGACAGTTTAATAAACAAGTCCAATCTGTGGTCTCTGGCAACACCGCTGCCGAAGGATTCGGGACAACCCCAGATGTGAGCACCATGCACGAGTTTGCCACACTCATAAGGCGCATGCTACCTGGGGCAACCAATGCCACCGTCCAGCGGATCCGGGAATTGTACCCATACCCGGACTCTCAGATACAGGCCGTGGCAGCAGATTGGACGACTGATGTTGCGTTTGGCTGCAACGCTCAGGCAATCGCAAAGGCATATGCGAACAAGACGCGACGATATGTTTTTTCAGTTCCGCCTGCAATGCACGCGCTGGATTTGAATTGTAGGCATTTTCCCTCATACATTGGTACATGGCTAATCTATCTCAGATCTATTCTACACGGATGAAGATAAAACACCCGTCTCGAACGTGACGTTGGCAAGGGAGTTCCAGTCCAGAACGCTTGCTTTCGTCCGTGGACACGGCAATACTCCTAATACTGCGACTGGGGACTGGCCGGTTTATGAGAACAGGTCAAGCATGGTAAATATCACAGAGGGTGGCTTTGTGAAGGCCGTTGATCCTTGGGCTATGAGGAAAAATTGTGACTTGATATTTGAAATAGTTATGGACCCAGCGAATGGGGCTTGATTGATTGTTACTATGCCTATATAGGGTGCGGCAATTATGTTTTCTTTCTTTTTTTGATTTATAGACGGCTGTCGATATATAACGTTCTGTTTTATTCAAGTCTCTACAGCACAAAAATAACAACATTTACTCTTGAGAATCGTTTAGCTACAGAAAACACCAAAATAATATATCAAAAAAAGAAAAAAAAAAATACAACAACAGGATGTATTATAGTGGTCACCCAGCTTCGCTCAATCTATCATGGGCGCTTCGCCGATCTAGTAAGTATGATCCCTCAATATTCTTGACTATTTTGCCTAGATCTTGGACTCTATTATGTATTTCTAGTTTTATCTCCACCTAGCGTTTGATTAGCGTTTATCCATTGCGGTATTACTCTTGGCTATGGTTGATATGCTTGGAAATTTTTCTGTAATTAAAATATATAGCTTCATTTCTTACTCATGTAGAAAAGCGGTATTCGGACAGTCACGCCCCCCTGCAGGTGGCTCGTCCGCCAGACACGCTACGTAAGACGCGCAACGCGAGGTCATCAGACAGCAAACTACAGCCACTTTCTCTCATCAGAGCCAAGGGGCTTGGGCATAACATCCCAACCAACATTGACTCCTTCAATGGAAGCAGAGTGGCGAACATAGGTCATCTCACCAAATCCAGTTTCCCGTGTCTCCAGGTACTCTGGCGGGACGTCCTTGGTGCAGGTGAAATCGCGGGTGTTGAAGCCCGACTTTCCTTCGAATTGACCCAGAGATCGCAGATACTTCATGACACCTGCCAGAGACACGTCAACCTGCCAAGAACCACCCTCTGTGGCCTGCTTGCACAGTGCGGCCTCGATGCCAGCGGCGAGGAAGTAGCCTCCGGCGTGATCTAAGGCCTGGCAAGGAGTGGGACGGGCCGCTTCGCCAGCACCGTAGTGTTCGGCCTCAGACACGTTCATGCCAGAGCAGGTTTGGATAAGAGAGTCAAAGCCGCGCTTGTCTGACCACGGACCGTCAGGGCCATAGGCAGACATGTTGGCACAAATGATGTTGCGGTGTTGGAATCGCTTAGCCAGAGCATCAGGCGAGAAACCGCGGTAAGCAACACCCCCAGGGCGGAAGCCCTGAACGAAAACGTGGGCGTCCTCAAGGAGTCGCGACAACTCATTCTGATCCGATTGCATGTCCAGATTTAGCTGAATTGTACGCTTGCCACGGCCAAAGTCACGATCCATGGTAGGAAGATCAGGAAGGTTAGGGCTAGTAATCCAGAGAACATCAGCACCGTGGGCAGAGAGAGTTCTTCCAGAAAGAGGCGCGGCAATCACGCGAGAAAGTTCAAGGACACGCAGGCCCCGAAGGGCCTTGTCGGATTGCGATTGCATAGATGAAGGCAGACCAACCGGGCCATCAGACAGCTTTCGAAGAGTGATAGGGAGGTCAGTAATCTTCTGGGCCTGAGGGAGAACGTCCCACTGGGAATAGGATCGCAGTGCGGAAATGACAAGGCGGTTGTCAAAAGCAGCAGCCTCAAGGTCGACCGAGCACCAGTTCTTGATTTTCTCTGCGAGCTCAGCACGGCTGGCATTCGGCTCGCAGCCAACCAAGGCCAGAGCGCCGTCACGGTGGTGAGGGAAAGAGTCGTGCACGCGCACATATCCATCAGAGGTCTTGTGCAAGCCACCAACGGGTCCCCATGGCGAAGGGGCGGGTTTACCTGCCAGGGTATATAATCTCTCAGACTTAAACTCAACCGAGGCGTGCTCCAGGCTAACCGTCACCTTAGGCACAGAAGAAGATGAAGTGCGAAGAGCATAGAGTTGCGCGGCTAGTAAAGCTGACAGACCAATAGAAGCCTGTGCAATGTGGGCGATCTTGAAAGAAGAAGGCAAACCCAGGCCATTGCCAGTGAGCTGGAGCTTCTCGGGGGATCCAACAGGGAGACCTAGCGCCTTCCAGAGATAGTCAACGCTGTCGTTGGCCGAAAACTGAGTGCGATCCCGAGCAACCAGGCTTGACTCAGCCTCGGCCTTTTGGGCCAAAGCGGCCGGGACCTTAATGGTCAAAAGGGGGCCATGTTGCTGAGTGCCAAGTGTGTCGCGCTCTCCAACCGTTCCCTGTTCCCAAGGTCGACGGATAGTGCACTTCCATGCCAATGCAGGTTCAAAGAACATATTGACGATGATGTCCTCAGACTTGAGGTGGTACAATGACATAATGAGGTCATCGGTCAGGACGTTGGCTCCCTTGACACGCTGGTAGGCTTCCTGGGTGTCAAACATGATATCAAAGGTCATCTCAAAGGGACCCGAGTTCTTGGATCTGATGATCTTGGCGATATCCATCATTTGGCACTCTCCTTGGGGCACTGGCTTGAAGCGCAAGGGTTCGAGGGGTTCCGAGAGTAATACTTGTCTGTCAGAGTCGGAAAGTCCAAGCGTCGCTGCATTCTCAGAGGGTGGAGGGGTATTTGTGACCGTGTTGATGGTGACAGGGAATAGGTTGGTCTCTTCATCAGCTTCAAGATTGACAAGATGGTAGACGTTAAAGCGGAAAACAGGGCCAGCAGCAGTCTCATGAGGAGAGAGGGGAGACGCAAAGTTGCCAGTTGTTGCGACCTGGTTCTTATAAGGAATGTGCAGAATAGAAGCGCGGGCATTATTGGCAATGGTATATGAGAGCTCCTGGGAGGGTGCAATAACCTCACCAAGAATACCAAGGTCATGCCCAGCGACTGGAGTAGGCTCGATCGGGCCCATAGTCCCGTTACGGCCATAGAAGTGGAAAAGCATCTGGCACTGTGGGGAATTATCCAATTCGGGGAATAGGTTCTTAGTATAGGCACGCACATCCGCAAGGAAAGAGTCAATCTGACTGATGAGAATAGGGTCGCGAATACCACCAATAAAGATCGTGCGGTATCCAAGCTTCTCAACGCCCTCTAACTTCACTTGATATACCGGCGTATGCTTAAATTCAGCACCGCTGACACGCACAGTCTTCTCTGTTAACTGCTCATAAGAGGCTTTATCAAGAATGAGGACTCCACCGGGGCCAGGCAAGCGATCAGGCCGTGTCTTTTCATACAACGTGTGGGCGGCAACTGAGAGGGGAGTACACCTCTCCTTGGGCGATAATGGAGTCAAGTCGAAAGAATCCTCTCGCATCGTGGCAATCATTGAGCGTCCCTTTGGCAGTGCGCAGATACCACCACACTCCATAATCTTTCCCATATGCCAGGCGACGCCGGGGCGTACACCGTGATACATAGAGAAGGCAGCGAAAGGCGCAGGATCATAGCAGCGACCTCCAAGAATAATATCAGGCTTCATCTCCAAAGCTTTAAGGAAGCTTTACCTCGGATGTTAGCATTTTTTTCAAAGAAAAAGAGATCCGGAGTAACGTACGGCTCTGCGCCCATCTGTGCAACGACGTCGATAGCGCGATCTGCGCTTTCGACAGTCAACTCTTCGACAGGACCGCAGGGGCCAACCTTTTGACCGACAATACGCTTCTTTAAGAGATCCCTTTGGAATCCGGCATTAATAGTCGCAACCTTGAAGGAAAAGCCTTCCTTCGTGGCGATCTCTTGGACGATTTCGAACATCTCTTGGACATGCTTGTTGCTGCCATCACCACCAACCGAACCGATCAGGACCTGGATCTTCTTGTAGAAACAGGCCTTAAGGATAGGAGTTAGATCACGAAGATAAGAGTCACGGCCGCAGGTCATTTTATTCAAGCCAAGCTTGTAAGGCCCGCCATCGGTCGACCCGCTGTCAACAATGATCGCCTTGGGGGTGAACTTCTCTATTCCATACCAGAAATGGTCGGCCCGGTAGCCATAGCCGAGCATGGCATTCGGAGTTAGAATATTGAATTCGGAAGACATGGCGGAGGTGGACAAGCGTTGACCAGAGTTGACTCCCAATAATCTCAGAATCACACCAGGATTAACCGTGCGTCGTGCGTTGGTCTAATAGTTTGGGCATTCGGTATGACGCCGATGCGGGGAAACCCGAAAGCCGACAGAAGCACCGGCAACATGCCGAATAGAACCTGGTCATATGAAACAGGAAAAGCAGTCAGCATCGAGTTGGAGATAATATTTGATATGCTTCTCCCGTATTATCCCGCTCCTCATCGCCTCCCATTCTCCTGCAAATATGAGTCTCTCAAACTTGCTGGGTTCTTTCGGGTGGATTTCTACGAAATTTGGCCAGTCCGAACAGCCTCGAATCTCTGAAGACAGTGGTACGACTTCAGCGTCAGCTATCTCTCGTCCACAATTTGATCATCTTCCACTGAAGAAGGGCGATCCGAAGGCCTCCGCTTGGGGACTCTGGGGCGACCAGGATGAGCGGGGGACACTGAATCTGATCACCCACGATGTTGTGCGCGCGGCTTCAATGGAGTCTATCTATGGGAAAGTTATTAACTTGAAGTATCTTTTTTGCCTTTTCCAGATGTTCATATTTACTGCTTTTCTTTATGCTGACCAGTATTCCGAAGTCTACCCCTAGATGTTCCATTAAAGCCAATGAACCCCCGCAGGAAGCCATGTGCCCATACATTGATTGCTAAGGGACATGCAAATGACGACGAGGTAGTTCTTTTCAGATACCATCGTGATCATTCCAGACCAAAATAGTGACCATTTCTAGCTCGATTTTAACACGCAAAGTTCGAGCCATTGGGATGGGCTCCGCCATTTCCCATACTCCGAAACCAAGCAATTCTATAACGGTGTTCTTCAAGAAGAAATCGCATCTACTCATAAGATTGGAATTCAAAGTAAGATACGGCATCCAGGGGGACTTTTTGAGTATCTACAGGTAACAATTTTTTTTTTTTATTTTTTTCTAGATATCGCAGAGAATCCAATCGTGACCCGAGGAGTCCTTCTCGATTGGTATGAATATGTCCAGCGAAAGGGCCTGCAACATCATCCATTTACAAACCAAGCCATTCATCTCCATGAGTTGCTCGAGATTGCAAAGGAGCAAAAGGTCACTTTCCGCCGCGGAGACGTTCTTCTCATCCGTACAGGTTGGACTGCGGCCTATTCCAAGTTAACCAATGCTGAAAAGGACCATCTCGGTGGACGCGATGACCGTGCCTCTTGTGGTGTCGAGGCCTCAGAGGCAGCGATAAGATGGCATTGGGAGCAACAATTCTCCGCGGTAGCCAGTGACACGGTGGCATACGAACAATGGCCGTCACCGAAGCCGTGGGGTGTCTGTATGCACGAGGTAAGTGATGAAAGCTCCTTGGAAGATGTGAAAAATGGGCGCTCACCAAGGCGGACAGGTCTTTCTCAGTGGCTGGGGAATGCCCATCGGTGAGTGCTGGGACCTGGAAGAGTTGAGTAAGACTTGCAAAGACCTACGTCGTTGGACGTTCATGCTCACCAGCCAACCGCTCAACCTCTATGGGGGTGTTGCCAGCCCACCTAATGCAACTGCAATTTTTTGATTTTTTCCTTTATAACTCCAAAAAGGAAGGCAATGTCTCTTGCCAAATGCAATGAAACAAAACTAGATACTCCATTCGAGCTTAGCCCTTTAAGTACAGCGGTATGATTGTTAAAATAGAGGAACGCATGTCGAACTTGAAAACTTGACAAGTACAAACCACACCAAAACTATGAGTGATGTCGACATGTCTGTTGAGTTTCGTATCCTGTGCTTAAGTTGTCTGGCAGCTTTGCAACAAGACATGCGACGATAAATATCTTGGCGGTAGCGACCACGCTCAATGCTGCATGATCAGAGGCTCAGAGGTATTCGGTATGTGCTCGGTGTGGCTCCGGCAACAAACCGACAATTGGCGGCATAGATTCGCCCCTTTGCGCTTGCTCAACGTTGCAGCCGCTCTTGGCGAGATCCCCAGGCTATCCCTCGCTACGGGTCGTGTATCCCCAGACAGATCAGGCATGGAAATGCGGGGATGACACCCTGGATAACCTAATGGCCTATGCCAGCTCTGTGGCTATATAAACGCCTCTCGACAACTGTCAGAAATGTCTTGAGCCTTGTCTGCAGAGTCGAGCCGTCTTTTGGGACTGAGCCTCCATCCCCCCTTCTTTCATTCCTCTCCTATCTGCGGATCACCGATCACAAGGACCTCTTTGACACATCAAACATGGACCCGGAGAAGCAAAACATGGAGGAGTCTATGGAAGTCACCACTTGCCATGAGAACGTTCTCGCAGATGAGGCTCTCTCCCAGTATACGGAAGAAGAAAAGACGAAGGCATTCCGAAAACTGGACTGGAATTTGATCCCTCTGTATGATTCGCCTTTCTCTACCGGATCCTCCTATTCTCCTGCTGACACCGAAATAGACTCGGTTTCCTTTACATGCTGTCTTACATCGATCGAGGCAATGTTGGAAACGCTTACACGGCCGGTATGGGAAACGAATGGGGCATCACTTCCAACCAATATTCCTGGATCATTACCGCGTATTATCTGGCTTATATTGCTTTCCACTGGTTTATTCTCCTTTGGAAATTGGTTTCTTTACCGGTACGTATTTCTTCTGTTTCGCTACCTGCTCTTCAAACTAATGTGGCTAACAGATGTGGGTTGCTATTGTTGCCTTTGGATGGGGCGCCGCGAGTATTCTCCAGGCAGCGACTACAAATTTCGCAGGAATCATCGCTCTTCGGTGCTTGATCGGGGCCTTTGAAGCTGGTTTCGCCCCTGGAGTTGCTTTATTCCTCTCCTTCTTCTACCACCGATCGGAAATGGGCTTCCGATACGGCCTCTTCATCTCATTTTCTCCCATCGCCAACTGCTTTGCATCTGCATTGGCTTATGGTATTGTTCATGCCAATACCTCACTATCCCAGTGGAAACTGTTGTTTATTATCGGTAAGCCAAAAGCTCGATCGCTCTCTGCAGAGGATGATGCTCATACTTTTTTCTAATCTAGAAGGAATTCCTACCCTCCTCGTCGCACCACTTGCCCTTATCTTCCTTCCCAAGGGCCCGGGCGAATGTCGATTCCTCACAAAGAGAGAGAATGATATCATTCGTCTCCGTGCCCTCTCCGCCCGTGGGCATGAGGAAAAGGGTAAGTTGAATATGAAGCAGGTTTTTTCTGCTTTCTACGACTACAAAAATTACTTCCAGGCCATCATTATCTTCTGTCTGAATGTGAGATCAAGCAACTCTACCATTGACCTGTTAATGCTATTTCGTTCAAGCTGATTCATATTCCTTAGGCGGCCTTCGCTGCGCTGCCAGCTTTCCTTTCAACTATCATTGAGGATATTGGATACTCCTCAGTTCAAGCACAGGGTCTGTCTGCACCACCATACCTTGCCTCCTATTTCGTTTGCTTGGCTTGCTCGTTCCTCTCCGATAGGGTGAAGAACCGCTCTTATTTCCTGAGCGCTCTCAGTACGGTAGGAGCTGTGGGATATCTGGTTCAAGCCCTTGTCAAAACAAGCGCCGTGCGATATTTTGCCACCTACCTTATCTGCGGTGGTGTCTTCCCCGCTGTCGCTCTCACTTTCACCTGGGTGACTGATAATCAAGGCTCGGCCTCAAAGCGAGGTGCAGGATTGGTCATCTTTGGGATGGTGGGACAAGCTGGTTCGATTGCTGGCTCTCGCTTCTTTCCCAAGGAAGACGGGCCGTTCTATGTCAGGGGAATGGCCATCAGTGCCGGCCTTTTGTTCTTTGTTGCCATTCTCACCCAGGGACTGCGATTCCTGCTTGACAGGGAGAATAAGCGCCGGGATCGTATCCATGGCACAGTGAAGACGACTGATATGTCGAACGATGTGGCAAATGCTGGAGATGAACACCCCAGCTACCGCTTCATGTTGTGATCAACATTAAACCCAGAACTGGGGGAATTATTTGTGGTCGGTTACTGATATTTGAGGAACGCTTGATGTATTCATTGAAGTTAGTGATAATCTTACTTTTTAAGATAACCTATATATACTATCAGGATGATATCTCCGCTATATTAACCTAACCTATTCGCATCGGAACGCCTGAGTGTCTGAGGTAAAATACATGCTCCATAGAAATACTTGGTCATCATACCGCATAATACCACTTTCAGTCATTCTCGACATAATATATATAGAACTTCAAGGTAAGCATATATAATGATATAGCCAGATAGCTTAGTTAGATAGTTGAATAAATTTATTTCAATGCCTAGCTTCGGATTGTAATATTTCTTTATGAAAAGTAGTCTTTTTCTCTATGTCCAGTCCTTTCGTAGATGTATATATGTACTGTAGAGTGTAATCCTGTTAGTAGTGGTAATATATTCTTCCTTTTTTCCGATAAAAATATGAAAAAGAAAGAAAAAAACAAAAAAACATACAACAGGAGGCCCATCCAACTACTAACCTGCCGGTATGTGGCTCTTCGCGGTCAATACCTGGGTAGGTGCCTCCAGGGTGAGAAGGTGTCTGGAGTGACTGATTAATCCTCATCTTTCATGGCGTGGTGTGAAATTATCGGCAACTGATGCATAGTCAGAGACTTTTATAAGGCCCTAAACCTGGATCTTAATAGAAGAAAGCCGAGTAGATGGGGCCAACTCATATTGAATGTCTTTAAATTAACAGAATTCGATTTCTTGGACGAGAAAAATTCGCATGTTCAGACTAGTTGCATACAGAGCTGAGCTTTCCACCAGAATTGACATGCTTCTCGAGTATATCAACAATGGCTTGGTGCCCATTACCTTCTGCTGCTTCGAGGGCTGTGCACTCGTAATAGTCTTGCATGCCAACCCCGGCACCATTTTCGAGCAGGATCCCAACGATTCTCTCATGGCCATTTCCTGCGGCTTTATGGAGTGCTGTTTGGCCACATCCATTTTGGAAATTCGGATTGGCTCCGTGGACAAGCAGTATCTCAACAATCCGTAGATGCCCGGTTTCCGCTGCTGCTTGAAGTGCGATGCCATGGGATGGGTCTTCAGGTTCTGTAGCAGCACCATGCTCAAGAAGGATTGCCACAACTTTCTGTTTCCAATTTAATGATGCACTGTAGAGTGCTGATTGGGAGAACATATTAACAGTGTTTACTTTAGCACCATGACCAAGCAGTATGTTAACAACTTCTTCATGTCCTCTTTTTGCTGCTATAAAGAGTGCTGTTTCTTCAGATGTGGAAATATTGAAAGCATTGATATCAGCTCCATGGTCGAGCAGTATCTCAACAATTTGCAAGTTTCCAGCTTTTGCTGCACTGTGGAGTGCTTTAGGAGTCACAGCAGCTCGTCGGCGAAGAAGTATTTCTACAACTTTTTGGTGCCCCTTGTTTGATGCTATGCAGAGTGGCGTGTCGCCATATTGAGCAGCTTCGATATCAGCTCCATGATTGAGAAGTAACTCTACCACTTTGTGATGCCCTTGCTCCGATGCCTTATGCAACGCTGTAATGCTATACCGAGCAGTGTCCATATCAGCACCATGATCAAGCAATATCTTAGCAACTCTATCATGGCCATTTTTAGCTGCTTCGTAGAGCGCTGTATATCCCCCATCTCTTTGGAGATTAACATCGGCTCCATGACTGAGTAGTGTTTCGACAACTTGTTGATGACCATTGCCTGACGCTAACTGGAGAGCTGGACCAAAATCTTCAGATTCAGAGTTAGGGTTGGCTCCTTGACCGAGTAATAGTTGGACAATCTGTGGATTACCCACAAATGACGCTGCTTGGATTGCCGAGCCAAAGAATCCATTCTCAATATTAGGCCTGGCTCCATGGGCAAGTAATAATCGAACAATTTGCTGATTACCCCCAAATGACGCTGCTTGAACGGCTGAGCCATACAATTTACCTTCTATGTGAACATCGGCCCCTTGGGCAAGTAATATTTCAACAATATGTTGGTGACCCCCACTTGAGGCTGCATGGAGTGCCGTGCCATACAATTCGCCCTTGATATCAATATCGGCTCCATGGGCAAGTAATTTCTGGACAATCTCTTGATGACCGCTAGCGGATGCTTCCTGGAGAGCTGTTGTGCCATCTTTACTTTGAATGTTAACATCGGCTCCGTGAGTGAGTAAAATATCAACGATTTGTTCATGACCCCAACTTAATGCTTCCTGGAGTGCTGAGTCAGATGTCTTACTGCGTAGATTAACATCAGCTCCATGCTCAAGTAGCATTTCGACGATGCGTTGATGACCCGCTGATGATGCAAACCCAAGCGCAGTGGTATCCGTCGACCCTCTACCATGAGTGTCAGCGCCATTATTCAGTAACATTTGAACCATATCCTCATGGCCCTGTTCCGAGGCTATCTGGATTGGTGCATCGCTCCCTTCATTGACTTCGGCTCCCTCTTCTAGCAGTAACTGTGCAAATTGTTTTAGTCCAAGAAAAGTCGCAAAGCCCAGAGACGTCCAGCGAGAATATTGACGCCAATCTCCAATCAAGTCCCCATAAACAAAGGTCCAAATTTGTAGATGACGGCTGCCAGGATCACAGAGAATGCGCACGCGATTTAGATTGTTGTCAGAGAGGGCAGTTCCATGCTTGACAATATGCGAAGGCCAATAGTTACCTGAATAGTCAAGCAATGGATATGAATTTTCAATGAGATCCCCCAAAACGTAATCATACCCGCCGATGTCAGAGATAAACAAGTAATCGAGACATACTTGTAACATTGTTCCGTGAGAATGCTGGAGGCTGAAGCTGCCTCCCCAACCCACATGCCCTTCTTCTCGCTTCGTTAAAAGAAATTCTCTTGCTGTCTGATGGATGAATGAGAGTTTTGAGTCGTGTATGCTGATGAATAGGCCACAATATTCTTTAACGACGTCCTGAAAAGCGGGAAGCGACCATGTTTCACCCATGAATTCTTCATGTGATTCCATTCTCTGATCTTGAAGTGCGAGGGTCAACGCAAAATTTGCTTCAAGTAGAGTAAGAGGCCTCTCGGCAGCGAGAACAAGTTGAAGAAGAGTTCTCTTTACTTGCTGATCGCCGTTTCGACTCAACATGCTTTCATAGGCATCAGCAACGCTACTAGGCAAATGGGACAGTAGCCGTTCTACAGATGAAGTTTTGGAATACATAGCAGGCTGTTCATCAATATAATTGAGTGTCAGATATAGCCAAAGATAGGTGCGATTATCCATGCTTTTGAGTCGCGCCTTAATCTTCTCAGCAGCATTGGTTTTATCATTGAATTTTCTGGTCAGGGTTTCGACTTTCGCGTCGATGACGAGATCAATTTCTTCACGGATCTGGTCGTACTTTTCATCGCCGTCAAGGCGCATGTATGCTGCGTTCTTCGGGAAGTTTTCGAAAGAATATTCCAAATCTTGGTAGGGACGACTGGTGATAAGGAACTTGAGCTTTGACTTTGACCGCATCTCTTCGTTGGAAAAGAACTTCTCCAGGACATTTAGGATCCAGCTTCTGCTGCTTTTTTCACATTCATCCAGAGCATCCAGGACGCAGATGATTTCGCTGCCTTCTGAAGCTGTTGCGCAATCAACTAGAATTTGCCATAGCTCGGAGCGCTTCATGGTTAACGTATCACCATTTGCTTTGTGGGCTGGAAGGGCATGTCGGATTGCGCCTGAGGTGGATGGGATGGTAAAGATCTGGTGTAGTAGTGCACATAGTGCATGAGCACCATCCATCTTCCCGTCTCCGCCTTCTTTGAAAAAAGAAGTAAGCCACAACGGGTTGTGGACCAGGTACCATGGAAGATGGCGTAATGGTAATGGTGGTAAGGGGATTCAGGTGTCCTTCGTCAACCAGTGCCTTTGACAAGACCGACTTGCCACACCCGGGGCCCGCAGAGACCCAGAGAAGATCTGAGCTACTACTGCGCCACTTGGAGAATCCCTCATCCTTCAAGAACCACTCACAGGTTCCAGGAACTCTTTCCGGATTGATGTCTTTGTATCGTGTGTAATCACCAGCAGTACGGGCTAGGTCTTTCAGTAGGCTTTCTTCCCCTTTCTCTTTCCGATCTTCCACTATGTGATGGAGGATTCTTTCACTCGTGATGCGTGATTGATGGAGCTCTTGTAGTTGGTTTTTCATGTTTGTCCAAGCTTCAGACTGTTTACCGATAGGAATGAAGCGAGTTCGGCAGTACTCGTCTAGCTTGTTGATCTTGTCCGTGAGTTCAGACCAACCAGCGGAGCCTTTGATATCCGTCCATGCACGGGAGGCTTGGCTACTGACCAGATGGCGTATGACTTGGGCGTGGTATTCGATTATGTATGAATAGAGCTTGGCCAAAGGCTCGACGAGAGAGTGATAATGATTTCGATGCTTGGGGTCAAGGTATTCCTGCTCGCAAATCTGCCAATACATCTGGAGTTCCCCAGCGTTGTTAAAACCCTCCAGCATATCTGCATTTTGGGTGATGCCACTGGTTAGGAGCTTTCGAGGTCAGTCGAAGCTTGCAACGAAGGGTAGATTGACCTACTGGTAGAATCAAGGATACGCCGGACCATGCGAGTGCAGCGTATGGTTGACAACTGACCGCAGTTTTCACCACCGGATCGGACCAAAGGAGGAATTTCGTCAGCCTCTCCAGCTGCGATCGTATCTTGATATCGCGATCCATAATCGTAATCTTCCATTGCTTTTGATCTCGGTCCTCCAGCAGCTTCTTGACTGTGGCTTCGACAGAATCTTTGCTCCAGAGATCCGGGCCAGAATCGCCATCGCCCCGTAAAAATCCTAGATGGTCTTTGTATGCTATCACGAGCCCTTGATCATGGTTTCTCTCTCGAAATAATTCAAATGCCCGGGTCCAGGGGTCCACCTGGACCTCTCGGTCGGCATTTGCTTCCACAATTGGCGACTTGGTCGTTTTTTGGTCAGGTGCGATCGGAGTTGTTGGCGACTTGGGGACTGGGAATGGTGGTGCCAGCTGCGTACTGGGCTGGTTAATCTCATTTGATTCTGCATTGGCTGTTTTTTCCTTCCGTTTCAACCTTTGGACCACGCGGTCCACATGTTCTGAAATCCATGCCATCTTTTATTGCTATGAAATGACTAAAATTGTCTGGAAGCGGCTAGCGAGGCAGCGAGAAGCCTGCATTTATGTATGTGTTTACTAAGGCGCTAGACCTGTTCACAGTGGGGCAATGATCCCTGTTGAACAGTTCATCTGTCACATGTCTTGCATAAAGGCGAGAGAAGTCCTTATAAACCAGTGGTAACATGAGTCATGGATTTTTGTCCCAAATAATTACTATATGAACTCACATTTTATGAAAACAAGCAACTAGTTTTGGTTCCTTTTAATGTGTCTAGTGTTTGAATTTTGACAGGTTGCATGGCTACCTCAGGTATCTCTATCCAACATGAGACTGTACCAACCAATAGGAATGCTCTCATGGTAGATTTGTGGGTCAGGTTTTCAGCTGGGTGGGGCGCACGACAGGGGCTCAATCCTGAGGGTCTGAAATGATAGGCCATATGATCAGGATAAGAGAAATTTGCTCAGCTTGTGGATGTGTTATCAGCTGATATCATTGATCACATATTATCTCGATGAGATCTTAAGCCTTTATATCGGTATGAATTTTGAAAAGCATCGGAGAGTAAACGGATTCCCTGAAACTGCCATATCAATAGCTGTAAAGCCGCATTTACTCTCCATTTGGTCGACTAGACCATGGCCATCCAAGTGTTTTCCCCTGTGATAAATGAGATAGAGTGAGAAGCCCAGTCAAGGGTGAGCGGCGGAAACGGGGTTCCGTGGAATCGATCGGGGTTAAGCGTTATCTGCTCTAAAGCAGCGGGAGGCTTTCTTAGCTAAACGATTAGCTTTAACTCGCCGTAGCCGCTATAAAAATAGAAAAGATCCAGCAACCTTAAAGATATGTGACACAAAAACTCTACAGCTCTAACTGCCGCCAGCTATATATGACTTTGTATGGTAGACGCGAATAATGAAGTCATATGTTTTATTCTGGGTATAATATAGTCTGAAGACTGGTAGTTCGCATGCTAAACTGCGGTCGAAATATGTACACTGGTGGCGGTATCTATCCACAACATCTAAAAGGGATTGCTTCTTATTATGATAGGGCAGTGAATGATTTGAACATAATACAAATATTTCTGTCTTTATCAATACTCTACTCATCTTCCAATGATAATAGACATGATTGGAAAAACTGATTGCACTTGTTTGTCTACATTTTGATAGCGGCTACGGCTAGTTAAATTTAACGTACAACCAATCAGGTATCCTGCTGTTGCGCCTTCCCCACTTGCCCCTCTTTCAGCCAGCCAGCCTTGTATGATATATCGATGAGTGCCTCTTATTTAAACTTGCTGATGGAAATAAACTGGCTGGTCAGCACAACTCTCCTCCATCTACATTCTCTTCCTTGTGGCCATGGTTACGCTCACCTCCCTCAAAGCGGCCCTGAGGCAGACAGCCACGGGATCAGCCCCAAAGCAGTATCTCTCGGACGCACAGTACGCCGAAGGCTTCAATATCTTTTCGCAGGGCTTAGAATATGAAGAGTTTATTGTTTCTCAGCTTTCTCATCTGCTGGCTCCCCTCTTTAATCCGCGTCTCGATATCTCAGTGCTAGAGATCGGACCCGGCCCGAAAAGTGTACTGGGATGTCTTCCCATCTCTCAACGACGGAAGATCACGAAATACATTGCATTTGAGCCAAATACCCTGTTTGCTACAAAGGCGAAAGAATGGCTCTGTGGCTCTGTGGATTCAGATTGCCCGCTGCCCTGTCTGGAAAGCCCGCCCATTATCCATCAAGTCCCATACAGTCTGGACAGCAACAATGTTGATGAGAAATTCGACGTGATTCTATTTTGTCACAGCATGTACGGCATGAAACCCAGAGAAAAGTTCATCGAAAAGGCGCTGGAGATGCTCGTCGAACGACCAGGCGCAATGGTGGTGGTTTTCCATCGCAGGGAGAGCCTGCACCTCGAAAGATTGCTATGCCATCGAACGACCCTTTTCCCTACCGGGATTGTTCGGGTTGCAGATGAGGACGCCGTGCTAAATAACTTCGCTGCCTTCATCGCCGGGTTTGCTCCGCAGGATACCGAGGCGGACAAGGCTATCCTAGTCGAGTGGCGTGGAGTGTGCCGCGATCTGGGCCGTCGTGAGAAACCCCACACAGGCGATCTCCTGTTCAGTTCGCCCAGCACCATGGTAGCGTTTACCCGACATGCAACGTCTCTGCTAGAGTTGACGGCACAGGTGCCTTGGGAAGGGGATAAGAAAGTGAAGAACCGCGAGGCCAGTCTCCATGGCTGTGCTTGTATTGTTCAACCGACAGAGATTCGACATGTCCAACAGTGCATTCAATGGGCGCTAAAGCATGAGGTCGGCCTGACTGTTCTTGGTGGAGGGCACAGCGGCCAGTGTTTGTGGCCCAACGTCGTCGCGGTCGACATGGCTGCCTTTGACCAAGTCCATCTTCTCACAGCTGGGGATGGTTCTGTGGTAGTTGCCGAATCCGGCTGCAAGACAGGGGATATCATCCACAAGACCATGGCAGCTGGCCTGACAGTGCCTTTGGGAGCCCGTCCAAGTGTAGGCGCAGGGCTATGGCTACAGGGCGGTATGGGGCACCTGTCCAGGCAACACAAGCTCTCTTGCGACGCCATCATTGGTGCTGTCATGGTCACCGTCGACTCCAGCGAGATCCTGTGTGTCGGCTGCGTCCCAGAGCGGCATCGGCCAGTCGGTGCGGTGCGCCCAGACAATGAAAAGGAACTTTTATGGGCAATCAAGGGCGCTGGGACCAACTTTGGCATTGTACTTAGCGTTACTTTCAAAGCTTATGCGGCTCCCATGCACTTGGTTCGAAACTGGGTTTTCCCGCTGAGTGACAATCTCGAGGCGAGGCACAAACTGCGCGATTTCGATCATTTGATTGCCAGAAACCAGCCGCGGAACTGCTCTGCAGACGCGTATCTGTTCTGGGATTCTGGTCAGATGCATCTTGCCGTGACTATGTTCGAATCGTCAACGAGTGGACGCATCGCTGACACACCTCTTTCCACGTCTGTCAGCACATTGTTGGGACCGGGTGATGTTTCTGAGGCCGTGGATTGCGTTGGTCTGTTTGAGGCGGAAATGTACATGTCCAAGATGCACGGCGGTCACGGTGGTGGCAAGACCTCCGCATTCAAACGATGTTTATTCCTAACGGATATAGGAGGAGTGGAAGTTGCAGATATCCTTGTCAGGGCGGTTCAGACTCGTCCCTCCCCTTTCTGCTATCTCCATCTCCTGCATGGTGGTGGTGCTGTCAGTGATGTGGCAGCGGATGACACTGCTTTCGGCTGTCGAGACTGGGATTTTGCCTGCGTGGTGACTGGTGTCTGGCCCCGCGACCAAGATGGAACTGATATCGCTCAAGCCGCTGAGCAGTGGGTATATAATGTTGCCAGGGATCTTTTGCCCTTGAGCGCCGGAGTTTACGGCGCAGATCTCGGGCCAGACCCTCGAGATGCCGTGCTTGCAACCAGGGCTTTTGGGCCAAACCGCCGGCGTCTGGCCTATCTCAAACGCACCCTTGACCCACATAATGTGCTGCCCTATGCTTGCCCGCTCCTTCCATCGCCGGTGAAACAGAAGGTCATCATTCTCGTCACGGGCGAAAGCGGCGCCGGGAAGGACTACTGCGCTGGGCTCTGGGTCTCCGAGCTTAGCAAGTACAATAAAAGACTTACAGCGCGTGTAGCCAGCATTAGCGACGCAACCAAGCGAGAATATGCCACAGCTACCGGTGCTGACTTGAACCTCCTACTTCGTGACCGTGCTTATAAAGAGCAACACCGGCTAGCGTTGACGAAATTCTTCCAGGACCAGGTGCAGCTTCGACCTCGGCTGCCAGAAGAGCATTTTCTAGATGTGATTCATGACGCTGTAGATGTGGATGTGTTACTAATCACTGGGATGAGAGACAAGGCTCCAGTTGTAGCATTCTCACATTTGGTGCCAGACAGCAGACTGATCGATGTCCGCGTTCAAGTTAGTCGAAGTACACGGCGGGCCCGCCTAGGGGTCTATTGCAATGATTCCCATGATGGCAACGGCGAAAAGAACAATATCAAACCGGAATCAACAGCGTTGGACTACCACCCCAGTCTCATCTTTGACAACGACACTCCTGGAGATGAAGTGGCAAAAGGCTTTGCAGAGCGCTTTCTGTTTCCAATGTTTGATGATGACCTGCAGCGACTGGTCAGCATGGTGCCCTCCATCCCCAACTTCCCATCCCCAAACATCGAGTTCCGCCATGTGCTCGACATCTCCCAGCAGCCGGGCGGGCTGGCCTTGTGCACGTCTCTGCTTCACTCTCACTTCATTGGCGATTGGGGGCAAGTCGATGTGATCGCGTCTTGTGAGGCCGGTGGCTTTGTCTTTGCATCGGCTTTGGCCTTGCGGGTTGATGTGCCCCTGACGCTCATTCGAGAAGCCGGCAAGCTTCCCCCGCCTACATTTTCCATCCCCAAATCTGCATCGCATATCTCGTCTTCGGGATCCAGCGATTCCAAAGAGACAAGAATCGAGATGAGTCGCAATTCGATCCCCAAGGGCGCGTCAGTGGTGGTTGTGGATGATGTGCTTGCCACTGGGAAGACATTGTATGCGGTATTGCAGCTCTTAGAGGAAGCTGGCATCAGTCCAGAAAATGTTCATGTCCTGGTCGTGGCCGAGTTTCCTGTCCACCGTGGCCGCGAGTTTCTGTATCGACGTGGCTTTGGCAGAGTCAATATTCAAAGCCTTTTGGTCTTTGGTGGTGTTTAGGAGCTTCCATATGTGGAATAATCAAAGGAAAGATGCAGTGTAATAAACATTCATTAAAATAGGGAGGGAGTGTAGCGAGTATCTAACAGATTGTACAATTTCCTAATGATGATGCACCTTTAGAACTGGACAGCAGCTGATCGTTGTAATAAATACACAAGCAAGGGTTGTCCAAGGCGCATCAGGCCAGACTGCTGCATCCGAAATATCATCGGTTCCTCCACCAAGGAGATCTTCTATTAGCTGAGTACTCTGAGCGTCTAGGTTTTTCTCAGCTATATATGCCACCGTCCGTTGGCCAACATCTCCCCAGCCATGGATGAGTTGAGATTTACAAAGGAAGACTGAGAAGGCCCAACCACATCACATCCTGATATAAGGAACTGCCGTCTTCGTATAAGATATTGGTAGAGTGAGATATATAGTAATGTTATTGTAAGCAAGGTTAGCATATAATCATAAGTCAAGAACATGGACTTCATACAGGACGCATGTTTGCCGGATATTAGATATACTGGAATCAAAGGTGCTCCATGATGCATGATATCATTGCATATGTCGATACCGGAACCTCGACAGAAATATCGACCAGTCTAGGTTCAGTGAAGGTTCGGAGCTAAGAGATCTAGAAGTTCTGTACTAATGGGCTTTGCTATTTCTGGAATAATAGCTTCTATATCCGTGGCTTGTCACATTGCGAATTTATTAAAAATATGCACAACTCAGCCCATGGTTAGGAACCTAATTAGAATTGTGTGGCGAACTATTATGGATATAGCAGCCTATTTTCACATTCAATTTTCATTGCCTGTCATTAAGGCAACTAACATCAATACTATGTAAGAAACCCGATAGCCTAAACACGTACTATATATCATATCTTTCTTTAAAAGTCAGAAATAAGCTTTTAAGTCGATATGGTGCAAATATAGGTTGTCAAAGACACTAAGTTAGTGAACTGGGTTTCGCGCCCAGATAAACTAATCAAGGAGGGCATGACACAGGCAAGAAATATCAGTTAACGTTCTGGGAAAAGGTACCACGTCAGCTGAAAAAGATGTGCTATCATAGCTTACGCAATAACAAACCTCTAACTCAAAATGAGCTGAAGTCTGCGGTCGGTGACATGACTTGGTAAAATCAACAGTGGTAGGTGTACTTCGTATTAAAAGCCATAACCAGCAGACCTTCTAGAGCAAGAACTCCATATCCTATAGCGTATGACGCTATCATTATCAGTCTATCCAGCAATAATTGTAAGCTAGAGTTATTTGGGCGTTAAAGCTACCTAGGCTTAGCTACCCTAAAAATAGTCTCTCGCACTGTTGAAGCCGTTAGAGCCAGTTTCAATGCGAAATTGTACCGGTACATCATTCTGACATGAAATGCAGATCACAGCCGTGTCCAAATGAAAATCTCTCCTTTATTCTGACAAGATAAGTCTGATTGTCCACTAGGATGGTTCGCGTATAATTCGGCTTGAGTGTCTATAATAGTATTAAGAATAAGTCAAATAGCTAACTATACATTACTAAGACCAGATAATATGATTAATGTACTTGATCACTTCATTAATTTGATTCCCTATTGAAAAAGGGCAAGGGTTATGAAGTTGTAATCATCAGAGTATACCTAAGACTTGACATCAACCCACGAGTAAATACTCAGCTTTCGGAATTATTGGAGCTTTCCAGCTATAAAAGAAACCAAAAGAAGAATAATTCATGATATAAAGAACGTGGACTTCAAAAGTGGCATTCTGATCTGAGCTAGTGAAATCACTTTTGGATAGCGAACAGACTTTCAGATCATAGATAAAAAGGCAAAGAAAGAAAGAAAAGAAGAGGATAAAAGAGCAAGGCAACAAAAGACCTTTAGGCCTTTCCTGGGCCCGTCAGACACCCGTAAATTTTCTTTCCCCAGAGCAGGTTCCAAGCTGGACTGAAATATTAGATGGAAAAGACAACAGGTTTTCCCGGTCGCCTGGCCTGAGCCGCATTATAACTAACTCCATGTACCTTCATCCCATTAGGGTCAAGGAGGGTAATAGTATCACCGTTGTTTGAAAGGGGACAATCTGGTACTTGAACAACTGCAGATCCCTTGGCCCCTATACTTATCCCCCATATTTGTTCCAAGTCCCCGTGTGAATTAAGAATTTTCCATGTATCAAGAGAGATGTTTTCATCCGTGACGTTAGTAAGTGTGACTGTTTCGACTTCTGTTCCTGGCTGACCATCAGGGCCAACAGGGTTCACTAGAGCCTCGGTGATTAACACAGGCGCTCCCTTACTTGGAACATTGTCTGCATGACGGAAAGTCAAATATTCAAACCAGGTTTCATCTCCAACAGGGACTCCTTCCGGGTGGGTGTCACGAGTATGGGTCGCCTGTGTCGCAAATGCAAGAAAAACAGCCACCCACTTGTCCTTGTCGGCATTGTGTTCGTCGCTATAGTGTATTATGAGACCACCATCCTGGAATATACCATTTTCCTCGTACCACTTGTCGCTCCTCGTCTTGTAGTTGCCCTGGTTCATATGAACCTGATGGATACCATCTTCGCTTTCGTAACGAGAGCCAAAGATATAGAGGGTAGCGTTTTTCTCAACCACATCCCTCATTAGTGGGTGTAGTAAATCGATAATATCGTCACCCTTCTCAGGCGTATCATGAGGAACGAGTTTTCCGGATTTAGTCTGAAAGAGATTACTTCGGATGTAATCGAGACCTCGGCCGCTTGGACCTTGAAGGGAGTAAAATTTAGGCGTATCAAGCTCCTTAAGTCTGTCCGTTATGGGATGCTTGAAGTCTTTCTCGTACCAGAAGGCGAGTAATGGATTGGGTTTAAACCCGGATTTGATATTAATGGCCGCTTCGAACAAACCGGGCTTCGCTTCATGTCGTCCAGTTTGGCCAGGGAAATCACCCCCAGAAGGGGGTAATGGATACTGGTTTCTGTTTTCCTCTATCCTGTTCTCCTTATCGACAAAATACAGATATAAATGAGGGGTAGGATCCCCAGGGTCTCTGTGTTCAAAGTTGAATGTGATAGGGAAGGATTTCCATACACCATAGTCTTCCACGGGCATCTTGAAGAATCCTTTCAGTAAGGGAATTGATCAGACAAAGATTACAAGGCGATGAAGAAGGGATAGTATTCGAAATAGAAGAATAAGAAGCTTATGGTGTGGCACGCTCTTCCTTTAACCCGAGGGTGAGTTTACATGGTCTATCTAGCAGTTATATAAGTCGCCGAACAGTCATGCAAGATATTGGATACATTGTCAATGTATTCACGTTCTATAGAGGTCGAGATCTTACAGCATTATTGTTTCATCATCCGAGCTAGGTACCCAGAGTCAAGCACTCGTACCATGGGTAACTTGTCACGAGGACTTATTTTACGGTCTAGAATAATCGACAGTTGATATTAAATGGTCATCCTAGCTTTTACATTTCTATCATCTGATTTATATCTTTATTTCTATCGCTATTCCAATAACAGTGATCTGAGGGTGGACCTGTGCTCTTGCTATTGCTGAACTCTTTTCGCGCAGAATACAATTTCCATTTCTGGGATTGACCACCTAGACCTACTAAGCCCAGAAGGGCCGGAAGTAGTCGTACTATTCCTCTTCGGTGACAGGTCAAACTCTATTTGATAAAATTGTAGATTATTTGTATTTAACAAGACTGACTATCTTATAGGCTACATTAAAAAATATATAGCTTTAAAACAAAGAAATATTATTATCTTGTATTTTTAATCAGAAGTTTTCAAATTTTAAAACTAGCTTTATAAAGCCATTTAAAAATAGAAAGATGATTTACCTATTCCAAGCATAACATCTCCTCATATCATGCGCTATATCAAACGTATTATCATAGACAATGCAGATTGAGTCGATCCAAAGATATCAGACAACAAGAACCATCCAGCGCCAATACTGTATCAATGAGAAATAATTATAATTCTTCACTTACTGCCCTGTCTCCCCCGCACTGCATACCACAACCTCATGAATCCATTTCGATTGAAGAGCATCAGATGCTGTAAGGCGACGGTGAGGCTTTGGATCCAGCATGGCGTAGATCACGTTGCAGCGATGTTCCTAGTAAGTAATACTTAGCCTAAGGTTCATCATGGAATGCACACGGTCCAACACCTACTTTGCATAATGCCTCAATAGGAAAGTACCCATCTTCCTGCTGGCGTGCACGGAGATACTCTTCAAAATTTCTATCTTCTTCTTCCCTGGCAATACTCCAGGGGAGTCGACCACATCTCATAGCCATATAGATTAATCCTGCAGCCCAGATATCGCCCGCCCTAGGGTCATAGTAATCGCTGTTTGCCTCTTTTAACTCTTCTGGTGCAATGTATGGTATTTTTCCAGACCACCTCCATGCATGTGAGATTGGCTGCAAGCCTGTTTGCAACCACTCCGCGCCATCAAAATGTGCAACCCTGACAGCACCATGGATGGTGAGAAGAATATTTTCAGTCTTCAAATACCGGTGTGCAATTCCATTGTCATGGAGATACGACACTGCGCGCATAAGTTGCTTGAAGAAGCAGTCGGCTTCGACGGTTGCAAGTTTTCCCGATGCGGCGATCAGGGCGTGAAGACTGCTTCCATCGTAATACTCCATGGCTGCGTAAAGATCCCCTCTTTCATTGTAACAAACTTCTATCGTTCGAACAATATTGGGGTGATCGACATAGGAGGATATGCTTCTTACGGAGTGACGATAATGATCCATACGTTCTCGAGGCAATCGGTGATAGGCTTTGACCGCGTATAGTTTTTTATCGCTCGAAAATATCGAGGCTTTCTTACTATATAATTTCACCGAGGTGGAAGAGCCGTAATGGAGGATTTTATCGCACTTTCCATATTTTTTGGAGAAGGATTCTATCGTGCTGGGCTCATTGGTCGCTTCGGATGCAGGCGGCCCCTTTGGGCCGTATCTCTGCATTAAACGTGCAAAAGTATTGCACAGCCAATTGGAGGGATGTCCTGAATTTCGAGCTTTCAGAACATGGCAGTGAGTGCCATCTTCAAAAATTTTGATATTCCGATAATGGGGCCTGGGCGTTTGACAATCACTGTCGCCCAATCTGCTTCCCTGAGACACTCGTCTGGGGGTTTGATCAATATTGGCCATAGAAATTGAAGTGAGTCGTCGTGATTAGGTCAAGTAGACAGATATCTCCTAATCAGGTAGTTGCGTGGTAATGCCCGCAGATGATGTGGGGAAAACGCAGCGGGGAAAACGCAGCAGGGATAAACTTAATGAGATCCCGAAATACAGTGTGACACCAGTTTTTGACAGCGCTATTTATTATGCAGTATGTCTCGTCGCTCTTGTGCAAACAGTGACATATCAAATTTCTTCCTATTTGGCTGGTTTCAAGTTGTCCTCATACACATAGGAAGATAAGGCACCCCGGAAAGGGAGACGAGGAGACAGGTTGAGAAAGGAGATTCGCATATAGTCTTTCACGAGAGCATCATGACATAATGCTACTTGGCAAAACCATCGCCCTGCATGATTTTGCTTCCGTGGAAACTGTGGGGTAACTTGCAGCCCCCATTGGCGGGTTCCTCACGTGGACATATTCTTGATCGCAGTTACAGCATGGTGGCTCTGTTTCTATTATACAATTGGTTTCTATGTCAAATCAAAGCCGCATGCCAAGATCTGTACCCAAAAATCTTCACTCCACATCGTTTGGTCCCCGACGGGTCTGACCCACTATTAGATGGGAAAATCTGACGGGAAGATAGAGCGATAGATAGCCCGATATACAATATTATGTATGAGATGTGGTCGGTTAGTTATCGATCCTTATTATTTTTTGACTAATCAAATTAGTTAGATTAGTCGACTAGGTTAGCTTCGCAATCGTACAAATCGCCATGATTCAGACACGGGGTTGCCCCGGCTTCGCGTTGTAGCAAGTTTGGGCGCATGGATAGGAACTCTAAAGATAATTTAGTTGGACTACATATTTAAAGCAATTATGTTGGTCGTCTTGTGGCTGTTGTGTTCACAAGTTAAACATGCTAGGTTGTTTAATGGTTTGGGTAGCTCACCTTCTGACCCTTAGTCTAAGGTAAAGTTCCTTCCAAATAATGTTACCTTACATACCAAGTCGGGTAACTGCTGGTTAAGTGATTCAAAATTTTTATTCAATTTCCCTGTTGCACTTGCTTCAGTACTATAAGTTAAAATAGAACCTAATCTTATAAGAAGGGCCCTAACATAACTCTCTCTAACTCGAATTAATGTTTCGCACCACACAAGCAAAACAAGATGCCCTAAGGTTTTTGCTCAATTCTGCGGCAGTTATAAGAAAAGCCACCTTACACATATAAAGCTGCGTTGTCTTTTGGCCCCCCAAGGATCCTGATGCTTGATTTCAGCGGCGGTTGAAGAAACCCACACCATCAAAGTCTAAGCAGAATAAGCAATTATCAACCAGCCTTATTAGATCATTGTGTGATTTGCAATTCGCTTGATAAATTAGTCTATCAAGCCCCTGTTTTTTATTGACTAATTATGCAATTCTAGCGCTGCGTGGCCACTATGCAATCATAACTCTACACAGGAAATCTATGTCATTTTCTAGTCGATTTGAGAAATTGTCGCACATGCTTACATCCTGGTTCCTGTTTCTGTACTCATTAGTATTTGAGCCATCTGTTAATAGCAGATGATTGAATATCTATTAAGATAGTTCTACACACCATTCTCAATTATACATGACAAAATGAAATTGTTTCCCAGGAGCACCTTCCACGAACATGGCATCAGAAAAAAGTAATATTTAGAAAAAGCAAAACCGGGTACAGAGTTGCGATGTATTGACGTTGATTGATTCACAAGAATCCACTATCGCGACGCTATTAAAGACTAGCCACGTTCCATCGATCCTATCGAGTACAGATATTTCTCAACAATTCTTAAGATCGACAGTGATATAGTTCATCACAGTCTGAGGGTATTTCTTTCTCGCCCTATATATTCCTGCCTGTTTTCCAAGACTGATCCTCATCCACATCAAACCTCCTCCATACTATCCGTACCTATCCAATCCTTCCTCGTACTACCGCCAAAATGATGTTCAAGTCCCTTCTCCTCGTTTCTGGCCTTGCCTCCATGGCCACCGCCAGCGGCTTCTGTGATGCCTCTGCCTCTCTGGGCCAGCAGTACGCTGACGCCTTGACCAACATCCAAGCTGTCCAGGCCAATGCCTCCACCCCCAACGCCGTCGACAAGGTCCTGTCCAAGTCTGCCTTGTCGTCCAGCCTCCTCCCCCGCGTCCAGGGTCTGGAGAACAACATCAACGCCCTGAAGACCAACAGCGGTCTCCCTGGCAGTGCCAGCGGCCTGCTGAACAACATCACTGCTTCGCTGAACAACTTCGGCTCGAGCATCGACCAGACCGTCCCCGGCATCGCATCCAGCGCCATTGCCGGTGCTGTGCCGTCTGGAACCCCCGCCCCTATCGCCGGTTCCACCCCCGCCGCTCTCAAGCGTCTCTCCAACGCCGTCGCTGCCTCCAAGAGCCGCGTCGACGCCCTTCAGAGCAAGACCTGCTCGCAGACTCACAAGGCTAAGCGCGACGACCTCGATGACTGGCTCCAGGGTCTGCTTGATGAGATCAACTCTCTTATCAACGCGATCGAGGAGGAAGTTGACAGCATCATCTCTTGGGTTGACAGCTATGTTAATGAGGTTATTGGTGAAGTCACTGACTTGATCCAGAACATTGAGGATGCTATTGAGGAGGGGGTTAATGGATCTTCGTCCTCAAACTAGGTTTCTTGTTGATGTGTTACGGTCCTTATGATGAGGCCTTGTTGGCTTGGCTTAGTTCTCTGCTCACATAGTATATTTTAGTTGATTTAATTACAAGACTTGATCTATCATAAGTATACATTATTTTCTTTATGTTTATACTAGCCACTTAAGGTATAGAATATGATAGATAGTGTTTTCATGATTTAGAAATTACATTCTGTTCCATTGTAAACGCGCCTGTCCTGGTTTAAGGTAAACCATAATACCACTGGGCCTGGGCCTGGACTGTGGATATAGGGTTTTTAGTTTCCGTCGCCGCATCAAGCAGAGCACAAGATTATGGTTGAGATAGCACCCGCCACAACTCCAACGCCTATTCCCGTTTTAGCCCCGCTCGAGAGCACTTATGCGAGGGTGAGTCTGTGGATGATGTTATAGATGTAGTAGATACTGCCATCGTCATGGCTGAAGGAGTCGTGAAACCAGTCAACCACTATCGGATGGAGAAACTGTATCCATTAACATGGCTCGCCGATCATCGAAGTCGGGGGTCGCCGTAGATCTATCCAAGTCGAGCCTGGTATACACGAATTTAGGTGTGGTTCCTTTCCCTGGTTCAACTTCTTTTCATGGAAATGGGTGTAGACAACCTAAAGACGCCATCCGACGTTCAATAAAATATCAAAAAAGAAAAACATACAACAGCAGGGATTCGCTGGTGGTCACCCACCCAACTACTAACCTGCCGGCGTGTGGCTTAAGTACGGCTGAGCGGACGGGAAGCCCTGTTCTCCACACCCTGTGGCCGTATGTACTTGGAGATATACAAAAGGGGATTGTATAAAAGGACGGTAGAAAATAATTAACCCTCCCTGAGTACACATGATGAGGATAAATCCGACCTAAAAGAACCTTGAATTGAATGTGGGAAAAATAGCTTCCATCTGAGTTCGCTTTATCCCTTCTACTGTCTTATCTTGGTGGGGGCGGCAGAGTATATCTGTATGGCAACAATGCCCAACTGTCATGTGATGTCAGCAATCATCTTCAATGCCATGTAGTTCTAATTTGTGCCTGAAAAGTGTAATTAAATACTTCAGGTACTTAAAATAATACCCCCAAGATATTGTATGGGATATTCTGTGTGTCATAAAAAATGTCTATGTCAACTTTGCCCAATCGTCACTATAACTATTGCTCTCTGAGTCATGAAGGTCAGATCAGGCTGTTGAAAATCCACCCTGCCATGAATGGCAACAGCGAGATTGAATCAAGTCTCGATATTGTGGATCTGTATGATAATCCCCGGTTTGTCGCTCTCTACTATACATGGGGCCCTCCTACGGCTGAAGCGGGCATTCGAGGGGTCACAGACGTTCCGTCCCATCCCATCAGATGCAATGGACGTGTTATCCTGGTCACCCAGAATTTACACGACTTTCTGCAGAGGGTAGCGCGCAGCGTAGAGCTCAATTCGCAGAATTTCTGGATCGATGCTGTCTGTATCAATCAGCAAGACCTGGCGGAGAGGGCGAGCCAAGTCAAGTTCATGGCAACGATATACCGCTCAGCCGACATGGTGCTTGCTTGGTTAGGCGAGGAGGACGTTCATACCGAAAAATCGTTCACTTTGATCAAAGGCCTGGGGGGTCTTTGTCACGATTACTACTCGCTAGATGTCCCCAAAATGAAAAAGACGGAAAACTTTGCGGCTGTCCTAAGCTCCCTTGCCGACGAGCAGGTGCGAGACTCGTTCAGACATTTCTGGAGACGCGTCTATTTTAAGCGCGCGTGGATCATCCAGGAGCTCGCACTTGCTAAGAAAGTTGTGGCGTATTGTGGTGGATATTCTGTCGAGTGGATGGATATTGTTGGTGTGTCGGCTTTTTTGACGCTGACGTCTTGGGGACACTTCCTGAACATGGGTGTAAGTGATATAGTTAGCAAAGGGCATTCCAACCATACCCTGCCGCTGTATCTATACTCAAATGCCAAGATACAGTCGTCGAAAGAGGGCTGGGCCTTCCTATATACCCTCACCAGGGGACGGGAATTTCAATCCTCAGATCCTAGAGACAAGGTATATGCCCTCCTTGGCCTCCAGGAACATTACACAAAGGATAAACCGCGCCTGCGACCTACGTACGGGGAGTTTTCTGTTGTCGCCACATTCACGAAAGCGGCAATTCAAATATTGGAAGATACAGATGATCTACTGCTTCTGGGTCATGGCGAGGGAAAGGACTTTCAAAGGGTGAAAGGCCTCCCATCCTGGGTCCCGGACTGGTCCTGCACAAAGATATTGGGCCTTGGGATGATTGGATACAAACGGTTCGCAGCTGCAGGAAACCTACCCAGAAGTCTGGGAATTGACGAACCCAACACGGCCTTGATTCTGCGCGGGTTCTGCCTTGATCTTGTCGCTCAGATCGGCGAGTCCAAGGAAGAAGCCCTAACTAGGAGAGGCCCGGCATTTTTTTCCCAAATGGATGGCGATTCTATCAACTCTTCCCGACATCTATCACACAAAACAATCCAAGTTTGAGGTGTTCTGGAGAACACTCATCACGGACACAGCTGGCCGAGCTCCTCAACGCGGAACATATCCGGCTGCACAGGAATTCAAGGCTGCATTCCATCATTGGGTGATTGGAATTATACGGCAGTGGGAAGGCCAGCCTCCATCGGTAGAGAGAGATTCCTTTTTGCAAGGACTATACCAGCTTGCTTCGCCGCACGAAACAGAATCAGCAGGCTATCTTCCGCTCAAAAACAGCGAAAATTCGACTCAACCAGTGAACGGCGACCTTCTAGAAGCCGCCGAGTACAGTGCTTTACTACGCTATTCATCGCAAACAAGGCTTCTACGAACCAGCGCAGGCTATCTCGGCCTTGCGACAACATCCGTACGGGAAGGAGACTCGGTATGGATTGTATCTGGTTCGCGCGTGCCCCTCATTCTGAGAGAAACGGGCAAGAAAAGCCAATATCAGCTCGTTGGAGGAGCGTATATTCACGGTTTTATGCAGGGTGAAGCTTTGATGGCTGGTCATATCTTTGAGGAGTTCAAGGTTGTTTAGGAAACGGCATTATATAGGCACGATTTGTTGCCTTGTCTCCTGGTCAAGCTTCTGCAGAACCTTTGAGCAGCTCACGCCAATCCCTCGGATGGAATCTCAATCAAAATACATTCGTGCTACAAAATTGTGCCTGGTCACATAATTATGCATTATGTGTATATTGATGGTCGATTCCGGTTGACAGAATTCTAGGTACCCTTGGAGATGAGTATCCAGAGGCGGAAGCCTGCACTTACTCGCACTGAGAAATTGGGAAAGGTGCTGGGCCAGAGCAGTGAAGCCTTGACTCAAGGGTATCTAGAACGGCATCCATCCCATCAGATTCAGATAGAGCGCCAAACAGTAGGGCAAGGTTAATATTAAATTTTGAGGGCTTGATAATCCAACCCAATTATTGATTGGTCTGGATATGCCTTGCCACCGTGACCAATTTACCAATAAGAGAGCCAGAAAGAGAGAATCCCTGCAAATCTGTCCAGGCACCAACACCCGACAACCCGCTATGTATCCAGACAAGTGTGATTGTAATGATGAGACACGCTACTGACTACTGTCATTTTTGCTTCTTTATGCCGCTCCCAGCCACGAGGAACTCACTTTCAGCTCTTCTGACCGCGTCTCCTCCCTCTGCCCTCGTTTAAAAAAGATATCTATTAATTTCCCACACTTTCTACCGTTTCCTTTGAGTTATCGGCCCAGGCCCCTTTGCAACGTGGTCTAGCGTGGATTTTTGAACACCAAAAAGATCACATAACACTGGCAATCCGCGTAGTACTTCCAACAGGAGCCTCGACCCATCCTACCCTCTCATCCAGAATTCCAACGTAAGCTCACATCAACCACATCTACCAATAAAATAAAATATAAAATATCTAGAACTGATCTTGAATTTATGTTACAGACGGTGCATAATACCTACAAGGCTGATATAATCTACACTCATTTCAATTATTATCACTGATCGTTGTACATACAACCGCCACTATGAAGACGGACGACCATACAGTGGGCGTGATACCTATGCGCCTTGCCAATTGTTTCCGCTCCAGTAAGATCTATGTTTGATGAGAAGCATGATATAATTGTTCTATATAGTCTAGGGAATGATAATGTTTATATTTTCAGTCAAATTAGACCTCATAATGTGGTTATTTATGATCTTATAGAGATTAGGCCTGTGCCTGCTGCAATGGTGTCTCTGAGAATGTCCTTGATATTTAAGATGCTGGAATTTGCATTACTAGTAAGAACTGGAAGTAGAGTACTAAATGGAAGAAATGATATATGCCTTAGAGATGTCATGGTTAGTATACCTTATGAGAGATTTGTAGGTGTGGTGCAATTTGCTGCGGAAAAAACTATTGGTGATAGTCTATTTATTCAAAAAGAAGTCTTCTCAACCGGCCCCCGAAAGTCCTTTTATCCGCAACAGCAGACCTGCAGGCACAGCATGAGATAAACTATCCTAGATCAGCATATTATATTTCACAGGCCACCGCGTTGAGTCCGAAAGTCGCTAATCCGGGGGTGGATATCTACGTCTTGTTTTGCTTCTGTATATATACTTTCTCGTCTGATGCCGATTATATAAAACGTGGTAGAGCGTTGTATACCTACCATGAATTTGCTATATGAACAATATTATGGGGCATAAAAATGAAATAGTATGCGAATAGGCATTCTGACAACTAACCTGAAAGCAGAAAGATTTGCTCAGTCCAGCCAATCAGGCTGAATCAAGCCACGCTTATGTGGCTAATGCTGAAACCATAATGGTGGCTTTCCAGAGCACTATCGTGATTCCCGCCATCATGGGCAGGTGGCGGACATCAGCGAGCAAGAAACAGCACATAAAACTACCTCAGCGTGACTGGTCTGGAGACAGCCCTGGACGAGGAGTGGAGACTGCCCTGGACGAGGAGTGGAGACTGCCCTGGAACGAGGCTGTGGACGAGAGTGGGGAAGGTTGACCCGGGATTATTCGTCAGGCAACCAATCAACTCCGGGCGCTGTCGGCTGTCAATGGGGCTTGCGATCGAAAATAGACAGACATCGTTTTCTTGGTTTTTGGGAAAAATCGAAGTCCACCATGGTTGCAGCAGTTGGACAACACTAAACCAAAAAAAGGTGTCCGGACCCATAATTTGCATTATTCCTGCATTTTATTTGGTCCATTCTGGTTGACAATCTCAAGGCACTGGACAGCCGTACTAGCATCCAGCTTTTTTTTTTTTTTTCTTTCACTCATAATAAAAGACCACACCCTCTCCCTCCATCTTACTTCTCCCTTCTCTAATATAAGACATGATAAATAGAGAAATAGCCTCGAAGAAATAAGAGTCTGGTCATCTTAGCCCTGCACAGATCAATGCATTCAACTATATTATAACGGATTGAACTTTTCCATTTACTTTCTTCTTGTTTATCACCTTCCGTTATTCATTCTCTTACTTTCTACCCCGTTTTGTACATACCGGCCGTTCGACGGTTCCCTCCCGGACCGACCGCCGACCCACTTGACAGGGATCCACTCAACACCCTCAACCAATCAACCCGAGTTTCCTCATCCACCACCGACCGGAGTATATCAGTCCATTGCAGACAACTTTGCCAAACATGTCTGGCTCTCCGATCGCAGTCTCCTGGCCCAGAGATCTACCAGACTACGGTTATTTTGGTCCATTCGCCCAATGGCTGGATGACCAATTGTCCATTCCTCAAGGACTTGTGTCACAAACTTCAGCCACGATGCTGCCTAATACTGCCTCCAATCCAATGCACATGGGACCTTTCTCAATCAACAGCTTTAACACAGGACCTATAAATCATTCACTTGCTGCAGCTGGCCTTGAGTCGAACCACCTAGCTTTTGGATCAGACTGGCTCCCCGGAGGATACAACATGGGATATGGGAGCTTTACCGATGCGCAACAGAATATCCCTGGCACAAGTCATTCTCCTGTCTACCATCATAAATGTGCAGTCCGCGCCAATAGTGAGGTAGAATCTGTCACGCAAGATACAACAGTATCTTGTCCTGACCATGGCAGCGAACAACAGAAAGATGAATCTACAGCTACCAGGTATGTTCCAGTCAGTGATTATTTAAACCATGCTCACTTCTTCTTGAAGGAAAAACCAAACTACTCTTTTCAGGTGCAGATGGGAAGGCTGTACCTATAAGAAACACTTCGGCAGAGATGTTGATCTGCTGAGACACGTCAAACATATCCATGTCTTGCCTCGATCCTTCCCTTGCGATGTTGATGGCTGCAGCAAAACATTCAATCGCAAGGATAACCTCAAGGAACACTTGCTCAAGAAGCATCCAAGGTCTTGAGGCAGTCAAGATAATGTCTTTCTTCTCATTTCTATTGCCATGCTTATTTTTCGGTTATATGCGCTTTCTATTCCCTCCGTCCTGTCATCTACTTGTGATTCAGTGCCTGTAAATATCAGACGTCATCATGTCAATTATATATACTGTTCATTTCTCTGACAGGTATCGAATTGCAAGCCATTATTAAGAGCGTGAATAGAAAATGGTTACTAAGGGGATCCCCTCGTTTGTTGTTGGTGCCTTGGTGCCTTGTTCTTTGTTTTGAGTCCCAAGTCCATCTCTCCTCGACAACCCCACCATCCTCCAAACAACCTCCCTCTCCCACTCAGCCTGACCAGAGAAATCTGGTAGAATGCGTCATCAAAGTATTAATACAATCCCAAGATCTAATGGTTCGTCTCTTCTCGTCCTATCCTCCATTTACTGTCATCTCTAACTGAAAGTCTTCGTTTTTAGACCAGGATCAAGCAGAGACAAGATGAGCTCGTTTGGTGGAGAGGCTACCGGAGGAAATAATTGAGATGATTCTAGATAGGGTATGTCGAGTGCCTTGTCGATATCAATGGATTACCTCCCACCTAATCATTGGATAACTGATTTGCCCAGACATTTCGTACAGATCTCCAGAATCTCGCCCTCGTATCCAAAGCCTTTCATCGAATTCTCACAAGAAGGCTGTACGACACGCTGGTCCTCAGATATCGTGAAAGTGTGCTTCGAGTACCCGGTCACACCTTGACGAGAACGTACTTCCCAAAATACGGGGTCGCCAAAAAGATCACCCCGTGGAGATATTTGAAGCATTTAGCGCTTAACTACAGCCTTCGGGGACATCGTTATTTATGCTGGAATAATGTGCAATGCATGTTAGATGATCCAGACTCTGAATTGGTGGCACAAAAAGAATTGCAACATGAACAGCTAACGGAGCGGGTACCCGGGGACGCAAAGCTTCTTTTCCATATGGTTATACCTAATACTCTACGGGAATTTAGGTACTTTGATACTGGTGGCAGAATATTTTTCTGGGTCGGTGGGCTAATCTTTCCGCAGATGGCATGTGGGTTGCTGTGTTCCAAATTCAATTCTGGGTGAATATGGGTATATTCCTATGAGCCAGGCAGCTCTTACGAGTTTATCACTAGTCACAGACGGCTATTGTAGACATGGCTTCTATATTGAAGGACTTATCTACCTCAAACAACTGCGACACTTTTCGTGGCGGGGCATTTCCTGGGAAGAGGAATTTGAAATATTCCGATCAGTGATTCAAAATAACGCATGCCATCTTACCAGTCTTCAGGTGGAAGTACGAGATATCGTTGGATGGGAGGACTCGGATCCTCACCTCATTCTTTGTTACATTGGGTTAATATCCACGGAAGAGGTTGAAATCCCCAAGGGTTTCTATCTTCCCTCCCTTCGCCATCTATCCCTCCACAGGACTCCTGTCGGCTTATGGAATGGTACGGATCCTTTCTATTTTGACCTCAAGAAGCTACATTCTCTAGAACTCAACACCTGTCGTGGCACACCTGAATTCATGAGAACTATGGCCTCGAGAAAGATTGATCTCAGTCTGCGCACATTACACCTCTCAGATTTTCACGATGAGAGGAACGCCAATCTCGGCTCTGATCTTGCTTCGCTTTTGACAACTTTTAGTGGTCTCGAGGAGCTCTGTGTAACATCAGACATGGAATTCTTATATCTCGATCCTGATTCTTCTGTGGGTCCATTCACTTCGCACCAAATGACCTTGAGAAGACTTATTTGCCGATCATCAGACGAGCCGGAGCAAGGAATGGATAATAATGTCCTAGGAGATTCGTTTCCACTACTGCCTCCACTCCAAACTCTACCGGCTCTGGAACTTTTGGGAATCTGGGTAGAACCTAATTTTGTAGTAGGTTAACCTTTCTGAAACGCTCTCCATGATTTATACTGCGCCATACTTACAAGGGTGTGCCTAGAGAGCGCAAGTTGGCTCTGGCAGAGACTGCGAGTCGATCAAACTTATTCATTTTCGGATGAGAGGTACCTATCACACACCGCAGGATGTTTTACAAGAACTGATCAAGTCCGGCTATCCCTCGAAATTGATTCCTTCTTCTGTTTACAAACGTTGTCTATGTGTTCCAACCGAACCAAGACATCAGGGCCCTGGGAAAGTCGACCTATATCCACCTGACACCATTTGTTTACCCCAACTGTTTGACTTTGCAAAATGGGCTTTCGGGGCAGAGGGCTTTCCTAATTTGCGGGTCCTTGCCTACGGGGACTTTGCCGATGAGGGTCAAAAATGGTCACGCATACTTTTCTGTCGTCACAGCGGAGTTGAACATTCAGAAGCACCTCATGATATTCCATTCAGACTCGTACATCCAGACAGTGAACATCCTTTGGCTGATATTGAGCGAGCACGTGAGCTGCTCTATGAATACCAGGCTATAAATGTGCTTGAGGGGCGTTTGGAAACCGAGGGTGATGATGCTCCAACTTAATACACTCAATACGGAAATAGAATTTTGACAGTGTCATAGATTTATGGACATCTATGTTGGTGGAGGTTCCTGTTGTAAAGAAAACTCGTGACGATGATATGACGAAGATATGCTGTCATAAATAAACAATACACAAACGAACTGTCAGTCATACGAATAACAGTGCATTCAGGGCCCGCTCTACATTTATACTATGATCATTTGATTGTGTTACATTATAAATTCAATATGAAGAAATCAATCCTGGTGATAGGGGGAACAGGTGCCCAAGGGGTGCCCGTCGTCAAAGGTGCGTCCCCAGCTATCCAGAAAGCAATTCTAACCGTCCAGCCTTCGCCTCCGACTCCGAATACACGATCCGTGTCCTCACCCGCAGCTCCTCCTCGAAAGAAGCCAACGAACTCTCCGCCCTCCCCGGCGTAACCATCTTCGAAGGCAACCCCTACGACGAGCCCACCCTCTGCCAAGCCATCCGCGGCATGAACTACATCTTCGTAAACACCAACGGCTTCGCCATCGGCGAGAAATCCGAAATCTACTGGGGCCTACGCATGTACGAGCTGGCGCGCGAATTCGGCGTCGAACACTTCATCTACGCGAGTCTCGAGTACGGGTCGAAACTAGGGCAGTTCAACCGCAAATACCGGTGCGGCCATCTCGACGCAAAGGGGAAGGTGGCGGAGTTTATCGCCGCGCAGACGACGGAGTCGATGGCGTGGTCGATTCTCACGTCGTGTATGTACCTCGAGGGATTGTCGGAGATGTTGCGCCCGTTTCCGGACCCGGGGGATCCGGGGACGTTGGTTTTTGCGGCACCGTTGGGGACGGCGAGGTGTCCGCTTATTCATTTGGAGGATTATGGGTGGTATGCACGGTGGATTGTTGGTCATCCTACGCGGAGTAACGGGTTGAATTTGCATGTTGCGACGGAGGATATCGGGTGGAAGGATCTCGCTGTGGCGTTTACGGAGTTCACGGGCCAGAAAGCAGTGTATAAGGACGTGACACTGGATGAGTATTTCCGGCTGGGCGTGTTTTCAGAACCGGACGCGAAACTGGGCCATTCGGTTGATCCGCTCGATACGACGCTGTTTACTTATCGAGAGAACTTCTCCGGGTTCTGGAATGTCTGGAAAGACGAGTTGACGAAACGGGATTATAAATTGCTGGATGAGATCTTGCCGACGCGGGTCAAGAGTGTTCGCGAGTGGATGGAGAAGGTGGGATATTCTGGGAAACCTACGTCTATCTTGAAGGATTATCGGGATAATAGCAGTCGACAGTCTGGTGTTAAGGTTGATTGACAGGTCATATAATGAAATTGATGCTTGACATGTCAGATCTATGTCCAATCTAAGCTTATCTCGCCGTTCCTGCTGTCAGATTGGCACACATGGAGTGGGTCTGGCCTCAAAGGGCAAACTGTGGGTCGCGTCAGGTATTCTTGGCATCTCGCGTGGCCGACTCTTTCTTCTGGAGAGTTCCTGTTGGGTATAGTCATCTTCCGCGAGGTCTAGATTCTACGAACACTCTGTAGGAGAGATGTCAGGAAAACTCGTGCAAGATGGGGGACTACTTATGTAAGGGATTTTACGGTGAGGTCAGGCTTACTCTGATAGATGTTGTTGTGTTGCGGGAGTCTGCACCAATGGAAATCTAAACTGTTGCGGGCTTGACCTGAGATATATAATTGAAAGCACCCAAGAAAAATTCGGTCTGGAGAGATCGAGAATATTTTTTAATCATACAGTTTGCAGTATATTTTGAATCATATAATGAAAGTGCGACACTACATAACAGTAACTTGAGGGCGTATAATTTGTCGACGACAATGGAAGCGCCCTTTACCTGTCTTACTTTGATGACTTGGCCCAATGTGTATATGATCCCATATCTAACTTCTAAGAAAAACAGCTGATCCTTTACTTCCAGCGGTAGATCTGACCTTTCTTTCCAATTATTTCTGGTAAAATGAAGGTTCTGTTTTCACTTTGGTCACATAGACATGCGGATATATATTTAGCACAATCGCTGGCAATCGAGGGCAACATTATGATACGGATATTTGACATTCTCCAAGGGTAAAGGATAAGGCTGAATCATTTCATGTTTCAACATCAGATTCATACACCCTAAAGACTGAGAAGCGCGTGTCAAGCGCGGGAAGAATGCTCAAAGAAGTTTACGCCGGAGTGATCTTGGCCGACACCCTACGAACCTGTAACATGTGGCTGGAATCAGCCCTACTCGCAATCCCAATGACATCGTGAATCCCTGCAGCTCGATCTAGCATTGCCAACGCATTCTGACACGGGATCAATGCAGCCAATCGTCCCTCCATCGAAGCGGCATACGCAGGCGCTGTGCCGACCCGACAGTCTGGAACCCAATCAGAGCGAAGAGAAAAAATTTCACCGGCCGGGCAGCGTTACATTGAGTAATTTAAGCCTGTCATTTTGGAATCAAGGTGCTTCCCGTCTCTTTCGTTTTGATCTGCGGCTCGTGTTCAGAAGCGTTTCGCTAACTCAGTGATGACGAGGAGACTCGAGTGCTCATAACAACAATGATCTACTCATGAATAGGCGGTGATTTGATTCTTCCCCTTTTTGCAGATAAAAATGGCGCTGTAGATGGAGTTGTAAATATGGCTTAATTTGTGATAAATTATGCAAGACCACCTCTAATACCCCGTAGTCCCAAAGTCTCAGCTGATAAACAAGAAAGTTTGGGAATGGAGTTATTATTATCTGGGATTTCATGGGGACTGTATACAATTAGTTGAGTAAAGGAGGAAATGAGGAGTAGGGAAATTCTCAAGATTAGAGGGACACCGCAGTTCTGCCGAATTATTCCAAATTTATCACCGATCACAAACACGAGCATCACAACTGCTAGCTAGTTACGGTGACAGACTAAAATGGAAAATCCCAGTTGCACATGCTGTATGTGGTTAGCGTGGTCGAGTAGGTGGTTTTTCGACCCTGCGGCGCAGGAGGTCTGCATCCGTAGTGTAGCCATCAGTGTCACCAATAAAAAGAAATCAAGGAGGGCACATATTAGGAAAGATGATCGCGCTAAATGATCCTGTCATCTAAATGAGCTTTTGACAGCCATATCCTGGATAATATGATTTCGCAATTATTTGATCGAAATATTGACTGAAAAAAGGGCCCTGACAGTCGGAAAGACAAGCATCGCGAACAAAGAAAAGCAGACCCACACGGGTAGATAAAAGCTGCTGATTCGCCAATGCTATCTTATCTCAAACATTTGGCGTCTTGGCGCATTTACCGACCCAATCAGCGCGCATGATCCCCTGTATAGAGTGTATGTAGCCGCCCAAGGTTTTAAGCGCCCGATCACCACTCGAGCGGGGTGTTTGCCCTCGGCCATTGGCCTCAAAAAGACCCTTCTTGCCAGCCCCGTCAGGCAGGATGTGTGTCCGTCACACAGGGCGGGTCCTGTGCGGCGGTTTGTTAAAACTGCTGATTCCCCCGGCGGATTGCCAACCCAGCCCGTCGCGCTTTTCTGTCATGCGTCTTTTGTCTTTCTCTTCCTTCCACGGTCATTCCTGCGAATAATATACTCAGAATGGGGAGGCTGTGCACGTCTTCGGCTTGGGTCCTCACCTTCCTGTTGACTCTATCGCTATTCCCCTCTCCGAGCATACAGAAAAACTGTACATATCCAGATGGCACCGTTGCAGCCAACTACTATCCGTGTGATCCAAACGCATCAAAGAGCGCCTGCTGCTTGGAGAACGAAGTGTGTTTGACGAGCGGTCTGTGTTTTGGGGGTGCTGGTTTGCCCTACCGAGGAGCTTGCTATGGAGGCTGGACCGACACGAACATCTGCCCGGACTACTGTAAAGACATGGAAGGTTCGTTACCTTGACGCCTATGATCGATCACTGCCCATACTAACAAACCATCTCCAGGCTCTACAAACCGATTTGTGAATATCTGGCCGTGTGAAGGCCTTGGCAGAGACGCACCGAATGCATTCTGGTGTGGAAACAACGGAGGCGTACCATGCAATACGACAAGCGATACAGGCCCAGACAACGGAGCCATGATTACCCTCGGCCTTTTACATGACAGCTTCATCTACAAAACTGTTGCAACTGCTGTTCCGACCTCTGGGGCCACGAGTACCACCTCGATTCCATCTGGAACTGTCACTAGCCGCGAGACCAGCAGTACGGCCCCCGTTGTAACAGATTGTCCTGCCGATACATCATCATCCACTCCCGCGGAGGAAGATACTGGCAAACTCGTCGCAGTGGGTGCTGGTGTTGGTGCACCACTCTTCATTATGGCGATGATCATGGGGGGTTGGGCATTCCGGGAACGCGCAAAGAGAAGGACTATGGTGAAACAGATGGAAGAGTATAATGCGGCTGCTGCTGCGGCCTCTGCAGCTCGTTATGCACATCCAGATCACCGACGCCAAAATTATATTGCTGAGCTGCAAGCGGAGCCGGCGGAGATGCCTGCTACTGAAATTGACGCTGAACTGGATGCGTCAGGGCGGAAGTCGATTCGAACATCGCTTCGCACGTCGTTTCGGACGAAGAGATGATCATACCATTGAATATAAATAATGTCAAATAATATTGTATATAGACGCATCCACCAATGCAAATTGAGGCAATGACTTACGAACAAGACCAAACTGACTTGAAGAATATATCAGCTACGCAATATAGCTAAACTTCCTCCTCTACTGGACATTGATGACAATGATACATATCCACGTACATATTCGTGGTTAGTTAATAGTATTGTAGTCATTGACTCTTTAAATCCAATGCCATCACACACTAGCCAGATACAGTTAGCCCGGCTAACTATAACACGAGCCCCACTCGGAGCTATCCGCTGCTTTAATCCTGCCCAACCAAAAGCGTCAACAGCCCAATAGCTTCAATCAGAAAATTGCGTCTCCACTTCGTCGCCTAAAATCTGAAGCTGAGATGTTCAGGAGAAATGAAACGCATGTGACTTAAGGACCGCCGTTGGTTCCTGCGTCGCTAGCATGTCTTCCCAATCCTGCCGTCTTCCTGTCGGGCCCAGATAAACATGGTCATGTCGACAGTGCAGAAACGGCTCCTCCGACCCCTTCTCTACGTGGTCGGAGTGATCGTGATCCTCTTCATTATATGGCCGGGTCCTCATGCTCGAGGTTCGGTGCGGGGAGGCTCGCGGGGGGTCTGGAGAGACATCCAGGCTATTCGCAATGAGACTCTGGGTGTATGAATCGGTTTGCTCGAAGCATCAACTCTCCTGCTGACAAAAGACCAGGTTCACAAGATTTTCGGAATAAACCTCCCCAGCAGACCGGATAAGCGGGATAATATTATCCTGGGTGCGTCGATTACCGACTTTCATGTCGACTGGGTCGATGGGGTTACTCCCGACCAAGTCAACGCCAAATCCTACCCTTATGTGACGATCCAAATGCCAGAGCTTGATGCTATCAGCTGCTGATATTACTAGAACTGGAATTTCGACCACGAGCCGAACGAGTATGCGGCTCGACGAGCGCATGTGAATGTGATGCAGCGGTATGCGACTTTTACCCGTCTTCCATTCTAATCTGACCACGCGATAGCATCGTGGAAGAGAGAGTGGCCACTGCGATTATACTGGAAGATGACGCCGACTGGGACGTCATGTTCAAGGGCCAACTGCAGAGTCTTGCGATCGCACTCCGGGCCCTCCAAGGAACGAGCGATACCCCCACCGACTCCCCATACGGCGATGAATGGGACATCATCTGGCTCGGTCACTGCGGACTGGTCTGCAACACCGACTTGCCCTTTTTCTTCACCCCGAACGATCCCACTGTCCTCCCACCGCATCGTTTCCTACCCTACCTGCGCAACCCCCCTCCCATCGAGAAACCCGATCACGCTCGCCTCGTCTGCACCGCCAGCGATGACGTGTGCACCGGCATGTACGCCGTCAGCTACCGCGGCGCCCAGCGAATCCTCGCCGCACTCTCCGTCAGCCCGTCCGACATTGGGGATCACTTGGACACCGGAGCTCAGATCGACGTGGCACTGGGACGCATGTGCGGCAGTGGCGACCTACGATGCTTCTCAACATATCCCGCTCTAGTAGGAGGCTATCGACCGGCTGGACTCTCGTCGAAGAGTTCCGATATCCACGATGTTGGGGGGAGAATGGACCCGCCTTTCAGCTGGGGAACAATGTACAGCACAATGAGGAATATTAACCGGATCCTCCGTGGCGACAAGACAGTTCATGCATACTGGGATGATGTGCCGGTGCCCGATGCGATTCCAGCGGAGATCCCGTGGTTCGGGGAGGGACGATTCAGATGCTGGGAGAGAAGGGCATGTATGAGATTTCGTCTGTCCCTCGTGGAAAAGCGTGAGTATACGACGGTATTATATAATGTATTATATATATAGATGATATAGAATCTATGATAGAAGTTATCCATTTTGAATCATTGTGGCTAAGATTGAAAAACATCTCTATCGTATCAGTGCGGTAGATAGCACATACGGCGGCTGTGATTGGATGGGCCGACCCCACTTCACATCACCTGACATCATGATATCAAGACAGCAGCTCTTTCATTCCCCAAACCTCTAACAAACAACGCATGCACAAAATGGTATCCTTAGAAACAGTACGAGAGAGCAATTTGGCTCTCAAGGACTACGGTCCTGATCTCGTCGCCGTGTTCGGTATCTATCCCCTCTTAACCGGCATATCCTCCAAGCTAACATCTTCCAGTCGGCGGAACGAGCGGAATCGGCGAATCCACCGCTCGCGCTTTTGTGCAGCACACGCTTTCTCCACGCGTCTATCTCGTTGGAAGAAATGAAGCGCAGGCTTCGAAAATTATTGATGAATTGCGCCAGGTTAATTCATCTGGAGAAGTCAGTTTCATCAAGTGCGATGCGACGCGCCTGCGCGCGGTAGATGAGGCTTGTAAAGCCATCCAGGAAAAGGAGGAGAAAGTGAATTTGTTGGTGTTGAGTAGTGGCATTTTAACTAATAAGGGCCCAGATGGTGCGTATCGCTGATATAAGTAATGGGCTACTCGCTAACGAACGCAGAAACCGACGAAGGACTGGATAAAAAGTTCAGTCTGCACTATTACTCTCGCATGCGATTTCTGGCGAACCTGCTGCCTCAATTAACCAAAGCAGGTACTGAGAAACCTAAAGAGTCCAATTCCTCAATCCGACCCAGTCTGTCGAGTGTGGTTTCCGTCCTCGAAGCCGGTGGCGAAGCGCATCTCATCGAGGATGATCTCTCTTTGAAAACAAACTACTCTCTCCGCAACTGCAAAAACCACGCCATCACCATGACATCTCTCAGTATGCAGAAACTCGCTGAATTGCACCCGCACACCTCATTTGTGCATACTTACCCCGGTCTCGTGAGGACAAATCTGCTCCGCGAGTGCGGGATGATCACGAAGACGGCTTTGAGTGGATTGATGTTCCTGTTGAAGCCCTGGGAGGTACCTGTCGTCGAGACGGGTGAGAGGCATTTGTATGCAGCGACTAGCTTGCAGTACCCTTCATCCTGCGATGGTTCAGGTGCAGCTAAGTGGTCTGGGGCGTATCTTCTCAACTGGGATGGCTCGGCGAGGGGGAATATGAGTGTTCTGAATGAGCTGAACAAGAAGGGAGCAGGCGATTTGGTTTGGAAGCATACTTTGGGTGTTTTTGAAGACATCTGTGGCAGCAAGTAGAAAATGATGACGACAGAAGTACATATATTGTGCATAATCTTCTTAGTGTTAATTTTGGATTCACTTATATCACTGGCTTCATCTCATTTAGCCTTTCTTGCTTTGTCTTTGACAGCAGACGGTCAATATCTTTATATTCCAACGGAGAGGAGCGAATATAACCCCGGGCCGTCCATCTTCATTTCCTGCGTGGATATCAGCACCAGTATCTAACAAAATTTCCAATACAGAGTAATCCCCAACGATAACAGCAAGGTGCAGTGGAGTTACGGATTCAAGTTTCCCAAAAACATCTACACCCGATGTAGCAAGCAGTCGAATAATCCCAGCCCATAACTCCTTCTCTCCTGGTTTGGAAAATGGAGCTGGAAACCGGGATATCTCCCTGATGCTTGGTTCGCACGCTATATCACCTGCCTGTGCAGCATAAGGCCCTCCGGCAGCCAGATTCAATAGAGGCCATGCCCAGACAGAACCACGAGGTTCCGTTTCAGCTGCCCTTGCCTCGAGAAAAGGCCGAACACAACCAAGGTTTCCATTAGCCACGGCAAGCCAGAGAGCTGTTACGCCTCTAAGTAGCGGTGCCAATAGTGATCCATGCGAGATTAACACACGTACTAAAAATATATGTCCATTACTAGCAGCGAAATGTAAACACGTCTCAATATCATAGTTTTTTTCTTGCTCGGCGCCTATGTCAGAAGAAGCTGGACAATGCTTATACGTCCGCTCTGTAAAGTATAATGGAATGGATATACGCCGCTATAATTCCATTCGTGAACACTCACCCCTCTGTCGAGGATCATTTTGAAGATAGCAAGATTCCCTCGTTTTTAAACGAATAATAACGCAGTGGCTGCGTGGTCCTTAGGTACTTGACTTTGTATACTGGTAATAGCACCAGCAGATAGTAGGAACTTAGTTGGCTTTTTCATAATTCTGTTTTACTGCTATGTGCAAGAGTGTATTGCCATTTTCATCAAACTCTCTTATATGATCTGATCCAACAGGCAACTATGGAGTGAACAAGGTGCTTTCAATGGCTGCAACTATATCCCAGAAGTCTAAGTAATTTATGATCAGAAGTTGGAGTTCAGGCGGAAGATTATAGAGTGGATGTTTTTGAGGTCCCAATTTATATGACATTTTGGACAAGCTATCGAAGTATTTGTTGATTAGATTAGGTGCCTACGCTTCGGGTGCTGTTTCCGCGATTGCGGCTGCTGCAAGAAGCCCCGCAAGACACAAAAGGGTCAATATGGAACATTCGGCAAGAACAAGTTGCACTGCACGATTGAATGTGGTTGTTGTATAAGATGGTGAGGGGTTCGCTTTCCTGATGAAGCAGGAGACAGATAAGGGAAGAGGGAAAGGCATAGGCGCACTAACAACATTTGCTATTGGGCTTGCTGCATCGTACATTCCATGTAGAACGTCAACCACCCAGAGCGCGAAAACCGTCAAAATGGACTCTCTACTAGAACTGTCTGGTTCGAAATCAATTCGTCGCTGTGTGGCTCCTGGCCCTCGTGGCCATAGTGGGCGCTTTCGTGGTGCTCGTTTCGTTCTCACCCACTGCCGTCCAATACGCGGCCCCCAGGTCAGTTCGATATCGAGTAATTATCAATTGATATACTGATGATTGAAAAGATGGTCTGTCTCTCGCCCTGCTTCTACCTCCCCGCATGCCTCTTCTGCCTCGTCTTCTACCTTCACGTCAGCCTCGCCCGCGCCTTCTCGTGGCCGGTGGCCTGCCTTCTCTCCTTTAATAATGATTTAAAAATGCAATATTAATTATCGATCATCACCACCGGTCGGGAATTGCCGAAGAGGAGGTAGGTACCTCAGTTATTTCAGTTTTCTGATATCATCTAATACATTTATGATATCGACTAAATAGTTACCATGCAGTAATCCTCTAAGTTGCATGATATTAAATCTACTATTCTTTGCTAAGGTCATATATGCACGTCGGCTTATAGTAGCAAGCCATGGGGCCCAATTATTACCAATGCTTATGCAAATTAGTAGCTTATTTTGTGGCCATGATGACTTCGACAGGGTTTGTTGCGAGATCCCGGCCTCCATGGACTGACCATAGTGAACACCAACGTAGGGCAAAAGACAAAGTTATGAATTTTGAGTTATACCTGAGTTATACCTGATTTGAGAGGACTGAGAGCAATATTGGCAGTGGAGGCAGTCAGCGGCGCCGGCGAGGTGGTCAACGAGGCAGCCGTGGCCGTGGTCGTGGCAGTGGTCCTGCAGATGGTCAGTACGATGGAGAGGATTTCGCGATCCTGACGAGCTGAACAAAAAGTGAAAAATTGGACAGGATAATACTACATTTCTTCTATAGGATATGACCAATATTATTGCTCCTATTGAATGTTATGAATTATCAACAAAAATCATCCTTCTCAGTTTCTTCTAGTGTTTCCATTGACCGCGGACTGAAAACCATCTTGGTATGACAATCTATATACATGAATTCCTACGCCTTCTGGGGCGCCCTTCCCACCTGAGGGGACACCTCCCGCTTGCCCGTACCGAATAACGACCCTATGTCGCCACCAGAAGGCCGACCATACTGGCAGAGACCGTGGGAGCAGAGGCGGCATCCATGAGACCCTGAGTGGAAGAAGCGTCGCCGTCGGAGGTAGCGGTGCAGGGCTCGGCGGTAGAGGCGGCGGAGGAGAGGTGGCACGAAGCCGGCCACGAAAAGGTACAGAGGAGGCAGCCGGAGCCGGTGGGGAAGGCCAAACAGTGCAGGATCAGTCCATCTTATCAATTGTCAACACATTAATTCATCCATGCTTTATCTTGAACTGACCTATGGGCCGCGTATTGGAGCACTGGCGGCACCCACAAGAACATCGCGCCAAAGACGATCTCTAAGACCATGAAGGCCAGTTGCCACGAGGCGGAAAATTGAAGGGGGTTCAATGTGTCATCAATTATTTTGACGGCGGTATGTACCAGGTATCATAGCCCGAAGGAGGCCATGCCAGTGATAATTGCCGACTTGCCATTTTGATGGCTGTGCGTGCTGTGAGAGCTCAATGAAGGGGAATTCGGAATGTAGAGAAGAAACTGTCGACATCGCCAGCGGCGGAAGACGCGGCTAGAGGAAGGCGCGATAGCCGTTGGCAGGAAGGCGAAGCCAACCAAAGATGGAGTTGAGATGGAAAGAAGAGTTGGTCCTGAGATAGCTTCATCTTTTATATCTGCAGAATACTATCTTCACTAACTAGGCAGAAGGATAGTTTCGCCATCTTGACTATTTCTACAATTCCATGGATTCAGGGAATGACCTTCATACGCTGGTAGACATTACCCAGAGTAAAGACAGTAGTGGTCCGGGACGTAGTCAATATACATTAGGGCTAGGGCTAGGGCTTCGTAGGTCAAACCAGCAGGATATCAACATCGAGATCCATTACCACCTTTCTCCAGTCCACCGTGATCAGTCCCTTTTCCATTCCAGTTTCTCCATTTATCGCCTCTCTTCTCTGCCAGACCTCCTCGACCACTCGCTTGACTAGCAATCGATTCCCCAGACCAAAGGACATAGACTGCTCCAGCCACGCCTGTGCCAGATCCACGTCCTTCACCGTGTATGCTTCTACCGCAGCGATAAATGCCGGCCACAGTGAGAAATTGCCAATGCTCTTCGTACAAAATGCTGATATATTCTGAAAGGTTAGAGAGACATAATGTGCAACTCGCCACGGTGGAACGTCCAACAGGGACCGGTGCAGATAAATATACGTTGCGAAGATGAATGCGTTGAGTTGATATCGTGCCAATTCCTGCCCCAAAGAGTCCGATTGGCCACTATAACATGATAGCTGAGACTGACATTCCTCAAGACGACCTAGAACATCAGCAACTATACGATCGACCGCAAGTCGAGTGTTTATCGAATTCTTGGCTTGCATCTGTCGACCAGCCACGGTTATCATCGAAATACATTCCAGGAGGGCCCGTTGAGCCCCGATCGTGAATCCACACTGCGGAGTCGATAGGATGGGGGAGGAGAATAAAGGAAGGTCGGATTGGATTGATTCGGTGGTCTCGGTATTCGGCAAAGAAGTCCCGCTGATTATCTTGACTATCAACAAGCTCTGCGTGGAAAAGCATGCAAATCTTGATTCTTTCCATGGATCACTATATTGTGAGTTGAGGAGGGCCCATGCACCTTGCAGATGATGCTGCCATTTTCTGGACTGCCCACTGTATACCTCTGCCATCATCAAAGTCATGATCGCCGCTAATGTGCTACTGAAGCGTTGTCTTCCACTCCGAATACTCTTGCTCAAATGTTGAATTGACGAATTATAGTGCCTTGTAGCCAACGCCATCATCCTACTTTGATCAACACCCAAATGACCCAGATTAAATGCTGCATGAGTTAAGATTGCATGATACAAAGCTTTCTCCTCTGAAAGGGTGTCATGTAGTGAGACGGCAGGATAGTACAGCTTCCATGGGTTCCAGGGATGCTCGAATGGCATCATGACGCTCGCCACGTGGTTGACATAGTGATGGAAAAGAAACTTGTTTTGGGGGTCTGTGTGAGTTGCGTTGGTTGGTCCAGCAGCTAGCATCTTGTTGACGTTTGACAGCAATGAGTTTGATGGGATGAGAGCCTGAAAAACGGAAAATGGGCTGTTCTTAGCATTCGATGGCCATGGTTTGTCCGGTTCGATACTGTCGCACTGCGCAATCAGACGGTCGACTATATCTGATGAAAGAAGGGGGTTGTTTGCCCAGGTGCGTTCTGTCCCTAGTGAGAATCATGCAAGTTCGGGGAATCGAGTTACTTACCACAATGCATATATCGTCGCCCGGTAGATCGGTAAGATTGGCCATCCTGAACCCAAACAAGTTTGGTACTGACGCTATCACAATCTACTCCCAGACGGCGACAATTCGAACACGGCGATCCCCCATCACACTTGATTTTACGACCACGACATCTCCAACAGCCCTTTCCGACAAAGGAATTAGCACATACCGGCTATCCGATCCCAAGCGCACTCACCGTAAATTCCCTCCGTCGGGCGTGGGAAGAATGGGCACCCGTCATCCGTAAGCAACGATGAGTCAAAAAAGATAAAAAGAGAGTGTTGGCGTTGATTAGGATCATAATTATCTGCTTTTTGGTTAGCGGCGCTATCAGTTGCCCTGGATTGTTAATCCCTGTTACTCGCCGCAATCTGATTGGGGGATATTGATCTATAGTGGGTTCTGTCCGTGCGGGGGTTTGGAGATTACTTTGATGAAGTGAATTTATGGGATGAGAGGTATAAATATGTACTTGAGGTGAAAGACAATTTTTGGATCGTAAAGTTTGGACAATTTCATTGTGACCGGAAAATGGGGTTCTTGCTGAACAATTCCCAGAACGATCGGACAACCTACGATTTAGAAGGGAGAACAACGCCTGGAAACGTCGAAAACCCATATACTTGGAGCCAGGTAAGAACATTGTATCAACCAAGGTTCAGGTCTAACAATTATCTCTCAGCGAAAAAAGGTTTTTGTCGTTTTTGTTGGTCTCCTTACGCTGTTCAATAGCGTCTTTGACTCGACAATCCCAAGCGGCGGAATCGACTTCATCGCCTCGAGTCTGAATGTCCGAAACGAGACACAACATGTTTTGCCAACATCAGTTTTCTTAATCGGATACGTATTCGGGCCTCTGGCCTTTGGTCCGATGAGCGAAGTTTATGGTCGACGATTGGTGATGGTCGGAACATTCATCTTATTCACCATCTTCACTCTCGCCTGCGCTGTCGCCCCGAACTGGCCGGCATTGATTATCTTTCGAGCGCTTTGTGGAATCTGCGCATCTAGTTCCATTGCCGTGACGGGAGGTTTGTTTGCAGATGTGTATGACTCGCCTCGGTCTCGTGGTCGGACCATGGCACTTTCGATGGCTGTAAGCATTCTGTTCAGAAGGTATGACTTATTCTAACGAGTCCAGATAACAACAGCGGGTCCACAATTCGCTCCGATGATATCTGGGTTCATAGCGTCGCTGGGGTGGAGATGGATCTTTTGGGTCGCTCTGATACTCGCGGGTGTAACACTGATTCCCACCCTTTTTCTTCCGGAGACATGTCGAGCGGTTCTTAAGCATGAGGACGCGAGGCCCGTCGAAAGGAATTTGACGCAGGCGTTGACTAGACCTCTGTATATGATTTTCTGCGAGCCGATCATTTCTTTCACCTGTCTCTATCTATCATATGCTAGTGCGATATTCTGTGAGTCGGCAACCCCCTCTCGGGTGATAAGTTTACTGATGCCTAGCTATAGTCATGTATTTCGAAGCATACCCGCTCATCTTCAAAGGAATATACAGCATGAGCAGCGGCGTAGCAGGCCTAGCCTTTCTCCCAAGTACGACCCTAACCTCAATTCTCCTCATCAACTAACTAACCAAACAGTCGCCCTCGGAGCCATTCTCGGAATGGCCATCTTCCTCTACTACGACTCCCTCCTCCACATCGCAAAATCCCAGAATGCCCCCTGGTCCCAGATCCAAGAATACCAACGCCTCCCCCTCGCCTGCCTCGGCGGACCGCTCTACGTCCTCGCCCTCTTCTGGCTCGGCTGGACATCATCGCCCCATATCCACTGGATCGTACCCATGCTCGCTGGGATTCCGTTCGGAGCGGGCTTCTTCCTGATCTTCGTCGCATTGATAAATTACCTCATCGACGCGTACCATGAGTTTGCGGCGAGTGCGATGGCTGCTGCGAGTTGTTGTCGGAGTATCTTCGGAGCTGTGTTGCCGTTGGCTGCTGTGCCGATGTTTAAGAGATTGGGTATTCCGTGGGGGTGTAGTTTGCTGGGCATTTTGAGTTTGGGGATGTGCTTGATTCCGTTTGGGTTTTTGAGGTTTGGGGGGTGGATGAGGGCGAGGAGTCGGTTTTCGGGTGGGAGGGATTGATTGGATTGAGTGTAGCAGGGATATGAACTACGTTACTTGAGTATACGCTCGAATAGAGATACGAATGGGGTTGAAGAATTATTGAATTACAAAGGAGTCATATTCAATTGGTATCTAATCAGACAAATATCCAGGGTAGACAAGAGAAAACGTTTGGCAGAGTCGAAATCACGGCACATATTCGGGGATCATCACATAACAATCCATTTGACGGTTCTAGAGGTTCGCACAAGTTAGTATTCGCATAGCGCAAGAAAGGGTGGAAGAGGATACACATACCGGCATGAATCCAATATCCGTCCTACCGTAGAAAAGCTCTTCGGCTAGTGAGACACCAGGGATTGCCTGGATGAATTTCCAAAGATGCTCCAAAAAGCCACCCTCGTCCCACTTGCCGACAGTACAGTATGGAATTGTCTTTCCTTTACCCTTTCTGTCTTCGTCGTCGTCTTCCGTGTTAAAAGCAACATCGAGGACTTCAAACTGCAGCACATTGAACGAAAGCCTGTCGAAGCCGTCGGCCTTGTCAATATCCGTGCAGGGAGTGATTACCAACGGGGACTCGGGGAATGTGTCGATGGGGATGGTCACATTCTCGTTCATTTGTGTTCCGTTGACCTTGTCCTGCTTCGAGACGACCACCCCATCGACATCTTTCATCACTGCCGTGAGAAAGAAGTCCGAATTAACGACCACCGCCGTGTCCCATGCTTCGTAAACGTGGATCGTGGCCGTGCCGGGCTGGGGGTGGAGTGTTTGAACGGGCGTGGCTGCGCCTTCGGGGCAGTAGGTGACGGGTATCGATTCATCGAACATCGATGTCGCTGGTTCGAGACACTCCATGACGGTTCTGTGGCCGTTTGTGAACGTGTAGGGGCTTAGGGTGGCAGCTGTTTGAGTTGGCTTTGCACCGATGGTGATTCTTGGTCTGGTAGTGTAGGCACATGGGCTCTTTCCGAACATGGTTGGGGCGTTGAACAGTGATCCAGGTTCTGTACATTCGCAGTATGCGACGTCTATGTGGGGACCGGCTCTGTGCGATTGTCAGTAGTGATTATGGTGGTCAAGAAGAAGGTACTTACTTTTCAACGCATGTCACAGTAGGCATCGGCGGAGGTAGCAAGGAGCCCAAATGGTTATGGAAAGGAATAGACGATGTTATGTTGAGAATAGAGGACGGGCCAACGAATATTTCCGACATCATCAACGGGTACTTGTGAGTTGGTCTTGTTCGAGTCGGCGTTGGACTTCCAACAGTGATCGTATGCATCATAAGAGGATGGGCATGTTTCGAACGTGTTGGGGTTGGCGATGGACTTCCCACAACAATCGTTTCCATCTTGAGCGGGGGCCTTGAGCGACATCGGGATGGCCCGGGCGATGAACTTCCAACCTGAATTTTGTCCATCGTCAATGGAGGTCTCCAATGGGGCGCCTTGCAAGAACTGGGTCCAACGAGGATCGTCTTCATCGTGAGTGGATTAAAGCTCGATGGGGTCGAGCTGACCATGTACGTTTGTATCGCGAGTGGATTAAAGCTGGAAGGCGTTGCGCTGACAATAAAGGTCTTCATTTCCAAAAGATCGTGTTTCGTTCGATCCGACGTCACTGTAGTGGTCATCGGCGTTCCCGTTATATCGCAGCCCGTGATTGTTCTGGACTTGGTTGATGTTGAACACGTCAATGTCGTTGGGGAACGGGCGACCTGTGTCGAGATCACTGTGCAATAAACAAACTCGGTCGACAAAACCTTCGATGACGCCATGCTACACGACGAACTTCTTGTTGTACTACCGTTGGGCGTAGTCCGCGGGGTGGTCTTCGGTACTGGGGTCGTCGGTGGGATTGTGGGCTTAGACGGGTCCGTAGGCTCAGGCGGATCAGAAGGGTCATGTGGATCAGATGGGTCGTTAGGATTTGGGGGACCGGGTGGCCCTGGAGGCCCTGGAGGCCCGGGAGGTCCAGGAGGTCCAGGAGGCTTGGGCGGACCGGGTGGACCAGGAGGCCCCGGAGGCCCCGGTGGTCCTGGGGGTCCTGGGGGTCCTGGCGGGGAAGGGGGTTTCGAGTCGTCACCAGAATCATCACCAGAATTGTCATCATCATCGCTTCCGTCATCATCTATGATTCCCCCAGCAGTCCGAGTGAATCTGAAAGAGTCCGGGGTCGACGTCGAATCGTACTCTGATACCACTGTAGTGGTTTGGGATTGCGGGATAGACGACGGCGACACATGGTAGCTTGAAGATGATCCAAAAGTGTAGCTCACCGGTTCGGACGTCGGCGTGGAGAGAGACGGTGAAGCACTTGAGCCGGGCTGTGGGAATAAACTTGGAATTGGAGAGCTGGCCGATATCACCTGTACCGGGACAGATGATCCAGAAGACATTGCCACTGGAGAAGAGACCTCTGAAGTCAACTGAATCGATGATAATGGCACAGGATTCGACGATGACAAAGATATTGACAGCACAGGCGAAGGCGAGGGTACCGAGGAGGGCAGGCTGGAGGGCGCCGATGCTGAGTGCAATGGTTCAGGCGAGTGCAGTGACGAGATCGAGGCCTCTGAAGTTGGTACACGAGATGGCGATGGCCAAGATGTCGAGACGGAAATCCACGATGAAGGCAACCGGCTGGAAGACAGATCTGACGATAGATGCGCCGAGTTCAATGGCTCTGGAGAGGGTGACATCGAAGGAAACAGACCTGGAGATGAGACACTTGGGAACACTGCAGAAGACGATTGGACGGCTGGCTGTGACAAAGAATACGAATCGCTCGCCGAAAATAGTGTTTCCGAACCGAATGTAACTGGGGATTGGAAAGTTGAAGTTGGTAGTTCCGAGACCATTGGAGATGTCAACAGAGAATGCGATAGCATTGGTGGCGAAGATGTAGACGACACCGCAGACCACGGCATAGAGGACCATGCGACAGACGATGAGTTATCTAGGCCCAACGCCACTGTTGATATGGATTCTGCAGGGGAGGTAACCGATGGCACCATGGTTGAAGTTGACGGCCCTAGAGACCATGGCAGCGAGAACCATCCGTCCGACTTAGAAAACACTGGCACCGATGGCTCTGCAGACACGGATTCAGACGTGAAGGATGATGCCGGGGGAGAAAGCAATTCTGAGGTTGAAGCCGATGAGGCCGATGACGATATTCCCGAAGGCAATCTCACGGACGACGGTGACTCTGAATCGGATGATCTTGTAGGCATTAAATCTGTCGTGAATGCCATTGAAGTTGGAGCTGAGCCCGACGAAGGAGGCAATTGCAGCGATGCCGGTGGCTCTGAAGACCATTTGTCAGAGGAAGTCTCAGGGCTTAACGACGCCGTCGAGAGCATTGCAGTTGGAGAGGACTCGGAATTGGAATCCAGAACAGACGAGACCGACGATGGCCATGGTGGAATCCAGGTCAGGGAAAACCATCCGGTAGAGGACGACGGTTCCGAGCTCACTGGAGCTGTAGTCACAGACGTCAAAGCAGCTTGAGTTGTTACAAGAGGTAAAGAAATCGTAGAAGACATCTCTGAAGACTGCGGTGCAGAAGATGTTTCACTTGCAGAAGACGACTCTGTAGTCACCGATGCAGACAAGTAAGGCTCCAAGATAGAAACCAGCTCTGAAACCTCAGGCGATGATTGCACAGTTGACGACAACTGACTGATAGGCAATGTTGAGGGCTCCTCATCCATAGGGAAGGAAAACAATCCGACATAGGCTGTGTGATGCGGAGACCCTGGATCCAAGCCCGACGTTGGCTCAGAGGGCAAGGCCGGTGTAGGGAGGACCATAGACAGCCACACTGGAAGGCCTGGGAGAGTGAACCATCCATTGTTAGATGAGGTCTCCGCTCCTAGTGCCATTGTATCAGCAAAAGCAGGTGGAAGGGGGTCCATTGCAGTTGTAGCCTGAAACGACGAATCCAAAGACGACGAGTCGGTTGACATTGGAAGTCCTGTCTGAACTGTGACCACAGGAGCTTCGGTGCTGGTCGATGGGATGAGTTCCAAGTCTTCCGGTCCAGGGATAGTGAGCATAGTAGGAATCTTTCTCTTGTCCAAGGACTTTGAAGGGATATCAACGGACTGGTCCGTATCCCAAGAGCTGAACTGAGAACTTGGCGAGGAATACGGCATTGAAGCAGTTGACGTGGTATTCACAATGCTGGAGAGACTGCCATTTCTCAACGTCGGGGAGGCATGATGATTGCCGCTATACGCAGCAACCATCTCCCCCAGTGGGATCAACGCTGGGATCAGGCTCTTGACCATCATGACGGCGTTCTAAAGAGCCAGATATTAGAAACGATTCTTTGAAAAATGCATACAAATTGGGAGATACGATACTCACGACGAAGCTGTCTAACACCAGTGGATAGCTGAGCAGTCTGGCAGGTCTGGGGAGGAGAAGGAGAGATCGAGAAAGAAAAAGAAGTCGATGTCCTTCTGTGTGAGGGGCTATGCCAGAAAGGGAAGTCGAGCGAGAGGCTGGCTTGTATTAGAAAATCTTTCATTTTTATTTTTGCTGTCAAATTTCCCAGTGAGCCCCACTCTGATATTCACTCTGATATTTACTGATTCATTCACTGGAATATTCACTGCAGAGAGAAAATGTGACTGGAAAATTCTGTCCTAGTGGGAAGTCATATAATATCTCCTCCCATTGACCTTCTCCCACTTCTTCTCACCCACCCTTCTCGATCCTTCAACCTCTTCATCCTTTCCTCCCTTCATCATCTCTTCTCTTGACCACCTTCCTCTCTCAACTCGCTTCATCGTCAAGATGATCTCGTCTCAGGGCAAGATGTTGTCCTTGCTCTTCGTCCTTCTCTCGTTCCTGTCCGTCTGCGTCTCTGGGTGGACTGGGTTCGATGGGTATGTCTCTTGACGCGTTTCATTCCAAGCTTCAGCTAATATAGAAACAGCCAGGACCCTTATGGAAGAAACATGTCTCTGTCCTGGTCCATTCACTTTGAGCCTGCTGTCGCTGGCCTCAACAAGCGTCTCGAACCCAGATTCGAAGAATTCCGCGACGACCTCGTCAACCGCGCTACTCCCGTCCTCCAGAACGATGAGAAGTTTCTCGCTTTCGGCAACGACCAGGCCATGCTCGGCAGTGACGGCTTCGTCGGATGCATTGGCGCTGTCATCGTGAGCACAAAGGGAACTATCATCGCCCACTACAGCAACGATCCCAGTGGAGTTGAACGCGCCAAGGACAAGCTTCCCAAGCTCATCAAGGAAAACAAAAAGGCCCTTGCCGGTGGACAGGCTTGGATCTACGCCCACGTTCGCCCTAGGGAGCCCAACAACTTCCTCACTGCTCCTGGCAACCAGGTCTTGATTGACATCATCAAGAGGGAACTCGACATTGACGCCCACGTCGAGAGATATGCCGAGATCGAGGACTTCTTGGAGAAGGACAATGGTGAGCTGCGTGAGGATTTCGAGGAGCTCTACGATGAACTCAAGCAGGGTGCCATCTTGGTCAAGCATGCTGGTGGCCCGTCTGAGCCTGCTGAGGTTATCTTTGTCAACTTGGATTGGCAGAGACCTGCGGACGACTAAATGTCGCGGCTGTTGGAAGTCTGCTTTGACACATTATGGGTAGCTGGTTACATGTATCTAGTACATTTATAACAAAAGTCGAGCTACCTTTGGGTACCCAGTATGATTCAATCATCGAATACGAAATTGAACCTTCATTCGGATTTTTCTACATTGTAGATTGATCTTGTAGAGAAAAAGAAGTCTGTCATGTGGTTTCAACTTTCATTCCATTATATATAACACGCACTCGAAGCAACCCAACGTGAAAACCTCCATAGTATTATTCAAGCTGGCATTTACAAATAGACCCAAGCAAATTCATTTTTATCTCAGCAGAGAATTTATCTCGTCCACGTTGTGCTTGCTACTGCCAGAATAATTCCACGATGTCGTGTATTTAGGGCTCGCCAAGTCCCACTTGACCGCCTTGTTTATCAGGCATCAAGGCCGATCTGGCACTAAAAGGAGAAACCCGTGGGACTTTTCGGGTCGGGATCTAGACCCAGACAGACCCACAGGCCCTATTTTGACCGCAGCTGGCTTTTCGACTGTATGATATTTTGGTGTATTCCGTTTGGGTATTTTCTAAAATTTATCTGGGTGAGGAGAATTCCGATATTGGATCTTTTTGAGCACGTAATTGTGGTGAGATTTAGCGTTATTGACAGGCGTGGTGGAATGTGGATTTGTGATCAAGTCTCTCCCAGTCGACTCGCTGGCTGTTTTGATGCCATCTTTCTAAGGAGGTGCACCAGTCACGCCAGAAATCCAACCATCAATATTGAAGACATTCTCCAGCATCCCCAAGAATAGAATATTTCTACAATCATACCCTTATTGTGCTCAATTGCTAATAACTTTCATATTACTAGTTCCAAGAATTACCCGAAACATCTCCGGTACAGATTTATCACCGATCTCGAAATGTAGAATAATTCCATAGAGGCTCTGATGGCCAGTCGGATTCTAATACTGGCTGGGGTGATGATACAACGCATTGTTTGCGCTGTTTGTGTGACACTACCGATTCACTTGCTCTGACGTCCAATGGTCCTGCCCAATCTGGACAACTTCAGTCTCCTCCAATTCTCCCAACGCCTGTTCAGCGTCTCTTTCTCGTTCATGTTTTTCTCACCCTTTCTTCATTGCGAGTCAACTCTGCATCATGGATAGCCAATACGCGAAATGGTTTGCAGGCATTGCGAATGAGATGGACACCAAGTTGGACCCTTTCGAAGTCGCCGCTCTGACCTCGTACTTCGATGATGTCATCCCATTGCAGGATACAGTTTCTCGGCTTAAATGGCCCACCATTCCGGGGCCTGGTGTTAGCCGGCCTGGAAGGCTTTGGGCCTTGCTGCTCTTCCTAGCCAGGGGCCACCAGGAACCACACGACGATATCCTCAATCTACTCCAAGTACTTTGGCTCTTCCGAAAATCAAAGGGGCGAATGAAATAATCTGGCCATATGAAAGAGATGTAGGTTTTGGAGAGAACTGGAGGAATGATTTCAACTGTAAGTGCTCCCTTCCCCTGAAAGTGATAATACTGATGATGTTAGCGCTGAGTGCCCAGCATTACCGAGCCAAACCTCTTCTCCAACCTATATGCGCCCAATGGATAAACTCCAATGCCTTTACTGCTCGCCTCATCGGCGCTTTTATTATCGATGGATACTACTGGGCGTTGCTGTTATTGTGGAAGCACTGGAGAGGAGGATCGATTTTACGAGACTTACCGCCAGAGAGGAGAGCAATGTCTCTGCCGCAGCACAGTACTTCATCCTCGCCAGCAAGGAATTTCTCTATAACCCATTCCGAAATGCCGATAAGCAGAATAATCCGTGGGTCACTGGTTGGGGAAACGAGACACAGCTCTGGACCGGCGAGAGGGGTTTCAATATGGAACGGTGGAACTTCTGGAAGAGCCAATGGGGGGCATTGAGAGTGAGGGAAGAGCTGAGTGATGATGCCAGGGAGGCTGCAAGAAGAGCCGAGGTTGCCATGGACAAAGCAGAGAGACAGAAGGAGCGCTGAACCTTCAATAGGCACCAAAATACTGTTTGTGGATTCGTGACTATAGATTTAGAGTCGACGGAATAGTATAGCTGGCACTGCTAGTCTACGGCTTCTATCCCGGAACGAGGTTACACGCATAGTGAACTTTAATTCCATCGTTATCCCTCATTCAGATTGATCCATGAAATATCATCAGCGATATCTCTCAAGTCCTCCGCGGTAATAGCGATGCCTGTTTCGATTTGTCCACGCCCTCGGTCGTACAAAGTCTGAAACGGAAGAATCATGGGACCACCAGTGACAGTACTCGGAGTCGTTATCACCTGCTGGACAGAGTAAGGCCGTGGCTGAGTGGTGCATGGAGCTATCTGCAACGGCCGCTGCACTATCTCAAACCTTACATAGGCTTGGTTGATAGCTATGATAAGCACAATGCTGACATCCCCATCCGAGTGCTCAAACCACCATTTCGCTTCTTCCTTCAGTTTGCTATACGATTCAGAGACATCAGTCTGCAATACCAAGGTAGACCAGACTATACCTCCAGCAACTAACGTGCGCGAACCTGGTAAGAAGATCTGGTATCCCTGTTTTCGCTTGCTTCCAGTCGGATTGTAAGTTGCTTTTCCATCCCATCGATCATAGCCGAGAGCAACCGCAGGATTCTACATCATGACTCGTCGAAATTCTATCCGTGACCCCTTTCGTCAAACCTTTTTGTCTAGCGCTTGTTCCTTTGTACGGGATTCTGGACATTCTTGAGCCGGAGAAGCCATCACGGCGCCACTATCTCTCTATCGTTAGACTTGCAATTGACCCTGGGAGGGTATACCATATCCCGCGGATCATCTATTTCATAGCCAGTCCGGTTTGCAGCTGTATGTCGACTCTGCAATTCGATGATATCTATCTTTACCCCTGGACTGGAATTTGGTTGATTGCTTTTTTTCGTTGCCATATTGAGGTTGATCGTCTTTGTCTATAGGCAGGTGTTTTGACGTCTCTGCATTGACTTGGCAGAGCATCATCAGGTATCATCTTCACAATACTATATGAACATTAAGCACACGGGTTCCTAAATTATGTTTATCACATGAAATCCATAATAATATCATTGTTGCTAATGTAACCTCATTGCCGGGCCACTGCCACAGCACAGCCCCATGACGTCACTTCTATCAGCCACATATAAACAGCGCTTATTTTCTCCAATTTTTTCTCCTCTCATTTTTGTTTCCCTACATCGCAACGTCTTCTAACATATCCATTAAATTCCATTCATTCAAGATAATCATGGCACCTATCACTATCACCGTCACGGGCAACTCATCCATCGACGCTCGCCCCGAACAAGCCGTCCTCTCCCTCCAAGTCAAATCCGACGGCCCCTCCAAAGACATCGTCTCCAAAGAAGCAACAGCAACCGCAAACCAAGTCCAACAAACCTTCAAAGAGCTCCAAGCCGAGTCATCACCTCCAGTCTCGGCCTTCTCAACCCAGTCCGTCCGCAGCGGGTCAGAAGTCCCCCGCGACAACGACGGCAACCCCCGCGAACGGGTGTACTTCTCCCAGATCTCATTCGAGGCGACATTCCATGACTTTGAAAGACTCGGCCAAGTCACCGGCCGTCTGAGCGCGCACCCAAATATCGAGATCTGCAATGTGGACTGGCGGTTAACAGACGCAACCAAGAAAGATCTCTCCTCTCGCGCGAGGAAACAGGCAATGGTGGATGCGATTCAGAAAGCGAAGGACTACGCGGACGTTATTGGGAGAGAGGTCGTGCCGGTGGAAATTACAGATACGGATTGTTCGTACGGGTATCCCCCGCGGATGATGGCTAATTGCATGGCAGCGCCGGGGTTGGGGGCTGAGGATGAGAGAGAGGATTTGGATCTGACGCCGAGGAATATTGACGTTACGAATTCGGTGCAGGTGAACTTTAAAGGCGAGTGAGGGGAAACAGATACTAAGATTAGGTATGAATGCGTGATCAAGAATAATAAATATGATTAATTGCTTTTTTAATGGTAGCTAGCAGTCAGGGAAAGATCTGGGCGCTTACTAGCCAAAAGTATCACGATCCAACCACTCATTTCCGTCTTCTACCACACCCCGCTACCCAGGTAGACCTTCTGGTAAAGGTGCATCAGCATCATCCAATAAACCCATGACAAGTCATCGACTGTGGATCGCGCTAATGGCGGGGATGTTGGCTAATTAGCCATCACGATATCTCATCACGAAGGGCCATCTGCCGGCCTGGACATCGCTGTGAGATAATAAAAAGGTTTTCGATTGAGAACTCAAAATGGCCAACATTTGTGAGATATGCAAACCTATGTTTCAACGAGCCCACTGGGAGTATCATGTCCATCATCGCAGCCTCGAATCTTTCGTCAGAGCGAAAGAACAAGGTTGTCGGATCTGCACGCATCTATGGCAGCGGATCCTTGCAGAGTGCGACGTCCCTGGGAGTCGTCTGGTGTTCCCCATTCAACACATGAGTGGCCCGAGTGGGACTATAGGTGACGTCAATATACTGGCCACAATACTGGCAGACGATGGAAGCACCCCTGAAGGTCTTTCTTACTGGCTAAACGTTACTCCAAGTGGTGTCTATCGCATAGGTCTTGGTAACAAGGATCGAAGCTCAGAGACTGCGCTCGAACAAGGCATCAAGGCCACTCACAAATGGATGGACGAGTGTTTGAATCATCATGCAACATGTTTGAACAACATTCAGCCCTCCTTTGTCCCCACTCGATTGCTTGTATTAGAGGAAGGCGCGGTGCGGATTGTTGTGACAGCAGAGGAGAAGATATCCGGCCCTTATGCGGCCCTGAGTTACTGCTGGGGTGATGGTTCGTCTTTTCCCTGCCTGGTGGCTGAAAAGCAAGCCAGATATCCACGGGGTCTTCTTTTGTCAGAGCTTCAACAGGGTATTCTTATATCTGAGCTTCCAAGCGCGTTTCAAGAGGTGATTCACTTCATCAAGAATCTCTCCAAAAGCAAGTTTGCCATTCGCTATCTCTGGATTGACGCGCTCTGTATCGCCCAAGGCTGTCATGAAGAATGGCTTTTCGAGTCCTCTCGGATGGAAGATGTGTATTCCAACTGCGTTATCTGTCTGGCTCTATGCAGAGCTAAAGATCCAGATCAAAGCTGCATAGGCGGGTGCTCTCCCAGTGTACTTCCGCCATTTGAAGTGGAAGGAAAAGGATTCTTTGAAGGCAGCGACAAGTGCACAATTTTCTGTGACGGATACTATAGCGATGCGCTCTACAATCAACCACTTTGGCACCGCGCGTGGCCTTTACAGGAGCGGCTTCTTCCTCCACGCGTTCTCAGCTTTGGGCTGGGTGAGCTCTTTTGGGATTGCTTCGAGAGTGACAACCGATGCGAATCTTTTCCAGAGGGGATCCAAATCGTATCGGATGATCTAACTCTAATCAACATGGATCATCTGAAGCGCAAGATCATGCCGGATCGATTGAATACGTCTCTCTGTCAGCGTATGTGGAAAAATATTGTCATGGAGTATTCTCAGCGGAGTTTAACATGTCCTGAGAAAGAGAAGTTGGTTGCACTATCGGCCATTGCAACACGGTGGGGGAAAACCATGAATGATGAATATCTTGTGGGCCACTTTTGGAAGATGCTACCTCACAGTCTCCACTGGGCACCAGTACACATTGAAGGCCTAAAGCGATTGCAGGCACCACCCAGGCGCATGCATAGTTTCATCGAGGAAAAGAACGGCCAAGGGCAGATCAAAGTGCCAAGTTGGAGCTGGGCGTCGGTTGATGGCCCACTAGATGGTGTTCCTTATGGCAAGGTAATGGCACATGTAAAGAGCTGGGATTTGATGTCAACCAAAGACAACCATCAAGGTCAGAAGGTGTTGCTTGCTACTTTGACAATTGAAGCAGTCTGTCTAGAAATCGAATCGATTGACGGAATGCCCTATTGCCGTGAGCCAACAGGGGCTACCCATCGGGTATTTGGTCGACCCGATGATTCAAGCTACACAATACCTAGCGGAACCAAATCTAGACACGCCTGTTTAGCCAGGTCTTACGGCGATTTGTTGGGTGTGATACTAGAGCCGGTAGAAGTGGAAGGCAAGACAATGTATAGCAGAATCGGGTCCTTTACCGTAGATCTACCCATGGTGGAACGGGTTGGAGCTCTGGACAGCATAAATGGAAAAGGAACGGACACTGATATTGATTTAAACATGGAACATGCGATATTTATTATTATATAAACCAATATACAGCCCTATATGGTCTCATTACGATTTCTACCGCTTAGGAGTCATGTGGTATTGATTCAAGCATGACAGTTTTATTCCTTTGACATTTTATTTTCCATTTCCCTTTCGATCTACTCTGGCTTTCTATTTGACTACACTTATCCCATCAACAGGAATTACACAAACACACTCCCCTTCATCTTCATCCAAAGACTCATACATATCGTAATCCCCAGAAAGACCACCTGTAGCTACTCCCATCGTCTCCTTCCTATCCCCAACCCCAAACAAAGCCCCCTCCGCATATTCTCTCCCCCTAACGCCCTTCTTCCCATCAACTCTTACCTCCACCACCCGATACGCAAACACAAACGGCGACGAATGTTCAAACTGCGCTTCCTCTACATCCCCTCGACTGATATCAACCTGCGGACCAGCAGAAATCGGTAATCCAGTAGCCGATCCATCAAGACCGAACATGGCTGTTTTCCCGCGGTCTTTTCGGTGGAGTGTTCTTACCCTTGCACCTTCGACTGTCTTGATGCCTGTTATTATGTAGACTGGTTCTTTGTAGTTTGTTTGTTTAAGGAAACTGTTCACATCCCGATGTGATGCCAATTGTTCGATGAGGTCTTGGGATGGGGAAATCCAGGCTGTATCCATTTTCTCGAATGAATAGGAACTGATGTCAGCGTGTTCACGGCTAATTGACGCTTCCGCGCCTAGACCGCATATTTGGAGGAATTTGGCAAAAAGGCCAATTTTTCGGGTTCGTGAGTGTTCGATCGTTTGGCTGAGGTTGGATTTGGTGGTTTTGAAGATGTTGAGATCGTGTTCGTGCAGAGTATCCGGGGTATAGAGGGGGGTTGACGGGTTGAATGGATCGTCTATTATGGATCCTAGAGTGATGGAGTCGGGAGGAAAGTCCCAGTTTGGGACTAAGAAGTAAGTCTTGATTTGGTTCGCCATGATTGTTGATGGTTTTGGATGGAAAATGTGTCTTGGTCCGAGGGAAGGCTGAAGACGATCTGGCGGGGTAATTCGATATCCCTGCAACAGGGATTCGATAAGCGACTTGGATCACTATTGATAGCAATTGAGGCTTCAGATTAAGGAGGTCAGATATAATTTGGATTAACTTCGGAGTGCATCTAGTAAAATCTGATCTATCCCGTTCTTTCTACTCTCATTAAATAACCTCCACGGGGTGATATAATTAAACCCATCGCTGACCTCCGATACCTTAAGAAGCACTGCCTCAACTCCCTTCTTACTTCTGAGCTGAGATAATAAAAATTCAAGATTCTCATCAACTCCTGCAGGCAAGTGTCTCAGGTAATCGATGATTACCGCTACGACGCCACTGGCGACAGGAGTCGCTACTGACGTTCCTGACATGACCTTCGTTCGTCCCCTACCATTCGAACTCAGACTCGAGGGCCAGGAAGACGTTACTCCCTCTCCGAGTGTGCTGAAGTTCTTGGTGTATGGATATGGACCAGGGGTAAATGGTGACTTGTTTCCTTTTCCGTCGGAAGAACCAATGCATATCACTTCGTTCTGATCGGCAGGGTATGCTATGCCCCTATTGCCCCCGTCATTACTTGCAGCGGCAAGGATGACAATCCCTTCTTTGTATGCAGACAGGATGCAGTTTTGTATCCCCTCAAGACTCACAGAACGACGGTGAAAGCCGAATGAGAGTGAAATGATATCGACGCCTTCCCGGATTACCCATTGCATTGCCTGATTAGATACGTTAGTTTGGTGCAATTAAAAATCACTGTATAGGTCTACCCACCTCAACAATAGATTCCGGACTTTCCAAACTATTACTGGCAGTCACCCGTGCATGATAAATGTCCGCATTCTCTGCAATTTGCAGTAGGAGGGCTGTGCAGAATGTACCATGACCATTCGTATCAGTAGGGCATGCATCGTCATCATCGACCACAAAATTTCTGTACTTAATGCGATACGAATTCCTTTTAATAAAAGCATCATTTCGGTCAATCCCAGTGTCCAGAATAGCAACTTTGACTAGGCCTCGTATTGGCGTTAAACTTCGTCTGGGAAGTAGGGGAAAGACGTTTTCGCGGAAAAGGTCGAACCATTCCTCTGCCAGAGCCATCCTGCTTATAGAGTCAGCGTATAATTTCTAGCAGGGAATAGTTATTATGTGTTATACGCTTCAGGCCTGGCCTCCCTATCATCAAACATCCCAAATTGACATTCCTCTATGTCCATCTCAGCAAGGTCGGGATGGGTATGAAGCATATTCCCATTATCCTCCATAGCAAACTGCAGCGGGCAAATTATTCTTTGGTATATAATTTGTCGCATTCCATCCTTATCCAAAAAGAACTTTTCTCCAAGATCACAGGTTAGGCACGTTCGTACGGCTTCTAAATAGTAGGAGCCTTCCGCATGAAAAGGACGGTCGGCGATCGGGAGGTTCTCGTTTGACGCGTTGTCAAGAATTGAATTTACAACTGCCATATCTAAAATCAAGATGCTGTTACATTCCGGCATGGATTTCCGCGTGTAATATTGACGGATGTCGTCCCATGTGTGATCCAGCGACAGTTCGGTAAGAAGTTTGCCCAATGCGAATATTGTGGGTTCAAGAATGCTGGGTGCTATCTCCCCTGGGAAAATCCCTCCATCTGGTGAAAAAGACGACTGTGATACGAAAGCCTCAGTCAGCACTAGACCATTTTGAGAGCGAATGAAATGGATATCATTCCCAGTCCAGCTCCGGTGTATCCACGAGGTCTCATACAGATGGAGAACACTCGTTGCCATGGTCAACGCCAATCTCAGTCGAGACTCAGTGGGAAATGCTGTCAGTGAGATTGCAGGATCTTCGATGATGTTGCGTAAGGACAAGACCGAGGTCCAGGGACATGACTCAACCTTTGGCTTTTGCACACGAACTTGGAGGGACCCCGTATCTTTAGTACCCAACATGCCGATTATGCCGTCTTGGGCATATTGCACTTCGAGAGCGGCGATACAAAGGTTCAATGAACTCTTTATACCCGGTGGTGGAGGTGTTGATAAAGGCCAGAGAATGGTCTCCTGGAATCGAGTAATCTTGTCCCTGATTGTACTGGTCTTTGGTAGGTCAAAGGAATCTTCAGAGTCGCTGGAATCCCCTTGAAACGGTGTGAGGCGGAGCTGCTTTTTATCCTTCATCCAGGTATCAAGCTCAGCCCATTGCCAGAATCGTCTATTTCTCCCCAAGAGCCGGGTAGCCCCTCTCGGCATCGATGGGTTATGGAGGATAACTTTAAATACCGGTGTCTGAGAGAAACAAAGAGTGTCCACGTTCCGAGGCAACGTATTTTCCAACCTGAGAAGTACGAGGTGTTTATCTCGACAACTGCAATCGAAGCCTTGCTGTGAACCAAAAACTCGGGAGAGAACGAATGCTTGTCTGTGGCATTTGTCCAGTCGCCGGAGCTGATCCTTCTGGAGTTTACTCTTGGAAGTCTGCTTTGCCCTCTCGACATGCCATTGTAGCTTTTCGTTGACACTATTGATCTTGTACTGGTATTCATTTAATCCCTGATTACGCCAGGCTAGCTTGAATCCTTCGTATCGGATCATAAATGCTTCTGAAAACCGGTTATCTGTGTCGTTCTGAGCGAGAGCGTCCGTCGGACAACGGCCGGTACCGCGACGATTATCGGTTAGTTTTTTCCAAGGTTCCTAAATAATAATTCGCATCAGCACTTATTCCGGGGGCTTTCTTTTACATTTGAGATCTCCAGAGACAAACAGCCTACCTGATCGCTATCGTCGAGGTTTAATAACCCAGCAAGTTCTCGCACAATCCCTAGAAGCTGCTGCAGAAGTGTATGGATTGGTCTCAACGAGGGCCCAAGAGCGGCTTTAATCTTGTTTTGCAATTGTTCGTCAGTCGGAGCAGTCCGACCTTCGATCATATCATTGGATTGGTGACCAAAAACGTGGGTCACGATGTCTATTAGGACACTGCGTTCGACTCTGAGCGCCAAGATCAGATCGCGAACTCTCCTGCTCCCCCTATGCCTTATACCCAATTGGCTTGCTGCTGTCGCATAGTCTTGGAGAATGTCAATGATAGATTGCATTGACTGGAGGACGACTGGTGCCGAAGCTAGATAGGTGGTCATCTTGCTGGCTCTGCGTTAATTATGGGTCATAGGTAACTTGAAGATATGCCAATAGAATTCATCCGGCCTTTTTGCAACAAAAGTATCGAGACATCTCGTTCTCAGAATTGGAAGTGCATCATTGACTTTTAACTGGATGGAAGGAGAATGGAATTCCGCTCGCGATGAAAGAGGCTGGCGCGAGTTGCGACTGAAAGCGACAGGGGGGTAAATGAGTTGGCGCCGGCTGCCCCTCCTTCCCCTCATTTCCCCTCAATAACAGAAGCAAGATTTCCAAACACCACAGCTATCACCATGAGTGACTTTCTCGATGAAGTCCATATCGTCAGGAGTGGTCCGATGCCTTAAACTCTTCGAAACTACCTGCGCGCTGGCACGGCAGGGTATTGACAATGATGTTTCGGAAGCTATAAGGACAGTCGCGGAAGAGAGTGCAAGGTTTAAGACGTGGTGTTGCGATCATTCTGCGCATCTCAAGGGGCATCTTTCTCTGGATCAGCAATTGTGCGATTCTTCCCACATCCGAGATATCGTTGAAGATATTCTCCTGGGCCTGATTGATGACCTACTCTGGGGTACGATAATTATTCGGTCACGATACGATCAGTACTGTTCCATTGAACCTTCTATCCTGTTGCTAACAAGTTCGAGTTATATCTACAGTAACTGCAATTGCCAATCCCTCTGTCAATGATGACGGTGACGACGACTCTGACTCGGATTGGTCGTGGGAAGAAATACAGCAGCCTTTTCCAAAAAGGAGAATCGAACGTCTACACGAATCCATCGCCAGTGCTATCAGCTCCTTACTACGACTGGGCCCAACCCTTCGACGTCCCGCTCCCTTCGACAAGTATGCCCAATCAAAGACAGTCGACGTGTCATTTTTCAAACCCTTTGATACAGATTATATTCATTCAGCGTTTCCCCTTCTGAGTCCAAAGCTTAAAGAAAGATGTGTGGACGCAACTTTACGACGCCGACAGCTTCTCAGATATAGCGAGCGGAGCCACGAAACATTGGGGAAGGAACTAGCATCGGACAGAGAAGAAGACAATGACGAGCAACCAGCGACTCTGGTCCTGGGTCTGACAGTATCTTCCGTACCAACCGAAATGGGGCAACCAGAAGACTCCATGTCAGATACATCATCCACCACGTCCTTTACATCTTTTGATATCGATTGTGAGACAATTCAAATCCCCAATCCCCCTTCAGGCGCCCGGTCAGATGGGAAGCATCCTTTCGAGTGCCCTTATTGCCACGCTATAATATGCCCGGCTGGTATACACAACTGGAGGTGAGATATCTGTAGGCATAAAGACAAACTAGTTAACGGGGTATACTGACGCCCTGTATAGACAACATGTCTGTGAAGATCTGCAACCGTACCTTTGCACATTTGAGAGCTGCGCTCAGGGAGATGAGCTTTTTCGGTCCCGTCGCGAGTGGTTTGAACACGAGCTTCAATTCCACAGACGAGAATGGGTATGTCCTGGGACCTGTCACGTGAGTTTCGGATCTTTACCAGAATTTCAAACCCATTTGTCTCATATTCACCCTGACCTGGTCAATGAGAATATTCCTTCGACTTTTGACCGGTTCTGTGAGCGGCAGGCTTCTGCCAACTCCTCTGCGATCTGTCCATTCTGTCAGCAAGCTTTGATATCTCGCGAACATATTAAGATTCACATCGGGCGGCATCAGATTCGGTTGGCACTGCAGTCACTGACTTCATCTGGCGCCTACGCAACCCCCAATGTCGACGGCATGGAGTACCAAAACATTCCAAGTTCGGAAACGGATAAGAAGAGTGAAAGGAAAACGCTGCAAAAGTTACGGTTAGATCTTGGAGAGGATATACCAAATCTAGACGAGCCTACCTCCACGCGAGGTACAGCTGAGTCTTTCGATACAGACATGGAAGTGGATTCGAAGCAAACACCCTTTACATCCAGTATACCGCAAGGACGTCATCCGAGTCCAACGGCCGTCTATAGTCATGGAGAAACTTCTCCTCAGCCAAGTACTGCCGCCTCATCTACAACACTAAGATTAGGACATACCCAACGAGCCTTGTACGTATGTTGTCAGTGCAATGATGGGCCGAAGTCTTGGGACAATCAGCCAAAATGTGCCGTTTGCAACCATTATGTTTGTAGTTCTTGCAAACCATTTAAATTCTTTTGCTAGCAACAGTGGCTGCTGATATGCTGCACATATGGCTTAGAGCAAATCATTGAAGAAGTGGAATCTGAGGAGAAGGAAGTAATGATGCACATTCCTTTCTATCTTTCTTTCTTTCTTTAACTATCGCCTTCCTGGGCACGGCTATATAACTAAAATATTTAACAAAAAGACGCAGAAAAGGAAATTTTTAGAATATCTTGCTATGTTGAATGGATTCATATTCTATTAGATAAGATAACAGGGGTAGCTATGCACTTAATAATGATAGTGATCGGGCCTCAACCACGTAGGTATGCATATAAAAGGCGAATACCCCTCTTTTCCCACATGAATATTTCTCTTCTTAAAATGCAATCAACAGGCAAATATACCAACCCAGCTCATACTTTAGACCGAGTCACGGTTCTGAAACAGACGACGCATATCCTCCATCTACTAACCATTCTCCGCGATCTCACGACCGAAACTTCTACTTTTGCGACGGTAGTACATCAGATCAGTCGTGAAGTCATCACAACAGGTATGCCGGCTTATTACTTAGATAAGTCCAGAGTTGATGATTTCAGCCCTCGATCATATCCCCTTCGAAAATGCCGTGATCAAAACCCCAGTCGGGGGCACCTTCGGTGGTGTATCTCCGGCGAAGGGTGTTTGCGGGGTAAGTATCCTACGAGCAGGTGCGAGTATGGAGAATGTTTTACGAGAGTCATGGCTGTAAGTTCACTGCTCACTTATTCTCATGGATATATTAACAGGGATAAAGGGGAAAACTCAGCTTTGGCAAGATTCTCATCCAGCGCGACGAGGAGACATGTCTGCCGCAATTATTCTACTCCAAGTTTCCCCCTCGCATGGCGGACGATAGTAAGCATCAGCTATTCTTCACCTGTTCAGTGCTAATAATGATAGTCGTCTTACTCCTCGAACCGATGCTCGCAACGGGCGGATCGATAATGAAAGCCGTCGACGTCCTCCTCGATAAAGGCGTATCCCAAGAAAACATTGTCCTCGTGAATATACTCGCGTCGCGAAAGGGTTTAGATATTGTGGCTGAGAAATTTCCGGGTCTCAAAATCGTGACGGCAGCGGTGGATGAGGAGCTTACTCCTTCAAAGTAAGTGTTAGTACTGGATAAAATATAATAGAGCTGACTCTTGATAGCTGCATCAGTCCTGGACTTGGGGATTTTGGGGATCGATATTATGGGACTTGTTAGCTGTTATTGTGCGGGGTATTAGGTAGTCTATCTTATCGCTTATCGATACCCATGATAAGATACCAATGATGACGATAATGATAGGAATAACAGCTGATACAATAACGGGGATACAACAAGTCACAAGATCAAGTACAACATTCCCGAATAAAGATTAACCATAGCATAAGGTACTGAGAATGTTTCTGGCAGAATCTTTGGCCTGGTTAGTAAGGCACGACTAGCGAGTATAAATACGGCCGTTTCCTCCAGCCCCAGAGGTTCATCCTCTCTTTTTCCCCTTCTTCAACACACAACGTGACCTTATACTTACTTGACAGGTAAAATAAAAGTGGTGGATGGTAACTCGCTACTGGTAACTCATCTCTTACCATGTATTTCGTAGACCTCGTAGAATGGCATTCAAGTTGTAGTATTTTGTAATGGGCAACGACTTTGAATAGCTTTAACTGAATATATATCAACTATATGGTCTTTCAAGAACCCTCATCACTTATTCAGTTAGATATATTAAAGCTCGTTCCTCACTACAAACTCCATCTTGAATATTGGATACCTACTAGGTGTGCGTAGTATATATATGATAGGGGATGGGATGCTAGTAGCGCATGGATTTGTCGGTGCTCGATGTAGGAATCGGTCTAGGAACATTAGCAATAGACATAAATTCTTTAACAACAAAGATGGTACCCATAATAATACTGCGATTGCACGCATGGCTTCATTCTACCATTTTCCAAGTCCGCAAAGCCCGGTCAGGTGTTGCCCAATTGCCTCGGTAAGTGGGTCAACCCAAGTTCGTGACCTTGGGAATCAGGCATCAATGGGTCCATAAATAGATTGACAAGGGAAGTCCGAAGAGTAAGCACTAACAATCTCAATTCCACGAATACCCGCAAGTGATGAAGGTCTAGTTGTAGGAACCTAGCCTATGAGTATGCATATGGCTGTTTAAGGAAGCATCTAAACCATAATATATTAAACGGCAACAGCAGGAATAGGTACTCTGGAGTGATCACACTATTGCTAGCATGGTGAGTATGGTAGGAATAGACAGATAGCGGTGCTCTTCGTATCGCCTGGAGTAATCACACAGCCTCACCATGGAGAGTGAGAGCTGGGCAGTTTGCGGGGATGATGGCTTCCCCCTCACCTCGAATTATTGAATGAGAAGCTCTGATAAAGAGGTGGCTGAAGCTTCCCAGGTTCAGCTGAATACTACATGTTCTACATTCTAGTAAGGTAAAGGCAGCACGATTCTTTTAATGGGCTAGTAAGAGATCACAATCCAAGCTGACTGAACACTATTCACAGGGTTTAAGTGAAGAGTGATTGGCATGATATCATATATCTCGCACGCTGACGCCTTAATGCCCAACTCCAAATATCCCATGGTCTGCCTCATTTCGATTATCGTATATTGTCGATATCTGCCCAAATATTACTGAGGGGAGATAATCAGCCTGCAATACGAGGCTGCAGCACAGCCTACTATTATTACGCTCTGTCAGGGCAGCGAATCAGAGTGGACAACAAGGACCTTTCACAAGACATGCATAATAATATGCGCCTATGCTCTATCACCAATTTTGGCATAGTCATCCAGCTCTCCAAATATAAAACCACCACAGACCCAGGGCATCGCCAATGTACACCCTCTTCGACTTTGTATTAATTTCACATTCTCAGCAAGCGTTGTCTTTCTGCTGTTTGTCTTAATTATCTCTTTACTGTATTCTTTTTATCGTGGCAACTCTAACTTTCCTCCATTTCACCCCCACCTCCGCCTTCTCCCTTACACTGTTTCCCGTCTTTTCCTTTGGTTATATCGCATCGTCACTCCTGGATCCTGGATCTTTCGATCGCGACATATCTACGCGACTGATCCTCGACAGGCGAGAAGAATATTTCTCTTGAAATTCCGGATCTGGACTCTACCTGGAAGCTCGTCTATACACTTCATTACCTGAAACACCACTGAGTCTCACATACCCATCAACTCTTACATCTCTGGGCATTTCCCTTCTGTACGTATATCCCACTGTGCACCATCAATGGTCATCACGTTCGATATTGAATACCTCTTTTCAACTTTGTCTATCGTCTCTGGACCCCCTTCGGAATCTCTTCTCCTCTCTGCGATATCGTCTCAATACAACTCAATATTCCCTGGACCATGTCCTGAAAGCCTTTCGGACATGTTGGAATCTTGATACTACCCAGTATGGACTGCCATGGATCAAATACATTATGTTAATGACGCATATGCATCAACCGATCATTTGGATTCTTTTCCTGGGATTTTTATACGATCCAGTATGGACTGCCGTGGATATTATACATATTGCTTAATGTTGCATATGCATCAGCCGAACCATTTGGATTACTGGAGCCTTTTTTTTTTAATATTATGACTGCTATCCATTATGGATTACCATGGATTATTGCTCAATGTGTCTTTATTATGGACTGCCTATGGATACATTTCTAAAGATGCAAACCTGCACAGCATCTACTCATCGACACAAAGTCTCTCCAACTGGAGCTGACATGGATTAAAATTGCTACCCAGCATGGATTGCCCATGGATATTATACTCAACATTGCATTATGTTTGCGTGTTAAATTGCCTGGATAGGTGTCCATACAGTCCTGTATGAGACTTGTGAATTGGACCAGTCATGACTGATAAAGTACACATCGCCCCGTGTGTTACTGGATGCCTGGTACGTTGTCTTTGCAAGCCTTCAAAGCAACTTTGAAAAATCTTCCCGACAGCCTGCTATGGATTTTTTGCCAGTAGAACAAAATCACATAGATAGATATTTTTCTCACTCATGTCTTTTCATTTATGAAGTGCTGCCAGACCACCGTGACTAACAATCGATGATGTAGGTATGGTTCAGTCGAGCCAAAAGAGCCTACGTCTATCTCTAGACTAACACTTCTGTATAATTCTTACAGGAGCTCGATCCTTGTCATGGTTTCTTTTTTTGCATATCTAAACAGAACTAGCAACCAAGGAGTGGGTATTGGCTCGATGTTTCGGAAGTCTCATCAGGGTCTTTTGGCCTCTGCCAAACACGCGGATCTTTCTCCGCAGTCATCCTGTGTCTCAACATCACCACAGTCACTGCCATCGACAGATTCAATAGGTCGGTCTTCATTATCGATAGAGACCTTCCAGGTCGTTTCCAACCTCGGCGCTGGACCGTCCACCAAGCTGGAATCTGGGGAGCAGCCTTCTTACGGTATCACAGTTGTCAATGATCCAGAAAAGGCAACTGTGGATATCGTCTTTGTCCACGGTCTGATGGGAAATGCCCACAGAACATGGTATCACGAAAAGGAAGACGTCTACTGGCCAAAGGATCTCCTCGGTGCAGACCTCCAAGATGCCCGGACCATGGTCTTTGGCTATGAAGTGGATGTCTGGCGCCCTTGGAATCAGGTGTCACAGGAATCGATATCCGGATACTCTGCGGACCTGCTGGGCTGTTTGTCTGGATACCGGAGGAAGGCCTCTGTATGTCCCATCCATCTACCATATGTACCTGCAGATCCGTCGGCTAACAACGGGGAAAAAAGACTCGTCCACTGGTCTTCATTGCACACAGCCTTGGAGGTCTCGTTGTACAGCAGGCTCTCATTACTGCCCGAGAAAGCCGCGATCACTACCTACGCTGCATTGAGACATACACCATCGGTATCTGCTTCCTTGGAACACCTCATCGAGGTGCAAGCTTGGCTGCCTGGGGTGGACGCTTCGCAGGGGTAGTAAACCTCGTCAAACCCACCAATAGCCAGATTGTAAGACTACTAGAGCCAAGGTCGAAGAAGCTGCTGGAAATACGACGAGCGTTCCACAATCTCCTCGAGAAACGGAAAGACGAAGGGGCGCGCATCAGGATCGTGTGTTTCTATGAAACGATCCCAATGTTCAAGTCTTGTATTGTCTCAGAGGAATCGGCTACTATCGACGGAGAACCAAGTTTTCCCATCCTGGCCAATCATATGGTATGTCAGCCACCTTGACGATGGAACCAGAATGGCTGACGTGTCCTGCAGGATATGGTCAGATTCTCTGGGCACCAGGATAATGGCTACAAGAGCATTTCTCGCGAGATCCAGCAGATCATCATAGACAAAGACCTGGGCTACGTCTGTCCTAACTGCGATAGGAGATGGCGAGCAGACCTCATACCCGGTGCACCGTACTTCTGCCCTTTCTGTGGCCGCAATAGATCGGACTGGAATTTGTATCTCTAGCGTAATATCTCAGATATATCATCTACATATTTTCGATTTTCTAGTCCTGCGTTTAAGATTGGATGGAATCCACCGGCCACGCCTCCTAGCAATACAATGCTGGTATAGACCAGAGGAACGGGCATGCCGAGTAGTTGGTTATTCAAACCGGCTTGAAAACCTAACCCTCTCAGCCGCTGGAGTAATAATAGCCTCAATAACCGAAAAGAGGGAGTGCGAATATCCCACAAAGCATAAACAGGCTTCCATAGCTGACAGTCTTTGTGTCTCTTTTGCCGAGGCGGTGCTTCTCGATCTAATTGGTAGTGGTAAGAACTGATTTTCTCTCCTCCCATGACCATGGGCTGATCATATCGGTGAGTTGGTCACCGATAGACGGCAGAATGAAACGGGCAATGAGTCTATGTCTCATTGAGGAGAGAGTTTCCTGGCGAACCCATTCCCACGATGTGGCGCAGATATTCTTCATGTGTCGTTTCCGGAATGCGGCGTACAAATTTAAACTCTGCGAGATATTTTCAGGGGGTAAGACAGTGTCTATTGCGTTTATGGTTGATGATAGGTGATTGACTAATGTACATCACATTATAGCAAGTAACGGTCAAAGTGATGTCTAGAAAACTAATTATAATGGGTCTGTATCGCCTCCCAGGCTTTGTACTACCCTCTCACGCCAATCCCATATCTATCCCCATTATCTAACACCTTTCCAGCCCTAGATAGGTTGTCAATCCTCGACAGGACAAATTGCATGTCGAGATGATCCATACTCGGCAAGGGTAGTCTATCTGTATCATTCGTGGTGATGGTAATCCGATCACTAGTCTTAACTTCTTGCAGACTTCCCCTTGGCAAATGATGAGATACATTGGCCTGGATCTGGGTCGCTTTATCTCATTGAGACCACGGAATGACGAGCAAATGGTGTTAACGGGGATATTGTCATCCATACTACCTACTGGTTCAGGCTGCTAGAAAAATTCTACCTTGAGCTCGGTCATGTCTGCTTTCTATCCGACTGGTTTCAGTGCAAAGTTTCCATTATTCCACATCCGATGGACACCTGGGACCAGGCATAACATGTTCTTGACTGAGTCAAACGGTCTATCTGGGTATTCGGGGTTTGTGAAAATTTGTCGGTGCCATTTTGAGACACGGTCCGATGTCCAAGAAAATCGCAGCATGTCCCAGAATGAAGGATATGTCTTTCCTGTCTCGAGGAGATGTACTGGGTAGATATGAGCAACCACCGATGGTGGTGATCTTCTTATCACACAGGCCACATCATCTCTTTCGTTTACATGGTCCACGAGTGTATTCTCTTCATCCTCTGATGAACTTTCATCGAAATCTCCGAAACACGACGGAGCCAGCTGGGTTTCCTTTTGTTTCCACACGAGTGGCAAAGCTGCACAGCTATGCATGCAGAATTCGAGTAAGTATGGCAATTTTTCTGCCTCGCAAACGAACTTGGCCAACATCTCGACGTTGGACAACACCAAGACGGCCTAAAAGGGTCGTGGAACGGGTAGGTTATTGAGGATTTGGTTCATTTTCTCCAGGTCTCTTCGACGCTGGCTTGGCTCGTTGAAATCTTCTTCGTCTCTGGTGTTTGTGGGATCCATGGCTATTCTGGTTTAAGTCATTCAAGGGATGATAATTTGTGAGAAGAGAAAGTGTCCAGAGAAGTGTGTAGAGAAGGAAAAAGAGCCGTGGGACGAAGCAGATATAAACCTGAAGGTAAGTGACATAAGATCAGTGAAGTAGAGCAGGGTAAAATGGCCATTCACGGTGGCAGTGTAAGCTTCTGGTCCAGGCTATCCGTGAATATATGGCAGCACTGAAACTGCCAGTGGCCTACTTCAATCAGCTGTGGCTGCACTGAAGAGCTTTCAGAGTCAGTATACTGGTGTGGACGAAGTGGAGGATAAGTATGAGTGATAAAGAGATATTGTCTCGCTTTTTGCTCACTCCTGGGCAGCAGTTCTGCCTGTATGCCGGATCTAACCCATGTTCATGTTAAACTTGGCATATAATTCTTTATGGAGAGTCAAACGCTGTGATTGCACCTGGATGTGGGGTTGTAGCGAGGTTCAACCAATGAAATAGTTCCAATCTTGCCCTAACTGGGTTAGTCCCTTCCCAAATGGGAAGGCGTCTCTAAACCCGCCCACCTTCTAGCCCGTATCTCCAGTCTGGGCTAATAATATATCTCGCCAGACACCTTCCTCGAGGAGCATCATCTCTGTCGACAACAAGACATCGTCCACTTCTTCGTCGATATTAACTTTGGCTAGAATACATATCTGTTCTTCGTCCCAATCCCTGTAGGTTTCCAAAATACCCTGGCATCTTATTGGCGCCAAAGAAAAAGCAATATGCCCGCAGAAGACACGTCAACACGACCCCGCGTCGCATTTGTCTGTGGCCAATATAGCGAGGTACAGTTGAACCTGTCATCAATACATCAAGGTATTCCTACTCAGTCTCTCTCTTCAGGCTGCCCTAGCGCTCGCGAAGAAATATGCGCCTACTCCACACGACATACCCGTTCAATCTCGAAGAATTCGCAGATGATATTCCACCTTACGCGATACTTTCCCATAGGTGGGAAAAGAAAGAAGTCACCTTTCAAGAAATGGTCGATGGCAACAAACGAGATGGGAAAAGCTATGAGAAAATCACGGGTTTCTGTCAAAAAGCAAAAGAAGATGGCTTCCAGTATGCCTGGATCGATACCTGTTGCATCAACAAAGAAAGTAGTGCTGAGCTGTCCGAAGCAATTAATTCAATGTTTCGTTGGTATGAATTAGCTGGAGTGTGCTATGCCTATCTCCGCGATGTCCGTCATGATAGCAGTCAGTGTGATTGTGGCGCTAGTTGGCAAAATCCATCGCATGGTGGCTGCCAAGAGAGTCTACAGGCCGACCTAAGCCAGAGCGAATGGTTCAAACGGGGCTGGACACTCCAAGAGCTTATCGCACCAAAAAAATTGATCTTTCTTGCAGACGACTGGTCTGAGATAGGGAGTAAAAAAGACCTGTGCTCTTTGGTACATGAAACTACTGGCATAGATGAAGCCATTCTACAGGGAACGTCTTGGCTCCACGCATTCAGCATCGCTAAGCGGATGTCATGGGCTTCTGGGAGGGTCACGACAAGAACCGAGGACGTGGCTTACTGTCTTATGGGAATTTTTGATGTCAATATGCCGCTTCTATATGGAGAAGGTGAGAGAGCTTTTATCAGACTACAGGAAGAGATTATGAAGGATTCCGATGATCACACATTATTTGCATGGGAAAGTCCAAAGATTGCACCTGGTCGTCCCAGTGGCTTGCTTGCACAGTCACCGTCAGACTTTGAAAGGTCCCGCTCCATCATCCCTTTCCGCTTTCTAGAGGATGTCGCCCCCATTACAGTAACCAATAGAGGTATCAAACTGGAGGCACCTCTGATAGTGAGGCAAAGTGCAAAGGATGTTGGCACACATACGCTGATTCTACAGTGCCGGGACATTAATCATATTGAACCAGCTCTCTTAGGAATATCACTCATCGCAACGACAGATGGATACAATCAATTCATGAGATCTGGTCCTCTGTTAAAGAGAAACATTTCTTTCCTTGGCTCTTACGGGAATATTCCCAAGACAATTTACGTAATGAAACACTTGACGGCAAGAGGTGACGCAGGGATGCGGATGTCTGGCCAATCACTGTCGGAGTGCAAAACCTTCGACCAAACGGATATCACCAGAGGGTTTGGGAGGTATTTGTCCAAGCAACAGGGAAAGTCAAATGGCAAGATTATTCTTTGCTTCGATAGGAGAAGTGGCCTGGGTGGAGTAGATGCCCGGAGAAACAGCAATATTCAAAAAATCTTTCGCATGCTTGGTGATGATGGCGAGTCGCAAGTTTCCTACTATCAGTCCATCGGTGGAGAAGACGAGGATGTTGAGGCATGCGTGAAGGCCACATATCAGGTAGTTTCCTTTGGTCTTTGGGTACGAAATAGTACTGATTATATCCTCTGCAGTGGCTTGAGGGCAGGGTGAACAGCTTTAGCAATGTTCAGCAAGAGATATTTATCTTCGGATTCTCCACTGGAGCTCATGTAGCACATTGGGTCGCCCGAATGCTTGAGAATATCGGTATTGTCGGTGTAAACCGTGTCTTCCTCACCCGTCAGGGAGTGCCTGAGTGGGAGCGTGCATGGAAGGCATATCAAGCGTGGGAGGTATATCAAGCATGGGAGCTGTACCAAGCATGGAATGACCGTGCAACAAAAGTCAGCAATGCCAAGGATAGATGGGAAGAAAGATTTCAATACTTTAAGATGAAGGACTTTGGCCAGAAGAGATGCAAACCAGTCAGGATCGCATTCTTGGGTTTATTTGATACAGTCATTCGAAAGCCTGAATCAAATCTAAAAAAGGGCAAACATTCTGCACCACGTGTTCCTGTTTCAAACCGGGCCCATATAATTCGTCATGCGGTTTCTATTGATGAACAACAAGCTGCATCCCATCCAAGCCTTGTCGGTGAGGTTATTACTATTGATCATCATAATCAAGATGTCCAAGAAGTCTGGTTCACAGGTGGTCATGCTGTGAGTACTAGTCCCCTTTCACACACTTTAACACCACTGACAAGCTCAGGATATTGGTGGAGTCGCCCCAAAAGCCCGTGGCGAGAGCTGGGATCTTAGTCATATCCCTCTTGTCTGGATGGCTCGTGAAGCTCAAAAGGCTGGCCTGTGTTTCAATCAAGATATCTTAAGACAAGAGCTCGGGCTTCTTCGACACACTAGCAGCACAAAAGATGCGGAAAGCGTCTTTCTCGGTAAGGGGTTGAAAAAGCTTTTATATTCTGCCTCCAGAAGAGCCCCGCTGCATAGACACTTCGACGTCAACAATGAGCCATCGCCTCAGTCAATGTCTGGATATCACCGCCCCTTTCCCATCCGCATGTCGCTATCAGACATGCTGACCTTGGGTAATTCTCTGGATGGCAATCCACGATGCATTCCAATAAATGCTCAACTACACGCCTCCGTTATTAACCGCATGTATCATGAAAGAGATTACCGACCCGAAAATTGGATATCTGACGTAGAGGAAGACAGTAGGTCCCGAGTGAAACTACATGAAACAGAGCATAAATGGAAATTGAGGGGAGATTCCACGGTTGGGGGTTATTACGTCTATGACAGAAAGCATTCTAAGTAGACAATCCATAGGGTCAAGGCCGGAAATTCATGTGAGTCGATAACCTAACGGATATTAAGCGTACCATACCGTCACCCGTGGGGATTCAGAAATCATTTTCTTGCTTCAATCTCCATTGCAGTTTGGCGCTCCTACTCGCCATATAGACCTTGATGCCTTCTAGACTTGCATTCTGTCTCAACATCATCTTTCAGCTTCAGGTACGCAGGTTAGTCAATCTGCCATGGCTGTTTATTTCTTATATCCATCTTCGTAGTACAGGTATGACCCTATCATTAAGAAACCGCGTAAAAACCTCTCATTTAATATGTGATGTATAACTAAACGAAAAGCAGCCTATCACCCACTAAGCCGCTCAATAGCACAGTGAACGCCAGCATTACTCCTCTCAAAGAGACGCCTAAAAAATATTCTCGTGGGCGGTATACAACTCGATATGAAGACAACCCACATTTCCGTTCTAATCTGTTAGTTCCAACTGCTAATATAGTTGAACGAATTACTTACTGATTCCAAACGATTACTTCCGCCATGGTACCTAAATAGTCAGAATCATCACCTAGCTATGCATAAGAATACGTACTCGTTGAATCGGAAGGGCCCGTGAGAAGCCTCAATTTGGCTGTTTTTATTGCGGCACAGACTCCTGCTCTACTCAATCTCAGTATGGATATCCTCAGCTTCAGCTTCAGGCTATACTTACACTATGCCGAATCCCATCAACATGCAAAGCCCTATTTTAGTCGAGGTGGAGAACATCTGAACGCCCCAAAATATCGATATCGGGTATACGGCTAGCATAATATCGTACAAAGCAGACACAGCTTTCAAATACGTCAGTATCAAAAAGATAAAATGGATAAATATACATACCACCCTGCACATATCCAAATACCTGCAACGTTTTCCGTCCCGGACAACGTCCCGGGATACTAGGATCGAACAGTTTTTGAATGGGGAAGCATTGAACCATGACTAACACTGCAGCAATAATGTTTATCACGAGACCGGTGATCGCGATAAACCAGAGTAATATAGTTCGAGGACGTGTTTGATAGCCTTGTATATGTAGCAGGAAGGCGACGATAGTCACCTTTCCCAGACCGATGACGAGGAGAGCCATGAATTGGTTTACCCAGCCGTATAGGAGGGCGTTGTATATTTGGTTTGAAGTTAGGATAAATCGAGGGATGCCAATTCCGTATGCAGCGCCTATTGTGAGCATCACGTTGCTTGCTGTACCGAGTATCTGGTTGAATCAGTAGGGAATACTGAATAGGAAAGGTATACATACGAATGTCACCATCGCTAGATGAAAGTCGATGGGGAAGTGATCGATGATCTTCCAGCATGTGACGAATCGGGCAAATATGAGGAATGCTATGCCGAACTCGACCCACGAGACTATATTGAATGGCTGAGAGAGGCCATTGTGAGGGTTATTTGTTGACATGAACTAGTCTGATGACTATATTAGTTGGATATTAACGATATTAGAGCATACTCACATGAATAGATCTGTGGCTTAGAGAATACCCTGCAACGTGCATGCTGCGGGGATATCTGCAGTTTGCCAGGCACATTCAACTATGACATCTACTAAAACCGCATAACATATACCTGCATATTAATGCAATTGGATAATAATATTAGATGCTATTGGCACAAATTTTTGACATTCTTCGATGAAGTTGTCGGAGCATTGGTCATGACATCATCCACTCACAACCGAGGTCAAACGCGGCACCACGCGGAGAGATCCATTGTCTCTGCTATTTAAGGTTCCGTGGCATAAATATTTATCCATTCATAATCCTTTTTTTATTCCGGTTGATTATATCCGTCTATGGGACAAAGGCATATAAAGACAGAAGGTGTCGCTTGTAGTTCACCCTCTACTGCCCTACTCTAGTTGGTAACTCATCGTCTGACATTATTATCGAATTTAATCTTAGGTTTCGACCATGAAGTTACCAAAGAATGGGTTTAATATTCCGCGAATGGCCATGTAACCATGGGTAAAGGGCACGGTATGTGACAGCGAACTTTCTACAAGTTTATCTAAACTTTCGTCTCGTATGGAAAATGTTTCGTCTCCGATAGACTCCGACTGATTAATTCTGTAAACTATCTGACTGCCAACATTATTCTTGTCTCTATTCCTATAACCCGATTCACCTGTTAGCTACACCGCAGTACCTCTGAACTTTGCCTCCGCTGCTCTTACTCTTTAAGATTATCATCCGTGGGCACCTATAATATCACCAATGGCCCTAGAAATACCTTAATAACAAATAAATAGTGTGCTCTCACCGCTATGAATCTCGATCAGATCAATACGGACATTCATATCCCAGAATCGACATCTCCCCATTACCCCGAAACAGTCTGAGGCTGGAATTACTAACTAACGACAATCTATAGGCTGTAGCCTACGGAGTAAATACGGAGTAACAGCGGACAAGAAAAACTGGCCGTTGCGCTGGCCAAGAAATACTAGTTTTTATTATGCTACAGCCTTGGCACGAGGTGGTAATAACAAGCTTTGGGTCTGCATAACTAGTGGTATTACTAAGAATAAGGGACTCGGTGGGAGACTTGGCGGTGGTCTGGGGTTTTTTATTGGATGGACTAGTGGATTTGTCCAGATGCAGGGACCAGTTGGAGTCGGATATTACCGTAACTATATGAGGCTAGTTGGGCTATGGGTGTAGTGGCCAGTAGACACATTGGGCTACGGATGAATGCTTAGGTTTGTTTAGAAGACAGTTCACATCACATAATTCATTGCTCGAGATATTCTACATCTATCAACTGAAAACAAAAAGGAAATTAACAATCTATGAATAAAAGAAATAGGTATAAAAAATGAAAAGAAATTTTGGGGACCAAGCCTAAGCAGCAACCTGAGGCTTCTGCAGTGGAGCATGCGATTCCAGCGTGTTCAGATGAGCATCTGACAGAGGCGCCAACACGGCGGGAGCATCGTTGACGGGTCCACCCAGTGCCATCAGAACCTGCTCCTTGGTAGCCTCACCGAGTCCCGCGGATCTCAGACTGCGACCATGCTCGAGGTAGTCGAAGCCGCTAACGACCGAGGCCATCTCGATGAGGGATCGGATGGTCGGCGATGGCAGACCGCACTTCAGACCGAGCTCGTACCAGGGGACCATACCGTAGAGGATGTCCTCGAGGAGGTAGCGGTGCTTCATGCTAGTCGGGGCACTCTTGGTCTTGTTGTGGACGACGGAGGTGCTGGCAAAGTCGTGGTAGTTGCCGTAGGCTTGGTCGTGGGTGTAGTTCTGGTTCATGTAGGTGGTGACATCGACGAGGTCGAAGCCGTAGGCGCGCCCGATGGCCATGCGTTCTGCGTCGACCTTTTCGGTGACGCGCGAGACGGCGGGCGACATGCCCTGTGCGTAGAAGTAGAAGTCGCCCTTGGTGGCTTCGATCCATCCTGCGTTCATGAGGGCGGCCGGGCAGTGCACGACGGGGTTGATGTTGTTGAGGCCGACTTGAAGGAGGGACTGGCACCAGACGAGGTTCTGGGAGAAGATGGACTCGACCTGGCGGCGGAGGGCGAGCTCGGCCTGGTGGTTGTGGCGCTCGATCTGGGTGGTGGGGGGCTCGGCCCAGATGGCGAGACTCTTCTTGCAGCCCTTGACGAAGACTTGGTCGCCGGTGATGCGGGTGGCGTAGGGGGAGATGTCGGTTTCGAGGATGGCGTAGGCGTTGACCTTCTGGCGGGCGGAGAGGTAGAAGAAGTTGCCGACATTGATGATGAGGGTGTGGTTGCGCAGGTCGAACTGGCTGAGGACGGTGAGAATGTCATCCTGGCCGTACGAGGGGACGGTGGTGACGATGAAGGAAGAGTGTCGGATGGCGAGATACAGATCGCTGGTGGTCTGGATCTGGTAGTCTCCGCTGACCTCGCCGCTGGCCGTCAGCCAGCCGCCGTTCTTCTCGATCATGGGGATAGCACCGCGGTGGTCAGGGTGGCCGTAGAGCATGACAGACTTGCCCCGGCTGGCCAGGTCAGCGGCAAAGGCACATCCGCAGGGACCAGCCCCGACGATGGTGACAGATGAGGGTTCGATGTGAGAAGCCATAGTGATTGTAAGAGAATGTAGGATAGGAGAAATGAGATCTTTCGGGGATTAATTGAGTTGAGAGAGTTGGTTCATGGAATTTCTGGACGGATCTAGAGAGACTTAAATATTGTTTTCCTGAGATCGATGATGGCCATTGCTGCTCAAGGTACCGTGTCTACTGCCTACTAGGGCTCAGAATGGCCATCAACGGAAGTTTCCTCGACTCGCGTCCTGGCATCACACCATCTGAGTTGAAACTCTGTTGAGTTTGCGTTATGTAAATCCCCGAAACCCACGAGCCTGTGAAAGTGTTGAATCTGGCCTCGCCGTCGTGGTATTGTGAATACTCTACGAATCCATTACTTAATGACGGACTGAATCTGTAACCCTGTAGGGTGCCGAAGAGCCAATCCGGCTGCCTCGGTGACTGCCTCGTGGGTATAGCCGCGACTTACACCGCCAGCAATGCATCATGCTGTGAAGATCAGGGTACACATCAGCGAAGATCGGATGTCGCGACAAAGTAGCCAGACTCGCCAGACTGTAGATCAGGGTGTGCTGTGTAGATCAGGGTGCAGGGTGCAGATCCCATGTGCATTGCGTAGTGTGTATGGAAATCAAGTTATCAATCAATCTAGGCGTCGGATTATGCTTAATAAGGCCCCACTCCGTCAGCAAATAGCAACGGCTAGGCAGATCAGTGGGGCCGGTGGGTCTCTCCTCCAAGGTTCTTGGCCAGGGGCTGGTAACTTACTCGTGTATATAATACACATCATCTGGCCAGCCCGAAACACGCACTGGCCGATCGCACCGCCAAGAGGAAATGATTTCCATCCTCCTCGATTTTGGGACCTTGACTGCTTTCTGTTTCAGGCGATTGTGCCAAGAATCACATCATCTCAAGCTTTTCAGCGGGCCATCCCACGGGTCTTGCCAAGGCCTCCGCGTCAACGTGCAGCATCATTTCATTTCGTCGTTTTTCTTTTTCTGTCGAGCTCCGATGTGGATTGAGAAATAGCAGTGAAAAGGGGGCAGAAGGACGGGACTGTGCTTGGTTTTAACAGCCGGAATTCGTTTGACCGCTTGATTGATTCTGGTTCTTTTCTCTTGGGTCTTGCTCTCTTCAAACTCACGTCAAGTGTCAAGTCACCATGAGTTCAGATTCTTCGCTGTCGGAGCCGCCCAAGGCGTACAGCTCCTTCAGCCCGTTTATGAAGAAATACATTGTCTTTACTGCCGCTGGAGCTGGTCTCTTTTCCTCATTGTCTGCGCAGATTTACTTCCCGGCGCTGAATACGCTGGCCAAGGACCTGGGCGTGTCGTCCTCGTTGATCAACCTGACTGTCACTAGTTACATGGTGAGTACCTCAGCACTTACATCCAAAGCTAATTCACATGCTAACAGTGATCAACAGATCTTCCAGGGCATTGCGCCCATGTTCCTCGGTAGCTTCGCTGACCAAACCGGCCGTCGCCCCGCCTACATCATCTGTTTCGTCATCTACATCGCCTCCAACATTGGCCTCGCTCTGCAGGACAGCTATGCTGCCCTGATCGTGCTGAGATGTCTGCAGAGTTCAGGAATCAGCAGCAGTGTTGCGCTGTCTGCAGCGACCGTGGCTGATGTCGCTACGAAACAAGAACGAGGCTCCATCATGGGCTTCGTGATGGCGGGCAACTTCATGGGTCCAGCCATTGGCCCTATCATCGGTGGTCTGCTCGCTCAGTATCTCGGCTGGAGGTCTATCTTCTGGTTTCTGACCATCGCATCGGGCGTCTTCCTCCTCCCTCTTCTCTTCTTCCTACCTGAGACTGCACGCAATGTCGTCGGTGATGGATCTCTCCCTGCACAGTCGTGGAATCGCCCCTTCATCCAGTACATTCTCGGCCACAAGGAAGCCAAACAGCCTTCTCTCGCAGACAGTCAAGAGTCCAACCCACCAGAGAAGATACACGGCAAATTGCGCTTCCCCAATCCGCTCAAACCCCTCGCCGTCGTCTGCCATGCCAACTCCATCATCGTCCTCGTCGTCACCGGTGTCATCATGGGCGGTAACATGACCGTCCTCTCCTCCATCACAGAAGTCTACTCCTCGGAATACGGCCTCGACGAACTCCAAATCGGTCTCTGCTACATCACCCTCGGCACCGGCTCCGTCGTCGCCTCCTTCGTCACCGGCCGTCTCCTCGACTGGAACTACCGCCGTCTCGCCGCAAAGATCTCCCACACCGGCACTGCCGAACAACAAGAACAGCAGAAACGCGACGAGGCCGTCCCCGTCGAAAAAGCCCGCAGCATGATCACCATCCCCCTCGTCGTCATGGGCAGTTTGACCGTGCTCGCCTTTGGTTGGGTCATCAACTACGGTGTGCATCTTGCCGCGCCCGAAGTCTTCCTTTTCTTCATCGGCATGGGCCAGACGGGTGGCTTCATCTCCACTTCTACCTTGTTGGTTGATCTGCATACTGCCCAGCCGGCGGCTGCAACCGCCGCCAACAATATGGTGCGCTCGTTCTTCTCTGCTGCGGCGTCTGCTGCTATCGACCCTATGCTGAACGCGATGGGCCGTGGATGGGCGTTCACCCTGGTCACTTTCATTCTACTTGGTACTATCCCGTTCCTGCTGCTGCTTTGTGGAATGTGGCGTCAGAAAAAGGAGCCTGAACAGACGGCTCAAGAGCAGTCTTAAACTTGATCAACCCAGGCTATGCCTTTATTGGCTGAAAAATATTCTTCTTATCTCCTTTTAAAAAGTATAGAGTTCATTTTCTTCTCGGTTAATTCTCATCATTTTTACTTTGCATTGTTTGTACATAGGTAACTTTCTGCGTTGTAAAATTGTAAAATGTTTACTTTTTGTGCTGAAATATTCTAAGCGAGCTATAAAAGTTTATATTCCCTGTCGCCGTAACCACGGCGCGCTCAAACCTAGTAAAGTTCTAGACTTCTGTATTGGTTCTTGATTGACGTCAAGGTTTTTTTTTTTTTTTTTTTTTTTTTTTTTTCTGCACAGCCTCTATAAAAAGAAAGGAAAGGAAAAAGAAACAAGGCAAAAATAAAAGAGTTCCTCTGCCGAAGAATCCCTGAATCCCTACCTTGTGCAACCACAATGTAACCTTGGTGGTTTTCCTAGTCCCCACATTATATATAAATCCACTCAACACGGCCAACCAAAGTACGATGAATGCCCAAGCATTCTAGTTGCATGCTAGTTAAGATTAGATGTAGAAGAAATTTCACCTAGCTGCCATCAACTAGAAGAATAGGTGCATACAACGAGGCTGTGTTAGTGGAGTCAACTATTGCATGATGAACATGTCTCATGTCCATCCTAATCAGCAATATCCACTCTTTCATTATATTCATGAGCGTTCATAAAAAATTACTCTATTCAGCAACTCATTACCTAACTTTTTAAAAAAGAGAAAGTCAATTCCTCTAGTCCCTTGATGCTCAGGGGATGGGATGATCGGCAACCCGTCGGTAACGGCGGCAGTCACACCCTCCCACTGATCGTTTTGATCTAATCTAGATTAGATGATTAGATATTCCGTCCCCCTTGCTTTTTCTTCCCAACACCCTTGAAAGCTTGTTACTTTGAACGTTTAGAGTTTATCTTCACATGGGCTTTCTGCACTTTTCCCCACCCCTGTCATTGCAAACTACACATTCGCTGATAGAATTGCCACTAGACGTATACACCTTCCCCACGTGAATAACACGCACCCCTGATTGGTAGGTATTATGCAGAGACTGAAACAACAGCGGATATATGTATAATACGACTGTGGCCGTGATTTCGAGTCGGAGTGGTTCGGAGTCACCTCTGCGAAAGCAATCCCGTTCGGGCAGATGGGATCTTCAACTCGACCACGCTTCCTGCGGTCACTTTTTATTCGCCGTAGTGTGGGATATAGAGTTTGGTTGGTTCTTTATTTCCTGTATGGGTAGGTGGAATGTCGGGCTCGTCGGGTTTGTCGGGTGTGGCCGGTTGGAGGCGCGGAAGAGACCGCTCGGGCTGATGTATTCGTTGCTGTTTGAGTTGGGGTGTCTGATGTGGTGATGTGTTTTGGGGGATGTTCAAGTGTCAGGGGGGCGTTCCATCTCGGTCTAGGTTGCGTAGTTAGTATGATGTACACGTTCATGTCGAGGTCAGGTCAGTCGGGATGTGTAGAGTCGTTCTTGCGATGTGCCGATCAGTTCGGTTGGTTCGGTGAAAGTCAGTCCGAAATGAGTACCATTGCCAGTTTGCCACCCCGTGGATGGGATTACTAGGAGATAATACTGTTTTGTGTGACTGGCGTCGGGATGAGTTGTTCGTTGGCTGCATCTAGGTAAAACGTCTTATACCCCACTTGACTTGGGGGTCGTTATCCTCAACAACGACAGACGGGCTTTATTCTTGTTTAGAAGAAACGATCTACTAAGCGCTGGAGATCATCGTTTGCCAATGGTCGAATATGAAACGGTTTCTGTAGAGGATTATCAGGTAGCCTAATTTCTATAACAATTTCTACCTTCTAGATATATATGCAAAGCCAGCTAACGTCCGCCTCGGAATAGACCTTCCATATGTATGCTGTTACAGGTAATGATATCCGATTCACAGGGGAGATACTGTATGGAGATATTTGATGAAATAATTTTATTCTTAACTCCAGAAGGTCAGCTACGAAATAGTTTCAGTTGTTTCTAAACCTGGAGAGGACAGCTTCGGGCCCCACCTCCCCGCATGCTTTTATGCCCCTATCTATTGGCCCGGATGGGTGGAGTACCCGCAACCTAAATTCCGGTGGGCCTGTCAACTGCATCCTCATTAGGGAGAAGTGGTAGACTCTTGACTCTCTTGTGTCGTTCCCTAGAAGGGGAAATGTTGGTTTTCGAAGTTGCGTCAGGGGATACGCAAGGACTGGGCTGTTCGAGCATAATTCAGTCGTTGATCGGTAGGACTTCATTTCCATTTATATGATGAAACTATTATAATCAGATAGTTTGGCAGAGAATCATACTATTTATTTGAGTGAGAGCTATCAAACTATGACGCGCTTCCTATTCCTTGGATAGTTACGGTCGTTATTTGAATTATCGTTCTATAACCTCGCATATTTTCAATTAGCCCTAGGGCTTAATAATCTACCCAGTCCATCTACCCGTCAGAATGACAACGACAACAAAACTCCAGGCAACTGTAGGAAGAACATCCCAGCTGAAAAGACAGAAATGTTCTATCTCAACTCATCACTCCTTGCTACTACTAACGATAGCACAATGTGGAATCTCGCCTTCATTGTCGCCTTCATGACAGTAACCAGTATTTTCCAAATTCCAATAACATCGCTCCTATTCCACGCCCTTGTCGCGACTATCCTTGCTCTATGTGTTCAAGTCGCCCACAGAAAAGGTCGCTCTGTACTCTGGGATTTGGAGTTATACTGCCACCGAAACTCATACAGAAAACGTCGATACATCGTGCGATGTCTCGCAGACGCCTTTACATCCGACCAGGACAAGGAGAAGCAAAGAGAAATAATGGCGCTTATTCATGACTACACAAAGACATTCGATGCGCTGTTGCAGCGGGATTTGTATCTACGCGATAAGCAATATATACCATCAGACAGCTCAAACCACGATGAGGCTTTGGAGGAGACAAACAAGGAGATTGACAGGATATGGATACAGATGGGTGTGAATGCTCAAAACCTCGCTGATTCATACCGTTTATATAGAGATGAGCCCGCCTGGGTGCGGGATTACCCAATGATCTCCCTGAGCCATCCCTTCAAAAACAGTGGTGAACTCGAGTGCATGATGCGGTTTGGCTGTTGCTTTGCAGAATGTGGGTGCTGTGAGAAGCCCCGTAGAGATATGAAAGGTGAAAGGGGGGCTGCGGCAGGCCGTGGAGTGGTGCATTGCACAGTTGAGTGTGGCTGCTGTATCCAGCGGAGAGGGTTTCGCCTTCCCGAAGAGGTAATGGGAGAGGAATCAAAGCAGACAGAAAACTGGGAACTCGATTGAGCCTCCGTCAGGCTGTCTCGTGTCAAGCGAGGAGCGAGAAGCTCGTATTTTAGCCTCTCGAAGCTCGCAGGCCAAGGTCAAGATCAGGTCAAGGTCTCCTGAACAGGATGAGTTGCTATTCCGCATTGTATACTTCAATTCAAGACTATCTAGTTTGCTTCTAGCGCTTTGTAAATGCTAATTAATTTTCATCGGCTCATTTCTAGTCTAACAATACTACCACAACCATCCATCGGGCAGGGATGGCGATATACCGATGCACTATAGGCGGGACTAACACTCTATGACCTACCGTAGCTCTCTCTGCATACCATAGATCACCACAATAATAGCTGTGTACATAGCATCATGTTTGGCATTTTTATCTAAACTAAAAAAAAAAAAAAAATAATAATAATAATAATACGGCAGGACCCTTAAACCTACAGATTCTAGTTCCAAGTTCCCCCATAGGAAACAATGATATTCTTCTCTTAAATATATGATATCCTCAAATACAAAGCGCTGTCTTTGGGTGCTCTAAGGTGGCCATTCAAATCACGGCTATAGTGGTTGCCTTATGTGCAGTTGTCGAATGTTCCCTTCACTAGCGAGTTTCACCTTCCCAGACAGGCGGAAGGCTCCCCAAACGCAGCCAGAGTGAAGTTTTCCCTTCACTTCCCCTCAATCCTCGTCTACTTAAACACGAAAACAGCTTACTTTGAGCTTTCTCTTTTTATCAGCCTCAAAAACGAGCAATATCATTGCAAAGACTGATTGATACAACGGCTACAGCTCAGACAAATGAGTTTAAGATACGCTGAAGACTACAGGAGCTGGCATCAAATAGAAGCTCTCATGGAGCCAGAATCGAATTTCCTACCTTCAGCGGTTTATACAACGACATACTACTTCAACGATGGCCATCGGGACTTTATATCCCAGATTTATCCTGTACCTACCGACAGGACGATAATGAACGACGGGAATTTGAAACCTCATCTCCGTCTCGCCATCAAATGCCACTGAAAGCTGGCTGATCTCAGCCTCGAGCAACTGAAAGTAATTGGCTAGGTGGTTATAATTGTCATCATTATCTATATTTGTTAAAATGCTGGCAGAAAAATGCCCAATGCTCACTGATCAACAGTTGACTACGTGCTTGTCCTTATCATCTTTCTGCTCTTATCTCCGCCTGATAGTCTTCTTCGAATGACTGTGAGTATCAATTACTGCTAGATACATGCGTGCTGGATAGCTAACGTCCTCGGGTTTGTCCCAAGAGCAAACACGCCCTCCGCACCCCCCGTCTCCTCCAGTCGTTCTGGCCTTCTGGCTAATCTCGCCGACCTTCGAGTAGCAACACAAACAAAAAGGAAATAGAAGCAGAGGCAACACGAGAAAGAGCGCCACAAGAGACAAGCCCTTTATGTGGCCTCAGCTGCATCGAGTCGGCAGCCGGGAAATGGCTGGAAGGTACCCACCTTCATCAAGATTGGTGAAACTCCCAAGGCACAGCTGAGACTTGAGACACTTATGTATGCCAATTATGCACCCAGAAAACCTCCAGCTACCTTAGAATACTTGAGCTAACCACTCCAAAGGACAATAGGCTGTCACAAATAGGGGGTTATCTTCTTTTTTTTTTCTCCAACGTTTTCGAAGAAAGAAAGGGATAAATTGGGAGAATGGAAACACGGAATTATATCATATAGTATATTTAGCCAATGATATCACTGTTGATCCTGGTCCAATGCAACTGGCTCTCGACAGGGTTTTGATGAATCAGATATGCAGCATTGGATACTTCAATTCAAAACTGTCTAATGGCCTTTCGTCGCTTCACACATCCTAATTACTCTTGCTTGATCTATCGTATATAAGTCTTCATGTATTCGCCGGGAAGCGCCGGTATTTCCATTTGAATCTGTCTCGATTGTATGTAAACGCGCAGGGGACATGATGCGTTGAAACTTTCTGTATGACCTTTTCGTGGCCTCTTGAGCAAAAAGGGAGGAGGATAGTTGCGAGTCAGGCGGAGGAGGGGATGGATGTTGTTTGATTCTAGGCAATTTTATCACCTCGAGCGCGAGTATGCCTCTTCTTGGTATACTATGCGGTTTAGATGTTGCATTCAAATGGTTTATACTTGACATACTCAGTCTTTTAAGTATCACTGTGTATTGGGGGTTTCACGGACAATGATCAAGTGGGTATCTTCCAGTGATAACATGGAACAATTCTCGCACTTCAACATATTCAGCTAGAGAGTTCGATCCCTGTTCCAACCTCATATTGGCTTCGTTGGGACATCATTGCTCCCTGGCTTCTCTTCTTTCGTCTCTGCTTTCGCTTTCCCCTTTGCCTTTGGCGCCGGGGCTCCTCTTCCCTCAGACGGGACTCTTCCTCTCTCTGCCTATCGTTATATTCCTGTCTCCTTCTCCCTTCCTCCTCTATGCGTGCTGAGTATTGCCACTCCCTTATCGCTGACCAGGGGGACTATGTTCACCAACATAACGAGAGAAACCAGCGCGACAAGAACCTCTAACGCAACGAAAAAAATAGCCACGACACGGCCCGCACAGATGGGCTATACAAGAAGAGAAGAACGAGCATAGCAGCGTGGGAAGAAGGAGTCCTGGACGAAGTTGAGTGTATGTCAGCTGTTCAGTGTGCTTGTATTCACCATTGATTTACACCTACAACCACGCAAACAAGTTCCGCACTGGCGGAGTACATCAGGCTGGTCCAGAAGACCAGCCAACAGTGTTGAGCTGAACTGCTCTGCAGTGAGCATCGGGGCTCTCTCAGTCAGCATTTCCGGCGTGACTGTGGCTCATTTCGAGGTTGATCAAAGAGAAAATTCGAAGAAAGTGCTCCATAGTTAAAGGACACGAGTGTGTCAGAGTGATGGAAAAGAGGTTCAGTTTTCCGCTGCGTTGAGGGGTCTTGTCTCTTCGGGGGAGGAGAAACCTCCCCCGAATACAGCAGCCACTCAACAGACTGCGGGGTGCAAAAGTAGTTGCATCTTATTTTTACCATCAAAGAACAGCACTGAGTAAAAATAAGAAAAAGCCTTACAATCAACTACAGCTACCTCGACAGAATGACTTGACCAGAATCTAGATATGCCGCATTTAGATGCGTCAATCCAGATAGCTACCAAAGGAATCCTTCACGAATGCCAATTGTACTCTCCATTCCCAGTGAAAAGACATCTGCAATGACTAAATTTTATCATCCAACAGGGTATAACGACTTACTGCCTTCTTTACCTGCCTCTTCAAACAAAGCAATCCTAGCACCGAGATCCCTTCGGGATGGCGAATGTACTTATCTTGGCCCTCTGGAGCAGTCAGCAGCCAAGACTCTGTGAAGGGAGAATATCAAACACAGTCAATTTTCTTCGACTTGTCTAGGTAAACAGCCCTATTCCCAAACAAGAGCACTAGACCGTGTCCAGCAATCCACCGTCCACCCTCATCCCACGATGAATCTTTCAATCAAAACAATATATTACTTTTATTCGCGATTTCTAAGCAATCATCCCTTCTTCTAGTTACTTCCAGCTGATATTTTCCTCCCTGTTATAGCATGCACCCTTTTGTGTATGTAGGATTAACCTCGGAGCCACAGAGTGGAGATCAGCACCAGCGGAGTCTAAACCATTTCCGGATTCGATATAGAAATGTTTTCTAGTAACGCCACGGACTTTACGGAGACATTTGGATGTCGTGTTTTCGTGGTTGGTAAGCATTCCGGTAGAATGGTTAGAAAGTTATAAATTCGTGATTTGTGCCTCTCATGGGCTTTTTTCATCTTCATTACGTCTTCATCCGTTGTTAAACCGTCGGTTTGATTAAATATATATCCACCACCACTATAATCAACTACCACTCACAATGGCTCAAGTTGCTTGGATTGGACTGGGAAACATGGGCCGAGTACGTTATAAACCTTCTTGAAATAATCTCTTCTAACAATTCTAGGGCATGGCCAAAAATTTGGCTGCCAAAGGACCCCTCAGCTCCCCATTGATTATCTTCAACCGAACAATCTCTCGCGCCAATACCTTTGCCTCGCAGAATGCAAACACCACCGTCGCATCGTCCATCCAGGATGCCGTCTCAAAGGCTGATATCATCTTCACCTGTGTCGGTGATGACACAGCAATCCAGGAGACCATCTCCGCTGCCCTGACTGAGAACGTCAAGGGCAAACTGTTCGTCGACTGCTCGACAATCCACCCCAACACTACCACCTCAATCGCTGCCAGTATCCAACAGCGCGGCGCGTCCTTTGTCGCCTCCCCAGTCTTTGGCGCCCCCGCTATGGCAGAGGCAGGACAGGTTATTTGCGTTCTTGCCGGTGCCAAGGAAGCCATTGACCAAGTCAAGCCTTACACCACAGGCGTCATCTCCAAGGCTGTAATTGACTTCAGCGACGAGCAGCCCTCCAAGGCGTCCCAGCTGAAGATCATGGGCAACACTTTCGTCCTGCAAATGGTGGAGACCATCGCCGAGGGTCTAGTCGTGGCAGAGAAATCGGGTTTGGGAACTGATGCACTCCAGGGTTTTATCGAAGCTGTCTTTCCCGGTCCCTATGTTGCTTATGCCAACCGCATGCGTAGTGGTGATTACCACAAGCGTGCTGAGCCGCTTTTCGCTGTTGATCTGTCCCGGAAGGATGCTCGTCATGCTCTTGACATGGCTAAGTCGGTTGGGGCTACCATGAAGGGCGTTGAAGTTGTTGATGCTCATATGGCTCAAGTCAAGGAGCACATGGGTGCTCGGGGTGATGTGGCTGGTGTTTATGGTGCTGTGAGACAGGAAGCTGGGCTGAAGTTTGAGAACGATGCTTGAACTCCTTGTTAATAAGCCTGAGTAATTACTGCGCTTCATGAATTCAATCAGTAACTCTATCTGTAATTCCCATAACCATCCCCTATAGAAGATCTCAAGGTGATGGAGATTAATGAGTTGAAAGTTGGACGCAAATAAATACGTGCCTGAGGAAGCAAGCTAAATCGGGTTAGCGCAGACCACATGATTTCCATCTCATCATCATTTGATCTCCGCTCCGCACTCAAGATTGCTAGCAATTCGTTATCGCCAATTGCGAATCCCTCAATTGAAGCAGACCAACCCGGGGACCACCAACTGAAAACGAGGGAATCAAAAAAATTAAAAACCAGATCCCGCCAAGAAAATCCAAAATGGTCGACATCGTCCCCCTCTCCTCGTACCCCTCGTACATCGACCTCCTCCCCTCCATCCAAACCTGCAACATCACCAACCTCCCCGAAAACTACTTCCTGAAATACTACCTCTACCATGCCCTCACCTGGCCCCAGCTGAGCTTTGTCGCCGTCGTGCGGCCCCGGAATGGGTATGCGAAAAACACCGCCAGTGACGGCGCGGGGTCGGCGTCCGTCGCCGGAGAGTACCCCAAAGTGGTGGGGTATGTGTTGGCGAAGATGGAGGAGGAGCCGACCGATGGAGTGCAGCATGGGCATATTACCAGTTTGAGTGTGATGAGGACACACCGGAGATTGGGAATTGCTGAGCGTTTGATGAGAATGAGTCGTACGTTTTTCTTCTATCCTCCCCACCCAACTGAAGTATCAGATTGCTAAGAGTTAGAACGTGCCATGGCCGAATCTCACCGCGCTCACTTTGTCTCCCTGCACGTTCGTGTTTCCAACACTGCCGCCCTGCGCCTTTACCGTGACACACTGGGCTTCGAGGTCGAGAAGGTCGAGAGCAAGTACTATGCTGACGGCGAGGATGCCTACGCCATGCACATGGACCTCTCCAAGATGTGGCTGAACTGGAAGGAAATCGAGAAACAGGACAAGGAACGTGCAAAGAGTGACGACAAGGAGGCTGACGAGGGTGACGAGGTTGGAGAGTTGGGCAAGAGCGAGGACAAGGAGAAGGAAGGTGACAAGATGGTTCGCGTCAAGGTCGGCCGGGGCTTGGGTGTTGGCGATTTGGTTGAACGGAATGAGTCGGCACCTCAATAGGGTGTGAATTCGTAGGTCATAGACCTCTATATTCTGACCGATAATATTTCATGCCACGGCGATACAATGATAGAATCGGTTGCTCCAGGAGAGCACCCGATAGAAAACTAGCTATACTCATGTTTAGATACATACGAGACATGCGAAAAAAAACTAAGATATCAATCTCGAATAAATATACGATAAAATAGAAAACAATCCTTATGCAACGTTCGACCTGTACGCCGCCAAATATGTATATGAGAATGCAATGTCATAACATCATGAAAACCGCCCATATCGCCAATATATCTCACGAGAACAAAAGATATAATCAACGAAATGAAGAAAAAATGAAATAGGATCATACCACCGGGTCCTACTCAGCAATATCTTTGATAAGGCTCGCCTTTTCGCTTCACATTTTTCCTCAATGCCTTAGCCCGTCATGAAGCCTTAAGAATTTGTCGAATCAATGATTGCCCGGTGGTCACTGTTCCATGGGCAAGGCTAAAGCTACCCATCTGCCTTATCCTCGTCTCTGCGCTTCTTTTCTGCCTGCTTCTGCTGCTCATTTGCTTGCTTTCGCATGTCTTTGCTCGATTTATCCTCATCGAGACTGGCACGGGCAGTGTCTCTGACATTTACATGTGAAGATGCAGGACTTGGTGTGCTGATGGAACTGATGTCACTAACTTCGGAGCTAGAGACGGACCGCGCAGTGGAAGGAAACGACGCCGATGATCGAACGGTGGAAGGATTATCACCATTCCTATCCAACTCCAAGTTCTCCAAGCGTTGTTCCAGAGGCAGCTCTTGCGGTGTTTCTTCTCTTTGTGTCTGCCTTGACCGGCGTTCCTGGCGCCGACGAGCTCGCCGACTTCGTCGCTGCTCACGTTGTTCCTCCCGTGCACGACGTATTACGTCCTTGAAGGCTTTCTTGGTGCTTCGCATCTCCTCCTTCATAGCTCGCTTTTCGGCCCAGCTCCGTTGCTGCTGTTGTGGCGATTCCCATCGCCCCCAGCTACCACGTCCATATCCATGGTTTTGCGGGTAATTTCCCCATCCATTACCCCAAGACGATCCACGCCCAGATATACGTGCCTGGCGTCGGGACTCTTGCAAGACATCAAGCTGTCGCCGAAGGCCCACTGCCGCCTCATACAGCTCACGGTCATGGCGGTCGTTTAATGATACGAGCTGCGCACGAACCGTAGCAAGGTCGGAAGAGCTCAGATCAGAAGTCGTAGAAATTGAATCAATGGATGTAAGAGATGATTCAGAAGATGTAGAATCAACAGAAGATCTTCGAGGACGTTGATTTTGAGGGGGAGTGATTAAGCTTCGATTGTTGTTATTGGTGGTGGTGAGAGCGGTGGCGGTGTTAGTTTCAGTGGGAGCGGTTATCACACCGCTGACTTGTTGATTTTGGTTTTGATTTTGATTTTGATTGGGATAGTGGTAGTTGTAGTAATTTGCATAGTAAGCCTGGTAGCGTGGATCGTTCACAGCCCAGTTCCCCTGGGGCCGATTGACCACACCTGCATAGGGGTCTTCGACTTTCTTTCCATGAAAGCCAGCTTGTTGCTCGATCCAGCGACCATGAGCCACGGCCTGTTCTTCAACCTGTCGTCCATAATACTGAGCTTGTGCGCTAATCTGATCCCCATACTGCTGGGCTTGTTCGGTAATACGTTCGCCGTACTTTTGGGCCTGGGAGGCCAGTTGAGAGAACCAGCCGAGTGGCCCACCTTTGGACGGCGCCGTGCTTTGAGGCTGATAATATGGCGCATTATTCCATCCCCATGGATAGGGTTGGTGAGGCGGATATGCAGGAGGGGGCGGCGCGGAAGGATTCGGGTGATGATAGAATGCGGGAGGGCCATATGGTGTATGTGTGACAGGAACAACAGGGAGAACAGGAGTAGGAGGAGCGGGAGTATTCGGAAACGCATAAGTCCCAGGATAATATCCACCAGCGCTTGCTTGGGGCACCACAGGCTGACCCGGGACCGGCGGCAAGTTTGGGAGCGTGGACTGTCGGCCTCCAGCGACCTCAAGAGCCTGCGGCTGTTGGGTTTCCTGTGTAGATTGCGTTGCAGCAGGATAACACTTGGGACAAAGAGGTGATGATGGCGCATTTTTGGGGTCCGTTACGTAGACGAACACAATGCGAGTTGCACGAGGCTCAAAGAAGTACTGATTCCATTCCTCAATCACAGCAGCAATCCGCATTTTGCGCTGCTCGTCTGTTTCCTGTGGACGATCCTTTCGATCCCGCTGTATTTGTGCTCTCAACTGACGGGGAAGATGTCCAGATGAAGCCGCGAGCCCGAGATGTGGAGGGAAAAGATATCTCAGGAACATATCCCAGTCCTGCTGAATTATCTCCTCCCTTCGTGAACTCCAACAGCGAGGTCGACGCGGAAAATCCTTTGACTGACTCCGCGGGTATATGGTCAAGTGGTGATGGAGGATGCTCCGCTCGTCATGGACGCTGGGTGGTCGCTCTGTGAAATAAGCGGCAGCAGAAACGAAATTGTCGGGCATGGGCTCATCAGAAACGGAACTTGCGCCACTCCTGGAAAATATATCTCGTAACGGTGCATTTCCGCCGCGGAGCTGAAGGGAAGACCGCTGGGGGTCCGTCGATGACGCTTGGTTGGTATTCCTACCATTGTTCTCGCCGACCAATGGGTCGACAGCAGAGTATGGCGGAGGAGGCGCCTCATCGGAATCCATCACGGAAAACAATCGACAAGGGGGAGAGGCTCAGTAATTAAGATGTATATGACGCTGATCAGTGATCATGCATCCCTGAGAAGCGATTAGATAACATCTAGCCTCCCCGGTGCACGCAGGATGATGTCGGGGAAGGCAGCAGGATTATGATCGCCTAGACGCTGTCTGAACGGCCAAACTGTCAGTCAACCAGTGACACGGCTTAAGAAGGGGAGATACAGCTAGCGTACCCATTAAAAATATCTGAAATGGCACATTTACAGCCGAGGATAATCAAAGCAGCCCACGGGCAGGACGCTGACGATGAATGAAGAAAGACGGCGGTGGAGGAGCGTTGGGGATCACGGGGAACCGCTCGTCCCGGTCGCTGATTGGTTCCCGGCAGTTCGATAAGGCCCGCTGACCGGCTATCGATAAAGCATCAAGTTTCGGCTTTCGAGTATCGTCGAAAAGAAGATAATAGAATAGAATAGAATACAATAAAGATCTGATGCCGTACTTAATATACGAAAAATTCAATATCAGTGCAAAGTCTATTCTACCGCCAAAAAAGCCATGGTATCAAAAACATCAACAGTCAAACTGGCCACATGATATATGCAGAGCTCCCGAACTCCCCGCCTCCAATGTCAAGAAATAAATAGACAAAACAGCACAATTCCCATTAATCCCAAGCATCTCCCCATCCATCATCCTCATCCTCATCCTTGGGTTTTGTATCGATCTTTTTGGCCGGCGCTACAACAGTCTTCGGTTTGCTCGTGCTGGCAGCCCCTACAGTTCGAGAAGCGGCGCTGGTGGTGCTAGGAGTCTTGCTCAACCCTTTTGGCAATGGCTTCTTTGCCTTAGCCTTGGATTGGGCAGCTAGCCACCCAGCGAAATCGGGTTCACCGCCGTCATCATATGGAGCTTGAGCCGGTTTAGATGCCGGAGCGAGATCAGTGGAAGGTTTTGTGCTTGTCGCAGCGCTAAAAGGGTCGTCTTCGTCTTCATCGTCCATTTCGCCCCAGGCATCAAAAGCATCGTCTGCAAAATCGTCCGCCGGTTCTTTAGGCGCAGGGGCGGGTCGGTCAGATAATGAGCGATTGAGGGGCTGAGGTGTAGGTCGCAAAGTCTGTTTTGGCAAATCCAACTGTGTTGACGGGGACGACTTGACTGGGCGAGGAACAGATGCAGAGCGTGCGGCCTCTGCCTCGACTGGCTTGGTGCCATTGGAAGTCGATTGAATTTCTCCATTAGCCGTTGTAATTTTATTAGTGAACGAGGAGATTGCCCATCCCGCCCAAGAGTTATCGTTTGATGTTCCAATCCGGGCATCCCCGGTGCTGTCCTGGGCGCTTGAAGATGGTAAAGCCGTGTCGGCCATAGTGCTGCTGAATTTTCGAATACGTTGGAGATAAAGATCGAGTGCCTTGTTCGCTTGGTCCCGGACCATCCTATTCGTCTGGTTAGATATGCCGCAATATAAGGACGGTGAAATCGAGACTTGGCTTACTTTTCTTTATCAAGAAGCGCTGGGCAGATGGCGGGAATCACCCTGACTGCGCAATCCTCTTCAGTAAAGAATTCGATCGTTGCGCTCAAAGCAAGCAACCCGGCATTACGTGCGTGAACAAATGGATCTCGGACCGATCTCGAAAAGGCCGCGACAAGAACCTTGGATCGTGACTTTAAACCGATGTCAGCTCCCTGATTCCAATATCAAAAAGTATTCTTTACTTACGCCTTGCCCAAGATTCTTGGCAATCTTGCCCAAGCAAATGGTTGTATTTGTGCGAATTCCCGGTTGCTCGTCGTTAGCGGTTCGTGCCAGGAACTTGAGCAGTTCTCCGTTGATGGTCCGGTCATTCAATTTGCCTATGACTACCAGCACAGCCTTCACTGTTTGTTCTCGAACAACAGGTGCGACATCGGTAAATCCAGAGGTCTAAAGAGTATGAGTATTCGGCCAAAAAAAAAAAAAAAAACACAGCTTGTGGAGACTTACCATTTGAGGGAAGATGCGGTCATTGACGACCTTTTGTGTGAGGTTGTCAATCATCAAAGGCAGGTTATCCAGCAAGCAAACCCTCAATGCTCGATCGGGATTTCCGAACAAGCGAACAACTACAGGTGTTAGCTTGGAGTTGTACTCCTCCTGGGTCAGTTTGGCCCCGATCTTCAAGATAGCCCCGAGCACTTTAGGACCACCACCACCAAATTCGACCGATTTTAACAACTCTGGAAGCACCTTCATCTTGAAGTAATCCTCAGGGAAATCCTCGGAAAGGTCATCTAGTTCGCTGTTCCAAATGAGTATTCCGTACAATATGTATAAAAACCAAGAAGGGGAGCATACTTGATGAATTCTTCTCGCTCAGCCTCGTTCTTGAGGCCGAGACTGTCGATGTCATCCGTCAATCGGATCAATGGTGTATTGAAGAAGCCGCCGTTTTTCTTTCCTTGTTCTACGAAATGCGCGGGGCTGAGACGAATTTTAGGATTGGCTGTACAGAGGCGCTTGTAGCTCTGCTGCATGCTCGGTGGTATATTAGTTGTTTTGCCAACCTGATTTCCTCCGGAGAAGCTGCCGTTGAAGACCTCGATGATTAAAATCCCAAGTCCGTAGGCATCGATCGCTGATAGTGGATGGCGCTTGATGGTGTCCCAGCCACCGTTTAGTACCTCGGGGGGAGTAAATCGTGCAGAATCGGGTACAATACTGCCGTATGTCTGCATTCAAATCAGCACACTCTCTAGAAATTGATGGCAGCGGACTCACGTATATAACTGCATTCTCATCATTCATTGAACTCAGCACTTCAAAGCCCCCAAGTTTCCATTCGCCACTTTCACTTGTAAATACCGATGATGCTCTCACAACACCATGGACAGACGCGGCATCTTCGTTGATAAACTTGAGCGTGGACTATATAGCCGTTCACTGGCATTAGCTTTCATAGAGTAGACGGGAATGATTGCAGAAAACATACCGCTACCGTATACAGTCCCCATTTTGCTGTTTCCTCATTCAGACTCCTCCGCCTCACATTCCAAGAGAGGGGAGCCACCCGTTCGGTCACGATATATATATTGGCCTCCGTCTATGCCTTGTAAGCACTCGCGCGTATGCAAAAAGGTGACCGCAAAGCATGTCACGGCCATTTATTCCATCAGACGGTGTCAATATACCTCAATAGTGTCCAATACTTTGATTACCCCCGGGTGTCTAAGAGTCCGCGACTTTCGAACGGCGTTCTTCGCAAGTGGTAAACGGGATTTGTTCGAGGCTATATCGAAGGTGAATATGCTGCAGGACGATCCGTCTTCCTATAAACGTCCAAGATGAATTCTGTCAGCCTCTGCGCTTCCCCTTCCAAAATGTCTCAGCCTGCACCAACGTACCCGTTTTGTAGCATTGTGAAGTGTCCAGATCGAATCGTCGATGTCGACTCGGTCTCCAAGAGAGTAAGGGAATGAGCTCCCTTTGGCAATTGCAGACGCGACGGCGGATTTGAGAAAGTCCATGGTGACACGCGATTCGTATCGTTACTTGGGGCATGCAATAATTTGAGGAATCGCTGGCTCTTATGGTGGGGGCAAGAAACAGCACCACACAACCCGCGGGCACTCAGCACGAGTGAGAGATTTCGTGAGATCGTGTTTGGTGAACCTTATTTCAAGGAATTAACATAAGCTTGGACAATAGCCCCCCAGCTTCGATAATGTCGTTGTCCAGAGAAAGACAGATGATTGTCAACCTGGCCGAACTTCCCCTATGGCTGGCCGCCGGTACCCCGCCCCGATGCGGTTTAGGGCCGCCTGCCAGCTCCGCAGTTCTTGTCGAGCTCTTTTGCTTCGTTTTCGTCTCTTCTTGCCAACACCCACACCTGCAGAGAACGCCTGTCTTCCACACGATGCTAGAGGTTTCTTTGGCTTTATGAATATCTTCATTGGAATTATAATGTTTATTCTCAAATCGTACGTACGCGACTAACTGTTTACTGCTTATCTTTAGTTTTCTCTACCCTACAAACAAACCTACTACCTCCACGACCTGAGCTACATCTACGATCATAGGTAACGCTTCCCCCATATTACACCCCCTTTCACCTTCTACACCACAGTCCAAGTCAACGAAAATCTCCTATGATGTGACACTGGTAAAAGGTCAGACCGCGTGAACCTCGAAACGCGTCGCCTCGCCGAAGGAACTCCCCCTATTCGTCCAAACCAAAAAGCATCATCTCGTCCCGAAACCCGTCGGATCCCTCATTCATGTCGTTCAGAACGGTGGGGACTTTTCTTTTTCCGGTTCGAAGTGGATATTCCTTTTCTGTTCCCTCGTCTCTTTTCCCTTCCTGGTCACGCAGGCACATGGCTTTGAAAGGCAAAAAGGGTCCTAGTCGCAAGATTCACGGCTTTACGGATCTTGGAGAGCCATATGTATAGCAAAAACAATATTCCATATTAGCCACGCCGCAATTTGGGGTTCCTGCGTCCGCTTTGCTTCTATGAGGAATATCAGGAACTAATGGCTGCGGCGGACATGGACTGAGGGTTGTAGTGGGCGTTCTGTCTATCTCCCCGTTGATATACTGCTGGAATGGAAAAGAGATCGAGGGAGGTAGGACTGGGATAGAGACGGAGAATTTGGAGAATGGGGGAACTTGTTGCTTTGTCCGGTTTGAAGGGGCGGATTTGGTGCTTTTCGGTTGTCGCATTTGCGATGGCAGTTGGTCTGCTTGTGTTTGGACTGAATTGGGGGAAACAAAGTACCGCGGCTGGCTTCGACTTTTTTGGTTCGAATGAAGACCAAATATAAACTGAAAAGACCTGAGGAGATGTTGACTACGCCTCACTATAACCTGAATGGTTGTTCTCTGAGTTGAACCTGTGGCTAACTCATGACTATAGAAACTTGAATTCCTTCTGGGGAGGCCCTGTTTGTTGTTTATAGTACCATGTAGAATTACTGAATGCTCATATCTCTTACAAGAATATATCTTGCCATTTATTTCTGCCATTCAACATCACTAGCAATCAATCGTTTCAAATCCCAACCTTCGCCATATACCACCCTTTTCAGTAACACCCCATCATAAACCCTCTGGGAACGACCCTAACACAACCTGCCAGCTGCCCAACCGCATTTTATCACGTTGCGAGTATCTAAATTCCGGGCTTCGATATTGCATTCCCTTTCCAAGCCTACCGTCGAGAACCCCCACTCCCTGTCACACATAGTTCATAGAAGATTTAGATAATAATGGGAAAACAACACAACCGAAAGAAAATTTCCAGAACACGACTGGCTTATACCGTTTCCAGCGACAAAGTATCGGCAAGATTGTAGCATGTGGGGTTGGCAGAAATCCATCTCATAAATTCGGTGCAAATCGCCCCGCAAGGCGTTGTATATTATAGGCGGGAGCAGGAAATGACGCCCCTAAAAGTCACGGTATAGGTTGCCTATATAGTCGACAACACACCCCAAGCATTCAAGGACGTCTCCATGCAGCATATACATCCCCAGTTATTTTCTTATACATCCTTCGCCAGACCGAGATATCCATGGGCAAACAAGAATGCAGGTCAAGGGCCAACTTGTCTAGTCTGTTAGTGAGTGTTTCAAAAGCCCGGGAATTCAGGACTCACTAAGTAATGATGTTGGTAGCTGCTCACCTCAAGCGGCATACGCTTTTGGTGCGCGGACGACCATCAGGAAAAAATCAAGTACAGATAAGCTTCGACAGTATATCGAAACTTGAATCACGTTAAATATTTGTGGTTCTCGATCGTGAAATAATACCTAGTCAAGATCCAGCGAAGCTGGGGCGCTCGACGTAAGCGTTGGTTATGGTGTTCGCATATCCGAAGTCAGCGAGGTGGATTTTGTCTCGCAGGATTGGTCATATGGTCCGAAAAGACTCATTTCGCTTCGTCAGCGGCTTCGGGAGGGTGTGAACCGGACGCGGCAGCAGGCGGTGGTTGAGAAGGCATCTGAGGTGGGATCTGAGGGATCTGATTGAAGCCGCTGCTTGGTGTCCGGTGCTGGTGGGGAGGGTACTGGTGAACTTGGTGAGGGCTGGATGAGAAGTGCGGCTGCTGCTGAGGATAATTGCCTCGGACGGGGGGCACTGTAAAGGCATTAGCGACATTCCATACTCGATTACTGAGTGCTCGCGGACTACATACTGTGACCTGGTTGCTGACCAGCATACACGGGCTGCCCATGCTGCCCGGGGGACATGAACATGACAGGCTGTGGCGGCTGGCCCGGTTGGGAGTTCTGATGCATCATCATGGGAGCTCCTCGACTAGGGCTCGGGAATCCACTATGCGGTTGAGGGGGAGGTGCATGTTGAGGATACGCGTGGCCGGGGTTTGGGGAGTACATTTGCATTTGGGGGGTATAAGGAGGAACGCCCATATACGGACCACTAGAAGCCTGCTGAACCATCATAGGGGCACCCATTGTTGCCTGTGGATTCACGAACTGCGGTGCGCCCGGATAATGTCTCATGTGAGCAGGTTGTGGGCCTCCCTGATTAACATAGAACTGTGGTACAGGCTGCCCGAATGCAAGCTGTGCATGAGGAGCCATGGGAGACGGATAGCCTACATGGCTATGCTGAAGTCTGGGTGACGGGAAGATCTGTGAAGTCGAGGCAGACATTTGCATCCGATGGTCATCGAAGTGAGGGGGGCCGGATCCGTGATGTTGCTGAGGATGAAGATGGTGAGGCCCATGGGGTGGGCCAGAGACCGGAGGCATTCCCGGGTTCGATTGCTGGAATTGGAAGGGCAGCTGGGGTTGGTGAGGAGCCTGGGGGTTCGATGCCGAGCGGTTTTGGGGCGAGATCGAAGGCACGGTAGGCGGCTGCTTAAACATTTGCAAATAGGTTTTCTCCTCGTTTCCCGCTGGGGCATCCCATGTTGGAAGAGTCTTGTAGGCCGGGGGAATGCCTCCATTGAAAGTGTAATCCTTCTCAGATTGCTCTGCACTCTCCTTCTTCATTCTTTTTATGGGGTTAAACTGGTCGTTAAGAGATGGCCGCTCAGCAATAGGCCGTGGCTTCTTCGCACCGAAAAAGGCGGATGGGCTGGTAGCACGGGAGATGGATCGGCCTCTGAAGAATGGTTGAGGGCTGGACGAAGCACCCGATGCACCGCCAGGGGTAAACGTGCTCGCGGCTGGGTTGGGCTTGAATTCCATAGCCCTGACGTTGAACTTGGTGGATGCAGCTGAAGAAGGCGTCTGTGTCTTGCTTGGGCTAGTCACACCAGACTGGTCACCAGCGGGGCCAGTGGGGGGAATTCGACCATCGTGAATGGGCAAGGGCGATGGAACCGGTCCCATGGCAGCCCCTTTACGCTGCTGCAAATTGTCTGCGAGGCGGTGACTGAGCATGCCAGTGCCTGGGCGACCGGGATGCATCGTCTGGTGCGGAAGTCGTCCACCTGGTCCAGCGTGCGGACCAGTGGGTGGATACATCGGGCGACCACGGGGTTGAGTTGGACGATCAGACTGTGCCGGTGGCGGCATTGTTCCACTTTGGCCGGGGGCGTGAGGTGCTGGTTTCTGCTCAGCAGTCACTGGTGTAGCTTTGGAATCCACCTTCTCATCTGTTTGTTGCTGGGCTCTCTGGATGATCTTTTCCTGCTTGTTACGGTCTTTGGCGAGAATAGGGACCAGATCCTTCGGCACCGGCGTGGCAAGCTTGAAGTTCTTTGAGAATTTCATCAACTCATTCAATTTGAGCGTTCGATCATAGGAAGCCTGGTTACGCCGACGTTCCTGCACTTTCATCTTCTCACTATTAGCAAATTCGCGGAAGTGGCCCAGAAGTTTGGCTTCTACATTGGAGGTGGCATTCTCGGCAGTCGGTTTCGGGGCCGAAGCAATCGACGGTGCAGCCTTTCCTGCAGCCGGTTTCTGCTCTGCATCAGCGGCGGATTTAGCGGCCGGAGTTGACTCCTTCTCTTGCGAGGCTTGGGTGGGGGGTGTCTCCGTCGAAGGGACAGGTGCTGAAGCTGGGTCGGCTGTTGCGGGCTGTTTCAGAGTGCTGGCGGGCGCGGGCGCAGGTTGAGCAGCAGGTTGTCTGCGCGCTGGGGGTGTGTATTTGTTTGGCTGCCCAGAAACTAGAGGCGGAAAATCCTTCTCATCACGACGGACCCCGCTATATTTGTCCTCTTCATCATGGCCACCAGCATCAATTGGTGCCAGGCCTCTCTCCTCCCTCATGTGCGAGTTGACCACATCGGTGCCCTCAATTTCCTGGGCAATACGGGCAGCTTCTGCCTCCTTTCTCTTGTAGGTAGGATCCGAACGGTCAATCCGGGTAGTATAGAGGTTTTCGTCGTAGCTACTGACGGCACCAAAGAGCCGTGTGTTGGTTTCGAATTGATCCCAGCCCATCGCCGTGGAGCTGTCCGTGCTCTCAAGAGACATGTCCACTTCATCCTCGGCGGCTGGTTCCCAGCGCTTCAGAGTGCGCTCGCGAATCGCAAGATTTCCAGAAATGTCGACGTCTGTCCTGAAGCCACTAGCAGCACCTACACTCAGGTTAGATAATCAAGGTCGAGAGGAACAAACAATGAATGTTTGCATACCATTGGCTGTCTTGGCTGTTACATCCGCTGTGGAAACGTTTGCTACAGCAATATCCACTATATCCTTAACATCAAAGGCCATGCTGTGCTCTGGAGCCGACCCGAGGAAGGGACTGGCAACATCGCTAACACCGTTTGTTCGTTGTGGGTCCTGTTTGGAGGCACGTTGAACCATCTTGAGCAAAAATGACGAGTCACTGGGTTCGAGAGACGAGGAAGAGAAAATTCCAGTGAAGCTTTCTCCATTTTTCGTGGTTATGATAGCGGTAAGACCCTGTCAAGAATCAGCTTTTTGCCGTCTGGTGAAAATGATCAAAGTGTGCAAGCTTACAATAAAGCTAGTGAGAAGGAAAACGAGACGATCGTGCGCATGGTTATCAGGGGTGTTGGATTCTTTCGAAGCCGGTTTGGGAGATGAGGATTGCTTCATATTTCCGTTTTGCTGCGAGTAGGACGCTCTTTGGGTGATGGGGTTTGTGCCTTGGGACCAAGCCTTTTGAGAGTTGCTGCGCCTAAAAGGAGAAAACGGTTAGTCAAAGCATTTGATATTGATAAATTCCCATATACTCCGTAGACTCAATTGGCATTCGTGCTGCACTGCAAGCCATGCTACCCAAGTGCAGGGTCAAAACGGGACTTGGATACAGGGCAGAGCCAATTTGTGGCAGTAGAAGGGGAAAGGTGATCGAAAGGGACAGCAAGAAGCTCAAAAAAGAATAAATTGATAAGGATTTCCGAGCCCATGTGCACCCTACACCCGCATGGCGACCAGCGGTGAATCGGAACCGAAATCCCCAGGGCTCGGGCGGAGTGGAATGGGGAGAGAATGAGTGGACAAGAGCGAACAACGTACCTCTGTCCGCCATCGACAGGGCTGCCAGACTGGCGACGGCCGCCATCGGACGCCTTGGAGTTAGTGCTGGGTCTCAGCGAGGGCCTATTACCCTGGTTCTGCGCGGGCGCGTTAACGGCATTGCCAGATGCGCTATTGGCAGCCGGGATGGAGTTGACGGTGGAAGACATCGAGCTCAATCGTCAATCAAGAGCAAACTCGCGTCGTGGAACTTCGCACGACGCAAAGCTGTAGTGGAAAAAAAAGGAAGAAGAAGAAGAATGGGGAGGCACGAAGCCACAGCACACCGCCTGCACCAACAAGTCGGGATGGTTGTGGACAGAGTAGGACGGGTGGTGGAGATGGAGGGAGAAGCGGGGGAGAGACGACAAAGGTAGGGAAAGAGGGAAAAGAAACCCAAGATAAGAGGAGCAAAGCCTCAATGGGAGATAGAGAATATACAGAAAATAAGAGAGGGTGGAGAAAAAAGAAGAGGGGAGAAGAAAAAAGATGAAGGAGAGGGGGGTGGAGGGAGCTTGTGTCTGGAGAAAGACGACAGACAGACAGACCAGAAGCAGCAGCAACAGCAGCAGCAGCGGCTAGATCAGTTAGTTTTTTGGTTATGATGATGGATGGAGGAGGTTTTGGCTGGTTGGGGTGGGGACAGGAACCAGCAGTGCAGTTCGGTGTGGGTTAGTCAGAGTGGAGCCCGGGATGGATTCATTGTTATGATATCAATCTTCAACTATTTATGTATCTCAAGGTATTCTACGTGTCCAATAATGATATATGTTCATCTACTTCGCACAGAGTACAGAGTCCTACTCTATTTGAATTATTTCTGTGTGCTCGCTACTGGATGCGCCATCTGTCGCCTCACTCCACTACCTTACAGTTTGCTTGCCAATCTGGATGTGTTACGCCCGGCAATCCCAGATCCACCCATGTGAGCTCACCAGGGTTGGGTTTTGATTTGCGAAGATCGGAAGATCATCATGTATTCTATAAACAGTACATATTGGTTGATTAACTTGCGTTTCCTGTTGTTCTTTTCCTGTTCTCTGGATTCCATGGGATCTTCCAAGGGATTCCGTTCCCGCCCACCTATAGCACTGAAACACTCCACCGTGCAAGGATGGATTGATATACGCTGCTTCGGATGGACGACAGGGGTGTTATCATCCATCCATGTATGATTAGTGCCATGCCAACCATAACCATACATCATACATAATAGAACTCCAGACCACATGGACTCTTTCTCTCTACCCTTCTTTCTCCGGGATAGAACCACTCCATTGGCACCGTGATAAGATGCGATAATACGGAGATTTTGTACGGACATAATAATAATATCTGCAGTCTGACATACGGGTGCTGCCGAATCCATGCGAAACTAAATTTAGGAATCAACAAACACCCAATCTGGATTTTAACAATACAGTCAGATTGACTGACACCATGAGACTCATGGCCAAGTCTATACGATGAAATTATTCCTAAACAATCCAGACTCGTAGATATATCCCTCCAGGCATGGTGGTGGCCCTGCTAAAAAGGCGGAGGCTGGGCGGAGCATGTGACTTTCCCTGGTTGTCTGTAAGGTTGCCCAAATATGGATGATGATCGCACACCCAGCCTTGGGGACACAACGTGCCTGACGACCTAAGCTGGATAATCACCGAAAAAAGAGCCCACTGGGAGGCTGGTGTTTTTTTATTATTATTATTACTCTCTTTCATTTCTTTTGTTTCATTCTTTTATTTTGTTGAAACAATACGCATTCGCCATCCCTTCCTGTCCCTGTTCGTCTTTTTTTTAACTTCCATCCCCCCCTCACCTCCGACCGATTCCCGCCATCTAGTTTCCATCTTTGTTTCCCAACAAGAACGAGGTGCTTTCTTTCCACACATGCAGTCCGCCTCCAGTTCCTCTCGCACCCAGCGCCCATACGGTGGAGAGTCTGGTTCACGGAGCCCGTCGGCACAAGCCCAGCACAACCCAACAGGGTCTGTAGGCAGTGCAGATTCCGTCATGGCTTCTCAATCCTCCGCGCCTCGCAGTTCCTCCGGATCGACAAGATCCCAGTCTTCGAGGGGTGCTGTGGTGAGTCTGATTCCTAACCTACTTCATTATTTGATTTTTTGCTAATACCTGGTGTTTCTACCCGCAGCACGATAGGCAAATCTCCCAGATCGAGAAGAGCGTGACACATCTATTGGTTGCCACAAAGCAACTGCTGGAAACCTTGACACAATGGTCCCGGAGGCAGGCTTCGGAGAATGAAGTCTCGGATGTCTATGTGCGTCTGGGGTATGAGTTCAACCTTGCCTGTCGCGCGTTCAATGCTATCGGTGTCGACACCTCAGACCTCGGCCCTGTGCCTGATCTGCTTCGTACGATTCTTGAAGATACACTCAGTCAGGATGCCTCAACGCAAAGTCTCGATCGGTATCTCCCGCGCATTAGGGACATTATTATTAATCTCCTCCATGGCCTGAAGAAGAAACAGGCTCGCTTACGTTCTCGGCAACAGAGAGAAGATAGCAGAGGCGTGTCCGGACGACAGGCAAGTGCGGGGAGCGTTTCTAGCGGACAGGCCGCTATGAATCAGATGTACGAAGAAGCTGCTTCGTCAGTAACATCACCGAGGCGGTCAGGTCGTCGCTATGGGAGCAATGGTTCCATTGAAGAGCAGCCCCGAGCGTCCGCTGGCTCGCCAGTAGATCCGCGAGGAACAAGCTATTCTGAACGTGAAGCGTCAAGACGCGAAGCCCAACAGATTCTTTCTCAGCCATCCGAGAACGACCCGAATTCAAAAGGCGCTACTACGCCTGCAGCCAGTATCGCTGCCGCTTATCCACCGCCACCTCCCCCTCCGAAGCAGGACGATGCTCTCGGTGCCCTGCAAAGAAGTGGGGAGCTTGAGCGACGTGCATCGCGGAGATTTTCTGCATACCAAATACAGAAACACCTCGGTACCTCGACAGCTGGTGTTCCAGTTCTTCCAACCCAAAATTCCCCCATACCAAACCGAGGCCGTGATGTTCGAGAGTCTCTGAATGCTGTTCGCTTGCGGGGCTCCGTTGCCCATGGGAGACAAAAATCAACAGCCAATCGTGCGCAGGAATCATCCCATCAAGCGAAAAATAGCCAGTCGCAGGTGCCAACCATCATCCCTCCTGCGGTGGAAGGGCCCGCCAAACCCCCAGCTGAACTCCCGGCCGAACCGTCAGTGGAGGATTCGCCGATTCTCAAAACTCCAGAAGACAAACTTCCCAAGCCCCCGGATAACGAGACCCTTGATACCCCCGACATAGGTGGATCGCAAGCTAGACTGTCTCGCCCCACGGACGAGCCATCCCTTGCGGAAGCATTCGAGCCAGTGAAAGACGCTATAGATACCGCGATAGCTCCTGGAACACCGCCATCCGACCGCCAGAGGCCTTCCACTGCAGTTTCTACTCCCCCCAGATCCTCCCAATTCTCGGGTGAGCACCCGTCTCCTGGAAAGGATCTTACGCTATTTTTGCAGTACAAGAGCAAAATCAAGAAATATGTCCTTCCAGAAGGCCCTGCAGGCCTCACAATTGGAAGACTACAACTGGCCTTTATTGAAAAGTTTGCTTGGAATACGCATAGCAACGGGGCTGATTTACCTGAAATTTACATACAAGACACAGTATCGGGTGTTCGACATGAACTTGAGGACTTGAATGATGTGAAGGATCGATCAGTGCTTGTTTTAAACGTCGATATTTTGGATGAGGTAAAAAAGCACTTTGATGACGAGTTCGGCGGTGTCCGTCGCCTGATTGAGGGCGTCAAGGGTGCCCTGGATGGACAAGAAAATGTCATGCAGCGGGTCTCGGATCGTCAGCTAGAGGCAGCCAAGGAGATGGCTCGCCTGGCTGCTGCTCCTCCTGTGCCTGTCGCAAGCACCTCGAAAACTGGCGAGGCCCGCAAGGGCCCAATTACTGGTAGCACTAGCCAACTCGCTGAATTGCAGAGCTTACGGCGTGATCTGGCTGTTTTGCGTCAGACATACTCGAACTTCACATCAGATATTACCAGCTCGATGAGCGCAATCCGGACCAAGGCTGGTGGGGTTAAAACTGTCGCTGCCGATGCTGCTGTGCCATCATTCGAAGGAGATGCCGGTCGCTCTCGAATCAATTCCGGAAAGAAGGAGCTTGCAGATGAGTCCGAGCGGCTCGTGGCACGTGTTGATGACCTGCAGGATCTGGTTGAAGATCTTCGTAAGGATGTTGTGAGCCGTGGTGTGCGTCCACTCCCCAGACAACTGGAGAGTGTGAGCAAGGATATCAGTGCGGTCACTAGGGAAATGAAGAAGATGCAAGACTTCCTGAAGCGGGAGAAGCCGGTTTGGACAAAGATTTGGGAGAAGGAGCTGCAACTTGTTTGCGAGGAGCGAGACCAACTCACTATGCAGGAAGACCTTGCCGCTGATCTTCAGGATGACCTCGAGAAGGCCGCACAGACCTTTGCTCTCGTTGAGCAAGCTACTAAGCAGCAGGCCGTTCAAAATGAGGTTGGGGGTGTTACCTTGCGTAGCACCTCGCGGAATGTGGTGATTGACCCCGCAGTCGATCCCATGAAGGCCAAGGATGGAGTCCTGGGCGAAGTTCGCGCTCTACAACCTAACCACGAATCCCGCCTCGAGGCCATCGAACGAGCGGAAAAGGCCAGGAAAAAGGAGTTGGAAACCCGCCGAATTGGCAAGTTCCAGAAAGAACTCGGTAAATTCGTTGAAGAAGGCAAGTTGAAAAAGAGTGGCGGTGTGGAAGAAACTGAAAGACTGCGCCGAACTAAAGATGAGCGCATCCGAAAGGAGGTATGGGAGAGACAGCAAGCTCGAGCGGCTGAGATGGAGAAGGCTGAGGCTGAAGCAGCTGCGGCCGCCGTGGAACCTGAGCAGTCGGAGCAATCAGCCGACGCAGAGCAATCAGCCGACGCCGAGCAATCCACCGACGAAAATGAAACCGCTGGCGAAAACGGAGAAGAGGTGGAAAAGAAGGAGGACGAATCCCCGGAAAACGCCCCAGCTTCGGAGGAAGAGCCGCATAAGAAGGAAGAGCGCAGCAAGGATGAGGAGTCGAAGAATGAGAGCCCAGCAGACCATGCGGACCAATAATCCATCTTGGGATTGGTTCACCTGGAAATGGGCGTTGGTTTTCCTTTTACCCGTTTCCCGTGTCAGTCTTTTGTCTTTCCTTTGCATTTCATTTTTGTTGTTTCTTTTTGTCCAACGCATGCATGAGCCCAAGATTTGACCTTCCTTGACCGAATTTCCTTATGTATCAACGTTCCCCGGCATTTGAGCGCTCACATCCCTGGCGTGCTGGTGAGGCAAAGAGTCATTCGCTCTCAGCACTTCAATTCCTTCCCTCTTGTTCATTTTCGATACCCTGCCACTGTTGTGGCCTGTTATGACCATTGCGATGATACTATGGGGGGCAGATGGTAAACATACACCTCTTCTTCTCTGTTATACTACACCATACAGCATGTTTTCTAGTTTATATTTTCTGAATCTGAGTCGTTGAGTATGTTCTGATTATCATTATCATTATCGTAGTTGTATACAAATCTGTATCTTATCGAAAGATAACGTATCACAAGGCGGTGGGGAACTGCCCGCAGAATTGCTGCCTAACAAAGCAATCCGTTGTTTCAATTCCCCAGCCATCGCTTTTCCGGCCATTGCTAAGCATATTAAGTTGGCACTTGGCTGTTGGACGATCATCAAAGATGATCTTCTTTGCTTGTCGATCCTGATCTGATGTTACATTGATTCGAAATTTCTGACGATTTCACGAATAATACGAATTATCGCTCTTGCATAGCTTTCCTTTCCAGTACGCAGTATGTACTTTGAGTCGGTTCAGATGCTGATCTCCTCTCGTCTGTTTATCATCAATGAGGCTGACTTGAATCCAGTTTACGCCATGCGGGTCACTACAGCCCTAGCTGTGGTGCTACCAATAGCCCACGCAGCAAACAGCAGCTCACCAATCGATACGAATCCCCTACAGCCAACCCCCATCCGAGGCGTGAAGAAGATGACCGATGATGAAGGGGAGAAATTCTTTTTCAACTACTGGGATTTCGGACATGAAGGATGGTCAACGGGGGATGATAATCTTACAGATTCACGACATGATCCAGGAATGCAGGGTCGATCGTATCCGCTTCGATCGAGTCTTGCTCTGGAATTAGATCCATTTTCGCTGCGTTTTCGGAGAGATTTCAAATGCCCCACTGGTACATTCGGGTGTACGTCGATTAATCGGCCGGATAGCTGTTGCAGCTTCGGGGATACTTGTGAATTGGTGCAGGATACTGGATCGGGAGATGTGGGGTGTTGTCCGCAGGGACAGGTGTGTTCTGGAACGATTGGTTCTTGCCAAAAGGATTATACGAGCTGCCCGGCGTCGTTAGGAGGTGGTTGCTGTATTCCTGGTTATGATTGTGTCAGTGGTGGCTGTGAGTATCCAATCCTCTCCCATTTCTCTTTGGGAGATACTCATGCTAATTTTTCTAGGCGCACGCGTTCGTACGATCACTGTGACCCTGAGTTCAACCGTGATGGTGTCGACTACCACCGATACGGCTCCCTTGGAACCAAGCACGCCTTTGAGTACCAGAACTACCACAGCCACAGAGTCAACCGGTACATTTGTTCCCCCCGCACGACCTACAGGCCTCTCGACTGCCACAACCACCCAGAAAACCACAACCAGCCAAACCGAATCAGTCTGTCCGACGGGGTTCTATGCCTGTTCTGCCGTGTATGAGGGAGGATGTTGTCAGACGGGACGAAACTGTGATACAACTTCCTGTCCAGCGAAATCGTCGACAACTCTTGTATCGAACGATATCACAATTGTGGCACCAGTGCAGCCCACGGCAACGGCAACAGGGAAATGCGCGGGCGGTTGGTTCAGTTGCGCTGCGAGTGACGGTGGAGGATGCTGTCCAACTGGATTTGCCTGTGGTTCCAGCTGTACAGCTATGGAGAGTGGAACGCCGACGGCGACAGTGGTCAAGAGTCAGCCTGAAAGTGCGGCGAGTCGGCAGTCCTGGGAGACAGTGAGGAAGGTGCTGGGAATTAGTATCCTGGGTATATGGTGGATGTGGTGATTTTTGAATATTGTACACTATAAATAAATACTGCATGAATGAATAACGAGTGACGATGCAAGCGGAAGGTGATGCCGATATCAGCAGCCAGCAAGACCCCGTGGGGCGGGTAAATGATAAATACGGTAAATACCCGTACCACACGTGCGCATCCTGCCCGTTTGGGTCATTACCCGGTGAGCACGACCGACTCTCTCCGACCTGCCGCAACCTCCACAGGCCGTCGGCAAGTCAGTTGACTTTCTTCTCCATCTATCTCTCTCTTCTCCTCTTTCTTTTTCCCTTCTCTCCTCCTCCACAGTCGTTTGGATAAATCTCCCCTCTTTTCAATTTCTACTATCCCCAGGCGATAAGCTTGGTTGTGCGCCCATCATGTCCAACACCACTCAAAAGCCCCTCCCTTTTCAGTACCAGTTTGCTGCTGGTGCAGTGGCCGGTATTTCTGAGGTATGATTGGTAATCCTGTCAAGGGGAATTCTGTTTGAGCGTCGCTAATTCAATTGCTTCACAAATTAGATCTTGATCATGTACGAAAATTCTCCCTTCAAAATAATCGCATGAGTCACCCCACGTTCGGCTATATTAACGGGATTTGTTCGTTTACCAGGTACCCATTGGATGTGGTCAAGACACGAGTGTGAGTAGGAACCCGGTCGCTGAATTGTCTGGGAATTGCTTTATTGACTCTTTGCGACAGTCAGCTTCAGGGCGCTGCCGTCGCCGGTGAGGAATCGTATAATGGCATGTTCGACTGCTTCCGCAAGATCATCAAGAATGAAGGGTATGTGCGCATGGATCGAGCGGTTGTCAATGCTCAGCGACCATTAACAGTCACGTCACAGTGCCTCCCGTCTATACCGTGGTATCTCCGCTCCCATCCTGATGGAGGCCCCCAAGCGTGCCACAAAGTTCGCCGCCAACGATAGCTGGGGCGCTTTCTACCGCGGCCTGTTCGGTGTCGAGAAGCAGACCCAGTCGCTGGCTGTGCTCACCGGTGCCACCGCCGGTGCTACCGAGTCCTTCGTCGTTGTTCCCTTTGAGCTTGTCAAGATTCGTCTCCAGGACAAGGCTTCGGCAGGCAAGTACAACGGCATGCTTGATGTCGTCAAGAAGATCGTCAAGACCGAGGGTCCCCTCGCCATGTACAACGGTCTCGAATCTACCCTGTGGCGCCACATCCTCTGGAACGCCGGTTACTTTGGCTGTATCTTCCAGGTCCGCGCTCAGCTCCCCGCCGTCGAGCCCGGCAACAAGAGCCAACAGACCCGTAATGACCTGATCGCCGGTACCATCGGTGGTACTGCCGGTACCGTCCTCAACACCCCCATGGACGTGGTCAAGTCCCGCATCCAAAACACCACCAAGGTGCCCGGCCAGACCCCCAAGTACAACTGGGCCTGGCCTGCCCTGGGAACCGTCATGAAGGAGGAGGGCTTCTCCGCCCTGTACAAGGGTTTCACTCCCAAGGTTCTCCGTCTCGGTCCCGGTGGTGGTATCCTCCTGGTCGTTTTCACCGGTGTCATGGACTTCTTCCGTGGTATGCGCGGGGAATAGATGGTCAAAAATTTTCGATAGAAGCCAAACAAAAAAATCAAAATTTCAAGCAAAAATTCTTTTCGGCCAAGACAGAGCGCAAAACGCAAAAAAGACGATACCCTTCCTTCCTACAGAATTCAAAAGATTTTTTTTTACAGAGTACCTTATCTACGGAAAAAAATCATACAGTTCGATTCAACTTGAATTTTTGAATTTGATCTGATCACGCAACTGATGTTTTTTATTTATCTTGCATGCATGCACAATGACCTACAACCCTGTCCCTGTCCCTATTCTGCACTGCATCTGCATTATCTATGATAGATAGATGATCTACCAGCATACATAGACCTGTCAAATCAGTCAGCTACATTATCGATATTTTTGTCTTCTCCGTAGTCTAGCCTCATCTATCCGATATGATAGGTACAAGCCAACCAGAATATAACGGCTACTCCCGTCAAGTGCGACCTTAGCTAGGCTATATGCATGTCAATCATATACCCAACCCCTGTATATATCACTCACTACGTCTGCAAATCAGAGGATCCAATTCTGCCAGATGCGACTTGATTCGTATACGTACTAGCCGATCAAACTCAACATAATGCAGTGCAGTACAACGGAACATGACTCGCAATGTAAATATATGATAAGATGAGAGGAAAGCAAGCCCTCAGTTTGAATTATGGGTGGGTGTAGTGAAAGATAGTAATTATCGCGTGACAAGCCAGCTGAAAGGACGCGATAGGGCTATGTAAAAAAACGACAAACAAACATGTAAAATCAGATCAGATCGCATATCGCATAGCCTTGATAGTAAATAGGAAATAATATAAAAAAAACATCCGAGATCAGAACGAAAAAGCAGCATGTATAAAACTAAAAACAGAAAACAGGGTATCGATGTAAGAATGGGAATAAAGATAAACAAAATCAAAGCCAGGAAGAAAGAGAAGAAGAAAAGAACAGCTATCCAGACACGGATGCATAGAGTTCACTGCTCATCGAGGGAAAAGCAAGCAAACAAACTCAAGCACCGTGGTGATCATTCTGAAATCTCTCGATGTATGTGCGAATGACTCATATGCAATAAACCCATGCCGGAAATACAGAATTGAATCAAGAAAAGCAAGGATAAAAATAATCTCAAAAGCCAAACAAAAAACCTGCCAGGAACCCATAGGAATATCATAAAACAGTATTAGATCAAATGAAACAAGATAAAAGACAAATCATTATGATCCGTCAAGTCTTCCGCGTGCGCCGGTCAATCGTCCAAACCCCGTGTGACGCCTTATATGCAAAACATGTCATGGCATGCATTCGTAGGTAAAATGATTGTTTAAGCTGGAGGAATAGTATTGCTGCACTTAATTCATTTCCATGGCGTACTCGTCTTCTTCTTTGAAGCTCATGCCGGCGTGTCCCGAGCTGTTCCAGTATTGTGCCTGACTGGGTCCCCCGGAGCTGCTTCCGCTGTTGTATGACGGGCTCAGGCTCTGGGGACTCAGGGCGGCAGTTCCTGACACAGCGTCACCAGCCATGTTAGTGTGCTTGGGCACTCGGAGACCACTTCCAGGGCCACGGGTGTAGCTGAAAGAGTTGGGATCGTTCCTTTCCAGTGCGTCAAGAATCTCACTGCGCATGCGCTTCTCTTCCTCGGTTTGTTCAAACGGCCAGGTACCTCCAAGGCTGGTGATCAACTCGGCAAGCTCGGACTCTTGTTGGAGTTTGACGTGCAGACTCCACATCAAGTCCCTCATCCACCCCACTGCGCCGTTGAGGATGTCTCCCTTGTTGGGTCCCTTCTCCTTCTCCTCGATTGGCAGACCCATGGTGATGTTACCAGCAGTGGCGCGGCGACCATTGCCTCCGGCCAGGAGGGATGTGGCAGGATTCGAGCTGGCTCCAGTGGCAGACATGGCAGTGTTGTTCACAATTTGCTTCCGCACCTTGTCATCTTCCAATCGGTGCTGGGGAACCAGGTGCGACAAATCCTGGATACGTTCGTTGATGTTGTCACGACGGCGACGCTCCACCAGGTTGTGGGAGGCCCTGCGACGGCGTCGCTTGGCTTCCTGTGATTCCAAATCCTGACCGGTTCCGGGCAAGTGTGTATCAACCTTGGCGGGCAATGAGGCGTGCTTTCCAGACTTAAGGATCTCGGAGATACCAGCATGGTGGGATGGGTGGCCTGGGGAAGAAATTGGTGACTCGACATAAGAGTGGGCACTGTTAGGGGTGCCATCCCATTGGTTCGACAGGGTCTTCTGGTGGCGATGTTGAAGCCCTGCAGTTCTGATGGGCTGTGTGGGGAAGCTACCGGATTCCGGGGTTCCAAGAGCCAGCGCACCCATGGCGGGCGTCTTGGGAGTCATCGGGCTACGAGCATCGGTCGATGCTCGGTCCACCTGCAGCGTCGGGCGCCCCTTGGTGTTCAAGTAGCTCTGTTCAAAGTGGGAGTTGCTCTGAAGATGTGGAGAACTCTGCTGGATCGGCTGGTTCATATTGCGATACTGCTCGTAGTTGTTGAAGCTGTTGTTGTGCATGAAGGGGCTGTGCATAGGAGCACCATCCGGGGTGTTGGAGTATATTTGACCCATTTGACCCGGGTGGCTCATGGAAATACCGGCACTGGAATGTTGGTCCTGAAGGAAGTTCATGTTGTCGTTCCGCGGGACTCCGTTAGGCCCGCTGATCTCCAGGTCAAGCAACTCATCAGTATCGATGCCGGAGTTTCCGAAATTGAAAGACGAGGACATGTTTTGCTGGGATGAGAAGGGATATGACATGAAGCCACTGTTCTGCATGGTAAGTTCGGAGGGGTCTACGCCCTCGTTGGGGAATTGATTATAGTGCGACATCATGAAAGGGTTTATGTCACTGCGGAAATCGTCAGGCTCATTCTTTATGAAGATACTCGTCTCGGCCATGATGCTTAACAAGCCCTCGAAACAAGTCGGCAGGCTTGATCGCTGGTGAAATGTCCTTGGTATCGAGATCCAACTCACAGGATGGTATGGTGTAGGATCGAAGAGGCCCAAAACCGGGCACTGGTGAAGTCGATGGGTTCGTCGAATCGCAACGAAGATAAGTGGATGGAAGTGACGGGGTGGCGATGGATTCTATATGCGTGGGCTATTTGTTGGATCGACAAAAGCCGCTGGCGCTAATTCATTGGATGGAAGATCAATGCGAAACCTAGGGAGACCATACCCAGTCAGTCGATCAGTCACATAAATAAAAAAGACAAGGCAAAACCTGAAACAATGAATTTGTTGTAGGCATCAGTGTGAGCATCAAGAATCATCTAATGATGATCGCGAGACACGCCAACTGATGTAACAAAGAAGGCAAAAATGAAGATGAGTCAGTCACATACCAGAAATGAATCGAGGAATGTCTAGGCAGTGCCGCGGTGGATCGCGCACACAAAGAAAATCAGGGTCTGACAGGAAGCGCAGTGAGTAGCTGGCAACGAGAGAGAAAAAAGACGGCAGAAATAGAGAAAGCGACAGAGAAAAGAAAAATCAACAGAGAGGAAGGGAGGCCATAAGCGAGACGGAAAAGGGAGGAAGTTCCAGGTGGAAGTGGAAGGAAAAGGAGAAAAAGGCGCCCCAATGGGTCCGACGAAGCGACGGACTGGGGACGATGCGGGATGATAAGAGAGACAGACAGACGGACAGAAGGAGGCGGAAATCCGGAGATGAGGGAAAATAAAAGAGCAGGGGGGAAGCCGTCACCAGGGCGAAATAACAGGCGATAGAAAGAGGAATGAGAGATGATGATAGACGATAGGGAAGGATGGTGGGGGAAAGAGAAAAGCAGAGAGGCAAAAGACAAGAATAGCAGCGAAAATCCGACAGGCCGAGCGAAGCGGTCGAAACCAAGGGGCGATGATGATTAGAGGCGGTCAGAGTGTGGAGTGAAACACTTGCTGGTTTCTCCAGTTTTGATTATTCTGTTTCCCTTCTGCGTCTGTGTTTGTTTCGTCTTCTTTGCTTCTCCGGTGAATCCCTGAGATTATCCCCGCATCCCAAGCAGATCGTCTCCTCTCCTTGGCGTGATGCCGGTGAACCCCTCGGTCACGGTGGTTTGCATGTTGACTGTTTTCGAACAGTGTGTCCACAACACTTTCTTTTCTTCCAATAACGACTTTCTCTTCTGGGAATTGTCTCCGTCCCTTTGTTTTGCCGTTTTTCCGCATAAAGAGGGGTATCGGTATAGAGTATTCCGTATGCTCGGACTCGAGTCTCACCGCGATTTGCCCCACATGAAGACAGAAAGAAATACAAAAAGAATAGAGAAAGAAAAGAAGAGAAATAATGAAGAAATAAATAATAAATACTTACAGTTGATAGTTGAACTGATAAATGTTGGTATGTTGATGGGTTTGGTGATGCTATATAAAGTAAGCAAGTGGCTTGCAGATAATGCACACCCCACCAGATTGGGAACACAACAGATGTAAGTCAGAACAAAAGAAAGAAAGAAGAAAGAAGAGACGACGGGATATTAAAAGGCAGTCACACGTGGCAGAGCCTCAGATAGGCAGAAAGATCCCTCACGGAAGAAAAAAGAGGGAAAACACGGGAATAAGGCTCGCAGCGTAAGACGGTGAGAACAGACCCAACACTTACTGGAAGGCTCGAGCTCAAGATGACGCTTTTTTCGTCGAGCGAATCATGGATTTCAAGTATCTGTCTAGCTTCAACTGAAAAAGAAAAGAAAAGAAAAGAAAAAAAACTTCAAAAGACAACAGCGAGAATGCAGGCTTTATGGACTCAGCGGCGTTCTCCAAGCCCTCTCATTTGATATACCGTCGTCATGGTCATGCAGGGTGTCGATCGTCAAATCGAAGAGGCTTAACAGAGAACGGGATTACGTGCTATGACTGCGCCTGTTTTGGCATCTACAGTATCTCCAAGGGGGGGAAGAGCAATATGATAGGCTAGGAAATCAACTAGAAAACGCGAAAGCTATGTGCTGATGGAGGGTGTGTGTGCGAAACTTGGATAGCCCGATAAAGGGGGGGCAGCAAAGCATCAAGGTGGTTGGCGGTCGTACAGTCCGGAGGGAAGATAAACAACGCCAAATCCCATGAGCAAGCAATGTGCTCGATTCGTCACCTGTCCCCAGAAGGAGTCGAGCAACCAACGTCATGACTCACTCGGGTGTTTCTGCCGAAGAGGTGAGAATGTATCAGATGAGGGACCGAAGGGCTTGGAGTGGCCGAAATCAAGATAATCTCTGAATAGCCAGACCATGTGGGAGATCTCAAGTTACGTGCATACTCTATAGTGCGTATAGTCGTCCTCCAGGATCGACTGGAATCAACATCCGAATGGCCTATCAGTGTGCTCTCAGGGTACTGTGTCTCATCTTTCTGAGTGCGTCGACAGATCGGGATGGTCATGATCGCTGGAGCTTGGACAGAATTGTAATACATCCTAATTATTACTTCGTAACAATAATAATGATATCTGAGCGTCTTGACTCCTCCACAGGCGGTCCGTGACACTGGAGGATCATGTCGCCTCCCGCTGTGGGTGTTACCTCATGGTGCGACTCTATTTCTCTCCCTCTCTCTTTGTCTTGACCGTCTTTATTGCTAGTATTTGGAATCGAATGAAGAATGTGGAGTTGGAATGCTTCATACCTCTCTTACTGGTAGCACTAGCATTTGCTCCATGACGTCGATCTCATCCATCCACTTAACAATGAATCGTTGGCTTCCCGCATGTCCGTCCCGTCCCGTCAAGGTTCGGAGTGCATGGCCGATTAAACCACGGTTAATGCAAGGAGAGAGCGAAAGATGAGGAGAGTTGAGAGAGATGGAGGCAAGAGATTCGTGGAGTCGGGCTTTGCTTTAACTTTGTGTGATTTGATTTGCGTCTTACTTGATTTACTTGTGTCTGTCTTGGTGGTTGCCTTGTAATGCCTTGTAATCATGCACATAACCCTATGAACGGGTAGGGAGAATAGTCAACCAGTCTGCTTATCATGGGGGACCCTGTTACTCTCGGGACTGTCCATTGTGTAGCATACAGATGTAGATATACCCGAACTGATGATGGCATACTCCTGCATGGCTTGATTCAAGAGAAAATGGCTGATCTACGATCATCCGGAGTTGTTCCGATACGATTGCAATCTCAGTGCAATCACTGCAATAATAATAGAGCCATGGAGGGTACTCCAAATGAGGAGTCTTATCGATGATGGAACTAGTGGCTGTAGGTGACTTCTGCAGTCGACATCAACAAGGATCGACCCATGATCGCCACGGAACACATATATTAACACATAACGTATAATGATACTCCGTTTCTTATTACAATCAATAATATAATATAAATATATAATATATCATATAATATACAAATACAGCGGTACAAGCGCATAGCAAAAACCCCAGACTCATAAATAGACGCCGGGCGGTGGCGCATGTGGGCTGCCTTCCTTGCCTCCAATCACATCCCTGTTACCCTCCACCACGGACCCTCCCACGGGCCTCCATTGGCCAGAGCTATAAGCATTATCCCCCTTCCGGACTAGCTCTGTCACCAGGCCTCCATCAACATTCACAGCCGCTGATTGGCCAGCAGCTCAGCCGGCGGAACTTCGCAAGTCGACTTCTTCGTCTCGCGATGGTTTCATCTTCTCGTTATTCTCGTTATTCTCGCTGTTGACCAGGTCAAGAATCGTCATCTTCTTCTTCATCCACCTCTGCCACTAGTCGGGTTTTCCCTGGATCAGGAAGGTATGTAACCTCATTCGCAAATCCCATTGAAACCTCCCACCCTACTTACCAACACTCTCTCCCACACCTTTCCTCCCCCCCCCCCCTCCTTCTTCGCCCTTATTTCCCCCCTCCTCTTTCTCCTCATCCAGTCATCTGACAGATTCCATCACTGTAGCCTACCAGAGACGATCTCCTGCTCGAAATAACTCTTTCTTCCGAAGTTACGCCGCCTGAATACCTTCCGTTCTATTACCCTATCGCCCTCCTTTCTCCGCAGTCTATCCTCCGCTTCTCCAACCTTCTTACGACGTACATACTCGTTATCCAACATTACTCGCGTCCCTAACGCCTCTTCGAGCCACACAGCTCTTTCCCATCTTGTCGCGGATCGGCTCGGTGATAGTTGCACCAGATACACCGTTTCCAACCCACCCACCATACCATACATACATACACCGACTTCTCCAATCAACCCTAGTCAAGCTGCGTCGAGGGGGTATCTTAGAATCGACTGCCTCTACCATCACTGCGCCTCTTATTGGAAGAACAGGGGCGATCACAAGCTTATCACCTACGACATCCCAAGCGACTACTGTATTAGCGGCCTCTAGCTCTACCCCGTGCTCAAGCTCCTCGGGAGTCTAATTCAGCTGTGCAGCAGTCATCTGCTCCGCCTTGGCTCGATCCCATTGCCTTCCTTGCCTTGCTTCACCCTCCACCGTTGATACCTGCAGATCATCTGCACGCGCATACTGGTTCCCGTCGTGCATAGTCCCTGCAGGCGTTTCCTCAGCTTGTCATCCCAGTCCTTCAACCCGAGAGGTCTATCGCTCCTTTCCCACTAAGGCTGTAGTGTCCTTCTCTGCAGAGAAAGCCTCGTACACTACCCTCCCTCAGCGAACGGGGTTTGCCCGGTAACACAGAACCATGGCCTCCACTTCCTTTCGCGACTCGGTTAATTCCCTGGGTTGGTCTCGTCGAGACGCGGATCTCCCTGTCCGCACCAACTCGTCATCATCAACCCCATTTCTCTCCAAGTTGTCATCCTTGAATCCGTTCGGACAGGGCGAGGGTTACGTGCAACTACCCACCCATGAAGGTCCCGGAGCTGCAGGTCGACGGGAGGAGGAAGACAGTGTCTTTGCCTGTAAGTCGCCCCGAACTCATGACCACCGACTTTCCTTCGAACCCATGTCCCCTATTTGCTGCACCGCCCGGTCCAGGTGACGAGATTTCAGTTCCTGCGTTTGGATGGGTTTCACTGGAGCCTTAGTGGCAAGGCTCTCGGTTTCTTAGCTCGTGTCTGTTTCAAGAGGCTGATTTTTGACGTTTTCTACACAGTGAATCGTTGGGATCGGATGTTGATCTTTTTCGCCTGTAATGTTGGAGCCGCTCTATGCTTTGTTATTTGCTTTTTCCTTTTCCCAGTGCTGTCGCTCAAACCCCGCAAATTCGCCATTCTGTAAGTTGATCCTCCATTCGGAATTCCATACCGCGCACATACACTTTCCCCCCACAGCTTGACATTCCGAGCCTTGGAAGGCATGAGGCGGTGTAGCCTGTCATGCTGTGGCTGTGACCCTGCACAAGTGCGATCTTGCCCAGACACATTCTCAGCATCTCGAGTGTGTGACAGGGCGCCTCTTTTTCCCCAGCTTAACCACCCCCTCTCCCCTCCTTGCCAAGGGTTCTTGACTAACCGGTGTTTTCTTCCTCGAATCAGATGGTCCGTTGGTTCGTTGCTATTTCTGCTATCATGGGCGGTCCTCATGGGACCCTGGGTTTACGCTAAGCATCTGGTCTCGGGATCACGACTTCCCTTTACGGCCGCCTATTTTGGTTCCATTGCCTTAACCCTCTATTTTGCTATCGGGGTAAGTTCTTTTTCCTCCTTGCTTTTGCTTTACTTTCACTTCCTTGCCTCGATCCCTCCCCCCCGCCAAGCCATTTGTGCGCTTTCTGCGGCAAGTAAACGGCTTTAGATCCTTCGGCGATTGTTGGTGGGTCATTCACCACGATCATGGACAAGGAGTCTTCCATGTTTTTTTGCAACCTCGATGCCAAAAAACGAAAGATCTTGCATGCTCCCATCACACAACCAAATCACCATGCGGGACTGGGAACCCCCAGATCCAAAATGACATCATCCTACACATGCACGGTTATCGAATATTTTGCCTACCCGCACATCTCCCGTAACCTTCATCCATCATCATCGTCATCACTCTGGCACCTGCACCTACATTATCACACATTCTAGAATGACCCCTGTCCACTGACGTCTTTGAAAATATAGCTCCACTCCACCCTCCTAACTCTCATCTCGTCCATTTTCCAACTTGTAGCCCTGCTTTGGTACCTTGTCAGCTACTTCCCCATGGGAAGTACCGGATTGCAGTTTATGGGTAGATTTGGGGCGCAGCGTGTTACGTCTTGGGTTGCTGGTTGAGCTGAGCTGAGGGAAGTCAAGTTTTGGGGATGATATAATTTCTAATGTATACGTTTATTTGTATTAACAGGTGATAAGAGGATGAATTATACGATGGTTGTATATTATGAGTGTGGCATCTAGACGTGAGTCGTGTGTAAGACAGTGCCTGCTTGCATACATGAATCATATCTCATTGCAGTGACTTTTTATCTAAAAATATCATTTATCTAATACTCATTAACATCAATCAATCAACGCCTTCTCACTCTCATTCTCATATCAAATCTACTTTCCCCGGCTCATAACAACCCCAATCGAACCCTGAACGACCTTCACGCCCGGAATCTCCGCCTCCCAAATGCCCGTCTCACCACCAGACCCAACCTCAAGCCAGCGCCGCAGCAAGTCATTACTCTCCTTGGGCTTGACGTCCGGCGAAGCCGTCCCAATAGTAACGTGCGGCAGCGCATTCGCGCAGGGCCAGTCCGACACACTCTGGTCATCGGGCGGCATGATTCTCGCGACGAAAGCCATAATGCGGGAGTCCCAGATGAGGCGTTCGAGGCGGACGCGCGCGGGGGCGAGCGTGGGGCTACCGGTGACGGAGGCGTTGGAGTCCGGGGATGCTTTGAGGGTGTCGATGTAGTGGGATGCGTAACGGTCCCAGATATGGGGGGAGTCCTTTTTGGAGGCGCGGTGGATGAGGGTGACGTGGAAGGCTGGTTGGACGCGGCGCGAGTTGACGAGTTGGTTGTAGAGGCGTGCTTGGGTGGGAGGGGTGGAGGGGGGAAAGAGGGAGTGGAGGAGGGAGGAGACTTCCGAGGTTGGGAGGGAGATGCCGAAGTATTCGATCTTTTTGGCGAGGGCTTCGGGGGACTGGATGGGTGGTGCGGCGGACTGGGAGGAGGGGTTGTTGGGGGGTTTGGCGCCTTTCTTTTGGGTTTGCTTAGAAGAGCCGTAGGTGTGGCTGAGGTCGAGCTGGACGTGGTAGTCGGTCATGGCCCAGTTGATGGCGTCGTCTAGTTCCTGCGATGAAGGGATGCGGTCTACGATGCGGGGGTAGGCGGCGTGGAGGGCTGCCACGACCTTTTCGAGGTTTTCGCGGGATGATGCTGTAACGTCGAGGTTGATGACTTCGTCGAAGTTCTCGTCGGGGTCCCGTTCTGTGTCGACAGCTTCGAAGCGGCTGAGGAATCCTTCCATGATACCGATGATCTCCTCGGAGTTCTTGGTGCCCGCTCGGATGGTTTGGTGGTTGTCTCCTCGTTCAAGAACACGCTGTCGGGTCACCTCTCTGATTCCAGGAAGCAACTGGCCCTTGGGTTCGTGGACATAATGCAGTGCGACGAATCGGGCGTCGCGAATAACCGGAGTGACATCGTCCATGAGTTGCTTTCTCTCGCGCTTCTGGTGGTTGTTACGATCAGCGAACACGACGGGGCTCTGTCCGAGAGCATTGGTTATATCCAAGGCAAACTTCTTTCCCTTGTTCTTTTGCTTTGGGAGGTTGTCGTTCTGGATGTGGCCCCATCCGAACAGCTTGGTAAGTGCCAGAGCCACGGTGGTCTTGCCAGAGCCGAGCGAGGCAATAGGTGCCAGAATGACATTCTGTGTCACTTCTTGTCCTGCGGCGGCTGATTCCATGGCGATAATCTCAGAACCCTTCAAGCCTCGCTCCTGAAGGAACCCTTCCCGCATCGAAATGATTCCATGGTTCTGGGCGTAGAGCCTTCCCAAGCTCGGGTTTTGGGCGAGCTGTCGTCGGGCATAAAGCAGATACTCTTCAGTGATCTTCTGGTGTTTCTTTATCCGGGGAAGCTTGCCCGCGATAACTGCCTTGGTGCATTCACGCCATTGTCTGTACATGAGATATGGCTCCTCAAACTTGTACTTGAAGAACCAATCCTGGTATGGCCCGCCACCCTCGCTCATTTGACAACGGATCACAAATCCCTCGGTCTCTCGGCCGTTCCATGTTCCAGTCTCGGCGCATTGATCGAGGAATTCCTTGACCGACTTGATATCATCGTAGACAACAAAGTTCGCTTTCTTGAAGCCCCACGAATCGGCAAATTGATGAACCTCGGAGCTGGGCAGTGTTGCGAATTGTGGCAGATTAAAGTTGATACCGTGAATATAGATGCCCGAGGCGGCCTGGTCGTAAGCAAGAACGTGCTCTTCGAAGCTGTCGTCACAGAGCTCTCCTACGGCTGTGGCGTTCAACCTTCGCAGTTCCCTCGCTAGATCCTTCGAAGACTTGCCTACAGCCGCGACATGACGCTCGACCCATTTTTCACCGGCCTGGGCATGGCTCACTTCAGCGTCGCTGCGGACTCCAGTCGAATGCTTGCTGCAGACCAATAACGTATCATCCTCCAGTCCAGATATGAAAATAATGCAACCATTTTCCTTCACACTAAGCTCGTAGGGACCCCGTGTATTTGTCTCGATATTCCTCCATCTGGTCGAGTTCACTTCATCGACGTTGAAGAACTTGTCGTAACCGCGGACAGCGATTTCGGGGGTGCCATCCTTTCTCTTCGTGGTGAAAAGACCTCGCGCATATGTAGGGAGATCGCTGCGCTTGTAATCCCAGTCCATAAACCTCCACGAATCCACCGAGATGTTGTCAGAGCCTGCCACGGGAAAGGTGGTTTTCTTGCATGAGAACGCGCGCTTGCCCTCGGTCTTGGACCTCTTACTGGCAGCCCCCAGGCTTTCGACGAGCTGTGCGACCTGCGTAGGGTCCTGTTGAGGCATGATGGGTGATTTTTCCAATGACAGTCTATTGCTATATTTCCCAGTCGTTACGTGGTGATGTGCGCGATTGTTGGTGGGGAAGAGAGCGAGACAGAGAGGTGGGGGTAACACAAGTGCGAAACGAAGACTGCAGAGATAAAGAAGTCCAGAAAGAATTAAAGCCCCTTTATCAAAGTCTTCTCGCCTTGATCAGCAAGATACAAAGAATCTAGCCCTTTCTCATTCAGAGTCGTGAGTCAAACTGAGACAGACGTCACAGTCACCGTCGGGAAGAAAATAAATCAGTCATTATTTTTGCGGGGCAGAAAAGAAGATTTCGGCCCTGCGCCACCGACAGCCTCGCCCGTGATTCATCCATCTCCTCTTTTCTCCTTCCTGTCGATAATTAAACACCGGATCTTCATCATCTAGGTACGAGATAATCCAACTATTGTTTTTCTCAGCCCGCCTGCTGACTCCACAGCCCACAATGACTCAACCAAACCCCTACATTCTCGCTGCCGACAACCCCTCCGCCCTTCTGACTCTGCTGCGCTCGAATCCTTCCATCGCTTCCGGTCAAGACGAACATGGCTACTCGCTGCTCCACGCTGCCGCTTCCTACGGCCATCGCGATCTCCTCCGAGCTCTCGTTCAGGAATTTCACGCAGACGTCAACATCCTCGACGAAGATGGAGAAACCTGCCTGTTCGTGACGGAGAAACTGTCGATCGCTAAATGCCTAGTGGAGGAACTCGGAGTGGACTACAACAAGAAAAACGATGAAGGGTTATCGGCACAGGAGACCATCGAGGCTGACGGCTCATTCCCTGATATTGCAGCCTATTTGCGACAGGTTATGGGTCTGCCACCCGCTTCGCCGGCCGATCAGTCGATGGATGCCTTGAACCCCGCCCCGCCGCTGCCGGCTAATATTCAAATGAACTTGGGGACAGTGTCGGAGCAAGAGGCAAATGCAGGAACAGAGGATGTGGATCCAGAATTCAAGCGGAGGATTGATGAGTTGGCTGCCCGGGAGGATTTCCACAGCGAAGCCACGCAGAATCAGCTGCGGCAGTTGGTTATGGATGCCATCAGCGGCGCCAACATCGATACCCAGGATAGAGAAGTGCGACAGAGGACAGACTAAAGGGACCATATATGTTACCACGTTTACCTATCTGTCACCCCAGCTCCTAGTATGGGCATCGCCTGCTGATCCGGCATTCCTCTCGGTTGGAATCGTTAAGAGGTTACAACCTCCTCACCCTCCGTTCTTCTGTTCCATCGAAGGAATAGAATGAATCCCTCGTGGTGCATGGCTACCATGCTGCCAGAGGTCAATATCGGGCAATTCAAGCCTGGTTATCTATGAGAGGGCTTCCGAGATATGTTACAAGATTGTCAACTGATGCGCAAAAATGAAACTTGTGAATCTGGTCATAATATTCTAGTTCGAAATTCTGATTGCCTGTGGCTTATTTGCATGGCCGTAGCCTGGGATAGATCTATGGGGCCTTCCAATGTACAGCGATACCCTAGACTGCAATGAACAGTGAGCTCCCGCGCGGCATCTTGAGGTGTCTGCTTCCAGTCAGAGTTCAGACTGCTGGAAATGATCATTCTTCCAGAGTCCAAACCCTTGACGTATTTCTATTATGTATACTTCTTCAGTTCTTTTTCTCCTCCTTCTTTCCTTTCTCACCCTTCTCTCCCTTTGGTGCCTTTTGAGGCTTTGGTGTCGGGTTGGGGTTGCCGTTCCATTCCAGCTTCCGAGGCGTCATGAATTGCCTGAGTAGCTGATCCGAGACCTCCTTTCTTCGCTCCTGGAAGTCCTTGACGTATCCCTGCAGCAATGTGATGGCCATCTTCTTCAGCTCTCCCGTAAGCAGGTCGCCCTTTCGGTAGCTGTCCTCAATCTCCTTCAGTTTTGCGTCATCTTCTTCGAAGTAGGAAATGTCTATAACTTCGTTAGATCATCTACACAGAAGAAACTCGATTAGCAAAACACGTACATTGGAACGAGACGTCCACTTCGGGGATTCCTCCAAGCTTTCGGTGCTCTTCCACAGTGTCTCTTCCTCCGCTGAAGGCGTACTTGTTGATTTTGTTCTACAACCGTGCATTAGCGATGTGGTCTTACAAAAAGACTGGGCTGACGGATCTCACCTTGATCTGGTTAGGGGTGTCCGACATGAAGATTGCAGAGCTTCAAGTGGTGTCAGTCAACGCTCATCTAGAAATATCGGAGGTAGTCTCACTTGGCGTCACTTGCGCTCATCTTACCGCCAGCACCTTGCAGTGCTGTGAGGAACTTGGAGTGGATCAAAGCAGGCTTTGGCGACGGGAATCGCATACGTTGGGAGTTATCGCGCAGAAGTCGGAAATAAGGATCTTGGTCAATAGCCATTGGAATCAGACACTGGATCTTTGCGATAGCCTTCGATCGATCAGCGAGTGGGTCGGGGTTGTCGGTCCAGATATGTGGGTACGATGTCGCGAAGGCGGCGGCACTGTCATAGAGTCAGCGGAAGTTGGGCAGTTGCGGTGGAATAACTTACCATTGCGCAGCTGGGAACATGATTCGACCAATGTTAGTGCTGCGATATGTTAGTACAATAGAGCAATTATGGCGTGGCGAAAGCTATGCGCAATGAAAGCAAGCGCAATCAAGTATATCTTTTGCCATGGAGACGAAGGGAATGGGTGCTGCTGACCTCTCGTTGAAACCAAATGCTCCTCGCACTTGGTTGAAAGTGATGAGCTTCGAGAATTCCCAAATGTTGGTCATGAAATGGCCTCCCATGTATTCCAAGTCACTGTAGATGAACGTCTTTTTCTGATCGAAACCGCATGCGATGATATCCTTTGCATTTTGTAGCGCGAACTTGTGTGTCTCCTCGAATGAGAGCTTTTCCTTGAAGAGCGCCTTTTCGTCGTCTGCTACGGTCAATACATAGCCCGCGTGGCTTGATGATGCGAGTCTTACCTGTAAGCATAATGACTATTTACATTGTCAGCTATGTGTTGAATCGCCCCAAACAGGACCATGGGGTAAAGACGGAGAGTCTTCGACATACCTAGAGGGACATCAAAGACATCCTGCAGCCACTTTGTGAAAGAGAAAGGAATGGTGTGACCCAAGTGCAGCGCATCGCTAGACGGTCCTCGTCCTGTATACAAGAAAAAGGGTTCGCCGTACTCGTACTTGTCGAGGATCTTGTCGAAGTCACGGTGGGAGAAGAAGAGACCGCGTCTCAACCAACGGTGCGGTTTGTGGCCGGTCAATCGCTCGAAGCGCTGGAGGAGATCCTCGTCGATCAGCTTGGTCGCCCATTTCCTGTTCCCATCAGTGATTGGCCCAGCCATAAAGGAAAAGTTCGGTCGTACTGCGAAATCTTGACGTAGTCAAAGGCAAGGGCGTTTCCATCCGCATCTTGTCCAGCTTGAACGTCCCAAGGGTTGATCTCTTGCTCCGTAGCAGCAGCCTTCTGGTCATCACGAAGGGGGAGGACCGTCTCAGTTCCGGGAGCCGCCATGTTTGCCGGTGTAGCTCGGAGGCACAGGGAATTGACTAAGGAGGCTTATGTAGCAATGAATAAATGGATAAACCGCCCTGGCAATATCGTAGATATGCTCCGAAAAATGAAGCAAAAAGTCCCGAAAGCGTCCCACGATGGAGGGGTCGGCGCCGACAATCTATGTGGGGTGAGGGGCTTCTGGAATGTCACATGACCCGTGAGTCAATTGGATTTGGTATCATGTGATGTCACGTGGAGATACATGGCTAGGAACATGATCGTAGCCCTAGAAGAGAGCCCTAGTTGCCGTTTTCGTAAAAGAATTGGGCTGTAGCTTCCTGTAGTAGTTCCCTTCTTTTCCTCAAGAAAATGCTATCAAGCAAAAGATGTGATAATAAGCAGCAGTTCCTATTTTCTAATTATGTAACTTCTAACTAGTGCCCATGGTATGCCCAGCATCGTCCACGGCTTTTGGACGCCAAAGTCACGATAAGTCATTAGGAAGCCAGAGAAAACATGATTAGACAGCCAGGAAGGGAGAGGTAAAAAGAAGAAGAAGAAGAAGTGCGAGGGAGTTTCAGGCTAGCTCTCATATGCAAGGCAGATTCGAATCATGGTATTCGATATTGATGTCTGGGTAGTCGTTATCACCCCCAGGGAGCAACCCTTGATTCTGGTCGAAGAAATCCGCCTGTTCCGCTTCAAGCCAGAGTTTATCCTTTGAAATACATTCAACTTCCCGAAATACGCGTTCAATGTTGTTGAAACGTTCCTTGCACTGGTAGATATGCGTGCTAAGTGTTTCGCTTCTGAGGCCATGGGGAAGCCAAAATCCAAAAATGTTGTCTTTTGGCATAATGCTATAATCCGCACATGGCCTTTCGTGCCGCTCCCGCTCCCGCTCCCGGGGATTCAATAATAGGTTTGCTGTCCCTTCAGGGTGCATCTTTTTGAAGAGTTCTAGTTCCTCCGGTAGGCATTCACCTAAAAAGCGACTGGCATGGATTGTGTCAAGAAGTTTTTCAAGTTCCGCGCCACTGCGGACGATCATCGTTGCGAGCCTAATCATAAAAGTTAGACCCAAGGTCAGATGTAACAGGAAGACAGGATGTTTAGATCCTACCACTGGGTATCTGCGTTCCAACTGGTCGACTGCAAAGGAATGTCGCCCCGATCAGCTGCGTACATGTCGTGGTAAGGGGTCGAGAAGCAATTCAGCAAACTCGTAATGATACCAGTTTCACGGGTCATTGACATGAGATCCACTGAGATAGTCAAGCAGCTTGGGCTTATGAAACCCTTCATCACCAGAAGCTCAAAAACGTCCCATACTGCGGATTGTCGCCGAGCCCGCCAATACAGGTTCCGGAGTATGGCCCCCCAGTTCGTCGATTTTTTAAACAGTTCATTGTAGACGCCAAGTTCTGGTCGGAACCCACTTCTCGTGTCACATTTTGACAATTCAAAATCAATTACAGCCTTCGCTGTCTGGGTCAAGGAGGCGGGGGGGTTCGAGTCACTTCGGAGAAGATCAAGCATCACTTGCTCGGTTGTGGAGTGGCGAGCAGAGCCCTGGCGTTGCAGGTTCCCGGGTTCCATGGTTGAAAACACCCTAAGGGATACTCGGGGATAGAGAAGTCAGATGGGAAGGAAGGTCGACGAGGAAGAGGGGAGAGTGAGAAAGACGGGAGTGGAAAAAGGGCGGTGCAGCACCCAGGCATATCTTGATTGAAATGGAAGAATCATCATGACAAAGTGAATTACAACCAGTGGTTATAGCTTTTTGTCTGCATAGATCCATCAACAAAGCAGGCGCCGTGATCAATGACGAAAAGGTTTTGTAGAAGTTCAACGCTGTATTTGAAAGTTTAAATTGGTGGTTGAAATAATCCTTAGATATATGGGCCTTGCTTGACTCTACACAAACCAGGTTTTCCTGCTGGATGAGCCGCAGATTCCATAGCCAGATGTTGCCAATATGACTTCCAGCACAATTGACGCTGCGTGGAGGGTCGAATCGACAGTCCTTTAAATAACCAAAGGCCGAATCCTCGAAGCCACCATGCCGCTTCCGTTTCTGAATGCAAGCAAATAACCTAGGGAAATCAATCATATACAAGGCAGCTATCAGAGTAAATTCTTTGCCACGAGTAGAGAGCGAGAAACATCAACAAAACCGCGGAATTTGTTAATACTGGGTTTTGAGCGCCTAAACTAGCATTGAGTAATTATGAACGTATTTTATAAATAAGTCAATTGAAAAAAGAATAATGAAAAGGAAAAATAATGAAAAGGAAAAATAGTGAAGAGTTCAAATTCGCCAACTGCGTTGTTGGTTGTATGTATAAAAAAGAAAAAGAAAAAAAAAGAACGACACGGGCATGATTCGAACATGCGCACACGAATGTAATTGATGTCAGAATTTTCTTCCGAATTCGAGTCAATCCCCTTAACCACTCGGGCACCGTGTCATTAGATAATCGGTTCTCCTTTGTTTACACTTATAACCAAATATTACAGCTATCCGTACCCCGGAGATATCATGGATCTTAACCCCGAATACTCCGGGGTAAACAGCTGTGCAGCAACGAAGGATTAAAAGATCATCCATAAGCATATTGGCATTGAGGGTAATAACCTGGGGATAAAACTGACAGATTCTAAATTCCGGTCGAGAAAAAAAAGGCTAACTCCAAACTCCGATTTTGAAAATTTACACGAAGTGGTATAGTGGTGTATATATATACTATGCTCTGGAGCACTAGTTATTTCCCAAACAAGTCTCAACAACTTTGATTTAACCTAATCATTCAGCCATAATGTCTTCAAAGATACATCAGACTGCTCTCTCATTTCTTAACGGCCTCTCAAATCTCTCTTCCGAGTCCCTCCTTGCCGTTTTGACACCTACAGCAACCAGCGAATTCGCGCCGTCCAGCATCTCTCCTCACCCACCCAAAAATCCAATCACATTTACCAACCATATCGCCGCTATGAAAGACGTCTTTTCCACCATACCAGTAATCCCAAAGGAAATTTTTGCAAACGAAGAAAAGAGCCAAGTCACAATCTGGGCTACAAGCATGGCCAACTTCCGAGATGAAGTGAAGGACGATGGCCTCTTGGATGAGGAATGGCGCTTCGAGCGTGAATATATCTTTATCCTGACCATGGATGAAAGTAGGGAGAAGATTGCCAGGAATTTCATGTTTGTGGATGGCAAAGCGAATGATCGGTTGAGGGAGCTGATTGCTCGGGCGAGACGCAACTTGCAGCAGAAGAGTGCAGTCTCTTAGGGGCATTGATGGATGGGATAGATATACACCGGACATATGTGAATTTGGTGCTTATTATGCGATTTGTTTATTTGATACATTGAATAAGTTCAGTCGTTTAGGAATACAATCCAAGAGTGTATCTATGGCATTGAATGCGATATTCGAGAGACAGGAGAGGAAAAAACCAGAATGAAAAAGCATTCAAAGATATTAAAAACAGTAAATACACAATAGAAAGATGCGGCGATTCTTTCCAGAATTATGTGACCATTTCTTTTGTATCTCACTGTGTCGAACTGAAGGAATCACATGTGATAGAATGGATCTTCGAGGAACATGCTCATCATGCCAGATCATTGTAGACCACCATATCCTTGAGCACTAAACGGCTTGGCCCCGTAGGGTCAGGAAAGTCCCACAAAGTCCCATCCAGCACATGTCGGCGTACCCAAGCCTGGCAGTCGTCATTAGGAAAGTGGCCATCATCTTTGGAAGGAACAGCCACAGATAGGATACTGAAAGAAGATCTTGTATTCAAATTACCATGTCCCGACGCTGCGCTAGGAAAATCCTGAATCTCCAGTAGGCGATCCACAAAATTCGGTTCCGAATGTTGCCCTGAATGTAGCGCATAACGCTGGTGCCCTCTTGGCGTGTCTACGATCAAGACGCGTTGCAAACGAGGGAGGGAGTTTCGCCCACCAGGAAAAGAAGGACATGGATCCAACAGATTATGTGGCCGAGTAAAGACCAGATGAGTGAGGTGAGACAAGCCACTGAGATTAACTAAGAAGTTGATTCCGCTAACATTGGTATTAGTGAGAGCGAGATGGCGGAGATTCTCCCTGAAACTCCAGAACCATAGCTTAGGCTCAACGTGCATACCCGAGTAATTCCAGGGAAAACTGGTTTGGATGGAGCAGTATTCTTGCAGAGGGAACATGTTAACATGCGACTTGTAGAGACCATGTAATTCCTCCCAAAAACTGTCGTCTATCCCCTCTGGGAGTATATCGACTACCAATCGTCGGAGTCGAAAACTAAGACCAGATATAAGAGGCTCAACCAATGCGGATTTTGGCGTTATCCAATGCTCGCCTGACTCGGCGGACTCATCTGAATCTGTCTGCTTTTCACCCGAATCAAAACTCGACGCATCCTTCCAGGGCAGGGATAGGTAAAGCCCCAGAGGCGTAAACCGAATTTGTTTTAGATTCGTCGTCCTCTTGTCCGGTACAAATGGACGGAGTGGTGGTCCTTGGCTGAGCAGTTTCCAGGCGGAACGCTTCGAATCGAGGTAGAGACAATGCTTCACCAAGAGGTCCCTGGCAGTCTCATAGGTAAGCTTGCTCACTCGGGTGAAGCTAAGGAGGGTCTTTGTCACCTCATGATTAGGAGGAAACACGAGGGGTGGATTGGGAGGGATGAGGAAGTTGACAATTAGGATGATAATCTCTGCTGGGAGACGCATGTTGATGGTGGTTGTAGATTGAGGTCTGAGAAGATGGTGAAGAAGCAAAGGCCAGAGGTGTCAAGGAAAAGGTTAAAATATTGAGGCTGGGAGTAGTCCAGTGAATGACTGCGGGGGGATGCTCAACTCCCGTCCGTTCCTGGGAAAAGATGCCGCCGCTCACTGACTGTATCTCAGCCCATGATAAAAATCCCCTACTAGAGCTTTCTTTACTTTAATTAATTAATTTCTTTTTCAAATAAAAAAGGTGCTTATCTTGACTGCAAAGAACGGGTATGAGAAAGTGATTCGGATCCCGTCTTGATCAGTCGTATACAAAACAACCCAGAGAGTACTACCTATCCAGTGAGAACGACACATTCAAAATACCCTAGACAGCACTATAACTATATATTCTATGTATCTATCTTTACGTGTTTCTATTTAGCTCGTTTTCCGTCATTTTATATCCCGATAAATTTTTAAGCGTCGTAAAAACAGTTCTTCGACAAGAAGATAGCCCTAATGACAAGCCCTAGCTTCCGCTTTGAGCGCTCACATGCTAGATTGATGACATCATCACTATAAAATTGACCAATCAAATAAGAGCTACATCCAGCTCACTCCAACATCTTCAATCTCAGTTCAATCAGTATACCTAACAACATCCATGCCAAAGGATAATACAGCAAACATGGCAGACAAAGTACATTTGCGCAATCCACTAATACCCAACAGCATCTAACAATGAGCAGAACCAAATCGCCACCCCAGAAGAATACCAACAAGCACGAGCTCGTCTCCTCGAGCAGGAGAAAGCCGCCACACGCCTACTACAAGACATCGCAGCCTCACGCCGCAAGCTGCCCATAGTGCAAGTCCCCAACCCCACGCGATTCAAATTCGACACACCAGCCGGAGAAAAGAGTCTTCCGGATCTCTTCGACGGCCGGAAACAGCTTATCCTGTACCACTTCATGCTATCACCAGGCGAGACGCAAGGCTGCGTGGGATGCTCATTCTGCATGGACCATATCCCCGACCTGGGACATTTGCAGAGCAGGAATACCTCGTTTGTGGCGGTTGCGACGGCCACTCTGGACGAGGTGACTGCGTATAAGAACCGGCTGGGATGGGAGTTTCCGTTTTATAGTTCTGCGAAAACGCACCGAGCGTGGGAGGAGGCGGAACGGGCGGGTGAGAAGATCACCTGGAAGCCGGGGAATGGATACTTTGGTCTTTGTGTTTTTTTGAAGGAGGGGGATGAGGTGTATCATACTTATGACACGAGTGATCGTGGGTTGGAGGTTATCCTCTCTACATACCACCTTTTGGATATGACGCCGTTGGGTCGACAGGAGGTTGGGAATGGGATGAATAACTTCCGTCGTCATGATGAGTACTGACATGTTCTGCGTTTCTATTCGTCGTTGTATGTGCCCACGAGAGATGAAGGGAGAATGAAATTAATGGGGCGGCGGAACAGTAATTGGTGTATTTATGTTTTGATTAACTGTATGTATAAGCAGGTATTCTCTAATGTCTATGGAGGTTTATATCGTATGCTATGGCTTTAAAAAACTCATGCTCCCCTCGGCTTTCCACCACGCCCTCCACGCCCACGCCCACGACCTCCACGACCTCCTCCACGTCTTTTCTCAACTCCACCTCGGTCTCCGCCAGCCCCAGGGCTCAGCGCATCACGAATCTTGCCCTGAGGATTATTGCGCGGTCTCGAGGAACTGCCCCGAAAAGAGTCACCTCCACTCGCATAGTTGAATCCAGGAACGCCCTTCAAGCCCATCTTGCCAATGGTTTTTTTCTCCATCGGTGGAGGTTCAGGGCACGCCATGCCATTCATAGCCATGTCGTTTGCGAGCTGAACAAGACCGGCCTTATCGAGACGCAGCTGTCTCAGAAGACCGGACCCAGCGAAGAAACCGATGAAAGACGAGTAGGCGCGTTGCTTTTTCTCTTCATCGATGGCGTACATAGCCTGGGTGACGGCATCGGCGCATGAGGCGGCGCCCTCGTTGATTGCGTCGGTCTGCGGATGGGGTTTGATGGGTAGGTGGCGGTTGTTTCTCATAAAGAAAGATTCGGTTTCGGTGAGAAGGATGATAGCGCGGCCGTCATTGCCAGCTCGGGCTGTACGACCGACACGATGGACGTACTGCTCGCCGTTGGATGGCAAACCGACCTGGATAACCAAGTCGACATTAGGGAAATCCATGCCACGACCAATGACATCTGAGGCGAACAGGATTCCAGCAGCTGCCTCCTTGAATTGGGCCGTAGTTTTGGTGCGAGCGCTCTGATTGAGTCTGGAGTGAATCTCAAACACCCTCAAAGGAGTCAAGCCTTGAGAAAAGAGTCCTGCGAAGAGAGCAACCATGTTTGCGGTAACGCCGAAGACGATGATTTTCGAGCTGCTCTTGATTTCCAGTTTGAGAAGGGAGGCGAGTGTGGTGAATGTGTCTGCCACCCCCGGCATGAGTACGTGGTACTGGGGTACTCTCTCGTGCGTTGGTGCCTCGTTCTCTTCAATGGTCGAAAGGCTACTGTAGCCTGGCTTCAAGACAACCTTGACCACATCCTTGACCTTGGGAGGAACAGTGGCGGAAAAGCACATTCCTTGCCAGCCGGTGCTCTTTGGTGGAATAAGTCGGAGAATTTGCTTCACATCAGCGATGAATCCGGTCTCGAGCATAGTGTCGGCTTCATCCAAAACCAGAGTTTGGATATTAGACAGCTTCTCAGCCGCAGAGGGGTCGGAGAGATAGTCCTTGAGTCGTCCCGGGGTCGCCACCAAAACAGATGGCGCTCCCTTGATGAAGCGCGAAAAAGCAGATGCCCGAGCCGTTCCACCAACTGCGATGTGGCACTCAAGAGGCTTCGCCAGTTGTGATGTTAGTTGATCGCATGACTTTGCGATCTGCTGGGCGAGTTCTCTTGTGGGAGTGATGATCAAGACGCCGACCTGACCTCTTGGCGGCGAATAGCCTTGGAGCAGACAGTGCAACGCAGGTAGCAGAAAAGCGAGAGTTTTGCCCGTGCCAGTTTTGGCCTGGACGAGGCAGTCACTGCGCCAGTTGGGCAGTTCGGTCAAAACACGCTGTTGGACAGGCGTCATGGAGTCGAACCCCATTACTTCAAGGGCTCGGAGGAGGTTGGAGTCCAGCTTCCCAGCCATGGAGGAATACGGCTGAGCGCCATCGGTGCTTCCAGGACCTGACATGAGGTCGAGGCTATAGTTCAGAAAACTTGCAATTGACTCTATGAACAGTAGACAGCTAAGCAAAAATACACTAAGTGAGTAATTTTTTCTTATTTCTTCTGTTATGAATCTGGAGGGTGGTGTTTGTTGGTTGTCAAGTGAATTGCTCTTTCTATATTTGATGTAGAGATTTGCTGCCAAGCACTGGCGCTAACCGGATACAGACTAGCGGGGATGAGTTTATTGGCTACATTGGATCCACCCAATTTGGGGGTTGAGTCCCGCTAGTCCTGATTTGGTCGTCCCCATCGCCCCCCACAAAGAGAGGCGGAAATATATTGAAATATTCGCAATTTTATCATTCATGATGGAGGCGGCCCAGAAGACAGGCAGATAAGAATACACAACATTGTCGCATCAGTCATCTCCGTCGTGGCTATGGCCTTACCAGTGGCCTGATCGTAGAAAGTCTGGCGGGTCAACACGGCAGGTGTGTCGCTGTCGGTGAACAGAAGAAGAGCCGGACGCTCGGGGGCGATGACCACGTCGTCGGCGGTGGCAAATCCGAGTTTCTCTGGATTCTTCTGAGTCTGGTTGATTTCAATAGGGAGTTGGGTGATGGATTCATCCTCTTTTTTGATTGCTGTGGCCAGGTCTGTCTGGGTGGGATCGAAGACCAGAACTGTCGATTTAGATTCATTCAAAACAGCGACTGCTTGTTCGGGCTCAGGTTCATGTCCTTGTAATAATTAGTATAAAATACCAGAAAACCTGGAAAGAAAACCCACCCATAGGCACAATAACACCCCCCATAGCAAGAATGGCCAAACTGGCCACGAAAAACGGATACTGGATCTCTGCCAGCACGCCGACATTGGCGTCAACACCCTCTTTAAAGACACCACTTGCATCCAGCACATCTGCAGGAACTGCACTCTGGATCTTCAACCGGAGGGCCTGGACATCCTGCAGGAATTGGGCGTAGGTGAGTTGCAGCCCCTGGGCACTGTCGTTGATGATGATTTGATCTTGGTATTGGTGTGTGGCGTTGATGAGGCGGGTGAAGAAGGGATCAGAGGGGAATGTCACTACTTGAGAGTAGTTGTCCTTGTTTATATCTTTCTGTTCGTGATTGTGTTCATCTTCATGCTCATGTTCGTGGTGATGCTCCTTATGGTCATGGGGACAGGCACAGCCGTCATCAGACTCGAGATCTAAATCCGAGTCGCAGTCGTAGCCATCGACTGAAACACCTGGAACACACGCTTGACACATTTTGTCTGTTTCGTTTTTCTGATATAGATCTATATGGAGTGGCTGGTTGGATCTCGAATCTGGAGTTGTCAAGTTCTTCTTTTTTTTCTTGGCGGTGGCATGATATCTCGCTGTTCTGATTGGCCAGTAGGGTATGAAGCCCACTTAAGATAGAATTATGTAAACAAGAGTGCAACAATGCTTGATAATGAATGATAACGTTTTACTTTGACAGTTATCTGAGAAGATAGATGATCTTATTGTGTGTCTTGAATCAATTGCGTCCGGACCTCCACTGATCTGACGGCGGGAATCCAGGATGGCATTATACATACTTTGGATGGACTATACAGAGGTAAAATAAAGTACAGCATGGTGAATGATGTTTATGACTGAAATCTGGGAAGTGCAGGAAATGTGTGGATTAAACAAAAACCAGTGATGAGCATCAGAAAATGCTATGACATTAATACGAGGATTATAGGCATACTATATTTAACAACACCTGTAGCCTGACTAACCCAGAAGGCTGTGCTGATATACAGCAAGTCATAATTCAATTCGTATATGCAGCCAAGCAGAGCTGCGATGGCACATGCCACCACCACAGCCTTGCCAGTATCAGCAATATTAAATAAGCCATTCCCACTGAATCCATACCAACACTTCCCACCTACCATCTACCCAAAATGGTCAGAATCAGAGACAGCGATAGCTTTTTCAAAGCCTTCTTCAAAGTCCTCGGAGCCACTATTGGTGTTGTGTTCAGGATTGCCCTTCCATGCGTTTTGGGATTGGTTTTATCCTTTTTCATCATAGGATGCGTTATATCATGCTTTCAATATTTGATCAAGCGCACCAAAAAAGAGATACCTGAGAATGCAGACCCGGAAAGAGGCACAGAAGATGGCAGCCCTCCAATGGATGAGCAGACGAGAGTCCAGATTGAGATGGATATCTTGAATGAGATGCTGAAAGCACGACGTGAGAGGACGGAGAAGCTAGTTGAGAATTGAGGTGTGTATATTGTACCTTTTTCTTGGTGGAGATATGCTGACTGATATAAGAAGAGTTTAAATGTTGCAATGTAGACAGCGTTAGTTTATGGTTGAGATGGATCATGGAGGCTGGAACTTGCACAGAAGCTGAATAGTCACTATACTTGACCTTGGATATCTATATTTCTGTATTTTAACAGTAAAATTATATCAGGACACACCGATGAGTCAACATATAGTATGGACAGGGTTTATTTCTTGGAAATTGCATCTCTTTTATGTGACAAGGCTGGCACCTAACTAGCACGTGTTATGAGGCTGAGTGTAAATAAACATAAATAAACCGACTTTCCAGTCGAGAGCCTTGTCTACAGCAAAGCAACCCAGTTTCAATATGTCTACCCCGCCAAACACCAACCCCAACGTTTCCACGGAAAAAGAACCAGATGGTTCAGAATGCACCATCCAAACCCTATACGAAGGGACACCCAAATGCTCCTGCTGCAAGAACTGGGTCGAGGAATATCCAAAAGACCTTCGAACGGCCGTCGAGGAAAAGGCTGAAACCAAGCAAAAGGCGCTCGTCGTGCGCATGCGCAAGAACCACGGCGAGGGCAAGGCCTTAGTGCTCGACTCAGTCGTTATCCAGAATGCATCGCTGAAGAAGACGCTGAGCGAGGTGTTTGAGGGGTATAGAGGTATCACGACGTCGCTGAACAAGGTCGTTTTCAGAGCGCCGTTTCGTCCATTTTTTTACCGCTGGAAACGCTTTACGAGAATTTTGGAGAGGCAGGAGAGAGGGGATCCTGATGCAGCTGCGTACTCGCGACTTCTGTATGATGTGCTGCATACAGAGTTGCGTGATGTTATGGCCGAGGTCAACGATCTGTTAGCTCATGGGGTCATCACGTACTCTTTGCTTTGGGCGCTGTTTGAACCTGCGGTGTGTGTGGTTGCGGCGGCTGCAGGTCAGGATCGCTTTTTTATCATCGACAGCGCTGAGTATAACGATAAAGGATTTCTGGGTATACAGGCCCGATTCGTGGATTGGGACGGCCAGCGCTTTGGATATGCGACAGGATGTCTGGCGATCGGCGCGTACAGTGGTACACGACGTATCACAGATCTGGGTGTATTCCCTGCATCATTCCATCCAGCACAGAAAGAAGCTGAAGAAAGGGCGATTCTTCGAGGGCAGAAATTTCGAGACCTGCATGGGTTTCACTACAAGGCGTACTCGGGGCTGATGCTGGAGCAGGTCCAGAGAAAGCAGGTCAAGCGTAATGTATGTACATTTGCGTTGTGAATGATTGATACTGACAAGACATCTAGGTAGACGGACGTGTCATCATAGATGCTGCATCGTACTTTCACGATATTCCAGATGAAGCCATCTGTCTGGCTGCCTTGGACTCGGCCATTACACCCCAAATCAACGTCTCCGATGACCAGCACGTAGGACCCCTTCCAATGGCTGGTAGGTGTCGGATCCCAGCTTTGCAGCGTGGTGATCGACTCGGGCAGAATAAGCTGGAGATAGGAGAGCTGACAGTGGAGGAGAGAATTGAACCTGGTGGGTGACTTTTATCGAGAAAGTGGACAATACTGATTGTTGATAGTGCTGCATACCCTCACCGACAAACAACTCCTTCTGTGCACCACCCACGTCCGGGGATACTCACTCAAGACAAAAAGCTGGGGCAAATTCAACGTAGACCAAATCAGCGACATAACCTGGAACGACGACGCATTTCCTAACCTCATGCTACCCACGGGATACAAGAACCTAATCCTATCCTTCCTAGAAGGCCAATCCGCCAACAAAGGCGACTTTGACGACATCATCCAAGGCAAAGGTCTAGGCATTATCATGCTGCTTGTCGGAAACCCAGGAACAGGCAAGACACTCACAGCCGAAGCTGTCGCTGACAAGATGCGAAAACCACTATATATACTCAGCGCCGGAGAGCTGGGCCATAATGCTAAACCCGTCGAGTCGCGGCTGAACACCGTGCTGGAGCTTACAGAAAAGTGGGATGCCATATTGCTGTTTGACGAGTGTGATGTATTTCTGCAGGAGCGGTCGATGAGCCAGTTGACGCATAATGAGATTGTCGCTGTTTTTCTTCGGTATTAGCCCCTACCCTTTACTCTTCTAATGAGATGTCAGCTAATTATCAGCCTCCTCGAATACTACCGCGGCATCTTGTTCATGACGACCAACCGCGCCGATTCCATCGACCGGGCCTTCCAAAGTCGCATCCACCTGACCCTGCACTATCCCGACCTCGAACCAACACCCAAAGACCAGATCTGGCGACGGTTCGTCAGCCAGTCCAAAGGGGCCAGCTCCGAGGTGACAGATGAGGAGTATCAACGTTTGGCACTGCTTCCTATGAACGGACGGCAGATTAAGAATGTTGTCAAGATATCTAACCTTCTTGCTATCCAGGAGAAGAGAGCGCTTAAGATGGAGCAGATTCGGACGGTTTTGCATGCTACGAGAGAGATTGATGCCGAACTACATGGGATATAGTCTTGTCTAGTCCTGATGATTGATATATATGATATATTGTTTGATTTGACAGCACATGGCTATTTAATCGGAACATAATTTGTATCCCGTTTGAGATGGAGCTGAGGCTGGCTTTTGCGCCGTGGCCTCCGCTAAATGCGAGAAAGGGGATGTTGTGGTTACTTGCGTATTTCACCTGCACGGTCAGCTATGGGAATACTATACGGGTTCATTTGACGGGTTCGCTCACGGTTCAGCAACATCTTCCTCCACCACCACTTGAACAACAACAACCCTTGCTTATGCTGGCCAATATTATGTCTATACTGATGAATACTGGCTCGGGATATTTTCTGCTAGGCTGTAGAGTAATATACTTTGTTGCTTTTTATAAAGATAAATAGAGTGATATTGCAAGTGTTCACTACTGCATGATTCAATCTGGCCTACTTATATAAACCTCAACAGCATATATGCCACCATATATGCAACATCGCTCAGCACAGCCGAACCTCAACGGCTTTCTCATGACACATAGTCAGAGTCTGATGCATCCGTGGGTGAGAGCCCATATCCGGACCGGGTCTCGCATTCTCGAGAACGTCGAAGCGCTCCAAGACCCGGAACAGCAAATGACTGGCTTGAGCGAGAGCAAAGAGTTCTTCATGTGCATTAGCAATCGACATCTTTCTTATTTCTGTTGAGAAACTCACGTCCAACACACGCGCGAGGCCCACCGTTGAAAGGGAGAAACTGCCACGCAGCAGGCTTGAGCTCGTCCCATCGTTCAGGTCGGAACTCGTCTGCGTCTGGGCCCCAGATGTCCTGGCGACGGTGGAGAGCCCAGACGGAGTAGGAGACTGTCTGGCCTTGATGGACGTAGACGGGTGCTTGTCCGTCGGGTCCGCCGCCGACGGGGATGGTGGTGTCTTTGAGCGCAACGCGTGCGTTGATGGGGACGGGGGGAAACAGGCGTAGTGCTGATACGTTAGATATTGTCTATAGTAAAGGAGGATGGGAATGATCATACCTTCATTTACAACCGCCCGCAGATATGGCAGATTCTGGATTTCCTTGATGGTGATCTTCGTGGAATCGTGGTCCTGTACAGCTTGCGTGACTTCTGCCTTCAGCTTCCCCCATGCTCTTTTATCTCGAGCCAGAAAGTAGAAGCATGAAGCGAGCAGGCTGCCAGTGTCATCACGACTGGCGAGCATAACATGCACCATCTGATCCCGGATTGCCTTGCGGTCCTTGCTATATGACGCAAGGGCCTTGAGATAGGAGTATCTCCCTTGTTCTTCTTTGGCATCTGGCTTGTGAGAATCCAGTGCCTTGTTAACAAAGTAGTCCAAAAACTTATGGACTATGGCACTCGACTTTTTGAGCCCGGGAGGGTTGATTAGCCAGTGAAACCCGAGTGAGAAGGTCCGCTGGAAGACGACGAACTGCGAGTGCTCAAACGCTTCCGCGAAGCCTTTCTTGCCGTTGATGGTCATTTCCGGAACGCCAGTTTGGTTTGACAGAGGCGAGACGAGAGAATCCACCGATTCGCCATAGAGGAGATCGGTGGCTCCGTCGAGGGTTAATCGGAACACCAACTCTTGGATATCAAACGGACGACCGTCCTTGGGCAGGGCATCGATAAAGTGGTTTGAGTGGACATCAAACCAATCCACGTCAGGAACCTTGCAGTGTCAGAAATGCTGGAATGCAGAGAGAACAAACGAACCTGGTCCTTGGTAAACCGAGGACGAAGCATCTTCCTTGAATGCTCCCAGAGGCGGCCATCATCCGTGAAAATACCCTCACCAAAGAGGGGGAACCACTGGTCGTGCCGAGACGGGGCCAGTCCAAATTCAGAGAATTGTGTGGTGAGAAGCGCTTGGATGTTCTCCGGTTCGATGGTGAAGATTAACTCCTTGCCTAAAGCGGCAATGTTGAAGGTTGCACCGTACTGCTGATGAAGGCGTTGGAAGTGATGGGGCATTCTCCCCCCGGAGTGGGCATTCTTGAGGCCCAGGAAGTTGCGGATACCCAGCAGACCACCGGGAGAACGCGCGCACTTTTCAGCGTTGAGTTGTTTTGCATGTTTGCTACGCTTATGCCTAAGGAAGGCCTGGCGAGCAATGAAAAAGATGGAGAAGAGAAGGGTGGAAAGAATTGAGATGGGCAGGACAATCATTGTATGAATTTGAGGGATTTAGATGGAATGAGAGAGTTAGATGGATCTTGAAGCTAGACGAACTCGATCAATACTCTGTTTATATATAGTATGGAAGGTGACACAATGTTTTATTATGATGCTTGTCATGCCTAAATTGGAAGGAGATGATGATTTGGGTTTACCTAAAGGAGAGGGCAGCATGGAATGGTGACACTGAAGTTGCTGTGACACAGGAATGATATACATACATCTAGGTTTGTGTCAGATGCAGGATCTTACAAATGACTGCTTGACAAACCTTATCTGGAGAGGGCTGTCTGTCCAATGCCAAACCTAGCGAGTCATGTATCTGGAGTTTATCTCCTTGCCTGTTCCTCTCTGACCTGAGCATTCCAGCTATACATCATGCTGGGCATGTGACCTGGCAGGGAAAGCTTAATTCCCACATTCTTCAATACCGCTTTTTATCATGTCATAGAAATCCAAACTTTATCGTGCATAATCCATCTTACTAAATCAATAGATCGAGTATCCTGAAAGTTGCCTTCAAATCGACAAACAATCACCTCATCAATGTGCCAATCAGCGAAATTGATCATGACGCCCTGTTTATCCAAGCGTAACTCATGACCTCTTGATGTTACACAAATCCAATGGAAAGGGATACCGTCTGTTTGTATCAGGAACAGAAGCCAGTTAAATAGGTACCAATGAAGCTGGCGATTTCCCATATAGAAGATCCAACTTGTTATACCACCATCTCAGGCGTATCTACCAGTCATCATGTGGGAATATTACCATGGAAAGGTCCTTTTCATCACAGGCAGCTCTGGCTTTCTGGGAACAGCTCTTGTGCATCGGATCATCACTCAGACATCGCCCGCCCATATCTACTTGCTCTGCCGAGGACTCTCGTATGTAACCGTTGAGACATTGTCTATATGAAGCATAGCTAACGGTAACAGTCGTCTCCACGAGCAATGGCAGCAATATCTCCCCCCAAAGATTGCCCAAGCTCTGGCAGATCCTACCTTGGTCACCCCTATCCAAGGCGACATCCTCAAGCCAAATATGGGGATTTCCGAGCATGAATTGGTGACTGTCCGTGAAAGAGTGAACATCATCATCCATGCGGCATCATCCATCAACCTGGTCCAACCTCTTCACCGAATATCGGATGTCGTCACCGGCGCGACTCAGCGAATAGCCGGTTTAGCCTTGACGTGCGATCGCCTCGACCGTTTTGTATACGTCTCGACGGCGTACTGCAATTCCCACCTGCATAAAGAGACCGACAAGACAGAAGTCCACATCGATGAGCGCTTCTACCCGCTCAAACCCTCCGTAAGAAGTCCCTGGGCGGAATGGGAAGATCTCCGGGAAACCGGATCTAGTGTCGAGTTCAAATCACAAGATTTTGCATGGCCGTATTCCTACGCAAAGCACCTGGCCGAACGACTGCTCAACGGCATGCTCTGCCATCAAGCGCAGAAACTGCTCATCGTCCGCCCGTCCATCATCGGTCCAGCGCAGCAATTTCCCTATCCCGGGTTTAGCATATCCAGCTCAACGCCAACGACCATAGCAGCAGCAAGTCTGATCTTCATGCCCTCCACTACCTTCAAGGTGGGGACCCGGTCCGCAAACCCAGACCGGGAGTGCACGCTGGATGAAGTGTCTGTGGATGTCGTCGTGGACCGGTTACTGGCTCATCTGGCAAAGGGCAGTGCTGGTATTGTACATGCCGTGAGTGGAGAGCATGGCAGAGTGCTCACGAAAAGCATATTTGACGCGATAGTGAGAGCCCGTCGCATCCCATGGCATATCGAACCAATATGGACATCTCAAGACTGGCATTCGCCCGACTTGCACCCCGTGGCCCGGCTATATAAGATATTAGGAACATCGTTCAACTTCAAAGAGACAAAAACGGAGCGGATCTGGGGGCGCCTTGAAGAGAGAGAAAGAAGGGGACTGCAGCTTTTCCAGGCTCGCGCTGTCGGTCAGTATGATTTTTCGCCCAGGCTTGAGCAGATTTCTGCGACTGCTTGGGAACTGCTGAGGCGGATCTTGCGGTCAAAGTATCGCTCTTGTCGTTCTGTAATTTGGCGTTCTATCCGTTCTATCGCCGTTCTCGTCTTGCTCTTGTTATGCGCATTCAGATATTTCTAGATATACAGTTCTACAAGTTCATACAGTAACAGAGAAATATAAATACCTTTTAAGTATTTATTTTTACTGGCATAACTGATATCCGAGCTACTCGAAATCAATATATCCTTTGCAAAGGACCTATTCTTATGTCCAGACATCTATGTAGTATCTACCATTTCCAGAACAATAATGACACCATAAATATCCAAGTCAAAAAGGCTAGACCTATTTGCAGACCTTCCTGTAGGCTAATTGGCATGATATTATGTAAACCTAGCTTGATGCCACTTATATTCACCCTTGCAAAAATGACATGGTGCGGTCCCCTTTAGGTTTAGGGCCTCGGTGAATGCCTGTTCTGGAATTTGGCTGCCTTATTACCTCCAGGCAGTGATCCTCGTCCTTTTCTCGCAGTTTTGCACTGATACCACCTTCATTTCTCTAACCACTACTAAGAATCCTACCGCCGAGCAAGTTTATCAGATCAATCGGAATCATAGAAAACCAGCGGGGAAAAACAAGATTCATCCTTAATTGTGGTTTCCATTGTGACTGGCCGATGAATTCGAAAAGCAATGTAATTTGCGTGCCTGTTTGAAAACAATAGCGCTGTTCAGGCTGCCAATATACCTGCCATGTAGACAGCTTATCTCGGATAAGAGAAGATAGGAGATTAACTATCTGGGATTGACCAAGTGAAAAACTGCGCCCCTTTGTTCATGCCCCAAGTCCCAGAATCATGCAATCTGCGGAGGGAAGAAGTGCGTCTTCAGCACCAACTCCACCATCGAGAGGCAAATGAAGAGGTCCGTATTTGTCTGAAAAAGCACTACACTTGATGAGGATGAGAGGTATGCTAACTTGTCCGTGATACTCGTGCAGTGTTGACAGGGACCGAGAACAATGTATCGTCACAAAGGCTACACCCCCAAGAGCGCTGTCACATAGTGCCATCCTCGATGGCCAAGATGACAAGCATGAAAAGAGCAGAATTCTGGAATGTCCTTGGAAATTTCGGGCCCAGAGAGAAGGTCCAACAATGGGCCGAACTTGTGTTTAACCGACTGTGATACTCAGTTGATATTCTCGGCCAAGTGATCACCTTGACAACTGTGGACCCCGAGGGGCTTCCACTCCCTCGATGGAATTCCTGGAGCTTCAGTGGAATCTAGAATTATGCGCCCTTTGAGCTGGTGCCGGGTTGTTTGACGATTACGACGAAGACGAAGACTACGAAGGGCAGCTAAACATGTAAACTTCTTCCGGCTCTTTTATTGGTAGAATATGACAGTCGCCCAGGAGGAAGACGAAAGACCGAAAACACAACACCAAACCGTCAAAACATATAAAAAGAAAAACATACAACAGCAGGGATTCGCTGGTGATCACCCACCCAACTACTAACCTGCCGGCGTGTGGCTTAAGTACGGCTGAGCGGACGGGAAGCCCTGTTCTCCACACCCTGTGGTCGTATGTACTGGAAACATCAGGATGACGAGTTATAAGTTATCTACTGTTTAAATCTTATTGACAATGTCGTGAAAGGCACCGAAGGAAGTTGGAATTATAGTAGTACATCAAAGTGCTAGAGTAAACAACATAAAGAAACCAGATATTCATAGTGCATGAACCAGCCTAGTTACAGTCAGCCAATGCATACTCGACAGTCCAAGAATAACCAACCTTAATCACTATCCCCAATGTAAACATAAGGCGCATTCGTCAGCTGCGCACAGTCAATGCGAATGCCCGTATCCTGCGATGTAATCTTGTCCGCCTTGCCGCACTTCTTGCACGCCGAGTCGGAGCATCCCTTGAGATACTTGGGAGGAAAGTTGCTTCCGGCGTTGATCATGTCAAGGGTAAGACCGTAGTTTTCGGACTTGTAGGTGACTTCTTTACACCAGACACCGCCGTCGGAGGGGGGGTAGGAGATTTCCATCTGGGGGTCGCTTTCGCCTTCGTCGGAGCATTTGCCGGCTTTCGCGAAGAAGAGGTTGCCGGTGTATTCGGCGGAAGCGATGGATGCCAGCATGGCGGAGGCGAGGGCGATGGAGAGCTTCATGGTGAGACGAGTGAGAGTAGTTGTTATTGTGGTTGATGATGGAACTATGATGATGAGAAGATATCTGTCTCCCTTTTATATCTTTCCAAGTACATGGAAACCGGTGAAAGACAATCATTTCCTAGAAAAATGCGACATATTCTGGCTCGCCACATGAGTTGTAATGCGAAACTTGGATTATGGGGCCAATTGGGCGTTTACAAGGCAATACTGGCGTAGATCCTCAGCAGCCATAGTCCATGATATGACCATAATTCATAAATTATGCATGGATGAATCCAGATCTGACTTGGCCCCAATTTCCGGCCCCATGCAGAATTGCTTCGAATGCTTATCACCGACCAAGCCTCGCACTACTGATTAGGATCCGCATTAGTTTTACCTGTTCAGATCTGCAGTTGACGTATGCGATGTTGGCGATTGGCAGGCTAGGCTGTTTCGTCTACAGAGGTGGTGTTGGATAGAGTGTTGTTTATTGGATATCCTCCCTGAGTTGGTCTGCTTTCATCATATGATGAATTTAAAGATAATATTTTGCATAATTGATATTCAGGTCCTGTTGGCTTATTTTTATTCATTATCTACTGCGGTGTGACGTGATGCGGAAAGACAGGAATCTTCATCTTTCACATCAAATTATTCATAACACCCATCAGTCAACCAAAATCTATTTTAGATCAAAGCCGACTCCCCCGTATTTAATTTCCACGTTGATTCCCCTCATTAATGAATACATCATCGCATCCTGCAGGATCACAATCGGCCCCAACTTCTGGCCCCAATGGCTTCCGAGGTTCCATTCATCCCCAACAAGAAATTGACGATTCCTTTGGTGACTGGCCAATCGAGTCCACAGACGCTGCATGATGATCTGCGCTATTAATGCTGTTTCATCTCGTGGCTGTTTTGCGGGATTTAAGGGTGACGTACTGCTGGTAAATAATATTGAGTAATTCACTTCAAGGCAGTTAAGTAATGAGACTGAGGTTTCTACAGATGGCCCGGTTGGAAAGGAAATGCCTAGTCAGCATCTACTTGAGCTTCGACGGTTGTATCGTGTTTGTATATGATGGAAGATGAAAGCCAATGATAACGTCATTCCAAATAACACAATTCTACCAACCAATCTAAATCAGATCAACAGGAATATACTTGCTCCAATCCCCCTTAACCTTCAAATAATCCAACGGCTCCATATGCTCAACCGACCCTCCATACGGCCGACTCACAGCATACCCCAAAAACCGCTGCACAGCTGTGGGATACTTCCCAGCCACTTCCCACGGAACAGCGAGGTACTGGTTTTCCTCTTGCCGACGGTATCCGGGTGTTGCGAAGGCGACGAGGAGGGTGCTGGGGATGGTGGTTGTGTTTGCGGCTTGGCCGTAGTAGACGGAGCCGAGGCTGTATACCTACCTGTTAGTGATATGTGATATTATAGTTAGGGGAGGGTAGATACTCACGTCAAGATAGCGTCGCCTTTTCTGAGCTCAATCAGAGTCTCTTCGTCTTCGTGGGGATAGCGAGTATCAGTCCAATGGTTAGACCCAATCGCCACTCTAACCGCCCCATTCTCTCGAGTGATATCAGTCGCAGCGTAGAGAATCCCAAAATCCGTCTCCCGCTTCGCAGGGTGCGGAACATGGTGACACTCATCCTGGCGACGAGGACCCCAACCCTCCGCACCAGGATTTGCCGTGATGACTGAAGTACACGAGACCTGCGGCTCGGAGGTAGAGACGGTTCGTTCACGCTCGTAGTAGATGATACAGGTGTTGGTCAGAATACGTTTCACGAGATCAATGTACAGCGGGTTCATGAGGAGGTGGGTGGCGAAGGTGCTGCTTTTGGCTGCGAGACCGAAGGTCTGGGGGGATGAAGATACAGATGGAGAGAGCTCTTCGAGAACGGCGTCGATTGCTTGACGGGTTGTTGCGCCTTCGATGACGACGACGCCGTCTGCTTTGAGGTATTGGAGGACATCGTGGGGGTCGGCGGAGGCAGAGAAGTGCTTAACTTGAGGCATGATGGTGTTGATGAATTGTAGGCTGAGACGGGTGTGGTGTCGTAGCATTATAAAGACTTGGATGATATAATATCAAAGTGGTTATAGTTGACGAGGAATTAAGTGATGGATATAGGCTAACATTACCCTTTTGGGAAATCATACACTAACCCAAAACAGACACAGTTGGCGATGATATCAATACACTGTCAATAAATACAATAAACCGTTTCAATTAATCCAGAACCCCAACAAACAGACTATCAGACTATACATTCACTCTACACACTGACAATGCCCAACCCACCCCACCAAGCCCACAACCCCGAAGTCGTCGAGTTGGACGCCTCCTCTCCCATCCAGGAGATTGTGGACGTCATCAACCGCGATGGAGGCATTATCATCAAGAACTTTCTTAGTCCTGAAGATATCGACAAGATCCACGAAGAAGCCCAGCCTTACTGGAGTAAGCTTGGGAAGTACGAGGGCAAGCTGTTTGATGCGACTGATCCTCCTTTGAGGTGAGTACTCCAACAAAATTGGTTATGCTTTATTATGCTGACTGTATAGTGGCTTCGCTGGCAAATCGCGCACCTTCGCGCACAAGGCCATCAACCATCCCACGTTCCGGGAGACGGCCAAGGCATTGCTAAAGGAAGAATCGTAAGTCAACTTACTCTGTATAGAATAACTCTGACTGATACAGCATCGTCTACCGCGACGGCAAACGCTACAAATGCACCTCCCATCCCGTCCTGGCCGTCTCGGAAGCCTTCAACCGCGGCTCTCCATCCACAGCCCAACAACTCCACCGCGACGACATGGCCCAGCACTTTGAGCATCTCGAAGGAAGCGGCGAAAGTTCCCTCCTCGGCCTCCTCCTCGCTGGCGTCGACACGAACTTCACCAACGGCGCGACGCAGGTCCTAGTCGGCTCGCACAAGTGGCCCGAAGCCGCGATCAGCGGCCCAGCAGACCGATCTCTCTGCTCGACTGCCGAGATGAAAAAGGGCGATGCGGTGTTCATCATCGGGAGTATCTGGCATGGGGCAGGGGAGAATAAGACGGATCCGCCGGAGAGGCGGATTATCTACTCGTGTCATATGACGCGAGGATCAATGCGTGCGGACGAGAATCAGTATTTGGCGATTGAGAGGGATGTGGTGGGCACTTATGAGCCGGAGGTGCAGGCTTTGTTGGGATATTCTGTTAGCCAGCCGAATTGTGGACATGTTGATGGGAAGGATCCGATTGGGATATTGGGAGGTGAGGATCCGTTTGGATATGGGGATATCAGAGGCGAAGAAGTCACAGTTTAGACATCAGTCACAGTCAATAGTTTAGTTACAAGAGAATATTCAGCTCCGATCCAGACTCCTTGATAATATCCCTCCACTTCATCCTACCAGGATTAGCATCCCTCACCTCCCAGATATTCTTCAGCATCAGCATGACCGAAACCGGCGTCTGAAACGCCAACGAAGTATGCATCCTCATTAATCCCTCTTCAAAACACAATCTACTCTCTTTCGTCTGCGCATGGATGGCAGTTATGAACACAGGGAACAAACACGCCTGCAGCCACGATAAACTCTTCAAAGACGCAACACATGTCTCGACACATCCTTGAATTCGTGCATCGCTGGACGGAAGCGCGTATATCTCGTGATACACGTAGCATCGCATCCCCTGTCTCCAGACGGTGTTGAAGAGGTGTACGGAGTTGACGTACTCCGGGTCGACCTGGGAGGTATCTGGATGCCAGTGGTTGATTTTGTCGAGCAGTTCGCCTGCTTGCGGCATTAGTTGGAGGAGGTCATCGACGGATGACTCTGGTGCTGTCTTCACCCGGTCGACGGCTAGGGATAAGTCTGTTGCTTCGCGGAGGAGAAGATGCATCCGGTGGTCGGGCAGGTTCTGCCACCAGTGCGATTGGTGATATGCCGCGTCGATGTTCTCGGGAGTGTCTGTGTTATCTGCTACATCTATACATTCGAGTTCTTCAGAGCCAGTCTGCCCTCGCAACAGTGTCCGACTCATAATCGCCGCCCAGTTATACTGCACAATCATGCACTGCAGCTCAGCGTCAATCGGACTGCTAGAGCGAGCGAGTGCCTTTTTGAATAATTGTCGACACCCGTTCAGCTTGGAGCTCCAGCTCTCCAACCCAGATCCAATCACCTGAAATATCAGCATAGTAAAGAACAGGGCCGGGTGAACATACATCAAAAACAATCGATAAAAGAACCGTAGCACCAACACCCACTAGCTGATCTTCCGATACGACAGCATCACGAAACGCCTTCCGCATGGCATCGCGGTATGGCTGGAGCGCGAATTTCGGCAGTCGGCCGAGATTAGATAGATGAAAGGCAGAAGCGAAGAGGATTGTCTTGAGGAGAGGCTGAGACTGTGCGGCTAGCGTGCCATATACGACTCTGTAGGGATTCTGGTCTGGTTTGACTGGGTAGAGGCGGAGGGAGAGGTTATCCATGTCTGCTAAGTCAGTATAGCCCGAGCATAATGGGGAGATGAAGTACAGTGAGAGAATAGATATTGATCAAAGGGATCGTCTGGCGTTGACCAGAGCACAGGTTTATCCATTAGCTGGAGTAAGCCTTCCTCGATACCTGTGCTGGTGGTGGGAGCATCTCGTGTCTCGTCAATATTGTCATCTGCAACCAGATCAGGTAGTGTCCAGTCGAGACTTTCAAGATCCGGCACCACAGGCAGATCCATAAGCACGCTTGGTGTTGCAGCTCGTGATCTTGCAGGAGAATTCCACCAAGACCCATCAACAGGGATGATATTCATGCCTTCTGGCAGGGCCATTGGACTTGAATTCGTCGTGGTGATAGGGTCAATTTGCCATTCTTCCTGAACGCGTTGGCTGTCTGATAGACCAGAGTCATCCTTAGATTGCCCAGCGTCTGGTGAGTCACCAGAATGATTACTCTCTTCTGATACTGTCCTTAACCGTTTTCGTGATCGTTCTCTAGGACTACCCCTGACAGCCCTGGCCACCATCTGACCGTTAAACCCATCACGCACGGTAAAATCAGACAGTGTAATGCTGTATCCCTCGCATTTCGCGCCACGCAGTCGACAATTCAAGCAGGTCGGCTTCGACTCGTCGCATTTATGGTGTCGTCTACGACATGTCAGGCAGCCTGCAGAGTCAGATGAGATCAGAAATAGATAATCCTGAAGACTTACCGCTACGAGACCGTTTGCCGTTCATTGTTGCACAGGTATGTTGATGGGAGGATGTTGCTGGGTTGGCTATCTAAGATGCGGGGAAGCTGGCTATCAGGGAGGGACGAATCAGGATCCAGGAAATGTCATATCACTGATTAAGACCATGAGTCTTTATTATTGGCTATTGTCAGAGACTTTACTGAATTAGTCTCGCTTTGGCTATCATTATCTTGAGCATATCTAATCTAATCTTATCTCTATACAGCATCACATCTCAACTTATCAAGGGATGATGATATTAGTATACAAGTCACTGGATACCCAATTGATAGCATCAACAGGTCAGCAACATGTCCTTAGGAAAGTCCGAGCAGAAACCGACCTTTGGAATTTGGAGTGCCATCAGTCTAGGATGGCTAACCGTCAATGTCTTTGGAGGCATGTCCTTTATCATTTTCGTCGGCCTCTCTGCTGGTGGTCTTCCTGCGCTTCTATATGGCTTGTAAGTCTTACCCTCTACAAATTATGGCTCATCCTCACTGGCTAGTATCGGCTCGTCAATCGGAGCCATCTGCATCGTCCTATCCTTGGCACAGTGTGCTTCGAGATTTTCCACAGCCGGTAGGTCATCATCCCTGTTTTGCGTGATAGTTAAACCAACATATCAGGCGGCGCCTACCACTACGCTTGCTTCTTAATTCCCGAGCCGTACCGTCGCCAGATCGCCTACCCACTCGGCTGGCTGAATTATCTCGGATGGATCTTCACGCATGCCGGATGTTGCTCGATCGTCGCCACACTCGTACTAGGCTTTGCCAATCTGTGTAATCCCGACTATGACGTGTCTACGCGATGGCAGCTTTTCCTCGTCTACCTGGCCATCGTCACGACGTGCTGGGCTGTGAATCTGTGGGGGTTAAAGGGGATTCCCACATTGGAAGTTATTGGATGTAAGTACACCGCCATTTATGATATAGATCTAACCATGAGCAGCATACGCCACTATATTCGGGTTTATAGCCTACAGCATCACTCTGCTGGTGATGGCCCCAAAGGCCAATCCCCGATTCGTCTTTGTGGATGTTACCAATGAGACTGGATATTCGTCCAGCGCCATGGCAGTCCTTCTTGGGCTTTTCAGCAGTTTCGGGACGCTCATGGGCCTGGATGGGCCCGCGCATCTCGCAGAGGAAATACCAGAACCGAAGCGCCATCTGCCTCGAATTATGCTGATCGTCATACTTTCACAGACGGTAATAGGCGTGATATGGATTATCGTCCTGGGGTTTTCTATCACAGATATCACAACGGTTGTTAATACTAAGACTGGGTACGTCACACCATCCACGGTGTAATTAACCTACTGATCAGTATAGTGTACCAATTCTAGAACTCATCCGATCTGCAACCGGGAGTAATACAGCTGCGATTATCTTCTGTTTACTTTTGATTCTGAATAACGGCACATCTGCGCTTGGGAGTGCGGTGATGATGAGTCGACAGGGTTATGCTTTTGCGCGTGATGGGGGCTTGTTCTGGAATCATAAGTATGGTCCCTAGGAGTTTTATGACAAATATACTAATTATATTAGGCTTATAGAACTTTCCCCCGGATCCCATCTTCCATTCTGGTCTATCAATTTGCCTTACTTTCTGGTTGGGTTGGTGGGAGTCATGTTGGTCTTCTCTTCTTCTTATTTTCTCCATCTAACCTGACAGATATCTCTTCTCGGATGCTGCATTCAACGCCATCGTAGGCTCCCAGACCGTCTGCATGATCATCAGCTTCGGTATATCCTCCTGCTATTATATAGATAATACTCACTAACGCCTACACAGGCTTCCCCGCCACAATCCTCCTAGCCACAAAATCCAACCTCCTCCCTACCATCAACCGGTGGAACTTTCGCATTTTCTCAAAACCCATATATATCATCTCTGTGGGGTACTGTGTCCTCGTCGTGATTGTTGCTTTTGTAAGCCCCCTCCTCCCTAAAGTGCAGTGTAGTACTAATTAGCAGATCCCACAATCTCAACCATTAACAACGCTGAATATGAACTATACGATTTTGGTGATGGGGGCGTTTGTCTTTGCGATGGGTCTGGCTTGGTTTACTGAGGGGAGGAAGGTGTTTCATCCGCCTGTTAGTGATGAGGTATTTGGTGCTGGTGTCATTCAGGGTGAGGTTGTTGAGGAAGGTCAGGGAAAGAGACAAGGGAAGAGGCTTGTGGCGGAGGTATCAGATCACAAAAAGAACTGATAGAAGACACTGCCTGGACGAGATGAGGAAGAGTAAGAATCATCGCGCGGAGTCAGAATGATTACCGCATTGGGAATCGGAGACGCGGCTGGATGACTATTTCGTATGTCAAGATAGACACCTAATATCTTCATTTTCATTTCATTATAGATTATGCATACTGACAGTAATACCATCTACTCCTCCCACCCCTCCTGCTTCACCCTCTCCACCCTAACAAACAGCAAATCCAACCCCAACGCCACAACCGACAACGCAGCCCCAAACCACAACGCCGCCCGAAACCCGCCCACCTCACTCCCCATTTGCGTCTCGATCGTCGCCGCAAACCCCAGGCCAAGACTATTCCCGTACAGATTCAGCGTGCCGATCAAACTACCCGCCTGGCCTTGTTCTCGCTTGGACACGCTGTTGCTCGCGATGACCTGCGCCGCGACGTACACGAAATCAGGACACAAGCTGCCGATGAGCGTGGAGGGGAAGATCTGCGCCCAGTAGGTTTGGGTAGCTGGCATGGTTGCGAGTAAGATTGCGGAAATGATGGAGGTGAGACACCCAATAGCGAGAATATACTGCGCCTCCAGTCTAGGAATGAGAAACGCAGCAATCTGCACGGCAACAGACGCACCAACGCCGTAGGGAATCCAGCCGATGGCGACGTGGAGGACGGTCCAGTTCCGGATGAGTTGTTGCCAGGCGACCATGTACCAGAGGGTGATGCCAACGGACATGTAGATGAAGAGGACGACGAGGGTGAGGGCTTTGAAGCTGGGGGTGTGGAAGATGGAGAGGGGGAGGATGGGGTGGGGGTGTTTCTTTTCCCAGACGATGAAGGCGATGAAGAGGATTGGGGAGAGGATGAGGAGGGCGATCACGTAGGGAGTGTCCCAGCCGATGGAAGGGCCTTGGCTGTATGGGTTAGTATAATTTGGTTGATGAAGAGGTGTACGTACTTCCATGCCAGGTTGAACAGGAACAGTCCTGCCAGGCCAAGGACAATGCCGACACTGTCAATCTTGCCATCTTTATCCACCGGCTCTTCCGAGGGGAAGATGGCAAAAAGACCAACAAGAAAGACCGTCTCGATACATGCACTACCATCATCAGCTTCATCCACCACAGATAAGTAAACATACATAGTAACAAAATGCCACTTCCACTCGGAATTCTCCAGAAAAGCACCAATCATCAACGCCCCAATCAACGCCCCGATCGGAGGCGAGGCAGCAAACGTCGCCAGCGTAAAGTTGCGTCCTTTACCGGGTGGCACCATGATGGTCAACGTGGCCACAGCATTCGGCATGATTATCCCCCCTCCAACGCCTGTCAGCGCGCGAACAGCCACGAAGGAATCATATGTCGTGCAGAATGCATTGCCGATCGAGCAGACCACGATGATGGTTCCTCCGAGGAGAACGAGTCGCTGGTGGCCGTATATCGCCCCGAGTCGGCCGCTGATGAGGACGAATGCACTCTGCGTGAGTCTGTCTCGTTAGAATCATCTGGCTGGGATTGTGGGAGACATACGAATATGCAGCTGCCATCCAATTCGCCTGTCCTGGTCCAACAGCACGCCCGAGTTGGGCGCTGAGTTCGAAGCCTCCTGCGACTGTTGAGAACATGGAAATGAACTGTTTATTAGTTACATTCGAATATATTCTCATCATACATACTTGAGTCAAATTGCAGAATAGAATGAGCATGGTTATGATGTACTGTCTTGATCTGCTCAAGTGCTCCGTCTGCCGTATAGACCGTGGTGTTTCGGCTGTGACGACTTGGCTGATAACTGACATTGTATGCTCCGTTGCTTCCATTTTCGTATAGGATGATGAAGATGATCGTGATAGATTTAGAGCAGCTAACTCAGATTATTTTACAGTCAGGTATTAACAATGATTCTACACACAGACTTTGTGGGTATATTTGCCGCGCGAAGGCTATCCCAATCGGGTAAGGAGAGGCTATCATCAGTACATACAATTACAATAGCTGTAAGATAATCCATGCATTACGGATAAGAATTATACTAATCATCATACCCATTCCATAACAGCTCATTCAAAAACCGGAACATCAAACCCATGCTGTCACCGTCAGTATCATCTCATCTTCAGTGTTCAGCACATACATCAACAGGATCATTAAACCTCACTCCCGCATCCAAAGAACTAATCCGCTCAATCTCCTCATCCCTAAGCTTCCACTCTCCATCCAAATTCAGGCGCATACGTTCTTCGTCCCTACTTTTCGAAATAATCGCAATCCCACGCTGCGTCACCCAACGCAGCAGAACCTGAGATGTCGATTGTAGCTCTTGAATGAGTCCATGCTGCAGTAGGGACGTGTATTTAGTTGCAGCTGTCGACTTGCCAGCCACAGAGCTGGTCGGTCTGAAAGAGCAGTACGCTGTGATAGCTATTCCTTGTCCCGGGCGTACTCGAGTAACCGTCTCTAAACGAGCTAGGGATGATGCTCGATTTGTAGCACGTATGGACGAATACGCGTCACGCAGAGCAGGTCTCGCAAAAGTTGGATGTTGAAATTGCCTACCCCGATACTTCTTGCTAGTCCTGCGTTGACGAGGGCTTCCATGCTGGCCCATGTATCGCGTATCGGGATATGAGTGAGAGTTATTCTCTTGCTATCCGCTGACCATCCCGGTGGATAGCGGTGGTCTGGATCGACGTATTCCAGGATACAGGGAAGTGGATGAGGTAGAGGTCAAAGTAGTCAATTCCCCAGTCTGCTAGCTGTCTCTGCGCAATCGGGTGTACGGATTGTGGAGCGTGAAAAGTCGGCCACAGTTTCGAGGCGATGAAGAGGTCTTTCGAGTGACGAGGCCGTCTTCGATAGCGTTGTATACTTGGTCTGCGCAGGAGGATTTAAATATATTCCAGTCCGTAGCCTGTTAGAGGCATGGTGTAGCCCTGCCGAGATGGATGGACATTTTGTATACTTCAAGTCAAGTTGTGAATTACGCAGTATTTAAATGCCATAGGCAAGTATACCCTAAAAAGGAAATATCTGCCGCACTCTCATCAAACATAAATCCATAAAACAATCTAAATCTCAAAACAAAAAGATGAAAAATAGATAGATCAACCCTCGGTAAACTCAGCAAACACCTCCCTCTCCGCAACCGCAAACTCCCTCTCCACCGTCTCGCGAATCTCCTCACTCCTCACCACCGTCTCACACCCATACGGCTTCGCGCAGTACAAAAACCCATTCTGATACCCACTCACCGGATCCGAATCGTTCTCGCCCTCGCCCGCATGGAACTCAAACGCCCACAGCAGCTTCGCCACAGCCAGGAACATGTTGCGCTCGGCGAGGTGGATGCCCGGACAGATGCGTCTGCTGACGCCGTAGCCGTAGTGGTCGCGGTTCTCCCACTTTCCGGCGACGTATTCGGGGGCGAGGGCGGGGTGGTTCTCGTAGCGTTCGGGGATGAATTTGGCGGGATCATGTGGCTGGTTGGGGTCCATGTGCATGCCCCAGGTGTTGATCATGATGACGGTGCCTTTGGGGAGGAATTTGCCGTCGATCCAGTCGTCTATACATGTTAGTCACTTAATCGACAAGATAGAAAAGAAGAGGATACCTTCACCCAAAGCATGCGGGAAACACAGCGGCAGGATAGGCCTCCACCGATGTCCCTCCTTGATAATCATGTTAATATACGGCAGATTCGCCAAATCCTCCCAGACCGGCGATCTTCCATGGCCCACAACAGCATCAATTTCAGCATGCGCACGCTTCTGCACCTCCGGATTCTGAATCAGCCCTTGCACAATCGCAATGGTCAGACTGGAACTCGTGTCGGATCCCGCCTCCATAAGCACACCACCGATAAAGGCTAGCTGATGATGAGGAAGCTGATTCTGCTCTTGATTAGAGAGAACGTTGTCCATGAATGTGCCGAGGTCGATGCCTGCTTCGCGCCGTTTGACGACGGTAGCCAGGATGTCTTGATACAGTGTTTCCATTTGCGTGCCGATGCCGCGCGCCTTGGTGATGTAGTTGCCGAAGAAACATTCGGGGAGATTCTTGAGAAAGGGGAAGATATCCACTGGAGGAGTGGCGCCTGTTTCCATGATCTGCGACCATTCTTCCATGAGGTGGTAGAGACGGCTCATGTTGCTGCCGTGGCGGTTGGCCGTTCTGATTCCGAAGACTGCATCATTAGTATCTTATATAGATAAAGGGTGAGGGGAGATACCGATTGAGTTGGTAATACTATTACTCCACCTCTTCGGATGCGCCATATGATGCGCCGGATCACGCATATAATCCCGCACCATCTGAATCGACTCGGCATTCACAATCCTCAAATGCTGACTATCCACCATCGACTCCATGAGATGCTGGTGCACGAGACGCCGAAACTGTCTCCATTTCGGCCCATAGTGCATCACGAGCAGATGGTCCCCTTTTGTGATGAGTTCATGCGAGACAAACGAGTGCGGACGGTGGCTGTAGAGGGCACTCTTCCGGTCGACGACTTCCTTGACGATGCGTCGGTCGGTCACGACGGCGATGTTGCTGTGCCCGACTTTGAGCATGTAGAGGCCGCCGTATTTGCGGGCCCATTCGGTGAATTGGATGTGCGTGTAGGATTTGGGGATGAGGTGGACGTTGCCGATGAAGGGGAGGGTGGGAGGCCCTGTCTATATTAGTATCTTGTATAGATATAGATCTGGTGAAGACTCACCCGGAGGCATATCCTTGGTACGATGGCCATAGGTGAGAGCAGCCCGAATAACAAAGACCAAAAAGGCCAGAATTGATATGAAAACCCAGACGATTGGCTCCATCTTGTTTGTATGCTGTATGATGCTGTTGCTGTATGATCAGTCGAGGCAAGACATGGCTTGATTTAAATAATATGGAAAAAGCAATATCCCACCCCGCGTGTTCTCCGAAAGTATCTTCAGGACTGCCTGATGGAGTCTCGGAGATGGACGATGATCTGCAGAATTACCCATTCAGGCATACATGGTTCGCTACTCGAAGGAGAATAAATGCATTACTATAAAGGTAGACTCTCCACAAGGAGATACATTATACTGTAGATCACAGATGCGCCTGAACATCCTCTCTCAACCGCGGAAACAACTCCAGCGCATTCTCCCTCTGCACCTCCACCGTAACTCCATCCGGCAATTCCTCCTCCACAAACCTCGTAAACCGGACGATCGCATCTTTCGGCGCATTGGGAAAGTCACTCCCAAAGAGGACATGGCCCGGTTTGGCAAACGCAAACAACGCCTGCAGCGTGACTTCGTTTGCGGAGATCGCCGTGTCAAAGTAGAATTCCCTCGCTGTCTCCAGAATCTCATCCCTGCTGATGCCGATGTTGCGGTCGGCCGGCATACAGGGCAGCATGGTGGCGGAGCGGTGGATGAGGTAGGGGAGAGTCCCGCCTGCGTGCGAGAGAATCACCTTGCAGCCGGGGTTCTGGCGGAGACGGCCAGACGTGATGAGGTCCATTGCAGAACGGCCGGTTTCATGCGGATAGTCGAACATGGGCTGTGGCATGGAGGGGTTGATAAGGTTGAGATCGACGGGGTGGGTGGGGTGGATGAAGACGACGGCGTTGCGACGGCTGAGTTCCGCCCAGATGGGGATGAAGGCGTCATGGCCGAGATAGTTGTTGCCATCGCCGTAGCGGGTGAAGAGGGTGACGCCGTCTGCGTTGAGGATGTCCAGGGCGTAGCGGATTTCTTCGAGAGCGAGGTCGGTGTCGAAGAGGGAGGGCAGCGAGGCGAAGAAGCCGTACTGCTTGGGGTTGGCGTCGCGGATCTGCGATGCGTAGAGGTTGCATTCCCGGGCGAGTTGGGCGGCGGCAGAAGGCTCTTTGGCGATGACAGGACCGGGAGCAGTCACGGACAGGATGGTGGTGGACACGTTCATGATGCGGTTGATTTCCTGGTCCAGAGCGAGGGTCCAGGGGGGAAGGTACCATCCGGAGGGATCACCACCGGCAGCGTCGATGGCTGTACTGTTAGTATTAGCTATAAAATGAGGGTATTCAAGCTTACCTTCCCGGAGGACTGGGGGGTAGAAGTGGTGGTGGACGTCGATCTTCATTCTGATTCTGATTTCGATGTGATTATCTGTATTGTTTACTGTATTTGTTGATGATGTAGATGATGTTGATGAAAATGAGGATATTCATGATGATATTTATATTTTAAAAATAATAAGTTGATGAATTGAGATTCCCTCTTTGGCGAAAGTGAGGATATTCGGAGTTCCAGATACTTCCCGATTAAGAAACTCCGAATCTCCATGGAGAATCCAACAATGCCATCCACCATCAGACCAACATTAACTCTAATTCTAATCCAATTCTCCGATTCAAAGCAGCCCAAAACAGAAAAAACCAGAAAAACAACCCAAACAAGACAGACAAACGCCCAAAACAGATCCAGACAGCTAATCAAATCGCTCAAACACCTCCCTTGCCTCCCGAAACTCCCTCACGATCGTCTCCCCCTTCTCCGGCGACCGCAACCGCACTCCACACCCATAGTCCTTGGGGCAATGCAGAAACCCCTGGCTCGCCCCGGATTCAGGATCGATATCGCTGCTGCTCCCGGTTGGCTGGGTGAACTCGAAGGCCCAGAGGAGCTTGGCGATGGCGATAAACAAGTTTCGTTCGGCGAGGTGGATGCCGGGACAGATGCGGCGGCCGGCTCCGTAGCCGTAATGGTCGCGATGCTCTGCTCCGGAGGCAGCGTAGGTCGGGGCTAAGGAGGGATATTCTTCGAATCGAGACGGTTCGTAGCGTTCGGGGTTGGGATAGATGGAGGGGTCGTGGTGGATGGCCCAGACGTTGAGGACGATGGTGGAGCCTTTGGGGAGGAGCATTCCATTGAGATAGTCGTCTTTCCAGTCAGTATGATAGATGTCAATATCAATAAGATGCTTACCCTGTGCCACCGCGTGCGGAACGCCTAATGGACTGACTGGTCGCCAGCGATGGGCCTCTTTGATCATGCAGTTGATATACGGCAGCTCAGCAAAGTCGGCCCATCCTGGCGATCTCTCACTCCCAACCACTCGGTCGATTTCAGCATGTGCCCTATTCAGTCAGCCTCCTATACCAGTTGTATACAGTGTATACACACCTAGCCTGCACCGCAGGAAACTTAGTCAAAGCCTGAATAACAGTCAGAATCAACGACGACGAAGTATCAGACCCCCCCTCCATCAGCACGCCCCCCAAAAACCGCAACTGACTCTCCGACAGAGGCGTCTTTTCCAACTTATCCAATACTCGATCCATGAAGGAGTCGCGGTAGACGCCCTTTGTGCGGCGGTCTCGGACCTGATTCAGCACGGTCGAGTAGAGCGACTGCATGAGGTTTTCCACCTCCAGAGCCCGATTGCGCCAGTTACCCAGCATCCACTGCGGGAGCATGCGTAGCAGCTTGAAATCATCCACTGGAGGCGTCGCCCCCAACTCCTGAACCAACGACCACTTCTCCATCAGCGCAAACAGCTTCTCCATATACTCGTCTCGCACCGTCTTGGACCGAATCCCAAACACCAACGAGTTGGTAATGCTATTACTGTACCGTTTCGGATGCAACATGTGATCACCCGGGGACGTCAAAAAGTCATACAGCATCTGGCTCGCCTCCGCCTCCTGCACCTTCCAGTGCTCCTTTTCGCAGTTCGGCTCCATGAAGAACTGGTGCACGATCTTGCGGAGCATGCGCCAGGTGTCGCCGTATTGCATCACCAGCAGATGGTCCGAGTGAGTGATTAGATGGGAGACGAGGGAAGCGGGACGGTGAGAATACACATTACTCTTTTTGTCGACGAGCTCTTTGATGAGTTTGCGGTCGCTGATGACGATGGTGGTGTTTTTGAAGCGTTTCAGCGAGAAGATGCCGCCGTATTCGTGGGCCCATTTCATGAATCTGGCCATGTTAGTACTTACCAGAGTAGGATGATGAAGATGAGATACTGAAAATGAGCGTGTGCTTTTGGAATCTGCAATTCATTGCCAAAGATCGGAACGGTGGGAGGGCCTATCTGGTCAGAAACAGCTATATGGAGGAGTATAGATAGATACCCGGAGGAAGTGAAGCCGGACGATGGCCAGCTTGCAAGGCAGCACGAATAAGCCACAAAACGCCAACAATGGCCGCAACGATAGCTGAAAAGACGAAAAAGGGAGATTCTGAGAGTGCCATGGTGATTCTGCTGATTCTGCTCTGCTCTGGCTGTTCTCTGATTCTGTTGTGGATGGTTGTGGTCAAAAGAAGGGGAATCAGAGGTATATATACTACAAAATCACACCCACAGAAAGCCAGAACGTAGCAAACAAAAGGAGATTCGGAGTCTCTCTCCCTCTTCTGTCTTCCCAATCCGTCAATGGCCTCTTTGGTCGATTCTCCAGTAGGCATGGCTGATACGGTGCTGATCAGGTTGCGTGCTGGCCGTGGTTGGCGGACGGTGGACGGTTCGGACGGCGGCGGAAGTTATTGAAAGTGTAAGTATTGGACAGGATAGCCGAGATCAATGCACTGCATTGTGAATGTTGCATTGGATATGATGGGAGGACAAAGCGTTGACAACTGTTCTGCAGTGCGTTAGTAGAGTTGATGATGCTGTACTTGGCATGTGTATAGTACGTATATCATATGAAGATCATTCTTGACATGCTACTGGCATTGTATTGCTGGTCTGTAGTATACTTTGATATATTCAGAAGTACTGCATATTCATTGTTGATAGATTTCTATCTGGTATACTTCTGAATGGCGTCATTGGTTCGGTTAACCGGTGGTTGAGATAACGAGAAACCTATCTTACATATGAGCAACGATAGTCAACGTGGTCAAATAATCATGAAGAACTCGAGGCATGTATAAAATACATATAATATCTGCAGAGATAATGTTTTAAAAGCATTTCTATAGAATCCACAATTTTCATTTGATCTATAGTTCATTATATGTTCAGTTTACGGTGGTTTTTCTGTGTCGGAAATATATATATTTGCAAACTAGAATTGAGTTCAGTGGAACTCTAAACAGTTACATCGAATTTAAAATTAATTTCGGGTAGATAATATCAAATATTATTCAAAAGAGACAGAATTTGAAGATGAAGAAGTAGCATGTTGTCTATATAATGTTATAATGTTGTGCAGTAAGTTGAACAAGATAGCCAAAAGAGTATAGTGTAAAATAGTGAAAATCAATCATTAAATAATGAAGCTAAATGACTCAATCAAGCTAAAACAGACAAATTAAGTAATCAAAAGCAAAAAAGGAAAAACAGTAAAAGTAAAAATAGATCAGTTCCCATTGGCCAGTCGCTTCTTCAGGGCGCTTCCATTCTCAATCTCCACGCTGGTTGCCTTGCCGTTGGTGTGCCCATTGGTATAGCCATTGCCGTTGGTATGGCCGTTTGTATATCCATTAGTACCATTGGTGTATCCATTGCCATTAGCATGACCGTTGACGCCATTCACTCCATTGGTGTGTCCATTGGCATGTCCATTAATACCACTGGCATGGTCAATAAAAACACCCCCCTCATAGCTGGGCTCCCCCAACTCCAACTGCTTCGGCGACATGTCCTGCACCCACGGCTCAAACTCGGCATTTTCCGGCCTCGACTTGGCCTCGAGAGCCACCTGTTCACTCCACGACTTCTCCGCCGCATACGACTCGTGCACGAGGTGCCGCTGGAAGAAGGAGCCCTTCATCTTGGCCACTGCAAAGTCCCAGTCGGTGGTGTACTCGCGGAAGAAGGGCTTGTAGCCGAGAAGACCGCCAATCCAGCGGCCGACGATCACGCAGGTCCAGTAGCCCACCTGGCGGCGGAAAGGCACCCAGGCGGGGGCGGGGGTGTAGGCGTCTCCGCCGTCTTGGATCTGGTGGAATTAGTATGAGAGAATGTTAATTTATAAGAGGAAACGCACTGCTAGGAATTGAATCCAGTCGAGACCACCACCGTGGAGGAGAGCATCGTGCCAGTATCCGTACCAGTTCTCGAAGAAAATGCGATCGAGCTGGTAGTCCATCCCGGAGTCCGACGCACTGAGATAGACCGTCATGGTTTCCTCCGAGTCGGGGTGGATGAAAAAGTTGTGAATGCTACCCGCTTTGACCGAGACCTCGCCATCCTCTTTGGTAACTCGCTTAACTTGGCCATCGACATTAATCCCCATAACCCCGGTCTCAACACGAAAATACTCGGTCTGAAACTGGTGGAAGTGTGGGGGAGGGCCTTTAGGTCGGTTGGGGCTGTTGATCAGTTGGCGCAGATTGTCGGGGATGGGGCCCTCGACGTTGTGGCGATACGTCTGGCGGAACAGGAAACATCTTCCAGGTGGGGGCTCGAGGAATTCGGTGGTGAGCAGCCCGCCGAATCTGATTTGGTGGTGAGATGAAGCTATTTTAGTGTGACGGAGTGGTCTTACTTGACGATCTTGGACTGGCCGGCCGAGTTGTGGAAGGGGACGAAGGGCATGATGACTTTGATGGTATTGATTCTGATGATGATAGAATTGTAACTCTGATGAGGACAAGTACATCTTAAAGTTCAATATATATATTGTATAGACTCGTTGAAGATGAAGTGTCAGTCTGTGTGTAGACCCCTGCCTCGGAGTGGCACACTAATTGCTCCTTTGGGACATCCCCAACTCCGCCTAGGGCTTATGCTGCCGCTTCACATCCGACACTTGGGCACTCCGATCTCCTGCTCCCAAAACGTCTTTCCCAATCTGTCGTGCATTTCGATCTGCTGGAGATGGCAGCCGATGGAGTCGATGGAGTTATGGAGTTAACTTTAGGTCTCTTCAAGATGGAGTTCTCAAAGGGGAACGAAGCTATTCACACTCGCTCAACGATAAAAGGCCCTGTTTCCCCGTCTCAATCTTCTTCATCAGCAACAGCAAAGCAAAGCAATCAATCAATCAGTCAATCAATCCATTCAATCAATCTTCAGATTTCGATCTTAATCTTAATCTTAATCTTCAATCAAAATGTCTCACTTCTCGTCTGCCGCTTCCGATGTCTCCTCCTACGTGACTCCCGAAGTCCACGACTCTGGCTTGAGCACTCCCAACACCGAGTTCAGCCAGTTCAACCTCTCCAAGGATGTCGCCGTCGTTGGCATGTCCTGCCGTGTCGCTGGAGGCAACAACAACCCCGAGCAGCTCTGGCAGTCTCTCCTCAACCAGAAGGATGCCTCGGGTGAGATCCCCGCCATGCGCTGGGAGCCGTATCTCCGCCGCGACCCTCGCAACGCCAAGATCCTCAAGGAGACCACCTCGCGTGGCTACTTCCTCGACCGTCTCGAGGACTTTGACGGCCAGTTCTTCGGTATCTCTCCCAAGGAGGCCGAGCAGATGGACCCTCAGCAGCGTCTCTCCCTCGAAGTCACCTGGGAGGCTCTTGAGAACGCCGGTATCGTGGCCAAGAACCTGTCGGGCAGTGACACTGCGGTCTTCTGGGGTGTCAACTCCGACGACTACTCCAAGCTGGTCCTCGAGGATCTTCCCAACGTCGAGGCTTGGATGGGCATCGGCACGGCCTACTGCGGTGTTCCCAACCGTATCTCCTACCACCTCAACCTGATGGGCCCCAGCACCGCTGTCGACGCCGCCTGTGCCTCCTCTCTCGTCGCTGTCCACCACGGTGTGCAGTCCATCATCCTTGGTGAATCCAAGATGGCCATTGTCGGCGGTGTCAATGCTCTCTGTGGCCCTGGTCTCACTCGCGTTCTCGACAAGGCCGGCGCTGTCTCGTCCGAGGGACGCTGCTGCTCCTTCGACAACGATGTCCGCGGCTACGGTCGTGGTGAAGGTGCCGCTGCCATCGTCCTCAAGAACCTCTCCACTGCCATCCAGGAGGGCGACCACATCATGGCGGTCATCAAGGGCACTGCCGTCGCTCAGGATGGCAAGACCAACGGTATCATGGCCCCCAACGCCAAAGCCCAGCAGCTCGTCGCCAACACTGCCCTCAAGGTCGGCAACGTCGATCCCCTCACGGTCGGATATGTCGAGGCCCACGCGACTTCCACTCCTCTGGGCGATCCCACCGAAGTTTCCGCTGTCTCCGCTGTCTACGGTGCCAACCGCGACCCCGAAGCCCCCTGCTTGATCGGCTCTATCAAGCCCAACATTGGTCACTTGGAGGCCGGTGCCGGTGCCATGGGATTCATCAAGGCCGTCATGTCGGTGCAAAAGGGTGTTCTCGCTCCCCAGGCCAATCTGACCAACCTCACCAAGAAGGTCGACTGGGCCAACAGTGGCCTCAAGGTGGTCCAGCAGGAGACCAAGTGGCCGTCCAGCGACCAGGCCCGCCGCGCTGCCATCTGCTCCTACGGATACGGTGGCACTGTCTCTCACGCCGTCATCGAGGAGTTCAACTTCCCTGAGACGCCCGACCTGTCTCCCTCCAGCCCCAACAGCCCGACCGTGCTGCTGCTTTCTGGGCCTCAGGAAAAGCGTCTCGCCATCCAGGCCGGTGTCCTCAAGGAATGGATGGAGAACGCTGGCTCGCAGGAGGAGTTGAAGCGTATCGCATCGACCCTGGCCGTCCGCCGCGACCACCACGACTACCGCGCTGCCGTCGTTGTCGACAACAAGGAAGACGCCCTCAAGGCTCTTGGACAGCTCGCCAGCGGCACCAACAACGCCTGGACCTCGCAGAGCCGTGTCTACGGATCCGACATCAACAAGGACGTGGTCTGGGTCTTCTCTGGCCACGGTGCTCAATGGGCCGACATGGGCAAGGAGCTGCTTCAGAACTCGGTCTTCTTCCAGGCCATCCAGCCTCTCGATGAGATCGTCCAGGCTGAGATCGGTCTCTCGCCCATCTCTCTCCTGCAGAGCGGCGAATTCGAGGCCTCCGACCACGTTCAGATCCTCACCTACATCATGCAGATCGGTATCACCGCTGTCCTCAACAGCCGCGGCGTCTACCCCCAGGCCATCATCGGTCACTCCGTCGGTGAAATTGCCGCCAGTGTCGTTGCCGGTGCCCTCACCCCCGAAGAGGGAGCTGTCCTCATCACCCGTCGCTCTGTTCTCTACCGCAAGGTCATGGGCCAGGGTGGTATGATCCTCGTCAACAAGCCATATGCGGAGGTCGCTGAGGAGCTCGCCGGTCGCGAGGATCTCGTCGTCGCCATCGACTCTTCTCCCTCCTCTTGTGTCGTCGCCGGATCGACTGAGGCTGTTGCCCAGAAGGCCGAGGAGTTCAAGGAGCGATCCATCAAAACCTTCACTGTCCGCACCGACATTGCCTTCCACAGCCCCATGCTCAACCAGCTGGTCGCTCCTCTCATGGAGTCTCTTGGTGACAGCCTGAACCCGATCGCTCCTACTCGCGCGAAGCTCTACTCGACTTCCCTCCGTGACCCCCGCGGCCAGAATCTGCGCGGTGCCACCTACTGGGCCAACAACATGGTCAACCCCGTCCACCTCACTTCGGCTGTGCGCGCTGCTGTTGACGACTCCTACCGTGTCTTCCTCGAGGTCTCCACCCACCCATTGGTCTCTCACTCCATCAACGAGACCATCATGGATGCCGGTATTGAAGACTACTCCATGATCTCGACTCTTGCCCGCAAGAAGCCCAGCGAGAAGAGCATCCTGCACGCCATCTCCCAGCTGCACACCCGCGGCACCAAGGTCGACTGGAAGTCCCAGCTGTCTGGCCCTTGGGCTGGCGGTGTTCCCAACACCAGCTGGATGCACAAGCCCTACTGGCGCAACATTGCCGCTGGCCCCGTCAATGCATCTGAGGTCCACGATGTCGAGAAGCACACTCTCCTCGGTCAGCGCATTGGTGTTGCCGGTACTGACACTATTGTCTACACCACTCGATTGGACAACGACAGCAAGCCCTTCCCTGGCAGCCACCCCTTGCACGGCACTGAGATCGTTCCTGCTGCTGGTCTGGTGAACACCTTCGTCAAATCCACCGGCGCCACTGTCTTGGACAATGTGGTCCTCCGCGTCCCTGTCGCGATCAACGCTCCTCGATCCGTGCAGGTTGTCGCCCAGCGCGATGAAGTCAAGATCATGTCTCGACTGATCCAGGAGAACCAGAGCTCCAGCGATGACTCCTCATGGGTCACCCACACTACCGCACGATGGGAGAAGCAGAACAACACTCCCGATGCCCCCGTTGATGTCGAAGCCACCAAGGCCCGCATTGGTACCCGCCTCCGTGACGACTTCTCCATCGACTACCTCGACAAGGTCGGTGTCTCTGCCATGGGCTTCCCCTGGGCCATCACCGAGCACTACGGAAACACCAAGGAGATGATCGCCAGAGTCGATGCCGCTCCTGCTGTCCCCGCCGATGGTGAGCTTCCTTGGGATGCATCTTCCTGGGCTCCTATTCTGGACGCTGCCACCTCGGTCGGCTCGACCATCTTCTTCGACCAGCCCCGTCTCCGCATGCCTGCTCAGATCGAACGTGTTGACATCTTCACTCGCGAGAACCCTCCCAAGGTCGGCTGGCTGTATGTCCAGGAGGCCTCTGACTCTACCCTCGCTTCCCACGTCAGTGTCTGCGATGAGGCTGGCAATGTCGTCGCCAAGTTCACTTCCATGCGCTTCTCTGAGATCGAGGGCACTCCTGGTGTCAGCGGCAGCATGGAGAGCCTTGTCCACCAGATGGCCTGGCCCCCAGCTGTCCCTGCCGAAGAGCCTCTGCCCATCAACCAGCTTGTCCTTATCTCGGACGATGCTGCTCTCCGCGAGAAGTACGCTGCCACCATCTCCGGCAAGACTCAGATCTTCCAACTCTCCAACGCCGATGATCTCGCTGCCAACCGCGATGTCCTCCCTCTCAACAGCAAGGAGACCGCTATTGTCTACATCCCCGGACAGGTCGACTCTATGCAGGATATCCCCAAGTCGGCTGATGCCTTCACCTGGCAACTCCTCGAGATCATGAAGTTTGTCATCAACAACTCGCTGCCCTCCAAGGTCTTCGCAGTGACCACCACTACCGCTGAAGGCGAGAACCCCACTGCTCTCGCTCAGGCTCCTCTTGTCGGTCTCGGTCGTGTCATCGCTAGCGAGCACAGCGACCACTTCGGTGGTCTCATTGACACTGAAGTTACTAACTTCCCTCTCACCACCATGCGCTACATCCAAGGCTCCGACATCATCCGCATCCGCGATGGAGTTGCCCGCACCATGCGCCTGCGCTCTCTTCCTCGCAACCGTCTGATCCCCGCCGACAAGGCTTCTTCCACCCAGAAGCTCCTCCCCCGCGCTGACGGCACCTACCTCATCACCGGTGGTCTCGGCGCCCTCGGTCTCGCGGTGGCTGACTTCCTCGTCACCAAGGGTGCTCGCCGAGTCGTCCTCATCTCCCGCCGTGCTCTTCCCTCTCGCCGCACCTGGGCCAACATCCAAGCCGAAGACGCCATGGCCCCAGTCATCGCTAAGATCAAGGACCTCGAGACTCGCGGCGCTACCGTCCACGTCCTTCCCCTGGACATCAGTGTCCCCAGCGCTGCAGAGAAGCTCACCGACGCCCTGGACCAGCTCGCTCTCCCCCCAGTCCGCGGTGTCGTCCACGCCGCCGGTGTTCTCGACAACGAGCTCGTCCTCGAAACTACCCAGGACGCCTTCTCCCGCGTGCTCGCCCCCAAGGTGACCGGCGGTCTCGTCCTCAATGAGGTCTTCCCCGCCAAATCCGTCGACTTCTTCGTCCTCTTCTCCTCCTGCGGCCAGCTCGTCGGCTTCACCGGCCAGAGCTCCTACGGCTCCGGCAACGCCTTCCTCGATACCCTCGCCACCCACCGCCGCAACCAGGGCGACAACGCCGTCGCCTTCCAGTGGACCTCGTGGCGCGGAATGGGCATGGGCGCATCCACCGACTTCATCAACGCCGAGCTCGAAAGCAAGGGCATCACCGACGTCACCGCCGACGAAGCCTTTGGCGCCTGGATGCACCTCGCCAAATACGACATCGACCACGGTGTCGTCCTCCGCAGCCTCACTTTCGACCAGGGCGAGCCTCTCCCCTCCCCAGCCCTCGCTGACATCGCCGTCCGCCGCCAGGCCTCCGCCTCGTCGGACTCTGAGTCCTCTGGTCCCTCCGACGCAGCAGCTGCCATCCCCACCTCCGGTCCCGAACTCAAGACCTACCTTGACGACAAGATCCGCAACTGCGTCGCCTCTGTCCTCCAAATGGCCGCCGAAGACGTCGACTCCAAGGCTGCCCTCTCCGACCTCGGCATCGACTCCGTCATGACCGTCACTCTCCGCCGCCAGCTGCAGCAATCCCTCAAGATCAAGGTTCCCCCGACCCTGACCTGGTCGCACCCCACCGTCAGCCACCTCGTCGGCTGGTTCGCCGAGAAGATCGGCTCCAAGGAGTAGCTGCATGACAGCGCAAATGTGTGCAAAAATGGATGGATAGACTCAGAATCACCCTCTTACTGTTCCCTTTTACCTTTACTATATAGATTGACCAGATTGTTACGATTGTTTCTGCTTACCCTGCTGATTATGCTTATGTTTTTGAATTTGTTGATCGCGCTTACTTTGTCTTTGCTTGTTTTTTGGTGTTCGCTTGGATCGACTTGTTGGGCTATGCTAGACTTGGACTTGTGCTTCTTAGACAGTCGGGTGATTTAATCTATACATAATGATTGATGGAAACCTTTCTCCCTTGTAGCTTGTAGTAGTTTGAAAGAAAAAGTAAATTTGGTAAAAAAGCAACTTGTTGATTTTGGTGTTTCTGATAATGGCGTAAACTGACTCGTCAGTGCCGGGCACGTCTCCTTCTGCTTCTATATACAGCGCTGTGAATAGAAGATTGGTATCTGCGTTTGCCCTTATAACCAGAGGTCTAAACAATACTCGAAGACAGTGAGACAATAGTAAGTTCTCAATGGCATTGTTACTTGTTCAATATCTAAGTTTAATTCTAGGATTGAACATTCGATACAACCTCGAGACCACGAAGACTTAATCGACGAGCCCAAGACAGAACATACGACATTCATGAATGAAAAAAAAAAAAAAAAAAAAAAAAAAAATTGAAATGAAAGAAATTGATTGATTGAATACCACGACCACCGAGCCTGAAAGACAACGACCGATATCCAGAAATCTAAATCAATCTAAATCGAAGGAAAGTGAAAAAAAAAAAGAAGGGAAAGGGAAAAAGAAGACAAACTCCAACAAAAATAAAATAACATATGAAGCAATCTGTACCGCCTACATATCATATTTACCACCAAGCGGCGTTTACACGAAGCAAAAGTCATCAGAATCGTCAGCTCATGAGAATGGGTAGAACAGGATGAATTGAAGATAGGTCATGTCATTCAGATCCATAGCCCAGCCAGGAATCGAGTACCATGGCACCATTTGACATCCACTGTGTACCTGTGCCCATCAGGAGATCGTGCGGCAGGTTCAAGGACGGATCCATGAGATCTAGTTGTGGGGTGATGTTTGGGTCTGGGAAGTTGTTGCCCATCATCATGCTGGGGGGCATTTTGGTTGGGGTGAGCAGGCCCGAGAACGGGTCTGTGGGCGACATGTTCGACCCGACGACCACTGGCCCGGCGCCGGGTGCGGTGGTGGTCATGCCGTTGGACGGCATTCCTGTGGATGGGGGCTGGTTTACTTCTGGTGGGCCCTGGCTTGGGGGAGTGAGCGATGACCATCCGCGTGGCGTCGAGGAGGAGCGGAACTGTTCCCAGACCATCTGGGCGGCGCTGGCTGCCGTTGCAAAGGATGGGTCTAGCTTTTCCAGAGTGCGGAGTGCTGTCGGCAGGATTTTGCGCGCGGCCGGTGTGGGGGGGCACACTGGGTTCGCGAGCACAAAGGACATGATGCAGATAGTGGCGTCCCACTGGTACTGGAAGATGGGGGTCCATCCGCGCAGGAGGTCTGTTTCCGACAGGACTTGATGCAGCAACATGGTTAGGACTACGGCATGGTTGAGACAAGAAATGCTGTGACTGTCTGCCAAGGGTGTGACAGATCTGTCCCGTGGAGGGAACCGCACAAAGGGGCGGAAGGTGGCAATTTGCAAATGGTGGTAGATGAGTTCGAGGAGAAGGCGTTGACGCTGCAGCCAGAGCGGGCTAGCAGGGTTCAAGTTGAATACCTTCCGATCGGTGGAGAAGGGCTCAGCTGAACCTTTACGTTGGTTTTTCAGCGATCTTGGAACGCCCTGTACCCAGTCATACAATGTACGAACTTCGCTGCCCAGGAAGCCCGCGAGCGACTCGAGGGTTAGCGGATCCTCGTGGATATCCTGGAAATTCTTCGACTGCAAGACCTGCATAGTGCGAGCTTCAAAGGCGCTGTGCACCGCACGTGCCGCGGCAGTCAGACGGACGTACTGCGTGTGGAAGCTCAGCCAGCTAATGTCCTCGTCCGGAGGCGATACCAGCACCGTCGCTGAGAGCTCTACGGCCTCGCCCGAATCCCCGGGCATCGGGCAACCAACGTCATCTGGGTTGATAATCGGTGGACGACCAAGCGTCATCGAGATCTGGCTATCCAACTGGTACAAAGTCCACCAGATACGGGAGTGCAGCTCCTGTGTGTGCTTCGGGGTCGGCTCCAGTGGTCGTATATGCAAGCGCAGCATTTGGGCGATCCGAATGGCCAACCCGAGGAGCATGTGGGCGGTATCCAGTGACGCGGTGTTGTACAGGTAGATAATGCAATACATATGGCTTTGCAGAGTGTGCACCGAAGGATTCTCCAGTTTCTCCATCAGCGTGCGCTGGCTACGACGGTAGAAAGCATGTGCGGCTGTAGTAAAATGGGTAGCCTGCGAATCACTGTCGCTGTCGGCCATGTCGTCATCATCAACCAGGAACATGCTACCATACTGCATGCAGACAGCTAACAGGCTGTCGACAAGCGCAGATGGCTGGCGCGGTTGCTGACCGTTAGTCCCGGCCCAGAGGGAATCGTAATAGGTTCGAAACTCCTCCTCGGCGATGATGGGGTACATGCAGTGATAGGCCTGCCACAGCAGAACCAAAAAGTACTCTTCCTGGTCGCGGGAGAGATCCTCGACCTCGTTCAGCCCGACACGCAGATCAGGCCGTTCCGAGTCATCCGACAACTGCTCCTGCGAGATGGTGGGAGCGTGACGGTGGAGCTGCGAGATTCGCACGGGAAGCGGGGATTTAACATGCGGCTGGTTCAGCGAGTCGGACAAGTGCCGATTCAGACGCAGCACCATATAGGGCGACGAGAGCGGGCCATAATGGATGACCCGGCCAGTCCGAGACTCCGGGTCAGCAATCCCATCCCACGTTTTGCGGGCCGAAACGGGGAGCTCAGTGGGTGCGGTAAGGCTGGAAATCGAGGCATTCGAGGATTGCGGGGACGGGTATTTGGCAGCTGCAGCCTGTGCTTTAGATTCCTCGGTTACTTTGTCTAGCTGTTCCTGCAGGTCCTTGAGGCGATTGCGCAGGCGATGGATTTCCCTGCATTTGTCAGCATTTGCTTACCAAGCAAAAAATAGGAGGGGAATAGGGGCACCTTACCGATTAGCCGCGGGCAGGGACTGGGCTTCAAACTGCTTGGTGTTACTGCAGTAGCCACCATGGTTACGACAGTTCTGGCATGGCTGTTTATCGTCGCATTTGATGCGATTCAGGCGACACCAGTCGCAGGCACGCACGACTTGGTTACGTTTAGGACGGGGAGCGGCGGCAGGTTGCTCGGAGGGGCGATCAGTGGAGTTGAGATTGGCGGAGAAGGTGGAGAACATGGCCGAGAGAGGGAGGGTGGGAGAAGGAGAGAAGGAGATGGAAGAGAGATTAAACAGAGACTCGATGGGAGGACATGTAAAATAAGCAGGAGTTGACTGACAGAAATAGCGAAGTCGAGGCTGAAGAGGGAAGAGGAAGAAGAGGAAGAGGGGACGGAAAGGAACAAAGAAAACGGAGTCAACAGCCGCGCATCTGATGGACGCCTTTTTGGTTTCTTTTTTTATTTTCTGTCTGTTTCAAGCACGGACGCAGTCGGATAATATTATATTATATTAAACCCATTAATATAATATATCAAAAGTCAGATCAGATTCTTCCCCCTCATAAGCCTCCATGATCGCTTCACCACTTCAGCCAGCCGGTGATCGTTGCTTGGCCCAGCCAAAGCAGCACCGACGATATCCCGCTTTCGTTCTTTTTCTCTTCTTCGTCCCCTTCTTTCCCTCTTTCTCCCCATCGTATTCGCCCTCGTCGCCGCCAAAATAGCGCCATTATTGACTTTGGCAGTCTGTTTGATTCTCCCGTCTGACACGCATGAGAGGGATGCTCATCCCCGCCCGGCCGGACTCATCCAGATCGTCTCGTCACGAAGATAACCCCTTAGCGGTCCATACAGATGCCTTGGCGCGGTAACCTCCATTCAAATTCTATTCTGGCTCATCCGCTTCTTCAACCAGGGTTTGCAATCCGTTTCTGCTGTGTAAGGACCGGCTGTGAGAGGCTCGGGTTGAGATCCGGACAGTGACAACCCTGGAGATTGGGGGGTTGCACGACATTGAACACGAGAGAGCGGGAGACTCAGAAATGAGGGGATTGTCATGATTGTCGCCTGAAGGATTCCCGTTGCTCCATATTCTCCCTCGTCCCCATCAGGAGTACCAATTTCGACGGCCGTGGGGAAAAAGGTACGAACGGACAACACCGAGAATGTCATGTGACGAGCCATCAGCAAAGCCTCAACTCGACATGTCAAACTATGCATCCATCGCCTTCATAACGATTAACGTCGGTACCAGAAAACCGCAAAGCCACGGGCGCACGCTAGAACGGTGCCTACCGAAGAATAAATGAGATTGTCGCTTGGCTTGTTCCCCCGCCCGAAACAGAAATGGCCGAGAAGGGTAATTCAGTCACATCTCCGAGACGGGTGACGATGCTGACGACCGGCAGAAGGATCGAGATCCATGGCGGCACATCTTGGTAGCGAGTCGAACGAGTCCAATGGGTCCAATGGGTTCAACGGGGGTCCATCAGTGTTTCTGTCTGTGTCAGTGGAAATAATCAACAGAGTAAGGGTAACATCGGAGGGCAAAAGTACCGTCACGTGGGCTGCTCTGGCCAATCGGCACTCGGGCCTGCTCCGACACGAATCTTACCTTATCGGGCCGCCATGACGCTGTCCTGATCTGCCTCCGTTACGGTTCCTGACGAAGGTTATTTTCCTCCCCGACACCTCCACGACAGCTGGGCTGCCATCACTTTCTATCCAGAGGGAGTGACTCATCAGTAACAATCATTTCTATTGCTGTTTTTTTTTTCTCTATCTGAAAACGTCCAAATTCATCACGTCTTGCCCTGCTGACCCTCCGGATCGGGCCGGTCGATCTTTGGGCCGGTATTACATACAGTATCGATATATCGATGGGGTAACAAAAATAAAAAAATAACAGAAAAAAAAGACTTATCTGGGAATCCCTCCAGAAAACAAAAGAAAAAACCCAAAGGAAACCAATCCCTGAAAATAAATCATAATTATCCCAGAAATGAACCATACTCCAATCCTTAACGCATCCCCTGTCAGCGGCGTCGAACACGCGTCAGATAAGTAATGACCAAGACCATGGTGAAATTAAATGCAATGAACCCAATGAACGCGCCGACATTTCGGCCGCGGTGGCTGTAGCTGTAGTCGTATTGCGTGTACTAAGAGGGATAACCAGTTAGCCAATCAATTCGTCAAAATATTCGTGCGCTGTGGATACAGCATGCGGGAATTACTCACATAAGCTTGGCCGTTCTCGTATGGACAGTACTCGCAGTTGGCTGTGCTGTTGGGGTTGACCAGGTAGCCCGTGGCATCCTTCAGGAAGGAGGCAGCATATTCGTAGCATGTCGACGCGCTGGGCGGCTGGAAGGTAGACACCTCCGAGGCATCGCAGTGGAGGGGAAGATCATGCAGGGTGTCCACAACGACCCCTTCGTTCAAGTAGAAGAGGGGCGAAACCTTGTAGTACCAGCGCCACCCGGCTGGAGTGTCTGGTTGAGGCGACAGGGTACCAGCGAAGGTATTGCAGAACATGAAGAAGAAGCCATTGGCAGACAGGGCAGCCTCCACTGTGGGCATTGCCGAGGCACACAGCTGTGCGAGACTGGTGGCGAATACGGCGAAAAGCTGATACATCAGGAAGCTGTATCCGGCATGGTTGGAGTCGGTGTAGTAGCCAACGGGGTAGTACCACAACAGCCAGTATACAAGAGATGTAATAAAGGCGTAAGGCAACTCGACCAGAATGGCGGAAAAGACAAATGCCAACCAGTGGTACGTCAGACTCTCACGCTCACGGTGCTCAAAAAGGTCTCGCAGCGTCACAAACCGCGGCTGTACCTGCAGTCCCAATGGAGGGCCAACAATCAGCGACATGAAGGATGAGAAGACGCGGTTGTAAGCGCCGCGCTGGGTCAAGGGCGAGTTCAGGTAGGTCAATCCGTTCAACAAGGCGTTACCAGCGTTCAACCACAGCTTCGCACTGGCATAGTCCGGAGCCCGCCAGTAGTAGAGCCATGTTCGCTTGAGCAATACTAGCATCTGATAGTGGAATGGAGCGGCGTAGAGTGACATCGAAGAATGGCCCCCACGTTCCAATGAGCCGCCATCAGATGGCACCAGTGCGTTCTCCTTGTCCGAGGCCTTGCCACTGTGCTGCTTCCAGATCTCCGCCCAGTCTGTCTGGACATCCTGACGTGTACCGGCGCCAATCACCTCCAGGAAGTATTCAGCAGGGTTTTCCTTCGCCCGGCAGGGGCGAGAGTGTTGCGCAAAGTAAGCGACAGCCTGGTTGCAGTCCTCTCCCAATGGGCCATCGTACACCAGATTACCACCACGGGCCAGCAGATACAGTTCGTCGAATGTCGAGATCAATTCAGCAGCGGGTTGGTGGATGGTACACACGATTGCCTGTCCAGAGTCTGCAAGTCGTCGTAAGAGTCGAATAATAGAATAAGCCGATTGTCCGTCGAGACCAGAGGTGGGTTCGTCCAAGAATAGAATGTCCGGCTTCGCAGCCATCTCCACACCGATGCTGACTTTCTTGCGCTGTTCCAGGTTGAGACCAGCCCCAGGAGTTCCGATCAAAGCGTTTGCAATCGATCCCATGTCTAGCCACTGAATCACATGTTCGACATAAGCATCCTTCTCCTCAAGGGGGACCTCTTGTGCGCGACGAAGTCGGGCGGTCATCTGCAAGGCCTCCCGTACACTCTGGGTGGGGAGGTGAATGTCCTGCTGTTGCACGTATCCCATGTGGCGGTTAAAAGACTTGGGAAGAACCTGTCCATTCAGCGTCATCGTTCCAGACAAGACTCCAACCTTTGAGCGACCAGCCAAAGCGTTCAGCAAAGTGGTCTTGCCAGCGCCAGAGACACCCATCAGAGCCTTCATCTGACCATTGTGGACAGATCCATTCAAGTTGTTCAGGAGACGTCTCTGACCCTCTTTGAGTTTAATGTCGAGGTTGAGTCCTTTCCAGGCCAGGCTGCGAGGCTGCTGTTCGATGGGTGCGTTCGGGGTTGTGATTTCCTCCTGTACCGGGGGAACATCGAGATCGACGGGGCCACTCTCGTGGTCGGAAGATCCTGGGCGGGAGGAAGACTTCTTGTCCAAGCCACGGTAAAACACAGTTGCCAATTGTCCTGCGGGCTGCTTAAGGCGCTCCATACCGATACTATCATTGTCAGCCAACTTGATCAGGTATTGGGGGTAGCAAGGGGTCAAACTCACGCTGAACTCAGACCGAAAGCAATGAAGAAGGCAGCGTTGATTCCCAGGTTGCGCCACAGGTTCGACTGTTCAAACCCGTACTGTGCCTTGATGTATGCCATTCCAGAAACAAACTTCTGTCCAGGCTCAGAGCCGACGACAGCGCAAACCTGGTTGGCAACATTGGTGTAGTCAGGCCCAGATGGGACCAAGTCCTTCAGGCTGCAGTCGTAGGTCAAATTGGCGAACTCGTTGATCATGACAGATTCGAAACCATAATAGAGGGGCTGTCATTTTGTTAGCCAAACACTCCAACGATCAAAAAGGGTGCAAAGAACTTACATTCAGGTACCGCAACCAGCCGAGCCACACTTGCATCTGAGGTGCGGGAACGTACAGACCCGTGTACAAGACATACATGTTGAAGAAGATACCGACAGGGAGCACAGCACGGTGCATGTTGGACGAGAACACTGCAACAGAGCGGAAGAACATGGACAAGGCAAGGTGCTCGATGTACACCACGACGAACCAGGTGAAGAAGTTGGCGGCATTCATTTGGAATCCAGTCAGGAAGTACAGAGGAATGTTCCAAAAGATGGCGAAGACCTTCCAAACAATATCGGTCATGATAATTCCGAATCCATAAGCCATGGGTGTGTAAAGTCGGTAACGCTTGTGCTTGAGAATGAGCGGGCGCTGGTCGAATGTGCTGCGGAATTCAGCCATGGCCTGCAAAGCAGGAACAAGAACCGAGTAGAAGAGGGCAGAGGCGAAGATGAACAAAGATCCAGTGCTGCGAGACTGGTCGCGGAACAAGGTACCCAGGATCAAACTCTGAACGACGATACAGATAGCCTCCGTGACCAAGGCGCTGTAGTTGTGCTTGATGATGCGCACCTGGCGTGTAGTGCAGTATGCAATCTGCTGGTAAAGAGGCAAAGCATAGTGAGTCGACTTGCCAGAACGGGGCACAACAGGAAGAGCCTTGGCCCGCTGGACAGACGATTGAAGCTCGTTAAAGTGAGGGCTACGACGGAATTCATTCTGGAACTCGTCGGCTGTGCGAGGAACCTGGTTCTGGCGGGCTTCGTGCACACGGCGAACCTCGGGGTCGGCGGACATGGAGTTGAGGAAGTCGGTGGTGGTGGTAGCGGAGGAGCACTCAAAGCCCAGGCTGAGGAAGTACTCTTTGGCGTCCTGGATGGTGCCGTAGAAGATCTGGCGTCCGGAGTTGATCACGATGACCTTGTCGAAGTATGGAACGATGGTGTCACTGCCCTGGTAGACACTCATAGCAGTCACACACTGGCTCTGCAGCGTCCATTCGCGCATCATCTCCATGAACTCCAGAGCAGTCGACGAGTCCAAACCGTTGGTCGGGTTGTCCAAGCAGATCAGTCTGGGATAAGGTTAGTCTCCCTTGTCTAGCATGCAGATCGCAGATAGATCGACTTACTTTGCGCATGTTGCCAGGGCTTCAGCCAATGAGACGCGGCGTCTCTCACCTCCACTGACACCCCGGACGTATGCATCTCCGACCTTGGTGTTGAGCACATGGCCCAGTCCAACCAGCTGGGCTAGATGCTGGACCATCTCGTTGACCTGCTCCGACGATGGCTTGGGACCACAGCGGGCCCGGATTGCGAAGCGCAGCGTGTCGTACACGGTGAGTGTGGGGAAGTGGTCGTCGGATTCACCTGTGTCTGGTCAGTCATTGCGATCCGCAAGAGAGGAGAGGAAGACTCACTGCAAAACACGACATCCTGGGGATCTTTGTCGATGACGTCCTTCATGGACACTCCTCCCAGAGTCAAATCTCCTTGGACATCCTTGTATTCTTCCCACATGCCAGCCAATGTCTTCAAGAAGGTGGTACAACCACTACCAGGCTTTCCAATCACCAGGACCATCTCGCCTGGTTGGATGGCAGCAGAGAAGTCACGAAGAATGGGTCGCGACGATGGCTTGTGCAGTCTTTCTTGAACAGGTTCCAAGACGCCAAAGAGGGACTTGGATGCGGAGAGAACACTGGGGGCCGGAAGGGCCTACAACTCGTGTGTCAGCGTCCAACGTTGAAAAACAAATGATCAAGAACAGTCGCGACTTACTCCTGTACCACTCCCTTCGACCGTGACATGGTCCATGACAATTCTGGAAGCTTGGCTGTTGGTTTTTTCGCCATTTCGCGAAGATAGAAAGCGTTTCACGCTCAGGGCAATTGGCTCGACGGCCACGCTGTTGGAGGAATCGGACAAGTGTTCCTTGGCCATGATGGATTCGGCGTTGACGGGTGTCGCCATGCCACTGTCACCAGAGTCTTGATGTAAAGAAGCTGTGTCGTGGTGCTTCTCCATGACGCTGTGGATATTGAATGATCGCCTTCTAGATGCACCATGCGAAGCTTAAATAAATAATGAGAGAGGATTGTTGATAATGCCATGATGAACGGAGCTTTAGCAGACTTATAAATCAAAAAAAAGTCTCCGTGCCAGAGCGTAGAGGCTGATTATCGATCAAGACAGTGAATGCCATCGCATTCCATCTTTGTCTGTCCCGATTGGGAAGGCAGGGAAGCCATCCAAGGACCTCCCAAAGGAGTTTCGGAGTTCCCCTGGCCCGATCGGGACTAGCGCCCAGCGTCAAGCTCGTTTGTCATCAGAGCTTTAGTGGGGCGCGCTAGCCCGATTGGGCCGTCCATAAGGAGAATGGAGCAGCCAAACGATCTGCCCCAATAGGCAGTCGGCGAAACGCCCTGGAGATCCCGATTCGGATGCTGGCAGTGGCAGCCGTTAGGCTCCGAACAGTGTGGAAAATTCAGTCGATCATGTTGTGGGTAGTAGTAGAGAGGGGCTAGCCAGCGGGGCTCAGAACAAAGACATATATAGCTGGCCAAATGCCCCTCTTTGTTTTCAGAATCATCTCCCAACCGTCTCTCCAACTCCAAACAAAATCCAACAAACTTCCAATACTTCTTCCTCTCAAAATATCTTAACTTATCTTCAATTCCAACATCTACACAATGCCTCTCGACACCGGTCTCCAGGGCGCCCACGTCCTCATCACTGGCGGTACCCGTGGTATGGGTCAGGCCATGGTGCGCCAATTCCTCCGTGAAGGTGCCAACGTCTCCTACTGCGCCCGTACTGTCACCAACACCGAATACGACGACGTCCACCAGTCTCTGCCTGAGGGCAACAATGCCCGTGCCTTTGGAACTGCCTTTGACGTTGCCTCCAAGGAAGCCATTGTGAACTGGGTCAACGCCTCTGCAGAGCGTCACGGACGCATCGATGTTCTCATTGCCAATGGTTCGTTCTCCCTGACATTGGATGATGGATAAATACTGACATAATCTAGCATCCCCCATGCACATGGAAGGCGAGACAGAACATTGGGAGAGCAGCTTCGCCATCGACGTGATGGGCTTCGTGGAGTTTGTCAGAGCCGCCGAGCCCTACCTGATCAAGTCTCCTCAGGCCTCCGTCATCGTCCAGAGCTCCTTCATGGGCCGCGAGTTCTACCGCAGCCCTCCGGCCGCGTACGGACCCTGCAAGGCCGCGCAGCTGCAGCATGTGCAGGAGCTGTCGCACTACCTGGGCCCCAAGGGTGTCCGTGTCAACGCCATCTCGCCTGGTCCTGTTCTCTGCGAGGGTGGCCCGTGGGAGAAGTACTCGAAGCTGATGCCCGAGTGGGTTGAGGAGCAGCGATTGAAGATTCCCCTCAAGCGATTGGGAGGGCCCCAGGAGATCTCGAACGTTGCTGTTTTCTTGGCCAGTCCGTTGTCGAGCTTTGTCACTGGTACCAACATCCTGGCTGATGGAGGTATCCACGTTGGCACACAGTTTTAGATGTATATAGCAGTGATGATTTAGATTTAGTATAATGATTTGCTCAGTTGCTTAATTGATTTTATTCACACTTCATATTATTCCATTCTGTAATGATCAGTTGTTTCAGATTGATGATCCTATGCATTGTATCAAATATGGAAATAGTATTTAACACTATTATGAGTGACTTGACATGGATATTTAGTCTAGAATATCAATATCTTTTTAAATTCTATCAAACCACTGCTAATATTCAATGATATAGACATAGCTGAGAGTACCTGGTAGGCAGTAATATTCCACAGTATAAAACCCTCGTGGTCTTAAAAATACCGCACAGTATGCAAAAGACCCAGGATACCCCTTTAGGACTAGTGGCGGGGTATCTTACCGCGTCGTCCAGATTTATTCCCGGCAGCACGTGGGTCTAATAACGTGGGTCTAATAATAATAATATAATTGTTGTATGGGCTGAGAATAATAATCACGATTGTTATCTTTGACAATAATATTATCAAGACTAGCCAACCAATGGCCTGATCTGCTCGTATACTGAAACTAACCAACCGAACTATTCCAGATTTCCCCTTTGGCTGCTTACTCCGGTCGGAGTCATCCACTTCCCTTTGGGGCTAATTCGCAAATACGAAGGATTGTCCCCCCTTCACCTTCACCTTCACCCAGACAGCTCCTTTGGGTCATTGCTTGCCTCTGCATGCAGCATCGTGCCATCATGACGCGGTCCCGGGCGAGGCTTTTCCCGTGTTCGATTCTCTATATCTACCGGCATGTATCCCCTCGATCAACTTCAGATGCAATCATTCATTCATCGCAATCGCAGTTGCAACAATGCAGATCAGGCCTTCATCCTTGTTCTTCGCCCTTGTCGGGGCCACGTCGGCTCTGCAGAACACCACTTCTGCGGCCCAGTGTCGATGCATGCCGAATTCGTCTTGCTGGCCGTCGGTTGATGAATGGTCGCAGTTCAATTCCTCTGTTGCGGGGAGACTGATCAAGACTGTTCCTCTGGCTTCGCCGTGCCATGCTCCCAACTACAATGCGACTGAGTGCCAGTATCTCCAGGATCAGTGGACACAGCCTGCTTTGCAGTATGTATATTTTAGTATATTTTATCCTGGAGTTATTTTCTAACCATCGATTAGTGATGAGTCTTCTTCATCTATCATGGCTGCTGCTGTGGCCAATGGAAGCTGCGACCCATTCACATCTCCATCCAGTCCTTGTCGTCTGGGAAATATGGTGTCGTATGCTGTCAATGTCTCTTCTGCAGAGGAAATCGCCCGGACCATGTCTTTTGCTGCTGAAAAGAACATCCGATTTGTGATTCGTAACACTGGCCATGAGTAAGTTACTCTATCATGGCACAAAACAAAGCTAACGAAAATAGCTACATGGGCAAATCCTCAGGCGCCGGTGGTCTCTCCATCTGGACGCATCATCTCAAGAACATCACCATCCACGACTATTCCTCGGCAAAATACACCGGACCTGCAGTCACCATTGGTGCCGGAGTCCAGGGCGCAGAAGTCTATGCTGCAGTGCACAAGGAAAACATGGTCATGGTCGGTGGTGAATGCGCCACTGTCGGTCCTGCTGGAGGGTACGCGCAAGGAGGTGGTCACTCGGCCCTCAGCTCACGATACGGACTCGCAGCCGATCAGATCTTGGAGTGGGAAGTTATCGATGGTAAAGGTCGCCAGCTGCGCGCTTCACCCACGGAGAATGCAGACCTCTACTGGGCTCTGACCGGTGGCGGCGGTGGTACTTACGGCGTCGTCACCTCGATGACAGCCAAGATCTTCCCCGAATTCCCCGTTGCCGGTGTCGTTCTGGAGTTCGAGTCAGACCCTAACAACCTCGATCCCTTCTACGAAGCGGTGGAATACTACCACTCTCTTGTTCCTGTTCTGACAGCCGCTGGCGGCATGGCCATTGCGCGTGTCCAGAGCTCCTCGTTCCTTCTGACGCCTCTGACTCTGCCCGACACCACTCTGGACAAGGCCCTTGAACTGATCACGCCTTTTACCGACAAGCTGGACAGCCTGAACATCAGCTACGCGATGAATCTCACACATTCCCCGTCATACCTGGACCACTACAACACGCTCATCGAGCCAAACCCAACCCAACTCGTCGACAACGGCCAATACGGCGGCAAATTGATCCCACTGTCAGTGATTGAACAGTCCAACTCTGACCTCACCGCTGCCATGCGCAAAATCACCCAGGACGGCGTGACCTTTGTCAGTATCGGATTGAATGTCTCATCTGCTGTGGCCGGACAGACTAACAACTCTGTTCTCCCAACGTGGAGAACGGCCGCGATGGATGTTATTCTCTCAACGTACGTTCTACTCCCAGCCCATCAAGTATACATACTAATCCGTCTAGATCCTGGCCCGAACACGCGAACCTCAAAAAGATGAAACAACTAGCCAACGATATGACCAATAAGTGGGTCCCACTGTTGGAGTCACTCACTGACGACCGTGGCTGCTACATGAACGAGGTATGCATCACCTACACCCATGTATACAAAAGAAAAAATAACTAATAAATCAGGCCGACCCCCAACAACCAAACTGGCAAGAAGCCTTCTACGGACCCAACTACGACCGTCTCCTATCCATCAAGCAAAAGTACGATCCCGAGGGCCAGTTCTATGCGCACACTGCGGTGGGCAGTGAAAAGTGGGTGGAGGAAGATGATGGACGGTTGTGTCGGGCTACTTAATCGTAGAGGTGTCTGGATTGATCGGTATTAATTAATTATTTGCGATTTTGTTTATGTAGATATTTATAGATCGAGGTGAAGATTTTGAGAGTTTGAGAATTTGAATTTACTGTTATAAATACTTGTTTGATGTAATTTGGGTATGGGGTATTATTACCGCAACTGCTAAGCCGCGGGTTAAAATACGTCTTCTTCTTGGAATGGAGTATACCATTTATTTATACCGCAACCTTTTCTCTTATTGCTATTAAGAAGTATTTATCTTATAAAATGACATTGTTATAAGATATTTATCCCTGTAAACACATGTCTTGAAATCTGTCACTAATGGAATGCAGTGTAATCTATATCCATGGCATCACCCATGGATTCATGCATCAAGCAGGGTACCAGGTACCATCTAATCTATCCCAATTTAAATAAATTATACCAATAACTGTAATTCTACCCCTGATACTCATCCGCCCCCAACAGCACCAAACTCCTAACAGCATCAACAACACACTCCCTCAACCCCCGAAACTTCACCCCCAATACCTCCCTCGCCCGTCCATTATCAAACCCATAAACCCCATCAGCCGGATAATCCCCGGACACCAACGCCTCACCCGTCGGCAGTCTCTCCTTATACTCAGGAAACTCCTCGCCGATAATCCCCGCAATCTCTTTATTCGAGAAATGGCCCGAGACGGTGAAGAAGCGCTTCCCGGCTGCTTCGGGTTTTTCGGCGGCGAGGACGTGCGCGAGGGCGAGGTCGCGCACGTCGACGAAGAGGTAGTTCCCTGTTGGTGGGCAGTGTGCCTTTGCGGCGCCGGAGATGAGGTCGCGGATGCGTTGGTTGGAGGTGTTGAGGGTGGAGAGGGAGGTGAGGGTTGGTGTGATGGGGCCGAGGACGAGAGGGGGGTTGATTACGGAGAGGGTGAAGGGGGGTTTCTGAGTAGAGATGAAGTCCCAGGCTGCTTTTTCCTATACGCATATTAGAATAGTCTTGGTAAGTAGATGAGATACGTACGGCAAAGGTTTTGCTGGCGCGATATGCATTCGCAGGACTGTCGTTGGCTTGTTCTTCTGTGATAGGACTCCAGTCTGCTTCTGAGTAGATCTTGCCGGCTGATTTTGCAAAGACATCGTTGATGGCAGCGAAAGAGGATGTCACGACGACTCGCTTAACAAGAGGCGCATGTTGCTGGATGGACTTGAGAATGCCAGTAGTTCCGATGATAGCTAGACAGTCAGAATTTGTCACAACAGGAATGATAAATAAAACATACCAGGATCTAACAGCTCCTTCGCATCCTTAGCATGAAAGTGATATGGGCTAGCAGTATGGATAACAGCTTCAAAAGGAGGATCAGACACGACCGCGCGATCGAAAGCTGCTCTTCATTAGTATTTATCCCTTTAGAACCTGCAGAACAGACTTACCATTCGGCTGAGCAATATCCTCAACAACAGCAAACGACAAACGATCCTTACCAATGTCTGGATGGGTTCGCTGGATTGCTTCAGCCTTGGACTGGGAGCGAACAGTCGTAACGACAGAGTGGCCGCGGGCTAGAAGAGCCTCGAGGACATGGGCGGCAATGAAGCCACTTCCACCTGGTAAAATTAGTATAGTCTTTCATTAGCATACAGGGAACATACCTGTCAGGAGCACGCGAGTCATGGTTAGAACGGTAGATTAAGCAAAGATTAAGCAATCAGTTGAAGATGAGGATGAAGAAGTATTTAAATAGTACCCTCGTCTTTGTATTCTCTATCCAACGGCGACATGGCCTTAATATACGCTTCATAAATCCTAAATCCGGACAATAAAAAAGAAACGGATGCGGACACGGATTGCGGACTTAACGGAGGAAAGCTTTTGAGTCAGTACTGATATCCAGCAGTCTGGTTCCTAGCTCGATCTGTATGCGCCTTCGCTTCGCCATCTAAAGCCATCTAGAAGGCTAGAACTGTAGCATTTACGCAAACGCAATACAACCACGATATTCAATATCAATATCAATAATACTAGATAAACTCAATCTAATTGTCGATCTATTCTTATTTTTAATATCTATATACTGTACAGAATAAGAGCACTCGTATTCGCCCTTCCATACACACCTTAGTCATCAAGAATTAAAAAATACAAGCAAAAAGCAAAACCTCGCCTTTCCCGATTCGGCGACTCAGATCCCTGTCAACGCATTACCCAAAGGAGTTTCGGACTTGGCACACCCGCCCAAAGGAGAACACAGCACAGCCCAACTCCGACTCCAGAACTCCGTTGATTGTTTTGTAAGAGGGGAATGACTAATGGTAGTTTCCATTCAATGATTAGTTTCATTGGTTGTCTATGTATCTCCCAATCTAGTAATCCATCCTCATCTCCATGCGGAAACTCCTTCTAGAATCTGTCCCAAAATGGACTCTGGACTCATTGATCCAGATGTATCTTCCATTTTGGGAATGAATGATCTTACTCTTATCGAGCTTTGCACGTGCAAACCATGACTGTTGAGGAACGCCTTGTGCCCACGTGGAATTTATTTCCATCCAGGGCAGAGAAGATCTTATCTGATGAGACATGAGTCGTATTCAGGCCTTGCAGCCATGGAATCGAGGCCTGATCAGGCTGGATTTCGAGGCGGGGGGACGAGGTTTTTATAAAATATTTTTAAATTGTGTTGGTTGATTACTCCTTTGAGCACGTACTTTATTCGAACGATGCTAAGAATGTGGTGCTGGTCTCCCTATGTTGGCTCTATACCCGTGGTGTCGAATATATATGTATTCAACACATATTGGTCTACTCAACACCACCGTTCTTATATATCGCGTAATCAGTAACATTTCACATGATGGTACATAGCACCGGAATGAGCGATAATAAAAACCCAAAACAACTGGTAGAGTAGGTACAACAGCCATCCTCACCACTTCCTCTACACACCGTCGATACTCCGCAAGGACACAAAAAGTAAACCCCCCTGCCTACTTACTAACAACGGACCAGCATTCCCCCGCACGGAAACATTCTACAGTATTGTCCGGCATTAATAATCCAGCACCCGAAGACGTGGCATGCCCTATCCCAATCTGGCACTCCGAATCTCCGACGTCTCCTTTTGACAGGTGGGGACCCACTCGGTTTAGGTTAGCGCCCCACTAAGCTTAAACGCGATTGACACGACGCGCTAAACCGAATTGGGTAGGATGTCTACCGATTCTCATGACTACACGGGGGACGGGTGAGAGATAAACCAGAACACGGTGGGTTTTTGTTTTCTCGGGGAGTTTTTGGATTAGGGGGGTTAGTGTGTAAGTACTGCTTACAAATAGAGGAACGGGGGAATGCCGATAGGGTTTATCTGGTGTAGGGCTGACAAATCGAGAATGTCGCCGAGGATGAACAGTTCGGAGGAATAGTGGACCGGAGAGGTCTATTGTCTTAGTATACGGAAATACGGAGTAGAAGGACGAGGTTGTCGCTGATCAGACCAGTGGTATTCCTCAATCGTGCCCCATAATATGACCTCCCTCGGAATTACGGCAGTAGGCTAGAAGCTGAAGGTAAGCCTTGTCAGAAGTAAATCACGCCCTACAGCAGATCCCACACACGCTTTGTCCTGCCAAGATCTTCGAACCTGCTTAACCACATAGCCTCAGCCAGCCCACGATCTACCGTACACTCTGCATGCAGGATCATGAGTCCGTGTCACTCTGGAGCTTGGGCCCAGTCACACAAGCCACCCGGTTCCTTTCCGAAGCACAACATAAAACGCAAAAATCCCCATTGGCTTACGGGTGTTTGCAGGGCACAGACCGGCGGATGGGTTCTTTCTGGCATTAGCCTTGAATCTTGATCTGCGGGGAATCCGGGAGGCTTATTAGGGTTGTGGTACCCACCGTTTCGGGGATCTGGCATTTGTCCCCTGCATGAGGAGTGAGCTTAATTTGACGACTGATTGGAGATTATGATATCATAATATTGGGCATGAAGTGGTCGAATCGAGGGGTTTAGAGGTATTACTAATTATGCGTTGGGTTTTATGTGCGGTATGATCCATGGATGGGATAAAACCAGGCAGACACCACTATGTCATCTTCCATAAAATTTGCGTCACATTCGTGGTACGTCTTATATATATATTTACCCAAGTATACATTTATAATATCTTCAGCGTCATGTCTGGCTACTTTAAGTGGACAGAGCAACAGTTGTGGGGAGATGAGAAGGACAAGCAAAGAGCAGACATACTGGAATTCCTATCTGATATTTTCTATACTGTCCGGGATATGACCAAGCATGCCCTGGACGACGATGATCTTTTCCAGCTCAAGATCAAAGTCCATTCTGCGAATGACCCGACAAGACTCTTCTTCCAGTCCTCTTCAGCCGATATCTTGGAGCAATACCCGATTGTCGAAGATGGTGAATCGCAGGAATGGCTGGCAGTAACTGATTACGAATTACAGAGTATATCCCGCTCCGGCCCCTTCACTCAAGCAATCGATCTCAGCTACCAAATGGCTTGGAGGTTCAATGGCGCCCGAAGACATGGAATGCCACCACTTGATGGCTTCAAACATTCTTTGGGGAATTTGATGGGCTGGAGGTATCAAGAGTAAGATCACGCATGGCCCTCTAACTCGATAAAGTTGCTAATACGTGATAATGAAGGGGCTTTTCGCAATCGATGATACAAGAGAGATACGCAGCCACTGTTTACTATGACCAAGACCCTGAGTTTCGTGCTACTCAGTCATGGGAAAGAATTGAGAATAAACTGGATACGCCGCATCTGATGATTACCATACTGCATGATATTACGGGCGATGAGAGAGTTTTAAGGGGCGAGATATTGGTGATTCTTGCAGCTATGCAGAGTAGAATGTGTTTCAAGCTTTTTGAAGAGCATGTTATCATCCCTGTATGTTTTATCATCTGGGCTTATTCATGCCATCGCTAAGGATTATAGATTCAACTGTTTTCATTTATGGGCCGACAAGGACGGATCATCCAGGCTTATTTTGATGGCGGACATTTGATTCTATGCAAGAGCCAGCTCTTCAATTTCACCGACTTTGAGACAGCCCCTTTTGATATTTTCGTGGAGCACCTAGCAAGCATGCCAGTTGGAAATACCAAGGCATTCATGTTAGCTAGCAGAAATCAGGGCCCCTGGTCGGCCTTGCTCTTTTTATTGACTTCTTATGGAGTGTTGGCTAGGAGGACTATCATGAAACGTTTTTAATATCCATAAATCGGGGTAAAATCTTGAGGCAACCTAACGAGAAATATTGTGGTTCTGATTAGGCAGCGATGCACAACAAATCGTGATGTATTTTCCATCTTCACTTCAACTCCCCCACCTCAACCCATCAACCATCAGAAAAATGATACAAATCTGGAGAATAATACAAAAACTCCTCTGCCGAAAAATTACCGAATCAATCCTCTTCGAACTCCCCCTCGAGCTCCTCTTCGCCATCCTATGGTTCCTCCCACTCCCAGATAAAGTCCGACTGACTCTAACCTGCAAAGATTTATACCACCTTCTCTTTCCCCTCCTCCCAGCCGACGACCTCCGTTTCCCTCGCCTCCTCCCTTACAGACCATACTGCGACCGGAACTACACACGAGCAGATGTTTTAATCGCACTAGAAGACACCCACTGGGCATATTGCCAAGGATGCCAGAAACTGCATCCGCGCGAGGAATTTCCCACTAGTCCTGCGAAATTTATGAATGACCCGTTGACGAGATACTGTGCAATCTCCAGTGGTCTCGTTGACCTGTGTCCGTGTATCGTGATTACGTTTCGAGATAGACTGCGGATCGAGGATTATTTACTGGGAAGGAAGAAAAGGAGTTGTGGATATATCGATAAGGGGGTTCTTGTGTCTGTTCCCCATGCGAAGGGGAGATATCTCGTGCATGAGTGCTATGCATACAGAAATGTGGAGATGGCTATTCTGCTCTACCATGCTGACGAGAAGATGTTTATCTGTACGCGATATTCCATCCCGAATGACACTCGGGCGGTCCGTACGGAAGACATATTCATCTGTCCGCATCGAACTCTGTCGAAATATGTGCATGCCATCCCCAGCCCAGCCTGTCGCTCATGCAATGCACGCGTAGTGAAGTTGACCAGTTCAAAAAATCCAGATGCCATTGTGGTGCAGGTCACCCGGTGTTTGGGGAAACGGCCCGAGAAAGATTGGATGGGACTGGGAGAAGACTGGTGTTGGCAAACTCGGCTATGTGTTTATCTTCCCATAAGCGGATATCTGGATTAGGAGATCATTTGTACGAATATATGCGGATGGTATTCTGTGTCCAAAGTCCACATGACCATCTTCAGTTGGAATGTGGCAATCTTCACCATTTATCCAGTAGATCGGGTATACGCCTCTTCGTCATTCTGCAAACAATGAATTATCTCTTTTCCATGCTCACCCTGTTGGCCTCCGTCTCTGCGTAGTACAAATGTGGTTCTCGTGGCTTTCTCGAAATACCGCATGCCAACATAACTTCTCCTGATGAAGCAACCACGGTTATAGTAATTAGTCGGCACCCGAAGTATATTTGAGCTCCAAGGAATATCCACCATATTTCACCCTCGTATCATGAATATCCTATCCAGCACAACCGGAGGCATTAGCCAAAGTGTCGATTATCCAGCGGATATTGACCGAAACACTGCATCCAGTGAGAAATTCGCACTGGATATCATCCATAAGTGTGCTGAAAACTACCTTGAATAAATGTATGCTCTATTCGGATGCTTTCAAGGCGCGACTCTACTTTTACGAGTCATGGAACAGCTTGATTCCACTGCTCGATAAAATCCGTGATATTCTTTGGCAACCCATACCACATTCGGCCGAGCGGATGAAAAGTCGAAAACTGAGGCCGATATAGCACTCGGCCACAAATTTCGTGCCCAACGTGGCACCACGGAAAGCGCGGGATAGTTTTCGAATGGCCACAGGACAAAGACTCGCAGTATGAGGGGCGTGTTGCGTCCAGGGATCTTACAAAACGGTGTACATATACATGCATGATAGAAGATGAATTAGATGCATGGGATGCATGGAAAGACCGCATAAACCCAATTGAGAATGACGTGCATTCATCGGCAGACCAGTTCAGCAGTATGCCCCTCCGTGTCTGCCAGGCTGAAAGAGATAAAAGTACCAACGAGGCGATAAAAGCAGAGCAAATGCTCGACTTGTTTTTGTTGCACGCACATCTTGGATTATCTTTCTGAACCCTCAAAATGAAGCTCCTCAACACAACCACCCTCCAGCTTGAGCAGTTTCCAAGGAGAAACAATGATGGGACGGTAACCCCCGTTCCCAAATACGCCATCCTGTCGCATACCTGGGGTCCATCTGAGCAGGAAGTCTCGTATCAAGACATCATCAAGCCCGTCTGGGAGCGCCCAACGGCAAAGACCGGATACAGCAAAAATCGCAGCCTTTTGCCAAAAGGCAAGGGAAGCCCGCATCGACTATGCCTGGGTCGATACCTGCTGCATCAACAAAACCGACCCGGTCGAGCTCAACCATGCCCTCAACTCCATGTTTCTGTGGTATCGTGAGTCAGTAGTCTGCTGTACCTACATATCGGATGTCAGGAACTCCGGCGATGCCGGCTTTGCTGCGTTGCACCATAGTAGATGGTTTACGCGTGGATGGACATTGCAGGAGCTGTTGGCCCCATTGCACATGGTCTTTTTCAACTCCCACTGGGATGAAATCGGCACCAAGGCCAGTCTGCAGAGGATCATCAGCCAGGTGACGGGAATCCCAAGCGGGGTTGTGCTGTTCAACGACCCGACAGCCAGCGTTGCGCAGCGGATGTCGTGGGCGAGCGGCAGACAGACAAGCCGACTGGAAGACCGTGCCTACAGCCTGATGGGACTGTTTGGAGTCCACATGCCCATGATCTACGGCGAGGGGGAGATGGCCTTTCAGAGATTGCAGCTGGAGATCATGAAGGTGTCTAGTGACCAGACGCTGTTCGCTCGGACGACCAGAAATCCCGAGTTGCGGCGGAGAGTGATTGACGCGACAGATCCGGACCGCGATGAAGCTCGGAATGTACTCGCAACATGCCCTGAAGATTTTGGGAATTGCAGGGAGATGAATGAGCGGGGGAGAAGGGAATTGAGTGGGGAAGTGTTACAGACAAGGGAGCCGTCGCGGCCCTATGAGATGACGAATGCAGGCCTGCACATCAAACTGCCTTTGATTGAACTGCCTGCCATCGAAGGGCAGCCGGATAAAGCCCTGGGAGTACTTGGATGCCATAGTCACCCACCGCGCCAAGGAGATCCAACCGGTCTACGGGCAATTCTTCTGCAGCGAGCAACCGAAGGTGGCCCGTCACAATACATCAAGATTGAAGATGCGAGACCTTTAACCAGCGACGAAAAAAAATCAGCTCGAGCAAACCCCACCCACAGACGATAGGGAGATATCCATACGGACGCCAGACACCAGCCGGTTTGATGCCACGGGCTGGATGAGGGTTGAGGATCGGTATACCTTCTCAATTCCGGTCGGGAATATGAATGAAAATGTGCGCCGAACCGATGGCCACGAAGCAACGTGGTCCATCAACACCCACCACAACGCCAGCTACATCCAGCTGGACTTTAGACCGAGTGGAGGATCGGCTGTTCTTCTCTTCCAAGGTCGTGGACACCAGAATCTCGCCGCAGTCATCGGATTCCATAACTACAGTGTGTGGTGTGACCTTACCACCGACGCCAATTTCGAAGCGACTGCCATTTGGAATGACCCTTGGCACCCCGATCTGCAAGACGGTCGGGATATTCGGTGGCAAAATCTCGATCGCAAAAGATTGGGCGGAAATGCCATTGCCATTAACCCTAGCCAAATTGAAGGAAAGAGGGTGTATTACGTCCAGCTGACTATTGACCCCGAATTCCACGTCCCGGGGACTCGGACGCCGAACCTCCATTCCTGGGTAGCTTGATGGCTCTGTAACTGGAATGATTTCTGATTACTGCCTAGCTATCTAGGCAGTGTCAACGCATATCTGCACAAACCGGTCTCTCTCAATTACCAATTCAGCCGATCGCATTCTTCTGTTCAAGATAGCATCGTATTTTCCTTTCAGTATTATATTGCTTTGACAAATTCATTTTGAAGAGAACATTTTACGCCTACCATGTTTCAAGTGTATAAAGAGGTCTGGTTAAAGCCATTAATTTATCAAGATTAAAGTTTTTGGGATGAATCTTTTTAAAGTACTCAATCTTAAAAGAGTTGTGGTTTTTCATTGACTGTCTCCGGGGTCGGTCTATAGTAACACAGGCGATCCAGTTTATTTCTTATGTTGCCTATTGATCGAGTAAAATCTACGTAATGGGCTGAATGCCTCGAGCATACGCATCGAGATAGGTCGACATGCTTTGATCTGCAACGGTCAGTACATACTGGTAGTATAGCACCATCATCCAGCATCAAACTTACAGATCCTGACCCTTGGTCCAGATTTGTTCTCATATAAGCCGGGGAAGACTACTCTGTCAGTATACCCATTATAACATCACAATGGACAACCTACCGCAAAATCCGCCCCCGTCTTCAGCCAGTCCCTAATTGCACGCGCATCCACTGCAACATTCTGCCAGAACCCAGACAGCATATTGACGGCTTCAGAGAAGCTGGTCAATTTCTCGGTGCCCAGCTTGGTCAGCCCATTACGAGCGTCCTGGATCTGTGTGATCTGCCCTCGCTTGTTGATCTGGTTCTCCTTGCCTCGGATCTGGTTTCGGAATACTAAGAGCGCAGAGGCGATTCCGGCGATTGAGCCGGCTGTTCCAATGGCAACGGTAAGACCGACAATCTATGTTATTAGTATGGCAGATAGAAGAGGAGAGGAAGACAACATACTCCAACCAAAGGAGCAAAACGACCAGAAAGCGCAATACCAGCAGCCAGCACAGGCAATCCAACACCAAGGAAAAGACCCAGTCCTTCCAGCGCTTTTTCCAGGCGGTTCACCTTTTCATTCAATCCGTTGATCTGGTCTTGCAGCGCTTGGACCTCCTTGTTGATGCCTTCTTGTTTGTCCTTGGCCCAGTCGTTGAAAGAAACGACGAATGTGCCGAACTCCTTGCCCAGCGTTTCGAATCGGGTCTTCATGGCTTTGCCTTTGGTTTCGAGCCCGTCTGCTTTCTGGGATTGTTAGTAGGTCTGATAGAGGTGGATAGATGATGCCTACTGCGATGAAGGTTTCGATCTGCGCGATTCCCTGCTCGACTGTGTTGCTTTGATTGGCGCAGAACTCGACGACGACCCGGTCAAAGGCTGTCTGTGTTACCTGTGTTCTTATGTACTTAAAGGTACCTACAAGATGCATATTGACCGATATCGACCGCCAAATCTCGACTATCGGTGAGAATCTGCTCAAACGTCTACCACCATTAGCATACTCATCTTCACAAGATAATAGAACCAACCTGCTGATGTCCTTGCAAAGCCGGCAGAAAATCCGACTTGTGAATTTACCAATCTCAATAATCTTCAACCGCACCGCCTCGAAAATACCCAGAACATCCTGTGCCGCCTGCGTCGCACTTCCCGCTGCGTCCCTCAGGCCCTGCTGCGCCTTTTCAGTCTCCGCCGCTTTGGCCATGGCGACTGTCGCCCTCGGCGGGAGAGGCTTGTCTTTTGCTTCGTTGGTGATGACGGTGAGCTCCCTGTCACTGAGGGTATTGGCGACAGCGAGGTACTTTTCGGGGGATCTGTCTCTGCCAACAGCGTTGTCGATTTTCTGGAGAATGGAGTCGTAGGAGGGAGGAGCGTCTGTGACACTGTATTTGGGGAGGGCTGAGGCCATTTTAGATTATTTTCTACTTTTGAATATAATTGAATTGATTTTTAGGACTATATTTAGTAGAATAAGTCTGGGGATTTATTATTTGTCTTTTTATAGACACAAACAATGACAGCCAGTGATATCATGTTGACATTTGATGTACCCCGGAAAATCAGTCCGCGGACTGTCATATCTACGCATTATTATATTTTTTACCTAATTTTTACCATCTCTATAGATATAGTATTGATTCAATCCTTTATTTTGTAGTATTCTATCCTACTAGGTATTCGATAAGGTATGGAGTATGCCGATCAGGTCGGGTTCTTTTCCACCTCTTTCCAATAGCAGTGTATCCCGATCCTGGTATCACCGGGTATTCTATCCGACCCTAGTACCTAAAGAGGGGTATGGTCATTCAAGTACACATGCTACAAAAAGCCTCACATCCTACCCAGAATGTTGAACGGGTAACTTTTGCCCCTCCTATCTTTTCTACCATGACAAGCTACGACTTCTAGGGCGGCTGGGTGGATCGGGCCATAACTACGACATTCGATGTACTCCGAAGGATATGGAAGGAGGTATCGTCCAACAGTGCAACGCCGGCGTCTCTGGGAAATGACCTAGGTACCATCCAATATTTGATGAGCCCTGCCACATATAGGTATTCAGAATGGAGACACATTCCTGTTTCAGTATGAAAATCCATTGGCTTTGATGAATCAGTCCTCCAATGGTTTCTTCCCAAAACAGCTCACATCGGCTTCTCCATCCGATTTGCATCTGGCCTGCATATGATAGATGATGGATTTATCAGCCAGTTCATCACGTGGGTGGGGTTATTCGATGGCACAAAGAGTCCTCTTCCCACACCATCGAACTCTTCGTAGTCGTAAAAATCAAAATGGATGGCTTGATTGTCCACAGTGGTACCGGGACTCCTGGTGGCTACCATGATCACATAGAGTCAGCAGGGCCATCTTCTCCATACGTTGAATGTCAAATCGAGCTACAGGAGTCCCAAGTGAGAGTGAATCAGCAGAACGAGAGTGAAAATGAGCAATCTGGGCTAAGAGAATTCTCTTTACCGCCGGTCGATGGAGGCAGAGATGCTTGGTTATGCCTAGCGGGAGCGTTTGTTTTTGAGATGATGAGTTGGGGTACGTGTCTTCTAGATATCTTGGGATACAACTAATGTTACGAATGTCCAGGCTTTCCATACTCTTTCGGTGTTTTCCAAGACTACTATACCACAAACGAGCCATTCAGCCAAGACAAATCGCTTGTCTCGATGATAGGTTCATGCGCCTTGGTATGTGTATCCTCGCTCGACAAAGGGCCAGATTACTCATTCGATCGTAGGGCATTATGTACTTGGCTTCGCCTGTCAGCTTGTTTATCATTCAACGATGGCCTCATCTCAGTCGAGTGAGCATTGTTGTTGGTCTTGCGATAGTGCTGATTGCGATTGTCTCGTCTTCGTTCGCCACCCGTGTATGGCAGCTCTTGTTAACCCAAGGAATTGTTTATCCGCTCGGTGCGTGTATGCTCTATTATCCAGTGTTAGTATTCATTGACGAGTGGTTTGTAAGGAGAAAAGGACTGGCATATGGAGCCTGCTGGGTAAGTCATCTACCATAATTCTTTATACCCAGAGTGATACTGACAAATACAGGCTGGGACCGGCGTCGCGGGTGTGATATTTCCAAACGTTGCAAAGCTGGCACTCTCACGTTTCTCATTTCGAGTCACCATGTGGGCATGGGCTGTCATCGTCTTCTTGCTTGTGTCTCCTTTCCTACCATTTGTGAAGCCTCGTGTCCAAGTATCCGCCACACAGACCCGGAAGCCACAACATATCAGCTTTACGTTCCTCAAGTCCCCCTCATTCCTTATATTTCAACTTGGGAATCTCCTCCAAGGCTTAGGATATTTTGCCCCAACACTCTACCTCCCCACCTTCTCCAGACAAGTAGCTGGCGAATCCGGCTTCGGCACAACAGTTGCGCTTACAGCCATGAACGCCGGCATGGTAGTTGGCTTCATTCTCGTCGGATTTCTCATTGACCGCTGGCACGTAGCCGACGTCATCTTCCTAGCCACGATAGGCACTGTCATCTGCGTGGTCGTGTTATGGGGCGTGTCTGTCTCCCTGCCTCCTCTGTGCGTGTTTGCCGTCCTCTACGGTGTCTTCGCCGGCAGTGCCAGCGCAACATGGCCTGGCATCGTGCATAACGTCAAAGAGAAAGACCAGTCGGCTCCAGTGGGCCTTTTGCTGGGTTCATTCACGGCCATCCGCGGTGTCGGCTCCATAGCCTGTGGCCCGATAAGTGAAGCCGTGATTAATTCCAAGTGGCCCTGGTCAGGAAGGTCATTTGCCTTGGCGTATGGAACGAACTTTGGTGGGCTTATTGTCTTCACGGGGGTCACGGCGTCGTTCGGAGTGGTGGGCTTCACGGCGCGCAAACTGGGTCTGCTTCATTGAATATTGAACTCATTGCGGGTAGGTAGCATGGATAGTATGGTGTGAAGGACCAGATTTTGAACTGTCTTGAATATATGTTGTTAAAATCCTATTTCATATACTAAGCACATGCCGCCATTATAGGGAGTAATTTTCCCAGGGGACAAATGGCATAGACAAAACTACAAGGTATCACGTAAATTAAATACATTGAAGTTAATCTCTGACAACACCCGAAACCAACGCATTCACTCTCAGCGCATCTGAATCTGGCAATCCAATCATCAAATCGCGGGTAATACGGATACTCTCAGGAGTAGTCTTGTATATTTCCAGATCGAAACGACGGACAAGAACCGCAAACATCTGGTATAGTTCCGAGAATGCCAAACTAGCATCTATTAATTGAAGTTATTTAAATTGAACGAAAGATACGTACTTCATTCCCACGCAGATGCGTGGACCCTTGGTGAAGGGGACGAGGAATTTAGTCAGGCGTTCGCCCTTGTCGGATGCATTGATCCAGCGGGATGGGTTGAAGGTGTGTGGATCGGGGAAGATGGAGGGGTCTGTGTGCATGAAGTAGAGGATTTGGCTGACGGGTGTCTGTGGCTGTTAGCTTCATGGAAATGGGGAATTGATTGCAGTTCTTACTCCCGGTGGAATGGTATAGTCTTTGTATTCGATCGGTGTCGGCGCAACACGTGGTAGTCGGATGGACACGCTATGCGACATGCGAAGGGACTCGTTGATCACGGCCGTCTGATCTGGTTAGCTGTACAGTCGAATTTTGGGTATGCGATGGATCCATACCAGGTATGGTAGCTTTTCCAGCTGCGACAATGGAACACTGCTAGTCGGTTCAGGCATCACCTGCCTCACCTCCTCTCGCAGCCAGATCATCATCTCTCTATCACGGTATAGATGAAATGTACCCACGGCGAGCACTCTTGCCGTTGTCTCCGTACCTGCAGCAAGCACCGTCATCGCTTCATCGCGTACCCTCGCTATTGCTCTCTCGGATTCAGGAACCGACTTATCCAAGAGCGAGTCAAAGATTGTCCTCATCCCGCCGGCACTTTCTCCAAAATCACCCTTCATCGTCGCCTCGGCCCTATTTGCGAGCATACGCTTGGAATCAAACAATCCCTTCGCGCTTGGCTGAACGCGCTCAATAAGATCAGGCGCGTATTCCAGAATCGATTGGAAAAATCCGAAAAACCGTCCCAGATGACACATCTCACCCGCCCCAACCACCGCCTCTCGAAAGTCATTTCGCAGGTCGTTGGTGTCCAGAATTCTCATTGTTTCTCCAAATGTATAATGCGAGATCACGTCGGCCGTCAACGCGGCGAAAAGCCCATCCACGGACACCACCGTGCCGTCCTTGTGAGCCTGCTCAAGACGTGACGCGGCCTTTTCAATTTTATCCTGCACCAGATGCTCCAGCGCCATGACTGATCGCTTTGAAAAGAAGGGATTCACCAGCTCACGACGCATTCGGTGAAGGTCATGGTCGACTGTTGCGGCGGCGGAGAGCGGACTCGCGAAGATTCGCACCATGTACTTGTCCTTTTCTTGCCTTTTGCTGGTGTAGATTCGGTCGAAGAAATGGGGGTCTTTAATGTGTAGCTCGCGCGGGTTGATTCGGACTATGGGGCCTATTATCTCGTTAGATAATCATCAAGAGATACTGGCAGGACTGACCATATTGCTCATGCATCCTCTCAACCTCCCACATGAACTTCCCCCCTTTAACCGCATCGTAATAAAACTCATACAGGTGTGTAATGGCAGTCAACCTCGGTCCGGGAAATTTACTGAGGGGATGAAGATAGAGACGATAGATGGTTCGAATGGCGAGATATATAACAGCTGCCACGCAGCCGATGCAAAGCAGCTGGTACCCCATGGTGGTGATGAGGATTCTCTGCAGATGCAAATTTTCAGCTGTCAAAAATCAGCTAACAGGGTTTAAGAGATTATCCGGTGGTCCATTAGTTGACGCTAAGACCATCTCTAACGGCTATCACCAGTCGGCGCAGTGACCAACTTCCATGGCCCAGTAAGAACACGGTTGATGTCAGCATTTGACAGGTATCATATCTATCCGTGATAGTTAGGCATTGAATGTTGCAAACTAAGCAGAATGAACTTATATGATGGATTATGTGTTCTATCTACAGCGAAGAACGAATTGCAACTGCTACTGGGTCATGTATCAACATGTCTTCTGATTGGTCATTCTGTCCGAATACAATTCACGCCACGTTACCCCAGAGTAGGTAAACACTTTAATGGAATATCTCTGTGCAACGGGAAACTGGCTCTTTCCCAGAATTCCACTGCCTTTACTTTGATTGTAGAAGTAGAAGAGGGATAAGATAGAGGCTTTGATTCCTTGTGCTTGGTATATAATGGATTGTATAGATCTGCTATTTACAATAGGAAAAGCGGGGCTCTTAGGACTAAAAGAAATAGGTAAAAGATAACCAATGAATATAATTTCTATCCTTCTCACAAGCATCTCTTGGAAGATGGAATGAATTCTTCCTGAATAAAGCAGGGATTTACTCCATATTTTATGACAATAAAGGCTCCCTGAGATAATTACAGACAGATTTATAAAGTCGGTAGAAAAAGCCAAGCGCATGTCTTTAAACATTGAAAGTATATACAATCAATGTGGGCTATATATAACTCCCAGTAGTTCCTTTACTGGCTAACATGATTGATAGTAGGCTGGTAGATGTGAGTATGAGAGAGACAGGCGGCATTGATGGAATTTAAATACTATCAGACACAGTTTGATTCGATAGTGACAACCAGCCTACCTTGTTATATTTCAGCCAAAAGCCAATCAAAGCGCATCGATAACCTCGCCACAGTCCGTCAACAGTCACCAGGTCGCCATTACCAACATCAAGGTAATACTTGGCTTCAAATACAATCTGGCCTGGGTCTAAGACTATCTGTCTGGCCTATTAACATTCGTCCGACTTCTTGAAAGCATCATCAATGCTTCTTTACAAGAGAAGGAAGTATGTGTCTTAACCATTAGTTAGACCAACAAAAAACAAAAAATGGACTCGCGGGGAATCGAACCCCGGACCACTCCCATGCTAAGGGAGTATTATACCACTAAACCACAAGCCCATTGGATAAGAGTGAAATGGAGTGTTATAATTCTATGAAGTGCTGAATTGAAAACTTTGCAAGAAGTTACAGCCTCTTAACCGGCGACATATCCGTCTTCAACCTTATAACGAGCGCAACAACAGCCGCTCCCAGCGCCATTCCTCCTGCGTAGAAAATCGCCGGCCGATATGCCTCAATTCCACTATCTTCCCCTCCAGACGCGTCGAGGATATACCCAGCAATTGGAGCACCCTAGAACAGTCAGCATACAACCTAGGAAACAGTAGAAGGTACATACCAGAAGATACCCCCCGGCCCAACCAGTCACCACCATCGCCATCGCAACAGACACTCTGGCCGAGCCAAAGACGTTCCCCACGACTGTGGGCATAGTCGAGAAGAAGCCGCCGTTGCTCATTCCATTGATGATGACAAAAATAACCAGCGGAGCGATGGATGTGGAAACAGGCCAGAGGATGAGCATGCTCAACGCACTGAGAAGGAGGGAGAGAACGAGCGTGTTGAGAGGACCGATAAAGTCGCTGCAGAAACCACAGAGGAGACGGCCGAGCGCGGAGGAAAAGTTGAATGCGGCGACGAGGCCTGCGCCTGCGCTGGAGGCCATGTTCATCGAGTCTGTGTATAGGGGGAGGAAGAAGGGCGGGACGAGCAGCGGGAAGGTGGCGATGGCGCCGGTTGCGAAGAGGAGGAGGAAGCGGGGGTCGCGGAGGAGTTGCCAGTCAATGAGGGCTGTGGGCGGGATGGAGGTGCGTTGTTTGATGAGGTATGCAGCCGGTAAGCCAGTGGCCCATGTCATGAAGCCGAGAATGCGGAATGTCCAGGCGGTTCCCACATGTTGCAGGAGGGCATTCAGGATGAAGCTGATGACCGCACCGCCGAGCCCACCCGCAGCATACACAATCCCATTGGCAATCCCTCTCTTTGCCTTGAAATACTGCGCTGGAACAACCGACACGACCATAAAACAGAGACTGCCAATTAGCACACATTACCACCAAGAGGATAAACATACCTAATGCCAACCCCAAACACAACCCCCGCAGTCACAAACAATCCCCCAATACTATGCACCGCAAACCCACTCAACACCTCTCCCAGTCCTAATATGAACACCCCAATCAACGCAGACGTCCTCGTTCCCAGCTTGCGAATAACTCTGGCATTGACGATTCCCAGAAACGAGATACACGCTGGCGCAAGAGACCCGACAAAAGCCAGCGTCGAAGGCGAGGACACGCCCTCCTTGACCAGCGCGGCTTGCAAAATACCCCAGCAATACGACGTGCCGATGAACCACCAGGTGAGAATGGCACAGCCGGAAACGACAACCCAGGCGTGACCTCCGTCGGGAGCTTCTGCGTCGGCTTGGAGAGACGCCTGCACCACGTCAGACGGCCTGACAGATCTGTGCGCTGCGTGGCTTTCTTGCAGCTCGACGGCTGTTGTGGTTGTCGACATGCTGATAGCTGACCCAGTCTGTGGTTTAGTTATTAGATGTGTGAAATGATCAAGGTTGAAGAATATCCATTCCACTTACAATATGCAAATTTAGGGCTTCGGGTACAACCGGAGATCGACATAAGTGGTTTTTCAACCAATGATATTATGCGAAAAATGGCCCGAGTGGAGACTGCACTTGTCACAGGGCGCAGGACAGCCGGCAATACCCGATACTATATGCAGTTTTCATGGATTTATACAGCAGGTTAGTAGTCGCGTGGGTGACAACCAACGAATCCCTGCTGTTGTATGGTTTTCTATTAATGGTTGCTTATGTTCAAGAAAAAGAAAACGAAAATTTCTTCTTCTGTTCTTTGGTTGTCTCATCCCGAGAAATGGAGTTTTGTAGGGTGTCAGCTCTCGAAAACGTTCTTTCCATCACACTTATAGAATTGAGAAGGGCAATCTATAATGGAATCTGGGTTATGCAGAGTAACTTAATCGTAAACTCTTTTTGGCTGGATCGACAGCCAAGATCTATTTAAATTTAGCTTATCTATAATCATACTTAATCATCCTCTCCTTCCGTCATCACGCGACGACCGTTAACTCCCTTTTCCACCTCTGGGACAAGGCGTTCGAGTTGATCGAGATGTCTGAAAAAGTCAGTATTTTAACACCTCTTACTCTGAAAGGAAAACACACCTTCCAACAAGCGTGACTGTATTATTCTTATAGCCCGTCCGTTCATAACTCCCAACCTTAATATCATCCGCCTCGACCCGCTTCGCGAAACCCTCCAGAAACAGCGAAACCTCACTCTCCGGCAGAGGTGTGGAAATCAACACGCGATGAATCTTGCCCGCTTCGCTATCCAGACGGGGCAGAATATACGGTTTCAGCCCGTCGAGCAATCTCTCATACCACGAGGGGACTCCAGGGAGCATATGGATGTTTCCGTTGACGACTGGGACTGGAGAATAGCTGTCTTCGAGGTTGAAAATGGCCTGCTCTTCGAGGGGTCGTCGCGAGTCGACGGGGATGTTGATTTCACGCAGTAAGGCTTTGAATTTTGGGGATTCTTCATCGACGGGGGTGTCGGGGCGTAGGGACTGTAGCCAGCTCTTCATTCGTTCCAGGGCGACTGGGTGTACCATGAGATCGAGGTCGAAAGCTTTTGCGACGGCGGCGAATGTTATATCGTCGTGACTAGTAAAATAAATTAGTGTTTTTCCCAAAAGAAATATGCAGTATACTGACGTCGGACCGATTCCTCCGCTTGTCACGACAAGATCATATGCGTTACTCATGCGGCGGACGGCCTCGATGATCTCGCCTTCATTGTCGCGGATGACTTCGATTCGCATCAATTCCTAGCAGAATCTCAGCCATAGCTCGTGATACGCGGATATCTCCCGCATTCAATATGACGTACTATTCCGAGTTCAAAACAAAATCGGGCCATGAAATGCGAATTGGTCTGTATTGGTTAGTCATATGGATATCTTTGTTGACCTCAATCCATCAAGTGACTCACGTCGGCAATCTGTCGGAACCTATTAGTATTTATGTCTGCTGGATATATACAATTCAGTGCAAGTTGAAGTACACGCGACTCACCTTTCCACCCAAGACTTCGTCACCGATGATCAAACATCCTGCGGTGCGAATCGGACACACACCCCGCTCGGCGATAACACTTGTAGGCGTAGCCATTTCTGTAGTAGGGATAAAAATGAGAAAGGAGAAAAATCAACTGAGCAGCAGACTATCTGAAGCAACGTCTCGACGACCTGGCGATCACAAAGTGGTTTATCACGAGTTGGAGTAACTATCCCACCGCATCGGCACACAGCGGGGGTTTTCACGCCCACTAGTCAGGCATTTTCAGCTGAGATCGACCGTTCGCTGTAATACGAGGTTAGCGTATGATTCAAGACTGATCGTCGGTATGGATAGCTTCAAAGTAAGCAGACATTTCTCAGTGAGACGGCAAGACAGTCTCCGCACAGCCAATGATAATAAGTTGGAATTATTCTCCAGATGGGGACTGCAGATGGCGCATCCACGAAACCACAAGCCGCCTTGTTTGGGCGTGTGTTGGGTTTACCCGATCTATGCTAGCGGCTTGGCATTGCGATCGGTGGGTGTTGTTTAGGCGTAATTACAGCAAAATAGCCGAATAATACGTGACCGCTAACCGCGAATAGGTGCAGATACAGATTCATACACAGATCGGGGCCAACTAGCTTCAATCACTACCAAGTGGCTGGCTGTGGCCGATTGGCGCATGGTGAGATTGTAGCAATGGTTGGAGATCGGTCAGCTGAAAAAATCAGTTCAGTAAAAAGTAAAGCTGGGTTGTGCTCTCCACTTTGCGTACGCGTAGGTCTAAGCCTTTAGAAGGCTCTGTCCCTGGATGGATAGATCTTAGTATTAATACTGGCCCCGGGGCATTTAATCCTTGAAATCACTGCATCATATTCATATCAACTTTCTAATATCTCAAAATGTCTCTCTCCTCCTCCATCCTAGACAACACCAAAGCCAATCCCACCATCCGCCGCGTCGACTTTGTCAAACAAGGCCTCCCCGACCTCGACGGCTGCTACGCCTGGGTCCTCGACGATGTCCTCGACGCAGACGAATGCGAGGCCCTAATCAGCTGGTCTCCTCCATTCGGGAACCTCGGTGCATAACGGGACAAAATACGTGATGAAGACGGACTTGATGTACGACCTAGATATCAGTCAATAACTGTGATACCTTAATTTAAATATACGATGTTTTATGTTAGCATATTTTTCTTTGAGCTGTCCTGATATAAGGGTGAGGGTTAGGGCTGGGCCTGGTTGGTCATTAGCTATATTCACACTGCAAAATAGACCATATGTGATATTAGAAACTTGATAGCAGTTCCGTATATTTTGAATGAATCTTAATCTCTGCCTCCAGCCTTGAAACATCAGATGTAAGGAACGACCAAGTGGAAAGCGATTCGATGATATTCAATGATACTATCTAGGCTTTGGCTATAAAATCTATTTCGCTAACTACTGCTAACCATAGGACCTATGGCGCAACGGCAGCGCATTGTAAGTTTCACCGCCAAGTGTGGTTTTAAAAACTTCCACTAACAGCACAACAGCGACTCCAGATCGAGAGGTTATCCGTTCAAATCGGGTTGGGTTCATTTTTTTTTTATTCTATTTTGGTTCCTCCCGATAGAATAAAACTATAGCACTGTGTCCTACTGGGTGGCTTTCTCACGATATAGCGAATAATTTGAAGGATAACCGAGAAATATATCAAAATACAAATAAACATTAAGCAACCTCCAAATGATCTTCCCCTCTCTTCTCTTCCCTCTCGCTCTCAACTAGACTCTCCCTCCTCCGTCTAGTTGCCTGCCTCTCCTCCTCAATCCTCTTCGCAAACGGCGACCTCGCCCGTATCGCAGGCCCATGTTTATAAAAGAAGTAAATCGGCACGGTAACCACGACAGAAACACATGCAAGAATCGTCGATGCATACTCATATGAGTATTTGTGTCCGATATTCTCAAACATCGGCGTTGAATACATCGCTGCGATGCCGGCGAGAAAGTCGCGGGCGAAATCGTTGCCGCCTGTTGCGGAGGCAGCGTACGCCCCGTATGCGGCTACGGTGTAGTCGATTGAGGATTGGTAGATTGAGTACTAAGCATTTTGTTAGTAATTAGTATGGTTAAGATTGATGGGACGTACGTTGGCGATTCCGATGATGGTGGTGAAGATCATTGGGGCGATCCAGTGAACTTGAGGTGGACCGAGACTTGTCCATGCGAAGCCGAAAAGGCCGATTGGGAGGCAGAGTATCACTATATATGTTAGACTTGTCATATCAACTTTGTAGAAACTAGGTACCGTAGAGAAGCCACCATAACCTCGCTTCAGGCAGAACAGAATCAGGTCCATTCTTGCGTCGTCTCTTGCGAAACATGTGAATTGACGGTAGAAATGATATATACGCCATGAAATATCCGATAAGTAGTCTATCACATTAGTTTCATCCAATATATCCAAAACGGGGAGCATACGGAATAAAAGCCAGACTAATCTGAATCGTCCCAAACCCCCACTGTTTATATATCGGCGTAAACCCCTGCAAAAAAGTGAAGATGAGCGAATCGCTGAACCCACTCAACAACGACAGCCACAGCACAATTGGCTCCGTGAAGAGCATATGAAACGGTCGACTCCAGACGATAAAGATATCGCGAGCTGATAATTCAAAGCCATGCATCTCGTGCGGACCGTAGATGTTCATTTCCCCATTCTTCCGTCTTTTCTTCGCTTCTCTATCCAAGATGATCGTCGATCGTGTCTCTGTGACTAGGAATAGATGCATGACCTGCACCACTCCGCCGGCGAGTAACTGGACCCAGAATATCCACGGCAGAGGATGTCGGTCTTCGACAAACCCACCCACAACAGCACCAACGACCGACCCTCCAACAGAAGATAGAACCAGAAATGCGACCGCGTATTCTTGATCTTCAGCTTCCCACATATCAGCAATGACTCCGAGAGTAACTGATCCCCCAGACGTCGATAATCCCCCCAACAACCGACAGATGACATACGTGGCGAAATTCGGCGCCAACGCACACGGCAGCTGCCAGATATTCACCAGAAACAGGCTCAGCTGCTGGGTTGGCCATCGGCCTAGTTCCTCGCTCCAGGGTGCCCATAGCTCGCAGCCAAAGGCATACGCGCAGAGGAATGTCAGCTGTGGGATGCGCGCTACTTGTTCACTGACATTGTGTTTTTCAGATATCGCTGCCACACCGTTGGCATAAAGACTCGCGTTGAGGTTCATCGAGATTTGGATACAGAAGCACACAGATAGGATAAGCCATTTTTTCCAGAATGAAAAGCTATAGCCTAGTTTATCGTATGCAGTGGATTCGGTGAGTTCAATCTTATTTGGGTGGTTATTGCTATCTTCTTCTTTTACCGGTGCCATTGTGCTGGATTGTTGTTATAATTATTGAAATAATGCAGTTGTGATATTCTATATTCTTATATACGCGGCAGCGGCTTATCCCGCATCACTTACGTCAAGAACCCGACAATAAAAGGCTTATACAGAGCTGTTCCATGGACCACCACAGCAGATGATCGGAATACGAAGAAAGTGATGTCAGTGGCTAATTTATGCTCGATTATCTATTATTCTATTCAAGCGGTAAAATTAGGCGGAACTTAATATTTGATACCACCATGGAAATAGCAATTTCCAAAATATGTCAAATATGTCACCTCCTAAGCAATTAGTATTCAGTTCTACGGGGATGAGTACATCCAGTTGATGATAGATACCGTTATTCTATCACCAAGAACTTAGTGGGTTCGTAGATCGACTTGAACGTAAGATAGCCGATTTCATATTTCTCACTGTTACTTAAAGGAGCTTTGATTCAGTGGCAGCTTATTATCACCATTCCACATGGCCAAATATTTGTCGAAGAAAATTGAAAACAAGACAAAACAGAAAAGAAAAGAAAAAGACTACACGTGCGAAACTGCAACTTAAATCGTAGGACGATTTCAAGCATTTTCAAAGCACCATTGCCTAATTTTCCAACCTCAAAACTAGCTCCAATCCAAGTCGTGGTCTAGAAACTTCCTCGCTTGTAAACTGGAGGCGCAGCCGAAAATTCATGAAGTAGCTCTCGACCTCGTTCAATTCCCCCCAAGCAGCGTTGGTTTTCTGGGTGTACAAGTCTGAATGGGAGATCATCGGATGCACCCCCAGAGTCAAGAGAAACATTCGGGTCATGGCGGCATAGAAGAAGACGGGTCCACTTTTGGTCGTTGTTTGCAAAATCGCCATAGGCAAGAACCTGCAAGCTGGGAAGTCCTTCTGGTCGAAATGCCCATTTGGCGAATTGGAATAACTTAGGTAGAAAATGAGATTCGGGAATTTTTGGTGCTCTTTCAGCCTCGTTACTGTCGTCAGGTTTAGGGGCCTGCTGATCTCTTGTATGGATAGACGGAGGGAGTAAGTCTGTGGGATAACCAGACTTGACTAGCTCCTTCACGACATCCTGTAGTAAGTAGTAAGTTCCCTCCATTCGAAAATGGATAAGCTTGATGGATCTGGAAATTCTGCTGGACCGAATTTGCTGTTTCTGGAGAAAGCGTGTTAGTGGGATTCATAAATATACCAAAGATGAAAACCTACCACGTATCCTGGGCTGACCCAGGCTCCCAAACATTCCAGAGCTTCCAAATGTTTTAGCTGAGACAGAAACATCAGCGGAGAGTCGTGAACGTAAGAATCTCTCTGGCCGTCATAGTGGTATATTGGTTGGCAGAGTAGTCGTTTCAACTTCATTTTATGAGACTGGAAGGGTTCCGTGGCGACTAGAGAATCCGAATGGCGGGAGCTCAAGTAGATACTGAGTATGAAAAGCTCTTCAAGACCGCTGAACGATTCCAAGAATGAGATAAGAGCGTCGAGAACACTTGGACAGGTATCATCATCATCGTTGGTATTTATGAAATGTAAAGTTCGTAGATTGACCACAGCCCTCAATTGTATGGCGCGAAACAGATCAGGTACATTCCCGCAACTCCCCAGCCTCAAAGAGCGGAGCTTCGTGAGATCAAAGGAAAAATCATATATCTCATTCAATGAACCAATATCGACCTGGCTGAGAGATAGGTGCTGAAGCGAATGAAGCTCGATGTTTTCGGGATCTTCATCTTCAGCGTACTCATATTCAATGGATTCGTCTTCGTCAGAAGATACAAGCCCGAGGCCTTTGAGCGTCGGCCACAGGAAGGATGGTCCCTTGACGCCCAAAGTGATAAGGTGGTTTGAATTGTTCCGAAGGACTGATCTGAATATCACGAGGTCATTACCTTCGGGGTTGAAATTCTGCCATGAGAATTCGCAAAGTTGTTTGAGCTGAAGAAGTCCCTCGTAAGATGGAGCATGTCTGCATGAGCCATCTATATCAAGAGACAAGCTCGTAATGCGCTCTTGGTGACGGGGGATATACCCAGACGTTCCTAGAATAGAATTCGGAACACAGCATCCCAGGTGCCATCTGGTTGAAAGAGTCAGCCAATGGTTGGAACTCATCCTAGATAAATAGAGTGTTACCTGAATCCAGACAGGGTGTTTGGTTTGATGTGGCCAAATACATCCTTGATCTTGCCAGACACCCACGACAGAAACTCGAAACGATGTGTTCTATGGCGTAAAATGAAGTTCTCCTTCAAGGTTGGGTCGAGATAATTGTCTAGCCAATCTCCATATTCTAGAGCGCAAGTACGGCGGTCAGTCGTCTGAGACAAAGCTCTGAATTCCAGACTTTTGAGAAATTTCCAAGGGGATATCTTGATTGGAGCACCATCTTCAGTAAAGTAGGTTCTTTGGGACCGGTTGGCGAATTGGTAGAAAGTGCCATCTCGAGAAGGAACCAGAATCAGGTCTTCGTATAAACGGCTGGTCAAAAGACGATGAAATGTCTTGCAGGAAAGGGCAAGGTTCGGGACATCTGCAGACGCAATCTGATCAAATTAGATTGACACGTGGTAAAGGAATTCTAATCCATGATGATTCAGACTTACCCGATTAGCAATCATCTCAAGCAGTTCCTCTGGAAGCCGCTTGAGGAGGGTCGACCTCGACGAACCCCCCTCAGAAGTCATGGCGTTTTTGCTCAGATCTGGAGTCAACACGGGGTGTAAGTGAGGGAAAGACGGATGCAGAGGGAGTATGGAGAGAAAAAAAAATTAACCTAGTCGTTGGTGCTTTCGTTACCAGACCAAAGGAATATGGACATTCAATCCCCTTGTGTGAGAGGGAGAAAGAAGAGAGGAAGTTGAGGCGAGGAGGAGGGCTGGTCAACAAAGAGATGGGGGGAGTCAACAAAGAGCAAGGCAGCAAGGCACCGACAGGTACATTCACTGCCTTGACCTGTAAGAGTAGATTTGACATGGCCCAGAAGACAACCTAAGGACAGGAAATACAAAAATATTCAAAACAATTAGCAGATAGAAAGGAAACTAAAGAAAAGACCACCTCCTCATTCTCTACTAACCAGCTGATATAGAAATAAAACAGACCCAAGGTTATATATTGATTTGTCTATTGTACTCAAATTACTCTTCTATGGCACTTGGTACACATTGTAGTCTTCCACGGATCCACGGACGAATAATTTGACATCAATCATAACAAAGTTGATTTAGCCATGGAACGCCCAAACAAACAGATCGAGTTGCTACTAAGATTTAAAGCCTGAATGCCATCGATGGGGCGTCTTAGCTTCAATACCGTGGAGATAGCCGTCGATCCATGCAGCCACATCAATAACTACGACTATTCCTGGCACAGCGTCATCTATTGTGAGCTGCATACAACGTTGTTTTTACTGGCTGAAAAGTAGAATTTGTTTCTGTCTTAGCAGTAAAGAGAAAAGCCTATAAAGCGCACTATTCCTCCTCTGACAACAACCCAGACCCTCCTTGCCCTGGAATCTATCACCGCCCGAACCACCTATATTGTCGCCAACTGCAGGGTCGCTTCGGATGCTTGATCTAGGGCTCTGAGTCCGTGTGCCACTACTGTCTACACTCGATGAATTACCGGCGACGAAGAAGATTTTTTGGTCAGATTTGCCCGAGTGCTGGTGGGACGGGTCATGTTGTTGAAGTTGATCTCACTCTCAAGCAGGCTAAACAGGTTGCGGGTGTTAGTGAACGTGGTTAACGAGGTGCTTGATATTTAACTAAGAATTGCTAATTGATGGAATAGCAGTTCAACGAAACAGAGGCAAGATGAGCCTAGGTCTTCATCTGCATTTCTATTTTTGAAGATACCCGGTATTTCGTATTCGTATACGTATTCGGGTTCGTATTCGGGAAGTGGGTCTACCCCGCATGAAATTGGGCTCAGGCCTGCTTAAACCTCCCTGCAATGCATCAAACACGCATAAAATGCGCATTTCATCCCGAACCCGAGCCGAGAACAGCCCATCTGGGCAAGATCACCGTCAAGACAATCAAAGGGAAAAGATATAAAAGCAGAAGCAAGTCAAACCTCGATTGTTATATCTATCAAACTATACTTACTATCCATTAAAAGCACTAAAGATATCCAAGATGGCAACCTCACTCGACACGAAACGACATGTCCAGACTGACATGGTATTCCGGAAGCGCACCGCAAGCCAGCATGATACAATTGACTTTACCAAGACAAGTCCCGAGCAGTTTGAGGTGAACATGAAAGACAATCAAGAAAAACGACCTGTCTTGGTTCACGATGTACGAGGCGAGGAATCATCATTCACTCTCGACACCAACGGCTTTCAATATGTCCGGCATGAGGTCCCTGGACTAGAGGACTGGAATGAGGAGCAAATACGACAGTCTCTGATTCCAGCGACAGAAGACCTCGTTCGTAAAGTGTAGGTTTGCTTGCTGGCACAAATATAGCGCAGACAGCTGACTGAGATAGAACCGGCGCCCATAAAACAGTCACATTTACACACAGAATCCGCTGCTTTGCCACCGACACCAACAAGCTTGCCGCTAACCAAGCCCCCGCTCACGGCGTGCACTCGGATTTTACCGTCGAGGGAGCCAGACATCACTTGGAGAATGTAGTCAAGGACCCCGTGGAGCTGGCTGCCCTAAAACAAGGCCAAGTACTGGCAATCAATGTCTGGCGACCCTTGAAGACGGTTCGCAAAGATCCTCTGGCCGTGTGTGACTGGCTATCTGTCAATCCTCAAGAAGACTGGCACTCGATTCGAATGACTTTTCCCCATGGGTGGAATGAACTGGGGCATGTGGCGTATCGGGACAGCCATCGGTGGTATTATCTGAGCGGGCAGAGGCCGGACGAAGCGTTGATATTCAAACAGTTTGACAGTGCAGAGGCGAGTAGTGGTGGTGCCACTGTGGCACATACGGCGTTTGAGGATCCAGAGACGGTGGACTGTAAGCCTCGGGTCAGTGTAGAGATTAAGATGTTTGCTTTTGTCGACTGATATACCATGTAAAGAGCCCTTTTTTTTCAGATAAGATTGTCTGTCATAGCGAATAGGTATGCTGTACTGATACACTGAATATCAGCATTATTCAAGAACGAAGGTGCTAAACTTGGGACTCTGCTTGGCCCACCATCTCAGGTAGGCTTTTCCAATGGCAAGTCGCTTGCAAATTCCACCATTAATCTCAACAATCATCACATTAATAGTGAATTCCTTCCGCTTTTTCCCATAGCAATCAAAGCAATAATAATTTTTGCTTTCCAACTCATCCCAAAATGAGAATTTTCTTGCTGAATTATGAGAGTTGGTTGAATCCTGGTCCATTTCCTCCATCTTCTTATTAAGGTCATCACGTATTTTCGGGCCATCTTCCCCAAGTGATAAAGCAATAACGTGGACTGTAGCATTTGGGGTTTGCGAAGATATTTCATCAAGCCTGGCAAGATGCGCGTAATCGCAATCAATGAATATTGTAGGACGTCTCTCGGCATTGTAAAGCCAGAAGCTCCCTTCGCGATAGTTGTCCTTTGGTACTTTCTTCAATGGAAGTTGAATATACTGAGTAAAAGCCATAAGGCGCCCAGGTTGAGATGCAAGGTCAGCACAAGAAGAGGGAAAATATCGGTTCAAATCAGATTTAGCTGCCATATCATCCTCCTTCAGCCCATAAGCTGTTTTGCACAAGTCATATAATAGCATTGAGGATGTCCTATGTCCAATATTCAGATACATTGTTCCATAGAAATCTAGCGCAGGTGGTAGATTTCCTGGATAGCATCCTTCCCGCCATGCATCAAGGATTGCTGCCGGAGCAGAGTGAGTGGAATCATCCTCCCAGGAATGCCATATATCACAGCTTCCATACTGTAAGAGTTGCAGTGAATGCTCCTTAGAGCCAGTAGAGACAAATGCCCATAGTGCCAGTGGTGCTAGAACTTGGCTGGTTTGACTAAAGCTATAGCATACCTGCCCCTCCATGGAGCACCACGACCACGATGGGAATATACTACCATTGTCTGGTTGGGTCCTTGGCTTGTAGGCGTTTGGCCTGCATGCTCCCCAACAGATATAGAGATCAAGATCATATAGCGGTATACCGAGATAGTGGTGTGGCCCAAATTTTGCATTCAGGACCCCGGAAATTCCATATAAAATGTCTGTTCCAAAGGTGAGGCTTCGGCGCGTGTATTCTTCCAAAAGCAAGGGCGTATTTGACAGAGAGAGCCTTGGAAGTGTGAAAATTAAGGAATGGGGACTAGGCGGGGCGCTTTCCTGCTTGATGTTGCAATAGCGATGGCATTCAAAGAAGACACCAGTGTCAGAGAAGAATAGAAGAAGAGGGGACGGTACTGCCTCTTGAAATGTCCAGCCTCGGGTATTCCATTTTGAGCAGGAAAAGGCATGATCATAGACATATTTCTGCGTGAAAAGGCGTAAACCTTGTGTCTTTAGGACCGGAAATTGATATCGTTTTCTGCTAGAAACACCAGGAAGACCGTAGCTGGCATCTGTTCCGGATCAACCAACCAACGTAATAATAGAGCCGCTATAGACGGTATCCATGGCATTAATCTAAGTTATCTTCTCTTCTAGGTTATCTTGGATGATGCAGAGTCTGTCAATCCAGAGATAGCGGATACCAAGTTTCCCGCATGCTGTCATAGCATCTTGAATTGTTGTAGGCTGGATATTGGAAAAGAAAGTTCTCTGTCTCCAGCATGCTAATGGTTGCTGTTGTTGCTGGTAGGTCATTCTCCACAGCATTTCCCCATACATAGCTCAACGTCGCATACTCAGAGAATGGAGGGGCCATGGCAACACAGAAGTAGCCTTGAACTCGTACCCAAGGAACAAGTCTTTCACCTCGAGATGGCACTCATCATCCGAAAATGCGACCCTAACCCTTAAAAGATAATTGAGGTTGAAAAGGAATTGACTCTATTTTCTACTATTTTGGTACCGGTCCAGCAGTTGTGGCTTCGGTCGGGTAAATCTTTGACACTTGATTGACCAGATATTCGGTTCCACGAAGATTGAGTATTAATCCATAATTCTGTTGACCAGCAGCATAGTTACAGACCCTGTAGGTAGTGTCAGAATTGCGGTTGTATTCCCTTCTGAGGGCGGTTAAATCAGTTGTTCAATCGATGATTGTCCAAATGTACAGGCTCTTGAACAGTTCCTAAGCTGGCATCACACCTTTTCTAACGAACTGAAGGTAGACCTAGAAGGCCACCTAGTCCTCAGAACAGGGTGTGTTAGTTCACAAAATGAGCACGGGTGATAACACAGAAACTGTTCATGGCCGAAATGTTCCTGAGGTCCAAATAGGAAATGGAGCTATATTGGCTCTATTCTCAGGACGTACGATTGGTTTAGTGCTTGGTGCAAGCTCGCGTAGAAAGGATGCAACTTCTATCTACAAGGTATTCCACTGTCAGATGATAACGCGTCACAGTGCTGGTGATGCGCCAATTGACGTGCATAGATTGGTTCTCGAATCGATTAAGACAAGCCGCGCTGATTTTAGAAGGGGGCTCTAAAGTCAGCAGTGTATCTCTGCAGGAAGTGTTCAAAACGTTTTATACCTATCCTTTACCTGATCTATCTCGTACTCGTGACATGAACCTCCCGCCTAACATTGATACAGGCCGCATAAGTATTTTTCGAAAGAATAGGCTGCTGATCCGCTCCCGACTCGTTCTCCAGTCCCATTTCGACGCTCGCAAAAGAAGAACCATACCTTTTGTCGTCGATAGGATCAAGATGCTGATGCTGTCCGTGTGATGTTTCGATCGAATGTAAAGGGACCGAACGATGTCTACGCGAAGGAGGCGAAGTGCGAGTGCGTGAACTGGGGTTTGTTGGGGCCCGGAATTTGCGGAGGAGAGGTCGAAGGGTTGCCATGCTGCCAGCGAATATTCCAAGGCCAGTTTCGATGTTGGACCAGATGGCTATACCGGTTGTTGCGTCTGATTTGTCAATAGAGGAGATGCAGATGAAGATAATGAGACGTACAGAGAAAGTCGGGGTTGTGGAGGGTGTGGATGTAGGGAATGCGAACGATGACCGCAATTGAGGCACTGCCACGAGGTTAGTATATTTACACTCATGGCCAAGAGGAATACATACATGCATGCCATGCCCAGCAGTCCAGCCACAGCCATTTTGACATCGGTGCGCATTTTCAACTTCCTGACCAGCAGGATGGGAAGAACACCAATAGTCAAGTCAAACAGGGCAGACGCAGCACTAAAAGCGTATAGAGAACCAATGACAATGTCGATACTGATGCAAGTGCCGGATCCCGAGGCAGCAGTGGAAAGCCTCATCCAGAAGTAGGAAAGGGGGTGGCATTGGACGAGGAGAAGAACGAAAAAGATGATTCCGGTGATGATCACGAAAGTTGCCATGAGGGCAATGACCAGGCGATGCATGCGGTCAATTGTAATGCGCAGTATGAAGATGCTGACAGAGATTTTGCACAGGATAGAGGATATACAGTAGCCAATGTCGCAAAGGAACCAATACTGCTGTTGTTAGCTATGGTCATTATATATCACAAGACAGGCAGCATACCTCCATTGCTGTAGTTCTTTGCGCGTCACTAAGGTCTGTCAAGTGCTTTCCAGTACCATAGATACTGCCGCCGATCATACATCCACAGAACATGGCGAAAAAGAACTTTTTGAACGTGAGTATGCCTTCTTTGAAAATGCTATCAACATACCATGGACATAACCATAATACCATCATCCCACCCAAAGCCCTTGACAATCGCCAACCGAACATAGCACCGCAGAATCGTCGTAACGGACGCCAAAGCCAGAAACACCGCCGCCACGGTCTGAACCGCTACGCTGCGATTCTCCCCCATGGCGATACTTGACAGCGTCGAATGTCGTGCGAAACGCACAGCCTAAGAGAGAGAAAAAAAAAATTACCGCAAGGCTGCCGCATGGTGAGACTGGGTGACGCAAAGGTGTTCGGTGGGTTTCAAGGGTGGATAAAGGCCCGCAATGAGATGCAAGACATGCGCATAGTCCACCGTGATAGGCTGAAGGGCTTAGATCTCGACCATGATCTCAGCTGTAAACCATGTGGAAGTGGCAAAGCGTTGAAAAGGACCCGCCCCAGTGGCCTCTCGCTACCACCGATCGGGAGTTTTGTGCGAGCGGCCAGGATGGGATTCTACTAAAAAGCGTAAATCTAGGCCTGGAATCAACATTCGGGCGAGAGTAAGCGAGTGGTGTGAAGCATAGAAGTTTCTTGCCAATAGTCGACATTGTGTACATCCATACATCCTACATCATATCACAAAGCATAAAGCATAAGGCTGTTTGGTACCCTATGATATTAAGCTATCGACCCATAAGCATTGACATGATGATCATGGCGATCACATCTTGAAGCCTTAGAGTCTCAATCTGATCAGCACTAAAATATTTCTTTTGATCGTGGGCGCTGAGACAAATTTTGACGGTGGACCCCGATTCCTCGGCGCTGCCTTCTCTTTCCAGTGTGTTCTCCGTGGGTGGAGATGTAATTGTTTACAAGATGCGTGGGTTCCTGATCATCACTAATATAAGGGTTTTGAATTCTCCTTGCATATATATTTATGTAACCTCAGTTTGGCATGTTTATCCACGATTCAATAACAGCGCCCACAAATATTGTTTATCGAGGTTTTCAATGAGCTTTTGTGGCCTGGCCCCTGCCAAAATAACGCCATTCATACCCTCTTCGCCCCACTCCAGCTTTTCAAGGTCCAGTTGCTTCCATTTCTTTTTACCCTCTGACCAAGGCCTACCTCCTAGCTGTGTCAACCGATGCGGAGTACTGAGTATTGGCTCGGACCTGAGAATGAGTGGCATTTTCAACAAGGAACACAGCGCAACTTGGTAAATGACCAAATAGCCACCTGTCCTGCTTCTGGAACCATGGTTAGCATACTAAGAATGCCTGGGCCCCATTCAAAGATAATATAACCAAGGATTCCATCCACGCTCTCTTGCATGAAACCTTGCGCGCGCCGGATTCAACCATCTCAATTGCCAAAAACACCCGCACCCATGTTGTTTACGGTGTCTGTGTCGTATCCCATGTCCCATCTATCGCTCGGGGGTCTGTCACGTTCCTGGTCGTGGATCCGGAAAACAGAAAACTATACATCGGCCATCCTCTACACCAACAGGCGGTTTCACATTTAGTTCATCGATATCATACCCGCGATATTCAGCCGGGTTCTGATATACCAGCCTGGTGCTGGGGATATTTTGCAATCCGGAAAATCAGGAAAAACCATCTGTTTTTATGAAATGGATACCTAATCGGTGAGGCTTTTCCGCACGGCGGAAAATATGAGCCAGAGCTAATTGTGACGCCAAGGGGGTGAGCTGAATCGACAAAACGACAACCGTATATCCTCAAAGTCGGGGAAGTTATGAGCTGTACACCATTGCCAACCTCGGACTACATCTCTGGACATGCAAAACCTTACCGGCCAGTGGTGAGTTCGATTTCGACATCCTCGACCACAGCACGAAATGCCCCACACAACATACACATAATCAAAGCACCCTCTTGCATCCTGAGATCATGCAAGAAATGTACCCATCTGCAATTGAAACGGTTCCGAAGTGACCATTGTCCGCAATCCAGCCAAAGTTTATCGTGGCATCGGCAATAATGTATAGCCACCGCTCTTCACTGACAAAGCACTACTTCCCTACCTTGGCCTCTGGTTGTGCGGGTATCCTAATCGATCCGCTTATCGCTTTTTCATAAGCTTTTTGACCCTCCTGAGGAAGGCGACCAAACGGTGTCGAGATGTCGGCTTCTCCAGTGTTGAGAGTCGTCTTGTAAGACCTATCCCAATATGATAGTAGCCCAACTAACCTTTTCTAGGCTGGAGATCATTTAGATCTAAATGTCTTTCTACAAGTAGGCTTCCAGATCCGCGGCGAGCTCTCGACTTTGTATTATGCTACTTCTCGACTGGAACAGACCGTTCAACCGAATGAGGGCCGAGCACGCGGTCTGAGATAGCCAACTGGTAATACCAACCCATGGGCAGCCTTATACAGTCTTCCAGAGTGAGTTAGAAAGTGAAGCCGCTTTAGTTCCATGACTAGTGTCTACTGCCAAGGGGTGATCACTACCAGAAACGGTGGCATTTCGCGAAACCTCGTATTTGAGTATTAAAAGTGCCACACAACCACCAGTCACGAAAGACGAAAATAATAATGGTATTATCTTGCTATAATGGTATTATCTTGCTCAATTTCTAAGATAGTTGTGGGATTTCCCCCTTGCACTTGGGGAGGTTATCTAGAATCACACGTCAGATATAATCGACAGATATATGCCAGGACAACTCACCAGTACTGCACTTCGAACTCGTATAGTACCCATTAATATAGCACCCCATATCGAAATTCCAGTCCCAGGTGCTGTAACCCAGTCAGCTAAACCCACGCCCACCAAGCTGAACTGGTAGGGGCAACTCACCAATTCCCCTCATAGCAATCCCCAATGGCATAGCACAAATAATCCGACTTGACTCCATTCTGAACCTTACCCCAGTATTCTCCATTTACACGAGGCTGGCGCCGACAGTTGACCCATCCATCGCCGTGGCTGACGATGGTGCACTCTGTTTCTTTGCGTTTGACGAGAGGGTTGGCGGTGACGGCCAGGGGGAGGGTTAGACTGAGGATGGTGTAGATGCTGAGGCGCATTGTGATGGTTTAGGATATGAGGATATTGGGTTGTGATTGTAGAGATGCTACAAAAGAATCCGGGGTTATGCGAGGTTATATAGGGGTATACCCGCCAAGATCTTAGTTGGGCTGATCGAGGGCGGAGGGAAAAAAACTCAATCTCGTATAGCAGCGATGCCAAGCTTTTCGTCTGGAGAACGAGACATGGTTCAAGTATGAAATATAAAATAGGACATGGCTAATATCGATGAAGATAGCCTCATTTTGTAGGGTACTGCATAATCTACCATATTATCAAGATGTCGCTGTCGTGTTGTTCAGATAATATATATTTGCTAACGGGCTCATACTTCAACCAACATTTTCTTTACATCCAGATCTGCAAATTATGCCTGTATACACAAGAAAGCCAGAAAGCCCCTGGAAGACTTATATAGTGGTGGTTAGTATAGCCCGTAGCTTTGTTTTACTTAATACACAAATAAGGGGGAGTACTGTCCCCAATCAGATGTGACACATAATTAAGCCCTTACTGGCATTTTGCTGTCAATATAGGCAGTAACCCTCATATACCAGGCAACAAAGGTCCTGTTGCCTATCCACAAAACCCCTTGCGTCGGGGTCTGTTTTATATAGACGGAGGAAAGCACAACACATGAGTACTATAATCAGGACTCATCAATCTGAATATTAGAATAGTTTGAATATCTTTTCTCATTCACATTCCCAGCACCCAAGATCACCCTGATCGCAAAATGAGTAGCTATCCTCCCCGGAAGGAAACAGATCGAATTCGGACGGAGAAACGGCCAGTTCGAGAGCGACTGCGACGATAAAGACGGCCGCATAGCTCTGGCAATAGCCCGCCAAACTGGCAACGAAAGCGTTGTGCAGCAGCTCCTGGAAATGAAGACTGAGATTAAGCGATGCCGCAGTGGTGATGGCTTTTTGGAGTAATTGACAGTGGCAAAGGGCTACCAACACGCTTTTGACCGTATTGTGCCGCCGGAGGAGCCAGCTCGAAGACTGATATTGGAGAACGTCGTTGGACGGATGCCGCTGTTGTGTACCGCGGAAGAAGGTCACACAGCGATTATTCACATGTTGTTGGAGAGCAGTGAAAATGTGAATGAGAAGGACATAGATTCATCCAAATCAGCACTGATTCACAAGGCTGCGTACAATAGACATGTTGTGTTGGGATCAACCACTCTAGGGACAGCCATCACCATCGGTAAATTAGAAATAGTAAAGCTACTGCTCAACTGCCCAGGCAGTGATATAAAACAAAGCTGAATCAGTATGCCTCTATTATATTATACTACAAGTCATGGCAAAGTCAATATCATCAAGCTCCTAATTAAACAAGGTACATCTATCCAAGAGACTGACAATCTTTACAGACACAATGCACAGATCTGGGCAGATAATAGAGGCTATATAGATATTTTTACACATATCTTAAAGACCCTTAGAAGCAGATAGAACAATTTATACTAAATGGACAGGAGTACACTTTCTTCTATACAGCAGTCAAAGGCTGCAAGGATACCTTCAAACAGCCCAGGTTAAATCCCATAGACTGGACCAGCTCATATTTAGATCTTATAGCCATGATGTTCATCACCCAGATCATGCCTCTGTTTATGGCCGTGCCGAAGGGCCATACAAATATCATCTACGAGATTCTCACAAACCATCCACTAAAACACAAGTCTCAGGATAATTTTGGCGACAAGCTAGCATGGTGGATGCAAGCAACTGGTAACACTGATATGCAAGACATTATGCCTAGTTACAGTACAAAGCTGGGAGACGATAGACAGAGAACCTATTCCTATATTTATATGAAATCAAAAAACATCTGTCAACATCTGTGACATCTGCACTCTTCATCTGGCCCAGGATAACCAAGGCATTGAATGTGGTTCTGGATGCAGGAAATATAGAATCTGTCGCATTTGTCTCCAGTTTGGCGCTAACCGTCATGATTTTGGAGTGGAACAGGGATTATGGGATTGAAAAAGTGTGTCCTATGAGAATTTATTACAATATACTGAGTTATCACTGCTATCCTTATTAGTTGAATTGAAATTACTTGTACAGTTAATGTGTTATCAACAAGTGTGTTATCCTTATGCCATTCCTCACTATCCATGTCAATGTGCCTTGTCCCCATGGCCCTGTTTTCGCTTTCGTAACATGTCCTTCAAGAACAGAATAAGATCATCGAGAGAGATAGAAAGCTGGTCAACGTGCTTTACCTTTCCCTGATTTTTGAATACATAGCCAACGATGCTCCGTGACAAGGCCTCCACATCTCGTCCATTCGCCCAGGACTTAGTGCCACTCAGCTTTGCAAAAAGGCGAAAGACAATTTTTTTCCTTTCACGATTCGGGTCAGGCTCATATCTGATTGTGACTTTTGATTTTCCAATCTGCTCTTCAAGATGCTTCAAGCAATGACCGGGGAGCAGTTGTGGGAAGACAATATCCGTGGCGAATCGACCACGCAGCCCCTGATTCATTCTCATCATCCTGTCCATATCTCCACTATAACCCGCAAGAACTATGACCACCTTGCGCGCATAGCGCGGCTTCGTCATGCAGTCCACCAATTCTTCAACTGCTTCCTGCGCAAAGCTTCCTCCGGAGCCTCGAGGGGAAAACCCGTGCGACAGGCGGTAGGCTTCGTCGATGAATAGCACTTTCCCCAAAGCACTCTCCAGTAGCGCTATTGTTTTCGGCCCTGTGTGGCCGTGGTACTGTCCGACCAGGTTTGTTGCAGAGCACTCGACTACCTCGGAGGTTGAAAGAAAGCCCATCTCATAAAAGATACGGCCTACAAAACGGGCTGTTGTTGTCTTCCCGGATCCAGGCGGCCCCTTGAATACAAAAGTAAACGGGATATAGGGGCGCGGGTCGATATGATGTCGCCGCATCGCTGCTACCATCTCCTGGTAGCCTTTGAATAAAGCGATGATTTCCTCGAAGCCAACCATACCAGAGAATAGTGATTCGCAAACATCACCGGGATGTGACGCTCGATTGTAATCGTAATCGAAGTCCTGTGGCTCTAGAATAGTCACTTCTGGCGGCTGCGGGGAGTCTTTGGTTCGAGTATGACACGCTGTTTTGGCTCGGCCCAGCAGATTCTCGACGTCGCCCCCATTTCCAAAATTGGGTCTATCACGAGCCCGGGAAAGCATCTCAAGAGCGACAGTTTTGGCTTTCTCTGATATTTGAATTTGGTCTCGGGATAGCTTGAGGTCAAGAATCTGACTCAAATGCCTCAGCTCATAGTCCTCAAAAACAAAAGCATCCTCGAGTGGAAATCTTCTCTGCAACCCTGGATTTGTATTCCTGAAAAACTCTTGCATGAGATCTGGATATCCGATAAGGATAACACAACGGTCATCAGATGGCTTGTTCTGCAGTATAGCAACCATCGTATCTACCACGACCAGTCGAAAAGAGTCTGAATCATTGGTTCCATGTCCATTCCCTTGATACAGCATGTGAAAGTCGTCGATGATGAGCACCTTCCCCTCGGTAGCCTCAAGGATTGACTTGGTGTTCAATTCCGAGTCGCCGATATACTGCCCGATGAAGTCAGCTGGATTCTTAATCACAACTTCGCTGCTAGACAGAAGACCCAACGAGGCCAGGATCTGTCCGTAAAGCTTGGCCACTGTGGTTTTGCCTGTCCCCGGTAGACCGAGAAAGACGCGGTTGAGAGTTGTTTGGAGCGGCTCCTTTCCCTGGAGCTCGCGATGATAATTGGTATGGGCGCGTCGCATGAGCTCGTTGATTGCTGCCTTGACTTTTTCCAGGCCAGTCATGCTTTGTAAATCCTTCCATGCGTCAATTTGACTGTTGATATCCGACGGCTCAGGTCCGATCAGGTCTGATTTGGTGAGAAAGTGAATCGGATCGTCTCCTGCTTCCTCTGAAGCGACTAGAGGTTGTTGCCGCCGAATTCTGTCCGCTTGACGATGAAAGACTTTTGCGAGATCTGTTTCTAATGTCCAGTGGTTTGCAAATTGATTTCCTCCCCTGCTGCGGCCAATCCTGCGGGCCAGGATATTAATGTAGACTCCCTCCCAACCACCCTCGACTGAAGAGACTTTTATGTTTCTCTTGAGATGTTGCAATATGAGGTAGCGTATGTCGGCATCCGTGTGGTCCTTCAGCTGTATTCTCTCTGGAAAACGCCATCGGAGCTCGCCGTTATTACAAAAGTCCATTATCTGCTTGGTGGCCCCTGTAAAGACGAGTTGAATCTTTCCGGCGTACTCCTTCGTCACGGATAAAAATACCTCGGTGGCAATTTTGTTCTTGACGAGCTGAAGAGTCCCATCAATCACCATAACCTGTGTCGTATTAGCCAACTATCCCTAGGATCAAGAATGTGATGTAATGTCTTCTTACCCCTCCGTCTGTGTCCATTTCCCTGAGCTTTGATTTAAAATCACTAACGTCAAAAACTCTGTCATGGAAGAAGTATCCCGGCTGGTAGGTATAGCTGGCTGGTGGTACAACTCCTAGACCGGCAAGAAACTTTGCATACAGCCTTGCCACTGTTGTTTTACCTAGTTACATGAGCCCGGGCTTGAAGATGAGTGGAGAACACAAGAGATGAAGGTACCTGTTCCTGGGTTTCCATGCAGAACGAGATCAAACCGGATCTGTGAGAGATTCTGGCTTCGTTGTTTGGCAGTTTCCACCCGGGCTTTGACGGCTAGGAAGTGGTTTTTCACATCTTCCAGACCCACCATACACATCAGTCGATCCACCTGTCTCACCATGTGCTTGTAATGTTTGAACTTTTGTGTGTTTCCCAGCCGTTTTTGCTGTATCCACTCCAGGCGCGCTGGCGATGTATCATTGATTTCCTCGATATCGTCGGGGTCTTCATCAGATGATTCATACCCGCTGTCACTTTCATCACTGTCATCACTTTCGTCGCTATCATCATCTTTTTCTTCTTCCTGTTTTTCCTCTTGCTCTTGGTCTGCAAAAGCATTGGACTTTCCCTCATTCCCTTTGCTACTGTTACTTCCAAAGTCACTCATTCTATCCGGTTTGACGTATCGACCGCTGCTATCGTCCCCAGGTATTTGACGAATTACCGAGGTGTCTTCACCACTGGGGCCGTTTTGGTCTTCCTGCCCAACCTGAGAACCTTGCCTTGTGTCTTCAATATCAGTCTCCATGGTTTCGGCGATGTTTCCAGCTGACGGAGTCTCGTCAAGCAGTATATTTAATAGCCATAGACTGTCAGCCCCCTCCTCCGCCCCTGTCTCTGTCGACTGGGAAGGTACCACGTTTTGATTTTCGACCATATAGATGTCTTCCGTTATAAGCCCAACTGGACCTTGAACCGAATCATTTTCCTGTAGATCCTCATCCGCACCATCTTCTCCCGAGGCACGCTCATCTCCATCAATATTCTGGGCGGCTTTCTCCCTGGTTTCCCCTGTATCTTCCACTTCTAGAGAGGGGTTTTCCTCTCCCGAAACACCGGTTTCTGGCTCTGTATAGTTTTCCATCGCCGCAGTAACGATTATGAGAACACTGGAATGTAGTATGAATGTAGTAATATAAGAGTTGGAGAAGGTGGAAAGTCACTATCAATGATAAATCGGTGCGAGTAATCGAATATCAATGACTACAGGGGACCATGAGTGATGTGGCCAAATTTAATTCTACAATTCTAAGATATAAAATTGAACAATTTCACTACTTCCATGGATTATAAATTACAAAGATGTTATTAGGTATAGGAAAGTCCCTACGGACCGTTAGTTTGCTAGCCAAACAGTCCAGTCAGTCTGGCCAATCATGGATACGCTAGAGCTGTCATGATTCGTAGTACCTTCCAGATAGTACTGCTGCGGCAGACTGCGTTCGATAACTACCTATAGTATACCCACATGAGATGCCCAACCACCCCCACTATGCTGCTAGACAATATCTGCCCTGATTATGGGGACATCTTCATTGATCGCCAAATTATCAAAAAGCTCGAACAGGTCACGACTCTTTCTCTCAAGAGGCCCAACGCATTTAATCACGGTGTGCTGAAAGGAAATAAAGTGACAGGGGCGATTCTCCACGGCCCACCAGGAACCGGAAAGAGTCACCTAGTAAAAGGCATGGCAAAGGCGTCCAACTTCAACATGATATCAATATCGACCGCGGAGATCTGGCAGAAATGTCACGGGGAGGATGAAAAAGTCATCAAGGCGGTTTTCTCTATGGCTCGCAAGCTGTACCCCTGCATCATTTTTGTGGACGAGGCCGATGCATTGCTGGGGTCACGCAAGGCCGGCGAGAAAAGACACATTCGGTCGATGCTGAATCAGTTTCTGATGGAATGGGATGGAATACTGAGTGGATTGGAATCGCCTTTCGTTCTGCTCGCGACAAATCGTCCAACGGATCTTGATCCGGCAGTGGTTCGACGTGCCCCTATCCATATTCACCTCGACGTGCCTACCGATAGGGAAAGAGTTGGGATATTAAACCTATTACTGAGAGAGGAGCGTCTTTCCAGTGATATTGATCCTTTTACTTTAGCCAAGCTGACGCCTGGATATACTGGCTCGGATTTGAAAAATCTGTGTGTTACTGCAGCGACGGAGTGTGTGGGGGAGCAACCATTCGATACTCATGACCGAACTTTATCGAGACGTCACTTTTTAACTGCAACAAGAATGGTCAGGCCTGTAGGGCTGAGCAAGGTCATGGCGAACGAGTTTCAGAACTTTCAAAAGGGGACGCGGCAGGAAGATGGTGGACAAGAGTAATAGGAGTAATGTCGATAGAGCGCAGGGCTAATGTATAGTATTCAGCAGAGGTAAAGAAATATATATAGCCAGACAAATCATATTTTCAGCTAAAATATGCTAAGCTAAAATGTACCCGGACACTGTCTATTGATGGTCCATTTTGCTTGATGAATATTTAATAAACGATTTCATCCCTACAATAGAAACCAAAGGAGAGATATAAACGTAAACACTACAGAATACTGTGATCGTGATGTTTGTATGATGATATCACTTAAGCCCAGAAAGTTTATTCTTGCTGGTCCGAAGCTTTGTGATTGGGTACCACAAGGTCTTGTCTACACAATTATACTACCAGCACTTGGAAGTGGCTGACAATGGCGCAGTCAAGCCACCAGCACAAAGTATACGGTTGGAGTATTGGCTCTGAAAATTACCTCTTCTCTAGGCACCTTTCCGTGGTTACAGGCTGTTGAGATGATAAAGACAGGCGGTGACCATCTAACTTGAAGCTGCAGTGACCCTTTCTGCAGTTATCATTTTGTGAAGCTTTATACATCACTCCGTCTTCTGTTCCCTCAAAGCCATGGCAACAGGCAGCTCCTGTATTGACGACAAATCAGACATAGCAACGACTCACGATGGCATCTACAACATCCGCCCCCCCTCCAAACTTCCCGAGCAGGCCAGTGCTGGAATGCCCTCAGCCCTGGAGGATGAAAACCCAGGGCTACGCAGACCTGGTGATTTCAAAGAGAAGCAGGTATCAAAGCATCCAACCAGTCTAGCTAGAATAGTTACTCACCCTGGCAGGTCTTCAAAGGTAAAATGCTGCTCTGGCTGTCGTATCAATCGCTGGGCGTGATATACGGCGACATCGGGACCAGTCCGCTCTACGTCTACTCAGGGACGTTCACGTCGGCGCCCTCTAGACAGGATCTTATCGGTGCCCTCTCCCTCATCATTTGGAGTCTCTTTATGATAGTGACGGTGAAGTATGTCTTTATCATTCTTCGTGCAGATAATGATGGTGAAGGGGGCACATTTAGCACGTACTCTCTGCTGAGTCGCTATGTAGGCATCCGATCATTGCTACATGGCCAAGAGCTAATACTGTCTCAGATGAACATCACCAATCGCGATCCGCGCGAGAGCTCTCTGCTCCAGATGAAGAGGTAAGTGACGGGCGATCTCGAAAGCGCCGGCCAGCATGCGCGCCATATTCTGGAATCCAGCACGTTCGCCAAGGGGCTGCTGAAAGTCATGGGCGTGTTGGCGGTTACCATGGTTATATCGGATGGACTGCTCACGCCAGCCCAGTCGGTGCTGGGCGCCGTCCAAGGCATCAAGGTTGTCCAGCCTGGCATCTCCAAGGGAACTGTTATCGGCACTACGGACGCAATCCTGGTGGTGCTGTTTTGTCTGCAGCCGCTTGGGATATCTAAAAACACGCTTGCCTTCTCTCCAATAGTGATTATCTGGCTTGGGTTCAACGCCGGGTTTGGGATATACAATCTCGTCACGTATGATGCCGGCGTGTTTGTCGCTTTCAATCCTGCTCTGGGATTTAAATTCTTGATCCGCCATGGGGAGCACGGATGGAAGATGCTGGGTGGCATCCTGCTGACCTTCACAGGGGTCGAAGCGCTCTTTGCAGACCTGGGTGCGTTCAGTCGAAGAGCCATTCAGATCAGCTGGCTGGGCTACACGTTTCCGTGCTTGCTGCTGGCCTATATCGGACAGGCAGCCTATATCAGCGTTCATCCAGAGGCGTACGCCAATCCCTTCTTCAATGCTGCTCCGCCGGGAACCATGTATCCTGCTCTGATTATCGCAATTCTGGCTGCCATTGTCGCATCGCAAGCTATCATCACGGCCACGTTTCAGGTGAGGCAATCCATACGATAGAATCACTCTGCGCTGACTATTTGCATAGCTCCTTGCTCAAGTAATGAAGCTCTCGTACTTTCCGCAGATCAAAATCATCCATACCTCCAAGGCTTTCCACGCCCAGCTCTATATCCCCGTAGCGAACTGGCTGCTTATGATCGGGACAATACTCGTAGCATCCATCTATAACAATGTAAGCATCGCCACGTTTTCTTCCTCCTCATGCTTATTCCCTCTAGACCACCTCCCTTGGCAATGCCTACGGTGTGTGCGTCATGTTCGTGACCTTCTTCGACACCTGCATGGTCTCACTAGCTGCCATGTTTGTCTGGCGTATCAGCCCATACATCATCGTCCTGCCATTCCTCGTCTTCGCCTGTCTGGACGGCACGTTCCTCTCGTCCGCCCTCACCAAAGTCCCCGTCGGCGCCTGGCTCACCATCACCCTCGCCACCCTCCTCGCCCTCCTCCTTCTCCTCTGGCGATACGGCAAGGAACAACAATGGCTCGCAGAGGCCGAAGACCGCTTCCCAACATCCCACCTCGTCACCACCACCGATGGCCATCTCCATCTCACCGACCGCTTCGGCAGCACCCCCATCAGCACCACCCGCGGGCTAGGCATCTTCTTCGACAAAGCAGGCGAAACCACCCCCATCGTCTTCACCCAGTTCCTCGTCAAACTGCTCTGCATCCCCGAGGTCGTCGTCTTCTTCCATCTCAGACCCCTCGAGACGCCCTCCGTCGCCCTGGAAAACCGGCACTCTGTCTCCCGCCTCGCCATCCCAAATTGCTATCGTCTCGTGCTGCGCTACGGATACAACGACCACATCATCACACCTGACCTGGCATCAGTCATCACCGATCAGATCCGTAGATATCTCTTCACGAACGCCGAGTTGCCGGATTCCCCTGCCCATGACAGCCCCTCCGGCGCCCCCTCGGTCAGCGAAGGGCAGCTAGGTGGCGACCTGGCCCGGCTCGACGACGCATACAAACATAGCCAGCTTTACATTATCGGCAAAGAAGAAATGATAATCAAAAAGAGCCGAAACTATGCGCGAACGGTTCTGTTGCATGTCTTTCTCTGGTTGAGGGATAACACACGGACTAAGATGGCCAACTTGCGTGTGCCAACGGATAAAGTTATCGAGGTCGGCTTTCTGAAGGAGCTTTGACTGTACATGATGTTTCCAGCTTTAGGATATTTCATCGACGAGGACAGACTGGAAACCTGTCACTAGTCTTGTACTGGTGATAATGAGGCGAACCTGGTTCCCTGGAGTGGAGTTTTCACAGGATTAGGCCATGGCATATTTTGATATGGGAGAGTTAACAATAATAATAATATTGTATATTCATTCTAAAATCAGATCTTGATGGTGCCCTAAAACGAACGTAGTGAAAAAAAGGTAAAAAGTCAACGAACCTACGAGGGCATACATATTATCACTATTAGAATCTCCAATTTTTGATGACTTCGGTTCGCCAAGTCTTAGGAATATAGGAATTCTTTATCTGGACCCAAACCTCATATGTTCAGTGTTAAGGTTTCAGTGTTCACCTTAGAATAGATATAGAGTATAAGCTGATAACAAACCCGCCATATCACATGTGACATCATGCGCATGTTGTAGGTGTTAAAGTGGGATTTCACTATTGCTTAGTCTGACCAATCCGGCCACTACATTCGCTCGTTCCATATTTTCATTATTCTTAATGACCCTGGGTCGCTACATATCCCATTCATGTAATTATTGATATACAGCATTATTTAATGCTTCGCCCATTCATTAGATAGCAACTCAGACCTTCATATATATCCATTTCATACATACACGTATGCTGTACGGCTTCATCTCATCATTCCAATTGATCTCTCCTTAGTTAACTAACTAGTTAGTAATCCATGCACTGGTCAGCGGAGCGCCTTGAACACGTGACCTTGCTTAAGGGATATCGCCACGTATCGGTCAAGCACTGGAAACCTTTCTACTTCCTATCACGCCCCACATTACCCCACCCAAACAAGACCTTCCCACAAGCACTGTCTTCCTGTGTAAACAATTCGAGACTTGGCGGGGATATTTTTGAGAACAATATGTCATCAATGAAAATTAGGATTTCAAAGGACGAGGGCAATAAGTAAGTCCTCCCCCTTTTGGCTTTGCTTCAGGCTAATCATTAGCAAAGACTTATGGGACGATCTGTTGATGTAGTGGTAGGAAATCAGCAAGAACCCTTTAGTGTCCATGAGAATTTGGTCCGCACATCTTCTCGTTTCTTTGACAAGGCTATGGCGGGTAAATGGAGGGAATCTTTACAACGCACTGTCAAACTCCCAGACGAAGAACCGAACATATTTACGCTGTACCTGCACTGGCTCTATTATGGTGCACTTCCTGTGTATTGCGACAAACCAGGTCTCGCAGGGAATTCTGAATACCTTGAGCTGGCCAAGGCCTATGTCCTGGGCGATAAATTGCTAGATTCCAAATTCCAAGACACGGTCATTGACGCCATTATCGAGAAAAGCCTCTCAAAAGCAAAAGATGGGGCTTCTTGGTACCCTGTTGGCGAAGTGATAGAGTATGTATACTGCAATACACATGAGTCCGCTCCAATTCGCGAATTACTTGTGGATATGTACGTTTATTACGGATACAGCGATTGGCTCCGAGACTATAATGAACCAGAAAATGTTCCGCAACCTTTTCTCTTGAAGCTCGCTTCGAAATTATTGGATCGGCGAGTTAAGTCTGGAGTCTCCCTGGAAGCTGAAAGGTACCATAGTCATGGCTCGAATGAATGAAATGTTCCTAATGATTTGTCAAGTTTGATGAAGGAGGACTCTAAAGTTACGGGGCGTCCGAGATATCTCGGGTTGAAATTTCAAGACTTGTATCACTACAGTTATGTATTATACAAGCAAACATTCAGTAGTATTAATATCCCGGGTCTTCGCTATAGTAGTTAATGTCTTCTGGCTAGGGTTTAAGAAGAATCGAAGTATGTATACAAAACTGGTGACACTAGTTTGCAAAGAACTGTAACTCCATTATACCTCTTCATATCAACGATCAGACCTACGTGCCGACAATGCTATTTTGCACTTCCTTTTTTTGCACCCAAAACACCAACACACTATATGATCTCCATTGCCGCTTAATACAATCTTTCAGTTCAGTGAAAAAACTCATTTATAGGATTCAGGTCCAGCAAGTACAGCGGCAAATATACTAGTTTGACTTCCACTTCTAAGCAAGTTTGCTCTATCTGCAAGGGGTAATGAAAGACATATTATATATAGCTAAAGCAGACTTTGGCTCAGGCCATTCCCGCAATGTTGGAGAAGCTCTTCAATAAAATCTTCAAAGACGGAAGCATCTACCAAGCCTCGAAACACACGCAAAAGAACAATACCATCTCAAGGCAAGTTTGAATACGTAAGGCTCTCACATATCCATCTTCTTTCCTTTTCACCATTTCAGGGCCTATAGCGTGCGCAGCGCGAGTCTTCCAGTACTCAGACAGTCATTCCTACTTTATTATTAGAATCCTAATCTGGTCAAGCTCTTCTTGGCTGATCTGGTTACTGTATCAGGCTTAGCCTATCTTATCAGACCCACTTGTTTTGATCCAAGCAGGTTTGTGGCTTGTGGCTCCTCCGAACAACTAGCCTAATTGGGAAATGCTGCATAGAGGCTGTGTTTTCTGAAGTTCATCATGACTGTATAAAAGGGCAGCTGAATTCATTAGAAACCTCATTGATTCATATTTCATATACTTACTACATATTAATTGAAAACACATCACAACAAAATGAACCGTTCAGAAGGTCCCCTTGGTATGCTCGTTCACGGAGTCACCTCGGGCATTGGCTTTGCGACCGAAGTATACGGATACAAAAAGTCGAAAAAAGCAGCGAAAAAGGAGCGAGAGCAGAAAGAACGTGAAATATCACCATCCCCTTCCGACTCTTCCCGAGAAGAGAAGAATGGATTTCCAAACGAGAAGACAACTGAAGCAGACTATGCTGCCCACGACGAAGTCGAACGCTCATGGCAACTCGACGAAGCACAAGACACCCTCGTCGAATCTAAACCCCACAAAAGCAAATCCGGCGTCGCCAACCCAGATAAGGTCATCGGCGCCTTTCTCCAACGTCAACCTCCCCCATATTCATCATCAGCAGACGGCATCCCCATACACAGACTCACATACCCCATCGCAATCCCCCAGCGCCGTCCCAAAGATAAAAAGCGAGGTTTTATCCGCGCCTACGCCCCCGACCTACAAAACATGGGCATCAACCAGGATATGTGGTTTGATTTCATCGAGACGCTGAATGAAGCCAGTCTTGCGAACCCGTGGATCAACGCGATTAATCTGGCGTCGATTGCGTTTTCGCCTCTGCCGACTGTGATTTCGCAGTCGATTTCCATGGCGATTATGGTTGCTACAACTGTTGCTATTGAGGCGCAGAGTCGGTATCGGTATGATCCCTCTAGCTCTATCACTAAGGAATAAGATGCTAATAGTGACTAGACAAAACAAAGCCCTCGACAAACTCAACAAGGAATTTTTCAACCCCCGCGGCCTCTTCTGTCTAGTAATGACCTGGGATCCGACATCTGTCAACGCCCGCACCAACGTCAACGTCCACACAACCATCCAAAACACAATCGACGGCCAGGGCAAAATGAAACATAAATTTCAATCTTCCAACGGCATCACGAATGGAATGGAGAATATGCAGACTGCACAGCTCGTCTTCCCGGGTCTGGACCTTCTCGCGTCTGCAACGGATAACGAGCAGAAGGGGTTCAAGGAGAAGATGAAACGTGGGAAGTTATTTGTGGATGATTATATGGATCGAAAGGCACAGGCGAAGTTTGTAAGTATACACCTATACCTACTTGTTCGAGGTACTAACGTTGGACAGATCGCGGAGAATCCAAATAGCCACCTCAACCAGGCTGGAAAACCAAAGTTCGTCTCTAAATATGCTGATCCTACGCATCCTATGCATAGCGGTTTATCCAATATTATGGGCCGCCAACAGCAGAACGGTGGCTCTGGCGGAGGAACCAGCTCTGGACGACGGGATGGCATGGAAAGAGGGATGGGAGGGAGAGGAGGTGGCGGTCCTCTGGGACTGGTCAACATGGCTATACAGGCTGTTGGTGATCATGGCCAAAATCGGAGTACTCCACCTGCCCCGTACGGTTCTAACTCTGAACATTACGATGAGCACAAGGGACAGCAACAATATCAATATCAACAACCATACCAACAAGGCAGTGCAGGAGCTGGTGCTGGGGGTTTAAGCCTAGGCAACCTCTTTCGTTCGGTAAGTCGTCTGGTCCCAGATATATCGCATGAATTGACTGACATTCATACAGAAAGTACTCTACCTAATGGTCGTCAACATGCCAACTGACGACGAAATGGCTCAAGCGCAACGGTTGACTGCTGACTGGAATATCCAGGGGCATCAACAGGAATTCTAGTTTTATTATAGATCGTGTCGTTTTCTTATTTGCGATATCCTATCTTGCTAGTATAATTAATTCATCCGAATATAATCTAATTATACATGACAGTCTATAGATCACAATAGTCTTAGTATTTACTGTTTTGCCAGTTGCAGTCTTCCTAGCATAGTAAATAGAATAGAATGAATCGTAAGAGCAAGTTAACCACTGACGCAAGACTACTTGTCTCGAAGGGTTGTAAGCCAGGTAGGAGAAGATCGCTTAGAGACGAGTAATATTACCGACTGAAGATAATCACTGGAAAAAGGATACAATGAATTTTATAATATAATATAAAAGCTAGTCCGTTTTCCTATCCCTTTTTTGAATTATTCAGCGCCTTGCTCCATGTTCAGTAACTTCAAACTTGGACTATCATTGATGGATATAATTCTATTAGTGTTCTATATTACTATACAGATACTGATGAAAAGCTCATGTTCAAGATCGCGACTAAGACAACAACACCTCCGGCTGATACGGCGCCGGAGTCCTATCATCAATCGTCCCATTCCAGCAATATTTCTGAAAGCACCGAGCACAAGCCTCCGGAACAGGCGTATCAGTTCGATCAAACGACCGGCTGAGAACCGCGCATCCCACACAAGTCGACCAATTCGAGTCAAAAGTGCCATTCGCCCGAGTCGCAATGTTATAACCATTAGTAATCATGGCGTCGCGGGCAGACGCATTGTAACTCGTCTCGGTAATCGTCACGTTCGACATGTACGTAATGGGTTGGTTGGGGAGGTACACGACCAACGGCGCGGGGGTGGTCATATTGGAACTATCACAGCCGAAGAAGGCCGGACGGGCATTCAGACCCAGATTGACGAAGGTATTGTTGTCTGGGATGGAAGGGAAGGAGGTGTCGTTGGCGAGACCGGCGAGGGTGCGTTCGTAGGTGTGCATGAGCGAGGAGCCAGTCGGCCAGTTGTCGCCATAGCTATTGTAGGAGTCGACGGCGAAGATGATGTCCACGTTGCGCTTTCGTTGAATGAGAGGGTTGAGGGGGATGTTTTCGCTGTTTTCGCCACCGTCGACGACGGTTAAGCGTGTGTCTTGTGCGAATGGGGATGTGGCTTTGTTGTATTGGTAGAATGGGTTGGGGTCGTAGGCTGCGGGGCCGTTGGTGGTTGAGTTGGATGAGCTGACGGCGCTTCGGAAGTCATTGAGATAGGTATTTACCTCCTTTGCGACGGAAGAGTTGGCTGGGTATTGATGTATCAATGCACGTAGGGTCTGGGCAATGTCATTCCCTCCCTCGTTCCATGTATCGCTCGACGTGCCGGTGATGAAACCGGCATTGTCAAAGCCACGCACGCAAGTCTCGTTATCTGGCACGACACCGTCCACAAATCGAGTGCCCAGATACTCGAGTGGGGCGAAGCCATAGATGTTGTCGTCGTAAGTGCCAAATTCCCACGGGGAGATTTCATACATCGGATCTGTCATGTTGGCGTCCTCTGAGGACTTGTCGAAGAACTGGCCATCAGCGACGACCAGAGGGAGTGGCATATCGCCGTGTTGGAAGGCGCTGGTCTTTGCAATGGAAGACCATGTAAGGTCGACTCCGCCATGGCTGGCGTTGAAAAAGTAGTACCCTTGCATCCGGCCCCTACAACGGTTAGTATGCTTTAATAACAGCAAGAAGAAGGCGCTTACCAGAAATCCGTATCACTAGTCACAAACCCAGCGTCCTTCTTCGCCTTGACCTGGGCCGTGATCTGAGCCCAAAACTGCGTACGATTCATACTATCCGGCCCATAAATAATAGCCGGGGAAGAAAAATCCCAAAAGTCCTCCTGCAGCGCAGAGATCGTCGTGAAATTATTCATATACACCGAGCCCAGCATCCACGAGCCCCCACTAAGTGCTGAAAAATAAGTAGCCGACTGCAGCAAACCACCCAGCTGGCCGTGTGCAGTTGTACCCTCGGTACGGGCATCGAAGGCTTTGATGGCGCCGGCACCGGTTAGGGCGGCTGTCATGCCACCACCTGATACGGCGAGGGCGATATTGGGGAGGTTGGATGGGTTGCAAAAGTGGTTGTTGAGGTAGCTGACGGCGTCGAAGTTGTCGATCTCGACGTGTCCGAAGAAGTCTTTTAGGGCTGATGCGGTCTTAGCGCGTCGAGTGGTGAGCCAAGATGTTTCTTCGGGGGACAGAGTGGAAGCGCCCCGAAGAGATGGTCGGCTTGCTGGACAGGTAGCATGGACTGGGGCATAGCCGTTCGGTGTAACTCGGTGGGTTGGTGGGTGAGGAACAGCAGTTGCATCTGGACGCATTAGTATTTGTATACAAAACCGAAAATAGTGACTTACAGGGCAACAGGCCCAAGGCAATTGAGAGAGAAAGAGTAGCCTTCATGATCCAGGTGACTGAAGTGACTATTTTGAGAACCAGGAATGTGCTTGTCTGTCTATAGATATAGACATAGATACAGATTTAAATCTTAATATAGACGCTAACCCCAATGCAGCAACGAGCTCAGCCAGGAAATGTGGGGGCCAAACAGGTGGGGCCAGGTGACGTTTTTAGGCCCCCAACAGGGCAGGCAAGCCTTTCGGCCCGAATCTGCAAACCGTGGCTGTGTTTTTCCTGCAGCCAAGGAGTTAAAAAGCAAGCAATTCCCCAGCTAGCTCTTGGGCCTCCGAACTTGTTACCGCTTTGGGGGTGTTCATCAGACCCACATCCATCCTGCGATGATTTACCGAGGAAAAATCAGCCTAGGATGTGCCTTGTGCCGCAAGCGACGGCTGGCAGTGAGTACGTGTCTAGAGTGGGGAATCATTAGCTGAAATATAATATACAGTGCGATAGGGGTAGGCCGTCGTGTTCGCAATGCTTACGAGTTAATAAAAAATGCTATGGATATCGAGATCCCAATGCACTGCGGGTCTACGATCAGACCAAGGAAGTCATCACACGCAGTGCGACTGTGGAGAGAATAGTTCCTCAGCCTGTCTCAATCACCAATGACGACCGAGCCATCTCTCACCTCTTCCACTACTATGTCGGCACTGTGCAAAACCCAGGTGTAATGTCGTACTTGCCAGCCCTACTGAGTACAGATCCCTCTCCTGCGCTCCAAGCCACCATCAAAGCCATAGGGCTGGCCAGTATACCGAGAAGGCCGGAATTAAAACGACTGGCAGCGGAGCAATACGGCATAGCCCTGCGCGCGACCAATAACGCGCTCAGGCACCCTGATTCGGCATTGTCCGACTCCACTCTGGGTGCTGTGTTCTTGCTGGGTGGGTATGAGGTGGGTTTCCTACCACACGTTGTCACCTGAGACTTTCTCATCCATGGCAGATGATAACATGTCAAGCCTCGGACTTTCTGCATAACTGGATAAACCATGTTCATGGCGCGACGAAGCTACTCGAGCTACGAGGCGCAGGGCAGTTAGACACGCAGGCCGGGCTGGAATTGTTTATCATCGTGCGTATTCAAAATGTAGTCACTTATTCGCCAATAGCTTTCTATTCTACTCTAATACATTATTGCAGGCAATCAGCAGCATGTTTTTCAGACTTCCCAGCCACAGCTACAATTCGCCAAAGATAGCAGCATTGTCCGAAGCTGCAAGAGCCAAGGGGAACCAACATTTCCAGCCAATTGAAGATTTGTTCGATCTACTCGTCGAGATGAACGATCTGTATATCGAGGCTGATGGCGCAAAGTTGAATCACGAATCTATCGAGTCATGGATCGCGAGAGCTCTCCATCTAGATGCTAAGCTACAGTCGTGGGCTATTTCGCAAAGTTCATTTTGGCAGTATACTGTCGTTGATAGATCACTAGGCAATCATATATATCCTATGTATGGTGACCGATACCATGTATACAACAGTGTCGTCATTGCCTCAATTTGGAACCACTATCGCCAAACACGGATCATCCTCAACCAGATCATCAAATCAATGTCTCTCCGTCTGGGGGCGCTACAACAGACACCTGAATATCAGCTTCTCGTGCTTGAGTGTATCGCCAACATCGCCCAGATGGCAGATGAGATTTGTGCGAGTGTCCCGTATCATTTTATCTCCGGTGAGGTGGTTTTTGGGGGTACATTCCGCCTGTTGTGGCCGTTGTTCTTTGCGGCGAAATTTGCACCCACTGAATCAGCTGTAAGGGAGTGGATACTGCATACGCTGGATGAGATTGGGAGGAGTACGGGTCTGCAGCAGGCCATTGGAATGTCGAAGGTTGTGACGGAGGAGAATTTGTCACTTATTCTCCCTGTGGCGTAGTATATATGTCTGTATATTCAAGCTTATATACACGTCATCTCGATATTTAATACGCAAGTCATGCAGACTGCATAAATACAGTTTTAGGACTTCTCTTCGAAAGCCTGGTCTATGTCATAGTGACATCGATATGAAGACCAAAAATTAAAAAGAAAACATACAACAACAAAAGTATGGTGACTCTGCTCAATCTGTCACGGGCGCTTACTGCTTTATTTAGTCATACTTTACCTACCTTAAGTATCTACACCAATGTTATCGTGTGGGGTTTCCGAATTAGGAATTTAGCGGGAGTGGGACCTTCTACTATATAATAATACTATCACCTGCAGACTCTTTCTAGATCCTGAAGAGGTCTCTGAGCTAGAATTACTTTTACTATCCCCATTCTTTAGTAATATTCACATATTCAGACATAAAAGCAACGGCACTGCAAAATCAACCTCCTATAATAAACCCAGCGACTTCACAGTGCTAACCTGGGATGTCTTAATCTATAAAAATGTCATTCGTCTCCTTCGCAGGAGCACGTTCCCCATTTTTCTCCGCAGAGGTAACAGAATTGCGCTCCGCAATTGCATCTGTTTGATTTCGTCAGCGGCATTACATATCTTGCGAGAGGAACAGATCACGCACGTCATATGATTACACCCAGTATCCAATTCCACAATGGCCCTACACGCGAAGCAACGCTGCCACTTTTCATTCAAAGCAAGAGCCAATGTAGCCTGTAGATCGTGATCCTCGGGGCAGTCATCCCGATGAGCAGGTTTCTTGCAAATGGTGCATGTTACGCTGCCACAGTGGGTACATCCCGCTCTATCTGATGTGACCTGGCGCGGATGAAGGAACCGATTGCACTCGGTATTGCTGCAGTATGTTCTGTCGACTGTGGAAAACTCGATCTCGGCGTTGCTGAACGAATCGAGCTGTTGGGGTGTCATTTTGCCCGAGATTAGAAAACTGGGGATCACCTGGCCATGGCATTTCGGGGGGAAGAGGCTTTGGTCGTTTGTTGATAGGAGGAATAGATTTTTGAGACAGTTTGTGCAGTAGAGATCTTTGCAGGGCAACCGGACAAGCTTCGATGGTTGATAGTCGTCGTAGCATACCGTGCATCTGAAAATAGCAGGGGCTGGCTTCGACAAAGCAGGCAGTCGGTGTATATTGATCTTGATTTTCACGGGTCTTGCAACTGGCACATCCACATCATCCATACTGGCGTTCTGGCCAGTATTAGACTCAGCTAGGTTTCCGTCACCCTCTGCTTGTATTTCCATCCGTGTCTCATTCGCGACGGGCTGCGCTCTATTAATACTGTGACCCCGTCTAAGATTTTTCAAAAACTCGATACGCGTGATCAACTCTTCTTGGAGAAAGTGAATGGCCTGGTCAGCATCTGAAGTGCCTCTCCAGTTGTAGAGATGAGTCAGCTCTTCGAGTCGGTCGACGACAGCTTGAATCTCATTGTTGAGATTTGACAGGAAGGACTCTGGAGTTGCCATCCTGTCGAGATGACAGATATCTGGCGATGGCGGAAAAAATGAGAAAGAGAACGAGGCGTAAGGGAAGAGGAAGGGAATGTTGGGTTGTGAGGGAAAGGGTGAAACAGAGATGATGCCTAGACACCCGAATCAGGCAATAGCTTAGGCAGTCGACATCGCCTCACATTCCAGGCTCCTACCATCTTTCCCAAACTTACCAATCGAAGTTATTCCACCAGAGGCCAGAAGACTTGGAATCCTCTTTTATCCTCACATCATAACATTTCAACGAGAAGAAATATAGCAATTAATGTCCTGCAGTCTCAGTCACCACCGACAGTTGTCGCGTCTTCGTAGCAACCACATGGCAGTACCGCAAACCCTACTAAGAATCCTTAGTAATATTTCCCCGGAAGAGCTCAACATATGCGAGAAAAGAACCGAAAGAAGAATGGCATCATAAAAACACTGGGATAGCTGTGCTGATGAGCTCCTGGCAAGTATACGACAGAGTTTTTGGCTCCTTGCTCCTTTACGTTACTTGATTTGATGGCTAGTTTTCTTGGTGAAACTTTGTCTCCCCGGACATATGCAAAGACGAGAACGATGAACATACATAAAGGACATGAGGATGATGATTGTAGTTTGAAGATCCATAGCAACAGTCGAGTGCAAGTACAGCCTTGGGCTACGCGGTCCAGGCATAATTTTACGCTGCGCACAAATCCAATACAAAAGGTTCGATTCATCAAAGATACAGACACTGCTGTCAACGTCGAAGATGCAATTAGCAACATGGCGACGAGGATCCACATCTCGAAAAGGCTTCCCAAATCGACTGGTTAGGCAAAGCCAGAGCAAATAAGGTTTTCGGGGATTTGATATCTAGAGTTGATTGCTCTCCAACACTACTCAGGGGCTAGGACTTATCTATGGCGTGATTTGACCACGGGAATGATTCAACGGAAGTCGGGAATTTTCCTGAAACGGGCTGCTGTGCCAGATATATACTGATTGGTTGAATCGCATCGGTAGTATGAGGTGCGAAATATGCTTTTGACGCTATCTGGAATAGCAATTAACAACGTGCACTGACCTCCTCTATCCCAACTATAATACCGTGTCAGATAAATAAGCCATGGCGCAATGAATACTCAATCGATTACCAACTTCTTTTAGCTGCTAAAATGGCTTCTCGAAAGAACATTCTCCTAGTCATTGCGGACGACCTAGGCCGCTCGTTAGGCTGTTATGGAGAGAAAGCCATCAAAACGCCTCATATCGACGCGCTCGCCACAAATGGCACCTTATTTGAGAATGCTTTTGCCAGCACGGCATCGTGCAGTGGGAGTCGCTCTGTGATCTACACTGGCCTGCACACGCATCAAAACGGCCAATATGGATTGAACCATTTCACGCATCACTTTATGACCTTCGATCACATCCAAACAGCGCCAAAGCTCTTGCGCGACCATGGCTATCTGACTGGAATCATTGGGAAGATCCATGTAGGGCCTCCTACTGTTTATCCTTGGGAGGTCGTGGTAGAAAGCCCAAGCCGGGACGTGGCATGGGTGGCGGACGAAGTTGAGTCGTTCCTGGACCTGGCGCAAGACAAGGAGCGTCCTTTCTTTCTTACAGTCGGATACATGGATCCTCATCGGGACTCTACACGAGGCGGGTTCGGGAACGGTGATGATCAGGTGTCATCTGCGGATGAGATCTACGAGCCCGAACAGGTGGTGGTTCCTGATTTCCTGTCCGATATGCCCGAGGTCCGTCAAGAGCTGGCTGAATACTACCGTTCTATTGCGAGAGTGGATCGCGGGCTCGGTTTGATCATGGACGCTTTGCGGAAGTATAACGTGGATGATGAGACACTGGTTATTTTCCTCAGTGACAACGGCCCGCCATTTCTGAACTCCAAAACGACGCTCTATGATGCAGGCATCCATCTGCCTCTTATTATCCGTCAGCCTGGTGGTGCTAGAGAGGTGAAGAACCAGAACCTCATCTCTTTCACAGATATTCTGCCGACCATTCTCGACTGGGCTGGGTATCGCGAATCTCCAGATGCTTCTCCCTCACCCCAGCGTAAGGGCCAATCCCTCCTACCGATTCTTTCCAATCCATCAGTAGAGGGCAATTGGGAGAAGGTGTTTGGCTCACACACCTTCCACGAGATCACCAACTACTATCCCACTCGCTTCATCCGCACAAATCGGTACAAGTATCATCGCAACATAGCTTGGAAACTGGACTTTCCGTTCTCAACGGATCTATACGCATCGCTTTCTTGGGAGGGTATCCGAAATAGTCGCGGAGAGCAAGTGACGATTGGACGGCGCCCGTTGGAAGCGTACATCCGTCGCCCAGCCGAAGAGCTCTACGATTTGCAGGAAGATCCTAATGAAGTTGTCAATCTTGCCTTGGACTCGAAGTACGAGACTCTGCTGCTCAGCTTACGAGCAGAAATGAAGAAATGGCAACACGACACGCAGGATCCTTGGCTGGTCCAAGACGGTGTCTCTCTGCTGGAAATGAAAGGTCACATTGACGCGGGACTGGAGATACCCGATCGATTTGATTTTGATGCTGCGATACCCGGATCTAATAATTAGATAAATAGGGTCGGTTTAATTTTCTGTTTTCTGTATTCATTCTTAATGGAGGATTCTGCATCGACTGCGCTAAGGCCTCCAATCCTCCCGTCGTGTCAATATATCATCTCCTCGACCATGTGCTCGGACTCAAACTTAAACTATATCCTTCCAATCAAACTTATCCACTCTATTGCGCAACCCATACTAGGTATCACGACTGAGATGAAGATACGAACGGCACACTCTCTTCCCTAGGCTTGAATATAAATACCGTATGATGCGCCATGAAAGAATTACTGAGAAGAAAGAACATTAAAATGCCCTTTCCATACAAAGACAGCCGGTTCTACCAGAGCTTCACTCCTCAACTGTTAGGCTCTGTAAGCTTGATCGCACTATCCACGTTCAATTATGGGTTCGATAACCAGGGCATCGCTACCAGCCAGGCAATGGCAGCATACAAACGACAGTTTGGTGTTTATAATGCAAAGACGCACACATGGGCAATTCCAACGTACTGGACGTCTTTGCTGAATAGCCTCAATTTTATCGGTTTTGCTGTAGGTGAGTTTAATTCTGCGGTTCGAATGATCAAATGATGCCTCTGACACATTTACCGCCAGGGCTATATCTGGGAAGTCTCATCAGCGCACGGTACGGCCGCAGAATGGCAATGTTCTGCATGTCACTGTGGGCGTTGATGTCTGCCACGGTTCTCATCACGTCCTCGACAATCGAGCAAGTCCTCGCGGGCAGAATCTTAAACTATGCATACATCGGCATGGAACTCGCAACTTGTCCGGTTTTCCAAGCGGAAATCGTCCCTGCCCCGATCAGAGGATTAGCGGTAGGGACATACCAGACCAGTCTCTTGTTAGGCGGCATCATCATCAACAGTGTCTGTCGCGGAACAAGTAATCTCGATAGCAATGCTGCGTGGAGAATCCCCCAAGGCCTGTTCTATATCGTTCCCACAATCATAGCGTGTAGCATCTGGTTCATTCCCGAATCGCCCAGATGGCTGTTGCTTAACGATCGTGCTGAAGAAGCGTTGGACTCACTTCAACGACTCCGATCTTCTCAGCCCGGCTACGATCCCCAGCAGGAACTCGCCCTTCTCCGACTATCCCTGCACGAAGAGAAAGACCAAGGAACGTACCTGGATCTATTCAAAGGAAGCAACCGAAAACGGACCTTCATCGCCATCGGCATGAACTTCTTCATCCAGGCAACCGGCTCCCCATTTACCGCCGCATACGGAACGCTCTTCGTGCAATCGCTCAACTCGCTAAATCCATTCGATTTCTCCATCATGAGTTCCTGCATCAACACCCTCTCGTGCCTGGTTGCCATCTGCATCACTGATCGCATCGGACGACGACCCCTCTTGATGATCGGCTCTTGTCTCCAGATCGTCTGGCTATTTACAATGGCCGCATTGGGAACAGTCAGTTCTCCATCTGCGGCACAGAAGCAAACGATCGTTGCCGTCACGGCCTTGTCCTCTGCAAGCTTGTGTATGAGCTGGGATCCGCTCAACTATATCATCACGACGGAGCTTCCGGCCCCGAAACTGCGTGATAAGACGCAGCGGGTGGCCTCGTTCGTCAATATTCTTACAAAGTATGCGTCCTCCCACTTTTACTACTGTGCGTACTAATCCATTTCCATCAACAGCTTCGTCTTCTCATTCAGCGTTCCCTACCTTCTCAACGCCCCATATGCGAATCTCCATGCAAAAGTTGGATTCATCTTCGGGAGTCTTGCATGCTGTTCTCTTGTCTTTGCTTACTTCTGCGTTCCGGAAATGCGGGGCAAATCTCTCGAAGAGGTTGATCGGATGTTTCAGGATGGGGTGCCGGTCCGCAATTTTAACAGGGAGAATAGCGCTTTGAAAGATATGGCTGATGAGAGCCTGGATGCAGATGTCGAAGTGGTGGGCACTGCGAAGATTTGATCAGGCTGTGCTTTCTTGGATTGTGTGTTTTCCTTTGGATAGACTAGACAACTAATCCTTTAGTATTGGGAATAGACGTAGAAAGCTCGATCAAAAATAAATATTTAGACAATTTTTGTGGAATACTCATAGCCTTATGGTCTTCGCGATCTTTATAGCAGCACATACCGCATATTAAATCTCTACTTTACAGCAGTAATCCCAGAGTAATGGACCATATGAGCCATACGAAGACTACAATATACAGTAAAAGTTCAATGCATTCATTTCCAAAATAATCAGCTAATATAATCACCTCCGATAGCGAGCTGGCCCTTCGCGATCCAGGTCCACGATATCACGACCTTGGAACTCGCACTCGGACACCGGCTTATCCACGTTCTCAGGATCAGAAAGCCAGGCCACTGCGCACAGATACTCCGTCATAATATTGTACACATCCTTTGCCCTCAACTGAGCATCGTCGTATTTCACAGTCAGTCGTAACAGATCACCCTCCATCATCCCGGGCAGCCAGAAAAGACCAAAGTCGGACCGAGAAATGTTTTCGATGACCTTGATGGGATCGGAGGCGTGTTCCTTGTATCCTCCCATCCTCCAGTTGAGGCTTTGGCGGAAGATGATGTCGAGGAAGGATTTGGAGTCTGCTTCATCCAGCTTTCGGCATATTTCATCCATGGGAGCGTATATATGGGAAACAATATCATCTTGATCCTTGCTCATCCGGGATAGAAGCTGGAATGCCGTTTCCTCTGGTGTGATTGTCGTGCGGCTGAGACATTGGTTGATTGTAGGCCCGTCGATTTCTAAAATGTCGATACCTTTATTGTCGGGGTGGCTGTCGTCGGCAGATGGCCAGGTTCTGCCTGATTCGACAAGTCCAAAGATTGCCTCCTTCGCTCCAGTCATGCGGACATTGATTAATGCGCAGGCGCATCTGGCAATTATCGGAGGTGTGATGGCAAACTTGTGTTGCAATTCGGGGATCTTGGGCACATGGACAGCGCGGGTGATACCTCTGGTTCCAACGCTTTTGTCTCCATCCAGAAGAGGTCGCTCACTGGGGTGGCCGGGGGTTTTGTCGCTGTGGACCCAGCCTTGGTTGTCACCTTTGAGCCAGTGTGGTGCAATCTGCCGTGGCCACAGCGCATCCGTTGCACTCGATACTCCTCGAATGCTGTGAACGTGAAAGTCAACTGCTTTCTGGGCTGCGGGCCCAGCTCGGTTTCCTTGGTAGTCTGCGATATAATCACGGTATGGGTGGAAATTGAGAAGCTGGTCCTTGCGGTTTAGAAGATCCTTGAGGTCTTGAAACCATCGAAGCAGGATGTGGGCATCGAACGTAAGATGGTGCAGATGCATGACGATTCCAACAACTGATGGATTCTCCACTCTGACAATAGTAGCCCTGAACAACGGCCCTTTTCCATCGATGTAGTCATAGTCGGGATCATTCAGCTTATATGTTTCGACACTGTTTATGTCTTCAACAATCCCGCCGTCAATAACCTGTAGCCTCATCCAATCCTCACTGGGATGCATGACCAGATATAGATCTTGTTCCGCATCATATGTAACAGGCGTAGACCGCAGCAGTGGATGACGTTGTAGCCAAGTGTGCAAGGCTGCCTGAACATCTGCGACAGTGAGTGATGAGTTCGCAATCCACGACATCCGAGTGTTCCACGAGTTCGGCCTGTATCCATAGTAGGTCCGTTTCACACAGTCTGCAACCGGCACGACTTCTTCGACATCATGCCATCCTAATCCAATCGCGTCCAACTTGGAAGAGGCCACCTTTTCTGCCCGCTCCATGTCGAGCTGTGCCGGAAGAGCATGGACTGAGTCACGACAGTGAGAGTCGTTGACATTTTTTCTTTCGTTGAGCAGTTGTGCCTGTTTTCGAATTGTGTTGAACTTGATCAAATCAGTCTGCGTGATGACCAGTTGCAGCTTTTGGCTTATCAGGTGGCAAAACTGGATTTGCATCATACTATCGGCGAAGGTTCGTATCGAGGCATCATGGTCGATGTCCCTAGGTTCCAAACCCGTTACGCCGGACCATAGTGTGGTTAATTCTGCTGTAAGGTCGTCGGAAGAGATTGGATTGTCGACGGTGACCTGATTGAGATGCTCAGTCACCCATTCTCGAAGCACTGTTTTCTGGATTTTGCCAGAGGTTGTAGTGGGATAGTTATCCTTTCCAAGGTCATCCTGGAGATCAAGAATGCGCGCTGGGGCAAATAATGGACCGAGTTCATTCAAAGCCTTCACCTGAAGGGCTTTTTTCACTGGCAATTGGCCTGAAGGATCTTTTCGCATCACAGCAACAGGCACTTCGCCCGCAACAGCATCTGGAGTTCCGACAACATACACGTCCTATTACAAAAAGTCAACACCCCTTGATCAAACCAGGTCGAGGCTGACTCACCTTGATCCCATTCACCTCGCCCAAGCACTGTTCGATTTTCAACGGAGATATGTTCTCGCCACCCCGGATAATGAGATCTTTATACCTGCCGAGTATATAAACAAAGCCCTCGCCGTCCATATACCCTTGATCTCCTGTAGCTATCCAGTTCACCCCGTCCTCATGATACGATGAACCATTACTCAAGCCCATATAGCCACCAAACACTGGAAGACCACCGAGGTGCACCTCGCCAATCTCGTCTTTGTGGATAGGGACGCGACTTCCTTCAGCACAGATCCGGGCTCGCCCACCGTAGAATACCTTCCCAACAGAGACATCCCTTTTTGCCAGGTCCAAGGACGTGTCATCGAGGGAGGTATTGACGAAAGGTATGCCCTCCGTCATGCCATATCCTACCATAACCCTTGTCGCCCCCAGCTCCCTACAACGTTTCACAACGTCCAATGTCACTGGAGCACCGCCTAGAAGAACCTCAAACGAAACGCCAGAGCTGTGCTGAGGCGACACACAGTTCAATAAAGCATGTATCATGGCCGGGACACAGGGGGCTGTAACCCGTTGGTAGGATCTGATCAGCTGCAAGGTGCTCTGTGGGTTAAAAGAAAAGCTTGGGAAGATGACAGTAGCACCAGCCAGCCAGAATGCAAGAGTAAACGCAATATTGAAGACATGAAAATTGGGCAAATGCTGGCAAAGATTAGAACTGGGGACTAGGTTCAACTCCTGCATAAATCCCAACCCTTGGGCACCGATCGAGATGGATGTGTGCGGACAACCTTTGGGGAGTGCAGTGGTACCACTCGTGAACAAAATAAGCAATGTATCATCTGGACTCCCGGGCTCAGGCAAAGCAGGAATATCTAGTAAGGGTTCCGACATGATTGTGGACAGCGTCGTCCACCCAGCCGATATAGTAGTCTCTTCACCGTCGCTGACAACGCACTGTACAATAGGCCGTTGGCCTTGATCGATTGTGATCTGGTCAATCCGGCTCGCCATGGCCTCGGTCGATACAAAGATTGCTGCTGGTTCCAGCTGGTCCAGGAGAAACAAAACATCCCGTGCGTCGCGATCGAGCACCCGCGGATCCAGTGGCACGAATTGGCAGCCCAGGCGGGCAGATGCCCAGAAAAGAAGTGCCCACTGGGCTTGGTTATACATGAGGGTCACGATCCCACTTTCATGACCAACACCTTTGGCAGATAGACGGGCGGCCAGTTGGATGCTCTTCTCCTGTAACTGAGCAAAGGTCCAGCGCAGATTGTCCTGATGGAGAGATATGATGGCATCATGATCTGGGAATTGGTCGGCGACTTGATCGAGAAGTGTGATTAAATGGGCGGTTGACGCCTTTTGGTTTTCATGGCAGGCTTCGGCCAGCAAATAGTTCGCCATTATTGATGGGGATTGAGATACAAGGCGAAAGAAAATATGGTAGAAGAAAGATCGGACGTACGAAGAATATCTCATATGGGTTTCTATATCATCTGCCTCTCACTAGACTTCATGGCTTGTACCCCTGTACTGCCGAGCTGAATGATCGTCCATCAGGATTGTCGGGAATTAAAAGTTCGAGAATCACTAGTTCAATATTAAGTTTCCCATGAGGGCTGGAATTCAATAGTGTTCTCTTGAGCGGATACCAGATCGACCCAACCAACTCTGATCGGCTGAAGAGGATTTCTTTTTATTGTTGTTTACTTTCTTAGCTGGACAGGGTAGGGCTGGCAGAAGTTATGGAATTATCAATTCACTACTAAGCCGACTTCAGTTCCTTTTTAACACCAATAGGCCTGAACTCATGGTAAACAAATAATCAAATACAAACTGCTTGACATAAATTACTATGCAGAAATCTCCTATTTCGGTAATCATATTAAAGTCAAATATGCTTGTTACAGCCGCGCCAAATTAGGTTCACCCTCCCATGGAATAATCTTCACCAATATAGTGGCCAGCTCATCCAACTTATCAGGGCTGACCGAGATGTTCCACCTCCACAGTCGAGGAACGTCTCTCCTTTTGATCGTATGCGAGACTTCAAGTCCAGTTGTTCGGTAGTAATTCAAGACGGTGGGGTGCGTAGTAGTGCTCGAGCCCAACATGCGTGTTCGGAATGGCTTCGATCGATGCCCAGATCGGCGCTGAAGCTGAGCTTGCTGTCGCTTTTGGAAAGTCTGGCTGTCCTCGCTGACAGCTGCTCGCTCGGCTGTGGCAAAGGCCTCCAGAATCATGCCCCGTTGCCGGTGTTGAGGAGAAACAAACGAGGTTCCGAGGAACCAGGACGATTCATGACAGTCGTTTTCATTGTCGTGGTAGGGTTCGTGGTGACAGCGAGGTCCGTAGAGACTGGAAATCAATGCCCACTCGTTCTCCCAAACAGGGGTTTGCAGGGTACCATCATCTGCCCGGGGAACAGCGATGATGACCCTAAAAGCAGGCTCGCAGAGCATGGAAATCCATTGTGCTTCGGACATGCCGGCTTCCTTTTCGTAGGAGGACCCGAAGCTGTCAGGGGCTGTTTTGAGTGCGTTCAGGCGATATTCGATGTATTTTGGGACCCATTGCTGTACACTCGCCTCGTCATGAGGTAGTATTTCGAAGTGATATTGTGATAGCGGGGGCATGATGTGAATGGTAGAGTTGGTTTTTGCCTGAATGAATGACAAGTCTGGGGGACAGAGCGCAAGAATTTATCTTCGTCTCCCGAGTGTCTATGTCTTATATAATACTCAAGAAGTACAAATTCTGCAGCATTCAGTTGAGCTCAGCTGAATCCAGCGTTCAGTGCTAGTAGAATAAGTGGGTTCGGTAGAGAGTGAGATCGCCATTCATGTCGGCTATTGTTATGGATCATCCAACATGGCGGATATTCACAGTCATCGTAGAATATATTTGGCTGTCTCTGCGATGATCTACATATTGATTTATCTAAACTATTAGGACTTACAATAAGTAATATGCTCCCAGTGGATGCTTGAGTTTTATCTGGATAGATAAATAATTATCTATGAACATGCATGGTAATTGATAAAAACGCTATACTGATTATTCATATCATCGCTCACGATTTTACTACATTATCACTGCACTTTCTTTGCAGCATTTCACCGCTCATATCTAGGTTTATTTCCATGTAGCCAATATGTTTTCCTTCTATTTGTATAGCTTTTAACATATTATTGTTGTTATGTATGAATTAACATCCTGGTGGAGCGAAGGCGGAGCTATATGTTCCTAAGGCATGCGCCAAACAACCCTAATTACCCCCCTAATGCTGACCTCCCTAGGGGTATCAGGACAGACTAAGCTATGGAATTTTATATAGATTAAAGACCTCAGATAGCCACTCTAGCTAGAAAGTAAAGTCGATTTCGCTAGTCGACTGTGCCCCTTCCTAACAGCTGAATTGGATATACTCTGTAAAGAAACGACTGCCTTATAGACAAGAAGGACCCACTATTAATACTAGGTCCTGATGAAATTTTCTTAGCGTACTGGAGCTAGGATCTCAATACAGCTTGCTGTTCCGATCTGGCTAATCATAAGCCTCTATGTCATTTCTTTTATTTTCCTCATATGTATTTGCTTTTTTTCTTAACCCCACAATATTCATTAATTATTTGTATCTAGTGAGTTGTACGGGATGATTCCGTTAGCTAGTATGTATTTCGATTTTTTATCTCTCTACTCTGTATACTACTCTGTAGATATCTTCAAAGCCGATTTTGTTGATTCCAGTGCTCTATAATATAAATATATCTTCTACCCAACACTGAATTTAACAATAATTATAAGAACAACCACTCAGTAACTTCCATTTCATTCTTTATAGACAGCTTAAGGACAATCCCCATTTTCTCTGTAAAAGTCCTATTCTCATAATACAAAATTGATCTTTATCAAGACTCAAGACTACATTGATCGTGTGATCGTCAAGCATCTTTTTTCCCTTCCTTTCTCTCTTCTGATTACCGATTTTCGATCTGCTGGAACGGAACCAGCTGAGATCAGACACGTCAAATAGCTTAACAGAGTTTTTCAGACTATTGAAGTTTGAACCTTCCCGCGTCTATGCAGATTCGAGATTTTATGGGATATCCACTGAGATCAGATGGCACTAGTTACTACGGTACGGTCTACTACTGTACTAGCACGAAGGATTGTTGGTGGGTCTGATATTTGCTCTCGAGGTCTCCCCCACCAACCAATTAAATGATTTTATAAAATTAAGGTAGGTAAGCCCGATAGTGCCAAGCTCCGTTCGATAAAGCTTTTGAAATTGAACAGTCGAATTTCTGGAATCCCGATGGTGTAGTGGTCTACGCAAATTGTGATCATTGCCTTGGAGCCACAGTAGTAGTACCTAGTACATTTCTGCGGTACTATTATCAACCACGTGCAGATCTCTAGGCTATCATTTCTTTTTTGTATTCTTTACTCCATAGTATTTACCCCACCATACCTCAGCTGCAATTCGCAAGAATGAATAAAATAGGGGTCACGTGAGTTAACTGCCCCCTTTGATCCTCTTCGTCTTTGATTGACGCTTTCTGCTCCAATTTCCTAAACATCTTGAGTTTTCGGCAACTATATCGACACATCAACCAAAGCAAATGGAAAAGCTGAAATACGATGTTACTTCAACCCAGGCCCCGAAGTCCAGCCAAGAGAAGATATTGGAAGAAGATGGTAGAATGGGTAAAACTGAAGAGCAAGAGCCAGCAATAGAGCGCCAAGACTATATCACTGGCTTGAGGCTTGCGCTGCTGTTGTCGGCCTTGACGTCGGCTGCTCTTCTTGTGCTTATTGATACTTCTATCGTTGCCCCGGTAAGCTTGCTTTGAGATACTAGGGACTGCTAGTTAGGCCATGTTCCTCTTGACTAATGACATGTCATCATAGGCAATTCCCCAAATCACAAGCCATTTTCATTCTCTCTCTGATGTGGCGTGGTATGGTAGTGCATATCAGCTCACCAGGTATGACCGTCATTATTACTATCTTTTTGGCTCCACTAACATCTGATCCAGTGCATCTTTTCAGCCACTGACCGGGAAGCTATATGCATACTTCAACACCAAGGTGCGCTGGCCCATATTTCATTTTCTTGTTAGCGGAATAGCTAACAGTTGACAGCGGATTTTCATTACGCTGCTGGGCATTTTTATGCTCAGCTCCTTGATCTGTGCCTTAGCATCCAGCTCGAAAATGCTCATTGTTGCACGGGCATTGGCAGGCATCGGAGCTTCAGGTATCCAAAATGGTGCCTTGACGATTATTACCAGATCCCTTCCACCGAAGAAACAAGCACGTATGCATCATGGCACCTTTCTACTGTGTGGAGACTGAATGGAATCTCACTAATATTGCTCTTTGACAGCCATGACCGCCATCTTGCTTGCGAGTAAGTAAGCCAGTTTGATACATCCTGGTATATTTCCTCTGACCTGTGATTTTTTAGTTGCTCAGCTCGGCCTTGTCCTCGGACCGTTGATTGGAGGAGCGCTAACGGAATATGTATCCTGGCGATGGTGTAAGTACTCTGTGTGTCTTCTTGTCTGGATTTCTTGCCGATTATCTATCTTGCAGGCTTCTACATCAATCTTCCAATCTGCGCCGTCATTACTCTTGTCTTGCTTTTCGTCACTATCCCAGAACCGAAATCTACCAATGATCATCTCCCAACCATCCAAATCATCCGAGAGAAATTAGATCTGATTGGATTCTTCATTTTCGCACCAGCCATCATCCAGCTCCTCCTGGCACTCGATTACGGTGGAAACCAATATCCTTGGGATAGCTCCACTGTCATTGGTCTTTTTTGCGGCTCAGCCACCATGTTCATCTTGTTTCTGACATGGGAGTACCGCACCGGTCCAGAGGCCATGTTCCCTCTTCACATGGTCTCTCAAAGAATAGTCGCTTGCTCCTGTCTCTTTATGTTATTCCTCGGGGGGATGAACGCCTGCGCAACATATTATCTTCCTCTTTACTTTCAAGTGGTGAAGGGGGTGTCTCCGATGATGAGTGGTGTTTCTACGCTCCCAGGCATCATCAGCCAGTTGATTCTTGTTATTCTCTCTGGGTTTCTGGGTAAGGAATCTCACCGACCTCTTCCATAAATAGCATTGACTCTGATGATTTTTTAGTGAGAAAGGTGGGCTACTATCTTCCGTTTAGTATCAGTAGCGCGGGACTATTATCACTTGGAAACGGGTTGCTATCTCTCTTATCATCGTCTACTCCAACAAGAACATGGGTTGGATACCAGATCCTGATCGGAGCTGGGCGGGGTCTTGGTACTCAAGCGGTGAGTTGACTATTTCCAATCTATAAACATATACTGATATCTCAATGTAGCCCCTCATTGCCGTCCAAAACATCCTCCCCAAAGCCGAAACCTCCATCGCCCTGTCTCTCCTCTTCTTCAGCCAAACTCTTGGTCAGGCGATATTCCTGACTCTGGGCCAAGTCATCTTCATCAACAGCTTGAAGTCCGGGCTTGCGGTATACGCTCCGTCCGTGGATTCCGGGGCCGTGGTTTCTGCTGGGGCTGGAGCGATCCGGAGCCTAGTTTCAAAGGATAGACTGGCAGGGGTGTTGATGGCTTATAGTAAGGGGATAGACCATGTCTTTTATTTGTCGGCTGGTATAGGCGTCGGCTGCTTTTGTGTGGCGTGGGGGATGGGGTGGAAAAATATAAGAAAGCGACAAGCCACTGGGGATGAGGAGAGGTGCAGATAGATCCAATTTACCTGTTATGAAAGTTGATAGATTAAACATTGTAGACTGCTTAAAAGATTGAGATATGGGGTTGTCAGAGTAATGATAGAGTAGTGTGAAGATGGCACATTGAGTTTATCTCGTAGCCTTGTTAGGTATACTTTTAACAGATTTGAGTTTGATAAAGGATAGGCAGGCGCTGATAGATGTTTCATCCGCTTTCCCCGTGTGGGACCAAAAGAGAAAATCCAATGAAAACACACAGCTCTGCTTGACATTACCACTATAGTTTTATAATTGAGTTAAAAGACTGATAAAAATATAAAAACATACAACAGCAGGGATTCGCTGGTGGTCACCCACCCAACTACTAACCTGCCGGCGTGTGGCTTAAGTACGGCTGAGCGGACGGGAAGCCCTGTTCTCCACACCCTGTGGTCGTATGTACCGGATATAATAGATTGAGGGATTATATGTGAAGGAAAATATGAAAAAGCAATACTGTCTGTGGATAGAGGCGAAGCCCCTTTTAGTCGCTCAACTTGGGGCGATTTGGGCGTACAGAATAGATGGGGTGAGTGCATCACCTTGTCCACACCCAATGTTTACTTTATCTCAATATATCAAAGCTGGATAAGCAATTATACTAATCTACAAGCCACCTGGATGGCGCTTTGTAGGATGACAAGCACCTCCGATTCTTATAATAGATGCATTGTTTATTTGACGCAGATGACTGACGCTATGCTGTCGTGGAGAAATATTGCGCTCCATACGGACGAGATATGATTGATGTGCTCTGAAGGGCTCCAGGGCGTTTATCATGCGGAAGTATCAGTTCCGGGAATGCGGGTGGGGGATAGTAAAGAAGGAAGTTGATTCGCTTTGTCGCCCTCATCCATATGGACAGGGTTTAAAGCTGACATTGAAAAAGAACCCAATTGTTGTATTGAATGATTGATGGTTGAGGGTTGCGATTACACTGAGGAAAGGAGGAGTACAGATTTGCAAATTGTTACAATATTTGTTAGATGTATGTATAAAAATTGAACTGTGTTATCACTGGCGATTCTGAAATATATCAATGTTACTGCTAAAAGTCAAACTGCCATAATCCTCTGTGATAGGCGTGCTTGTGTATTCTAGGATTTCTCAAGGATCAAGATCAAAGAGTTATATCAGTATATTCTGATAGATATTCCTACATGATATAACTCAGGTATAAAATTATCAACAAGGAAGTCAGTAACACAGCAGACTTTCCGCTTTGCCTTAGTATCTTAACATGGCTCCCGTCGAGTCAGGCAAACAACTTGATCGCCCTTGACACACCGTCCGGATTCTCATACACATGCCAGTGTCCAGTGCATGGTAGAACTTCAAATCGTGAATCCGGAAGACGCTCGCACAACTTTCCAGCCGACGCGACTGGCGACGTTTTGTCCTCATCTCCCGTCAGAACCAAAGTAGGCATTGTGAGCTTCTCGATTTCCAACGCCTCGGCCTCTACCAGTGCCATACACGCTTTCGCGTATCCTTCTGGGATTTGCGAAAGAAGTGATGACCGGACAGCAGCATATGCAACCGGCTGAAACATTTTCGTGGCGTTGGATGTGCCCGCATCACTCACGGCATCGGCCGTTCCCGAGCCAAGGAGGCCTTTGGATCGCACAGCGAGAGCACGGCTTGCGATGGCTGTACGGTTGGCAGGGGGTAGAGGGGGCGCAACGGGCCCCATAAGTATAAGCTTGTCGATCTTTTCGGGGTTTTGGATAGCATAGCTCATTGCGATCATGCAGCCGAGTGAGTGGCTTATGAGTGTAATGGGCTTGGTGGAACCCGTGTAAGTGACGATATTTGCTAGATCGTCCGCGAGACTTTCAATCGTGACTTTGGATGCGATGTTTGTGGGCGTCAATCCGTGGCCCTCCAGGTCGTAAACATAACTTGTATACCGAGACTCAAAGTCTCTAGATTTGATAATGGGCGTGAAGTATTCACCGGTTCCACCGAGACCATGAACAAAGACAGCAACTTCAGGTCCATGGCCCATCTTGCGAACATGGACATGCTTTCCGCCCACATTTGTCAACCCTGTACCATTCAAAGTGCGTTCGATGTTAAGATTGGCAAGATGGGTCTCAAGGGGAACTCGTGAAGCCACGGCGTTGTCCGATGAGGGAGACCCAATAACATTACAGAGACGACCAAGCCCGGTGACAGATACCTCAACTGGAGAACAAAGTCATCAGTAGTCGGTTCCAGGTTTACAGAATGAAAGCTCACCTTTATCTCCGGTCTTGAGGAAGCTAGCCGGGTTCTGCCCAAATCCCACTCCAGCAGGAGTTCCGGTTGCCACGATATCCCCGGCTCGAAGAGTAATGGCCTCGGAAAGAGTCTTGATAAGCCGGGGAATAGAAAAGATAAGATCCTCTGTAGTTGCATCCTGGCGTTTATTGCCATTGACAAACGTTTGCACGCGCAGCTTCTTGGGGAGGTGTGCCGCTGGTACAGCAATCGGACCCTGTGCAGTCAGCATTTTATACATACATTTATGTGTGTATTATATCACAGCTGTAGTATCAAATAGCATACCATTGGACAGAAAGAATCGGCCGATTTGCCCAGGTAAAACTGCTTATGGTCTCTCTGTCTCTCACGTGCGGTGACATCTACATTTTTATGGTTAGAATAAGCAGAGGTCAAGAGATTAAGGTCTTACCATTGATGATGGTATATCCCCAAATATAATCCATAGCCTCTTCTTCCGAGATCTGGAACCCTGGCCGACCGACAATCACACCAATTTCTCCTTCGTAGTCTAGTGTCGTGGTGAACTCTGGGTGGGGATAAATATCCTCGCCACTGGCGATAATGCTGGTCGCTCGCTTGGTGAAGATTACCGGATGGGAGGCTATCGTCAACGGTTAATGTTACTGCGACATAAAAAGAGAAACTTTGAGACTCACGTTGATCAATCTTGTCACTCGAGTCGTATCCGCTCTTGTTGAATTCGACTGCGTGATCTGCATAGTTCTTACCCACGGCCAGAATGTCACGGTCGTTAAGTGGCGGCTGAATCCGTACACTATCCAAAGCGAAAGGCTCGCCCATAGGAACAACCGCATTTTGAAGCTCGATTACCTGATACAAAGAGCTGACCGGCGCCCCGGAAAGCATGGCCAAGGGGGTGATCTGAGATCTATCCAAGTCCAGGTGACCTACATGAGGCTTGTTCTGGTCATCTAGGTAAGTGATGTAGTTGGAGAACTCCTCATGCTCTATCGGTTCGTCCTGAGTGGCATCTATAGCCGTAGTGCTTTCAAAATCGCGGTGCGATGCTTTATGGATCCGCCCATTAATCATGATGACATTTAGCCGATCATGGTCTTGCAAGACACTGATATCTTGAAGCGGCTGTCCATCCACCAAGATACAGTCTGCATAGTAACCCGGCTTGATCTTGCCCAGCTGGCTTTCCTCCATAAACAGTTTCGCCACTCCAGCTGTGGCAGCAATGATAGCCTCCATCGGTGTAAAATCGAGTAGTTTGACGAAATGCCCTAGGTCTCTGGCATAAGTACCATGGGGAGTCCAGGCAAAGCCATAGTCCCCGCCTCTGAAATTGGAACGTTAATTAGCAATACCTTCGACAAATAAGCGGACAGGCGCATTCTTACGGAAGAATGGTAATCCCTCGCTGATGCATTTCCTTGCAGGCTTTGATTGTTACCTCCAGCTCGTTTTTATACCCGGCCTTTTCAGCCTGATTGAATGAATAGCCGAAAGGGCCTGCTTCGTAGACAGTCGCATACAGCCAGTTCAGACCTGGTGCGACAATGTGCCTATCTTTCTTCTGTTCGAGCTCATCCATTGTCTTTTCATCGATGTAGCTAGCATGGTAGATCACGTCCACACCGTGCCTGACGCACTGAGCGATCGAGTCGCGGGACCGGGCATGGGAGCAGACTCTAAGCTCGTATTAGTCTCGTTGTTTCTTTTTTATATTGAAGTTTGATCTTACCTAAGGCCTTGTCGGTGTGCTTTGCAGAGTTAGCAGTTTTATCTTGTAGCAAACAGGCCGACATACCTTCGTCAACACAAGCTGCCGTTTCCTCATCCGTGTAATAGCAGTCTTTGGCTGCCCGGCTCTCCAATATCTATTCTCAAATGTTATCACCATCAACAAGGCTCATCATAGTACAGACTCACCTCCTCCCCTGACATGCTCAACTTAACCTGGTCAACGCCGATTTTCGCATGGTTCCGGATGACCTCTCGCATCTCCAGTGGGCCTGAGAAATCAATATGGCGAATTCATGCAAACATGGTAAAGTAAAACATACCGTCCGCAAAGGCCGTGATTCCTGGTGCGAGCTCTCCTCCCCTTCGAGCAATTTCTTTGCCGTTTGCTAGATATCGCGGCCCTGGCAAAATTCCCCGGTTGATGGCATCGCGGACAACACAATCCAGGCGTTCCTTGGCTGAGGCGGCTCCATAGCACCTGTTTGTCTCAATAAGCTATAATTGTCGGGACTGGCTGACAGGGGAAATACATGGTATATCCAGAGTCCAGATACATCATCGCCGACCGAGCCGTGGTCAGTGTATGTTCCTCGACTCCAAGATTGCCCAGGTTTTCTGTATCGATATTCAGCCTTCCAACCTTAATCACAGCTCATCGATCCATTACCTATTGCGCCTCCATTCCATGTCAAGTGGGTATGGGCATCCCCCAAGCCAGACATGAGAGTTCTCCCAGCACCTTGGATCACCTTGACGCTGGGGTCCAGTCGAAGCTTTTCGATTCCCGGAACGGTCCCAACATACCGTATATGAGCACCTGTTGTAGATTCCGTGTCAGTTATCTGCATTAACTGGCAGGGTTCGGATCAAGGCACCTTCGATGTACACGTCGCCTTTGAAAGGTTCGGCTCCAGTGGAATCCAGACTACATATCATTAGTGATGTTTCCATAACAGTAAATAAAATAGTACCCACATTTGAACATTTAGAAACAAGACCTTGGACGCTTTGTCTGTGCCTGCTGTAATATTAGCCATGTTGAACCTCATTTTGATTGAGAGAGATTTCCTACCAGCCATCTCATAAGCACGAGGCTTCAGGGCCTTGTCAAAATGAACATCCTCGTGAGGAGAGAGCTTTCTCGTAGGCAGAGGAGTACCCCAACTTTTCATTGACCTTCCAATGGCTGTCGCGGTATCGGGTGTGATTGTGAGAGCAGGCGACATGTTTGCTTGGTCAACTTGTTAAATCTGCAAATTCAATGCGCAATAATTCCTTGTTAAACAGTTTGATGCAACATAGAACAATGCAGTCCTTTCGAGAGACTTATATATCCAAATTCATATTCTTCCATGGTCACATCTCCGATCCCTACCACGGAATAAGAGTTGAGAGCCACTTGTCTCCGATCCCTGCAATACTAACTTTTTCTTCAAGCTAACGTCTTAAACAAACATTATGGCAGATGTCGATCACCCGCGGACTTACCGCGAATCCAATATACCCCAGGGGCTCCAAACCTTGTCCCGTGCGGGGGAATTGTGGGTATTGCGGAGTAAGCCATATTATTGCATCTCCGAGACGCATCGGAGATGACGAAAATCGCGGAGAAGGCGGAGAAAGCAAGTGGAAGAGACCTGGATGAGGTTTATTATTTCAACGAATGGATACGTTGACTTGACCAGAATTGGAGAATCAAAGTGAAGATGGAAGACAATTCCTCGAAGCTCGGTTCGATGCAGCACGAGACAGCCCAGGCGACAGACCACCTACCACATATCCCCGCGTCTCAGGTACAGGCTGCGGATGGCAAGAATGGATCCAGACTCTGTGGGTGTCTTCTCCCTTCCATTATCAAGTGCTGATCGGTTTTGAGGGATCGTAATCGATGACATTGTGTACGACGTGACCGAGTTCTGCCGGCGACACCCGGGGGGAGAAATGCCGTTGAGACACTTTGCTGGCCAGTCGTGCTCTTGTTGGTTTGTCTTTTTCATTCTGTCGTTGGTTCCATATAAGAAGGGAACACTGAACCATGGATGATGCTAGGGCAATTCCGTCAGATCCATGGTCCCCAGACGTTGGAAAGATATAGAGAACTACAAGTGGGACGGACAGATGGCGTTCCGAATCCGTATGAGAAGCCAAAGCCCAAGTTTTCGCCCAGATTGCTGTGGTCGCGTCTGTTTTGAGGAATCTTACTGGTAGTGAATAAAACACATCTCTTATGACTGTAATTTGATTATATTTCACCCTCACGTATTTCTCTCTTTGTCTCTAGATATTATGTCAATTATCTGCTACGTCTGTCCAGTCCAAACATTAATATCTTCCAGGCCATAGGATTAGTAGCAATCAGCAGCCCCCAATTACAAATTTCAAGCCATAAGATGCCTGGCAAAAGCTCAATACGCTTCTCCGATTGGAGATAGAGCTCACCTCTTGATCATTGCTCCGGCCCTTTCTCCGTCTTTCCTCCGATCGTTTCTCTAATACCAGATATTGCCTAGATGTACATACTGGCTCTAAGCCTGGGATTGACTGATCACATGATTAATCTAGAAACTTTCTACATTCCATGACTTATATAATACCGTTCTATATATTCTATAATACTAGTTGTTCCAGTACATACGACCACAGGGTGTGGAGAACAGGGCTTCCCGTCCGCTCAGCCGTACTTAAGCCACACGCCGGCAGGTTAGTAGTTGGGTGGGTGACCACCAGCGAATCCCTGCTGTTGTATGTTTTTGTCTTCTTTTGCTCTTTATTTTTTCTGATATTTTGGTGTTCTTAAACCATCAGAAGGTTATTCATACTATTCTAGAAATTCTTGTCCGTGGCACTGCTGCAGGAGATATGGCCATAGTTGCCGTCTTCTGGCCCTTTCTTTCCCCAACCCAACTTGAATAGGGGTTTACCAAGTTCAGCTCCATGGCTGCGTGATGCACATCTCACATCTCTTGGATTAGTGAATATCTCCTATAGAGATAGATCGTTTTTGGATCTTGAACAGCAGGTTTTCCTCCATGAAAAGTTTTGCTTCTTCAGCTGTGGCAGCTGTGAGCCACTCAGAATACATGTAGTAGAAATTTATATATAGTATTTTAATATAATTCTAGTATAGAGAGAGAAAGAGAAAATATAGTAAGTTTTAGTATTATAATATAGTAGTTAGGTTTATATGATAAACTATCTAAACAGACTAAGTAAAGCAAACATCCCAGTATATCAGCCAGGAACAGAATGCAAGGTCGTCACGGCAGCAATGATAGCTTCAGGTGTAAAATCGAACTGGTATTGGAGCGCCAGCAGAGACAACTTGCAATGTGAATGATCAATATGAAGTGAGCCGAATGATGTCTAGAAGATGTACCAGGCCTAATAGTGAATCTATTCCTGTTTTGAGTGGATGTCACAATGTGTCAGAAAATCTAGGGAAATCATGGCATGGCAGATAACAAAGGTAGGTTTTGGGCGTACTTGTAATCTTACATTTAAATGAGCAATACTTGAAACTTATAAATATGGATCCTACTTTGGTATAGCTGTAGATTTATTCAAGGGATGTACATCTAGTGCCGGTTATCAGGCAGCTTCATAGGGAGTTCCTGCAGACACCAGCTGATACAGTTGCAGTAGAGCCTTTACCAGACCGACCAATCAATTCTGGAATCTGATCTTCTCCTTCAACAAACACAACAGCCATGCCGCTCTGTAAGGTAAAAGACCTCGTTAGCAAGACCGGACTGCAACAGTGCACATTAGAGATACTTACCAGCATATGCCACTGTATATGACAGTGGAAAATCCACGCACCGGGGTTGTCTGAAACAAAGCTAAAGACCGAATAATCAGGAATGATCAAAAACTTCAGAAGATTGAGTAGGAAACTTACCGAATAGCAGCCCATCCACCCTGAGGAAGATTCGTGGTGTCTCGATAAGGAGGATTTCGAAGATTAATCAGGGACTCAGGAGCTTCTGTCACTGAATCATACGGGAAAGAACCAGTACCGGATCCTAGCACCCAGAAGTTGTGGCCGTGCAGATGCATTGGATGGCCCATCTATATTTATTAGCATTGTCTGCATGTAGGCTCGTAGGAATAGACATACTTTATCCATTGTATCATTTGCGATTCTCAGGATAACATCGATTGTGGAGTTGAACGGTAGATGGATGGTCGTATTCGCATTCCAACCATCAGAGACATTGCCTTGGATTATCGGTATCTCTGCGTCCATGTATGGAGTGCCGTTCATGGTCCAGGTGACGATGTCAGACTGGTTGATTGTAAAGGCGTATGTCTGGTCTGCCTTTCCTAATGGTGGGCTGACAGGTTCAAAGGGAGAAAGCAGCGAAGGATTAAGAACGCTGGTATCAGGTTTCGCTGATCCGTTGATCATCATCCACTCCATGGATGGATCGGCAGTGACATTCATTGGAGGTCTCCCGCTCATCATAGGCATGGTATAGGACAAGATGGCTTGTCCCTCGAGCACTTGTTTCATCATATCATCGTCGGGGTAGGTTGCGAATCTGAGATAGTAGTTTCCAGGTTTCTGGTTTAGTCGGATCATCACTGAATAGCGTTGGCCGATTTCGATTTCCAAGACCTAAGATGTATAGTAAGCACAAGGTTTGAATACTCTTTATGAGATTCTTACCTTTACTTCCTGCATCTCAACGTATAGCCCATCCGCAGCGTAGACATACATAGAATGCGCATCCAAAGAGACATGTAGCTTGCTAACGGCACCTGAGTTGACGAGGTTCAGTGCAAGCCAACCCCTCTTAAAGTCCGCAGGGATAGTGAGCAAGGGCGAAGAGGTATTGGTGCATGTGTCAGGTGGGAGCGAACTAGCATTGTAGCCTTCCCTAAACATCATTGGAGGCGAACAGCCGCGAGCACTTAATGAAGTCATTCCAGTCATAGACGGAGACATGCCCGACATTGTCATTGTACCCATATTTGACATGCCAGTACTAGGCTGCGAGGGAATGGGCATTGCGGACATGGTCATATCCATAGCCATCGTGCTTGTTGACGTCTGGGAAGATGTGGCAGTTTCCGTTTCCATGGAACCCATATCCATCTGTCTCTTCATTGCCATTGTCATCGACGAAGACGGAGATACAGAATTCTGCGTCATACTCATACTCATAGCCTCTTGACTCATCCCCATGCCTGATCCTCCCTCCGACTGAAGCACATCCTCCGGTAAGCACTCAACCCTTCCCAACCCATTAGCCAGAATACTGTCAACGCAAAACGGATACGCGCCCGTCTCAAAATACTGCGAATAGATAGTATCCGAAACCTCATGAGTCCAATCATTCAACAGAATATTTGTAGCGTTCTTCTCAGCCCGGAGAAGAGCATCACGCTCGCGAGTGCTGTTCGCAAGCTTTTCAAAAGAACGTACTCGCGACGGAGAGGGATGGATCAAAAGCGGGCCTCTGATTCCATCATTGTAGTATGCTCTGACGTGGGTGTGGTACCAGAAAAAGCCATATTGGGAGTGGACGGAGAATTTGTAGGTGAAGTTGCCGCCGGGTGGGATGGGATACTGGCGAGGTTAGCAACTGATGTCGTTGAGATTTGGTGCAGAAACTGACCTGGGTCACGCCGACGACTCCATCCATGTTAGGAGTTCCCTGTTGTAAAATTCCTGCAGTCAGGCACCGTCAGTCCTTGCAAATTGGTAAAATAAAATAAGAGATAAAGAATTATCTGGAGTTGACCGTTCACTTACCATGCCAGTGGAGAGAAGTATCGACAGAGAGGCCATTCTTGACAAAGATTTCCAAGCTGTCGCCCTCATTTGCCTCAATTAGTGGTCCTGGTTGCAGGCCATTGATCAGATAGACCTCTCGGCTGACGCCATCTTTCCTTCAGTCAGCTCGAACATCCAGCTCTGAGTGAGGAGGCTCTTTATACCTGGAGATCTGACATCACTGTGCACTGTGAGGTTGTATGTTCGGAGAGCTGCCGCAGTAAAAGAAACAAAGAACGCCAAGCCAAGCCAGGCGGCATACAATGTCTGGTGAGCGAACATTGTCACAACATCAACAGGAATGTTGTCACAGATAGCAAACCTTCCATCTGCACAAAGAACCCTCCGTATTTATAATCCTCGATTTCAAATCGAGTCTGCCGCTTCCTGCCGTGTAAAGGCCGTTTCACCCCTCAGGGTCTGCGATATTTGTGCGTATTTTAGCGCGGGCTTGGCATGTTTTCGATCGTCGTATTGCTGCGAGGGTCATGTTCTACTTTTGACACATTGGTTGCATCTTTGAGAGGTGCTCATTTGATTGTTACTAGCTTCGTGTGATCTATTTGTCCTCTTCTCTCCAATTCTTTCAAATTGTCCTATGTCACAATCTATCCATGTTTATGGAGCCTGAGGAAAACAGGCGCTAAGAAGGTTCCAGATCGGCCCACCAAGTAAGCTGCTCCGCCTGTCTTGATCAGGGAGCCAATCATATTGGAGATTGTTTGTTGATCACCATCACAAATTTCACGGCCGAGAACTTGTAGGTATGGTGCATCTGCGCACATGGCTAGAGTTGTGGGCACTGATGGGCAGGGAATAATTCCATTGGTGGATAAGCATCCAATTTGCACTTCTGCCAAAGAGCAGTCGAAGACACGCCCTGACTTTGAGGTACATCTAAAGCATCTCCACCTTGAACCCGGCAACCACTGTTATCTCAAGATCTGCCTCATGTACGATCGGGTTGTCTTCAGCCACAGATACTCTGTCAAGTTCGACATCAAATGCATTGCGAAACGCTGTTGCAGCTGAATTCATTAATAACGAAGCTAGAATCGCAACCAGACCCAAGGAAACCCCAGGAATCTTAAGCATAGACCTGGCTGTAGTAACAATTAGAATGGGCAGGCGTGTAAAAGGAGAATCGAAGGGTGCTCGACGTTGATTGATCTTTGATATATATATCATAATCCGCACATGTATGATGAATCAGTATGACAATTCAAGTCAAACCACTTGCCTCAAAATATATATTTCTCACGAGTTTCCGTCCTCTGCCCCTTTCTTCCACCAACGAAAAGAACCCAACTTGAATAGCGGTTTACCGAGCCAGGAAAAGACCCTCTCACATATTACATCGGGAATCAATCGAATCGCAAACCCAATTGGGATGGATAGAAACCCAAGAACAAGCGAGTAAGCCCACTGGTCCCCCGTGAGGCGGACTACAGAAAACGCTCGCCCTCCAACGAAGATAATCAGGATTTGGCCTCCTATCATGACCAGGCTGATGAAGGGAAATAACCAGTTTTTAGTGACGCCTTCGAGAACGTTGATTCGATTTTCAAGTTGACGATTGCTGTGGATCGTATTAGTCTATAGCCGTAGGTGATTGTTGTGGAAGTACATACTTGTACATATTGAAAATGTTCATCCAGACATATGTATTAAACACGGCAGTCTGCAGTTGGTCACCCTCATGCGATGTAGTATATGAGAAAATGGATTTGCCGGCAAAGTGTAGAACGAGTGTCACGGCTAGCTGGTAAATGGATTGACCGACGATCATCTTCCACATCATTGTCGAGATCAGAGGGGCTGATCTGGGTTCAGGTTTTCGGTTTAGTATTCTGGGAGGTGGAGGATCTGTCGCGAGGGCGAGAGCTGCTAATGTGTCTTGGAATAAATTCACCCACATCAGCTGCACAGCTGTCAGAACAGAAACCTCGCTCGAACTAGCCACTGATGAAACGAAGGCTAGACCGACTGAGGTGAATGTGATGGTGATTTGAAACTATCATTGTAAGTGATACTGTCAAAGATCAATACAAGACAACAATATCTTACCTGTAGAAACTTCTTAAGGGCATCACTGACTGCTCGCCCCCACATGATGGCTTTTACAATGGATGCAAAGTTATCATCCATAAGGACAATAGACGAAGACTCGCGAGCGACTTCTGTACCAGAAATGCCCATTGAAAAGCCAACGTCCGCTGCAGTGAGCGCAGGAGCATCATTTGTTCCATCACCTGTCACAGCAACTGTTGCTCCCATCTCTTTTAGTCGAAGAACCAACGTTCGCTTATCTGCAGGACTGGATCTCGCAAGAACCCTCAGACGAGGTATGATTTTTTTCTGTTGCTCTTCGTCGAGCTCGCGAAACTCCTGCCCTTCTATTGCAATATCCTCGGGAACAGAGATAATCCCACACTCTTCGGCAATCGCTTTGGCCGTCAGAAGATTGTCTCCTGTCACAACGCGAACCACCACCCCAGCCTTATAGCACGTCTGCACTGCTTCCCGCGCACCTTTTCGGAGCGGGTCTTGAATTCCCATAATGCAAAGGAAGGTGAGATCATGGAGGATATCTCCGATGTTCACCGTGTCGGAATCATCTTCCTGAGAGGAAAGAGGCCAGATCTCGAAATCCCGGAAGACTAACATTATTGGTCGTAATGAGCGTCGGGCATACGTGTCGATGATCCGATCGAGGTTCTCAGTCGTTTCATCCGTCATGGACACCAAGTCTGCTTTAGCTGGGACTTTAAGTCCCCTTGTACAAGCGCCGAGAAGTACTTCCGGTGCACCTTTCACATATGCTCTGTATCTCCCATTGTCTAGTTGGACCACAGTGACCATGAATTTGCGAGACGCATCGAATGGGAGCACTTCCACAATCTTTGAATTGGAACGTTCGACATTGAGATCGCCCATTCCCAGGTAGTCTCGTGCGAAGTCCAACAGAGCAGCCTCTGTTTTTGATCCAATATATGATGGTGTCCCCGCATCAATGGCCTCAAAAGCAGTGGAATTGATGGAAATGGATTGCCGGAGGAGCGACTTTGTGTCCACTGTGAGATTCTGGGTACATTCAAGTGCACTTGGGATGATTCTATCTGTCGGGTTCTGCTGGCTATCAAAACTAGACAAAGTACCGATCGTTCCAGCAACAACAGTCATCTTGTTCTGCGTCAAGGTGCCGGTTTTGTCGGAACAGATATCTGTGGCATTTCCCATGGTCTCACAGGCCCTCAGTTGACGGACTAGATTATTATCTTTGAGCATTCTTGTCGTTGCAAATGCCAGAGCGAGCGTGACCGTAAGTGGGAGTCCTTCAGGAACGGCAATAACCACCACAGTAAGAGCGATGATGAAGACGTTCAAAAACTGCTGGCCCTTCTCTGCCGGGCCGTCGCCACTGTGTCGGAGTCCAGTAAGAAATTTGATAAATAAAATAAGGAACATGATAAGTCCCGCTATTCCACCGAACCACGAGATGTATTTCGCTAGCCGGTTCAGCCTGACTTGCAACGGCGTGAAACGAGGCTCGTTGTCAAGAGAAAGCAGAATCTTGCCATAGCTTGAGTTGGTCCCAGTAGCAAGAACCAGGAAGGATCCGACTCCCTCTGCCACTTTTGAGCCGGAAATGATGAATGGATCGAGTTGTTGGGAGTTGTGTCCCCTGTCTTGCATATCATCAAACACATTATCACCGCTGTGTTTTCGCAAGAGATCGGATTCTCCTGTTGCAAAGGACTCGTCGCATCGAACGTGGTGGCCTCGGATGAGAACACCATCAGCGGGGATAACATCGCCTGGCTCCACAAGCACAACATCCCCCACGAGCAAGTCGTAGATTGGAACTTCCTGGGACCGCGCAGACCGAACCACCTTCACGTCACGGTCGAGCTGTTTCTTATTCAGCTTCCGGAATTGCATCTGTTTCTGATAGTCATTGGCGGCACCAACAACTACAATGATTATGATAGCGACCAGAATAGCAACCCCCTCGACCCATTCAACCGCTGGATTACTCGGCGAATGAGCAGTTGCAAAGGTCTGGTAGAGACCCAGCGCCAACGAGACCAGCGCGGCGCCAGTTAAGAGAAACAAAACATGGTCATTATAAGCCATCCACAAGAGCTGGAGGAAGGTGATTTTCTTGGCCACAGGGAGGTGGTTGTTGCCAAAAGTCGTTGTCCGATCCATAAAAGAGCCCTTTGGAGTTTCTATTAAAGCACCACCGATGGTTGACTCGTCCACGCTTAATCCACTGTTTCGATCTGTTCGTAGTCCTTTCTCAAGCCCTGTCAGTCCCCCATATTGACGGAAAGATTCCAAACTGCGCGACTCCACCAGGTCACTCAATTGATCAGCCGAGAAGTCGAATTTCGTTCTCTGGGAATGACATATCGGCGCACAGCTTGGATTGGATCCTGATTTTGTACCTGGAAGTTCCTGGATAAAGTCAGCATTTTTGGTGGAGGTGGAGGTCTTCAAAAAATGGTGCGCACCATGACAAAAGAGCGCCCGCAGCTTCGGAGCTGTCAAAAAGAAACTGCAGTCCGCCTGTCCCAGTCATCAAAGAACTAATCACTAATCACAAGAATCAGGCCAGCAGTAATTTGAGGTGTCAGGAGAATTGAAAAGATATACTATAGTAATGAGGTGGGTTTGAAGAAGATGCTGGGTCGCGATCAAAACCCAGGGGTTGAGCGAGACTCGCCGAGCGTGGCTGAGCATGGTGGGTTACAATGCTCTCGACCACACTGGCTGGCCATGCACATATCGAACAAAGCAATCATCACTGACAGGCTGCCAGCCATGCTGGGCTGGACAGCTCAGGCTCTCCCTATTCAGGCCATGCTGAATACATCATGAAATGAATTCCGTGATAGTAAGAAGTGGGATCGGAGGGAAAATAAACCAGGATGAGGCTCTTTGCCTGTTCTTGACAAAGGAAAGTACCAGGTATTATACAGTGTTGTAATATACAGTAATATACATGACAGACCGGATAAGGCTGAAGTAAATACCTTACCGTTTACAGTAAGAAACTGCCAGCTCTGATTGGCCTGAATGTTGCTGCCTGCCCAAGCTTTGCGCTCAAGTGGATCCCTTTGGCGGGTTTGGCCCGAGCAGACAGCCAATCAGGTCAGAAGGGGTCCACCCACAACATCCTTATAGGGCTGAGGATCCCTTAAGTTGAGGTCACCTGGCAGCAGCTTCCCTACCTATCAGGTTCCCTTCCACCCCTTTTAATCTTACTTTTGAGTTTCAGCCTTATGACAGTTTGTATTCAAATTACCCCGTATGTCTGTAACTACCCCGCTTTATCTTCCATTACTTTTCGCGAACTGAGCTCAAGAACAGAGGTCATCTTGCAGCCTCTCCTCTACCTTCTCAAGTCTAAATCCAGTGTGAACAAATTGATGGAGACGCATTCTGATGAAGTATTCCTGACAAAGTTCTGCGACCTGGGCGCTGCCTACCGAGACTCCGGGGACGAGGCAAAAGCCCAACTGCTAGAAGCGGCAGTGCAACGCGCCCGAACCGAATCTCCAAGAGACCCTGCCACAGCACTCGGATTCTTTGGTGCGCTTGTCTTGACCTTCCTGAAGCAAGGGCAATGGAATGCTGCTGCGGACCTGGGCGTCCATGTCGTCGATGCACGAACAACGCTGCTGGGCGCTGGACACCCATCCACGATGACGTCCATGAGCAATTTGGCGAGCGCATATTGGGGTCAGGGCCGGTGGGCTGAGGCGATCCGTCTGAATGTGTCTGTGATGGATGCTCGACGCCGGACATTGGGAGAGGAACACCCACTTACTCTGACGTCGATGTCTAATCTTGCCTCTGCATACCTGAATCAGGGTCAATGGGAAGAAGCTCAGCGGCTGCAGCTGCGGTTGGTGGAAATTCAAACGCGAGTACTGGGGGAAGATGACCCCTCGACGTTAACCTCCATCGGGAATCTGGCGGCAACATACGATGCGCTCGGTCGGTATGACGACGCAGAGCGGCTGGAGAAGCAAGTTATTGAGCAGAGTATACGGATACTAGGCGATGAGGACGACTCGACACTGACGCGAAAGTCCAATTTGGCCACAACGTATTACGAGCAGGGTCGGTTGGCAGAGGCAGAGAAGCTGCAGCTCGACGTGATGAAGAGGAGAGTGAAGAGCTTGGGAAGCCAACATCCACTTACTCTCGCGTCGATGGCGAATCTGGCCACGACCTACCGCGAGCTCGATCGACTGAACGAGGCGGAAGACCTCGAGACCCAAGTTGTGGAGATGAGCAAAAGTGTTCTCGGGGATGATCATCCGCAAACACTCATGGCGGCAGATAATCTCGCTTCGACATACTATTGTCAAGGGCGCCTGGAAGATGCAGCCCGGCTCAGGAAAAGCACAATGGAAACGATGAGAGCGGCGTTGGGGGAGAAACACCCTCTCACGCTGACAGCCACGGCCAACGTTGGCTTGATATACCAAAGCCAAGGACGGTCCAAAGAGGCGGAGGCGTTGACCCTGCAGGCTCTCAAATCAATGCAGCAGGCTCTGGGCGAAGAACACCCACACACACTGACGATCATGGCCAACCTCAGCACAATCTATCAATCCCAGGGGAGATGGCGCGATGCAGAGAAAGTGGCCGAGAAAACGGTGCGTGGGAGGCAAAAAGTCTTGGGTAAACACCACCCGAATACCCTGGGGGCCATGGAAGACTTGGTGAGAATCTGCCGAGTGCAAGCTGCAGACAGACGAATGAGATGATTTTCCCTGTGTTTTATCTGCATTAATACATGTTGTAAATGTTGTAAATATATTTATATTTAGTAAAATGCAAACAAGCAGTACTTGATATGGTAATTTGGTATTGTAAGATACAGCCCCCACTTACCTTTAAATTACGCCTGCCCAACTGTCAATCAATCAAACCAACCACTCCCCATCTTCCAAGCAATGTACTGACCACCTGATCCTCATATCCTGACTGAGCTCTAACATGTCCACCACCGACGAAATGACATCCAGGCCAGTCACTCATCGCGACAGAAAACCAGAGTCAGCCATGTCAACTGGGACTGACCGACAAGGCCGCCCAGCAGAGATGGATGTTTTGCCGCCAAACCAACCTTCCGCTCTTTACGAAGACAGCTTTGGTTCAAAATATCCAACGGCACAGCGCTTTTGCCATGAGGCCAAGAAAGCATGGGGCTCTTGTTTTCCGCATCTATTCTGGGTGCTCCCAACCCTGGGCGTCGCAGCTGGACTGCTACAATTGAATTCCTTGTTCGTTTTCGTCCTTAACTTGGTGGCGGTTATCCCGCTGTCTGCAATGATATCCTCCTCTTGTGACGAACTTGGGGACCATCTGGGGGATTTGATCGGAGAATTACTGAGTGCGACATTTGGCAATGTGGTGGAATTAACTGTTTGGCTCCTTTTCCTCTATCTTATTAGAATTCAGGCTAACGGACACAGGCAGGAGTACTGGGACTGATCAATGCCGACGAAAGCTTCAGTCAGTCGGTCATGATAGGCAGCGTTCTATCGGATGCCCTTTTTGTCAGTCCCTTGAATGGCTCTTGCTGAATACCGCTGACGACCCAGGTATTTGGCACTTGTATCATCGCTGCCTCTTATAACAAGAAGGTCCTCTTTTTCAACAAAGCCGCAGCGCAAGCCCTATCCTCGTTGATGATCATCACTGCTATCACCATCATCCTCCCGACAACTCTGTATTCCACCTTTCCCGTACTGGATTTGGGCGACAAGATCGAGTCTTTTTCCCGCGGTACTTCCATCATCCTGCTGGTTCTCTACATCGGATACCTCTACTTCCACCTGGTAACGCACAAGCATCTGTTCCAGTCCCAATCCCAGCAAAATAACGACAGCGACAGCGACAACGACGCCGATTCCAACAACGCTGATAACCACCCTTCCGGCCCCTTCTCCCCTGAAATCTTCCTCAAACCAGCCTTACACATCGCTTTCGCAGTCACCGGAACGATCGTCTGCACCTATCTCATGTACATCCACATCCCCGGCACAATGCAAATAACCAGCTTCTCCAAGACCTTCATCGCACTCATCCTCGTCCCCATCGCCAGTAACTCCACCGAAGCCGCAGAGGTCCTGGCCGCCGCGCGAAACGGGGACGTCGACGCCACTATCGGCATGATCGTGGACAGTATTTTGCAGATTAGTCTCTTCGCAATCCCGTTCCTGGTCATGCTGGGTTGGGCTATTCGTCAGCCTATGACGCTGTACTTTGAGACGTCGCATACGGTGATTTTCTTCTTTTCGATCATGTTTGTGAATCACTTGTTGCATGATGGGAGGTATATGTATATCCATGGGACGATGTTGGTTGCGCTGTGAGTACTATGTTTACCTTTCGAGTTCTACTAATGTATCGTTTGGATGACTAATTGAATATTTCTTTGTGACAGGTATATTGTTGTTGTGACCACGTTTTATATGGATTGAGTATATCGAACTAGCCTTGGGGATATAGAGATCCAAAACTATCTTAAATGCATGTGGATGTGATCAAAACCCAAGTGACATGTTTTCATTTCGACCATGAATCAGATATAAATAACCCCCGATGGTGGCGCAGGTCGCATATAGAAAGAGAACGCGGTGATCAAATACCTGAAAGGAAAAAGAAATTAGAACCAAGATCGATGAATGTGCTGGAAAACTTACGTCGCGATCAACATCAATCCCTCAAAGTAATTTGTCTTCCCACTATGAATCATCGAGTTCATAACCATCAGGCTGATGAAGAAGACGGTCGCCTCGAATGCATCGAAAATCAAGGTTGTAGGCAACTCATAAATCCAACCTAGTAGCACTAGACCGGGCGTAATCGTCAGCATCATCCGGACCACGCTCGTGATCAAGGCCTTGATGCCCATATCCAACTGGTTCACTCGAGAGATGATGATGATTGCTATGTATTTGGTCGAGTTTCCCAGCAGAGGAATGAGGACTTGGGCAAGGATGGCCTTGTGCACGCCGATGGCCGAGGCAAATCCGTCAATGGTATTGACGAGGTGGATGGAGCAGAAGGTCACACATGCTGTCGTGACAAGCAGGATAAGAACGGCGCGGGAGATTGTAAGGAAAGATGTGCGGGCGGAGGTGTTTGTTTCGTTCGCAGTGATGGTCAGACCGAAGAGGGAGGCATGGGTCTTGAGCTGGAAGACGAGGAAGACAACCAGGAGGATCGTGAGCGCGGCGGCTGTGATGCGCGAGATGGGCAGGATGTCGCTGACGGCGGCGGCGGAAAACGTCGCGACCGCAGTGGGAATGATCGATACCACACATACCACCATCAGCAGTGAGGATAGGGTGCTGATGAGAGTGCGGTCGAATGTCAGACGCTTTTTGCCAAAGCCCGAAGCAAAGAAGCAGCCACCGAGAGTCAAAAGTAAGTAGCACAGAGTACTCCCGATCAGAACAGACTGAGCCAGCTGCACCTCGCCGCGATGCATGGCAATGATGCCGACGATCACTTCAATCGGATTGCCTAACGTTGCCTTGAGCAGCTCTTCGACACGCGCTCCGACAGAGCCCGACAGCTCCGTGATGGAGAGGCTGATCCATGCTATCAACGGGATCAGCGCCAGCAGATTGAAGAAAAAGACCAGCTGGTTGGAAACGTTGAGATACCCCGCGGCGATACCGATTGGGATAAAGATGGAGAGGATTTGGACGATGTAGCTGCGTGAGATCTGGGCGTTGATCATGTGGAAAGAATGCCACGAGCGACGGCGATACAAGCCCTGGGAGGGATCCACGAGCTGGTAGTCCATGTTGGCGATGCTGGATGTGCAACGGCTGCGAGGAGTTTGGCCGAATTATAATTAATATCTGCGGTCAAATTACCATACCGTGTGGTACTGGTAAATACGGGTAATTCCTGTGTATCAGGCTTGTCAACGGATCTGCACGATGGCGTCAGCCCCAGCATAAGGCGTCAAATCAACAGCCAGACAGTGTCCCCTCGCTTGGAGGCTGTCACAGAAAAAGAGCCTGGCTTGTGTGCCTCCGAGAGTGTCTGGCTATTTATATACGCTAGACAGAGAACCACCACGTCGACCAGAACCAGGCATGTCTTCCCCAACCGAGACAGCCCGTCCGCTCCTAGACGAACAGGATGTCTCTCTGTCTGCTGCCTCCCAGCGACCGCAGACGTTTGGCCTCCAGCCCCTCTGGGCAGTGATCAAGACGACCCTGGGCAGCAGCTATGCAAACCTCCTTCTTCCCTGCGTGTTTCTAGGGATGGTCGCGGGAGACTATGGCTGGGATGACTCGGCCGTGTTTGTTCTGAATTTCCTGGCCATTTTCCCTCTGGCCTCGCTGCTCTCGTTCGCCACAGAAGAGCTCGCAAAGAGCGTGGGGGAGATGGTGGGAGGTCTGATCAATGCCACGTTTGGAAATGCCGTGGAGATGATTGTGGGCGCGACGGCCGTCAACCAAGGCGAGATTCACATTGTCCAGTCCAGCATGCTGGGAAGCATTTTATCAGGCAATCTCCTGATTCTCGGCTCCTGCTTTCTATTCGGTGGCTATAAAGGACAGACGCTGACCTTCAGCGCGGATGTGAGTGGGATCATGTCTTCCTTGATGGTCGTGACTTCTGCTTCACTCGTCATTCCATCCGCTCTCTATTCCACCTCCTTTGCGAAAGCAGAGGATCTCAACGAAAGTGTCCTGGCGATATCTCGTGCCGCCGCCATTCTCCTGTTCCTCCTTTACCTGGTCTATCTATATTTCCAGTTGAAGAGCCACGCAGATCTCTTCAGCACAGAGGAAGATTCCGACGAAGCAGAAGGCCCACCACTTCTGGGCCCCTGGTCCGCCAGCGTGGTGCTGATTCTCACCACGCTGGGCGTAGGGTGCTGTTCCGACCAGCTCATCGACAGCGTCGACGGCATCGTCGAGGCGTGGAACATCAGCCGGGCGTTCATCGGGCTGATCATCGTGCCGATTGTCGGCAACGCAGGCGAATTCACGACGACGGTCAACTCCGCCATGAAGGGCAATCTGGGACTGGCAATTGGCGTCATTGTGGGGAGTACGCTGCAAATCGCGCTGTTTGTGACCCCCTTTATGGTCATTTGGGGCTGGATCATCAACGAACCCATGTCGTTGCATTTCAACACTTTCGAGACGGCCGTTTTCTCGCTGACGGTCATCCTGACCAATTCTCTCACACGCGATGGGCGCTCGAACTACTTTGAGGGTTCTTTACTGATTGGAATGTATGTACTTTATAGCAAACCTCTCTTCTTCTCTGATATTGACTAACGAACTGAACAGGTATTTAATTCTGGCGGTGGCATTCTTGGTCCATCCAGACACAAGCAGCACGAAATCAACTTGATTATGACAACAAATAACTGCCGATATCTCGTATGAATGACATGGACTGTATCAATCCTTCCTATTCCAGTGCTTATTTATACTATAATCTGAAGATGTCCCGCAAACTTAAACGCAAACATAATCATCAGCTTCATCCGTATAGAACCCTCTAGACGCCCTCTATTCCCTTAACATGGGTCACTGCAACTCCATCCTAGATCCGCGTGTTAGTCTTTGACTAAAGAGGGCAAATAGATAGACTCACCCGTCCAAATGCAGTTTCAAACTCTTGCACGCGCGAGTCATACACCAGATTAGGATTTGGCTTCAATGCACCGACATCTGACTTGCTGACGATATCCCTCTTCTCCTGCGGCGTCGCGAGGATCCATTCACGGTAGACTGGTGCACCAGGCATGATGATATTATCCGCCAACAGCACGCTCTTCCCCGGCTTCAACACCTGCAACTCCTCCAGCAGCCACAGATCAGGCCGGTACAGCTCCTGCCAGTGATCAATGAAAATCAACTCGACAGTCTCAATCTCCTTAGTCTCGGTGATGAGCTCTCTCAACACCTCATCGCTCGCACCAACAACAATCCGCACATAATCGCGCAGTCCGGCAAGCTCAACAATCTGGTTAGCAACAGCCGCCATCTCGGGGTTCTTCTCGATGCTGAGGAATTGCTTTCCGCCGTTCTGGCGGACGGTGTCGCCGAATAACACAGCCGAGTACCCGATGTAACCGCCCAGCTCGATCATCACGGAGGGTTTGCGCTCGGCGATAATGCCGGTGATGAACTCGCCTTTGACCGCGCCGATGTTCATGAGGATGTTGAATTGTTCGACGTAGTCGTCAATGGCGCGGAGGACTTTGGCCGGGTTTCCGCGGATTTGCTTAATATCGGGTCGGCTGTAGATGTAGTGGAGGAGGTCGGTCTCGCGGCCATCCTGTTGACTGTTAGAGCATGATCGCGCGGATTCAAGATACAGAAAGCTCACCAGAGCCCATTTCAAAGCGGGGGGAGAGTGGGGTTTGTTGGGCATTTTGATGGTTGAAAGATATTCAATATTATCTTATTTGGAATGTTCTGATGTTCTGATGATTAGTTGGGACAACAAACATGGCTTTATACTGCCATTGATGATCTACATCATTCGGCATTCGGGTTAATCGGGGTTTCCTAAGCAGGCAGCTCGGGTCTCACGTCAGCAATGTCCGAAGGGCTCGTCCGACTCGGAGTTACAGGCAACAGTTGGCCCCCAATATTATCAGGACATCGGACATCGGGCGGAGATAAGAATCAAAGATAAGAATATCATGATGACGTTGATCGCAGGCCAAGGACACTTCTGCTAAGGTTGTTGTCCTGTTTGATGTATGAGTTGAAAGAATGCATGAGTCAATGACAATTCAAGTAACGTCTCAATGAGTTAATACATAGCGTCAGGAATTAAAGAGTATATCCTCTTATAGTAATCTTTATACATTATGTACTAGAGGGCCGTCGCAGCATCCGTCCAGATAAAAACAAAAGTAAACGGAAATAAAACAGGATCCCGCCGAGTGGTTTTGTAATCGCCCAAAGTGGCTTCCAATCGTAGCCGGCCTCGTTCTGAGCGACATCAGCATATCCTGGTTATTCAGGGAGAGCCTCTCTGAAAGAATCTCCGGAGCAGCGACGCATCTCGTTGCCGTGTCTGCTACTACAGTGTAGGACTAGGACTCGGAGAGCAGCATGCCATGTACGGTGGGTCTTTGATTCTACCGCACCGCCATCCGTTGCTTCTAGAAAGCGCTGTACGAGAACCATAATGTTGGCATTATATACATCTTCCATTTGTTAACTGAGATCTGGAAGTCAAGGTATAGCATGTAACCTACAGAGAACAGAATACCACCAGTTTGGCAGTGAGCCAAGCAAGGTCTGCATGTTGATATTGCGCTCGAAAGTTTCAATCGACTCGTGTGCAATGTGAAGCAGATTCGTGAGCACTGGGCCAGCATCACTTCGGAAAGACTCAAATCAGTTGAATCATATGAGTTACCTACAACACCACGTATGCAATCTCTAGAACCTAGTAGAGAAAACATACGCATTCCTGATCTACGCCATCCCGGCCTTTGGTGGCCAGTCATTGGACAATTTATCGGAAGCTTTATCCCACCTACACTCAGATTGCGGTGGTTGGAATGAATCATGGTCATCATGGGAGGAATGGTCCTTGGGGCGGTCATCCTCTTCCAACCGGAGACCACAAGTGAGAAAACCTTTTGTCAATTAGATGGAACGCCTTCAGTTCTGGTTAATTCTATAAGTCTGTTCAATGATGCGTATTATAAGCCTTTAAGTATACTATAAACTACTATTTATAGTATTCCTTATATAGACCCTAATCCTAGATATAAGAAGCTACTATCAGTAAAGTCTATATAATAAAGAAAAGGAAGTATACTAAGCCTACATAAATTAATAGCTTAAGGTAGAGATTAAGTAGAGTGGGGTTCCAGCACCAAAATTAAGAGTGTCTTCGAATTAGCATTGCATACCCAACCCGTGAAACCCACCCCAAACCCGCCCCAAACCCGCGATGGGGCAGGTTGGGGGCGGCCGCTAGAACCTGTCCTGGGGGTTGGGTTTTAGGGGTTAACCCCCTATGGGGTCCGGGGAACCCAATAGGGTGGGGTAGGGTAGGTTTAGTAGGTTAGGGGCGCTGATAGGGCTTTTTAGCTTAGTTATCACTAAAACTCACTGGATGCTGCATGATAACAGCATCATCCAGCCTTGCATCGAGCCAGCCCATCTGGCCCTGTCAGCCATTCACGTCGCCCCAACCGACCTCCCTGGTGGACCTCTGGGGTGAACGCTGCGATTTTTCTTTTCCTTTCCTGCTGCCAACGGCGCATCCACCCTTTCTTTCGTTTTCGCCTTCCCAGCATCTTCGGTCGTTCCCCACTCCTTAAGCTTCCTTAACGCGGCGCTATCGCCTCTTCTTTTTATACTCATACTCGATACTCAACTCTACTTGATACTTGTTGGATATACTCGACTCGTATACCATGCTAAATGTCTCAGCCAGTACTGATTTGATATTGAGATTTTACTGAAATTTCCAATTAAAAAAGAACAATAAACACCATCAATTGCCTGTGGTAAAATCACTCATCCATTCTTGACATAGAATTCCAACGACATCTGCTTGCGGATAGGCTCGCCTTGTGCAATGGCTTCCTCCGCCTCATGCCGATGTTCTCTCCAGAATTTCCTATCAAAGCTGTAAACTGTATCATGATAGCCAAAAGCTACCGTAAAATTGTCTTTGTCATCCTTGCCATACTTAGGATTCCCGTCTTGCTTTTTCGAGACGGTGAAGGAAGTATCGCGCACGTCTAGATTTAAATCAGTAATCTTTCATCTTATTGCTTTGAACTATCATACCCGGCAGAAATCTCTTCTGATCAGCATCGTACTTGTAGTAGACATGGGTGAAGAAGAATTGATTCACCCTTTCTATGTCGATGCTTCCACTGATAGCTCTGAGAACAACCCCGAACTGCTCCAGTGCATCATTGGGGATGACATAATGGGTCAGCAATTCCTGAAGAATAATGCCATGGACACTCTCTGGGGTTGCGTTAATATCCTTTTCATCTTCCAATGTCTGCTTTGGGGTGAGCCTTGTATACATCGCATGTTAGAATCCTTCACTCATCGGAGAAACCACATGTGTTGAAGGGGATAAGGAAAGAGAGAAAAAATAAAAATAAAAAATAAAAATAAAACACACACCACGATCCCTCACTGTTCTCCCTAAAAAATGTCACTACCTTAGCCCGATAGCCGTTCCTGGCGACACGAGAGGCAATCGAGTCGTCAGACGGCAGTTTACCGTCTGCAAGATGTTCATTAACCTGTGTTTCTGTTTGTCCGAGTTCCCACGCATTCCAAGATTGAAACTCGTCTTGAATGGCGTCAAGGTCCGCTTTTCTCTCATCAGGCAGGAAGGGAACGTAGTAAAGAAAGAGTAAATTGGGGGTGCCATAGTCATTGGACACGTCGACGTCCTTGGACTTGGGGACCAACCTGGATCCTAGAGAAACGGCCTTGACTTCAGGAAGTAAGAGAGACATTTTGGCCGAACACCTAATAGTGAAGCTTGGAAAAATCAATCTAAGTTGCGAGTCATTTCTGGGCTATATATGAATAAGTCAGTCGACAGTCGTACTTGGCTAGCTTCGACATTACGGAAGCAACCAACTCATTATTGTCATTCCCTCATGGTGCATGCTCTTACGACGCACCATCAACAGGATCTGTGCTCTGCATAGATGGAGATGTAAATGCAGATGTAACCCCATTAAAGAAATGACTCACAGTTATCGAAAAGTTGTTGCTACAGAACCCGGAAAATTCGGAAGGGGCATAAGTCGGAAGTCATTGGTCCAGGCAATCTTCCCATCAATAGCTAAAAGGGACTTCAGACAGAAGCCCCTGCACTGTTTGGCCGAATAATAGTAAACACCTAGAACACTCTCACTATACAGGGATCATCACAAAAGTCCTCAAACTTCTCGAGTGGCAATGCAGATCTGATCATTTGACCACACAACTTCTGTTTTAAGCCTACGCGTTAGGTTGTGAGGCATTTATGCCTCTTTCTCTCAATGCAACTCCATGGCCTCACTATGCATAAACAGCTAACTTTCCCGGCCACCTGCATTGGCGGCGGGTAGGCGGCCCGTTCCATCCCGCCCGTCCGATCAGTGGAGGGACTGAGGAATAACGCGATCTGCCCAGACCCCAATGTTCTTCGCCCCGACCGCCAGATTTAACATTTTGAGCTCTTGCTCTAAAAGCTAACTCTTTTTTAGGGGGATATGGAATATGATCAACTACAGTGGGTCTTCAAGACTATGAAAGCATGATGGCTAGAAAGGATGTAGATTGACAGATCTACACACATGGACAGAGGTTACGAGCAAGAGGTAAAGCCTCTGTGCGACAGGGCCTAATGGGACAACAGAGACGAGGTGCACCTCACCGAATAAGTGTAACAGAAATATTCAATTGGTTCATCACTTCTCCCCCAATTAATCCGCGAAAATGAGCCTTACGTTGAACCAATCGGAGTTCATGGGGACAGCGGGTGGTTGCAATTTCCTTCCCTTCCTTGTATCCACCCTTGTATGCATGGAGGCCGAAACTGTTGATCGTTTATGTAACAGATATTCAACTGTAGAATTGGCTAGCCTCTGTGCTCAAAATAGATACATGCATAATGTGGTCCAAGAGGTCCTTCATCTTTCATAAAGGTGAGCCATTTTCCATTTCAATACGCTATTGGTCAACGTGTACACAGAGCACCGTGATGCTCAGAATTATACCCGAGTCCAGAACCTGTACGCGATGATGAGTTGGCGAGATTGTTGAGTCTGAATAATGTGGAGATGGACAGGGCCGGAAGGCATGACTCCTCGATCAAACTATAGTCACCGGACTCGAGATACCTGTATTTAAAGGATGCTGATTGCTCGCCATGTTAACAAAGAGCAAAGGATTTATTCTCAGTTTCTCAGTTCTACAACCACTCTGCTTCAACGTACAGACTCATCTTTTATTTGCACCATGCCTACTCGCACCTACGCTGCCAGTGTTGCGGGGCTTCCTGTAAGGGACCCGCCCCCTCTCAGGTCTCCCAAAGACAGCAGCGAAATCCCATCTGATGATGACATGGGATTCAACGACCCACAGAATATCATCTACGTCAACCTGAAGGCGAAGGACTTGACTGATCCAAAATGGACAGAACGCATCAACTATCTCACGCAAATGCTTCAGTTGACTCACCAGCTTGCGACCATTCAGACTGGCATTCAGGTCAAGGACCGGAAAGCGGAAGGAGTTTTGCCCGACGATATGAGCGACGCTTCTCAATGGAAGCGCTCTGAATATCGCCACAAAGTCATGGACACCTATTTCAAAGATGGTGTATATACCTGGTACGTTCTTCTCAAGGCGATCTCCTTGTGAAAAAGGCTGACAGACTCTGTAGGTGCTATAGCCCCCAGGAAACGGAAGTCGAGAAGCACATTTCCGTTGACAAGACTAACTTTCACTGGGAATTGCTCAAGGACATGCTGGCTGGTATCATTGTTCCTGGACCGATTGAAAGCTCACTTGAAGCAATCTTTAAGGGAATTACTGATACCATTCTCAAGACAGAAGTCACTACTGATAAGAGGTCCTTTTGGAGTTTGGTTCAGGTTTTCACATATGATGCGGTGCAAGACAAGCTTAATGGATGTGAGTATACAATCCATTCATGGTACAGATAGATTTTCTGATGTGAAGCAGCTCTCCGGAACATCACTTATACCTTGTCCCAGGACATGAAGGAGGTTACCGTGGGCAAAGCCAGTCATACCTCTATCCAGGTCGACTTCGCCTTCAGTCAATGCGACTTTTCCTTCAACGAAAGCACGTGGGATAGTGTGAAGGAAAAGGTCAACCAGTATATTATCAGTACTGGCATTGGTAACATCACTGACCCGCCTAAGGTTGACGTTTGATCATCAATGGATCCAACCCACGCAACTAGGATTGTTGGCAGAATGCCTTCCAGTGGGATAGTATACACTCCTTTATATTTAACAAGACCGCTGGTTAGCTATGAAAAATAAGAACCAGTACGCTCTCAATCATTCCTATTGTGACAACCTCAATCAATAGACATAATCTTATTCGTAGATCTATCAAAAACACTAAACTGGAGAAGGAAAGGAATGAAATAGCGGATCAGCATGATAGTGGTACCCCAACCTGCGCAAGGCGGGGCAGGGCGGGTGCAGGTTCTCCAGGGCAGGTTATCATCTCTAATTTCTATTACTAACTTCTAAAGTATATATTATTTCATATTATAGATTATATTCTTATTTAGGTAAAGTTCTCATCGGATTGAGCCATATATAAACGCTTTCTTTCTTATTGTTCAATCCATAGCCTGTTGAGCTACTTCGAAGTCTTTATCTGTCCTCTGACTTGGGGTTGGATAACATGAATCCTAGTAGTGTCAGCTTTTTGTAGGACCTTGCAAAGTAAAAATAGACATACAAGGTGTGGTTTTAAAAAAGTCCAAAACCCAGATCGGTCCGCTGAAAATATGTGTACTTGGCCATTTTCCTTAATGCGAATGCCTAGGCAGACATCAGCGTCACACATCTTACTATATTCAAAGACCCTTTTCTCCAGGCTTTCTGTGCGACGATGTCTTTTCTGTGTAATAGATTTTTTGCTTTTCTTTATGTCATTTGATTGTTCTGTTCTTTTGGCTGTCATGATATATAAGCCGATGGGCAATTTATGTGACTGACTGGCTGTCTCAAGGGTATTGCAATTTATGACCCTTAATAAGGCGATAAAGCCTTAACTCTGGTCAAAAAATTGAAGATAGAACATGGCAAACATCAAAAAGTTACGAACGGGCAAAGGCTCAAAATTGACGTTTTTACCAACGCTGGCGGCCACGGTTTTGACCATAAAAAAAAAAAAGTGACATTGTCAACAGTAGCCCGCGTTGCTGCAATAAATCAAGATCTTGAAATCGTCTTAAGATCTATTGATCTCCGGGAACTGATATGCATTCTCACGAACTCGGTCGCTCCTCCGAACGTCAAAGGGCGCTCTCAGGATGCCGCAACTGAGGACCTATCTCGGGCGCCAAACGCGCTGAGTATTGTCTACGATCGCAGGACGAGCAACAAGAAAGAGCTTTTCATCTATTAATATTCTTTCCCTTTATAATAAGTTATTTGCTACTCTTTCTTACATTCTAGTGTTTCTGAATTTCCGCCCTTTGTAGTATTCCGCCTCAAAGGCTATAGAACTCGATCGAAAGAAAAAAAGTAAACTATCAGACCCCACAACATAAGATTAGATAATCGTCCCATTACTCTACTGCAGCGTACAATCTACTCTATATTGAATAGAAAAATGCCACTCGACTCAACTGTAATAAAATTGATTATCAGTAAGCCCAGGAAGGTGCAAATATGCAAAAGGTTAAAATAAACTTTCATATTAGCGCCGGTGATAAAAGTGGCTTATACGATCTCTCCTTGACTGCTGACCCAACAAGTGTGTATTTCTATGTTGACCTTTCTATAGAGTCACTTTATAGGGAAGTTAACAACTTTATAATATGAACTTATCGCAAATATGAAAATGCTACTATGTACGTTGTTCCTATGCACATCGCAAAGTTGACAGGACGTTGTCTCCCTTGTCGCAGTTGCTTTGACCTACCCAATATCCAAGGGATACGAGGTTAAGAAGAAAAAGGGATTCATGTCGGAAGGAAATGCAAGCAAAACTTCTGTCATGGCATCATAATATTATAAATATTATAAAATTGTGTTTTTGTAGTAGACCTTGCCTTGGGGTAGCTCTTGCCTTGCGGGGTGCTTATGAATCATGCGGACTATCAAGACTTCTTTGGTAGACATTGGGCATATACATATTAAATGAGTGTATTATACTAAATAAAATAGAAAATTCACATGACAAGCACTTAAAAAGAGAAAATAAAGCAAGATGGCAGAAATCAAGAAAAAGGCCTGATATGGCCAATGTATATATGTGTGGACTTCTAATTAGATAGCAGACTGTCTATATATAGAGGCCTTCCATCTGGTCATGATTACTGAGTTCCTTAAAAAATAAAAATTATTAGACTGTGCGGGCTTGTCCAGATGCTAAAATATTATCTACATTTTATTAAATATAGCCAGTGCCAATAGAGGTAAGGTTTTTAATCTAGTGTGATATAAGAATAAGTATAAAAGAAGGTTATTTATTAGAAAGAGAATACCTTTATAGTATTTAAGTTTATATAGGAAAATAGTTAACAGTTAGTTATAGCTATTAACATATAAAGTATAATACTCTATATTAGTAACTATAATTATTATAAAGTAAGGTTTATTATATGAACTACTAGGGTAGATATGAACCCAAGACGCAGATCCCTGCTGTTCCTCCTTCCTACCTTTCCTCTATATTATAGATATCTTGAAAAGGCCACCATCATGCTATCTAGATTGTGCAAGGGTAATAATAAATAGCTTGACCCTCCTATACCTAGTATATAGATAGGGAGGGCCAGTAAACCATTCTTAGCCTTATTTCTATATAGGAATTATAAAAGTAGAGTAGTTACTAGCTATAACTATAATATACTAAATTAGCCTAAGTATTAATAGTTAAGAATATCTAACAGCTTTTAGTCTTCTAGGGTAAGCCTTAAGTATAATATCTTATTTTTAAGACTAAGTATACTAACTAGTAAAGATAGTGTGTCACACAAGTCAAGTCTACTTGTAAGTAACGAGTAGAGTTTAAGTAATGAGGTAAGTTTGAGTTCAGATTTAGGACTTATCTTAGTATATAAGTAAAACTCATGAGTCTGGATCGGCATCCCCGCAGATGTCACCCCAGGGTAATGAGTTTAAGTCCTACCTTCTAACTTGACTTGTGAGTTGAGTCCTAAATCTCTACTCGAACTCGACTCGTGTGACACGCTAGTTATACAGAGTCTAGGGAAATACTATAACCTTTATGGGGAGAATATTTATCTAATACTGTATTCCATGATATCTATTTTCAGTTATTTACACCAAAAAATCTAGCAGGATGAATCACAGCAGTGACGGAGATACTTAGAACATTGGACAACAATATCCACATCATGCTTCGAACCCAATCTTTCCGGTGGCAATGCCTCAAGCTTGCGACTGAGCATGCGTTACTGTAGATTGACTACCCCTGCCTACGTGGAGATTGTACGGAGTGACTACACCACTGCAACGAGATCCGCCTTCAACATTGAGCTGCGTCTATTTCTATGCTTCAGGATGTCTATCAAGGGGGGGGAGGGGGGGGGGGAACAATCTCGACCGTGTATGGCGGAGCTGACGGGGGCGGTCATGGCGGTCGAGATGGCCCAGGCGAATTCCGTCTTCGGATATCGTCCTGTAGAGATCTACATAGACAACTAGTCAAGCCTGCAAACCCTTTAGCCCCAAGCAGACCTCTTGGCAAACACGTCGCTTAGCTCGTAGTGGAGATGCTTAGTTAGTGGGTGAGGGTCCGGCCTGAAGATTATCTTGCTGCAGATGATCCCGGCGCATAGACATGTCCAGGAAATCAGGTAATAGATCGCGCGACACGAAAGATGACAAGATGGCTTAACAATGGTGATACTACAGAGCCAGCACTATACCTAGCTGGCCTTCTGGTGCTACTCTGCTCTGCCACATGATTATGTATATACGACGACTTAAACAACCGAGATAGATATGTAGTTATGTGCTTTCTGCGCAATAATAACCCTCAATAGTAGGGAACTTGTAGAGTTTAATTAAAATGAAAGTTGCAGAGAATATGCAGGGGTAGGACTCTGCTAACCGGATCAACCTGAATATCCCCTAAATGGGACTGACTTGACTTTAGATCATCTTGATGTGATGGACACTTTGTGATGCCAATGCTACTGTGATTAGGATCTGCATACTAGCTTGTGGAGACATCAAGATCCACCAATCTGTTACGTCGCTGAAGAATGTTCATATCACATCTCAGTTGAATTTATATGACTCAAATTATAAATCCTTTCGAGTTCAGGTTGTAAAGCACTTGAATTGATCAGGCTGAGATAGGTGATAATGTAGGCATCTCCACATAGAATCAATAGTTCAGAACACGTGGTGAGTAAAATAGACCGACATAAGACATTGTACTCTGAGTGTTAGTTTAATCTCCGCATTAGAGCTTGACAATGTTTCCTTCCTCGAGAAAATTAAAATAGAATAAAACAAGAAAGTTGATCAGGTGCAATTCGGGTAATTCAGGTAGGAGTAGAAAAGGGGGGTTGTTCCTTTTCAATTCACCTATCCTTCTGGAGTGATTAAAAAACAGAAATATACAAGGGCCCTTCAGACTGAATCGAGATTGTCTTTCAGCTCTCCATAGGATGATCTTATTTTCTTATGTCCAATGAAAAGTGGTGGAAAAGGTTTGTCTTGTCACACAGTCCCACTTTTCGGGAAGATCTCCACGATCTATTCGCGCTGTCGGGTCATAGATCGCCTCCGCTGAACCCTCCGTGAGTAGTGTGGAGATAGAGGCCAGTGGCTAATTGCGATCAGCTCAACTATCAGCAAAACACGAACCCTTGCATATTGACGAACTCAGCGGCCATTTTAGCCTTATGATCTGCCCGGACTAGTGGTGACAAATATCAATTTCGCAGCAATGTATCGAGATCTTTGGCTGATCCTGTCTTGGACAGTCGAATGCTCAGATCTATAAAGTGCGACAAATGGCCATGAGATGATGAGTAGAGGTCAACCACATCACCACCATGCGATTCTCCGACTACGCGGCTTCCCTGGCTTTGCTGGGAGGGACTACCGTGTCGGCCTTTGGTCGCCATGCCGCCCACCAAGGACTCTTGCAAATTGCCCCCTCGTTTGCTAAAGAGGGAATCAACCTCTACCCGGCCCTTCACCCGGACCACAATGCCACCGATCTCAACCACCTGATCCCTGAAAAATCAAAGCGTCTGCATTTCAGTCAGGAAGGACATCGCCGTGAGTATCCTAGGAGATACAATATGACTGCCCGCTAATGTGTGATCAGCTGCCCTGCATGGCGCCAAGCACGCTCATATGGAAGGAACCTTTTCCCATCCGACGGTCGTCTTGGAGCATTCTAGCCATATTGAAGACGTGGTCTGCACCGACCATGACATTAAAATCGTCTTCAACACGCCCGAGGCTCGCGCTACGGTGGAAAAACACTGGCAGGAAGAGACCACGGCACAAGGATTCAATTTGATCACGTATCACATTGACTGTGGCCATCTCCATGGCGAACACCGTTCTTTCTTCCGTGCATCTCAACCAAGAATGGAGGGCAACAACTCCATCAGGGTTAACACCCAACTGCTCGAAGAAACCGAGGCAATCCATGGAGGCCATTTGGAGTGGGGAACATACCAGAAGCCGGGACTATCAAAACGTCAACCGGTCAAAGGACATGTTCGCGCGTCTCGACCACAAGAAGTGATCGTGGATGGGGAAGGTGGCAACGCAACCATGGATATCACGAAGGATGCAGACGCATTTCATGCATTCTTTCCCAATGTGAATGTCGACACTGATATTCCCGATAGGGGCACCGAGGGAGGTGGCTTCTTGAATTATGACGGCTATGAGGATGATGAAATTGCTCGACGTGGCCTCTTTTCCTGGATCATCAATGCCTTCAAAGCACTGATCAACGTAAGTTCTTTTCCCTTTTGTTTCAACCCGATTTATAAGGAACTGCGCTGACAAGGATTGCTTGCTACAGTTGATTGCAGAGCAGGTTCAGAGACAAATTGAGATCATCAAAACGATCGCCAAGGTCATGATCGCCATTGCAGCAACAGCCGTGAAACTCTTACTCGTGCCCTTTGGATTCCCTTTTGATCAAGAGTATCATGCGGACATTTCCTTCAGTCACTATGTGCCCCAATAGATTGGCATTGGGACTGACCCTCTAACTACAGTCGCCGGTGCCGTTGCGAACTCCAATATCCCCGGAACTGTTGAAGGGGTCGAACAGGCCATCAAGATGGGTCTCATTACGGAGGATCAAGCAATCAACTCTGGTCTGAAGGGAGCAGATCTTAAAGATGCTCTGGATCTGGTGTATAGTAAAAAAGGTGCATCCTTGTATCTCAACTGCGACGCCTGTGGCACCAAGGGAAGTTTTACTTTTGATGGAAAACTTGCCTTTAGTATCGCGGACGGCCTCACCAAGGCTCAGATCTCCCTCATCAACAATGAGGAGTTTGTGCTGGAAGCGATTGTTGGGTTGAAACTTCAGGGCCGGGCCATCGAGGACCCTGAGGATGATGACGATGGCAAAAAGGGCACCAATCAAAAAAAGAAGGGACTGCGCAGCGTTGTCAAAAAAGAGATTGCTAAAGTCCCTCTCGGTCCTGCCCTATATATTCCCAAGATGCTCACCATCGGACCACAGATAGCGATAACACCAGCAGCCAGTCTCTACGCCGATGGAGCAGTCAGCATCCGGACTGGTCCAAGATTCACTGTATCCCCCGGCAACGTGACGTTGGACGCAAAGGATCCCAGCCGAAATGTTGCTGAGGGATGGGAGCCCAATTTTGAGTTTGTTTTTGAACAAGACGCCAGCATTGTTCTAACAGCTGATCTAGCAGTGGAGGTTGCTCTTGAATTTGCTTTGGATGTGCTCACCGGAACCTACAAAACATCAGTCGGAATCAACACGGCCCCTTCGGTCTATTTCACTGCCGAATACTCGAAGAACAAAGACTCTGACGACACGGGAAAACTGAAAGCCTGTGACGGCGGGCTGGAGCTCCGGGTTGGAGGAAAGAATCGGGTCTATAGTTCAGTGTTTGGGCTGAGGGAAATTGAGTTCAAGGAATTGGGGACGACTTTCGCAGACCATGGTCTCGGCTGTGTTTTGTAAGAGGCCCTCCCCCGTCGACCGAGTGAAGAGAAAGGGAAACTGACCCCCATCTAGCCCCAATGGTGAGGCGCGATTTGACTCTACGGCGGTGGAGAAGACCAAGGTGCTAGATGGATACGGTTTTCAAACAGGGGTTGGTAAAGCGGTCAGCAAGTATTTGAATGATTACATTCAGGAATCCCAGAAACCCAGAAACGTCACCTCGCCGGAAGAAATCGAGCTGGGAGAACAGCATGCCGCAGCGGTGAAGCACAAGAACAGCCACGGCACCGTGGCCAAGATGCCCCAGACTCATGGATTCCGAGTCGTTCAGGATGCCGGAATGACCTCGACCCTCGTCTCGGGAACTGACGGCAGGGTCTACATGACTGACAACTCGGCTGATCATGATCTCAGTGCTCCCTGGGGCTCTATCAATGTCAAGGAAGAGCATTTCAACTATGACGTATTTGGCCGCCTCATGTGGTTCAACGCATCGCGCATCCAGGGTACTAGCACTGGAATGGTGGAGATCGGGGTCGCTCCCGCTGAAAAAATGCCCAGGGGCGTCAATTCGGCGTATGTTTCATATCCCCTCTTGGAAAATGCCAAACCATCTTATACTGATTTGCTGTTGCAGTTCATTCAAGGTCATCAAGGACGACGATGGCAATGAAAGCTTCGCCATGGCACTCAATGCCACCGGGTCGAGCAGTGATGATGATAAGAAGCCAGAATGGGTGTGGTATCCTACTGTGTGCAAAATTCCTCGACGTGGACTCCAACTCTTCGCAACCGATTACCTCGTGACTGAAAAAGGATACGCCACTCATCATATCAAAGGTCAAAATAATATACACGGTCAAGGCGAAGCTTACGACTTTGACACATATTTTGCAACTAAACAATATTGGAGAGATTTCTTCGATTTGGGCCTTCGAAAATTAACCCAACAGAAGAAGCATGGTAAAGGGAATCACAAGCATGGTAAAGGAAACAAGCATGGTAAAGGAAACAAGCATGGCAAAGGAAACAAGCATGGCAAAGGGGATCCAGAGAGAGAATTTCAGAATTGGATCGCCAATGACGAGCCAAAGGAAGTCACGGCCTGTCGGACAGTGAGGTTAATCTCAGACCTCAAAAAGAAAGGCTCAGGCGGTCTCGTGCCAGATGTGGTTCAGGGTGCAGCAGGTGTGGGAGAGGGGGCTGTGGGGGCTGTTAACAAAGCAGTGGAAGCAGTCTGATCTAGATTCAGGCATGCTATGGATTGACCGAGGGACATTTGCTGTTTATATTCATTTCTTGCATATAATTATTGAATTTAAGGCTATCTAATACGCATTTGTACCTACTGGATTCTTGAATGTGTATGGATCTTAAAGGTAGAAGGCCTGTATACATGACGATGTCAGATTCCTTTTTTAGCCATCTTCAGGCAGTCCAAGTTACGCAAAGCATTATCACATTACCATTCCCAGCAGCATCTCCTACACAATGTGAGCCTATCACGGACGAAAGATACTTACGGGTAAGTTCTGTCCCAGGCTCAAAGTTCAGGTCTGTATTACTAACTAAAAGCAAATGTTGGGGGTTTTGTCAGGGTTGGGTCAAGTGGGAAAGAGCAATAGTTTTGTTGATTATGTACAGTACAGTAGACTAGAAGTGAGAAACCCTTTTGTTAATTTCATAGAAGGCCTTCAGTTCTGGTTGATTCTACAAGGACATTCAGGCATGCATATTATAAACCTTCAAGTATGCTAACAATACCATTCTTTAATGCACCGTTTCCCCATCTCGATACTGCTAGGAGATGACGCAAGAAATTTAACGAGCCGTCCCTCAACGTCGTTCTCCAAGTTCCCAAACATACCATGGAGAAGTCTTCTTCTTTGGCTCTCTGAAAGTGGAGCCATAATTCGTGAATCGGGCCCTCCGTCATGACAGAAAAGGCGAGGTGTACTATGCTGTCAGACAACCCTTGGGCTGATCCAGGACTGTCTTCAATGATTTCCTGGATTACTTCGTCCAAATCCTGGACATCATTAAGGTCTGAAAGATTCTTGAAGATCTGGAGCGCTGTTGAGCCACCTACTGCAGCTTGGTTTTATGCCTGGTATAAGTTCCCGCCAGTTGCACCGGCCTTTGCTTCGACTATTAGAAAGGGAAACCGAAGACCTAAGGGAGTGATATAGGGATCACTGATTAGGCTAGAGGTATCTTATAAGTCAAATAGAAAGCTTCATGCTATGCCATGACCCTTCTTAGGCTCAAGCGCGGTTGCCAAGTTCTTGTTGGACAAACCGACACATATATCTGGCCGGGGATCCTTGAGCTTAAATACAGGAATGGCTGCTTCGATTGCGTGGGAAGCATGTGGATGTGGAGATAGGCTGTTAGTAGTTCTATTTCCCAGTAAAATTTAATGTGCCTGGTTTTATTTCTGTGGGATAGTAGGCAGAGGGTTATGCACTGCAGGTTTCAGATCCTCATGCCAGTCTTATGGAGAAGTCAGCATTTCCGAATTTCAAATGACACTATACAGATGGCAGCTTACCTCAACTCTACGTAATTTTAAGCCCAGGGGGCTTCAACTCATTAATTACTGTATATAAAGCTTCTGTCCATTTAGCTTCCCCTGATGGTTTTTTAACAAGTTCTTTAGATTTACTCCAGAGCTTTTCAGAGATCTTGTATAGATCAATATTATTATCTAAAGTATGGAAAACATTGCTATCTGTATACAGACTGATTTCCATGGGAATCTCATCATCGACACGGATATTTGCACGCCGGAGAGGTCCTTGACGATATTGTGCTTCACTTGGTCGGGATGGGCTGCTGGACCGCGACCGTTGTAAAGAGCGTGTGGACGAAGGAGATACTTGGAATATCTGATAAGCCGCTTATTCTCGGTTCCGGGCGTGTGTTTTGGTCATGCTCCTTCAGAGCGTCAGTCATAAGGCAAGCGGTGGTAGGACCAGCGGTTGTCTGAACGCGCTTTGGAGATAAATGCAAAGGGGGGCAAGAGCGCGATCGCTTCATTTGGTCGATGCAATCAATAATCTTGGGCTTGAGGTCAAGTATCAAGTCCTTCTCATTGCGAGCAAAAGAGAGGATGGCATGTGTCAGGAGTGCCAAGACAAAACAAACCAATGTGACCCACACTATTCTTTGGAGGAGCACTGTTAGGCAAAAGACCAATGAAAAGTTCCCACCTCAACCTACAATCCTTACAGAAGCCAGTCACACCCCATTCAAGACTTGCCCAGGTCTCCAATCAACTTGGATCTTGTATAAAATTTTGGTAGTCGGTCTTTGACACACGACCTACTGGGGCGGATATAAACCCAAGACGCAAATCCCTTGCTGTTGCACCATGTGCTAAATCAGCCCAAGTGTTGACAGTCGAGAACATCCAACAGCTTCTGGTCTCCCGGGGTAAGCCTCAGGTATGATATCTTATTTTTGAGACCAAGTGTACTGACTGGCAAAGACGCGCCGAGGCATAAACAGAGCTGGGGAGAACCACCCCAAAAGCGACAGGAAGGCGTTCCTTTCCGAGTGTCAGAGTGGCAGCAAGACTACTTACAGATCCCTACATTCCAATGCAGTGTCAATGACGTACTGTGATATCCAACATTCTCCGATCCAGACAAAGGTGGTGGGGGTCACTGAAAGGCACGGATATGTATGTACAGTGTGTTTCTTACATATTGGTGAGAGGGAATCTCAAATCATAGAATGAATAAAATTAAATAGGCTCCTAGGGTATTTGTGAGCTTATTTTCCCAGAATGCTGAAGAAATATGCATCTACTCCAGTAAGCCCCAATACTGAAGAAATTGATCATCGATCTCCGGTGTCTGTCACCGATCCGACTCATCGTAAGTTGATTGAAAATAATCCCATCATTGACTGGCCCCGACGCGAGTCTCTCCATCGGCTGATCAAACGCTGCCTGAAGATTCAGATGTTGCATAATGGGCTCCATCATCGAAGGCAGCGTCTGTCCCACTTTGTTCAATAGTAGAGGAAGAAATCGCTGTCTTCCGCCATGCAAATTGCAGACCAGCGAGCAGAAATGCTTGAGATGATCTTGGGGGCCTAGCTGAAAGGCAGAAGACTGCCGTGTCGATGATGATAGACAGGCCATGACGTCGATCAAGGTACAGGATACTTCGAAGATTTTTTCAATCTAACCGGTCAGTATAGACGACTGTAAGATCAGAATCTACCTACCAGTCCAATCCCGTGCGTCTCCATACTATGCGGTGACAACTTCCATATGGCAACGGATAGATTCCGTGCGATTTGGATCGGATACTGAAACTCCATGCATGGATGGACGGCGTCGGATGACAGAAAGCCCAGTGTTGTCGAGAGCTGCCAGACCATTGTCCGCAGCCACTGCTGAGAAACGCGCAAATCTGCCATCAAGACATCGGGGAGGTCCATCTCAGCGGGAACGGCATTCTGGATATGTTGTTGCAGTTGAACGAGATAATCTATCGAACAGGTGGCATTTGTACCGTTCCACAGCCCCAGGAAGCGGTCATCCAAAGGACGATAGAGATCGACCAGACAGCGAAATCCCTGAAAAGCGGAATCAGACAGGTTGGTATCCAGGATGGGACTCTCCTGGGTGGCATGAAGAGTTACAGGACGATGTCGACGAATTGCATGCGCTCTGTTCATTAGCATGAGCTGGTAATCAAACTAGGGGCCATACCTTTCCGATACAAAAAGAAGCCAGAAGAGTCGATCTCGAATAATTTTATCCTGCTCTGGCATCGGGTTATCGAGCATTCCAGCCGTGAAGATTGTCGTTGCCTCACGCAGAAACCAGTAGGCATGTCGTTGATTGCCGAGCCCAATATGGCAGCCATACAGTAGAAAAGAAACGACCATATTCTGGCAGACAGAATCACTCAATGGATCAGAATGCCGATGAGCCTGAGTGGCTTCACGAACAAGTACACAACCCATCTCAGATGTCGCTGTTGGATGCGACTGTAAATATCCTGTCTGTGTCAGGACGAAAGCACAAAAGGCCGTGACGATCGTATATGCAGGGAGAGAGTCATCCATCTGCTGGATATGATCTGCCAAAGAGTCTGGACAAATCACCGGCACAGTTCCTCTGAGGTGGGCGAAGAAATAGTCAGAACAGGACTGGATGAGGTCTTTTGACAGAAAAGCAGGAGGTCTTTTAAAATGGCAAGTCGTCCCATGCTTCTCATCAGGCTGTTTTTTCAATTGAGAAAGAATGTTGGCCGTCTTCCCCTGCCGACCTTTTCGCTGCGGAGTACGAGATACCCGACATTCTAGTCCTGCAGATTGGCAATGGCTGCAAGGCCTCTGTATAGTGCACTTGATCTTGCGACGACGACACCCGTCGCAGGCATGTTGCACCATTTGGATATTCCGGGGCATCGTGATCTGGGGCCGAGAATCAGAGACATTGTGGAGGATGAAATGCGGAGGTGCCAAGAGACGGGATGGGAGGGGTAGAGTGATATTGCTGAGATATTCCATAAAGTCTATACAGATAAACCAGCTACTCCTTTGCATCATCCTTCCTCACTTCCACCTCTCCCTCATATGGATCAACTTGGGTATGCTTGAATTTCCTCGCTGACACCCCTCGCTCAAATAACAAATCCAATTCCTCATAAGTCCTCCCCTTTGGCTCTGGTAGTCGGAAGAAAGACCACACCAGACACACCAGACACGTTCCGGCCCAGAAATACGCACATCTTGCTCCCCAGTTCCACGCGGTCGAGCTTAGTTGGTAGTTGGTCAAGACGTTTACCACGATGTTGCTGACATTGTATACGCAACGGGCCAGGACGATGGTCTTTGCTTTGAGACGGGTCGATGATAGTTCCGATACCAAGGAGTACGTAACCGGTCCGAGGGTGCAGTCGTAGCAAAATGTGAATATAATCAGCATCGCTCCAATCGCCCATTTGGAACTGCTGTTGTCCTCGGGGGAAAAGGATAGACTGCCGGTGATGATCAAGAGCAGGAACAAACTGGACAGCCCGAGGACATGCAATGTCCGACGTCCAGCGATGGCCATAAGGAACCATGAACAAAGTGTCCCGATGACGCCCAGCGCGTACTGCGCCAGAGATAAATTGAACGACTGCACAGTAGGCAACCCAGCCTGGACGCAAAAGTAGGCAAAGTACCCCATCAGGTTCTGGCCGCAGAGCGTCTGCACCAGCCAGACCAGGCATACCACTTCTGTCCGTCGTAGATTCGTTCCCTTGAAGCAGTCCGCGTAGCTCGTCCCTTTGGCAAGTGACTGCTCCAGCTCATTGGTATGTTGAATCATGGCAATTGTTTCGTCCGGGTTGAAGGTAGGGTCGTTCTTCGAGGTTAATCGCCGTAAAGCTCGTCGGGCACCCTCCTCATCGCCTCGGCGGACATGCCACCAAGGCGATTCGGGGGCAAACAAACAACCAAGAATTATAGGAAGAGGCCATGCCCATTGGACACCGAAAGGAATGCGATAGGCCCATTGATCGGTCCGAGAAAGTGACGCTCGATTCACTCCCACGGCCACGAATTGACCAAATACCCAGCACATGTTGATAAAGGTTGTCAGATACGGGCGTAGCACGACGGGACACACCTCCGAGGCGTAGGCAGCTGGGAGTGTCTGAAAAATGCCCCATGGGATTCCTGCCAGGATCTCCGCTGCCAACAGCATCTGGATGTTCACAGCAAAGAAGAAGAGAAAGACCACGCCAATCATGGCAGCCAAGGCAGAAATCATCGTCATGCGATATCCAAGACGTTCAGAGACAAGACCATTGATGAGCAGTCCAATCACTTCGCCCACTCGAGCACCGTTCGACAAGGCAGATTGCCATGAGGCCGGGACTGCCCATTTACCGGGACCGGTCTGGACTCCATATTTCCGATTGAAAGGAGGAGAAGCGTACATGGAGCTGAGCAGGGCAAGGTCGTAACCCTCCATGATGAGAGTTGAAGAAAGAAGAACAGACCATCCGACGGCTTTGGGGTAGAGTCGGACGGCCTGAGAGAGGGTCATGGCCTGCTCTTTGCGAGCGGCCTGTCTGCCTTGGTACTTTGGAGTCATATTGATGGTTATGATCTGAATTAAAACCACTCAATTGAAAGACAGTATTTATATCGTCAACACGAGGAAATCCGGGGTACCCCACACGGCGATCAGACCTGCGGAAGAAACGGAGATTCGGAGGCTATTCGGAGACAAGACGGAGGCAAGACGGAGGATGAACCTTCTTTGAATATTTATACCCATCTATCATACTTGGGGTATCTCATTCAAATCATACTCGACCTGTCAATCATGTCTCAAGTTCCGACTGGTACCAACAACTGGTGGAAAGAAGCCACCATCTACCAAGTATGTGATCATCTTTTGATAAGTATCTCATACTAATGACCAGGTTTATCCCGCTTCTTTCTGCGACTCCAATGGCGATGGCTGGGGCGATATACCCGGGCTGATATCCAAAATCCCCTATCTTCATTCCCTTGGGATTGACGTCGTCTGGCTCTCGCCCATGTACGCCTCGCCTATGTTGGACATGGGCTACGATGTATCCGATTATGAACAGGTACTTCCAGAATATGGCACCGTGCAAGACGTTGAACTGCTGCTCCAAGAGTGTCATGGGCACGGCATGAAGCTCATCCTGGACCTGGTCATTAACCATACCAGCGATCAGCACGAATGGTTCAAGGAAAGCCGATCCAGTCGAGACAACCCCAAACGGGATTGGTATTTCTGGAAACCTCCGCGGTATGATGAAAGTGGAAATCGGATCCCTCCGACTAACTATCGTGGCTATTTTGCTGGCAGTACCTGTACGTCTCATGCTCTCGAATTGATCTTAGCTAACCATCGCAGGGACATGGGACGAACATACCCAAGAATATTATCTCCATCTGTATGCCAAAGAACAGCCAGATCTCAATTGGGACAATCCTTCGGCCCGACAAGCCATCTATAACAGCGCTATCCGTTTCTGGCTGGACAAAGGCGTCGATGGTTTTCGTGTGGATACGGTCAACAAGTATAGCAAGCGGACCGATTTCCCCGATGCTCCCATCACCGACCCGAAAAGTGATATTCAACCCGCCGTCCAGATGTGGTGTAACGGTCCTCGCATCCATGAGTTTCTCCGTGAGATGTACGACGAGGTTCTCCAGCCGTACGGCGATGTCGTGACGGTCGGCGAGCTGGCCAATACCCCTGATCCAGCCCATGTGCTACAGTACGTCGGCGCTGCTGCCAAACAGCTAAGTATGGTCTTTCATCTCGACATCGGACATATCGGAATGGGACCAAGCTTGGAGGAAAAGTACTGCTTTCGGCCATGGAAATTGACCGAAATGAAAGCCATTGTGAGTAAATGGCAGTCGTTTGTCCAAGGGACCGACGGGTGGACGACGGCCTTTTGCGAGAACCACGACAACGGCCGTTCTGTCTCGCGGTTTGCATCGGATGAGCCACAGTGGCGCGAGGCATCAGCCAAGATGCTCGCTGTGATGATGCTGGCCATGACTGGAACCTTGTTTCTGTATCAGGGACAAGAGATTGGGATGATCAACGCCCCGCACGACTGGTCCATCGGTGAATACAAGGACATTGAGGGACTGGGGTATTACCGCGAGGCAGAGCGTCAGAGGGAAGAGGGTGCTGACCCGACACGTCCGGAGCGCGTCATGGATGGACTGCGAATTCTCGCGAGAGATCACGCCCGATTGCCCATGCAGTGGGATGATTCCCCCAATGCAGGATTCACGACCGGCACGCCATGGATGCGGACACACGATCTGTACCGGGAGATCAATGTGCGTAAGCAACAGAATGACCCAGACAGTGTGCTCTCCTTCTGGAAGAAGGCATTGCGGTTGCGAAAGGAGTATCGTGACCTATTCATCCATGGGGCTTTTGAAGTTGTGGACTTTGAGAACGAGGAGACTTTCTGCTTCACCAAGTCAAGAGGTACTAGAAAGGCTTTGGTGGTGTTGAATTTCACGTCGAGGCCGCAGCCTTTGAACGTGGGAGTGTCTGGCATGAATGAGGTGATCAGCAGTTATACGGAGTCTGGGGAAATGCTGAAACCTTACGAGGGGAGAATTTATGTCTGATGCTGTATTCCGTGATGATCTATTTTAGCCAACTACACTACAAGATATATCAGGATGATCACAACAGTGATGGGGACACTTTTAGAGACTTATTGTATTTAATCTGTCAATATGCTTCGATGTTGAATGAGGATGCCAAAAAAGATCAACGATTCAAGTCCAAAATTTCATTGGGACTGACACATATTGTCTACATGGAGATTACTGAATGCGGAAGGTTGCATGCAACGTTGGTCGTCCACTTTAACCTCATCTGACATGTCCAGACTGACAACGGAGGACCCACTATTGACCGATGATTAATATCGACGTCAAATTCCCATGTTGTTCTTCATGCTTGATCATCATGGATTTCTGGAGATTGAAACTGGCTACTTCGCAGCACCATTTCCCAGCCCGAGGAATGTAGCTTTCCTCTGCACATACCCACGGAATCCCAAAAGACGAACAGCTGTAGGTAATCATCCAATCTCTTTTCATCCCCGACTACTCACTGTTGTCAGTATCACGATTTATCAAGTCAGCATGCGCCCATTGCATTATGCAGCGCTACACCTCCTGGCGGGCGTATGCCTTGGGGCCCCTCGCGTGACGGAATCCGTGTTCGACCTTGATGTGGATGACCCGTGGGAATCATTGACTCGTGCGGATTCAAGTCTGGAATCCGACTTTCTCTGCGATTCAGCCGGGATTGAAGATCAGCATCTCCTTTCCGATGAGGAGGATGCCTTGCTTGCGGATGACAGCTACCCTGCAAACAACCTCATCTTCCAAGACCCTCACCAAGTCCCAATCGTGGAATTACCGGAAACTGAATCGCCAACTATGGAGATTAGGCCATCGTCTCCGTTCTATCCCTTGGCAGAATCAAAAGTCTCTGTGCAAATCCGAGGGATCCCCAAAGGCAAGGCAAAGAAAGTTATTCTCGAGACGCCAGATCTTGGGCAGTGGAATCTTTCCGTCACTGCCCGAGCTCCTAACTGTCCTGAAACAAAGCCTGGTTCCACCAAATTGCGATGCCAATGGGACAGCTACTACTATACCCGCTGGACTCAGTTCACCTTGCAACTGGGAGAATACAGCGACTCAAAGATCGACATCCCAATTACCTTGAAAACATATGTTGGAGATACCGTGGACACTACCAAGGGAAGGATTCAGTGGACGGTGCGCCATCCCAAGGCATACAAGCAGACGGAGCCCGACAAGTTTCCCCAGCCGCGCACACTGGTGGTAAATGCCTTGCCATCCGCAGAGAGTGAGAAAAAACGACTGCGGCAGTGGTTTAACTGGGCCGATTTCCAACCGACTGGGTTCTACCTCAATCCCAATACCCCGCTCAAGGTCCTGTGTTCTTCGCAGCATAAATCGGGTCCACAGCCGCAGCTTCTGATCGGGACTCCTGCGTTAGGGGATCCTGATTCCGATAGAGAAAGCAGGCCAAACAGCTTGGAAGAGCTCCCGCCATTAAAAGGCGGCCTCAATATCGTATCAAGCCCGATTGGTGGCATCATATATGTACGATATACTTCCGATTCCGATACCTGGCCACGCCCTGATTTTATCCACCTGAGCGGAGACGCAGCTCAGCCCATTCCCTTCTTTATAGAAGGCCAGACCACAGAGCGTCAATGGAAACAAATGCTCGATCTTACCACGGTCCCCTTTGCCGAACACTCCGGCCGGCGCAATCACAGGTCTTGCAAAACACGCAAAGAAATATGCAGACAAGGGTCAGGACCAGCAGAGCCTTCTCGATACCCATGCAGAGATCATCTATGCTCAGAATAAGATGAGTGGTCTCAGTTTCGACGCTTCCGATCCTCGGGATAGAGCGAGTGAGCTTCGACCGATGGTAGTCGAAACCAAACGCGGAAATCCCAATGCGTACACCTACCGAGCTGCCATGCCGCCTACATATGATGATAGCATCTGGTGGGTGCCTAGAGTCCGTACTTCATGGGGCATGTGGCATGAGTACGGCCACCAACGACAACACGTTCCAACATGGAGTTGGTCCGGGCTGGCAGAGGTCACGGTCAATATCTACTCTCTCGCGGCGATGCGTCACTTTGATCCCAATGCCCACCAGGATGTCAAGTATTGGAACGAGGCGAAGAAGTACCTCGCCGAACCCGATAGTAAAAAGGACTTCGACAATGGTGCTTTTGAAGGGTACAACAAACTCTACGTCAAGCTCGTTATGTTTGAGCAGCTCCGCGTGGTCTTTGGTGATCCCTTCTATCATCGTCTGCATCAAGTTTCTCGGCGGACATCCGACCAACCGCAAGCTGACAGAAAACACTTCTTCATGACCACTGCGTCGGAGGTCACAGAGGTTGATTTGTCTGAATATTTCATTAAATGGGGCCTAAAGCCCGAAAAACGCTCCCTCGATTCCATGAAGAAACACCGCAAGCCTAGCGAGGACTACACCAAACGGCCCGTTTTCGGAGGAGAGTAACGGAAAGAACAGAATGGAACATATGGGGCATGGACATTGTATGCAAATCTAGTTAACTGGCCTCAGGGTCGTGGCGCGGACTTATTATGGTCACTTAAATCAAGTCATTATGCAGCCTGCTGGTGTTTGTCCTTATTTTAAAAAAAAAATTATATTTATAATTAGGTTTCGCTTGACTTCTCCGACCCACTTTCGTGTCCTGGTACCTGGGACGGAATAGGGGCTGTTAGTTCCGGTAGTGCGAGTTCGGGATTCACTCGGATCAGACCATGGCAATACCCCGCCATCGTAATAGGGATTTAATCCCCCCCTACGGAGTACGCACACACTTTCAATTCATCCATTCCTGCGACAGTGAATCCATCATGCATTGGTATGGAAAACTTATAGCAGTCGGCGTTTGTCCTCTGCTGCCTACATTTGCATACCTGGTAGCCCACTATGGCCCTGTCTGTCTATCCATACACCCCTGGAAATCAGTAGAGTCTAAACTGCGTCTAGACCAGAGAGATTGAATTGGCTTTCTGCGAGCAACCTACCTACCTGTACGGGTTAAAGGGCAAGGCGAAGCCTTAGGTAACTCAGATAGTCACAAATTTCAGAAAAGTCACAACCTAGTCCAGGAACATAGCCTGGATAGAGCATAGATCCCTTCCTGGTTGGGTAATAGTCTAGGTACTGGGAATATATTACTGTAAGGTATACAGTAATCTATCTTTTTATATATGTGTTGTGTATGTGGATTACATATATTACCAGCCAGTAGCAAGTTTGATCGGCCAGTCAGAATGCACCGATCGTTCTGGCGAGATACCGCCAAGATCTGGATTGGAGTCGGGTTGGCAGGATTATTGTGCTTTGCAAGTTAAATTCTCCAGTTTCCAAGGCGTGGGCCATGCCAAAGCAATCAGCAAATAAGTAGCTGCAATGAATGTATCTGAATCGATGCTTTAGAGGGGCCTTTAGAGGCTTTACCATTAAAGATTTACCCAGTGATCTTCTCCACTGATGATGCTTCACTTAGGCTGTTTTAATGATTGCTAGTACTGGTAGATAATCAGCACATCAATGCCATAGTATGCTGATAGAAGACAATAGAGTTGATTCCTTATTTGTAATTAGTCTTCCAGATAGTGGGATAGGGTTTGCCAGATGAACTCTGCGCACGATCTGACAAATGTTCCTAGTTTCCTGGAAATCTCCTGGCGCTAAGTGACTAGGATTACCTGGTTTCCAGGAAATACTGTGGAGCCATGATCGATTGATCGGCAGTTGTATGGTATCTTATTGGATGTCTGTCTGCAGGTGGAGCCACGTGGGTAGCGGTGCTGTACTTAGTACTCAAAGCCATGAAGCTATTTGAATTGACTAGAAGTTAAACTGCCTATAAAAAGATGGGCTTGGCTCCACTGTGATCGCTTTGACTCCAATCCCACAATGCTTTGCCCTCTGAGGTTAATATCATTGGTGCCCTGTCCAATGCATGTCTTGCCGGCGTTTGCTAAACTCCCCTGACTGTAAATACTAAAGACCCCTCCTCGCTCCTCCACTTCTTTGTCTCCTGCACAGGCAATACTGTCTTGACATTGTCTTTGTCCACACTCATCATGGCAGCCATGGCGGCCATGGCCGATCTCACCATCTACAATGCCCCTACGGTGCCTCCGAAATACGATCAGGTCGGTGTCTTCTACATCGCATTCTGCGTCACGTGGAGCACTCTCCTCGTCGCTGGAATGATCTTTTGCTGGTTCAACCGCCACATCCCCATCATCAGAATCCGTGGTCTGCCGCTGTCCTTCTCCGCCATTGCTCTTCTCCATGTCTACTGGATCATGGGCCAGATCACCTATCCGGTCGGTCAGGCCGTGCCGACGGTTCTCGCCTATGACCTGCAGTACTTCGCGATGGGTATCTACTATCCGCTGGGTATTGCCCTGTTCCAAGCGTCCAACCTTCGCTTTCTGCACGTGGCCAAGATGCAGAAGCAGTTTGCGCATCCGGAACTGCGATCCACGAGACGTTGCAACGGTGGTGACTCGTCGTGGTTGTGCCGCCTGAGGAATATGGACTATATGACTCGGACTTTGACGTTTATCGGAATTGGCATGGCTTTGCAGGTATACTCCCTCTCCTTTGGCTGGTCAATCGGAAACTGACTATCAACTAGTTTGCCATCACTGTCGGCATGTGGTTTGCTTGTATGAAGTACCATCCGACCTACGGTATTCCCGGAACGGAAATCAAAGGTGCAACACTCCCGGAGCAGATGGCGGATCTGAGTCGAGGATGGGAATGGTGGCCGTCTCTGCTCTGGCAGGTCATCTGGACATGGGTTGTAGGTTATCACGTACTGGTGAAGATGTCTTTGCTTATATTTTCTCGCAGGCTGCTCCGATTCTCATCTGGCGTGCGTGGGGAATCCGTGATACGATGGGATGGCGTACGCAGACCATCGTATGCTGCGTCGCTAGGTATGTTGTTCTGTCTGGTATACCATGCATGTTACTGACTCTCCTAGTCTTCATGCAGTTCCGATGTTCATGGTTGCATCATATGTGCCCTCCTTTGCAAAGGTCAATGTCTACTTTCCTCCCAGTCAATGGTAAGTATCGCATCCAATACTAGACAAGCTGAGTCTAACGAAACAGGATCCATGTCTCCATCATCATATTTGAAATATTCACCGTCTTCGTCCCCATCTTCGAACTCATCCGGCTGCGCATCCTCAGCGAGAAAGCATCCAGCTCAAACGCCAAATACGACCCCTCATCCCTGGCCACCGTAATGAGAACAACCCCCTCGACAGAATGGAAGAACACATCCTCGTCCACCCTCGCCGAAAAGGGCCTGGCCATCGACTGTCTGGAGGAATATTCCGGCGACCGTCTGTTCACCATGGACGCCCTCGAACACGTCCTCGCCAAAAACCCCGAACCACTACAAGACTTTGCCGCCTTTAGCGATTTCTCCGGTGAAAACATTGCTTTCCTCAGCCACGCCGCGGCATGGAAGGCCTCCTTGCCCGAGCCGCTGGAAAAAGAACACATGTACGACGCCTTCAACCAGGCCTTGCAGATCTACATCACCTTCATCAGCATCCGTGACGCCGAATTCCCGCTCAACATCTCCTCGCAGAGCCTGAAGCATCTCGAGTCTGTGTTTGAGAAGCCCGCGCGCGCCATCTACGGCGAGGGAGCCGTCAACGCCGCCGTGCCATTCGAAGTGCCCTCTTCTTCCCCCGCGCCGCATGAAATTAGCATCGCTAGATACACGGACGAGATCCCTGATGGCTTCAACATGGCCATCTTCGACGATGTCCAGAACCACGTCAAGTATCTGATTCTGACAAACACGTGGCCCAAGTTTGTCGAGGCGATGCGTCGCCGGACTAGCGTTTCCACCGCACACAGTGACATTACTGCATCGTCGGATAGAACTCTGGCGACTTGGGTTTCTGTGCAGAGTGAGAAGCTCAAGTCGCTGTTTTAAGTCATCTGTGCTGGTTAGAATTGGTATATGACTGTTCGCTTCTTTGTATATTTTGATGTTTTCACATATCCTTTTCCTTTTCCTTCTCTTCCTTCATTCCCACTTTTATCACCATCTCATTTCTATCTTCTTCTCATCACTTTTCGACTCTTCTCATTTCATCTTCATCTTCTATTCTTTATCTTCATTTCTTAAAATTAGCACGAACGTGGAAAAAAGATCACCAGATAATTTACCCAAACAAATAAATGACAGCCAAGGCTATTTCATAAAATCCAGAATCTACACCATAACAGACGATCAATTCATTAATTTCTCAAAATTAGTACGTAGCAGGTCCAGACTTTCAGTGGCAAATCTGTCCACACTGGGTGCCTGAATCTAAGCACCCAGATTGGCCTGGTTTGTATAAAAGTGGGCTGGATTAAGCGAGTCTAATTTTCTTGGATATTATACTGTAATGTGATAGGATGTCTGGATAACCTTATTCTTTTTGATCCATGGTCCGTAGGCTTCGCGCTTTCTTTCCAATTCTTATTAAGTTAATGGTGAGTTGAGGGTTTATTATGTAGAAAGTTGAATTCCGGTTGTTATGATCTTCATACTAAAATGTAGAAAATATAAGCGTTGGAGGGAAGGTTGCAGTGAATTAGCTGTTTAAGCCCAGTGAATAAAAGAGAAACCCTTCAAATTATATTCAATGGTATAACAGATTTAAATATTACAGACATCAACAAACAGCAGCATCAGCCAGCGTCCCATTCAGCCAGTCCATAACAGGAACAAGCCTGCCTTGTGATTCATCGAGTCGTCCGGTAAGCCCCGTTCCACGAACATGGCCACTGATGTGAAATGTATAGTCCGTCTGCCCATCCCGCTCGGTGGTAACAACTTTCGAGTACAGGTCGATGTAAAGAGGCCCGTACAGATTCAAAGTCGTTGGAATCCTGAACGATCCCACCTCCGTCCACTTGCGCCGAAAGTGAAACGCGAGTCGCTTGTGCTCGAATTTCAACTCGGGCTCGTCCGAGATCAGTTTGCTGAGGTGTTCGTAGTAAGCTTTGATCTGGAAGTTGTCTATGGTCGCACTCATGTCGACTTCGAGCCGGGATCCGTAAAAAAAGACTTCGTTGACTGTCGCTTCTGCCCTGGCGAAGCTCACGTTGACGTTGTCGTGGGCGTGGTACGAAAAGTCTTCCACGATGTAAGGTATAGGAACGCCGAGGGCTTTCAGACTATCGCCGGACAGCGAGCTGTAAGGCTTGTTGTCTTTGAGGTGGATGTTAAAGGCTTTTGCCTTGGTGTCGAAGCAGCATTTTGTGATCATGTCTTTTTCTTGCTGGATGACAGTGTGGTATTTATCATAGCTGCAAGTCCCTGAGATCTCGTTCCATGTTGCATCGACCTCTGATGGTATTACGGCAGCAATCCGCGCCATCAATCATGATGTTTGAATCGGGGGTGACAGTCTGTCCACCCAAAAAGTTGACATGTGCTTCGGGGAAGAAGAAAATCTCCTGCACTGGGTTGAAACAACACCAATGCTTGATATTCACTCTGGAGAATCCTTCGGCGAAGTGGCCGTCTTTTTCGCATTTGTAGTAGTAGTCTTTTTTGGTGTATGGCACTTGCTCTGCGTCGTTTGGGCATCTCGGGATTTGCCCTTTTGGCGATATGAAATATTTGAGCAAGGGGGTGTTGGACTCGATGTTTTGGCGAGCCGATAGAGACTTGCTGGCGGGAACGAGGTCTTGACTGGTGTCCACTGCAGCTGATGATGCAGACTGAAGGAAGCCAGTCAGGGTCAGGAGGAAGGAAGTAAAACGAGTCATGGTAAAAAGGGGGGTATGAAAGATGCAATTGCAATGCTGAATTCTTGATATTGTTCAGGGCAGGTGGATGGGTATTTATATGTCCATGATGGACATCAATCCAAAGCATCTCGTACTTAGTCGGGGAGATTTGGCTGTGATGAAGAAAAACGCGATACTCATACCCAATCAGCAGTAGTAAGTGAGCTTTATGTGACCAGTCATCACTATCACTATCACAAAGGATCATGATCCTAGGCAGTATCCTAGAGTGTAGGTCGTGATCACAATCTCCAGTTGTCAGCAGATCTATGTGAATCTGAAGAGTGTCTGGGGTAGCGTTACATTCAGGATCAAAGATTTGTCAAGAATAAACTCTAGCACTAGTGTTGTAGTGGCAGCTGAATTTTTTGCAGATCAATGTTGATCATCTTCATCCTCATCATTTATAATACAGAAAAATATAATAAAATGGAAACCCGGTTTTTTGAAATACAGATTCCCAGTAAAGAAATTACAAACCCCCAGATAAACCACACACGGACCTATTATGGAGTCACTACTGACTCAGGGTCATGCATTGATCGCGGGGAGATCCGATCTTCAGCTATGACAACATGGTCGATGTTAATCATGATCGTCAATGCTTTTTAGCTTCCCTTCTTATCTATATTTGATTGGCTACAGCATGTATTCAGCTGAACTATGCCCGGCTTTTTATTGGACATGGTGATATAGACTCAGCCAGCCACAGCTGAAAGCAACCCTGCAGAACTGCCTGTCTATAGGTATTATTAGTTTCTTGCTCGTATTCAGTTGTCCTTTTCAGCTCTTACATGCTATAGATTAAATAGTGTCTACTCGATGGGGAATTGATGGCAAGCCGTATGTTGTCCAGTCAATACCAACACTCTATGAACCTGTCAAGGCTTAAAAACAAGATATCTATGATATCTATTAAATTACGGGTATTAACAAGTATATACACCAGGCTTTTTGAGGGAAACGTCAATCATCGAATCAACTCAGGTCATATCACCCATCCAACTCATGCCTTATATTTGTACTCTCCGATCGTGTCGATATCTCATGGATCCTAGTCCCGCCCAGCTCACTAGGCGCGGCTTGTATCCTCTCCCGCACGGGTTTTTGTGGTGGTGGAGAATAGATAACTGGCGGGGGTGTTCCTTCGCTTCGTGGCATGATGCTGTTTCTGTTGCTATTTTTCATTCTCTGGCGTCGTCGGAGGAGAACGAACATGAATGTGAAGATTATGATTATGGCCGAGGCACAGCCGACTCCCATTGCTGCTTTTGTGCCGACTGATAGGCCGGATGAGAGGGATGTTGGAGATGGTGATGGCGGGGATGATGTGCTTGAGGTTGAGGTTGAGGTTGGTGATGAGGTTGGCGATGAGGTTGGCGATGATGTAGTAGAAGTTGAAGAAGCACCGAATAGTTGATCGATCGAGATAGCACTCGTCGTATTGCAGCAGTCATAGTTTTCCCTCCCACAGCACCAAGTCGGGGAATTCGACTTGCCGTTGCAGGGTGTCATTCGCGCAATACTATCCGAGCCATTGACGGGATCCTACATCACATCAGTACGAATACAACCCAGCACCCTCATTCTCAACCCTTTACGCACCGATTCTTTCGTACACACATTCAAACACCCCCCACCATCCGACCAGTCCGTCGTCGTGCACAAATCGCGCCAGTAAGCCGTAATCGTGTAATAATTTCCATCGTCGTCTGGTGCATCCGAGATATTCATGCACATCCCATTTGGCAGGCAGGTGTCCGAGGTAGGCCCGTGGGTGGCATTACCGGGTGAAGGATTGTCTCGATTGCTGGCACAGCACATGCTCTGTTTCCCGCCGGCGTTGGGACATGTTTGGTATGTGTCGTCGCCTTCGTGGCCGTCGGGGAAGTAGCATATTGCTGCCGTGGAGAGGGATATACAGGAGAGGAGGGAGAGGAGAGTGGCAGACCTCATTGTAGGGTGTTGGTTCTGAAAATGGGGAGAATTGAGGAATTGAGGAGTCAAAAGAGGCAGAAGAAAGGGGTGAGGGAAAAATGCATCTCATCTTACACAGCCTTGCAGGTGAACGCTTACAATACGGATTGTTTCTAGGGGTTCACAGCCTGATTCCGAACCGGCCAATCAGGTGGCCTATACAGGAAGATCGGCAATGCGGGGTTTTCAGCCTTGTCTGGGCTCGACGAGGCTTAGCAATGGCTGTAACCGGCGCTAATTTCTATCAACTGTCTATGCAGCCAGAACATATCCCCCGTCAACCACCACCGTTTGCCCATACAGATACTGGTTCGCTGCTGCAAAAAGAATAGCCCCTGCCATATCTTCATCTCGTCCGGGCCGTCCAGCCGGGACTTTCTTCTCATATTTCTCCTTGGAAATGGAGCTTTTTTGCTTCTCGTCGCTGCTCTGGGCGGTCATTTCAGATGGAAACACGCCCGGTGCGATGTTGTTGACGCGGATGTTCACATTTGACGATGATATCTCGTGGGCTAGCATCTTGGTGAGATGGACTGCGGCCGCTTTGCTGGCATTGTATGCGAAATGGTGCTGTGATTTTTTTATAACACCTGAAATGGACGAGATGTTGATTACCGTGCTGGCCCAGTTGCTATCACTTGCAGTGCCTTTCTCGAGTAGAGGCAGAAATCCAAATGTCGTAAAGAACAACGGCGGCACATTCGTCCGGAATGCCCTCTCCCAGTCTTCAAGTCTACTATTCTCATTCTCGAATAACTCCTTTCTTAGAGACCCCGCCCCTTCAGCATCAGTATTCAACGTCTCAGACGCAACCCCGGCATTATTAACCAGAATATGCAGTTCCTTTTCGCGCGACGAAATCTCCTCCACCAACCCCCGAATCGATTCTTTAGACGTCACATCTGCCGTGATGGGGATGATCTGTCCGCAGATATTGTTCGAGTATAGCTCAGTTACCCGATTGAGCTTTTCTGCGGTTCGACCGACGATGTAGACTTTTGCGCCGTTGACGGCGAGGGCTTGCGTGGCCATTAGCCCGATGCCCGAGCCGCCGCCGGTTATTAGTGCAACTGGCCTTCGTTAGTATGGCTATATACTTTTATGGTAGAGTGGATGAAGTACCTCTGTTTTTGACGTTGAAGACATTCTCCAGTTTGAATCTGTCATTGTTCTGTTGGGCTTCTGTTCGGACTTGCTGTGAGATTTGTCTGAATTGGTAGAAAGGCCGTGATAAAGGTACACGAGTGCGAAACATGTTGGGCCAGCAGATAGTCAATTGATAGTCGATTTATTGTCATGTGTTGGAATATGTTGGTGCTATATATGGCCGGTTACAGTATTCCCACGTCATGATGATCTCATCGTTGACCGACTTCGAACATCATCAGTTAACTATTTATCCAACCTCTATCAAGGTTAAACCTCCTTGTGTTGACCAATAACTAGATCATCTCTGCGGGTGTCTGGATAAACCTCGAGCCCATACACTCTGTCACTATATCCGCTCTTTACGCCCTGAATAGCGCGGGTGAGATCGAATGAACCATCTCCCTCGGCCATGTCGCTAGTATTTGGGGCCACCAAGCCCGTTTTCTCTTTGTCCATTCTGCTCTCTGCTGGTGTTGCCGTTAGCGAGGGTATTGTTTTGTTGCTCTTGTCGAGACTAAGCAGTCGACGGAAGACCGATCTTCCCAGCAATCGACAGATACAGTCTTGATAGACATAACTGTCACCATTTCATCAGGAATAAGATGAACAATAACCCAACAGGAAAGGTCAATAGCCCGAACAACATAGACCATTCCCATTGCGCTGCGATAAGAGGAGCCGTGCCGAATTCTTGGCCACCTTTCTAGATGATAAATGACTTGGCCTGCCGCTATGGCTGTAAGAAAAAGCTATACTTGCCCAGACGTCTTCGAGGTTCCAGTCATTATCGACTCATCGAGAACTATTCATGGTTAGCAACAGTCACAGTCCAAAATTCAAGGGAAAGAACCCATTTGATCAGTTGAAAAACAGCATCGAGACAAATTTGTTAAATGCCATCGTCTGGGAGAGCTGTGATTTCGTCCACCACTGTGGAGGGGGCTCAAAGGACTGACAAGAGTCTTAGGACATGGGTTGAAGAAGAAAAGATAAAAGACGTGGGCTGGTCAGCAATGGTCATTTGCCTTGTCTTGGCAGTATTTCATATGCCTATCACTTAAGACAGCTCTTATTAACATAATATGGCGTGAGTGGCAGAGTTGATGGTGTGTTATGAGTGGAAGTGGATAGGATAGTGGGGTAGAGCACAGCCTTATGAGCAGTGGGCCAGCCTTGTGCTGTCAGCTGTCAGCTGCCTGGCATAGCCTTATATATCGAGCAAATCTCCTGTCAAACATAGGCTCATCTTCATACTGAGTCTGACAGAATGGACAAATTCACCAAAGAGGACATCGCCCGATATCGAGAGGCATTTGCTGTTTTTGTGAATGTATTTCACCGGTAACATATAATATAACTAATCTCATCACAGGATAAAGATGGAAGTGGTCAGTCAAGAGCAGCGTACAAACGCAATATTGACTGATACTATCCAGGCGATATCACCGCTCAAGAGCTTGCCAAAGTCATGCGCTCGTTAGGTCTCAATCCATCCGATATTGAAGTACAGGATATGGTCCATGAACTTGACCTCGACCGCACAGGAACAATCGACTTTCAGGGTCTCTTCTTACAGTCTCTCATCTATAGCATGTCTAATATAGTATAGAATTCCTAACCTCGATGGCTGCCAAAGTCACAGATAAAGATACCGAGGCTGCAATTCGACAGGCCTTTAGAGTATTCGATCAGGATAACAGTGGAACCATCAGTGCGGATGAGATACGCCGTGTGATGAGTTCTATTGGCGATATTCTATCCGATGATGATATCGATGAGATGATCAGGATGGCGGATGTAAATGGTGATGGGACGATTGACTGTAGGTTCTTTTGATATTTTGATATTTCTAATTCATGGCTGATTTATTCGATGGATGAGGAGTTTAGTCGGTTACTGGAGCAGGATTGATATAATGGCTGTCATGACATGCACCCAACAGGGATTTACATATTCATTGAATTATTATCACTTATTATATTACATTATTATTCTATGCAGCTATAGATAGTAATATTTAGGTTGTGCTGTATAGTGTTCCGACGTCATAATGATATCTTCATCAGGTGACTCTACCAAACACCATCATTGGTCACCAGGTCTATATATGGAGCTCTTAATCATCAAATACATCATGTCTCCAGAAACAAGATAAAAGAGTTGAATTCCTCAATTATTTGCATACTTTCACAATCATATCAATTCTATTTACATCTATCTACATCATGTCCTCAGCTGGAACCAGTGTACCTCCTCGCGGCGGTGTCGGCACTCAGTCCACACCAGCCAACAATGTCGACAGTGGAAGTCCGCCAAAGAGCAGTAGCCATGACTATCAGAAGCAAGGCCAGCAGGGTTCAGGTTCATCGCTTGATCACCTCACCGTATGTTTCTGATCATTTTCTGCTCAAATTGAATGAAAACTGACAAGAATAGAATCCCGGCCAAAAGGCCTTCTTTGGAAACTACTCTGGGCTGCAGGAACAGAAAGCAGCTGCAGAAGCTCATGTTCAGGACCGATATGACGCTGTTGGCGAGATTGAACAGAGAGAGACGAATCCTGATCCGAACTTTATGTATAAGAGGCCCGGCGATAATGGGACTTTGCCTGGATGGGAGACGATCAAGGGACTTGCGGGGCGATGATTTATCGATTGTATATCTAGTTTAGTTGATTGTTGTATATTGACATGTTCTGATCTTCATGTAATCTATTTACCCAAATACATCTGATCACTCGCAGCATTTGGTTGTCTCGACCGTAAAAGCCTCGTGGTCGCCATACTTGGACAATCCTGTTCCCTCGAGACATCCAACGTATTCACATTCAACTCCATCTGCCGGGAGCAAGTTGGTCTCAACCCAGAGATAAAACTTGCCATTTGCCATCTCACCCTCCGGTCCATACGCCTTCATAAAGGTCTTGCGAAGCTCGACATGCTCCTTATTCTGCATTCCAATCCGCTGCATCGCCGACATATCCGCAAAGTAAAGCAACTGGACCTTGCGATTATACCCTAGCGCCCCCGGTGCTTTGTTGCCATTTGCATCCTCCATATATCCACTGTCGGGATAGTAGCAGATCCGCGTATCCATAACTCCCTGCTCGGACGTGGAAGCGAACAACCCATCCGTCCATTTCTGGTTCGTCTTGTCGAATGTCTCAAACCAGTAGTCTCTTTCCTTTGGGCCCATGGCGGAGTGATCCTGGCCTTCTACCGCGAATAGAAGATTGTCAGGTACTTTTGTAACCCTCACCCGACCAGTCTTCGTCTTGGGCTCTGCCGATAGACGCGGGGCGGTAGGCAGCTTTTCCATCGTGGTGTTGAATCGGTTTTCTGGGTTCGCCACCATCTCGGGCGTGGTGTGGCGGTAGCATCCCCAGTATCCTGTCTTGTTGTTGAGCGAAATAGAGTCGTTGGGATCGACCAGGTGCCTCAGTCCGTCGACTTTGTCGAGGGTGGTTCGGAAATGGATGCGAGAGACGGGCAGCTTTAGAATCTCGCGAAACATCCCCGCATCGAGGGGGAGAGATTTCCAGAATTGCTGGACTGGGTCTTGATTCCACCATGCAAGGTAGTCATCTTTTTTGGCCCAGTAGCCGAGCCAGATGTGCGATTTGCCTTGGGCAGGAGGCCAGCCATCTTCGATGACCTTGTCGACGTGGTTTACCGAGGGGACGAGCAGTCGGTCGAATTCATCGATCAAAGCGCGCTGAGTGGCGGAGGGACCCTCGTTGGAGTATTGGACTCCAAAGATAGAGTAGACGACTGTCTCGCCGGGTGGAAGCTTGATGCCGTGCATGATGCTGTTAGTATCCGAGTATGATCATAATAATTACTAGCTGGGGCGCGCCAGCATTTATGCCTTTCTCTCATTTACCTGTCATATGCAGCACTTACGTCGTCAAACTGTCTAAGGAATGATACATACTTGCAGTTAGTGATTGAAGGATCCATGCAGAGACTACGTCAGCTATCCTACCACAGCGTCGGGGATAAGTTATCTATCCAGCGTTGTGGCAGGAAATGGCGTTTATCTGCATACCTGTCATATCAATATATGCACTATCCGCCAATCAGCTCACAGGTGGAAAGTTTAATTCAAACACATGACAGCAATTCGACCTGTTATAGTGCTGGTATCATATAAGGTATCCATCGATTGGTCTGTTTGGAGCAGTTCAACCCACAGCTACGAATAATGCTAGTTTGCCTTCAGAGGTATAAGATACGAGGTATGGATGGTTTCTGGCATTCATGCATGCAGGGTACATAATGCACTAAGAGCTCTCCATATGCATGAACCATGGTTTGGATCAAGGCACACAGTCTTATGATCCTAGACCTGTGACTAGTTATCATGTCTTCTCCCGTAATATGCTGTAGGCTGGGGGCATGCCAAGCCATTTTTCCTAAGTAAGCTGGGTGGGAACCGCCGAAGGCGTGCAAAGCGTAGCTATTTAGTATACTTTTTTTTATTAGCAGAGTGTCACTCTTTATATATTTATCTATGTAGCTTATTCTTTTAGGGGCTTGGGATTGCGCCCTCGCCACCTATATCCGACCAATGAGAGTCGATTTGTCTAGCATAGTAGGTAAGCATCGCTATTACCTTAGCAAACAGGCAAGGAAAGGGAATATCGGGATTCGGTTCCTTACTCGTATCCTTCGCACCCCGGAAGAAAATGCACCAACCCGATCACGGCAGCCTGCGAAAGACTTTTGAGTCTTGGTAAAATTTGAATACACAATCATACGCAGGTACCTGGCTCTCATTCATCTGCCTATGTATATTTTCCATTATATTCCACTGCCTCGTCCTGTCATTCCATACCACCATCAGTAAAATTATGGTAAAATTGACTATGGTGGAATGGTCCATCAAGAATAAATGCCAAGCCGGGTCGAGACAGCCTAAATTTTGATTGGGTGTCACTATACCAATCTAGGATTAGGTCAAATGTGACATCTACAACTATGCACTGCATCATCTTTTCCCCCTCTGTATCAGTCTACCGAGAGTTTTCTCTTTTCTTCCATCTTCTTCTGTCCCTCTTCTTTACTCGGGCACTTTGGTGATGGCAACGAACCAATATGGCCGAGAAATCCTTCTTTACGAGATCTTTCATTGGAAGGAACATCGTCTTTGGTAGCTCGCGGCCCTCGACGTGGACATTGACCGAAAAGTTGAGCGAGGAAGTTTTTCAAAAAGATCGAATCTCCTCCCAGAACTCTGGCATCATTTCAGTTTCTCATGGAACATTTCACTGCAGAAACGTCCATGATCACAGTGATACGGCAATGATAAAAATCATCATGCAGTATTTACCCTACATCTTGCTATACAGCATCACAAGATACTGATCTCATCAGGATCCCATACGCAGCATCTGAGCTCGAATATTCTCAGTATAGAGCACAACAGGCCTCCAACGAAGTTCCCTTTCTCGAACAGTGGGAAATCGATGCTCGCAAAAAGCTAGCTATCAACAAATGCACATCCACACACACACTGCACAACGTGAAGTTCGAAACACAAGGAACAAACGGCTCAGTCCCGGGTGGATTCATCGTCTACATGCGACTCGAGGCAGTACCTTGAGTTCGTCTTGGATACATCGAGATGGATGATGGGTCAGAATTTTCTGAGTATTGGAAATCGTCTTCATCAGTGAAGGAGGATATTCGACAAGCATTCAAGGTTGCTCGGCAGTGAGTTATACAATCCGGACTTTGTAACAGAAGATCAGTACTAATATATTCTGTCACAACTAGAGGGATTGTGTCAAAGCCGGGATTACCCCTTGTTCATGGGACCTTGGATGTCTCATATGGGACGCAAGATCAAAGAGAATGTAAGCAGCCTGTTTTTGGACTTTTTACGGTCAATCTTGGGCTAATATATTATGCTTCATAGTTACATCGATGGTCTCGAGTCCTCGGACCCCGCAAGCCCTGAAGACACTTGGTTACGATGATCTATGGTTTGCATGGGGTCTTTTAGAAGAATCAGGGGAAATGTGACGCCAGTTATTAGAGAAAGTAATAAATCTGATGCCAGAGTGGCTCTTAGCTTTATCCTAGTTCCTCTTTGCTGAACCCTCTTCTGCGCACACAATTACTACCCCTGCACCCATTGTGCCCGTGGAAGATTAATATTAGCGACATAGTCCCACATTGCCCTATTGGCAAGCCACCAAAAGCATGAACGTAGAGACAGGCTTCCTCCTGCTCGACTGCTCACTACGTCGCCCACTAATAAACTCCATTGGCCATCGACCACCTCCTGCTTGACAAATATGGTTTCACTATAATTCATAATGAAACCACACTTCAGTTTTCCCTCTTGCATATAAGCGGCTATCTGTCCTAAAGCTCAAGTTAGATTCTAAACTGATGGTATGTAGGTGTACAAGACAACAGTGCACCATATGACTTACCCAGGAGCTTTTTGTAAATCATGTTCCTACTAGCTTTGGCTCTAGCGAGCGTGTGAGCCATGATCCATGGGGTCTTGACTTCCCCGACTACTCGGAGTCCTCCACCGTTCGTGCGACACACAACATCAGGGATACCCGAGCTACTTTGGACTCTTAGGCAGGTCTTAAAACTGCCAAAGGTTATATCCACACCCGCGGCATCGCAAATAGGGCTCATATAGATCGCGACATTCGAATTGAATCGGCATTGAACATCTGCCTCATCCCCACAAGAGAGTCGTGCACGAAAGATATTTGAGGTGGAGGCATTGGTGCCCGGTTTGTATGAGATTACTTTCTGGTGATGCCTCCAGTCGATTCCGTGGTAAAATTGGGTGATCTCATGGTTGAATGTCGTCCAATCTCGAATCTGACCAACAAAGACTTCTCGGTGCAGCGCATTGCTGCGCGTCTTTCCAGGTCCAATTGCAAGATCTGGAATACTGGATTCCATGACCTCTCTTCCTCTGATTTGTGACATTTTTGATGCAAATGGTTGGGTTGGAGTGATATGCCGTTCTGGAATCAGAGAACCAAATTCAGTACATGATATAGCAAAGTGCAATGAAAGAGGTAGGAAATACAACCTTTGAGAAGCAATTGAGATGCCAAGTAGATGGTGAAAGATGGAGAAAGGTATGGGAAATAATATGGAAATAGAGAGGTCTTACGAGAAGATTAAATACCGTGTGCCATGATTTTTTAAGCAAAATATGCAGTAGTGAATTGACACTATTGGACAGTGAATGCCATCTCAATCCCCAGCACTTTGAAAATAATAAAAAATAAAAAAAGATCCAGCTTAGTCTCCATGCCAAGTTGCCCGCAAAGAGTCAGTAATTTTAGACTCAACGACGTACGCTATACCGAGATGTGCTTCATCATGATTGACAAGCATCCATAAATCCAACAATGTTAGAATTTGCTCGGTCCGAGCGAAATAGCTGCCATTTCCGAGCTTTGCTTGATGGGCTACTTTTACCTAAGCTAGTTCATCCTGGACTGAAGGCTACCTACTTGCACTAAGCTCGGTGGACTCCCGTATGATATCCAAGACTCACTCCTGTTTGTACCCATGTCCTTTGCGAAGCCATACCTAATCTCCCAAAGCAGGCATTATCATTGAATTCCGGCTAGAATGGTTATTTGTGCTTGTTTGTTGATGAGCGAAGCCCTCGCCATACTGGTATTCTGGCTGGTGATTGCGTTGGTACTCTTAGTATCCCAGTTTGATTAACAACAAGGCGGTCGAATCTAATATGAGAGGCCTTGTTATATTCTCGATATAGATGCCAGTGGCTGATCTGAATTCTTGGTCACGCCGATAAGGCTAAAATTATATGCTGTGCCCATTTAGATATATGTAGCGAATGTCGAAAGATCAATTCTAGTTGAAAAATTGCCAGAATTGAATAGCGGTGTGGACGTGGTTACCAACTATATTGAAGCCACCACCACAAAGAGACCATCCAAGAAGATCACCGTTCATTTGTCTCGGGTATAAACATAGGGGCTACGTGAACGAACGGCCATCCTGGTCGATATCGCAAGCGTTGACTCAGTTCGTTTAGGCGACGAGATCGCAGTAGTCAGATATTCAAGCACGTTGAAGATCCAGAGCTCTATTAGTATTCAAGTACTATAACCATATGTAAACAAATTAAAAATTAAAGGCATATACAAAGAGCCCGCATACTCTATAAACCCATTGAACCTCATCATGAGGTAGTTATTAGTAGTTTAGAGTGCTTTATATTTTTAGATATCGCAAACTTTATCAACAATTGACACGGTGCCCGAGTGGTTAAGGGGATTGACTCGAATTCGGAAGAAAATTCTGACATCAATTACATTCGTGTGCGCATGTTCGAATCATGCCCGTGTCGTTCTTTTTTGTCTCCGACAGAATCTTTCCCTCTTCCCCCTTTTCTTTTTTTTTTTGCCCACGGAAAGGCCAGCATCAAGGTATATTAGATCTTTAATGTTGTCGCATTTCAAGTAAAAAACTTTCAATTAAAAATAGACGTAACTGTTATCCATGGACGGTGTGTGTCTTTTTTAGGTAGACGTGACTGAACCCCAAACTCCAGAGCATTCCCCGCACTCGGTGTTCCTCACCTCCATACCCAACCAACAACGAAGGGTCATTTCGCAGCCTCCACATTCTGTCAATCTCAATCTCACCATGTCTCAACTCCCGTCATCCTATACACCCCAGTCCCCTTTCCCTTCAGCTGTCACGCCAATGATGAACCCAGCGCTCAATCCCGATACTCCTCCGCCTCCGCCTCCGAAACCCAGCAGTCACGAACCAAGTCGAGGAGGTACACCACAAACCCCGTCACAACAATTCGCGGCACAGCCATATTACCAAGACAGCAATAAGCGTGGACAAGATGTGGTACCCCAGAGCAAACATCAATCACCTCTTCCCAAACCCCCGACAGTTGAAGAAGGCTGGTTGCCCGATACCGTGAAGGAGAAGTCGTACGATAAACCCCTCGATCATGTCGCTGTATACGGTTGAACTAATCTTTCCACTCCACACAGAACCGCAGACTTGCAATCGATCCTCAAAGATCCAGCCCTCATTTCCGCCCTCTCTAGCCAACATCCCTCCTACAACGCCCATCAACAGAACCTCCAGACCCTCCTCAAATACAACCAGGATCTAGCGGCGCATGTCCTAGACCTCCAGTCTCATTTGTCTGAATTGCGAGGCTCGACCGAAACTCTCCTTTTGACTCACCAATCGCTTGAGGTCTCCTGGCGGAAGAAGCAGTCGGAGATGGACGCGGCACTGGCGCCATGGTCACCCAAGGCGTTATATCAGCGATTAGCGGCGGGTATCTCGGAGCAAGAGGCTGTCTGTCAAGCAGTGGAAGAGAGCTTTCTCGAAGAGGGTCATCATGGGCGGGCTACGGAGAAGGAGGTCGCGGATTGGGTGAGACGAGTCAGGGCCGAGTCTGCGAAACTGGCTGCTAGGAGAGAGGCCAAAGCTCGATGGGATGAGGGGAGAGTTGGTGGATGGAGGTAATTCCAGAGGTACATTTGATTATATTTGCTGTGACGCCTGGGCACTTCTTAATCTTTGAAAGCAGGGTCTCATCCGACACCAACTGGTTTGAGCTATGTTCATATAAATATGGAGCATATTACGCATGCAGTCCCTCTATATACACGGCAAATACTCAAATTCACATCACCAGACAGGGGACAAATGCCAATCCCAAGGATATCTCCAATATACGTCAAAAATAGATTCGTCAGCCATTATTTTCGTCGCTGCGAGATCGTCAAACCCTTTACACCAATATCCTGTTTTCGGTATCCTGTTCACTCGCCCAATTATTGCTGCCAGTGTGGCTGGGAATACCGACTCCCTTATAGAAAGCATGTCGGCTATTTCTTGCCCCCCAAGACCAACCTGCGCCGCGTTTGATGGGAAGGTTGTATAAACGGAAACCGATCCAGGCGAAGAAAATACCAATGGCGGATCCGGATACAATATCGACACCGTGATGGCGATGATCGAACCAACGAGAAGCAGCTATGAAGGTGGCAACCGAAATTGGCACAAGTGCAATAATAAGCGTATATGCCGGCGGAGCAGCTCCCTCGTTTCGAATAGAAGGTGATCTATTTTCTGCTGGCCCAGTATGAAACGGGAAAACTCGTTCCTCATCCTCCAGGTCGTGCTTGACTGGGCAGTGAGCGAGGTATGGGAACGCGATCGAAAACTTGGAACATAGCCAGAGGGTCAAATATGTCATTCCTGCAAACGCAACTTGATGCCATGTCAATGGTTTGTAATATGATTTCACGGACTTCCACCAAACTTACAAGATGAATGCCCACTGGGAAAGCTCGAGAATCCGGCTGACCTCAATTTATTGGATTTGTTCTGGCATATCTCCCAAGTCACTAGCGTAGGAGCACCTTCAAGTTGTTGGCCCAAACCACCAACAGCATAGGCAGTGATTTTGGAAAGATCCGGATCACAGCGAGCCAGAAAGTCCGGGCGTGGTTTACCGACCAAGTTCTTTAAGCCATGCGTGGCCGTGTATGCACCGGCAAGAGCCACTGCCAGTCCCATCCACCCTGCATTGCATTCCCATATCCTGTATCTCCATTTCAGGGACCGAGGAGCATTTCTACTCACTGCGGAGCCCGGGATCAAAGCAAGAACAAGCAACGCAATAATGGTAGCTGGGCCGACCAGCGAGATGAACACCTGCACATGGCTCGGTACAGTCTCATGCTTCTTAAAAGGATAAGAAATGGACCCGTCAGTTAGGGAAAATGGATTCGAGTTTGGAGTTGCCTTGGAAAATCCATATCCAATAATCGCGACAACACTAGAAAAGCGTCAGTAGGTTGAATGAGATATTTAGCAGCCATCGCATGTTTGTACGCACATAATCACGATCCAGTCAAATATATATGCCAGCAAAAGGCGCTTGGGGACATTAGCCAAGATGTCCTGCATGGCGGATTATTTCTCAAAACAAGTCTGCTTTTCCCCAGCCATGAACAAAGTGGCGCCGACGCAAAATATAAACAAATTCGCCATGGTGTGGGGCTATCAACTATCCATACAGACAAACAAACGAAATCGGAAAAATCGACGAAGATCGTGGCTGGTGTTCACGAGGCACGAGCGTGGACTACTTGAAGCCTGATTGGCGATCTTGAATGGCACGCACAGATATGACTTCATCGTTGAACGTGATTCTATTCAGCAAGGCGCTAATTGTGTTTCATTCTCTTTTGCTTCTCAATTCTCTCTACCAACTTATGGCTAATTAAGCAGGGCTCCCCTCCAGATCGGTGAAAAATGCTTTCCCGAATGCAGTACTGCTGTCGTTGAACCGGATCTTCCGGTTGATGCCTTCGATCTTTTTCAGCTCCTCTTCAGTCAATTTAAAGTCACCCTCTAGATTATTCTTGATCCTGGAAGGCGTTTTAGATTTGGGAATCACTGAGTGTTCCCGTGTCACGCCCCATGCTACGGAATGTCAGCTAGCTATTTGTGACATTGAGTTGGAATACCAAACTTACCGAGAGCAACCTGAGCACCACTCTTGCCATATTTCTCCCCGATTTCTTTCAAGACTGGCTCGTCGATCAGCCTGCCGAGATGGCCTCCGGAGTAGATCTCATTCTGGTTCCCAAAAGGAGAATAGTGCGTGATATGAATACCTTTGGCCTTGTGCCATTCGCAAAAGTCATGCTGTTGCAGCCACGGGTGGCATTCCATCTGGTGTACTGCAGGTACGACGGAGGTGTTATCAATCAGTTTTTCCATTTCCGCCTTGGAGAAGTTCGAAACACCAATCGCTTTGACCTTGCCGGTTTGCAATAATCTCTCCAGCGCCTTGTATGTCTGGGAGTGGATCAGTATACCATCAAGTGGACCGCTTCAACGGTGGATACATACATCAACATAGTCGATATCTTCCAGGACTACTCTTCCGTTCTCTTTGGGGAACTGCTCATATCCTCGTTTCCATGCCACTGGCCAATGAATCAAAAAGAGATCGACGTAGTCCAGTTGCAAATCGTCAAGTGACTCTTGGAGAGCCTTCGGGACGTCATCCGGGTGATGCTTGGTATTCCAGAGCTTGGTTGTGATGAATAGCTGCTCGCGAGGCAACCCACTCTTTTTGATTGCCTGTCCTATGGCCTTTTCCGTTCGGTACCTATGTGGCTTTCAGCATGCATACCCATTGGGTCTGTTATGGGAAAACCTACGCTTGGGCAGTGTCGATGTGGCGGTATCCTGCTTTGATAGCTTCTATAACAGCATCTTCCTGGGCACTTTCGTCTTGCCATGTGCCGAAACCGATGGCGGGGATTTCTGCCCCAGTGTTGAGTTTGAATCTCGTTGGCATTTTTCGGAATGGCTTCTTCTGGTGTATTAACTAACTGTCTCTTATGGTGATGTGTTGGCCAAGATGCTCGAATGCTTTATAGCGCTATTCAACTATTTATTGTATGATTCATGTCGACGTCAATTTTACATACCGTGAACGAGCACTCAGCACACCTCATGATGACACAGTTCTCGATACACCTATCAAACACCAAATTCATCTCCTACCATTACGAGAGATCCGACAGACGATGCGGTCCAATCATTGTGTTCTTTGTGGCGTTCTTATTCTGGAACAAGATGAATCGAGGTCGAAAAATCCCTCGTGGATGAGGCAATTTCGTGCTGGTTTGTTGTCTCCCTTGGTCTGCTCATAGAAGCTTCCTCAATAATTATTTTATCAGTGTATTATACACCAACAGAAGTCCGATTATCCGGAGTTGGTTTATGCAAGAGCAATCTATTAGTTCCGCTTGAGGAAAACGACCGATGGGATGTTAAGCCGCTTAAGTCGCATTCCCTTGATGGGAGACCAGCCAGATGACGATGGTCGGCATGAGTACATTTTCCACGACGTGTGTTGGTGTCTGCTCAAAAAGTGTCGTCCGGGTAAAAAGGTTCCTTTGGATCAGTTCCTAGATATACTCTTTTCACTTCTGGTGTCAAATTCATCGGGCACAGCTTATATATGGGAACATGGCTATCGGGGCTTATTCAATCTCAACAAGAAATATCACTATCCGTGGCAGACATCTATGATACGGAAGTCATCGGTTACTACAAGCATGAAGGATGATCCATATCATGTGCCAGAGGTCGAAGTGCTACTCAATGCCCCTTCGGTATTACCACCAACTCCGAATGAAGCCTTTAAACGCTGCTAAGGACGGACATATCGTGACTGCTTTCTAAGTTTGCCGCTCGAAATGATTGAGATTATAGCTGCCTACCTCCCGGTTAAGGATGCGCTTAATCTCCGCCGTGTGTCAAGGGCATTTGTCCCTTTATTCTCAAGCCAAAGATTCTGGGCTAAAAGATTCAGTATTGGTGGCAATCGAGGGTTTTTTTTCGAGGCATATGAGACTCAGGCACCTGAGCCCCGAGACTGGCGATCTCTATACCACTTGACAAACCGGGCCCATCTCTCTCCCGCGCTTAGAAACAGGGAGCGAGTCTGGCTTTTAAATCGGTCCCTCGCGAAGAAATTGGCTCTGAAGTGGAACGACTGGTCTTCTCTACGGCCTATTCCTCGGAAGCTGCCTGGATGCCGTTGGGAGGAGGTCCATGAAGGTCTTCTTTCTAACGGGCAATATATATTACGAGGTCACGAGGGTCTGAGATACCATAAACAAGAGACTTCGATGCCCTCTTGCCTTTCGAGAATTGGTGTCTCCATCATCCGTGATGGGAAGACGAGCTATGTGGCAGGTATACATATTATTGCTGATGACGGGCTGGAGATTCATCTGGGGTATACTGCGCGGGCAAACATTGTTTTCACGGATGTCAGCCACGTAAAAGGAACCATACCTTCCATTGGACCCAATGGCATTCATGCACTGCAGATTGTGAGGGATGATGACTCTTTATCGCAATAGCTCGGATGTCCAGACGAGGGCGCACGAACAAACCGGCTTGTTTTCAAGAATCCGATAGCCGCTTTGAGTGCTGGGTTTGATGTAGGTCAATCTGCTGGATGGATCTTGACATGTTTGAGATGAAGGCTTACTGTCCAACAGGGATATAAGATGGTTTGTCTCGCCATCTGTGGCAAGAAAAAGAATCTTACAGGGAGATTGAGACAATATAACCGACTCCTCAATGACTCTCTATGGTTACCCTGTGTTCCTGACCCCGATGTGTATCTTAACGAGACTTCATTCATGAGCTATTATGCCAGCAAGAATGAATTTAAGCCGATGTGCTGGATCAAGTTCGGAGGACATGGTGGTTCTTACCTTCGGTCTTTGACCGGAGTCTCTGTGGTTCTCGACTCCTGCAAGCCAGTTAGTATTGAATTCGACTATGCGGATGAAAATATCCCGCTCGAATGCCGGAGGCTCTTTCGATATAGACACAAGAAGAAGATGCGGACCGTGAAGTTTGCCATCGATGGGCCAGGAGGTGAATTATCGAGAGAATATACGTTGCCCGGGATAGTGTAATCGGCGAGTTCAAGGTTGGTTGCATGCAGCCATTGATCTTTTTTTTGCTTCGTCGGTACTGATTTCTGTAGATATCTACGAATCGCGGTCGATCTTGTCACTTTGAAGGGGGAAAGCAAAAATCCCCAAAGCCAAATCAGAAGTTCTTAAGAGTCTCACTTGAATCTGGCACAATTCCCACTGGGTTTTACGGTCATCAGGTAAGAGGACTATGAGAGATTGGGATAGTAAGACTGATGGATGCTAGAGTAAAGATAAATACATTAACAGCCTTGGAGTTATTTCTGAAGTTATTGACGTCTAAATGAGATGTTATCCAAGTCTTTCTCTAGCTATATTCATCTCTCCTATACCTTTTACTGTGGCATTTCGAGTATTTTGATGCTTCCAGCTGCTTCCATCTCCTTTCGGGTGTTTGCACTGTTTGCACTGCCAACCTTCGCTTCCTGCACTAGTCGCTTCCCGTTGCCCGGTCCTCCGTATAAATTACGGCCGCATCCCACAAAATTTTTTTCTCCCACCTTCCAGCGCTTGCAACTGCGAGCTGAAGCTTGGGAAAAATGCAGCCCCAACGCTTCAACTTTTCTTCTTCTGTTTCTTGATATCTGACTAACAATGCATGCACTCCATTGAGTTCTTCCTGCTGGTCAAGAAGTGAGTTTTTACTTTTCCTTTCTTTCCCATGGCACCACTTTTTTTTTTTTTTCAAGATGAATTTCCTTAACAGGAGTATCCAATATCCGAAAATACAAGAAGGACCTTTTTAAGTCTCTAGAATTACTCTGATCTTTGCCTCTATCATTGACTCTTGATAGTAGCAATTATTCGACAACGTTGCTGACTCGTTTCTATTAGGATACTCGGATCTTATGATGATTCAAGCGTCTCTTCCAGTGTTCCGTACATCTTGTTCTCTTAAAAGGTACGGTATCTTATTCTCTTTCTCTCTCGAATGCACCTCCCTCCCCTTGTATGATGACTCTAAAGACACGCATAAGGCATTCCTCAAACTTAATCACCATGTGGAATCTGTCATACTTTTAAGTTTCAGCCTTGTCTGACTACACACGAGTTTTACTCTTCATTTACACACTTGTCATTGATGTTTCAAGTCACTAACAAGCTGTTCATTAGGTACTACAATCCCACTTCACACCCTTGCACTTGGTTGCTATCTTCTCTATGAGGATATCTTGAACGAACGGGCGGACATAATGTGTGCATCGAACCGCATCCATTACAAGCAGAGCGTACAAACTCTGCGGGTGTTGGGGAGGTGTATCACTTGTTGAGAACTCGTCACCTGAGCCTTGATCAACCTTGTCAATTGCTATTGTCATTACATTATGGGTTGTCGATCTTTACTGACTTGCTCCCCATAGGTATTGTCAATCCATCTTCATCTCTCTTCTGCCCCATACACCATGATCAACTTTGCATGATGAATATGTTATTCACACTGTTTGACCTGACGTACTGCGTTGGGAATGAACATTTTACACATAAAAATCTGATTTAATGAGGTGAGTTTTCTACTTCCACGACGACTTCTGAACTCGTGCTGACTTACGGGCCGAAAGCCTGACTATAGTTGACATGTCTTGACTTTTTCTCTCTCGAATCACACATCACGTCTTGTGGAATTGTTGCTGATTATCGGACATGTATAGGAACATGGACTTGTAGTAATCTTTATTGGCCTATTATGGTAAGTTCTATTTTATTTTCTTTTGCCTCGCTGTCATTTGATGATTCTTTAATCGCTGTGTTCTTTCTGAATACTACATATATGGAGAAAAAAACAAGATTCACCTTGGAGAACTGATACATTTCCCAACTCTTGCCATTTGTTTACCTGGTTCTGTATGTTCCTGGCTAACATTTTATTTTAGGTCTGCATTTAGCGATAGCATTCAATACAATTTTCTACTATAACATCGTTGTTCCCACGTAAAGTTAAGCTACTTAAGCATCTCCGTAGCAACGTGCATTCCACTAGTCATCGTCTCATCTCATCATCTTCGTCACTTCGTCACCGTCCTAAGGATTCACTGGAAAAACAGGTTGTGCTTTTTGTGCCACCCTTCGAGACTGTCCTCGCCATACAGCTCATGCACGCTCTTCTCCCCTTCGGGCCAGCGCACCCATGACGGCTTAGACCCGGCCATGACACAAACCATCGCATCTGGAGCAGGCAATTCGGTGTCAATCGCAGACGCAAACGGATGAATCAGTTCCGGCCAGTTGTGATCCCAAAGCCAGAGCATCGTGCTGCAGTTGGAGCAAAAGTTTCGCTCAGACGAGCAGAGTTCTTCCTTGTTTGTGCCGCGGTCCTTGATTGCCGAGTATTTCCTGCATTCTCGGTTAGCTCTTGTTATCTTGTCTCATGTCTCGCATTGGTATAAAACGTTACTTTATCACATCCTTTCCCTTGATGACTTTGAGGGAATCGGCAATGCCGCCCAGGTTGACGCTGCCGCTGTATCCGCCAACTTTGCGACAGATGCTACATGCACAGAGCTGGTAGGGTACGGGGGTTTGGGAGTCGAGGGTGAACTGGACTTGGCCGCATTGGCAGCTGCCTTCGAGTTTCCTGTTTGGGTGAGTGTGGGTGTCTTTGGGAGGTGAGGTTGGAAGTTGTGTCTTACATTGGCATTTTGTATAATAATTTAAATGATTGATTGGTTTTCTTTTCTTTGTTTTTAAAGAAATAGGATCGATGAATATATATATGGCAAACGGTGCTGGATGGAGAATGGGACGTCATCGATATGTAGTCACACACCTTTATATACATCCGTATGAGGGGTAAGAAAGCGTCAACCAAGCACCGTAGCTGAAACCCTGCATTATCGAACCAGCTTCATCATTCAAATCCCAGTTAAATACACCAGAGCAGCCAATTGAAACTGCATCGATATCTCTCGTGCATAATTAATGCCATTGCCACTGTTTCCCTGCCAAGCAGAAACCAATCGTGTTTGTTTCTTTTGTCTTGTTTGACTCCCGCATCAGCCCCAACTTTTCGGAAACCGACGGTCCTGATACTTTGTCTTTCATCCACTTGCTGCGATCGTACCTGTTGTCATTTGCTGGATATTCTATCAATTGATTTTCGCGATGAGTTTCGGAGCACCTGGAGGTGGCGCGGCCAATATTAAACCTACACCGTGAGTTTTCTTCCCTGATGTTCGGATGGTGTTATTTGGTCTTGCATTTGCTCCTGTTATTGAAGATACAGTCGCTAATACTTCTGGTTTTGATCATAGACCCGAGCGTGGCAGTTTTCCTCTTGATCATGAGGGTATTTTCTTCCCTTCCTCATGACACCTGCGATAGTCTTCAATACGAATCTGCAAAACATACGAGCGAGTTTCTACAAGGACTTGCATTCAAAACGAAATATGACCTCGATTAAAGAAATATCGGCTAATTGTTTCTTGAATTCAAATAGGAGAATGCAAGCATCTGATTTCTCAATACTTGAAGTGCCTCAAGTCGACAAGGGGTGTGAATGACGAGGGCTGTCGGAAGTTGGCCAAGGGATACCTGGGTTGCCGAATGGACAAGTATGTTGAAGATTTTGTCTTTGTGTTTCATGAAGGATATTTTCGCGTGAAAGGGGGCTGCTGCTTTCCTGCTGTCAATCGACTGGGGGATTTTGGATAAGAGGCTAATTGATATCTCTCGTGAACAGGAATCTCATGGCGCCCGACGACTTCAAAAATCTTGGACTTGTCTTTGAAGAAGACAAAAATAAAGGCGCTGCGGAGCCCAGTTCTTCCAACGAGAATGCGGGAGCGAAGTCTTGATTGCACATACCACGGGAAAGTTGGCTAGGAGGGGAGGGATTGTATGATATCTCGGGCGGACGTATTCATACTCGACTGGATACTGTTTCTGCTTGATTTGGGGACATTTACACATTATATGGCGTTTATTGGATCGATCCATGTATATATCTGCAGCTCGCATCTCTTGTATATAAGAGTCGTATGAACCACGGAGTCATGACAGCATTTTCACCATTTTCATTTATTAAATTAGTTTATCTCAACCATAGAAAGCTTCTATCTCTCCTTCCATGTCGATCATTAATTCTACTGTCTACATTATTCTCCACTATCCTGTTCCTCTGGTGTATGTCTTGCGGAAGCTCCATGCGGGGAAGCTGTCCCGCGATCGATCACAAGGAAGCCCAAGCTTGCCCAACCCAATCAACCCGTCCATCACAGAACTTCAATCTTCAACCTCCACTCCCCACCACGAGGCGATCCAATGTGATCCCGCCATTTCTCATTTAAAACAATGTCATCAATTGCTCGCCCTCCAGATCCCTGCTTGGTGGCAATAATCCTGATCGTCCGCTCCCGCGCCGGCCCACGTTTTGTGTTCCACTACCCCCCGAACCCTCTCAGCGAGAACGGCCTACCAACCCCGCATACGCAGAAAGGCCGACGCATCTCACGTAGCAAAAGCGGGCAGGGGAAGAGCACGGATTCCAGCTCCAGTGACTCGAGCTCGTCGACCTCGGACGAAGATGAGGAGGAACCGCACCATCTGGCTGGTAGCACGACGATGTCGTCGTCGCTGATGCCGGCGAGACGGATGAGTAGCTTTGGCATCGATGACCATGTGTCTGCGTCTGCGTCGCCGGTTGGGGAGTCGTCAGCTCACCGTCCTGGTTCTTTGAGCTCTGGGCGGGGTTTGATGCGGAAGCGCGGCCCGGCTTCTGATGTGGATGATGACGCGGGTGCTGCGTCGGATAGGCAGGAGGATGCGGGGTCTGGAGGCCCGTACCGTCCTCCGTGGGAATCGCTCTTGGGGCTTCCTGCGGATGTGTGGGAGAAGTTGTTGAGTCCGTCGCGGTCGTGGCATAAACGGCGGTTTGAGGTGGGGATTAATGATTTGGCCTTTGTTGGGTGGCCGGTGTTTGTCCGTGAAGATGGCACATGGAGGAAACAGAGACGAAAGAAAAAGAAGAAGCCTCGGGCGGAGTGGGATGGAGGGGAGTTGGGACATAACGAGCATGCAGAGGATGGTCGAGATGGGGATGGGGATGGGGATGATCTAATGGCAGATTCGACTGATACCCTGAGTCCGAAGCAATTGTCTGCCTCGGATGCGAAGCGTGCGTCACTGACTAGCAGTCTGCAGAATGGGAGGGCGCAAAGTGAACCGCTTGATGAGGATGATGATAAAGATTCCATGACCATGTTTAATGTTGTCTTTGTGGTGGATCCGCCATTGTTGGAATACTCGATGCGGATTCGGGATATCTACGACAATATCATCAAGAAGTTTGCCAAAGCCTTGAAATGGGAGCAGGCTCGTACGGATTACGTGTGGAGGGAAGCATTGCACATCTCGCATATGAAAGAGAAAGCTAAAGAAAAAAGTAAGATTGTTGAAATCTTTCAGATGGATCTCTGCTAATGGCCGATTAGGAACCTCTGTCAACACCCTTTACGCGGAGTTGATATCGCAGTCGTCACTTGCTCGAGCTATCTATACGGTCTTTACCAGTATATCGGCTTCGAAGATTGCATCCGTCTCACTAAGTCAAGATGTGTCTATTTCGCTTCAGATCCCTCCTCTCACTTCAACGCCCTACCTTGCCGGACCAACTGATAAAGCATACCCCGGGCTTTGGCTCACTACGGCAGATAGCGTTACTCCTGTTGATGACCCGGCGGTTGATGATAACGTCGCGCCCCATCAAGTGCTAGCGAAGCACTTTGCCCTTCTATTACTAGACAATGAAGCGACGATTATCAAAGACGTTGAAGCGTCTGGTGGTGCCCTGGCTCCGGCGCTGGCTCATTATCTTCGATGCTCTAAACCAACCAAGTCTTTTGCTCAAATATCTGCCGCATCAGGCATTCCGCTCTCGACGATCCAGATGCTGGCTAGCCATCTCGTGTACTGGAGACGTGCGCGTGCTATACCCCCTCTCCACCAGCGCGACACATACATCGTATCTCCGAACTGCGATCTGAGCAAGCTGGGTGTCGCTACTGCTGCTTACCAACTAGCATTCCCCACGCTACCGAGCTTACCAAAGATGTTATCTGCGATGAGTGGAAGCCCACGACCTTATGGAAGTTTCATCCCCAGCAAAGACCATAAAGAGACATACTTTGCGATACTGGCATGGTTGTTACGAGGAGGATGGGTTACTCAACTTCGTGCATTTGCGAGAGTCAAAGTCACGCCAGAGATCAAGATGGCGGTGGAGATGGCCCTCCGCAGAGAAGAGGTAGACAAGTACCTGGCTAAAGGTGTATCGACGACAATCTCCACAGTGGAGGAGAATGAAGACAGCGACGGTGACGACGCCAGCTCATCGTCGTCATCGTCCCTTGCAAGCCAGGGAAGCGGTGAAGAAACTCCAATGCCAGGCCGATACAACATGGCCGGGGAGATGCACCTCTCGCGTTCCTTGCTGGACCGCAACACGTCCCTGAAAACGGCGTCGCTCATCCTGTCGCCTCATCGCGCCTCACCCCTCGAGTCTCGATGGTTGGATGAGATTGTCGCACGGTTCCCCGAGTACCCAGGCTTAGATCAGAGTCTGGGAGACGCACCAAGTTCTGACGGGGCTGGAGACCTTGAAGTTGCGGGACTCGGAACGTCACTCAGGAAGTATTGGCCTACGTTTATCAAATATTTCAATGGATGCGACGCCCTCGAAAAGATCTCCGTTCGGGAAGGGCTGAAGCGCAAGTTGGTCTGGCAGATAGTCACACGGCTAGGGTTGGTGACAGGACAGCAGTCCTCGATAGAATTGGACCCACGAGAACAAGTCCTGGTCAGTGTCAGACACTGGTGAATTAGTTGTTTATAATGACTGCATCGCATCCCAAAGATAGAAAACGTTCACGTGATATGATGGAGGTTGGGTCGGATAGACGGGCGGAAGAAATCAAACGGACATGAGGTCAGTCACCGAGCCTCCGAAGAATTCCGAGGCCATTAAATTATTGCCAGACATTCAGCCCTAATAAATAATACATAATGAGAAAAAAATGGGGTTGAAGAACCACGCGGGATGCGTTAATTAATATTTTTTTGTTCTAAGCGACTGAATTTGGGTCACGTGGAGAATGAGGGATTATGGAACACTCCAGATTTTACTAACGATTTGGTATTTTATATCTACGCCGAGAGGATTTCTGAAGTATATTCAGCTGTGCGCGTGGTTATTTTCCCATTCTGGATGATAATAACCTTAGTCCAACGGATTGTCATATTAAGAATCGATAAAATAGAAAATGTCTACGGTGTAGACTGTAGGATACCTGTCACCAAGTATCTACATGTCAGTAAATGACATGGAATGTACAAATATAGCAACGACGAAATAGGTAGTTGGTAATGAGGTATCTTTATTGCAGTCTAATGAAGAAATAAGGCCAGTCATCAGCAGTCTGCAAGAAAACCTGAGATATAAATACAAAAGAGAAACAATGTTTAATATTAGGATTATTGAGGGATGTTTCAGTGATCCCTGCTTGAATTAAGGATGTCGCAAAATACCCGACAACCACGAGGTTCTCGCCGACTCCCGAATATGTATGGCACGTGAATATATCAATTGAATGTTGACTGGCTATGAAGATGGATTAATTCAGAAATCGAATAGAGCAGCAAATAAGATAGAAGTATTTATTTCCATTCACCATTTCTTTGTTGAGCAGACAAATGACGCAGTGGACCCCGCTGATGTACTGTAATGTGTAATTTAATCAGAATCCCCGCTGATAATATTGGCTGTATTATTGCTTGTGATGCTCTTTATTTCTCACGCTGTTTTGTCCAGGGTTACTTTGTTTGCTTGGTCAATGGTATGTTAGAATACATAATTCTCCTTGTTCTCATTCCATACCTGCATTTACATAGGCATATAATATATTCAGTTCAGGATTACAATATATGGGATCCTACAGGCTCTTGATGAAAATTCCAAATCAGTATAGTTACATGGAGGGGCCTGGGATTAATGCATGGCCCCTCCATTGAGCCCCTCAGTTGTCAATTCTGAGGGATATATCGATATTGGTCAATTCACTTTGCCTGGCAGTTGGGATATATCAGCTGTTATAGATGTTATACAGATGGATATACAGAGATACATATTTTGTCTATATCCAGGCACAATGTCTGTCATTGATGCAGACTGTGAGGGACTCTAATTGACAAATAAGGCCAAGGAACGGCACTATTCTTTTGTTCAGAATAATCAGTCCATGAGGGGAAGAGGGGTAGTATTACACAATACCTACGGATGGAAATATCTACACAATCCATCAAATGAATATCTTCAAAATCTAAGAAACATCATGAAGAAAAGAAGATTCGGCTGTAATTGCTGGTACCAAGAGATCCGCAACGTCCGTTTGTTACCCACAGAAGCCCTGAAGTCCACGGACTGCTTTTCTTTTTTGTACCGGCGGGCGTAAGGAACGTATTTTTTTTTTGCTTTGCTTTGCTTGCATTGTCGATGGAAAGACTTTTTTTTTTTTTTTTTTTTTTACGCTGCGGATTCCACAATACACTCGACTCTGTCTGCTTTCCTCCACGTCCCTCTCTCTCTCTCTCTTCTTCCTCTCTTCCTCTCTTCTTGTCTCTCTTCTTTTCTCCTCCTCTTTTTTTCTCCCCCGCTCCTCCTCACGTCCTGGACGTTCCCTTCCTTCGTTTCTCTCGATTCCGTCTCTTCCTCGCCTTTCCGTCGCCCGCCGCTGGCGTCTGCATTGCTAGGCGTGATTTTCTTCGGTCTACAAATCTCCCCCCCCATCCATCATCCTCCGATCTCCTTCCCACGCACGTCCTGACTTTCGCGGGATTTTTGTTGGCAAGGGTTTATTTGATCGGTTGATCCTTCGATTTTTTATTTATTCTATTTTTTAACAATACATACGAGATCTGTCCTTGTTCCTTATTATTGTTTTTCTGAGGCCATCGCAGTTCTCTCGCGAGAAACATCAACAAGGGAAAAAAAAAGAAAAAGAAAAAAAGAAACTCACAACCACTCCCACCAAAAAAAAAACCTCGCAAACCTCTCGACGTTGTTAGCCGTCGCCACGTGCAAGTCGCGACTTTTTTTGTCTACGCATCTCAAGGGGCAACGCCTGTAGAGGTTTCCATTTTCATACCGTGCATCATCCCTGGTCGGTGATCCGATTATACCGTCTCCAACCGTGCTCAGAGAGACATCATCTCTGGTTCCTGTTGAATTTCACCCCTCTCATCGGGCGATCGAAAAACCGCACGAAGTGACATACAACTGGGCTAAAATACGAAGCGAAATATCCTCGTGTTTTTATTGTTGGTCAGGCAGTGCCTTTTTTTTTTTTTTTTTTTTTTAATCGTTTAGGATTATCCTCTTCTTTTCGATCGAATCCTTCGACGGACCCTATTCTTTTTTCTCATCCTTTTTGCCTATATCGATGCGATTCGCGTTTTAAGGCCTTTTCGTTTTTACGGATACACGAGATCATAATTTTTTGAACCTACACCCTACGACTTCGTCGATTACGAAGAACGCCTGTGTCTCCGACCTATTCCACGACCAGCCTCCTCAATAATCTGCAGTGACGGAAGTTTGCAGTTTGGTGGGATTTCAAGAGGGTGAAAGTTGATTCTTCGGATTTCCACTGGTGTTGGAACAGTTTCGCCCTTAGCCGGCGCATACAAGTTTTCTGGGGTTGCCAAGGGAGGCACCCGTTCTCTGGCAGAACAGTCTTTTTCTTCTCTCTAGAACGGATATACTTGATTATTCTCATTACTTCTATTTTCTTAAAGCAAGAAAAAATGGCCGCCACATTTTCATATGCCGCAGCCGCAAAGGGCATGGTTACGGCGACGACACCGTCGGCCTCGCCAGAGCCTTCTAAGGCAGCCGAACAAACCACCGAGTCCAGCCCGCAAACGAGCACAGAGACCGTGGCTGCCGAAGCTGAGACACCCGTTGAGGCAGAGCAGCCCGCTGCTACCACCGAAAAGGCATCAGAACCTACCGCTGCTGCCACCACCACCCCCGACGTCTCGGGAACATCTTCTAGCGATGGTGCTTCGAACTCAACTGTACCAAAGGATGAGGACAGCTCAAATACACCCAACGGAACTTCCGAGTCTACATGGGATAAGCAGTCCCAAGCTTCAACAACGGAGAAACCCAACGGTGAAGCAGAGGGTGCTAAGGAAAAGTCGGATGCCACCGAGGAGAAGGAAAAGAATGTGCCGCCGCCCAAGGAGCTCAAGGCTGCTCCTCTCCCCACGGTGAACATCTGGCACCAGAGAAGAGAGGCCCAAGACGCCAAGGCCAAGGCCATCGCAGCGCTCAAGCCTGCTACTTCTGGCAACAAGGGCACCGCAAAGACTGCATCTACCGCGTCCTCGACATCTGGGGATAACCAGCAGGAGTTGTCGAAAGCCGCCTCGAAGAAGAAGGATGCCGCACTGAAGAAGACTGACGGAAACAAGGGACGAGACGATGGTAAGTAACATATTGCGACCCTTCGCCAAGTTGTCTGCTGAATACAATCCCTATAGGCTCCAGGAAATCTGGATCTCGCTCTAGCCGACAAGTGCAAGCTAACGGACATTCTGCAGACTCGAATCCTCCCCCTGTCGGAGACGCTGCCTTGTGGCCCACTCCTCAAGTTGCGCAAGGCGAAGAGAAGAAGAAGGCTCAGGAGAAGACCGAGAAATCCGACAAGGCCGAAAAGAGCCCTGCTACTCGTTCGCATGGAAAGGAGAAGTGGATGCCCGTTCCTTACGTGCCCACTGCCGTCTTCACCACTCCTCTTCCATCTTCTGGCCGCAGAGGCGGAAGAACTGCTCGTGGTGGAAGAGACGGTGGTCGCAGCGGTGCCCACGGTGCTGGAGCTGCTGCTGCTGACAAGGCTCCCGCTGGACAGGTAGCCCAGAATGCCACCGCCAAGCAGGCTTCTTCCGCAGAGAGAGGCCGTGGCGAGCCCAACACTCCTCGCGCAAACTCCCTCCCTGCCAATGGTAGACGCGCCAACAGTGCCGATGCTGGCAAGGCTCCCCAGGCCGCTGACCGGAGCCGCGGTGCCAAGGGTGCTGAGGATGTCAACGGTGCCCCATCTGGCAAGCAGACCAACGGCGACTTCCCCCGCCACCACGGCAAGGGCTTTGCCAGAAACCAGGACGGAGCTCACAAGGGTAACGCCCACCTGTCCGTTGACTCGCACGCTCGCTCGCACCGCTTTGAAAACGGTCCCAAGTCCGCAGACTTCGCTGGTTTCCACGGTGACCACAAGGACAACAAGGAACACCACCGTGAGTCGCGTGCTGAGAGAGGTCGAGGCTCTCATCGAGGCCGTGGTGGTCACTCTGGCTTCAATGGCTCCCAGAATTCGCACTTCCCCAACAACCACATGTCACACCAATCCTTTGTCCACCCCAAGTCGTTCGGTTTCTCCGACCGCCAAAGATCGCAGAACCTGCCCAATGGATCGCAGCACGGCCACAAGATGACTTTCCGATCCCCCTCGCTCCCTAACTCTGGAGCTATGTACGGTGTCTATCCTTACCCCGCCGAAATCAACACAATGTATGGCTACCAGCAAATCCCCGCTGGTCCCATGACTGCGGTCCCATACCAACAGTACATGGAGCCTTTCTCCCTCATGAGCATGATCTCGATGCAGCTGTAAGTTTGACGCATATTCAAGAGACCAACGTTCCCCAGGAGCTAACAAGGTTTAGGGAATACTACTTCTCGGTTGACAACCTGTGCAAGGATCTGTTCCTGCGTAAGCACATGGACTCGCAGGGTTACGTGAACCTGGCATTCATTGCTGGCTTCAAGAGAATCAAGACTTTGACTGAGGATTTCGAGCTCCTCCGCCACGTTGGCCGTCAGCTTAGAACCGTTGAGTGCTACGTCGGCGAGGATGGCGTTGATCGTTTGCGCCCGCGAGAGAAGTGGGAGCAGTGGGTTTTTCCCATTGAACAGCGTGATCCCTCGGCACAGAACGAAGGCCCTCCGCCATTCACACACGCCGGCAAGCCCGAAGACACCCAGAACCACGCCGATGGTCTGACCAACGGATCGGCTTTGCCTAATGGCACCAGCGTTTCGAAGACACCGTTGTCCTCCGCTGCTCCGGAGTTTTCCCCCTCCAAGCCTATTCCCGCCCAGAATGAGGTTGCAAATGTAGGGATCCCCATTGAGTCCCTTCCCTTCCCAGATGACCAGGTTTAGAAATTGGTGATTGTGGTGCGCCGATCAGCAAGCCCAGTACCTCCACAGCCACCATTTCTCAGCCATTCACCCCATCCCCCTTTACCGAACGGATCTGTTGACGCCTTAAAACAGCGCGCGGAATAGATATATCCCCAAACAACCTATTTTCCCCTTGTCCCAGGACTGCGGCGGCTATATCCCATAGGTAAGTCCTTGTTTGACTGGTAGGTCTCGAATGCCTCAGTCACTGATTTCACAATAGTCAATATGTGAATTCTGCACAGCATATTCCTCTTCCATTGAATTCTCCCTCGACTACCGGGATTGCTGAAGCCAAATCTCCCCTGCCGATGTTCTGGGTGAAGGAGAAAGACACCCCTATTGAATTTCTGCCTTCCGATTTTGTCCACGAATCTTACAATGTTTTCCGAAAACGAGCTCTTGAGAAACGAAATTTAACGGCAGCCCAAGGTGACCGTGACATGGATGTTTTGTACCAATTCTGGTCGCATTTCTTGGTCCAAAATTTCAATGCACAAATGTACAATGATTTTAGGAGTCTAGCGCTTGATGATATTTCTGCACGATACGCCAGCTACGGGTTCAACAGGTTTATACACTTTTACGGTGCTTCTTTGTCGAGCAACAAGGTCTTACCTGATGAGGTTGTCCGAGACCTGGTTGACTTTGGCCGGGAAGAATCTACGAGTCCAAGCGGGCGTATTGTTTTCCAGACTTTACGTTCAGCCTGGCAAAGTCGATCTTTCAACCCGAGAACCCGCAAAAAGATTGACTGTGTTCTCGATGCTAGCTTGAGAGCCGAACTGGAAAAGTGATTTTGTTCCGTTTCATTATTTTTTATTTTTTATTTTCGCACTTTGTTCATCTGTCATGACTTGCATTACTATTTCTTCAGCTTTTGCATTTTTCTTCTTTCTTCTTTTTCTTTTTCTTTTTCTTTTTTTTTTTTTTTTTTGCCGGGTTGCCGAGTGCCAATCCTCGCAAAGTGGTTTGCGGTATATGCACATTCGAAGTCTCGGCCTTTTCTCTTCTTTTCCTTTTCACTTTTCTCATTTTGCTTTAGTCATGGGAGGTTTTTAAAATTACCTGGAGTCCGGGCATGTTTTACTGGGCAGTGTCTTTGTGTGTTTGATGCCTGCTTCCGTGGTGCACCAGGCCAAAAGACTTTTTCCCACGACCATAGAGATTCGAGTCCCATTCGGTTTTTAATATTGTGCGATCACGCCTTTTTATCTTGTTATTTGATTTTCTAGTACGGGCGTGAGAAAATCCTCCAGAAAGAAAGGATTCTCACGCGGGGCGCAGCTGAGTTCAGAAACAGAAAAAAACAAAAAACAAATAACCATGATGTTATCAATAGCACGATTTCTCGGGAATACCCAGGCGAATCTGGAGTCGAAATCCCTTTTCTCTACGCGCGCGACGCAGAGCAGTCGTCTGTTCCTGTTACCTGATTTCCTCGACTGTCTTCGGCCCCGTTTTCTCTTCTCTTCTCATTCGACTTGTTCACTTTTTTTTGCATAAAATGGGTTATTAATTTTTCTGTCAGTGTAATGCGACATGCATATTATGGGTAATTGTTGTGTCTGCGAAGATCGTTCAAGTAGTTTGGGAAAAAATGGTGTTCATCTCAATTCAAATATTCTTGATCAATCCTTTCTTCTAGAAAGTACGATCCTGTGATATTATACGGTAAATTGGGTTATGGGTAACGAGATATAGATTGAGTCTGATATTACTTGGAGTTAGTTACATTTTTAGCCATTTGATAGACCGTTACATAATTCCATTTTAACATTCTAATATTGCTGTTTTTTCTGATGTCGTTTCATTGATATCATTGCATTCAGCGAGTTGTATACCCGGATGAATGTTTCGCCGCGCGAACTGTTCATGCCTCAGGCCAACATGGCTGACCAGTGACGAACGCCGTAACTGGCATCCAGCTTGACTCTTCTCCAACGCGACTTGCTCCCTTCCAGCGCTTGTCTTCCGTTGACTCTTTCCTTCCCCATAGAAGCTCAGGTTGATTCTCCCTTTCAATTCTGTCAAGATGGACGTGGCCTCCAGACACACATCGAGGCTACTCCAGTCTTCAACCACCACCCCCAACCTGCTCCTCCTCCAGAACCGCCTCTCCGGCTCCAGCATAGCAACCGCAACTTCCCTGAACCGCATCTCCCGGAGAACCCTCACAACTTCCCCCCGCAGACTCGCTCCAGAAACCTCCGTTCTGAGCCTCGCAGCCGCCAACCCGTCACATGGCGGTGGCCCTCCCACCTACTTTACGAATCGCACCTCACTCCCCGCCAATACCATCATCCGGTTCGTACCGCAGCAGACGGCATGGATTGTCGAGCGGATGGGCAAGTTCCACCGGATTCTGGAACCGGGTCTGGCGCTTCTGATTCCGTTTTTGGATCGGATTGCGTATGTTAAGAGTTTGAAGGAGTCGGCTGTGGAGATTCCCAGTCAGTCTGCTATTACCTCGGATAATGTTACGTTGGAGCTGGATGGTGTGCTGTATACGAGGGTTTTTGATGCGTATAAGGCGAGGTCAGTTGAATTGGGTGGTGTAATGGGTGTTTGGAGCTGACTTGTTATCCTTAGTTACGGAGTCGAAGATGCAGAATATGCCATCACCCAACTTGCACAGACGACAATGCGGTCCGAGATTGGTCAGCTTACGTTGGATAATGTTCTGAAGGAACGTACGACGTTAAATACCAAAATCACCCAGGCTATCAATGAGGCAGCGCAAGCATGGGGCGTCACCTGTCTACGGTATGAGATTCGGGATTTCCACCCTCCGGAGGGTGTTGTCGAGGCCATGCATCGCCAGGTTACCGCAGAGCGTGCGAAGCGCGCGGAGATCCTCGAGTCAGAAGGTCAGCAACAAAAGGCGATCAACCTTGCGGGTGGTGAGGCTGAGGCTATCCGATTGAGGGCCCAGGCTAGTGCACAAGGAATCGCAGCTGTCGCCAAGGCCATTGAGGATGGTAAAGAAAATGCTCATAGCGCCATGAGCCTTAGCGTTGCAGAGAAGTACGTCGACGCTTGGTCGAAACTCGCGCGCGAGGGTACCGCCGTTGTGGTGCCTGGAAATGTTGGTGACCTTGGTGGAATGATTGCCAATGCCATGGCTGTGTACGGCAAGGTCAGTGAGGGCCAGGCAAAGTCCGTCGCGGCCAAGGCTCTCGGAGTGCAGGAGACTTCTGGCGACAAGTCCGAGAAGAGTTCGGAACAAATAAAGACTGAGCTCGAAGATTTGGCCGAGGCCGCACAGGATTGGGAGCCGGCTGCTCAAGCCGGCCAGGAGAAGAGGTGATGAGTTGAAAAGCTAGAAATCATTTATTCGTTTCACATCTCCTTTTTCCTATTCCCATTTTTTTTGATTGCTGGTTTACGACTGTTTCTTTGGAGAAGTTTTTTTTTCTTTCTCCCTTGGCATATGATACTATGGAGCATTGTACTTCTATTATCATTTCTTCTCTTGATCTTTCATGGCCCTCTCATCTCCTATTCAATTTCTCATGGCATCTTCAAAGTCAAAAGGCCTGGACAGTGAATGTTCGGACAGGGAATTTGGTGCAGAGTTGGTTCGTGGATAATTGTACTGTACATAGAGGCTTGAGGATAATAAGCGAGCAGAAAAGAATTGTACAACACAAAGTCATTCTATCATCACCATCAACCTCACATGTCCTACACTGTAGTTATATTCCGTCGTAGTACTCTTATTACCTTACATAGATGCGTAGCGGAGTAGAAGCTCGGACCACCCATTGGAGATCGCGACTTTTTTGGCAATCGGGCGCGCCCCCGGGGCCCTTGTTCTTTGTTCGCGTTGCGTTATCGCACTTCCATTACTTACTACCTATCTCAACCGACTGGTCCTCCGATCAGGCCATCTCAAGCTCATCTTTCTTTTATAATATCAATCATCTTCTGTCAAGACTCACACCATCATCCCGTCCTCTCATGAGCGTTGGACGCTGCTGCTCTGCGATGCCCCAAATAAGCTATCCTTCCTCCACGTCGACTCGCCAGTGATCGAAACCCCCCAAAGCGGACCCTGCCAACCAACAAAACCAAAGCACAACAACACCCCAAAGACAAACACAGAGAGGGAAGGGTAATAAATAAAAAGAACGTTATTTTGCGATGCATATTATCAAGCCGGTTTGGCTTACGCATGGAGGTATACATTGAATTCGAATCATTGTGTTTTTTTTTTTTTCTTGGTTGGGAGGAGAGAGGGGAGGCTCGTTGTACTCCTGTGATGGTTGCGCAAGTGTCATGGGTTGAGACAGCTGGGCTAATGCTTTGATTTATGAACAGGCGAGAGGAAAGATTTCGAGGTTTATAGTTGCGATGTTTCGCCGGATGGGAGTCGTTTGGTTACAGCCGCCGGAGGTGAGTGAATTATTATTCACAGGACCCAGTGGGAGGGATATTTGGAAACGGTCTCTGACTTTTGGTTGTCTGGGTTTAGATGGATATGTTAGGATATGGTCTACCGAGGCCATCTACAACACAGGGAGTGCGGAATACGCCAGCAAGCCGAAACAGTTGGCGTCGATGAGCAATCACTCCGGGACGATTCATACGGTTCGATTTTCTCCCAACGGGAGATATCTGGCGTCGGGGGCGGATGATAAGATTGTTTGCATTTATATGCTGGATGCCAATCCCCCGTCGCATGCTTCGACGTTTGGTAGGTGTTGGTTGCGTTGGGGAATTCGATCTGGTGTGCGTGCTTACTGATGGGTTTGAATGTGTATAGGGACAAACGAGGCACCCCCTGTGGAAAACTGGCGCACGATTCGACGATTGATCGGCCACGATAACGATGTTCAGGATTTAGGATGGTCGTACGATTCCTCGATATTGGTTTCCGTTGGGTTGGATTCGAAGGTTGTGGTTTGGTCGGGACATACGTTCGAGAAGCTCAAGACCCTTTCTATCCACCAGAGTCATGTCAAGGGGATTACATTCGACCCGGCCAACAAATACTTCGCCACGGCAAGCGATGACCGTACCGTTCGCATCTTCCGCTTTACCTCTCCTCCCCCCAACTCGACCGCCCATGACCAGATGAACAATTTCGTTTTAGAACAGACCATCTCCGCCCCCTTTAACAACTCCCCCTTAACGGCATACTTTCGCCGATGTTCCTGGTCTCCGGATGGTATGCACATTGCCGCCGCTAATGCAGTTAATGGCCCCGTCAGCTCTGTTGCGATTATCAACCGTGGATCCTGGGATGGCGATATCAATCTCATCGGGCACGAAGCCCCCGTCGAAGTCTGTGCATTCTCCCCGCGACTATATGGGGCTCAACCCGTCAGCAAACAACCAATTGACAGCCAAGGTCCCCTGGTCACTGTTATTGCCTGCGCCGGAGGCGACAAGTCCCTGAGTATCTGGATTACCAGCAACCCGAGACCTATTGTTGTTGCGCAGGAAATGGCAGCGAAATCGATATCCGACCTAGCATGGAGTCCTGACGGAAAATGCCTTTATGCCACTGCCCTCGATGGTACGATTCTTGCGGTTAGATTCGAGGATGGTGAACTTGGTTTCGCGGTAGCCATGGAGGAAAACGAAAAGTCGCTCACTAAATTCGGTACAAATCGAAGAGGCGCGGGGATTACAGAGACTACGGATGGGCTGCTTCTCGAGGAGAAGAGCAAAGCTGGGGAGATCAAGGATGTCGAAGGCAGGATGGGTGCTCTGATGGGTGACGGGCATGTTGCTGCTGATAACCCGGTCAATGGGAAACCCGCACCACCGCCACAGGCCCCTAATGGCACAACGCCTACTCGAGCGCCGTCCCCTGCTCCTGATACTCAAAAGGCTCAACCGAATGGGACTGCGGCAACACCAGCAGCCCCCGAGCCAGAAAAGCCTGACCCATACCAGGCAAAACTAGAGAGGTTGAAGCAGCGGCCAACATACACAAAAGATGGTAAAAAGCGCATTGCTCCGCTTTTGGTTTCGGGAGCCGGGGCTGGAGAGTCCTCTCTGCCTCAAGCACGACTGATGGCTTCTGTCAGTAATCAACTGAAGGCCGATGCACCACAGTCTATCGTTGATCTTTCCAAGCCATTTGATGGATTACCAAAGGGTGGACTTGCAACATTACTTCTCGGGAATAAACGGAAACTGGCCCAGCTTGAGGACGACGAGGATGGCCAGGTGGAAAAGCGTGTGACGTTGGCAAGTCAGAACGGCGCCACACCAATTCTTGCGAATACACCAGACGGTCTGCTTCCCGCACAAGTACAGCCTGCTGCCACTGGACAGCAGCCAACGCCAGATTTCATCCGGCCCGCTGTGACCAACCCTTGCATGGCAATGAGCCAGCTTCGACTGGCGGTACCCAAAATTCGCAGTCAGATTTTGCGTGCTATTGACCTCAGTGGAAAACCAACTGAGCCGCCCAACACGTCGGGAGAACAGAACAAGTCGCGAGCCGACGTTGTGTTCGAGGCACGTAATCCATCACCTGCCAGCTTGACTGGCAGAGCTGTTGACCGGGAGCCGGTCCGCCTCACATTATTCCGAGGCGATCAACCATTATGGCAAGATTTCCTCCCACGCACTGTGCTGCTCGTGACGGGAAATCAGAGTATGTGGGCTGCGGCCTGCGAAGATGGATCTATTTACATCTGGACCCCGGCAGGACGTCGTCTTGTCAGTGCGCTTGTCCTGGAAGCGCAACCGGTGATCCTCGAGTGCCACGGCCCATGGATCCTCGCTATATCGGCTGTTGGCATGTGTTATGTGTGGAATGTCCAAAGCCTTTCTTCTCCCCATCCACCGATCTCGCTTCAGCCTGTGCTAGATGCGGCGATTCACACACTTGGGGCGCACCCAACGGTCGCCCCAGCGATCACCAATGCGCGGGTCAATTCCGAAGGCAGGGTTGTGGTCGCTTTAACCAACGGGGAAGGGTACTCCTACTCGCCGTCCATGTTCACCTGGCAGCGGATTTCGGAGGCCTGGTGGGCAGTAGGCAGTCAATATTGGAACACAACCGAGGCTCCTGTCAGCAATCTCCAGTCGAAGGATTCCCAGCAAGATAAGGATGCAAAGGCCGCGGTGTCGGCGGGTATCATCCCCTTCCTGGAGCGCAACACAACGAACGAGACACTTCTTCGCGGTCGAGCATACTTCCTACAGCGTTTGATCAAGGTTCTCTTGTCACGCGAAGGTTACGAGAGTTTCGAATCCAGTGTTTCTATTGCCCACCTGGAGAATCGTCTGGCTGCAGCGCTCTCCCTTGGGGCCAAGGAAGAGTTCCGGTTGTATTTGTCCATGTACGCTAAACGCGTCGGGGCGGAGGGCCTGAAGCTGAAGGTTGAAGAGTTGCTGAAGGGGTTGATTGGTGGTCTTTTTGAGGAAGAAGACGAAGCCGAAACAGGGGGCCAATTGCAGGCCAAGGAGAAGGAAGACCGAAACTGGCAAGAAAACTCGGATACCCTCTGTGGCTGGCCACGAGAGGTGTTATTGAAGGAAGTCATTCTGGCACTTGGTAAGTGGTTTATCTGGACTATCTCGACATGGCTAACATTTATCCCTACTAGGCAAACATCGGGATCTCCAACGGGTGACTGTTCCATACGCTAAGCTGCTGGGAGTCGTGGACGAGATCGAAGAGGGCGATGCGATGGAAACATAACCACTGTGATTATGGGGTTTTCTTTCTGGCGTTCATGATGCGGGGTATACTGGTTTAGTGAGGGGTTTTCAGCAGGAGGATTGTTCTTTTTTCACTATTTTTTTACACCAAAAGATGGATCTTGTCTACAGATCCTTGTAACATATGACGCGCTGTTTTTCTCTCCTTTCTTGCATGTCTAAGTGCTGGCGATGTATGAGTTTCTGGTTCTCTAATACCTTGTGGGCTGAATTTAAGCCTTATTAGCCAATTATGGCATTACTGAAGCATTTATATGTAGTATAGGTGCTTGGCATCCAGAACTCAGTTGACTTCCTTTAACAGTTAATGGTGTTGTCCACGTGACCGCCATCCCCTTTTCATTCATCCCAGATTTCCTCAACCTCAATTGCAAAGATGCAATGAATGCAAGACGCGAAGCTATCGACAGGGGCACTTTACTTTTATGAAAAATGCACTCTTCTTCCTTCTAACTGAGCTGTTCTGAGACAGCTGAAATAGTGACTACTGAGCAACCGTGTTTCGGAGGAACCGATGATGATCAAGCGAATACGGTTACAGATCAACACCCGCTCCACAAGAAATTGGCCTGTTTGGTTTAGTGGTGTCCCATTTTTGGAATCATGGCGATTTCATCTTGATAGCCTGATGCCGTTCCTACGCCAAACGATAAATAAACTACCTGCCATCACGTCAAAAGGAATGCATCCCCCGTCTCCGACCCTTCGCAGCGGGTAACTGTTCTTTCGATCATGACCACGGAGATCGCCCCTAATACCAATCTAACGACGGCCTGTCTGGAACCCTCCTTTGCGTTTCAATCCTTTGACTCAGTAGTCAAATGCCTCCAGGAATATGGCCAACCAGAGTCTGACTATCTCAACGACGTTCTTGGCGTTTCGTCGAAGAGTGCATTTGGGGCTGTGATGGCAGGGTGCATTGACCAATACTGCGAAGCCCCAGATCCAGATCTAGGAGGATGTGGTGCAAACGACCACAGTAAAAACTATACTGTTTCGTTTTGGGATTCGCCATATTTGGATTTTTCTGCATGTGCAGATCTCGATGAATCGGTAAATCAGGATATCGGAGGTATTGGGGTATGTGTCCCTTCACTTCTCGTCGACTAAGAGACGTGCCACTGACGCAGCTGGTTAGGTCTTTATTTCGTATATAATGCAGCTAATTATTATCGTGTACATATGGCTAGCTGTTCGTTTACTGGTATTCATTCCTGCAGCCAGTCGATTTTTCCGATACCTACCCGCTGCCATGAGGTGGTGGATGGATCCGCGGAAGAAAACGTTGGACAAAGAACGAAGCCAAGATCTACAGATACGCCTTACAAAAAGATTCGGGCATCATCAAACCGTGCTACAAGCGATGTTGGTCGAATTCCAGGAGGCACAATGTTTCTTTATGCTGTCGATCCAGGCAGCAGCCCTTATTGCACTTTCGACTGGACCGCAGGTATTTGAAGCGACCAGCTTTGCACAACTGGAGTCAAATGTTTCTGCCATAGCTTTGGTGGCGCTCATGGGTGTCGTACCGGTCACGTTTGGTCTATGGGTTCTACATAAAGTCGGCATGAACTCGTGGTATACAATGTTCTGGTCCACCATCTCCGTGGCCTTGTCCAATGTGACATTGTATATGGGTAACTCGTCGCCATCCGCGACGAGTCTCGTGACGATCTCGAGTACCGATCGCCTGGACAAGTGTGGTCATTACGGTCCTCCGCTGATTTATTGTTACGGGTACTCCGGTTCAACAATGGGCAGCTACAGCCCTTCGATGTTCATTCTCAGAATTATAAACTACGTATCTCTCGCCTTCTATGGGATAATTGTACTTATGTGGCTCGCTCCATACCTCAGGCGATGCATGCAGAAGAATGAGTGGTCTCAACACACCTATGTTCGAGTACATCAAGTATTGACAGCTAGATGGGCCCGAGCTTTTGGACGTGTCTGGACCGTCTTTGTGGAACTTGTATCTATGCTCTTCTGCGTGGTTTATGGCATTTATCTTACCAGCAGAAACTTCGGCGCCTTTGATGCCGATAGTTGGAGCTTTGGCCAGATTATTGCGGTTACCATCTGGGCCCCGGTGATATGCAAGTACTTCTATTGGGCTATGTGTAAGTTGCGTTTTTTTTTGGTGATATATCGCTGTCTTTAGGTTCAATGGCTAACGTTTAATCTAGTCGGTACGGAGTCCTACTCTGCTATTCGTGTTCCGGAACCATATAAGATCTTGCGAGTCCGAACATCCAATATACTTGAAACTGGATCACGTTCGGAAGATGGAGAAAGGCTGTTTATCCATATACCATCTACGAGTGATTTGAACCTGGGGCAGAGCTCGACCCAGGTTACCGATGTTGAATTGACGTCGTTGAAGAGTAGGACTACTGGAATGAGAGAGGAGCCTGAAGAGAAGCAAGCGAGATGGAAAGCCCGCGAGATGAACTAATGTTTGACTCCGATGTCTGTATATAAAATCCTTACCTGTACTATAGACGAGCTAATACTAGGGCTGTACAATCACGTGGGCGGTGGGCGCAGCTTCTTCACTTCCAGAAAGTCACGGTGTTTCCCTTCGTAACCAACCACAGAAGCTACCACACTGTACTCTACCTTGTATTACTACTGAGACCCTAACCCCTCCTACCCCTCTTTGCCTTCGTTTCCCTTTCTCTCATAAAATTTTCTGCCCACCTGCTGTGGGCTGCCGTCATCACGTCTTCCCTACAGCCTCCCGCCTTTCTTTTCCTTTCTTTCTCTCTCTTAGAACGATCGGCAGCTGGTCCTGCTTTTGCCTCGCGTCTCCATTGCCCCAGAGTCAGCCTTCCTTTTACTTCTCTTTCTTCTTTCCCCTGCCGCCGGCACTACTCCAGCAAGAAGAAATCAAAAAACAAAATGCCTCCCAAGAAGGCCGCTGTTCAAGAAAAGGTCCTGCTGGGCCGTCCAGGTAACAACCTGAAAAGTGGTATCGTATGTGAGCATTGACCCCACCGACTATTTTTTTTTTCCCATTTTTTTTTCTGCCCTCCCCCAACCTCCCCTTTTTATTTTTTTCCCTTCCCTATTTAACCACAACTTCCCTCCTCATCCTTGAACTTTTTCTTTTTCCTTCTCTCATCAAACATCATCGTCATACTTTGGCAATGATAAAAGGATTAACCATGTAATGCCTTTAGGTTGGTCTTGCCAATGTCGGCAAGTCGACACTCTTCCAGGCTATTACTAAGTCGTCGCTTGGTAACCCTGCCAACTTCCCCTACGCCACCATCAACCCTGAGGAGGCTCGTGTCATTGTCCCCGATGAGCGATTCGACTGGCTTTGCGACCACTACAAACCCAAGTCCCAGGTTCCCGCCAACTTGACCGTGTATGATATTGCCGGTCTGACCCGTGGTGCCTCTACCGGTGCTGGTCTGGGTAACTCTTTCCTTTCTCACATCCGAGCCGTCGATGCCATTTTCCAGGTCGTCCGTTGCTTCGACGATGCGGAGATTATCCACGTCGAAGGTGACGTCGACCCCGTCCGTGACTTGACCATCATCAACGAGGAATTGCGGATCAAGGATATCGAGTTCGTCGAGAAGGCGCTCGAGGGCTTGAAGAAGCAGACCCGTCGTGGTGGACAGTCTCTGGAGATGAAGAAGATGAAGGAAGAAGAGGCTACTGTCGCCAAGGTCCTCGAATACCTGCAGTCCGGTAAGGATGTGAGATCGGGTGAGTGGGGTCCCAAGGAGGTACGTATCTTTTTTTTTCCCCCCCTTTTCTTGCATCCTGCATGCCCTTTATGTGATGAACAAGAGCAAAAGCTCTATAATCCCAGCTCTTCGAACGGTCTCAATTTTTAATTCCAACGTAGAGGCCTCATGAGAAAATGTCCCATCTGATTTTTTGTCCTATTATTTCAAATTTTTCATGCCAATTGTGGAAGACTCCTTGCTGATTAATTTGCTTTCAGGTCGAGGCTATCAACCCTCTTTTCCTTCTCACTGCCAAGCCCGTTGTGTACTTGGTCAACCTTAGCGAGAGGGACTACATCCGTAAGAAGAACAAGTACCTCCCTAAGGTGTTTGAGTGGATCAAGGAGCAGTCCCCTGGTGCCCCTCTGCTCCCCATCTCTGCTTCCTTCGAGGAGCGTCTGGCTGCCCTCGGATCTGACGAGGCGGCTGCTGAGGAGTGCAAGAAGCTGGAAACCCAGTCTGGTCTGCCCAAGGTTATTACTACCATGCGTCAGTCCCTGAACCTGGCCAGTTTCTTCACCACTGGTGCCGACGAAGTCCGACAGTGGACTATTCGTAAGGGTATCAAGGCACCTGCTGCCGCTGGTGTCATTCACACTGGTATGTTCTATCTCTATTCTATGGTATAACATCTATGTTGAATACTAACAAACGTGCTATAGATTTCGAAAAGACTTTCATCCAGGCTGTTACTTATAACTACAACGCCTTGAGGGAGTACGGCGACGAAAAGTCCATCCAGGCCGCCGGAAAGATCATGACCAAGGGCAAGGATTACGTCGTCGAAGATGGTGATATCTTGTTGATCAAGGCCGGAGCTGCCAAGGGCTAAACAACCCATTTGGATTGCATAGTATCAGTTCAATGTGCTTGGGCCTCTATTTTGATTCCCGTCCGAGCCAGGTAGATTCGCAAATAATATGAAAAACGAGAGACGCTGTGTATACATTGAGATTTCCACGTAATATGATGTACGCTGTCTTGTAGCAGCAAACAGTAAACCATTCCCGTATCGCCAGCGAAGAGAGCAAATTACAGCTCGACACGTGACCGCCATAACCCTTCCCCGCGTCGACCGCGCCATGCCAGACGCGCAGTTCTATCGATAGATGCTGCAGACCGGTGATAAGATACTTTCTCAACAACCTCAAACCGGATCATCAGAGTCCAATACAGTCACAATGTTTAAAAAAGAGTGAGTTTACTCTTGAATTACATGATGCTTTGTCTATTCAATCCATTCTGCTCAGAAGGAGACGTGACGCCGGCGAATTACCCCTCATCTGCATGAAAAACAAAAGCCGGGGATGAAAGCTTGCCTGCAGAATCAAATAAGCTAACAAAAAAACCCAGTATCCCCGTCAGTCAACGCTCAAAGGTCAAGTCCTCGGTCGCGCGAGGTCTCCGCCAAAGACTCTTGGAAGCATACCCAGGTTTCGAGCCGTATATCGATGAAATCCTTCCTAAGAAAGCGCAGCTGGATGCTGTGAAGCTGTACGCCCGCCCTGAACTCGAAGACATTCCGGAACAAAAAAAAAAAAAAAAAAAAAAAAGTGTACAAAGCTAACCATTTTGCTACCCATCTACAGACCAGAACGATCAACCCTCTACACAATCGATTCCACCCCGCTCTTCTACCAACCCATGGACGGTCCCCCGATTCCCCACCTCAAGATCCTCCACAAGTACCCCTCTGCCCTACCAACTGTGCAAATCGACCGCGGCGCGATCCGTTTCGTCCTCTCCGGCGCGGCCCTGATGGCTCCTGGTTTGACATCGCCCGGTGGCCGGTTACCGGAGACTGAGAATGCGCTGGAGAAGGGGGCGGTGGTCGCTGTCAAGGCCGAGGGCAAGGAGCATGCTTGTTTGGTTGGGACGTTGAAGGTCGGTACCGAGGAGATGAAGAGTAAAGGGAAGGGTGTGGTTATGGAGGATGGACATTACTTGGGTGATGGGTTGTGGAAGATGCATTTGGATTAAGGATGGGGAGGTTATCCTTATTTTCTTTTATGAATGATATATTATGCTAGGGTGGTGATCAAATGTGATGAGACGATGATGACGATGATGACTGGATTTACTGTATTTGTATAATATCGCCAAGATGGAGATGGTTAGATATAAACTACAGCTACTATCAAGAACCAAACGTGTTTTGATTTTGTAGGACAGAATTATTTGTCACTGGCATTATCAAGTCTATCAATCATATTCCTCTTTCATTTTATATTATATATCACCCCTTCTCTAGGGATGGTCATCCACTCCACTGTCTACACTGGTACCGTATGGATTTCCACTCGAGGTAGAAACATCATCACTCCACCCTCGATCAGAAGGGCGGCTTGGATGTGGTGAAGCGGATGACGTTGGAGACAAGGAAGACCATGACGGTGTACGGATTGGAAGTGCGAGGCCTAATCCTTTCATGCTGGTCCCGGAGCCATTCAGGCTGGCGCTTGGTAGTCCCCCGTTTCTAAAACCCACCCGAGATATAGCTCGTCGTAGCATTTCACCAGATCCATCGAGAGCGATTAGGAACCTGGCCAGCTCTGCGCAGAGATCCCAGTCATCTTTCTGCGAGGCCAACCAAATCAGGCGGACGACATAGTCTTCAATCGGGGCGTCATGTCCTTCCTTCTCGTCTTCAAACGCCTGCAGCACGAGAAGGTATCCAACTGCGGTTTTGAGTGAATCGAGTTTCAATGCTTGCTCAAACAAATCCTTAGGAGGGGGCAGGTAGGCGAAAAGAGTGCGCCATGAACGAAGCTCTGTCTTTCGCGTACACTGGACAACAACATCCAGATATATCTTCGTGGGCAGTGATGCCTGGAGAAATGTTATGACCGACGGAAGCAGCGGTTCGCGTACCTCTGTTGGGTCACTTGCTTTGTTACGGCTGCTCTCGTTATCGACTTCGTCATCTAAAATGTGATGCAACAAGACTTCCAGTGCATGCGGAAAGTAAGAGAGATGAGAGAAGTGCTGGCAAAGCGAGAAGGCTGCTGGTATGTCAAGATTTTCAAGATCGTGTTGTAGAAAGTATGGAAGGAATAAGTGTGTCTGGAACATTAGAATTTTTCAAAATATGGCAGGGGCGGTATTTCATACCCGAATTGCAAACTTCAAGACAGCAAAGGTCACATCACGCCGCTGGATCATCTCCGATTCAACTCCTAGAACAATGCCCTTGTTCAACAGCACTGACAGAGGATAGAAATCAAGAGGGACCTGAATCGCCTTGGGCACTTCTTCCCGTTGTAGCACCTCTTGAACGTCATTCCAAGCAAGGAGGTCTTCTCCGCAGAACGTCCAAAGAGAATCCCTCAATGATTGATTGCTTTGATATTTGTGTGCCCCTAACGCCATCTCGGCAGAAGGACTAGAGGGAATCGATTCATCGATGGGCGGAGAAAAGTTAAACGAGAGCTGATCACGCATCAAAAGGTAATATTCGACATCGTGCGAGATCACTCGCATGTCGTATTTTAAGTCACCTGTCTCCGAAGCCGATGGCTGTAACAGGACTAAATTCCCGTCAACTAAGAGAAGAACAGAAGCCACTTTTACATCATGAGAAGGATCTCCATTTCCTGTTCGTTATTAGAAATCCGAAAATTACTCACAAGGGATTCCACTTACTCAGTTGATCCTCGGGCAAAACCCAGCTGATTGCCCTAACTCTGGTAGGTGCCCGCACAATGCCATTAAAAGCTATCTGACCGACTGGCACAAGAGTTATTCGGGGTTGCATGGCGTTGATGATATAGTGGTATAGTATGTTATCGTAAGTATAGACAAGAAGGGAGTCCTCGCCCGAGGGTCCGATGAAAACCACAGGCGAAGGGAGGTATTCTATATGCAAAATGGAGTTGTTGTTCAGAGGTAGCTCCCGTGAATACAAACGAAGCTGCATGGTCCATTAGCATCTGCCGTAAAAATCCGGGAAGAGGGCTATAATACCTCGTATGACCCATCACTTTCGATTGCAGCAATGAGAATGTGTCCGTACCAGCACATGCCACCTCGGACTGCAAACGAGTTTTCTACTTTGGAATCTTCGAACACCTTCCAGCGGCCACTGTTCACACTGTAGTGTGCAAGTCCTCGTCTGCCTGCAATGGCAACATATCTCCCATCCTGGGATACGACAGAAGAACGAATCGGCCACTGAGAGTGAAGGTACATGGGTGGATATTGCGCATGATGCCATAGAGAATCTTTGCCCGATATTGTCATCAAATCTGGCAAATCATGGCCCCGATAAAGGATGATCTCCGTCCCCGTTTGCAATAGGCCTCTCGCCAAATTTGCAGATGAGAAACAGCCTGTTAAAGCGCTCCGGGCGGTTTCTAAGATCCACAGACGACGATCGTTCTGTCCCGTTAAGATGATATCTGAGCCTCCGCCTATCCAGCAACCATGGGAGACGCCGTTCAGCCACTCTTCGGCGTTTTTCGCCGCAAGAGACCGGTCTGCTGAGAAACTATTCCCACCCGGCTTGCCAAAAACGCTCCAAGTTGCCCAACCCTGCTCATAACCGGCAAAAAGACAATACCCATCCGGCGAGTAACTCATGAATGTCAAGGATCCAGTAGTAGTGGTAGATGCTGGTAGTTGAAGCTTATGCGAAAGTGGGACGTTTCCAAGGTAATCTTTGGCGGTATAGACAAGCACATCGCCATTTACACAACTCACAGTTAGCAGCGAAAATCTTGCATTGACTGTAACTTTCATCGCCTTCTCGCCATCGTCTTTGGGATCATGGAAGCAATGGCCTTGGAAGAGCTTTTTGGTGCCCTCGGACTCCCGTGTTTTCTCCGACACTCGTTGCACTGCGTACGCCTGTCCGTCGCTGGTGACCCATATCAAGAGATTCATAGCACGGTCGTATACCATATCTGCAATCGCTGTCTTTTTAGAGACAGCCAGGATGCGACTCAAGAGCTCCGACGTAGTTTGAGACCCACCCGCGTCAGGCGTCCATCGAATGCACTGAATTGCGGCTGGTTTTAAAGTAGCAACGACAAGCTCATTATCTAGAGCTAGAGCTTTGGCGATACCAGATTCTATCTTGATGGCCATCCTAAAACGGATACTGACATCACGGATACCATTGGCATCTTCAGACAGACGTGCGAGCTGGTGGCGTCGAGTCTGCGCAGAATGATCGAAATGTTGATGGTAGACTCGAGACTTTGAATCAGAACCAATCGTGTAAGTTAGAAGGTATCCATTTAGGGTTTGAACAGCGAGGATCGTCGAATCTGGATGCATGAGAAGTGCTGTGTTGGTACCATAGTTCTTCAACGACGAGGGAGATCGAGCAACAGCGGCAACGACTGCAGTAGGCTAATCACCTGTCAATACCTGTGTTTTGTGAGGCAAACCACAGTCGGGGATACATACTTTAGTTTGCCAAATAGCTATCGATGAATCGGTCATCGTAGCAAACATATGCCCACTCCGTGAGACACAAAGGCCACCAATAACCTCATTCGCCCACGGGCCCGGTTCCGTACCGGACTGTTCAGATTCATTTGGATTTACCGATTGACTTTGCTCTGGAAAGTTTTCATGGTCGACTGCCCCGTCTTCATCAGACGAAGCAAGCGGAATGCCAGGGCCATTGACCGCATAGACCCGGGGAACTCCATTGGGCCAGTACATGGCTCGAAACGGGTGCGATAGTCAAAGAAAGGAGAGAGAGCTCACATCGAGTCATCTTCGTTGGACTCGGGGCTTTATACCGTCGGATTTGGGATAGATTTGATCCCAGGAATTCCGAACATGCCCACCCAAAGCTCTCTATCCGACAAACGAATCCAGCAGAGGCGGTGGATGGATGAAACGAACGTCGAGAAACCTCGGGGTTGAAGCTGTCGGGGGGATCAGCACGGGGTTAAATCACGTGGGCCGGAGCTGCTATCAGTATGGATGGTAGGTGCTGTACCGTATGTACGGTACCTTACGTACTGCATACACGAGCCAAAAAGCACCCCCGCAATACTGGTAAGAATCGCGAAGAATCATAGAATCTCCGTCCCCCGCGACGGTCTGATTTTCCACATCCCCCCCTTTTTCATCGTGTATAGACCAAATTAAGATATCTTCTTTTTTTTGGTCCTTCTAAAATGGTAGGGAAATCTTGAAATGTTTTCTTGAATTTCTGATCAGATGTTGATGGCTCTTTTTTATTTTGCTTAGGCTCCGAATGACTCCAAGAAGCGCTTAGCGCTTGCCATTATCGACTTCCTGGGCTCCAGCTTGAAGGATGGTACTCTTACAGCTGACGATGCTGAGTCCATCGAAATTGCCCAGTCGTGCATTGCAGATACTTTCAAGGTCGACCCAACCGACCAGGCCGCCGTCAAGGATGCTGTGGGTGGACAATCGCTGGCGAACATCTACAGTGTCTACGAGAAGCTCCGTAACAAGCCATCGGGAGGCTCTACCCAGACTGCGACTGAGGAATCAAAGCCCAAGGCCGGTACTCCCAACGCTGAATCCGACAAGTTGAAGTCTGAGGGAAATTCGGCCATGGCCCGTAAGGATTACAACAGTGCCATCGAGCTGTACACCAAGGCCTTGACCATCGCCCCCGCGAACCCGATCTACCTCTCCAACCGGGCTGCTGCATATTCCGCATCGGGTCAGCACTTGAAGGCTGCGGAGGATGCAGAGCTTGCCACGGCCTCGGACCCTAAGTACTCCAAGGCATGGAGCCGCCTGGGACTTGCTCGTTTTGACATGGCTGACTTCCACGGAGCCAAGGAGGCCTATGAAAAGGGTATTGAGGCCGAAGGAAACGGTGGCAGCGATGCTATGAAGAGAGGTCTCGAGACTTCCAACAAGAAGATTGAAGAAGCGAAGCGTGGCAGTGAACCTCCTGCGGATGCCCTCGATGAAGCTCCTGGAGCATCTCGCGGCGGCGGTGGCGGCATGCCCGACCTGTCTTCATTGGCTGGTATGCTTGGAGGTGGTGGCGGCGGTGGCATGCCCGACCTCGGCTCTCTTATGAGCAACCCTATGTTTGCCAACATGGCTCAGAATCTGATGAGCAACCCTGATATGCTCAACAACATCATGGGTAACCCGCAGGTGAGACAGATGGCTGAACGCTTCGGCGCCGGCGGAGGCGGCGGCGGCGGCGGCGGTGGAATGCCCGACATGTCCAGCATGATGAGTGACCCTAACATCCAGGAAATGTAAGCCTGCCCCAATCAAAGAGCGGGTCATCATTATTATCGCAAAAAGCTAATGAAAATTCATCTTTAGGGCCCGTAACATGATGGGTGGTGGTGCTGGAAGAGGAAGCCAGTGATTTCATTTTACTCTCGGAGTTGTCACCGTATATTCTGAACTTCTGCTCAAAAGACTGTTTGTGTTGAAAGTTTGCCAGCCTTTCTTTACTTTTGTCCTAATATGACCTGCCGCCATGATCTAAGCCCATATGAGGGTTTTCTAGTAAGCATCGAGAAGCAAACATAAATGACCACTGAAAATAACCGAAAAGATAAAAGTTTACGAAACCTTTGCATATTATCCTATGGGGGACACATGCAATAACATCATAAGCTGCAAGCAATGCCTTATTTATATAGATATCATTCCACAGGACAGAGATATAAGAATGAATAGGTAATAATCTTTTCATATGTCCAGATGCAATAGTACATTCAGTCAGGAGTGGAGCGTTGGTAGAAAGGGAGCAATGACAAACACCAGATACGCCATTCGAGAATACCATAAAGAAGCAAAGACCAAGCAACCGATGCTCCCTAAAACAATTAAAACCAAAATAGAAAACAGGCTCTGATAGATTTGTAAGAATATTTCTTTCAGTGAGTCCGTTGCAGTCTTTCTCCGTAGTTCAACGCTTGGTCACTTTGGAGAAGCTAAACAGACTGGATAAAATGTGAGAGCAGGTGGAACGGAGCATAAATACAAGAATATTGAAGAAAAGGTAAGAGAAGATTATATCTGATTAGCCAGCGAAAGGAAATAGTCGTGGTTACTATCACAGACATAAAGGGAGAAAAAGCGCCGATTCCACCTGGTCTCTATTTAAATAGCCGGTATTGTACAGTCGGATGATATCAAAACAATCGAGATGCGGTATGGATGAAAACGTTCATGAGGAGTCGCCGATAATCAAGACACGGGAGAATAAAAAGGTAAAGATTTCGTTGATGGGCGAGAAAGACATGAAATGGGAGCGAGGAGAAACCCAATTAACACTGCACTGTCTTCCCAGTTTAAATGTAGTCACGGGCAGCCTTCTGCAACTCGATCAATCTCCATCCTCTGGTTTCGGGGTTGCTGACGTCCTCGGGAATTCTGGTGAGACCGATGGCATAAGTGACCAGCTGTACTTTGTCTTCCATACCGGCAGCGAGCTCATTGGTCTTTGCGTTCTTATACACATGGACTTCTTGTGTGCGGCAGGTCACAACAAAAACGGGGATGTCACCTGGGTCCAGCATACGGGCGTGGGAAATGTCAACACCACGAATATCAAGAATGCGGCCATCCGACTTCAGACCAGCGGTGGTGTATTGTTTCGACAGAGCAGCGTAAACAGAGTACTGGGCGTCTGAGAGCCAAAGCTTGAGGGTTTCAACATCTCCCTTGACATAAGCATCAAGGACTTCCGGAAGAATGTACTCGCGCATTTCTCTCAAGAACGCTTCAAGTTGGAAGTTCGGGTCCATTTCACGGAATCTCTTGATGACTTGGGCAGTCTCATTCTCCGCAAAGAATCCACCAATTCGGTCCGAGATACTGCGTGCCGTAATGATAAGGGGATTCTCGGACTCGTTGTAAGTTTCCTTCATCGTAAAGAGTCTCTGCATCATAGGGTTTGAATCCTTGAAATCGCGCCACGATTCCTTCCACGCGGAGTCTTTGTGAATGGTAATGTTGGTGCCCGCCCTTTGAGGGTGAAAAAAAAAAGTCAGCAAAGCGCCATTTGATAGCTCTAAAAGCAAAACTTACTCTGGATCTTCAACCATAGGTTCAGCCCTGCGACGCCCAGACTTGGCTTCCATCTCTTCTCGCAGTTGTCGTTGTTTGCGACGCTCCTCCTTTTCAACCCATCCACCGTAGCGAGAGCTACTGCCATCATCAATAGCATCCTTAACCCCACCAACTGCGGTCTTGTACGCTTCAGTCTCTCTCACGGGCCTAGTGGCTTTCTCGAGACCCGAACCAGTTGCGTTAACACCCTTTCTGAGACCTTTGACGACCGGTGTATTCCATGTCCATGCTGCACTTTTGCCGATAGCTTGGCCAGTTGTCTTGAACGCAGTTGAGGTTTTGGAGGTGGTGGCACTAGAAGCAGCCTCATAGGCGGCACGGGCCCGCTTAATGTTCTCGTTCTCAGTGAACTCGTGCGCGGAGGACGCAAGAGCCTTAGTAGACTCGTTCCACTCTTTGGAAGCCTTGAACTCCGTTTGAAGAGTCTCCGTGAAAACCTGCCAGGGAGACTTGTCTCCGTGAGGGGGCGGCGGAGGCGCATCCTTCTTTCCTTCGCCCTTGGCCTCTTCACCTTGCTCTTCACCTTTCTCTTCGCCCTTTTCCTTGTCTTTGGACTCGGATTTCTCGGAATCCTCAGACTGCTTTTCCTTTTGCTGTTGTTGCCAGCGAGGGGTGGCAACATGGAATGATCTCGTCAGAGGGAGGGCAGTGTACGGGGAGATGAGTTGGGAGACTGGAGGGTTGACGCGTTGAAGGAGAGGTGTCCTGTTCGCCAAAGCCGATGGTTGCAATGTTGAGAGGGAATACGCCCGAGTCATCAACTGCTGAGATGCACTTGCATTGCCAGATGCAGAATTCAAACTCAACATCTGGGACCGCAAGGTGGCCGCCCGCGCGGTGGCCGACATTCTGGTAGCCGCAATCATGCTATACAAGGCACTCGATGAATATTATCGTTTATTGATAGAGGAATGTAAAAAAAAAAACAATGACAAAAGCTGAACCGGGCCCCGAAGGCGAATGGGGGATACGGTGAGTCAAGGCGTGAGATGATGAGGAAGAAGCAATTCGGGCCGCGGGTCTGGAGAAGGAAAAAAAGTTGAGATCGCGAGCGCCAAGACTTCTCGAAAACTCGGCCTCGCCTTTTCCGCCGTCCTTTGCTCCAGGCTCTCGATTACTAGAGAGAGATACCACCGCCTGTGGAGTTTCGTCGGGGCGTTTTTTCTTGTATAATTTTGTTTTTATTTCTTCCAATCCCTGGGATTTACTTTTCTCTCTTATTTGCGTCCTCTTACCGGGGGCAAACTGGCCGCTGAATTCGCCACGGCTATACCGAAATTCCCTTGTTGCCGCCGGACATATCTCCTCATATCCCCCTTTTCGACATTGCAGCAGCAAATATGAACTCTCAGTTCATGGGCACATTGGCAAGGGCGTTGCCTTCAGCCTGCCGGCCATGCCAATTCCGGACATTGCCTGTTCGCCTGGCACGGCCTTTCTCGTCCTCCCAGAAGTCCGATTCGAGTGCAAAGGAAAAGAGCCGTGAGATTGAGAGACAGCTTTTGGACACGAAACCCGAACAGCCTGCGGAGGACAGCTCACCCCTCTCTGCTATCACAAAGATGATGCAGGGTGAGAAGACCCGCGCGAGTCAGACCGTGAGCCGCGATTATTCTCGAATGGCTGAAAGTCTGGAGGCCGAGATGATCAAACAACCTTATGCCGATCGTGCACCTCCACACCATCTCCATATCTATGCACACAAGCACAATACCATCCTGACTCTGACACGACCGAACGGAAACCCTCTGTTATCGATGGGCTGCGGCCACCTGGGCTTCCGCAAAGGCCACCGTTCTGGTTATGACCCGGCATACCAGCTTGCTGTCCATGTGTTCGGACAGCTGCAGGAAAAGGGCATTCTTTTCGAAATGCAACGACTGGAGCTCATCTACCGTGATTTCGGACCTGGACGGGACGCTTTCACTAAAGTCTTGTTGGGCAACGAAGGAAGAAATATTCGAGGCTTGGTCAGCCGAGTAACAGATTCGACCCGGATAAAGTTTGGTGGTACCAGAAGCAGGAAGGTTCGCAGACTGGGTTAGGTTGTTCGACTTCCTTTTCTGTGTTATTATGGGCTACCTTCGTCGGTATCCTTTATGGGGGAGAGAATAGGATGCGGTTGTATGGGTTGACACCGCGTTCATGGCACCAAGGAATCAACGCCACATCATCTGGCTGAAATTACCGTGCTTCGATCAGCCTAGACATTCGCCATTGGATATGGAGTTGTCAAGGAAAGCTGGTCTTTGGTGGTCCATGTCCTACTCGCCATGTTTGTATACTACTAGCCAGCATGTCATTTACAAGTACCCGGGATATCCATCCGAGCTACTCTAGTTTCTATTTGTTTTCAATGTATCGTACTCCAATTTCGAGTTTCTCGTCATCAACTCATCTTAATTGTGCTAGTTATTTTCTTGGTTGCTGCTAACACAAAGCACGACGGGGATGGCCGACCCTGCCCAATGAGGGATAGCGCGTTGAGCTCTCCGACTCCGCGAAAGCTGCTGGCTAAACGGCTTCATATTTATGATCCCTATCCTTCCACTCTTCATCACCGTTTATCCATCTGCTTATATCAGCAAATTGTTCTACATACCTTTCATTTACTTTCCCTAGGGTTTCTATCTTCTAAAGTTGTCTTGTTTTCCTTCGCGTTTTGAGCATTGCTTCTGACCTTGCCCAGCCCACTCTTGTGTTGCCTTGTGGGCGCATGCGCCGGAGCTGCTCCTCCATCTGCGACGATCGAGCAGCGCGATTCCCCACACAATTTGAGATTGGTGCGGGCGGCTTAATGATTGCCAGAGCTCTTCCATTGGGCCGTCGTCCAAGACCGTTTGGATGCACCCTCTAAATCCCTTTATCCGTGCCTTCTTCCGCAGCACTGTTCCGGGCCAGTGCCTACCGATCGAGAATCATGTACGTCCCCGCGACCCCATCTCGGACCGATCTGCGAGAGCATGAGTTCTTATTGTTTGCATATTTAGGTTCTGCTCGTTCCTACGACTGAATCCCTGATCGGGTCGCGTGATCGTGAATCGAACCTCCTCTACTCCGACCTCGTCGTCTCGGAAGAATTCCTGGGGAGTCATGTCTTGCGGATCCCCGTCGCCACCGGCGGTACTGGTGGGAAGGATGATTCGAACGTGCGCGATAGCAGAGGAAAGGCAAAGCAAGTAACTACGGTTAACGGACGGACGGTTATTATCAAGGAAAACTCGGTGTACAGCAATAAAGGTGAGAAGGTCGACGCACCAGCTGGCTCGGTGTCCACACACGCTGAACCGTACGTATAGGTTTCAAGTCCCTGAGCCAAGCTCAATTAATATCCGATGCGCTATACTACACACCGAGTAATGAATCCCAACCATGGCTTGTATACTATATCTCCCGACCCCTCATCGGCTCTTTCGATCCTGGAAAGATCATTTCAGCGGCAGTACCCGGATCACTGCCAATAAAAGCCATCGCAAACATCGAAACACGGTCTGGAGAATCAATGTCTTCGCCGCCTAAGAAGGAAATCAGAACCTTTGGAGAATTGCTGGCAAATTTCCCCATGATTGCACGCCAAATGCAACCGGGTTTGGAAAGATTATTCCGAGAATTTGGCAAAGAGCTGGGGAAGCCATTACCACCTCCGCCATCGCGTTCGCCTTCCATACCTGATGAAAACGAAAGAAAAAGAGGCCAGGACGAATCATTGTTGGCCGAAGAAGTCGCTTCTATTCGCAGCACGTCATCTCGTGGCAGAGAACGGTTACCCTTCAATTCTGAAGAATACTTCGAGGACGACGAGGACCTAATGCGACGCAGCTTGGAGACGGCGGTGACTGCTGCGATTGATCTGTTTCGTCTAGTGGATAAACAGCAATTGTCTTTCCTTGGCGCCACTACTGATCTTACTGGACCTCTGGTTGAACGGTTGATTGAACGTTACGTCGCTGAACAGGTGCATGAATCACTTCTATTTCCCCGTCTTTGCAGCTTTCGCCGGCCTGAGGATGTGGAATTGGATTCCAGAATCCGTCAAATGGAGTATATTGATGTTTCTCAGGTTGGGATTGTGGTGGAGGGTGGACGTGAAGGAAAGAGAGAGCTGCTTCAACGCCTTGGGAGAGGAGTTGAGGAATTCCGGAAAATGCTGGATGGCAGATGTCCCCATGACATGCTGAACACTCTCCTTGAGACAGTCAAGGTGATATCCTTCCCTGGAAATTACGACAAAGCCGACCCACTGGCGTCTGAAAAGCAGACAGCCCCCATGATGGTAAATGCCGACGTTTTGGTCTCATTATTACTTGTTGTTGTCATCAGATCTCAAGTCCGACATTTACAAGCCAGGCTCCTGTACATGCAGCATTTTATTTACATTGACGATGTCGATAGTGGTGAAATGGGTTACGCCCTAAGCACCTTCGAGGCTGTTCTCACTTATTTAGTGACAGACTCGGCAGGTCTCAGAAGGGCTAGCATCCGGAACAAGCGTCTGTGGAATGCCACAAAAGGGGGTCGAATCAATGATATGAAGGGTATCTTAGAACCAGATGGAGACCATGAATCTCTGGAAGATATACCCTACGAACCTGAGAGGAAATCAGTGTTATTCAAAACCGATGAGGATGAAGATAGGGCAGCAGAAGATGAAGTGATCGACCCTCCACGTGAGCCTTTTTCTATATACAGAACATCGAGCGACCAACGCAATGAGACGTCGCGCATTGAAATTCCTACAGAGACACCGCCGTTGTCACACGTGTTTCCTTTCCAAACATGGACAGGCACATCGCCCCCCAAAGAAACCCGACGTCCAGTCAAAAGAGTCTCCATGGACGTTCGAAGTCTATCCGAGTCATCCGCCATATCTCTCACTTCACGAACTACTATCGGGTCCATGACAAGCACGATTGAAGGTGATAGCTCAATCGAGACCTTGACAAAGACGCAGGACCCGGCAGGCGACTCGATCCCTATGATGGCTGTGGAGTGTCGTCAATCAGAGGCGCTTAAGTATCTTTTAAGCCTGGAAGAATATTATCCATTACAAGACATCCTCAGTGATACCAACACGGACGGAACGACACTGCTAAATGCTGCTGTCCAGCTCGCTCACACCGAGATGGTTGACATCCTACTTGATTTCTTCTTCAAAACAACTGATGAAAGCACCATTATCTCTTATCTGAAGAAGTCAGATATGCATGGACGCACAGTTGCTCACTATCTTTTCAGCACGCCATCGGTCATGTCCAGATTAGGGGCAATCCTTCCCTGGCGACAGCGCGACAAGCACGGGCAGACACCGCTTTTCGCGCTCTGTCGATCTTATGATCATCCCTACTACAAGTCAATGGTTCAGGATGCTCTAACGTCTGCTCAGAGATTCCAAAAGGATGGTAGACCTCTGCGACTTGATGACCATATTGACTCTAAGGGCAATACTTTGTTACACATTGTTGGTGATCCCGAAATCACGATTCGGATCCTTCAGGAGACTGATTGCGACCCAAACGCAACAAATGATAAGAGATTCACTCCTCTGATGATGGCCAGCAAGTACGGGCGCATAGATCAAGTGCGAATTCTTTTTATGGACCCAAGGGTAGATGTTCACCTCAAGGAGGTCCGTGGATTAACGGCAGTTGAGCTTGCGAAAGATGATGAGGTTCGAAATCGTATTGACGATCTGATACTTCTCTCCAACCCCCCATCAGCGTATGATGATCCATCTGGTCGTGTTACTACTGTCGTGCGTTCGTTCTTTGTCGAGGATGCCACTGTACGTTTCATTCTCAAGTCCGGCGCTCCCAACCCTCCGTCAGAATCTGTAGCATCTAGACCTGGATCTACGACCTATACTGTCACTACGTGCCGTCGCAGCTTTTCCGATTTTGAAAATCTGGCCAAATGGCTTTCCGTCGAGCACCCTGCTTCGTACATCCCGTCTCTCTCTGATTTCCGCAGCCCTTTCCAGATCCACTCTAAACCATCTCGATCTGTGCTTCATGATTTGCAGGAGAAATTGGATAGATTCCTGAAAATTTTACTTACGCACCCAACATTTGCCACCCATGAAATGCTGTGGGAATTCTTCCTGGTGCCTGAGTTGCAGCCCGAGATGATGGCGGATAGATCTCGTCGAAAGGCACAAGTACTCTCCGAGTCAATCATCGATGATTACCAGCCAGTCACGCCAGAGAGTATGCGCGAGACGGAGCAGTTCGTCTCCCATGCGCAGGACATGGTCCGTGCTGCCCATGCCAACACCCGCAGTCTCATCCGTCGTGGACACGCCCTGCAGAATGCTGCCTCCGATTTGGCAGATGCTGTGTCTTTGTGCTCTTCTATTGTCTCCACTCTCAAGGAGCCTACCAATGCCCTTCCCAAATCACACCTGGATGCATTTGCACGTTACGCTTCTCATATCTCCACTTCATCTTCAGACTCCTCTCCTCTCCTTCAGTATCTTGCCGCGCTCTCGTCCATCGATAACACCACTGCTGCTATCCTCGGCTCACTATCACGCCCTATCTCACTTATGTCAACCCTATCATCCTTGAATCGCAACCTCTCCCGGTCCCGCACATCTCTCGTCTCATCTTCTCTACCCCGAAAATTCAATTTGAACTTCCCCGGCCTCGAAGAGTCAAGACAGAAATCCGTTCGAGATCTGGAACAAAAGGTTCACGAGTCTGAAACTCAGATTTCCCACCTCTCACGAGAAATCACATGGAACAAGGACGTTGTCGTCGGGGAACTTGCAGGATGGACCTCTTGGAGAGAGAAAGTCGGACGAGAGGCGATCCGGTCCTTCGTCAAAACCACTATTGTACGGGAGAAAGAGCGTGGGAAAAGACTCGAACGGTGTTTGAGGGGCGTTCGTGAGATGAACGGCCAGTACGATAAATAGACCCCCCTCTCTTTTTGTTTTTTCTTCACACCCACTGTAGACTTAATGGTTATTGTTTTACCCTTCTTCTTTCCCATTTTAATTTTCACCCAATTCCCATTCTCAACAAGCATTGAAGAATGATTTTACCCACCCTTTCTCCCTCCCGATTTTAATGTCCATTATTACGATTATGAGAAAGGAAACACGGCAGAACTGTTCCAATTGCGAATTAATTTTTGTTCTATTACCGGAGTCCCATACTTTTCACAGACTAACTTCGATCAGTCAATGAATATAGGTTATGCATTGTTCTTTGTTACAAGGTTAGTGCAGATGATGATAGGCCATGTTGAATTATGTCCAACCCGTCAAGATTTCTCATTGATACCTAATCTATGGATCACATGGATTAAACCATGCTAAAATGACACCAAAAGACCAACTTCCAGAACCGTGGGTGTATTGGAAATAGAGGGCAAGTGAAATAAAGAACGGACAAGTGCAAGAGCCGAAAGTTGTACAGTAGCACTAATATCATCATGGCTTTCGTTGAGCCACAAGGCAGTCGAATAAAGATGACAACAATAGACACAAGTAACCGTAGCTTATGCAATATGAGGCTTATCTGAACGAGTGAAAATAACCCCCAAACGTCACAGGCCCGATCCAAAAGCAGAGAGCCTGAAAAGAGGTGATGTGGACTTCTGTATGGAAGGCAGTAATGCAAGATTGTTTGATTTCGACGACTCATCGCTACCACTGCCAGAAGAATTTCGAGCTTTGTTGGCTTGGTCCACAGTGTCCTGAGCTGTGCTCTCCGGACCATGGCAGCTAGCTGGCCCGTTTCTGTCCTGCGATTCCATGGCTTCCAGTGAAGAAATCTGGGCGAGAGGGTGGTGTAGAACCGCTGCTGTATTTTGAATGAAACCAAAATGACCTTCCTCTGGAGCAATGTAGCATTTCAAATGACTGTTCGAGTTCGTTATAGTGCCTGGTACACTTGCTAGCTGGCTCGGATCCATCGTATCAGGGACATCGTTGGCGCGATGTTTTTTATTCACTGGGTGTTGGTCACGTTCCATGACATCAAACGATAGAGACGACGAGTTGCTTTTGTAAAACATCAAGGATTCCCGGCTTGCTTGGTTTTTGAGCTTCAGGTTTGAATTGGATGCCAGGTTTTCTTCAGTCAAAGGAATGGCAGAGTATTTCGAGGCCCCGCCGTTCTGCCTTTCTCGTTTATGGCGTTCCCAGCTTTTTCGGAATCGTTTTATGCACAGTATCAGTAAGGTAATAATCGCCGCCACAGCGACAGTCGTAAATATGCAAGCCGCAGCAATAGAGCTTTTCTTATAGTTCCATAAAGGTATCAGTGATTTATTCGATGGCGTGGCTCTCGAGAGTGATTCCGTTGCTGTCGAATAAACTGAGAAATTGGCGCCGCTATTGATTGCATTACTCGTACCATTAGATATTCGGGTTTCTGTGTTAGTGGTCTTTGAAGAAGGTGTTCGTTTTGTATTGTCAGAGCCCTCATTTGCGCCGCTTGTGTCATTGTTGAGTTCATGACTGCCTTTCTCTGAAGATCGCTTGTTTGAAAATTTGGGCTTGAAGACATTGTAGAAACCTCCTACGCTCTCTTCCTGGTCCGACTGCACTTTAACCATTTGAATTTGTACAGTCGACGATGCATCTTGCGCTCCTTCGGAGGGGAGTTGTGTTGATGGTGGCACTGGAGTATTTGAAAGGGGCGCTATCACAAGTTGAGACCACGTCAGTTTTGCAGCGGAAAAGCACCCAATGGCGACAATAATAATGGAGCTTCGCATGTTGGGTTGTCAAAGCTGAGGTTTCATTGTAGGTATTTAGTTGGCAAGGCTGTCCAAGAAGAAATATGTGAGCCAGGAATGGGCAGAGGCTAAATAATCAAATAACAAGATATCCAATGAAGGTCTGAAATGGTTGAGAAAAGAAATGAATCTCGAGTCGCCCCGAAGAAGATGCTTGGTGTTCTTCGAGGTTTCCTTAACCACATCTCTCCAACGCAGCTTCCTGGGTATAGCTTGAATTGGGGTATATCGGCATGTATACTGGTGTACATATGGATATATGTTTATAGGTCGCCATTATAGATATTTCAGAGTCCTGAGCCTCAGTTTCAAACAGACGACCAGAAAATGAAGCTATTGTTGTCTTCAGGTTGATCTCTCTCGACGATGTCTGGGGATATAGACCCACGTGATCGGATCGGCCTTTAAATCGCCGATTGCGCTAATCCCAAAGTGTATATGGCTACTATGACATCATCCGTTCTCGGAATGAATATATTCAGCTAAACGACAACTTCATCTCTAACCATTTTAAATCACTTCATATCATTCTATCAGATCTCTCTTGATTTTATATTTAAAAACATCCAACTGTCATCATGCCTCTCGTTGTTCCGGGAATCCAAAACACTACGGGTGGTGATAAGAACGAATGGCTCAATAAGCTCGTGGGCAAGAAGATCACCGAATCCACCCACGATGTCGAGGTATATGATGCTCCCGGATACATATCTGGTTTCTATATACTCACGTCTATTATTTTAGTCGTTCGCCAAAACCGATCTTCCCAAGTCCCACCGGATTCTTCGACCAGGCTCGCCCATGACTTTCGATTATAGAGTGGAGAGGTAGGCCTTCCCATGATTTATTCTCTGGTCGTGTTCTGTGAAACAGCCACTGACAGTTATATTCCCATATAGGTTGAATATTCATTTGAATGAGCAGGATAGAGTCCAGGATGTCAGCTTTGGTTGAGGGAATATCGCTTGATGAAGATATATTTTGGCCAGACTATATTACGTACTATTTTTTCCGAAACGAATAATTTTATGCAACACCAATCAAGATTTACGGAACCTCTAAGCCTTTATTCCTATTGATCATGAGATTAAACTCCACTATCTTTCAGACAGTAAACTCATTCAGCCTTCCATCTCAGAAGAGTTAGAGAGTGTTTCGGGAACAGATACGCGCCTTTAGCATCCCATGTACTCTCAGTGACTCCAACCTCCTGCTTGCCTTTCATATTAGACGCCGCGACATCACCAGCAGTGACCGTAAATACAGAAATTTCTCCGGTGGCACCGTCCACCTTGCTCTCAAGATCCTTTTCTTCATGGATATTGACGACGGCAACGTTCACGTACCCGTCATCACCCAGTGTAGCACTGACATCAAGCCAGGGAGTGTCCTTGACACTGCGAACCCACTTGGGAGAGGTTTCACCCTCGTAGGTTCCGCATGCCACATGCGCGCCAATCGTCCAGCCACGCATGAACCGGGAGAACAGATACAGAGGCCACCAAGTGGTCTGCTTGGTAATGCCATCTTTGCTGGTCATGAGGGGAGAGATGACATTAACGCTTTGCGCAATGCAAGCCATTCCGACATCTTTGCTCTTACGAATAAAGACGTTTAGGTAGACAGCTACCGCCAATGCATCCGAGAGAGTATAGCTCTCCTCAGCACCCTTGCTGCCTTCCGCACGGATTGGATCCCAAACATTCCACTCGTCAAAGCAGATGGTTGGTCGGAGTTGGCCTGGAGGAACTCCGTTTTCAATTCTTGCCAGGTCGATTAGGGAGGAGGTTATCTCAATAGCTCGCTCCGCAGCCAGAGGAGCAGTGACGTTTGGTAAATGAGATGGAGAGGATGTATAAAGATGAATGCTGTGCATATCGATGAGGGGAACTGTGCTGGTTGAAAGAGGAGAATGCGCTGGAAGTAGACACTGCTTCAATGTATAGTAGTCCCATGACGCCGTACCATCTTGTCCACAGAGAACCAACACCAGACTAGGATCAAGAAGTTTCAAAGCTGTTATGATATCAGTAACCCAAACTGATAACCACTGAAAGAGCCCCGAGCTGACCTTTTGCCCACTGATATGCTTTGTGGGCATATGCTTCTCTGGTCATCTGTTCTACCTGCCATGGACCCCATGTCTCATTACCAAGAGCCCAATACTTGACCTAAATAATAAATCAGTATAAAATATTAAGGGAATATTCTGCAAGGAACCTACATTGTATGGTTCTTGACGACCATTCTTCCTTCGGAGATTGGCATAGTAAGTGTTTCCCTTGCCATTGCAATACTCGACCCAGCCCAGTGCTGCGAATGAACCTTCTTAGCTTCATGTGATAAAATGATAGTATATACCAAGACTATACCTTCGTCAAGGGTTCCTGCATAAACCTGGTTAGCTTTATTTGAAGAAAAAAAGGTCATGTAACTTGCCTGTTCCAAAGTTCAAACAAAAGTAGGGCTCTGTCCCAAGGATTTCACACCACTTTAGGAACTCATCGGTTCCAAAATGATTTGTTTCTGTTCCCAGCCAGGCAAGCTCGGGCCTATGTTCACATAGTTTATTAGTATATGTAAATCAATCTTGAGTGTCGGGCTATGCGAAACCCAAAAATGTGAGGTCAGATACAAGCATACCTTGCTGGCCGTTGATCTCTTGGACCAACTCCATCGATCCAGTGATATGTTGCCATGAAATTACCTCCAGGATAGCGAACAGCAGGGATGTTAAGCTCTTTCAGGGCTTCCAAGACGTCCTTCCTAAAGCCATTCTCATCCGACAATGGGTTGCCGGGATCATAGATACCTCCATAGATACATCGACCCATGTGCCTGGGACAAGGAGTCAGTCGAGCATATTTAGTTAAAGAATTATAATAATCACTCTGTAAACCCCGCATAAATGTTGGGGTTTATTTTGGATATGCGCCTGGATGGATGAATGGAGATGGCAGGGGTCTCCTGATCACTGAGCTTTGTAAAGGTCGTCATCTTGTCTGTCAAAGTATGCCAATAATGAAAGAAAGTAATTCGTAAATAGTGAGTTTGGTAGGAAACAAGAAATAAAAAGCAGCAGGCTATTCCAAAGACGAGTTTGTGGCGGAGGTAAGTACTGGGCAGCTAAAATACTTATCCTGGACTCATCGAGACCAGCATCATATATTTGGAAATTTCCCTGCGGGGGAAGTTCCAGGCCACTCAACTGGGCCTTAAAAGAGTCATTTGGAATGGGGTCGACTCTTGTTCATCGCTAGCAAAACCGTTGTTCTTGAGTTAATGCGCGATGCCGTTGCGCCACGCTCTTGGACATGGCGGCCAAGGCGAGACCATGAGATCTTCCGTCAATCAGCACCGTCGCTTTGATTAACTGGCCTTTCCTTTCTTAAGCCTAGTAGACAGTCCCCGGCTTTAACCCCCGCAAACCTCAAGTGTCTGTTATTGAAGTGGCTTGCTATGAAAATGAAATTGCGTTGCGATTCGTCGCTAGGCATCGTCAGGTAGCCGAGTATTCTTTAGCAGGTCGAATCACACACTTGTGTTAGAGGCAATACGATGCTCTCAAAGCGCTTCGATTCGATAATTCCTCCGTCCGACATTACGTCTCACGAGCTTTTTAGAGATTTCAATCGTGATCATGAATCATGCTATTTCTCATTGTCACGCCTCTGTTGAGTGGAGTCGATCCCCAGACAGTTCTTAAAGACCGATGCTGATCCTGAGCCCCATAGGAAAGGGGTTCTAGTTTTCCTCCGCATTCTATGCTGCGCAATCTAAGGCGTATCCTAGGCTGATAGCAAATAACGTACACTGGCGTCGTCATGCGACTTTCTCCGGCATGGTACCAGGTGAGTGAGATATGGGAAAAGAGCATCCCGAATTGACGCTAATCTGCTCCTCAAGTTTCTGGTCGGCGTCTTCGCCTCACTCGGATCATTTCTCTATGGATGTATGTATATATTAATTCTTGTACCGCTGTTTGAGGCTTTGATCTGACCGGGACACTGTTAGATGACTTGGGTGTGATCGCAGAGGTTATCGCGAGTCCATCATTTATGTCCAGGTTTGGAGATGATTCGACTGAGACGTGAGTGCTCTGAATATTGAATGGGAAATGTTATCTGACTATTTGACAGTGGATTGGTCGTGTCAATGTTCACGGCGGGTGCTTTCTTTGGCTCAGGGTTCGCAGGCCCCACAGGTGATTACCTAGGGAGACGATGGACTATTGCCATCGGTTGTGTGATATTTTGCCTTGGAGGAGGTCTTCAGACTGGCGCGCAAACGATTGACTATCTGTACAGTGGAAGGTTCCTGGCTGGTCTAGGGTAAGTCATTTCCGAATGTCACGATGTGCCTTCACAGCCTAATGCTGGATATAGAGTTGGTTTTCTTACCATGATCATCCCTCTGTACCAAGCCGAGATCTGCCATCCAGACATTCGAGGCCGTGTGACTGGTTTGCAGCAATTCATGCTCGGGGTTGGATCCCTCTGTGCTGCATGGATTTCATATGGCACGTATATAGGGTTTCCTGACACCAACAATGCGCAGTGGCAGCTATCCCTAGGATTGCAAATAGTTCCTGCTGTCTTCCTTGGTCTCTTGATTATGTTTTTTCCAGAGGTAAATATGTTCTCTCCGACACGCCAGACTGTTATTTCTAATACTCGGACAGTCGCCCCGTTGGCTCATCGGCCATGGCCACCACGAGAAGGGCCTACAAACCCTCGCGAAACTCCATGCCCATGGGGATGAAAACGACACCTGGGTTCGCGCTGAGTACAATCAGATCCAGGAAAGCGTCACGTTTGAGCAAGAGAATGAAGCTAAGTCCTATATTGAGCTCTTCACTTCTCGATCATCTTTCCGTCGTCTTTTCCTTTGTTGTGCGTTGCAAGCATCTGTCCAGATGACGGGTGTGTCAGCGATCCAGTAAGCATATCTCGATTTCCAGTAAGGTGAAGGGGCCCATCGCTGATAGCTTTGATTTTTGCGCAGATATTACTCCGTGACGATTTATAAACAAATCGGAATCCAAGGCGACGCCACATTACGGTATCAGGCAATTAACTCCATCATCGCCTTGGTAGCTCAATTTCTCTGCATGATGTTTATCGACCGGACCGGGCGTCGTCCGGCTTTAATCTTTGGAAACTTGGGCAACATGGTTACATTCATCATCGCGTGCATCTTGCTAGCGCGGTTTCCGCCCGAAGTCAACAGCACAGGAGCTCATTGGGGCTTTATTATCATGACTTGGATGTACAACTTTTCGTTCTCGGCTACCTGCGGACCCTTATCATGGATTATCCCGGCTGAAGTGTTTGATACACGGACACGTTCGAAAGGCGTCTCAATCGCCACCATGGTCTCGTATGCATTTAACACGATGATTGGCCAAGTCACGCCGATTGCGATGGAGAGTGTGCGTTATAAATATTACTTCCTATTTGTTATCTGCAACTTCACCAATGCGGTTTTCTTTTGGCTGCTACTGCCCGAGACCAAGAAATTGCCTCTGGAGGAAATGAATTATTTGTTCAGCAATGCGCCTTGGATCATCGTTGGTTCTCGCAAGGAGGATTATCTGCCGCACGACTTGGAGCGCAAGGTTGAGGAGCAGGAAGTGAAACGCGAAGCTGTTGCATATCACCAGGAGTGAGTCGTCGATAAGACAGAAGTTGAAGCAGAACAGTGTTTTGTCGATAAGAAAATAGCTTGATAATTTGTGTATTCTATCGATTAACTTGCTTTTGACGTCCACCTGCATTGATAAATGATTGGATTCGCAACTTTTCTTGGATCGTAGATGACCTCTTCCAAGTCGATAAATTATGAAACGACAGCTATATAATGACTGAGGAAATGGCCATCAGTTCTCATTTAGCAGATAAGTAAGATTCCAAGCAATCTATATGTAGTAGTATATTGCTCCTATGACTGTCCAGCAGTCGAACTCAACTCTGCAATGAGATTGGTTTCTCTGGTGCATTAACTAAAGTCTTGCGCGTCATATTGGCACGGCGTTCTGCTGATTTACATCGCATAGGCCACGAATGCAAGTCAGCAACGGGCAACCTTTGATATACCATTCTGCTCAGCAAATGCACGGCATGATGTCAAAGGACCCGAAGAGCTGATTCACTCTGAATCGGAACTGTACCCAGCGAGGCCAAGAGAAAAAGAAGAAGGTTGGGCTGCAGGCTTTGCTTCAGGCTGACTTGCTTTCGCATCCGCGCTCTCAACTTGCTTTCCAGCGTTTTTCGGGCTTTGCGACGAGTTGGATTCCTGTGGTGTAGCCTTGGGGGTTGGGATGGAAACAGATGTCCCACCTGCGCTTTTGGCAGCAGGCTTGGTGGCCTGAGCTGTCTTTTGCTTAGTTTGAGATGAAGCCTCATCGGCTTTCTCTTCCTCTGCTAAAGACTTCCGCTTCTTGCCTGGAAGAAGGAGATCCTGCTTTTTATCGCGCCGTCTTTTGCGCGCTGGAATTTTCCAGTCTTCTGTTTCGGCTGATGGTTTGACATCTGCGGACGTGTCTTCTAGTAAGACTTTCTCGGCCTCTTCCCGCTGGCGGCGAAATTCTTCGAGCTGGTCGGCCGTATCTTTCTTGACAGCAGCTTCTTGGGCGCGTGTCGATTCCAGAACTGAATCTAGGAAATCGACCTCATCCTCGTCAAGAGAGCGGAACTGGTTCTTCAGTTTCATTTTCTCTTCGAAGGCTTCCTGCTTAACCACTAAATGCCGCAAGAGAGTTCACCCTAACATGTCAGCCAGAAGATACCAGGAGGTTTTCCGGTCCAATGCTATGACTGCAGTCAAAATAAACTCACTTTTGTTCTGCTCCAAAACTTCATATAAGCTTTTACCCCCATCTTGCTTGCCTAGGTCTGCCTTGCGCTTTCGCTCCTCTTCGAGCTCCTGCTGTACCCGGCGCCATTCATCATCGCGTTCTATCGGTTTATCGCTGGTTCCTCCAGACACGAAACCTGACGACATGTTGACCACCTTTTCAAAACCACAAGGGCTTCTGGTATCTTGACGTAGGGACAGACGGGCTCGGTTGTTTGCAGGGGGAAAAAAAAAAAAAAGGCAAGGTGTGGAGCCAGGAATGACCCGGTGTTGAGATAGCTGAAACAAGAACAAGCACACCGGAAACTTTCTAGAACGCGCGCTGTTAGTCAATTGATAATTCTCAATCCAAAATCACAAGTAACCGAACAGCGTCATCTCGGGAATAAGGGTAATAATCATCGCGCCGTGGATGTTTGCGTCGGATTGGATGAGCGGCAGAATAAGGCGGTGATATAAATTACGCACTCAATTGGTTTGAAACATACCGATACGTGCTCATTTTAGCCAAAATACAATTGACCAATAGAATAATCGGTTCATCCGTATCGTAACTTATCTGCGGTAATATCCATACACCGCCGCGAGGTTTGCCATGGTCCAATTACGGAGACAAATCCGAAGGGGTCAAATCACCATCATGAGCAGATCTTCGGACCAAAAAAAAAAAGGATCTTCAAAAGTTTAGAAATAATATGATCCGTGTGCTTTAGTTTGCACGGGGCTGGGTAATTCCTGGATGATAACTGAAACCCTTCCCGGTTAATTTGTGTCCGCTGCCAGCCAGAGATGTGCCTGGATGCTCCCCCCACTGGCCATGAGGGGCAACTCAAACGCCCCTCCATCGACATCATGGATCCATCGCTGGATGGACCTGCCTTAGCATTCGTGTTCTTCGCTCCTTGACGCTCTCAGCCCCAAATTATAAAGCCCGGTACTTCCGTGCTCAGTGTCCATCTAATTTCTTTTCTCTTCAATCCTCTCTACATATCCTCATCTACTCACAAGATCCAATTGTACCTTTTCCCCATTCAATCACGCAAGATGTCGAACCTCGACTACACCAAGTAAGTGATGAATCTGTTATCTATTCATTGACACTTGTCTTCTGCCCCTTCCAGATATGCTAATGATCATCCTGTTACTAGCAAAACCTACACCCTTAACACCGGTGCTAAGATCCCAGCCGTTGGCCTGGGTACCTGGCAATCCGGACCTAACGAGGTCCGCGAGGCTGTCAAGAATGCCCTCTTGAAGGGTTACCGCCACATCGACACGTGAGTCGCATCCTATAATATACCATTTCCACCATCCAAACATATTGACACATTGTTCCCAGTGCTCTTGCCTATGGCAACGAAGCCGAGGTTGGCCAGGGTATCAAAGACTCTGGTGTTCCCCGCAAGGAAATCTGGATCACCACCAAGCTTGACAACACCTGGCACCACCGCGTCACCGAGGGTATTAACTCTTCCCTCAAGGACCTTGACACAAGCTACGTCGACCTTTACTTGGTACACTGGCCCAGCTCGACCGACCCCAATGACAAGTCGAAGCATCTGCCCGACTGGGACTTCATTAAGACATGGTAAGTTTCGACCCGACTTTTTCAACATCCGCCAGAAAAGACGATGCTGACCCTGGACTTAGGCAAGAGATGCAGAAGTTGCCTGAGACTGGCAAGGTCAAGAACATTGGTGTTTCCAACTTCGGAATCAAGAACCTCGAGATCCTCCTCAACCACCCCACCACCAAGATTGTCCCCGCCGTTAATCAGATCGAGTTGCACCCTAACAACCCCTCGCCCAAGCTGGTTGCTTACAACACTTCCAAGGGCATCCACTCCACCGGATACTCTTGCTTGGGATCCACCAACTCTCCCCTCTACAAGGACCCCACTCTCTTGGAGATTGCTGAGAAGAAGGGCAAAACTCCCCAGCAGGTCCTGCTCGTCTGGGGTGTGTCCAAGGGCTGGAGTGTCATCCCCAAGTCCGTCAGCAAGTCTCGCATCGATGCCAACTTTGAGATTAACGGCTTGGAATTGACTGCTGATGAGATCAGCAAGTTGGACAACCTGAAGGACCGCTTCAAGGTCTGCGGTGACAGCTGGCTCCCCATCAAGGTCTTCTTCGGTGACGACGAATAAATGCTTTTTATGTGATTATGTCAAATAAAATATAGGTTTTAGAATAGATATCCAATTGTACATTCGGAACATACAAACAATTTTTATAGACCATGTACTCGGAAGAGTGTTAACTGCTCATCAGCCCATATTGTCTAACTAGTAGAAGCGACTAAGTGGAATAGCGGGGGCATATCGCAATCAAGTCCGAAATGATATCATAATATTTACTTTTGGCCAAGGGTAAATTTTCACAAAAATTTAGATCTTATGAGAAGTAAGCTGGTTAATTATTGAAAATAACAACCTGATTTTCCATAGCACCAAAATATTACTGTAACATGTTTATTTAAGTCGTGTGGCGACGTGCTCAGGTGGCTGCACCGCCACACAGGGTGGAGCGCCCCTAAACGATCCCCGGTTATCAGGCATCGGTCCGGGTTCATCCATCTTCAACTCTTCATGAGAATGAGCATTCCATCTCTTTTTCTATACTAGATCTATCCATTTCATCAAAGCCAGCATGTCGCCTTCCAGCGGACACCTGCTGCTTCCAAAGTTTTGGAGGGCAGCCAGGTAAGCAATACTGATATCCTCTACCTTGGCGTATTGCTTTAGCTGACATCACTTCCCCAGGTTTGCCTACGAGAAGGCCTGCAAGGCCGTCAAGTCAAAATTACCAGAACCAACACAGCAGGTATCACTGCGAGTTCAACCAGCTTATGCTCGGATCAATCCTCGCCAGCCCATCAATCGAGCTGCTGCCATCCGCCAGGCCCGTAGTCGCCACTTCTCCACCCGTGCAAGCGCCTTTGTCTCATACATCAAGACCGGACTCCAAGGTGATCGCGTCGCCTACCAGACTTCTCGTGTTGCATCAAACGTCGGCCGTATCACCAGCAGAGCCCCCTTTGCGTCGACTCTGCGCCCAAACTTGACTGGTGGCACTCTGGGTCGTACCGCAGGAGGTTATACATTTGGCGCTGGCCGCATTGGGGGAGCTCGGTACTTTTCTCATGGCCCAGCCGCACCTGCGCAGGTCATCAACAATGTTTCCGCCGGAGTGCGTGCATTCTTCCTCTCGGGGCAGAAAGTCCGATTTGATGGCATTGACCCTATCACCGGAAACAAGCGCTACAAGGCCGTGAGCGCTCTCCAGGACCAGGCTGAACGTCAAATGACAGGAATTCCTCGCACAGCACCCGGCTCCTACATCGATTTCCAGATCTCTCCTACCGTCACTGCTTTTGGAGCAATGGCTGGCTTGCAGAAGAAGTCTGGTGCTTTCGAATCTGAGACGCTCAACTCGGAAGGTCTTTTGGACTTGCTTTCTGTTGACTTTGCACGTGCATTGAAGGACCTCGCGGCTGTTCTCAATGATCTTAAGCGCTTGTCAGCCCTAGGCGATTTGCCTATCCTGCTGCAGGACAGATCTACAATTCGAGTACGGTTTCCTGGATGTGATGCGGACACCGTGGAGCGATTGTGTGACGAAGTTGATGTGCAACGGGGTCGAATTGTCCAAGATGAAGATTTTGACATTCGCACTGGAGCAGACCTTGCTCTTCTTTTCCCCTTCGCCCCCAGCGTCCCTGTATCACCAGAGATGGACTACTTCTTTACAAAGGAACCAACACGATTGCAGACAGCTGATGAAGTTGATTGGCAAGGCATGATGTCTTCCGAAGACTTTACGGAGTCTTCGCCCAGAGATGTTCGCCAGTCAAACGATATGAGTTTCGAGGATGTGGAGATATTCGGCAAAAATCCTTGGAACTCGTCTTCGTCAGGATACTCGAGTATCAACATCAGCGAGCTTGGAGACCGTGCTTTCTTTCCAGAGATGTCAAGTGCTGGTATCCCTGAGAGTGCCTCTGAATATGCAGGGACTGAGGGGATCCACAAGTTCTTAGCAGGATGTGACCGGGCCGCACTTCATTAAAGACTTTCTTTTCTTGATATTAAGTTATGATACAGACTTTGGCAGTCATTTCCTTTTTCTTTCTGTTACTTATGGGGGCAACTTTTCCCAATTCAATGAAATGAACATCCTAATCATTCTTATTCTATTTGACATAAGTGTAAAGTGTAGACTTAAGCTGCATATGCCAGTGATATTAAAATGAGAGCTATCAGAAAAGTTTAGGCTTCACATTAACTCCAATTCACTTGCTGCTAGGAGCATAATGGCTTCTCCCTTTCCTGTCCAACACTATTTATTATTTTACTGTCTTCACCCTCATCAATCATTTCACCAAACTGAGGAAAGACCAAACTGAGATCCAAGAGGCGAGATTCAAGTCAAAAGGTACAAAACTCCCCGTTTTCTCGCTTCAGGCCCAGGGGGGGTTTTTCTCCCCTCCTACCCCAGGGATCTATTTTCTATCAACATCCTGACAAAGGCACCCCCCCGCCCCCTTCTTCTTCGGCGAAGCCTAAGTCGCTATTTTATCTTCGAGATCCTCAACTCTCTAGGAACCATGGCCCCCAAACGCAGACGTTCCATTTCCGCGTAAACAGCCCTCACTTCAAACTCGATTGACGCAGATATTCAAAAGGGTTCTCGGGAAGCCTACTTTGGTACTATTGCCATCCGAATCGATGAACTTGATGTCACAAATAATCCCAGTCAGGCAATTGACCAAGAGGATGTGGATGAGGCGGTTGAAAATCTAGCAATGGGAGCGTGTCGCTTTCATAAAGACACTAGAATGAGGGCGTCACTCAGCGAGAAAGATTTCGAAACGGTTCCTGAAACATGGTACATCTCAGGGCGCATTTCTGGTGGTACCACTGTGAATGTCACGTTGGACGACATCAGACGCAAGTTGATGAATACGGAAGGGGTCGTTTTGGGAGATTTTATCCACTTGAAAAAATGGCCGGGTAACTGTGAAAAAGAAGCATTGCTTTCGGGGCATTCATGGAGGATTGCTCTTCAGCGAATATTAGCTGATCAGCAAAAGGCTGCTGAAGCGGGTGACACGAGTCCAGATGGAAGCAAAGTTACGGTACCTTCTGAAGATGTAATAGGCCCTACAACACACCAACTTAGTAAAAATTCAGCTAAGGACATAACTAGGCTTTTTTCTGGACGGTTGATATGTTTGAAAGTTCCAAAATCCATACAGGTGGTCCGGATAGTATCCTACAAACCAACCATTGTGATTTCAACAAACAGGAAATTGACGGCTATCACTTTCTACGTATTACCAAGGCTTGCAAGGGAAAAAGTGCAAAATTCCAAAAGGATATCTTCAAAAAATCGTGGTTTACTCCCTGGGTCCAAAACGAGCTCGGTGTACACATCCCCCCCTCCCGGGTTTCAAGGGTGTTGGCCATTGTTAACTCTGAATGCTGGCGCGCCATATGGGAGAAATACTTGGAAACGGCCTATGGTTCAATCGGTTTCAATTTTACATTTGGCGAGTGGCTGGTAAATGCAAAATTTGATGAAGTGTGTGCTATTGCCATTCATGTTTAGTACTTTTCAGGGCTAATTGTGTCAAAGCTCTGGGAGCTCGAATTCAATAAGATATTCGAGTTCCAGCGTTTGGTCTTTAGGGGTTTTACAATGAAAGTGAGCGCTCGAGATTGGGGATGTCTGATTGATTTCACAAAGGAGGACTATAGCGCCGAGACATTTGGATTACTGTTTTACCCAACAAAAAAAGATTACATCGAGGGCACCCTTGTTGGAACACATCTGGAACTGTCCCATAAGTGGTTCACTGTTTGGTCTCTACCAAAATTGCAAACGGCCCAGTCATATGGCGATAAAATCTTTTTGACCCGAAGGCCTGGGTTTCTTTCAAAGCTCACCGACGAAGATTATCGGCACAGTTTTCATAGTCTACTCGATAACCCAGGGATTAGCTGTCCATCTTGGTAGGACTGACTCACATAAACAACTAGTTTACTGCTCTATGCTGACGGCGTGACAGGGATGACTTTCTGAAGTTGGAAAAGTTTGTTGGACAACCAACAAAGCGTGTTCTGCAGCACATGGTGTGGTGGACAGATCAATCCTTTATCTATCCAAAGTCATCCTCCAGAGAACTGAAATCGTGGAACTGGATTGTCAAGCTTCGCAAGCGCGTATTTCAAAGATCTAGACTAGCTCAAGGTGCAGCTAGACCTTGGAGACTAGAAAGCGATGACACAACAGAAGATGATGGCCGTGTTGTAGTCGATTCCTTGGATGCACACGTCTCGAACTTCTTACAGAGTGTTTGGGAGAAAATTTCAACCAACAAATCATGGGGAGATTGTGATATGGAGCAGGTACAGTGCTGCATTATGATTTATTAAGATTTGCGAGTGTCAATTTTCATATTGAGATTGATCTGCCATCTGACAGCAATTTGGTGACGTCTAAAATCATACATGAGCATGAAACGCTCATGGCCGAATATATGGAGCGTTTCACCCAGCCACACTGGGCAGCATTGGTCGAACTACTGGTTGAGTATGCTGGCCCAATGTCGAAATACAACCACATACAGGTTTGGGCAGGCTTCATCCTCCCGTTCAGCAATGAGAAACATACTGACTGGCTTGTTAAAGGATTCTGTGGAGGCATCTGCTTCATCGGGTTCCTCAATGGTCAAGGCCGTGTATGCAAGCCACATCTATCTCAAAGAAACTCCCGCACTCAATACCCCATCCATGAAAGCCAATCTTTTGAGAAAGTGCGAGATACTCGGAGCAATCTGGATGTACCAGACCTTAAAAAAGGCCATGCTTACAACCTTGGAGTTTGGATATTGCGGAAGCTCTGGAGACACAAACGAGCAAATGGGGTCTGTTGCGGACAAGGTAATTCGAAATGCTTTTGATGGATTCTCTAAGCTAATGGGCGATCTAATTGCAGAAAGACTGGAATGTTGCGTTGAGTGCATTGCATGATATTGCTATCTTTCAGATATGCGGGCTTTGAAATCGATATTGACCAGATCAACGAACTTCTGAATTACTTGACGATGATACCCAGAAATGAAGACCAGCAGCGCGAGGATCATGAAGCGAAAGCGCAGTTACCTGTTCACGGGTTTTTGACTGCAGACCCAGAGACCTTCAACTCTATGGACACTGAGTAAGCAAGAACCGGCGTCTGAAACAGAAGCCTTCATGAGAGATGAAGCAGTTGAGGATGTTTAACAGATCTTCATCATTGGCTGATGATAGTTGGAAAGGATCTTGAAATCAATCTTGATTTGATGGAGAGTTATGCTGCACCAACGGTGTGCCACTTCCATCAAGGAGCATACGGGCATCAAATAAAACTTGAAATAAAAATCACCATCTTTACTCCGTCTCCATCGAGGCAATTCGGGCCGTCAACGCGGTAAAATGCAGACTTGGGCCAACCTGCTTTTTGAGAACATATTGGCTGACGGGACTGGGAGTTTAGGGATTCGGTTTTTTTTGAAATTGCATCACATTGGAAATTCTCTGTCTTATTGGTGCTTTGGATTCTGCAAGACGGAGAAAATTCGATTTCTACCAGGTCTATAGATGAAACAATTCATTTATTTATTAAGGGTGCTATAGTAAACTGCTGCCATTAGCCATATTGGTGACGGAGATTCCGTGTAGATTCGATTTGATGCCGAATCATCCTGGTTATCTTTGCTTCCTCATCTTGGTATGGTGATGGAAATGAAATGGTATAAATGAAGCGCAAATACCTCCATGAGATGTTTAGTTGTCTAGTAGATACTCTTTGAAAGTAAGGATCGAGTCTTTCTTAAAAATCAAGACAACCAAGATGCGGTCTATTATATCCATTTCACCCTTTCTTTTCTCTGTTGTGCAGGCCCTGCCAGCTGCGACATCTTCTACCATCCCACCAAGCTCTAGCACCGTGCCAACAGCAAGTGCACCCGGCAATCCATTCACTGGATACCAGCTTTATGTGAACCCATTTTATGCATCTGAGGTTTCCGAAGCGATTCCATCCATGACAGGGTCTCTGGCTGAAAAGGCAAGCGCTGCGGCAGAGGTGCCTTCATTCTTTTGGATGTGAGTGTTGATTTATCTGGGAGCCTGTCTGGTAGCTAACCGGAGTATGCAGGGATACCGCTGATAAAGTACCGACAATGGGTGAATATTTGAAGGACATCAAGTCGAAGAATGAAGCAGGCGCAAGCCCCCCAATTGCTGGGACTTTTGTGGTCTATGACTTGCCTGACCGTGACTGTGCCGCCCTGGCAAGCAATGGAGAGCTCGCCATTGATGATGGTGGTGTCGAGAAGTACAAAGCGTACATCGATTCCATTCGCGAACAGCTGTCGAAATACTCGGATGTTCACACTATCCTGGTTGTTGGTGAGATTCCTCGCTGTACGTACGCGGTTGGATCAAAAGCTGATATCCTATAGAGCCCGATAGTTTGGCGAATCTGGTCACCAACCTGGATGTAGAGAAGTGTGCCAATGCCAAAGATGCATATCTTGAGTGCACCAACTATGCTCTGACCCAGTTGGACCTCCCGAACGTTTCCATGTATCTTGACGCAGGTATGTGAGGAACAAGTGGTTTTTTATACTTGCCCAGACTAATTCTATCAAAAAGGACATGCTGGATGGTTAGGCTGGCCTGCAAACCTCAGCCCAGCGGCTGAGCTTTATGCTTCGGTATACAAGAATGCCTCTTCACCAGCCGCTGTCCGTGGCCTGGCAACCAATGTGGCAAATTACAACGCCTGGTCAATTGATACATGCCCGTCTTACGCCCAGGGCAACGAGAACTGTGATGAGAAGAAATATGTCAATGCACTGGGCCCCATGCTGGCTGATGCCGGCTTCGCAGCGCACTTTATCATGGATACTTGTGAGTTGTCGCTTACGAAATATGTGCCCGTAGACTGACCTCTCTGTCCTCAGCTCGAAGTGGAGTCCAGCCCACCCAGCAGCAGCAATGGGGAGACTGGTGCAATGTGAAAGGAACTGGCTTCGGTGCGCGACCGACTTCAGAGACAGGAGACGAGCTACAGGATGCGTTTGTATGGGTCAAGCCAGGCGGTGAAAGCGATGGGACATCAGACACCTCTGCGACTCGCTATGATGCACACTGTGGGTATGATGACGCCTTGAAGCCTGCTCCAGAGGCTGGTTCTTGGTTTCAGGTGAGCTTGATCCATTGATAATATGCATGTCATGGTACTGATGCTTCAAAGGCATATTTCGAGCAACTGCTCAGTAACGCCAAACCAGCTTTTTAGTCAATGTGATGGGATTAGTTCTTTTTCTGTGATTGAGAGTTTTCTGTATACAATTTCTATAGCACAAGTTAGTGTAAATTGTAGATGAATGTGAAGACTCAATGTTTGATGTTTAATGAAGCCATACAGAATGGCGGTGAAGAAAAGAAGGCAGAACTCACCGCCAACCCCGCGCTAACCAGAAGGGAGTGATCCACTGATAACAGGACGGAGAGAAACACACACTGCCGTCACTAGAGAGAAGCAGCCATCTGGAACCTTTGTGAATCCCATCACCTTCAGTTTTAAATCTTTCAGAGTCATTTGATGTCCTGAAGAAGGCCCTCTCCAGCTATCTAGTTCTGGGGGTTCTGTTGCCCTTGGGTTTGTCCTACCCAGTTTTCTCTCAGCAACTGCTGCAGACAAAGCAAGGAAAACAACAGAGTTACCTCCAGATCCCATATCCGACCTCGGGTCTATTTTCCAAGGAGTCAAAATGATGGAGGATTTCAACAGTGAGACCGACAGTGACTACACCAGTTACTGGAGGGACTGGGTGAGTTTGAATTTCCCCAAGTGCTATGCCCGGGTAGGGTGAAGGAAGTCGAGGGGAAGAGTGCGGCTGCGCACTCTAACAATGTGGTTGCAATTGCGGCTGGTGCCATGAAAGGGTGGGAAAGAGTGAAAGAGACATCGGATTGTTCTAAACCCTCCTGTCTTCCTGGCACTTCGCATTTCCACATCTGCTGTAACCACATGGTCCACCCTCTTGATTCAAGAGAAAATGGACGAAACTGAGACCCCTCGGAGCTTCGCTATCATTAGATCTCGCCCTCCTGTTCCTCTGGTGCTCCCTCAACTGACTGTGTTTTGGCGCGAACAGTTCATCTCTTCTCGTGGAAATGAGTACTTCTGCGAAATCGACGAAGAGTACCTTACCGATCGCTTTAACTTGACTGGCCTGAATACCGAAGTCCCTTACTATCAATATGCTCTCGACCTTGTGACTGACGTCTTCGACCTCGATGCGGACGATGACCTGCGCGAGCAGATCGAGAAGTCTGCGCGTCACCTGTACGGCTTGGTTCACGCTAGATACATTGTTACTACCCGCGGTCTGGCCAAGATGGTATGTGAAAGCATAAATTATACACGTATTCTTGGGGGAATTGAGCTTATGATTTCCTCCGTTTAGCTTGACAAGTACAAGAAAGGCGATTTCGGCAAATGCCCCCGTGTGATGTGCGACGGCCACCCTCTTCTCCCCGTGGGCATGCACGATGTTCCCAACGTCAGCACCGTCAGACTCTACTGTGCCAAATGCGAAGACGTCTACAACCCCAAATCCTCTCGCCATGCTTCCATCGATGGTGCCTATTTTGGAACTTCTTTCCACAGCATTCTCTTCCAAGTCTACCCGGCTCTGGTCCCAGAGAAAAGCGTTCGTCGCTACGAGCCTCGCATCTACGGTTTCCGCGTTCATGCTAGTGCAGCACTTGCCCGCTGGCAGGACCGTTTCCGTGAGGACATGAAGGCGCGTCTTCACGAGGCGGGAGTTGAAGCGAAATACATCGAAGATAGCGAGGTTGAGGAGGACCTGGATTCCGAGGATGACGATGAAGAGCAGAGTGTGGACACCAAGAACGAGAGGGTTGTGGGAGACGCCGCCTCGGGCCGTATGGACCTGGGTCACTGAGCCAGACGAAGTCGCCGCTGTTCTTGCGATTCCCAACTCAATGCCCCGCTGTGTCGGGTGGCGTTTCTTTTTCAGTCTATGGGATTTTTTCTGCCGAAATACCGGGCGTATGACGGGTCATTTCTTTTTCTTTTTCTGTACTGTGCAATTATGATGATGAACACTGGTGGGCGTTGGCGAGTTTTGAAAACGGCTGGCCATTTCTTTCTAATATGCCGAGTGTAATTACTACCTTCATCTCCTGAAAGATATCAGGAATTTAAGACGATCTGAAATGAAATAAGCGAGTTCCGCAAATATTTCTTTTGTGCTTTATGTAGTCTGTAATGTCCATCTGATTTAGATTTACGTGATGATTTGCATTATACCTACCACGACTCGTAAGTATAACATTCTAATGCAAAAGTGTATATCTACTTCCTGTTGGTGGTTAGGAATGATTTAGGATGAAGAAACCAGGCCCATTGCCTGAAGCTCTTTGACCGTAACTGCAATGGCCTTTGCTAGACCTTCGCCCTTTAACCAAGGGTCATCATGTTCGCCCGTGAGGGGAAGCACAAGGACTCGCCTTGGGGTTTCCTGCGTATGACTTTGTTCCCACCGCTTGAGAGTCTGTTTCATCGCTTCAATCTGGCCGCCATCCACCAGCACATCGTCCGGCGACTGCGCCAGCACAGCGAGCCGACCTGCTTTCCATCCACCCTCGACACCAGCTGGGCCTTCTTGTTTAGCTGGAGAGACAGCATCCCACAGAGCCTCGTTGGAACCAAACGCCTGCTGAACGAATTCCTGGACCACAGGCACATTCTTGAAAGCATCTCGGAACAGCCTCAAATCATAAATCCCTTCCGTTCCCACAATCGCAGTCGGAAGGGGAGTATCTTTACTTGCTTGTAAAGACCCCATCACGGTCTGAAACGATAGTGTCGCTCCACAGCTATGTCCTATGAGGATGTACCGTTCTCCAAATTCGTACTTGCTTTGCAAAAGAGCCAGAGCTGCCTGCACGTCGTGGAAGTGGTCGGGGTGTCTGGCATCGCGGAATTCCGTGAGTTCTGTATCTTCAAGAGACTGCGGGTAGTTCGGATGAGAGCTGAGTCGGTAATTTATGGAAGCAAATCCTGCGATGTGTGAGAGTGTTTGGGAGACGTAATCGGGGTGAGTTCGGAGGATGGATTCGGCAGGTTCTTGAAAGTTTGAAGCATTTTGCGTCGGGTCGCGCCATGCACCACCATGGATTAAGCTGGAATACAAGTTAGACAGGTATTGTTGGGTTCAAAGAATTCTTAGGGAATGGGTTTGACGTACACAACCCAGTAGCCTGTGTGAGGGGCATGCGGCAAGGTGGTTACCGAGACAGTCTGAAGACTGTGATCCTGTCCATATGAGAAGGTCTCTTGCGACCAAGACTTCTGGTCTGCCATTTTGTTTCTTTCGAAGGAGCTTAGTTATGAGGGCCAGGAATATCCAATTGCTTGGACTGAGATTGAGCTGATGAGGGGAATGATCAGTTAGGTCGAGGGTCATAGCCTTATCAAGCGACTAGTATATGAAGGAGCAACGATTGCAGCAACACCGAACGGTGAAGCAACCAAGTCATATCCAGCATCGAGGAGAATAATTTTCACCGGAATGCCATCGAGATGACATTAATATAATTGTTTCCCTCGTGCCTGGCAAACGCACCGTATAACTATACAGAGCAGCAGCGCAAATATGGGTCTTGGCGCGCTAACCTCATTGGGCACTAGGCGGTGGGAAATTGTTCAATTCGACATCCACACAAACCATCGCCGACTGTCAACCATCGTCGCCGTTAACATTCCCTGGGCTGCTGCATCCAACATGGCGGAGTAAGTACTCATTTTTCCCGGTCCAATAGTCGTGGAGACCTCCCTCTAACAATATGACAGGAAAGAAACCCCCCTCACGGCCGTTAAGGTCGAGGCCTTGGTACAGTCTGCCCCCAGAAAAAACTCCCCCTCCAAATGACGAGAATTATATGCTCATACCCCCGCGTCATGTAGGTGGTCATGAAGATCATCAAGCACTGCTCTCAAACATTCCCGACGACTGCGACCGGTTCGATCGTCGGTATGGATGTCGGTGGTACCCTGGAAATCACAAACACCTTCCCCTTCCCCGTCGTCGAGATGCCCGCCGAGTCGCACTTTGACAACGCCGCCCCCAACCCGGCCGCCGCTGCTCCTCGCGCAAAGGCCAACGCGGCCTACCAGGCAGAGATGATCCGCATGCTGCGGGAGGTCAACATCGATGCGAACAACGTCGGATGGTACACCAGTGCGAACATGGGTAACTTTGTCAACATGAACGTGATCGAGAACCAGTTCTTCTACCAGAAGGAGATGAACGAGCGGACAGTCGCTCTTGTCCACGATGTCAGCCGCAGTGCTCAAGGAAGTTTGAGCCTGAGAGCTTTCCGTCTGTCGCCTAAGTTCATGACTGCTTTCAAGGAGAACAAGTTCACTGCCGAGGAGTATGTTTCCTGACACCTTTCTTAATGAAGAAGACGAAAGAAAAATCAAGAGAAGTGAAAGGAAAGAGGAATTCTGACTTCATTACAGGCTGCAGAAGTCCAACTTGAGATACCAGGACATCTTTGTCGAACTCCCCGTCGAAATCCACAACTCTCACCTGATCACCTCCTTCATCCACCAGCTTCAGAGCCCCATCGCCGCGGGACCCACGGAACTCCCCCAGTCTCTGGCCGCTCTTGAGTCCGGTCCCTTTGTCAAGTCGAATGTCCTTACTCCCAACTACGACAACCTGTCGCTCAGCATTGACCCATTCTTGGAGAAGAACTGTGATCTCCTGCTCGACAGCATTGAGACTCACCACACCGAGACCAACAACTTCCAGTACTACCAGCGCTCGCTCGCCCGTGAGCAGACCAAGATCACCAACTGGCAGACCAAGCGCAAGGCCGAGAACGCGACCCGTGCGACGCTCAAGCAGGCACCCCTCCCCGAGGATGAGTGGCAGCGATTGTTCAAGCTTCCTCAGGAGCCCAGCCGCTTGGAGAGCATGCTCAACAGCCGACAGGTCGAGCAATACGCTCGCCAGGTGGACCACTTCGTTGCTGCCACTTCGGGTAAGATGTTTGCTGTGAAGGGAAATCTACTGCCCGGAGAGACCGCCAAATAAGCGGCTTCTTGAATGTTTTGGGCTCAAACTGGGGATTCTGGGAATTGCATGACCTTAACGGCGTAGGGAGGGAAAATTATGTATCTGACTGTTAATATGTCTCCTGCTTGCTTATTCCAGTGACGAAATCTAGTTACGGGATATGACTTGAGAGCATGTCTGCGTCTTGTTATGACCTAACTGATCTGCTGTAGATATCTTCTGAGTCACGACTGATGATATTTACTGTATTCTGGTCGCCAGACGTGTATATACTTGTAGCAGTCTAGGGCACTTTGCCACACGTGATGCTACTGACGATGACTTCATTATTCGTCGCAATCGAGAAACACTGCGTACCGATTAGATGAGATACTTTTATGGCTCGAAATGATGCTTTCCAGGTCTTCTCCTATGTTCTTGTTCTCTGTTCTTAAAGTGTGGTTGATTTGTTTTCATCGTTCTCATGTACAACAGTAACTTTGATATTTGGATTGTAAGCCCACCTTGCCCTAGCAGGAAGTACCACCTATCACTTCCCCCATCCTCTTCCCCTCTCAAGCCCATCTGCTAATTAGAAAGGCCGGGGCGTTTTCTGCTGTGGTTGTTGATTTCTTCGTCTACCCCTTCGACACCCTCAAAACACGTATCCAGTCCCCAGATTACGCGAAGCTCTACAAGGACGCCAGAACTGGAGCCGTGAAACGCAATGTCCTCTTTCGAGGCTTGTATCAGGGAGTGTGGAGTGTAGTGATATCAACGATACCTTCTTGTGCAGTGACATCCCCATCCCATCTCTCTATCTCTCTAATTTTCAAACTGAACGAGGGGGGAGATATACTCATTTCCCAAATAGCAGGAGCCTTCTTCACCACCTACGAAGCAGCAAAATATACTCTTAACAACGCATCAGCGACAGTGCAAGCCGAACCGCATAACTCAGAACCTAACCGTCTTCCATTTACGCATTCCCTTCCCAACCCGATCATCCACGGTATTTCGTCATCGTGCGCGGAGATAGTTGCCTGCTTGATGCTCACGCCCGCGGAAGTATTGAAGCAAAATGCGCAGGTAGTGGACTTGCAACCGGGGCATCGAAATGATAATGCCACGATGCAGGTGATTTCACGGTTTCGACATCGGCACTGGAAACTGTGGAGTGGGTATACGGCGCTGGTGGGGAGGAATCTACCCTTTACGGGGCTGCATTTTCCGCTTTTCGAGTATGTCAGGTCTCATGTGGTGGATTGGCGAGAGCTGCGGAAAGAGCAACAACAGAGTCATGGTGATTGCGAAGCAGCAAATTGGAATCCGGTGCTGGAACGGGCTGCTTTGACCGGGTTTGCGGCTGGGGTGTCGGGGATGACGGCTGCGGTAGTGACGACGCCTATTGACGTGATCAAGACGAGGGTGATGCTGTCGGCTAGTACGGAGGATAATAATGGCGGGGATGCGAAGAAGCCACGGATGGCAGACCGGACTATGCTTTCGATTGGGAAGGAGATATATCGGAAGGAGGGCGTCAGGGGGCTTTTTCTCGGGGGTGCTCTTCGCGCTGCCTGGACGGCTGTCTCGCTCAGTATGTACCTGAGTATATATGAAGGGGCTAGGTTTTACCTAGAAAATCGGCGACGAGAGAAGAATAGGCTGGAAACGCATTCAGAAGTTGAAAAGGAAGACGAGGCTGCCATGTAGTATTACTTCACGTTTAATTTCTCATGTATCATTAGTATTATTTTCAGCGAGATAAAGGATTGCCTACTCTCTAGTTTGGTGGCACACTACCGTAAAAAATTGAATAAAAAAGCTGTATTAAAAAAAAAAAAAAGCCCAAAGGGTATTCATATTCATCGTTCTAGCTAATTGAGTAGAGAGCAAAAAAGGCTCATCTGATGTTACATGCAGTGCTGTAAAACCTGAATGAAAATCAAAATATAATCTGTCATCATAAATGCATCCAAATTGATATAGGGCAAGCGTAAATCTCATAGCTCAACAATTTCATCGTGTCATATCATCATAAAGTCATCCGCGGGTCTTTGTATGGAGACCATCACAAATTGGTCAGTTTTCTGAACCAGTTGGGCATCCTCGCCCCAGAGCTGGGGGGAGGCACAGGCGGATAGCGGCTATCATAGGGTCTGTACCCACGCTCACGCTCGTAATCACCGCTGCCCGAGGTACTCTTGATGTTGTCTCGGTCAGCTCTGCGTGCTTCCCGCCGTCTGGCTCGCAGATCGTCTATCTCGTCGTCTGCAAGTCCAGGGTACTTGGCCCGTCGTCGGGCTTGCCTGCGCAAGTTGCGCCTGGCCTCTTCGTCCGACGACATGCTGTGCCCATTGAGTGGTTCGCCAGGAGGCGGGGGCATATCAACCACAGTTGACATAACCGGGGGTGGCTCGGGGGGCTCATCTGCTTGTGAATGAACCCAAGATGAAATCTTGTCTTTCCGCCCCCCAGACATCATCGGTGCCTCGCTCGTTGGATCTGGAGCTCTGGACCTCCGACGTTTCGGCCTACCACCCTCGTCGCCGGATCGGGGAGACTGTCGAGGCCGGTAATAATCCTCGGGAGCTCCGTATTCGCCAGGAATTCTTCCCTCTGCTCTTGAGCGATGACGTCTCGATCTCGAAGCTTGTCCTCCATACACTTCCTGCATTTCTGCGTCACGGATTCGTCTTCGCTCACGTCGCTCTGCTTTAGCTTGAGCTCGGGCCTCCATTTCCCGGGCTTCCATCTCTCGAGCCTCCTGCTCCTCTCTCATACGCCGTTCTTCACGAGCAGCTCTACGTGCTCTCTTCTCTTGGCGGCGTCTCTCCTCTCTCTCCTCCTCTTCTCGGGTTTGTCTCTCAAGGATCTCACGGGCCCTTTCTTTCTCCCTCCGTCTAGCTCGTCTTTCTTCGGCTTCTCTGAAGTCGGCATCTCGAAATTGATCAGAAGGAGGGTGTCGCGAGGCACGCCGGGCTCTGCGTGCTGCTCTCCTGGCCGCCGCTTCTTCTGCCTCTGTGTCTGGGAAACCTCCAACTGGACCGCCTTCGGTAACGAAGCCCTCAGCATCTGTATCTGGTCGTTCCCATCGTCTCCTTCGTTCTTCATGTCTGATTCGCCGGGCCTCGTCTCGCTCCGGTTCTGTCATGTACCTTGCGTCTTCATCACGATAAGACCGAGACTTGCGGCGTTCTGGTGGAGCTTCGGGACGAGCCTCAGGGCGAGCAGTCCGTTTCAAAGATTCTATTAAACCCATCAAGCCACCACCACCCGTTTCCGGTTTCCTGGGTAGGGTACCGGACCGCTTCAAGCGTCGTTCTCTTGGAGGGGCATCGACGAAAGCAATATCATCGGGTCCTGAGTAAACATCTGGGCCCTGCTGGTCTGCATCAACCATAACAGCATCGTCATGGTCTTCAGGTCTGGATCTTGTCTGATGTGTACAACAATCATTAGTATTTAAACACAAAGGACTGTTAGGTTGGGTAGCGTGCTCACCTTCCTGGACCGGGACTTTCTTCTGGAGTGTCTAGATTCCCTAGATCCCTCTTGCGGCGAGTGTCCCTCAACATCGTCTCGGTTAACCATGACTATGTCTTCATCTTCAATGGCGTACGGATCAGGGTAAGCTGGGAACAATCTATCAATAACTGGTTTCAAGACTAAGTGTGATTCGGGACGGAAACTCGTACCAGATCTTTTCCTCTCCCCGTGCGGCCTCTCTCTTCTAGACCTCGATTCATTGACGCCCATCAACCTAGCTGCTTTATCCGATACCTCAAGCCTTTCGTCAGGCGGTGGAGTAGGCATATCAGCCTCATCGATGTCGCGTCTGTGTTCTGTTCTTCTCCTTGATTTGGTTCTAGAAGGAGGTGCTGCGGCGGCACCGAGAACAAAATCAGAGAACCCCATTGCGCGATTATGACGAGCTTCCCGCCGTCTTTCCTTGTCAGATGCAGATGATTTTTCGGCCTCGTTTTCTGACTCTCGCGGCCTTGATTTTCTAGCAGTGCCTGATTTCGATCTCTCCACTTCGTTGGGAGATCGTTCCCTTCTCCTTGGGTTTTCAGAATCCTCCCTGTGTCTACCTTCCTTGTGGCTGGATCTTTTCGGGGGCACCGTTGCTCCCCAGTAACCCCAGGCAGCAGAGCTCGACGTGCGTTCAATACGAGGCCGCTCCTTGCGTGCCGGCTTCTCAGGTTCAGGTGGGGGCGTCGGTGGTGCACCAGCTTCGACTTCTGGTTCCTCAGGCGGTGCAACTTCGATCGGTGGCGGCTCCTTGACTTTTCTGGAGCTCTTCTTACTCTTCCTTGCAGGCTTCTCGGGTTCTGGGGCAGGCGGCTCAATGGGCTCCGGCTCTGGCTCCGGCTCTGGCTGTTCTTCAGGTTCGGGTTCGGGTTCTGGCTCAGGTTCTGCAGGCGGTTCAGGTTCAGGAGAGGGTGCGAGATCCTCTGGCTTCGTGGGAATTGGAAGGCCTCTCTTAATCAAAGATTTCTCGCGTTTCTTGCGATCTTTTGAAGACAAACTAAAGAAGTTATTATAGAGTGGGTCCTCTGGGAATCTGGTGACTTCAGGCTCTGGCTCCGG